TTCAAATTAATCCGTTATAGTATTCTTACCGTGTTCGCACCACCACCGTAAATCGTGGTTGCTTTGAGGGTACTCACAATGGTTATCAAGATCCCACTAATTCGAATTCGTGGATGTATCCCAAAGGTTCAAGTCACGGGCTCTGGCAGCAAGGCCGAGGGAACAACACAGGCCCCAACGAGGCTAAAAATTCGTGCATGCAAGATAAATTTGTGCATGTAAGATAGACCTTGTCTATGGAACACGACAGATAGCTCCAGTAGTGGCAACCTGCATATTGCTAGTAATGGCGAGAGATTTTGAATCTCGAATGATGGCGGCAGATCAGAGTGATGAGCAAGTTAGGGCTGGCATAAAACGTGCTTTCAACCAGTATGCTCTGACGTGGAGAGGTGCCATGTGTCGGACAGCGGTCACCAGACCGATAGAAGAGAGTATGTAGGTAAGACTTGGCAGCTCGTAGTTCTCATATGCCACTCTCATATCTTGCAGACTCACCGTTTCGTCTCGTCCTGACGTGCGAGACTGTGGACTCACGTCAGAAGTCTTGACCAGTGTCGACTTCGCCGATGAATAAACTGATCCAGCATTTGCGGAGAAACTAGCCATCAGAAAACTCCTACCCCCTTATTGATTTTTGTACTCCACAGTATGGGTGTACTGTATGGCCAGGTGGCCTTGGAGTAAAGACTCTGAGGATCGCTTGTAACAAGTTCAAATTTTTACTGCACATCTCTTAGTTCCAGTCGCAGGTCTGGATCCCACCGTGCAGTTTCCTGAGTGTCTGTCGACGAAGGGGGAAAGGCTTCACGTTCTCTTGCGTTCCGTTATGAGGCAATATAACTTGAGCATTTGAGGTCGTACGTAGTTGAAGTTGATTGACTCGTCGGATGCACACCGGACGAACAATCGAGACTCTCCTTAGGTGGGGTGGTTCGGTCGTTGGGGTAGGTTATGTGAGCAACCGCCTCTCTAGCGCCAGCGGCCTCAGGGGCACGAGGGGAGAGCCCACGGACGCCGGTTCTCGGGGTGGGCTGCGATAGATGAATTTTGACACTTAGTAGATCTATAAATTGATGTGCTATATGAATGCTAGAGAGTCGTGCTGGGCTTGCTATATTCAATATTTCAAGAATCGCTTTCGCCATGGGGTCCTCGAGCCTCAGTCCCGCCGAGCGTCTGCGCTCCCAGCTAGCAGATCCAGATTTCTTGACAGTGTCTCTGGGGGTCTTTGATGGTTCGCACGACCATAGGCAACACGAAGCTACACAACGAGGTCCTGCTAATTCCATTCACCAGGCATTTCGGCTCGCACAGCTCTCGAGCAAAATCCTCCAGCCTTGTACATGTCCGGGGCAGCCACTGCCGCCAGTATGCTAGGACAGCGTGCGTTTAGCATTCCAAGCACTAAATGGACGTAGACAGATGGCTGACGACCACCCTCACAACAGCTGACCTAGGGATTGCGACTCAAGAACATTTCGTCCAAAACCTACACATGCTGACGTCTATTGCTGGTGGTACCCCAGTCATTGCCGACGCCGACACGGGATTTGGATCGGTTCTTAATATTGTTCGTACCGTCCAGAGCTATGAGAAAGCTGGAGCTGCTGCACTGCATATCGAAGATCAAGTCATGTAAGCTTTCTGTCTGTGTTCCGACTCACTCATAGGCCGTCGTATGTGAGATCTAACTTATCCAGGCCGAAACGGTGCGGACATCTAGGAGGAAAGGAGGTGGTGTCCCGGGAGGAATGGAGAGCGCGGTTGAAGGCGGCAGTCTCTGCGCGCTCAGGCAAGCCCTCGGCTCCTTTGATCATTGCACGCACCGATTCTCTTCAAACGCACGGTTTGGATGAGGCAATTGAACGAATCCGGATCGCCGCAGACGTGGGCGTCGAAGTCGGATTCGTCGAAGCACTCTTGACCAAGGAGGACGCACTCCGCGCTATTCGAGAGCTCGCTCCTCTACCGCTTGTGCTGAATTTGCCCACATACGGCGCCACCCCGAATTTCACCAATGCTGAGGCAAAGGAGATGGGCTTCAAGATCACATGGCATCCCCTCGCGGGAGCTGTATCAGCGGTACACGCTCTTCGGAAGGCTTACGGAGAGGTCATGAACAAGGGCACAGACGTTGCAACCGCACAGGGAATGGGTCCTAAGGCGTTCTTTCAAGGTAGGTTACATTCTACTCTCTATGGTATCTCCAGATCAAGGTGGCTGACTTCCCCTTCAAAGTTATGGGCCTTGATGCCGCAATTGAATTCGAAAGCGAGATATCCGGAGGAAAGTTATACAGCAAGACCTGATACTGGAACGATTCCCGAGAGTAGAGATCCACCTCTGCAGGCTTCGACAACCATATCGCCTTGCTAAAAGTGCTTGAAACCTCTTCCCACATCATTAGTAGAACATGTGATCTGTTCTGTAAGCCCAAATTCCAACCTATCTCGCGAATTCGATGAGTAGGGTGTCGATCCCCACAGTTAGAAGGGGGACCGAATTCATATTGCAATATCAAGGGCCATATTCTCAGCGTTTGAATTCGTTCATCGAAGGCTAGAATTCCTCTCAACTTCTTTAAGATGCCGGAACGCACCTCAACAGCCCATTATCTCTAAAAGGGACCCCAGGTAGTTGGTTTATTATTTCCCCGCTGGGCGAAAAAGCCGCAGGTTTCTCGCTAGATTCTGGCACCCGGTGGGGTAAGAGCTGGACGATACTGCATTCCCTTAAATATCGCTACATCGACATCAGTCAAGCGGACCTCACCCATATACATCCAACAAAATTCTTGAGATTCGATGGCCCACCTCGTAGATGTGATAAAAGCATTTCTGGGGAAAATTTCTCCCACTACGCTTCTTCTCATTGTTACCATTCTAATTCTATGGCATATACTCAGCGCTCGGTATCTGACACCGCTACGAAAGATCCCAGGTCCGTGGCTAGCAAGCGTTACCAGATTATGGAAAGTCCACAAAACCCTGCAAGAGCATATGGAATGGGAAAACATCAGATTACATCAAAAATATGGTACGCTACGGGGAAACCGGTGTCTGCATTCTGCCGTTGCACCTACTAACGGGAAAAATCTAGGCCCAATTGTCCGAATCGCTCCCAACGAGGTGAGCATCGACGATCCTGAAGAGAGCCTCCGAATCATTTATGGCCCTGGGTCCCAGTATAAAAAGGTGCTCCAAATCCGCTGTGGTGCTTGCTCCCTTCTTATTCAAAGGCTAATGTTAGAATGTTCCCGTAGGCGCGCTGGTATGAAGCGTCTGATCCCCCAGACGCCTATTCTTTGTTCACCGATTCCAACATCCAGCGCCACGCCCACGATCGCCGAATGGTTTCCGCCGGTTTTTCCATGACTGCAGTTACAGAGATGGAAGATTTTATCAGCGATTGCGTGACTCTATTTGAGACTCGGTTGGGAGAGTCCGCAGACAAACGGGAGCCTATCGACCTGGCACACTGGCTGCAATGCTATGCATTTGACGTTATCGGGGAGATCACGGTACCTAATGAACTCTCTCAACTCCGCCTGCCTCATTTGCCACTAACATGGCTCAGTTTGCAAGGCGTTTCGGCTTCCTTGACAAAGGCGAGGATGTGGGAGATATCATGAAAACCTTGGATGGCTTTCTCTCCTTCTCTGCTAAAATGGGGACGATTCCCGAGCTACATAGGCCTTACACTACAGTGATGTCATGGCTTTTCCCGGGCAGCGACCCTTTCAGAAGTCTGAAAGAGGTATGTGATCTATACCCTGGCTGTCCATTCCAGCATCAACCACTCTCATATTCCTAACAGCGGTTTCGGTTCTGGCCACCCCTAAGGCACACGGGCTTTTACTGAAAGACCACTACAGTTCAGCAGAGTCAGCGTGGAGACTCGCGTAAAATGTGGCGCTCAGCACCCAGACTTCTTATCCCGGTTCATTGAAACCCACAACCAGAAGCCGACCGATTTTCCAATGAGTGAAGTCTACAAAATGTGCATGGTACTTGTGTATGTATCTCCTTTCTGAGGACTTAGGCACCTGGGCGCTCACAAGGGTCTCGCTAGGGGAGCTGGATCCGACACAACTGCGATCGCTTTGCGAGCGACCGTTTACTTTCTGTGCAAGAATCCTGATAAGCTTGCCAAGTTACGAAGCGAAATCGACGAGGCGGATCGAGCGGGCGGACTTTCGCCGGTCATTAAGTACAGCGAAGCGTTGAAGTTGCCGTATCTACAAGCAGTATTGAAGGAAGCGATGAGGTTGCATCCGTCGACCGGCTTTACTTTGGCGAGAGTAGTGCCAAAGGGCGGAACAGTGTTGCTGGGATATCCACTGCCAGAAGGAGTAAGTGACCAATTCCTGCATCCTGACTCTTTTGCTTTTCTTTGAAAGCACTATTCTTTTAGCTAATCTGACCCATTGTCGTAAGACCACTCTTGGTATCAATTCCTGGGTGGCACATCGCAACGAGAGTGTTTTCGGCGAAGACGTCGAATCATTCATCCCCGAACGATGGCTTGCATCAGAGGAATCAGCCAGGAAGATGGACCGTTATTTTCTCGAGGTAAAGTTCTGACTCTCCTTTGTGCTCGTTCCCGAGGATTGCAATTCTGAAAGCTGTGAATGCTGACCTCCTGTCAAAATCCAGTTTGGCCTGGGGTCACGCACGTGCCTGGGGAAAAATATCAGCCTTATGGAAATGTCCAAGGTGATACCGCAGATAATTCGCGCGTTTGATATTGAGCTCGTGAATCCTAAAAAGCCATGGAAGACCACGAACTGGTGGCTTGTGAAGCAAGCGGATATGGACTGCTACATAAAACGGAGAGTGAAAACTGAGGATTGATCAAAAGTGAAACAGAAAAATGGGATAAGACATGTTAAAGACCCAGGGAGAAGGAATAAAAGGAACTAAGAGTGGAAAATGGAAAGAAATATATTGATCCGGCTTCTCCAGAAAGCTATATATGGCATATTCCTTTTCCAAAATTCAAAACTTGCCTGGCAAAAACTTTTCGCCATTTTTCAGAGCCCATTCCTGATCATGCGCGAGGACCACCTCGAATGAGAAGTCATCGTCGGCGTCTCTTACCATGCTCCTCATATTGGCAATGTGCCTCGCTGTCGCGACATCATCCACATGGACGCTCTTCATTGAGCCATCAGCCTGTTGAAACTTGGCGATGGTGCACGTCCCGTCCAGCAACGACGGGAAGTGGCACGAATCACTCCCCAAAAGAATGAAACGTTGGGGACCAATGCGTGCGAGGCCGTTGATGTGCCCCTCGACGTGACCTGGCGCGCTGATGATGTAGAAGCTGCCGTCGCTGAAGATGTCAAGGGCATGAGGGAAACGTGCCAGCGGTTTCCACAGAGGAGTTCCGTCTTTGAGGAAAGTCTGGTCTGGGTCAGGCAACTCGGTCACCCGGCTTTGGTCTGATGGCAGCAAGGAAGGCAAGAACCAGGTCTCGTTCGGGTCGCCGTAGACTTCTGGCCTGAGCAGCTCCATCGTGCCATGGCCGACCACAAAGTGCGACTTGGGAAATTTGTCCGGATCGCCCGTATGGTCATAGTGGATGTGGCTCAGGATCACCAGGTCGATGTCGTCGGCCGAAACACCGCCATGCTCGAGTGACTCCCTCACGTCGCTTGGGACTTCGACCAGACGTGTCCCATCTGTCAGCCGTCTGGCGACCTTGGGAGGATAGTTGTGCACGTCCCGCCGAAGTCCGAGGTCGTAGACAATCATGATACCTGTTGGGGGATGACGGATGAAAAAGGCCAGGGATGGACAGCGATGGACAGCCTGCGGATCGTGAGGGTTGATGAACTCTCTCTCAGGTAGACCTATGTAGCCTGCGTCCAAAGCCGAGAGTTCGACGTAGCTTTGTCGAGGGCCATCTTGGGGGAATAATGGGGATGTGGAATTGCCACTAAGAGTTTCTGGGAGGACGTCTTTTGGGGGTCCTGAAGGAGATTTGGTGTCTTGAGTCGCACCGTTCTCCAAAATCCATTGAATGAAAGGCGGATTCCGCGTCCCTTTCGCTGGGGGTTGAGGTTGAGGTACCGCCATGGTTAATCTTAACTTTGGCTCGAAGCTCCTTCACTGACCTTTGCTTGTTCTCTCATCTCATGAGACAGAGATACTAATGCCCTATGTTCAAGAAGAAAAGGGGCAGCCGGTATTCGGTGTAGCCAAACAGCCCCAATCCGGCTTTCTTAGAGAGACTTTGACGCTCAGCGTCAAGTGCACTCCGGGCTCCACCTAGGTTAATCCAGATATCTTCAGAGCCGTGCCGTGGCGTCAGGTTCGCACCAGGCGAAAGGATCCCTCCGTTCCACACTACTTCTCCCTCCTCCATCCTCCATAGTTCCCCACTCCGGTTCAGCCTCAGTTGTCCGGGTCATTTTGAGCTGGGTCTGGATTATTCTGTATTAGACAGGAAGAGCTAGAATTTGCATCCGGTTTCCATATCCTTGTCTGCTTCATTAGCGTTTGCCCATCGTCGCTCATTGTGGCGCACCTGTTCCACCTACCATCGGCCACCTACCTTGGAGGTAGGTGGTATGGAGGCAGGAGCGCCAGGGGGCACATGCCTCTTAGCACATCCCAGTTAGATAGGCAGAGCAGAGCATCCACATAGTTGAATACAAGCAAGTATTGTACGCATTTCACGTTGAGGCCACCACACTCTTCAAAGACCGGCTCGACTCGTCCCTGCAACATCCATCGAAGGCCATTTGCATCTATCAAGTTGATTCGAACAAGAGGGGAATATAGCACAGACTCAACGCACCTGCACATAGCCTTTCACCGGGGATATATTTTACTGCCGGCTGACCTAAATCTTGCCACAGGCGTCAGACAAGCACCATGAAGGTTTGGGTTTTCGACACCAGAGTGTAGTGTGGGGAGCGCAACCTTGCCGCTTGTGAGACAGAGCCGAAACCAAAGTTCCCAGGACAAGTGAGATGGTCGGTCAACCAACACAATTCTTTTTTTCCCTTTCAGTAACGCTTCGGATCCTCATGTTCTCCATCCGGTCCAGGACTTTGGATATGATTTGCGGTTTCTGGGAATCGGGTGCTCGAAGTCAAACTCACCTGGTACATTTTCACTACGGTGCAGTAACATAATGCTTGTGCTCCGCGCTAGGTCAAATGCAGATAGTTGTCATGGTTGTGGGTTTGGGGACTCCGGATGGGGAGCAAAAGTGGAACAATCCGGGGCACAAGACTGAAGATTGGTGTTGGTTGGACTTCCTCCTCCTCCTCCACCTCCTTCTTCGGTGTGAGCATATAATCTTTGTAAGATACCGCCTCAATCATTCCCTGACACACTGCCAGCTCCTCCCTCTGCTATTTTCAAGAGCGTCAAATATACTAAATTCCTGCTCAGCTAGTGTCAGCAGGATGCAATCTACTGGACAAGTTACTGCAACTACTGCAGCTCTGGCGGAAAAGTCCACCGTCCAGCAAAATATCGAGACTCAACATATTGAGAAATCGCCAGTTGCCGTGGGTTCTATATGGCACCACCGCAAGGGCTTCGCTATCGCTTGTCTCGCGTGTTTGGCCACCACGCAGTATGGTAAGTTGTGGAACCGCCGATGGGCAACGAATGAGGAAGGGTCGTTTTAACCTGTCTCGGGGCCACAGGTATGGACTATGGCTTGATAGGTGGTCTGCAGGCCATGCCAGGCTTCCTCAAGGTATTCGGATACAAAGACCCTACCTCATCGATCGGCTGGGGAATCGACAGCACCGTCCAGCAATTGATCAACTCACTTATGACCGTCGGTGTGTATCGCCAGTGCCGGCTACATGGCTATTTGCAGCAGCCGACTGACGGGTGTATGGACAGGTGCATTTGCCGCGTGCCTCTGCATCGGACCGCTAGGCAAATTTATTGGACGCCCGGCGGCTTTATTCTTGGGCTGCATTTTTAACCATGTGGGTGGTAAGTGGGATCTTCAGCTGCATTTCTGAGGGACGGCAAACAAAAGCTGACTTTGGCGTCTAGCAATCCTCATGATGGCATCGACCAAATTCGCCGCCCTCTACGCCAGCCGAGTTGTCATTGGCCTCGCCAATGGTCTTTTCATGGTGCAAACACAGCTCTACATCCAAGAGACTTCGGTACCACAGATCCGCGGTGCTCTTCTCGGCATGTACCAAGTCTGCGTTGCATTTGGAAGTATCCTGGGCTCGATTGTCGATAACTACACTGCACCCCGCCCAGACCGGTCCGCCTACTTGATTCCCTGCGGCTGTCTGTTCATCATTCCAACATTCCTCATGTTTACCTTGCTATTTATGCCGGAATCCCCCCGTTGGCTAGTCGACCACGACCGCTATGATGAGGCTCGCAAGAGCCTGGTTAGGCTTCGGCCGTCCGACACCGCTGATCGCATGATCGACGCTGAGCTGAACGAGATGATTGAGGCCGTTCGCATCGAGCGCTCACTGGCAAAGGGCATCAGACTGGTAGACATGTTCCATGGCACCAATAAACGTCGTTCGATCCTCTCGATATGCCTGGTTCTCTCGCTCTCAGCCACCGGCAATCTCTTCTTCATCGTCTACGGTACATATTTCTTCGCTATTGCCGGCGAGAATAAACCCTTCGAGGAGACTGTGGGTATGAACTGTGCAGGTCTGGCTGGGGTTCTCATCTCGCTGTATCTGATCACCAAAATTGGAAGACGTGTTCTGCTGCTCTCCGGTGCAGCCGGCCAGGGTATTTGCATGCTCGTCATCGGCGCCACGTACAGTTCGGGCAACAACTCCCTCGCCGCCAACCGCTGTCTGGTCGCCTTTGTCATCCTCCACATCTTTCTCTATACCATGTGCACCGCACCATACCTGTACTTGGTGGCTGGAGAGATCCCCTCGAATAGATTGAGAAGTTTCACCCTCGGAATTGCCAACGCCGTCGGATATTTTGGAGCGTGGCTCATTTCCTTCACCGTTCCTTACTTCATCAACCCACAGGATCTCAACTGGGTAAGTCTTTCACGTCACTCAGCTCCTCTATGCAAGTCTTCACCGCACTGTATGATTGTATACTAACTTTATATATTTGTCACTTTACTAGGGTCCAAAATACTCTTGGATATGGTTCGGGTCCAACTTCGCCTACTTCATATTTATATTTTTCTTTATGCCCGAAACGAAAGACCGCACCTTGGAAGAGATTGATGAAATGTTTGAGAAACGTGTGCCGGCATGGAAATTCAAGAGTTATGTCTGCCTTGAGGTCAATGAAGCTAGGGCAGCTGGACCCGTCGCAGTGCAGCAGGCCGAGGAGAAGCCGCGGGTGAGTCAGGATGAAGCAGTGGTTTGAAATCACTGGTCTTTGAGAGGAGGGGCACTAAGAGGTGACTTTGTCATTTGCACCTGACTAGAATGCTCAATTATTCTGTGTGTACGCGCTGCCAGAGAGTACGACATGTTCTTGATGATGTGAATATCTGGTTTCGATTGGGGCTAATTTGCTCAAACGAGAGGATAACAGCGCACAAAGCCTCTTCATGCGCTCGTCAGTACGGCGGAAATTATAAGGCAATAACCATGAATTGTATTGCTATCGATAGCCATTTAGTCCTCCGGCCTCGAAACGTCCATAGAGTTCATCATGTCATCTTCCATGGTTTTACTTTTCTTTCCCCCTTTGGTTTTCAACGTCAGTGGCAGGAAGTAAGGCTGGTTTCGTGAAGTTAGTGATCTTTGAATCCCATGACTCCTACCCCGCCAGTGCAGGAAGTAGATTTAAGAGTGTGGTGGGGTGAAGCCAACCTCCGCTCGCTAGAGTTTCCCACTCCTTTTTGCTTTAACTGCCCTACCCCACCCGACCCCACACCCAACCACGCGAAGGATCGGTGTTTCCCTCCGCTACCGTTACGACTCCGATCTCCAGAATTGACAGCATGCTACGGTACATGGACATCTATTCGAAAAAAGATTTTGTGCTGCCGACCAGACTTCTAATTGGACCCCAAACCGAGTAGTTGGACCTAGCAAGAGGGGGTTTCTGAGCGTGAGTGTTTCGGGCTTCTTGGCCGGAAGTCGTGAGCCAGACGGAGTCCTGCCGGCCCATGTGCGACGGAAATGAACAGCAGAACAAATAGAAGCCCTAACAATCTCCTTAGTCATCTTCGCAGGAGATAAAACGGCGATGGATTGGTGAGTACTATCGAACGTTTTGGATCATATCTTAGCTCTCCCTCGCTTCCCGCCCGGAGGGCAAGTGAATCGAGAGACCACCCGCATATTTCATAAAAGGAAGGAGCCGGATCATGTGAAGCCGTGTTTGAGCTGGTCTACTTTGTACTCACCGCAAACAGTGTGGTCGAGATTTTTACAGTTGTTTTTGTAAGAAAGTGCTTTTCACCTCCCGAGTTTCAGAACCGAGAAATCAGCGACACGTTCAAGTGAAAACGCGCGGGCCGAATTGGAGCTCCCGACTCTCCCCCCCCCCCCCCTTCTCCTTGTCTTTACAGTCGAAGAGACCGAAACTTAAGATAAAATTCTTCGAAGAGAAGGCCCGGAGCAATGGAGGACTGGGAAATCGAGCCAGATTCTCACATCCCACCTATTAAGATCTACCCAGACAAATACGCCGGACAGGTGGTGATGATCACAGGAGCGGCCCAGGGGATCGGAGAAGTGACCTCGAAACTCTTTGCACGTCAGGGCGCCACGGTGGTCATGGTGGATCTTCAAGAAGACAAACTCAAGCAAGTCGCCGTGGAGATCGAGGCAGGCCAATATGATGCCAAAGCAGAAGGCCCTCCAGCGGGAAAAGGGAAAGCAGAAATCCGGGCCTGCAACGTCGCCGACGAAGCCAGCGTCGACTTGATGGTGGACGACGTGATCCGGACCCATGGCAAGATTGACGTCCTGATCCAGCTCGCCGCCGTGTACCCTTTCATCCCGATCGTGGGCCACTCCAGCGACGATTTCAAGAGGGTCATGGACGTCAACGTCACGGCGTGTTTCTACCTGACAAAGGCCGTGCTGCCACACATGCAAAAGACAGGGTACGGACGACTCATAAATACCTCGTCGGGAACCTTGCAACTCCCTGACCCGGGCCTGTTGGCGTATGTGACGTCGAAGTCCGCAATTGTCGGCTTTACACGCTCCATTGCCATCGAAGCCGGATCCGGGGTGACGGCGAATGTCATCTTGCCCGGGTTGATTAGGACGCCTGCGGTGTGGAAGCTCCATGGCCGGAAAGACGGGTCGCATCCATTATTTGATCGGTTGCTGCAGAAGCAATGCGTGAAACGTCACGGGAGGCCGGATGATATTGCACATACGATCAATTTCATTGCCAGCCCAGAGGCACAGTTTATTACAGGTCAGATATTCGATTGCGGTGGTGGAGCGACGTTCCACTGAGTCTTATGGGCATAGCTAAGCAACCGGAGCGCCGGTCGACCCTTGGTAGTTGGCGCGTTCGGAACAAAACTGAAAGTCTCCAGTATTTACAGGCTGATGAAGATGATTAAATTATACTTGTTAGGAAAAGTCAAAGTCCAAATCTGTCATCAAGTGGTCCAAAAATAGATCCGCTGTCACCGGTTCCAAATTCTCGGTCCCGTCAAAGTTGGTCTCAGACCAGTTGTGATGATTATGGTCGAGCCCATGGTCAAATTCATTCCCGTTCATACCGAAGGGCAGCCCTATATTGTCGCCCTCCCGCATTGCTCCGGACACCATCAATCCTGCTTCGTGGTCTGCTTCGGCCGTCTCATTCATTGTTGGACCTCGTGGCGACCGTTTCCTCGTCTCCGTTCGTGTTCGTAAAGATTCGAAATAACTTCGACATCGGGTCACAACGCCATTGACATCACCCAGGAACCGCAGATAGTCCAAGGCGCCATCGACGGCAGAGGTCACGGCTTGGATGTCGACGTGTTGGGTAATCGTGGCTCTCATCTGGACGGCAAAGAGGATTCCGAGGGAGGTGAACAAGACTGTCATATCCTTTGTTAGTAGCTTGCGCTTGAACGAATGTTCTCAATTAGGAGGCTTCTCTGAATCTTTTTGGGAGGGTCCGGAGAGTGTTGGCGGCGTAGTCAATCTATGTTCGAGGTTCGAAACGAATGGTAGGAACTCACACTGTACATTGTACCACCATGGTCCCATGTTCTGGGCTGCAGCCGAGTTCTTCACCATCTCAGTGATATCACACGCGCACTGGGTACATGTGCGGATACTTCCCATGACCACCGTTCGCAGGAAATCGTCTTCGAGCGAGTCGATTCGTTTACGGTCACACTGGATCAAGGACAGAAGGTTTTGCCTGTGCGTCATGAGTCTCGTGTGCAGGTAGCGGACCCGAAGCATGCTCTGCTGTCTCCGGATCTTCTCGCTTTGATGGACTGCCCCGAATTTCAGGTGATCGGGCAGGTTGTCAAGCCATGACCGGAGTTTGCCTTCTTGTTCCATCACGATTGCCAGCTGAACGATGAAGTGGATTGGATCCAAAGCAGCCGTCTCTGCGGCATTTGCGTTGCGGCCCGGAAGGGACCAAGGCGTGTCTTTGGAAATGGAAACAAGGATTGATTCGGCGATATGGGCCAGCTGGACCATGGAATTGAAAAATTGAGACGAACAAGGAATTCCGCTGTCCAGGGCCAATTCCATTATGCCTGTTTCGGTAATTTGCTCGTCTTGTACTACAGCTGGCGCCTCGACCGGTAGGGACTCAATGTTGATAGAGGGAGGACGGCCGCACTTCAGACTGGTAAATCTGCGAGCGAGAGGGTCAGCCCAAAGAATCTTCGCCACTCCTGAAGGGACTGCTGATGTACCGATCCAGGGAATAGATACCCCACCATATGCGCCTTCGAATCTCTTTCTCGATGGGACTAATGCGCCATGATCCAGGGTCCATGTGCAACCCGAGGCTCTGGGCCACGCGATACAGAGTCCCTATGCTTGTCCAGACTCTCTGGTACTGCATATTGCTCTGCAGGTGGCAGCTCAGCAGTAGTAGTGCCTGGACGACTTCGAGCGTAGTTGTGTCGAAGCAGACAGAGAGGATTAATTCTGTGGCATGCTGCAGAAAGGACTGGCTCATTGTATAAGTTTCGGCAAGGGAGAGGTCCAAGTAGTCGGATCCGAATGCAAAAATGAGATTCAGCGTGGCCTGCCAAGGGACATCGATGTCCCGTTGCCCACCGCTGTAGGTCTCGTTGAGGCGCTGCATGAAGCTTGGCCGATGAACAAAAGGATACAGAGGGTAGACATGCTCAAAGAATAGGTCCACGAGTTGACTGGCAAGGGCAACTGGCGGAAGATCGAAATTGTCGGGCTGTAGCTCGCTTAGACCCCGAATCACGCTGTTGATTCTGCTCTTCTTGCGGAAAACGTCGGACCTTGAGCCTGGATCTGCAGGCTTGCTGGCCAACCCCATGGCATAAGGCGTAAGCCCGAAATCACCAAGAGCGGTGTGCATGGTTGCCTGGTCTGCAAAGGACACGGTCAGCTCTACTGTCGCTTGTCCGCATGATACACAAAAGCTGCACACCCACCATGCTCCACGATATCGAGAGATTCGGCTTGAATTTGCAGGTCTTCGTCGCTATCATAGCTGCGTGATGGAATTGATCCGCCATAGCTATCATCGGATGCCAGAGCAGGCAACACGTTGCCTTCCAAGTCTCCTGAAGTCACATTTCCTGGAAAAAGCTGGGGAGCCGCTTTCTCGCCGTCCAGGCCCTGGGATGTCGACAAATCGGGCTCGAGGCTTGAGCGCTCTTCGTCGACTGTGACGAGACCTCTGACATGCTTCAGCAACGTCGTCTCGCGAGTGAATTCGTACGCATTACCTCTTCTCAGCCGCCGACTGTCTTCGTCTTTGGGTGGCGTATGAGCATGGCAAATTCCTCTTGCTACAATAGTCGCACTTGGGCTGTGCTCCATCGCAGCGGCTCTTACGCTTCCTGCACCCTAGACATGCTCGACCGGACTGCAATCTCTCGCTGGCCGAGCCGCTTCGGGCTTTCGACAGTGATTCGATCGTGGTGGACACCCTTTCCATTGTCGGGAAGAAGTCATCAGGGCGGAGGTATCTACCTTTCTTGGAACAAGATGAGCGTCCAGATCGCCAGGGGGGAAATAGCACAATAAATGGGACTAATCTGCCGAGGCTCAACGTTCACCAATCGTCCTGTGCTGCATTGGGTAGTTTGGGGTTCAGAGAACAACTGGCAACGTCTTCCCCCGCTCCCCACTCCCCGCTTCCTACTTGCCCCTCCGCAACCCCCTAACATTGTCGGTCGTTCTTTACAGCCATTCCGACTGGTTACTCTTGATAGAGCTATGACCCTATCATTTTAGAGGCGGTAAAGTCATGTCGCTTAAACCCTTTTGGAGGCCAGAATTCAACATTTGTTTTCAATGATCCTGCATAAGCAGCCACTCAACTTATCCTTTTGGCTGTCGAAGCTAATCATCCTACATCATGCTATCACCTATAGGACGCCATGGGGCCATCACAGCGACATTCCACAACTTCCTCCACTAGCCTGCTAGCGTTCGGATCAAATCATGTCGCCGCCACCAACTTCTCACTTTCTTTCCAAAGAAGTACATAGGAATGGAAGTAGCGTAGATTCCCATAACAACGGCACCCTGGACGTCAAAATACTTGGTCGGACCCACTTTGGCGATCCAGTTGTTGACGTAGTAGGACAGAGAGTAGAAGAAGAAATTCTTGAAGATCATGGCTATGATCAGCATCTCAGTGGACTCTTCTCTGTACGCATCAACCACGTATGAGTTCATGACAGCACCAGCAACATTGACCGAAAACCCGTAGATGCCGTGGAGGACACTGCCGACGTAGTAACCTTGGCCCGCTTCGATCATGGACCCAAAGAGAAAGAGGCCGATGGCGCCTGTCACAACCGCGATCACAATAGGGTAGATGCGGAATTCGGGCTCATAGATGCCGCCGTTCTTGCGGGCGACCCAACGGGAAAGAGGGTCCGATGTCATCACCATGAAGACGACGCCGAGGGTGCCACCGATAAAAGGGCCAGTGTAGAGATAGCCCACCGCAGCTGCATCGAGGTTGTAGGGCGGGACACTCCAGATTTGCGCCAACACGAACGATGTCGCTACCCACCAGGCCGAGCTGATCCCTTGCGTGAGGCAGCCCCAAACGGTGGCAGGGTTGATTAGGACAATGAAGGGGTCAAGGATGAGCTTGAGTGGACTAGTTTTGGTGAAGCGCCCGTTGTAAATGGTGAGCTTTTGAAGCCACGTCTTCGGCTGAGGCAGTTCTTGAGCGCCAGCCTCTACATTCTCCACCTGGGCGTCGGCTCGCTTAGTACGATTCACCTCCCCAAGCTCCTGGACATTCTCGGTGGATGTGGTGTCGGTATTGTAGATCGAGCTGCGGTTGTATACCGTTTCAGGCAGGAAAAAGAAAGCCAGAATCAACTGGAGGCACAGGAATGGTTGAGCGATATGGAAGATGTAGCGCCAGCCCAAATGGTCGTAGATGACACCCGAAATAATCGGCGCAAGGACCGCGATCGTGTTCGACACCAGCTGAAACAGAGTCGTACGTGATCCGCGTTGGTGGACAAAGTACATATCTCCTACAAAAGCGACGATCAAACTCTCGTAAGCAGCGACACTGAATCCTTGAAGAAGACGAGCGCTAAGGATGGTGTTGTAATTGTGTGCACACTCGCCTACCAGGGTGCCGATAACGCCCAGAAGCGAGGCAAGCAAGAATTGCGGCCGCTTTCCCCAGAGACGAGACATTGCTGAGACGAAGATACCAAAAGATCCGACGCAGAGGAGACAGTAGCCCGTCAATTGGGCAATAGCCTTGAGGCTGGTATCGAATTCGACAGACATGGCATAGGTCGCGGGCGTGAGAATGGGTACCAAAACGCCAGGAAAGAGCAGTGTGCCGAGGAGCGCAACGAATAGGCAGAGATCCTTCCGCCATAGAGGCCAGTTCTAGACGAGATTGTAAGTTAGCTGAATATTATGAAAACAACAGGAAGAGTCCACGTACTAGGGGGTCATTTGGGTCCTCGGATGGCTGAGGGACTAGGACAATGTGAGAGTACTTGCCCGTACCGTGCTTCAGGCTCGCGGTATAGGTTGGTTGCAACCCATCGTTCAACAGGGCTGTTCCAGGAACGTGTTCGAGCTTGTAGTCTTCAAGGATCCCGAAGCCGCCCATGGTGTCCAATACTTATGCCAAGGTAAATGAGATATAAGTTGGGTCTCACAAAATATAGCCCTGAGTTAACAGATCCAACAGGTAGGGACTCCTGGGGGCTTAAATGTTTGAGACAGCTGAGGGCGAAGAAAGCTCTAACCCCAGTGGTGAATAAACCCCGGTTTTTGTGGAACTGCAGTGGAGGTCCTAGGCTTCCTGGGACCAAACAAAAAGAAGAGAAGAGACAGAGTGCTGTGTTGGATACTTACCCCAACCTCCTCTATGTCCGTGTCCCAAAAGCCTTTCTGATTAAGCTGTGCTCCCAGGTGGTGGGGTCCTGTCCCCGAGGAACCAAACACTGGGCCTCTGGCGACGGTTCGGAAGTTGGTCGGGTATTCACGATTGGTGAGACTACCAGATTGATGGCGAAGATCACTCCTGCAGAAAGATTGCAGACCAATGTGTCTCTCCACGGCAGACACTGAAGAGGCACATAGGAAGCTGTGGAAACATCTAGCGGTCTGAGTGAATCAATTAGAATCACAGTCGGGGTGCGGGTCCCTGGTCAGAGAGGGACCATATTGCAACAGAGGAAATGAACTGTTATAGGGAGAAATAGGATTTACACGATATACAGTCAGTCGCGTCACGTTTCCGTCATGGTGGCTCCGATAATTGCTACAAGCCCCTGGTCTATTCTCCCTCGCCTATACTACCTCCTCTCTACCGAACAGGACAGCCTTTGGAAACAACAAGCCAGCACAATGCCTGGCAAGTGTGCTCCCCGGTTTACAGCTTGGCGCGCAGCATAGGCTTCGTCCAAGCCTTTAACTTCTTGCCGCTGAAGTCCCCCGTCCTATGTGTCTGGCCTGGGGGTGGGATATTGCGTGGAACATACTCACACCCGGTCTCCACGGCGTGTGCTGCGGTTTCGAATTCCTCGTAGGCATAATCTTGCGGATCGTGGCCAAAGAGCCAATCCGGTCGAGGCATTTCCAGCAGCTTAGGGTTCTTTTTGACTGCTTCCCAGTCCGTCTTGTGCCAGGCATCGCGTGTTTCAATTCCGATCCGTTGAGCAAGCGTGGCCCGAGCATACCTGAGATAGTAAGCAAAGAGTGAAGAGCACACGTCATTTGTGAGATGGATGCTTACCGAATCTTCTCCGACGTCCGGAGAGCGAGAGGAACCCGATTCCTCCCAGCTAGCTCAAGACAAATGGCAACCGTGGCAGCGTCCTCGACAGCCTGACCGGCACCTTGGCCTGAGGTGGGAAGGAAGGGATGAGCCGAGTCGCCAACGAGTATCATCCTGCCATGTCTCGACACCCATCCCGGGAGGGGATCCCTCCAGAGTAGCTTGTAGTCTACCAGCTGATCTGGTGGCGTCTTACTGATGACCTTGGCCACCTTAGGGTCCCAGCCTTCTACCACCTTAAGCGCTTCTTCGATCTTGCCCGGGAATGACCATGACTCAGCAATGTCGTACGTGTCTTTATGGGTACAAGTCCAAACGATATCCCTGCAACCTCTCCCAGTCCCTATGATACAATGAACGTCAGGTCCGATATAGGTTTCCATTTTGTCGTGGGGCCCTTCGACGAGCCAGGCCAGATCAGGGTCTTGGGACGCGTTTTCGCCATTGAACCATGCTCGATAGATAGCATATCCCGTGGAATGAGGAGAGTCGGGCTGTCCGATGATGAACCCGCGGGCTTTGGAGTGCACACCGTCGCAGGCGAGCACACAGTCGGCCGAATACCGCTTTCCATCAACGACGACACCGGCTTCCTTTTCGCTCTCGAAGTACTGGGACACCCGTTTACCTAGGTGCACCTCGATTCCCAGCTCAATAACATGGGAGTAGAAAATCACCGCCAGATCGCCTCGATTCGCAGCATAGCCGGAACCGGCAGAATATCCTAGCATCGTGTGGCTCCAGAGACGCTCGCCTTGGGTGGTATAGATGTTCATGCGAGCATAATCTGACAAGAAAGGCTCGATGCGTTCGTGGACCTTGCCGTCGCCCCATTTTGAGATGATCTGGGCGGCATTACCCGTAATGCCAATGACATCGCCTGAGAACTAACACGTGAGTTGGTCTGAACACTTCCTTGCATATGTTCCAACACCCAAAGGACGTGGTATACTCACCTAAAGCTTTGATTTCGGCTGCCTGTTCAAAGACGATGACCTTGTGTCCTTTGCGATGACATTCCACAGCAGCGACAGCACCTGCATATCCGAGTCCAATGATTATCACCGTAATCCCGCTCGAATTGGGTCTAGCGACACCGTCTGGTCCAGTACCTCTATACATATTCTACATTCAACTGCAGCAGAAGTCACGATTCTGACAAGGTCTCAAGCTCTGAAACACAGTGTCTTATCCCAGATACGAGTCGCTCACAACTGCAGAACACATAGGTCTTAACGTCTACACATCTCACTCTATCCCGATATGGCTATAGAGGTCCTCCGGCAAAGTCAAGGGTTCTACGGAGCCGTAATGGGGGTTACGGTGGGGAAACGGGCAGAGCACCATCCGACGTCCCTTTGCCGCTAGATCACAGGAGAGATGCGCGCCCACCAACCATACAGACATCCGTATTTCCGTCCGGAACAGAACCTGTCGTATGAAAAGAGCAAGGTCCGATCAGATGCTAACTTATTGTAACAATTTTCGTTGACGAAAGAACTCTTGCAAACCCACCATTGCGGTTTCTACCACAGCCGAGACGTTCTGTCGCCAAGTATCATCTCCATTCCCAGCTTTCCACCCAAACGATGTCGTTACTGCGTAATCTACTCGTTAATATCTCCAAACAGGGCGACATCCTTCAACAATTTCTCGGTGATGACATAGGCCACCTATTCGAGCCTACACCATGGAAGACATATGACAAGGAACTTCCACCCCGAGGGGCCTGGGAAGCTTCTCAAAAGATCATAGCGGACTGTGAAGCACTAATCGCCTTGCTCACGCCCACCAAAATCAAACTGGTGACCGAATGTGTCGCGAACAACAGTACCGTTGCGTTGGGAGTGGCGGCGGACTTCAAAATCGCAGACAAAATCATCGAAAGTGGAGGAGAATCGTCGCTCAGCCACCTCGCCAAGGTGTGCAATACGGATGAGCACAAATTGGGCTCGGTCATGCATCTTCTTTGTCATCGCCATATCTTTGTTGAAGTTGCCCCGGATGTCTTCCGTAACAATCGGCACAGCTACGAGTTGCGGTCTGAGACGGGGGCGACTGGAATGATGCTGATAGAGACCGAAGAGGGCTATCAAGCGGGCCTCGGCTGGGTCCCTGCTATGAAAGACCCGATCAATAAGCACGACATTGATCCGGGGAAAGGCGCGTTTGCAAAGGCCTTTGGTGTTGACATCGGCGTCGTCCCATGGCTGAGCACCCTCGAGGGCTCGAAGAGAATGGAAAAATGGGCAACTGGTGTCCCGTGGTTGAGCAGCATCACCGTTGTGGCGACCCGGACAGACTTACCCTGGGATTCTTACGGGGCTACTCTCTGTGATGTCGGGTGTGGCCCGGGGAGCGTGTCTTTGGACGTAAAGAAGAAGTATCCTCACCTCAACATCGTTTGTCAAGACCTCGAGCCCATGATCCCTGTCATAAAAGAAGTATGTCTTGCCACGTCCCTTGTTAGCCCGATATAGGAATTCGACTGACGGATCGACCAGACATTCAAAGGCTATGAAGACGAGATTGCGGCTGGTCGGATCAAGATCGAAGCCCACGACTATTTCACCCCGCAAACAACCGTCGCTGATGTCTACTGGCTTCGTGGTGTCGTGTAAGTGGCTCTCCACCTTCCCAACTACCCAACACTGATGAATTTCTGTGTAGTCGTGACTACGAAGACGACGTCTCAGCCGAGATCCTGCGTCAATTAATCCCGGCCCTTAAGAAGAATCCTAGGGCTCGAGTCCTCGTGAATGAACTTATTGTCCCCAGACTGATCACACCACCAAGTACAGCCAATGCTCCAGCCTCTCAACACCTCCCGGCAGAACAATCGGCATACCCAAGTACCTGCCACGTGATGTCGCTAAGCACCATGGTGTTGATGGGTGGCAAGGAGAGGACATTTTCAGACATTGTGAAGATCGGGGAGAAAGCGGGACTGCGTTTCCGCCGATTCCACCAATTCAGGATGTTTACTGGAACGGTCGAATTCGAGTTGGCCCGAGAGACCGGAAGGAGGGGGTCACATCTGTGAGTAAAGGAACTCGAAGCGGGTTTCTTGGAGACTTTTGCTGGAAAACACGTATTGGGCTGTTATGAGGTGGAAAACCGGTTCAATTGAGTCTAAAAAGGATGGGAGAGTAATCCCAACCATACAGGCTAGGGATTTGCCACTCAGGGGCTAAATAGGGGTAAAAGGATTATGCCAACAACTTTTCCTGCCTACAGTATGAGGTACTTTGATAGAGAGCTATCCACTTCAAGGAATCATTTCTGCCCAAGTCGGCTGTCGCCCAACTGCAGAGCCTTCCCCTGCAGAATTCGGGCCATATCCATTGAACATGGTATAGGGTCACGAAACTCGTCGGATTGAAGTTTGGAATGAGCAGGCAAACCACAAGGCCATGGAACAACGAGGGAGGCCGTGGAGCTATGATACCTCGGAGGATGTGACGCTCATCACGACTTTTTCCGGATCCTTGTAAGATACCAGTCATTGCAGGAGCAAGTCCAGAAGCCGCGGGAAGTGTCAGATGATTTGGCTATCTGCGACAGACACAAGCTACCCCACCTCCCTCCAGTCCAGAGCTTCTCCCCCACCCCATAGTCCAATCCCGTGTCTACATTTCGCTCACTACTCCGTACAGCACAACCGGTAACATGGTGATTGCAGCTTGGTTATTACCATTCTTGGGGGACTCTTGCCGGCGAGTCGAGCGGGATGGACTTCGCCATTTTTATCCTTAAACCCTCTCAGTAACACTTTCACGAGGAGCCTCATTTTGTACCACTGCTAAAGAGCTCCATCACTAAATCAGCAGGGAAGAGGTAGTGATAATGGCAACCCCATTAGAAGTTAGTATACCCACACTCCATGTTGGAGACCAAGCCTGTGCCTTTTAACATCGACTAACAGTCCCAAAAAATGGAAAACAATAGGACAAGACGAGAGATACACATGTTCTCATAGTTGGCGCAGGCCCGGTTGGCATGATGTGTGCCTCAAAGCTATCTCATGCCGGGATAAAAGTCACGGTAATAGAGTTGGTAAGCACTCCTCTCATCGATTCCATCATCTTGATTGCCCTACTCGACCAGAGGCGGCTTCAATAGCTGATCTCTTTTGGAGATGAAGATTTGTTTAACCTTTCGAGAAACACGATAGGACAAGGAAATCCCACCGATTCCCAAGGCTTTGACTTATACGTAAGTTTCCCTTCGTTATCCAGGATGGGGGCAGGAGCTCGTACTGGTTTAAATCTTCTACTGTTTTTGAAAATGGAAAGAAGAAAGAATATGTCGAAGCGAGCGGAGAACTGACATATTGAGTTCCCTCGAAGACAGTGCGCCCGTTCTCTCAGATCTGCACAAACTCGGCGTGCTTGAAGAAGTGAAGAAGGTATGTTTCGCCGACGAACGAGCCGTTTGGGGATGGCGGAAGCTAGGAGGCGAGCTTTTAGCCGAGATGCATTGGGGATTGCTGTCGAAACGGAACGACCCACGACTGGTCAAACCCTACACGCTGCAATGCGGACAGCACCTCCTGGCGAAAGTGCTGACCGAATATTGCTCACACTTCCCCACCACAACGGTCCTCTTCGACCATGCACTCGTGGGGCTGACTCAGGATGAATCTTCCGTAGCGGCCCAAGTGTCTCCGTCGGGCGGCGAACCATTTGAGATCAAAGCTGACTGGGTTCTGGGTTGCGACGGCGGACGGTCGGCGACGAGGAAATTCATCGGCCAATCCCTCGAGGGGTTCTCCTGGCCTGAGAGCTTTGTCGCCATGAACATCCATTTCCCCTTCCCCAAGTATGGCTGGGGGGCGGCGAACTTCTTGATTGGAGGGAAGGAGTGGGCAGTTTCTGGCCGCACAGGACCGAGCAGTGACCCTTGGAGAGTGGCGTATGCGACCGACGCAGGCAAATCTGATGAGCAGATCCTCGAGGAGGCGCCTTCACGCCTCAAGAAGATCCTGCCTGGAGACGATCCTTACGAGATCGTCAACTGTTCTCAATACCGAGTACACCAGCGCCAAGTCAATGAATACAAAGTTGGGCGCGTGATATTGGCCGGAGACGCGGCGCACCTGAACAACCCCATCGGCGGATTTGGATTGACCACGGGCATGACAGACGCAGGATGCATCTCCGACGCTCTGATACTGGTCATCCAAGGTAAAGCGCCTGAAACACTGCTGCAGAGAGCGTGCGAGAAACGAAAGGAGGTCTTCGCCACTGTGAGCAACCCGGGTTCTCAACGTTTTAAGCGCCTGGCAGAGCAGGACCCTGACAACATGTCGGAGGAGGACAAGGAGTTCTTTCACCGTATCAACACAGACGAGGAATTCCAGGTTGCTACTCTTCTTGGGGTTATGCGCTTGTATACGCCCGTAGAAGACTTGTTGGAGGACGAGCTCGCTGACAAGGAAATGGCCGTTTAGGGAATATAGCAATCTAGCCGTTCAAGCAATTAAAAGTGGATGTTCTTTGAACTCAAAAGGATCTCGATAGAGGAGGCCATGTTTTGAAACCCAACGGGGGAAATTTTCTTACCCCTTCGTAAGATGACACCCCGTCTAAACCCCTTCTAAGGTAGGGAGGGAATCTTGTCCGTTCAATTTACACTTTTTCACCTGCAAGGAAGTTTTTTCTCAATAATCTCAATTTTGATTGCATCTTAGCCAAAGTGAACTATGTGAAACTAGTAATTCAGCTATCCCCGTCTGTCTATAATGCAATCAGATTGGGAAGGTGGTGTTCTTCCATTCCCTCAGGATCAGTTCTTTATGTGCCTCACTCCGAACGCTGACCTTAGCGGTGAATGGTGGATCGTTGGCCTTCCCCGGAGGGGGAGTAAGCGGGATATGGTATGTGTCGATCGGATCGTCCTGAGGTAGTAGGTGCTTTTAGTGAGGCAAGTTTCAACAAAGCAATGGGTCGCAAATCAACCGGACTCCGGACATATATAGCATATGACACGAGCGACGGAAGGGGTTGCTCGCATCGGAGAAACAAGAAATAGGAGATGCCGCTGTAATGAAAGAGGGAGTTTCTTACCTTGTCTTCTTCCACGTCAAAGCAATAAATAAATCGACTGAAGAATATGAACATTGAATTTTGCGCCACTTTTACTCCGGCACACGTCCTCCGCCCGGCCCCGTAGCCATAATGGCCCTTGGTAGGATTCCAGAGATCATCGTTCATGAATCGATCAGGATCGAATTGTTCCGGGTTGGTATATTCCTCAGGGTTCAAGGAAATGGCCCAGTTGTTGATGGTCACGACGGTTCCAGCAGGGAAACGATAGCCTTCATATTCGTCGTCACGAATTAGAGCGTGAGGAAACCCGGTAGGGTTCACATTTGGCCGCCATCTCATCGTCTCTTTGATGATCGCCTGGATGTAAGGGAGGTTCGGCACATCGTCAAAGGTAGGCAGTCTTTTCGCATTTGCGCCACAAACGGCGTCGAGCTCCCGACGGGCTTTCACTACCCAAGTGTTTGGGTCACTCGCCATGGCCGCTATCAACATATTGAGTTGATTCTTGGTCGTGTCACTTCCGGCCTCGATTAGGCCTCCCGTGGTAAAAAGTTTCTGATCGAAGTCGAATTTAGGGCCGCCCTCGGCGTCGCTCTCTTGATAGAACTTGGTCGCGAAGCATTCCGCCTGTGTCCCATTCTTGATATTTTCCTGCATCATGTCATAGTACCCTTTGAATGCATCGCGGGTGAACCGATACAGCTGCTCCCCATAGAGTCGCCACCACTGTAGCGGCTTCGGCAGGCGACGGAGTTGAGGATAATCGTCGACGAGCCACGTGCCAGGAACGTTGTTTCGCAAAAACTCATCTTGAGCGTCAGAAACTTTCTGGAAGATATCAGAGCGTCCATTTTGTCGAACGCCATACACCATGCCAATGGTGACTAGCGGCAACTCGTGTCAGTGTATTGGGCTCCTGACAATTGGCAAAATATGGAATGGAATAGAGTCTCACAGGAAGCTGCGAACCGGATCGTGTGTAGGTACCACTCATCTGGCTTCTGGAGCATTTCGTACATCGCTTGACGAGATTCCATATCTTCCAAGATCCGGTAAGAGTCTGCCGACCGTCCGGTCAAGAGTATATGCATGACTTTGCGCAATTCTCGCCATTCTGGCCCATAAGGCTGCAGTACCAATCGCTTCATTCTCGATATGACCTCTCCCACCATGGCAAAAACAGGACGGCTCGAGTAGATTGACGATCGCTTTTCCAACAAGTCTTCCACCACACGAGACGAGTTCAGAAATACCCAGTCGACCCCTCCGAGGCGAAGGTACATCATTTCCGTTCCTAATTGATCGGCTGGGGTTGGAGACTTTCGTCAATATACCATACGCCCTGGTGGGTGCAGCAGGGAGATGGACAGTTGGCCGAACTCACCCCATTCTTTCGCTTTATCGCCATGAAATTGCTTGGGGAAAACCCAGGAATGGCCCACAACAGGCAGTCTGCCAGGCGGACTGGGAGGGAACTTGTATCTCCGATGCCATTGTACCGCCCTCAGCGTGGAGATACTGACGATGAGAGCAAATATGACGACGATTACCAGAGCTGTTGGTTGCAAGCCTTGAACATATTGAGTCGAGATGTTGATCGCCATCATAGCTTGCTAGCAGAGAACGAAAATGCCTTTGGTCAGAAAGCTCACTGGGTTGTTTCTTTCGACGTCGGATCTCAGCAAGGGATAAATCACCCTTGGGAGAGCATTTCGCTCACCAAGACTTACTGTTGAACGGCCAACCCACCCAATAATGTTCGGAGCTGAGGTTCCAGTGCTCGACAGAATCCCATACTCCCGGGGAAAGACTTCATCCTCTTTGGCAACATCTTCTGACAATCGGCGCACTCCTTGGTAGAGGCGGCAAGCTCCAAGATGGTGGGCGCTCCCCTTCTCCGCCCAGCATCACCTCTATGCTAAAGGCGAGCAATACACTCCGTGACCCCGCCACCCCGCCACCAGCCCCACGGTGGGGAATGCTCGCCATGATTTCTCCGCCTGATAAAATTCCTCGGGAAACCACCACGACCTCTCTTACTCCACCAACACCGCGTCGAGCAAAACTCTCACTCTTCCCTGGTTGCCCGTTCACCTGCAGCCGTAGCAGCATATTGTCACCTAGCCCGGAGGCTTCAAATCGCCATGCTCTCTGCAATGAGATGGATTCCGAAGTCTGCAGCGTTTCCGACTATCGAGGTCAGGCCTCGCGCCCCTCGCGCACTCTGTCAAGACTCACGAACTCCATCGTCCAGTGGCCGAGCCGCCTCGAGTCATGCCACACAAGTAACCCCTCCGGCCAATGCCACGGTCGTTCCAGGTCCAACGGTGGCAGGAAATTGGTCAAACCCTGCGTTGGAGTCAAGGGACGGTCAAGGGCGTCCAGGATCCCCCGCTGAGGAACATCAGCACGGAGGAACTTCACCCAGCGTTCGAGCTGTGAGGCCGAAGCGACGCCACCGATGTTCGATTTGTCCACAAACCTTCTCTCGCGCTGAGCACTTGATTCGCCATGAAAGATCCCGTGAGTCCTCGGTAGTCGCGGAGTAGGAAAGTTTTCACGCCAATACCTGACGGTACTCTACAGACCGCAAAGAACGACCCTTCTTTTGTCCTCACTGCGAAGCAACGTTTACGAGAAAAGATCTTATCAAGCGGCACATCGCACGCAAGCACCCTGAACTCATCCCAGCCTCCGACCGTGATGTCACTGCAGGCCCATCGCTTTTGTCACGTCAAACCGAAGTTGAGGGCAACGTCGAGAGCCCAAACCCATCCCCGGCAGGAACTTCACTGTCGCAGCCCCATACAGTAACACAGCCATCCTCAAAACCATCCGCCTTGACTTCAGTGGGCGGCGAGACTACCACCCAGACAGTCCTGCAATGGGGCCAACAACGACAGGATCGCAATGCCGAGATCAGTACACCTGCTCCTCCAAGAGATTCCGTGGATAGGATGTCGAAGCCTCCACGACTTGAGGACTCCTTGGATGAAATGTATTTCGATTCGATTCCTTCTATCCCCATCCAACCGAGCCTTTCCAGGGAGAGCCCGTCCGGCTCTCCAACGCTAGGCGGTCTGGACCTCGGATTGGCCATGCCCAACCACGATGTAGGGCCTAACGCCGACTTCCAGCCCGCAGCCCCGTATTCTGGGCCGCAAGTGGACATGCTTCCTTTCACTGAAACTGAAATGCCAGGATTTGGGCCTAGTGAGTCGAGTCCACTCTCCGATGTTCGCCTGCAGCAGTTACATGTCTCTGCCGTCTTCACCGTCACCGAAGCCAAACGCATGGAGCTCATCCATGAAGTCAAACATGTGTTTGCATCGGTAAGGCCCCCGTCTTGCCTCACTTGTACTTGCTTACATTCAACGGATCAGGCGAACGTCGACACGGATATGACAATGCCTTCTAGGATAGCCTTGGAGCGCTATATAATGGCCTTTTTTGACTCGTTCCTCATCCATGTACCATGCATACATATCCCCACCTGGCAACCTCAGACGACTCATCCTTCGTTATTGTTAGCAGTTGCCGCCATCGGAGCAAATTACCACGATGAACAAGACGTTGCCTTACAGCTTTATCGTGCTGCACGACTGTCCATCAACAACTATGTATGATGACCCCCGCTCTCGGCCCAGCCCGTATGCTCGCTTCTGACATGACGAAAAGCTCCAAGATTTGCCTTTCACAACAACAAGTCGACCGCCCTGGGTGATCCAATCTCTGTTTCTCATCATGGCGTTTGGAAGTTGGAGTGGGAGATTTGATACTGTCCAAGAAGCGATAACATATCAGGCTACCATCGGTCACGTAAGAACCATCTCTTACGCATTCCTGGCGTAGGCTATCTCACTCATTGAACACCTTACAGATTGTTCGCTCGGCACCTCATCCAACAAATCGCTGGATTGACGGAAGCCAGGATCTCCAAGAGTCGTGGAAAGAGTGGGTTAAAATTGAAACTGCTAAACGGCGAGTATCGCTCAGCCTCTCCCGTCCTAGCACCGTATCTGACTTTCATCTCCCTTAGGACGAATTTCGTGGTCTATTGTTTCTTCAACACCTTGACCATTGCTTATAATGTCCCGCCTTGCCTGGTCAATTCCGAGATTGACATGGACCTCCCCTGCGGAGAAGTTGAGTGGCTCGCAGGAGAAGCACACGCTTGGGATGAGAGCAGAAAACGAAGCCCACCGACACCGTCTTTCGCAGAGGCGTTCCGCTGCCTCGTTTCCCCGTCCGAACCACAGGCTTTGCCCTGCAACAGCTTCGGAAAGTATATCATGCTGAGCGCAATCCTGCAGAACATCTGGCATCTTCGACAGGCGTGCATCGGCCAGGAAGAGTCCGCGGGGCTGGCCCGAATTGCATATTCGCTGCAAAAGTGGCAAGCCATAGGCGACTCTAGCAAGACGCCATTGGCGTCTCTACGCATGACGGATGGGGTCAAATTTTTCAATTCGGTCGCAATGTTACCTGTTGCGTATACTGGACTCTGCGTGAGCTCCGGGCCCATCAGAGCCGCTTCACGGACCCAAGACCCCAGAACCATTGCAACAGCGATCGCCACGAAATATGACGACGTTCAGAGGTCTAAGACCTCGACAACAGCGGCAATGTGTGCCATTCGCTCGTTTAATATACTCGTGAGGATTGGAATCAACCTCATAGGACGGACGGGTTCCTTGATGTGGAGTGTGCAATTACATCTTCACTCATTCGAATGCTGTAAGGATTCCTCCTTCCCTCGTTTCTCTGTTTAGATGCCCGCAAGTCATCCATTTCTGACTTGGTGTTGTGTTGACATTTTTATCAAGGTATATTTCTCAGCAAGTGGCTCGAGACACTCCATCGAGCGTCGACCAATAGCCGTTGGACCAGCGAAGAAAGACGAGTCGAAAGCATAGTTCTAGAAACGTTAGCCGAAGTGAAGTTGCCGGCCAATTTGGCTGATCGTCCAATTTATGCTCGCGTCATTTATGCTTGGGCTCTGATGTTTGATGGGCCTGTCCTGTGGGGAATAGTTCCGGTACTGGGTAAGGCGCTGCGATTGTATGCGGATGGCTTACGATACTCGATTTGAGACGGTGGCCGACATATCCTTCTTAGCTTCTCCTTTTCTCTCTGCTGTCAGAGGGAATCTGATCCAGCTTGAGACTCTGGAGCTGTTGAACAGCCTCCAGCAATAAGACGAGTGGCCCGAGTAATTTCGAAGCCTTTTCGTCATCCAGGGCACAGGTCACTTAGACTTCAACCCTCAGATCGGGACAGTTTGCACAAGAGGCTTATAGGACACAATGTCGCGTTCAGACATCTAGTGACGTAGATCGTATAGATCAATTTTGTCCGCCCAAAGCCCAGTCCCCAGGGAAGCTACCTCCGAACTAACCTATAGCCTAGGCACAAGCAGATAGCTCTCAGCGGCAAATTCCTTACCCAGATGAATATTGTGCATGCCCTTATTAAAAACAGGTTCCTGGTGCTTAACATGTGGATTGTCCCACTCCGGAAGTGCCATCGTCTTGCCGGATATCTGAAGCCTTAAACCCTCGCCCTTGTCATAGACCACTCCCATCGGCCAGATGCCAATATTGAGCTCGACCACGGTTCCGAGAGGCTCGACGTATTGCGTTCGGAGATGGGGGTGGAAAGGCCAGTAATCGGTGGATTTTTCTGGGTCCATCTCGCGGTGCGAAGCTCGGAGGATACCGGTGGGACCCAGGTATTTGACTGGATTGACGTTCTTTACATCCTTGACGCTCTTTACCTCCGGTGGTAGTTCGTGTAGTGGGACGTTGGACTGCTCCATAAGCTCTCCATCGACTGAAAGCTTACGCAGCATCACGTAAATATCGAGGTCGTTATGCTCCTTGCACGATACGAAGATTCTGAGCTTCGAGAATCCAGCCAGAGCTGTCTTTTCGGTGAATGTGTAGTCATAGGTGAGCATATCACGAGTCGTGGAGTTGTAGGAATGAACGGCTGTCTGGTTCGCGTCTGACATATCAGGCTTGTCTGCCAACTTGCGATCTTGAGTCAGAAATAGCTTGGTGTACTTGGTCCGGGGAATAGGATAGTCGGTCTCAATCTGATCGTAAACAGGGTACTGAAGATCTCAGCATCAGCATATATCCGCTGCCAAGTTAGAGGAACATACCTTGTCTCCATAGCGGTACATCGAAACGCGTACTTTAGGAGTTGCTTCCCAGCCGTTTTCCTCGCCCTTCAGATACCTTGCAAAAAACCGGTCTAGATCCTCGACGGACGAGTGATGGTAGTCTTCGTACCATTCTTGATGTGGGTGGAACCGGAGCCACTTTTTGTCGGTATTCGTATCTCGCCACGCTCTCACGGCCCCTACTGTATGTAGCATCGAGGAGTACGAACCGAGGAAGTAGGATGGAATGTTGATTTTGGAAAAATCAACACGTTTGTTCTCCCAGTACTTGTCAAAAAATTCATGCTGAAAGGCCATCGTTGGCACATCCTCTTGCCTGCCTCGACCTAGTCTTGTGAGCCCATCATTTCTTTCAAATGTGTCGCATTAAGAGTTATCAAGGGATAGATTTCGACGAACCTGGTACGCCCAAGAGAACCCACTTCAGGAAGGGAGCCCAAGGAATCCCACCGCGCCTCATCATGTCACGGTACAGGTCACTGTAGCCTTCCCAGGGAGCAATTGCTTTCAGATGGGGTGGCTGGGTCATCGCAGCCCAGTACTGCGAGATCCCTAGCCACGAATTTCCCGCCATTCCCACTGCACCGTTGCACCAATCCAGCTTTGCTGCAAATTCAATGATATCATAACAATCCTCACCTAGACCAGGGCATGTTAGTAGCCAGCACGAGACTCGACACTTTGCAGAAGCCCTCCGGAGGTTTGTCTGAACTGCTCCTTGACAAAAGGCGAGGTGAGGATACACACCGTCTTTAGGACCGAAGAAATACAAATCACCCTCTGAATCGAATGACCCTCTTGCATTAGGGTCCAAGATCGCGTAACCACGTTGGCACCACTCATTGGGGTCGGGACTATGGGTGTTATCAGCCAGGATCACACGAGCTGCAGAAGCTGGGTTTCGCTTGCTGACCCTTCAAATTTCTCTAGACCACTCTGGCGGCTTTTTGGCACTCCCACTCGATACGGAACAACATCCATCAGGTTTGCTCCTGCACCTCCCTTACCGTAGGGTGAGTACGCCACAATAACAGGAATCTTCTTCGCTTCAGTGTCCGCTGGACGATAGATATCGGTATAGATTTTGACGCCATCCCGCAGGATAATTTCGACATCTTTTTCAAAGATGATGTCGAGTTCGAGTGGTTTGTTCTCTGGCGTCTTCTGCCAACCTCGGGGGAGAGTCTTCTTCTCGTACCCCAAGGGTATATAAGTCACTGGAGGATCTCTCTCTGGCTCATCGGGCGGTAGGGCATCCTGCCATGCCCAATCGATCCCTAAATTGGGAATTTTGCCCTTGGCGTATCCGGGCCACGATTTATCGATCGGCATGCTGATCTATGTTGAGAAAGCGAAGATGGTGGTGTTGCCAGTCGGAATTTTCAACACCATTGACTGCGAGAGAACATAGTATTTGTATCTGGCATAGGCCGAGACGTGGTATTGGCTTACCCCAACAACATAGTCTTATCGCAGATGCGGTCGATCCGTGTGGGGTAATCAAGGGTGAAAACTTCGCATTCTCTCCGGGTTACTACTCGCCGAACTTAATGACAGCCACTTGGGAATGGGCTGATGCTTACCGCCCCGCCCCCCCCTCCACCGATTCCCTCCTCCCATCCTCACCACCTACTTCACCCATTCCTTAGCTGGCGAGTCTTTCGTCAGTTCGTGGTACTGTAGGTATAACGCTTGTGCTAGGTGCCGAATCAACTTCCAGACCTTCCCAGTCCGTGAACGTCTTGATAAAGACACGAGTAACATTCAACTAGACTTCTACTATGGAACACAACTACCTACAATCGTTCATATCGCCAATGAGCAACTCAACTGAGGTTTCATTTCTGGAGGCAAGTTGAAAGGTGAATGGCCCTACGACTTCGGCTGCCAAAAAGGACTTAAAGTGCGACCGGCGCGGTCCAAATCAATTTCAGCAACAGTACATGTGATTCAGTAAATGGACAGAGAAAAATATTTGACAGATGTTTGTCATTCCTCCCTTCCAAAAAAAAAAAGGGAAGCCGCAATTGTCACGTACAAAAGCCGGTTGCTGTTCTCAACAAGTTTGCCATGTCCTGATAGATTGTCCCGATTCAACAAAGCGAAGGACTTCCAGTAGATAGCCTATCCCCTGAATAGCTTGAACAATTTTTGCACACAATAGGAAGACCGCACATAAGACGATTTCCCTCCGACGAGTGGTCGCTGCCGTTCGAAGTTAGGACTAATTTAACAGGGTAGAGAAAGAAGCATACCTAGAATTGCTCTCCTCCACAGGTCGAGGCAGTGAGGCTTCATCTTCCAACCATATCAGATATTCTGTCGCCTGGTTCCGTATCCTTTGACGGCCCTCCAGAGGTATACCTGCAAGGTCGATCGAAAAGCTAGGCAGGATCCCACGGCCTTCCTCCAGCATCTGGTAGCGTGTCATGTACGCCCAAAGACACAATGCTCAGCATTGAAATTGTTCTCTCACTGTTGCTGCGGCATATCACACCGTCAGATGAACAAGGCCTTCGACAGTGCCTACCGACCGCTTCAGCCGCTCATGCATTGCCTGATCAATCGTGGTCCCTTGAAGTCTGGTTTGTAACCGCCGACGTGGCGCCGAGGAGATGGGGCTCCAACTGTGCGTTCTGTGCTGCCAAAAGTCTGATGAACAGCTCGTCATCGACCGTCCTTCCGCCATAAATGCTTCGAATGCGACCAATTTCTGCTTCGAGCGCTCTTCTTTCCTCTTCGATGGTCATATTGCAAGTTCTGTCTTCTTTCAATTTTGCTAGATTGGGCTTCCATAGTTTTGCAAACTTACCCGGGGGCATACTTTCGTCTGGCACTAGTCTCCGAAGATTCATTGAAATAGGCTGGTGGGCTTACAGGGACTGTGCAGGTCCGGGACTAATGAATCAAAATAGATAGAAGGAAAGAAAGAAAGAAGAAAAAGGGGAGTCCACTGGGTTAGTTCGGACCTCCCTCCTAGTATGGGTGGCTCCGAGCACTGAAGGGGATGTAGTAAGATGTGAATGGCCCCTTGCAAGTTTATGTGCCGGGGTTAATTGGATATACGATAAGTGCACCTAGAAACCAGGCCTTGAAACGGAGTGCGCCTTTTTGTGAACATCTTTTCACGGTAAGGTCTATGGGAAGTGCATGGGCCACGAAGGATGGAATCGTCATGTTCTTGAAGCCCAAAAAACCCCCTTAGCCTTCGAGGGGAACGGAAAGACATGACTGTGGTGGACGGCGAAAATTGTCTATGCTTCATTGTGGTGATTGTTTTCAGGATCTCGGACCCCGACCATCACAAAGATCCCAATATTTTGCAACTGCCAGGAAGCCAAAGCCTGCATAACACTTTGAAACATATACCCATGGTGTCAAGTTGAGCCTTGTGAGGGATTTACACGAACAAGATCAGCAACTGTCTCCCTTCGATATCTCTACTATAGCTTCAACAGATCTTGATGGACCCGCTCCCGCACTTTCCTGCAGGCACTAGAAGACTTAAAGGATTTTGCGTTTCGGATCATACTGCAAAAAGGGAAACGATCATCAGCTCATTCTACTATGTGGCATGTGGATAACGTCAATGAATGGCCCTCCTTCCCTCTCTGGCAGCCTTTGGTCCGGATGAACTTTGTCCACGTTCTTCAAGCATATGATCTTTGGCCTCGACGGAAATCTTTCTGCAGGAACGCGATTTTCCCACGTCGCGAATTTCAGTGCCAGCGAAGCAGACCTGCAGTGTCGCGACACGAAGTGGTGCCACCAACAACATTGGACCACCATTGATGTAGGCTCCATTCAATGCGCGTGATTTTGTGTCTTCGGTGCCGTATTAGTAACAGGTTCGTTTTTGAAGTTTGTCACGACGCATCACCGTCTCTTCCAAATTTTGCAAGTACTTCACCGCGTGTCACCTACGATGAAGGCTTGCACCAAGTCGGCAAACTTCTGTGAGATGCCATTTGTTGCAAGGCGGCGAAGGGTCGATTCCAGAACACAAAGGGTGCTAGCTTTCATCTCGGCTAGACCCGCTCTAAGTATATGCTTCAGGTCCGAAACTGCTTTAATCAAGACACCGGATTGCGGGTTCGACGTGTAGCGCGCCTCGCAAATCAGCCGAACTTCCGGTAAAGCCATCAGATGCTCAGAGATATCTTGGTCTAAAACGGCCGACGAAAGAGCCGAAGAGTCCTCAAAATATCGTAGATAGTGTATGTAGCAACACCAACAAAGTGCGGCGGAGAACAGGATTCTCGGTGTATACATGGCTGCTGCGGCATCGACAACTGCCGCAGCTACCAAGTGCTGCATGCACAGAGCGTGAAGAAGGCATCTCTTCGATGCTGGGGAGGAAATCCATGATTTGACGTACTCTAAGGTCACAGGTGCGATGTTGGTACCTTCCCGGCCCACGGCCAGCTCCAAAAGGTCAAAGTCGGTGGTAAGAGCCATAAAGGTATGATGCCACAGCGGTATTAGGCAGAAAGGAAGTTCTTTTCGCTCGAGGCTGCGACATCGTGGTCCCTGACAACAATTTCTGGAAGAGGTAAACCACTCTGCAAGGTCAGTCTCAAGCTCTGCGACTCTGCGTGAGGACAGGTCTTTCAAAGACCGATATTCGCAGATTGTGCCGCCTGTGCCAGAGAGTGTGGCCCAAGATATCAACATCGAGCTTTCCGATGCGTTGTATGTCCAGTGGTCCTGATCCTGAAAACGTGCCTCTGGATGCAAACGGCGATTGGGCTGATGCACTTGAGTATAAGGTTGCCTTGATTCTCCGTATGACCTATACCTCAACGCCCATGTTGCGGCATCTGGTGCTTGAAACAGATCCGGAGGAGCAAGTGTAGGCAAATGTTGGGACTTGTGCCGAAATATCGGTTCTTGCCCATAAAGAGCGGCAATCTCAGCATCGTGAATGTGCAAGATTATTGCTGCCCTGTGAGTGTGGCGTTAACAGGTCATATATGTATATCACACCTAAGAGCATCTCCAACCAGTGCTTACCGTTTCATTTCTTCATGAGCGGCCCATCTTGTCCACGCGTTTTCCACCTGTTCTGCCGAAAGTCCATCAGGGAGGTCAAAGTGGGTTGTCTGTTGGAACAATCTCGCATGCCGCGCAATCTTGAAGGAGTCAGCCAGCTTGTGGCAACATGGCGTTTGGGGACTGGTACAGAAATAAGCCCACCATGGTAGGCAGCTGCTATTGTACGATGGGCGGGATCAGCTGACAATAGTGCAAACGTTTGACCTATCGTCGAGGTTTTGATGACATTTCTCGTCAGATGTGGCTTTTCCAAGAGTTCTCTCTCCCAAGCCCCGCCATTTCCCACCTTGTTAACGCCTTCAAAGAGCATCGCTCCCATGCGTGTGGCCGTGTCGGAATGTAGTGTCATAGTTCCAGCAGCGCAGATCATGAGGACCAACATCACATTGTCTGAGCGTGCTCTGAAGGTCGGCACGTGTATGAGAGGTATTCCAAGGTTGAAGCGGGTGAAGAATAAATGTATACAGAGATTCTGCCAGATTCATCAACAAAAATGATAGGTGTAAGAAAGAGGTGACTTGCCAAAACATCAATCGACGGCAACGGTTCGAAATGGAGCCGTGACCGAAGTTCGTCGACCATGTTGGTACGATATACCTCGTCAATGTCTCTTGCCACTTCCCTCGCAGGCCCCTCGTTGTCGACACCGGGGTCATCGATGGGCCGCCGAGTTTTAATGTACCATATCTGGCTCAGGTCCAGCCTCCATGTCCGCACTTTGCTGCTCTTCCTCGCTATGGAAGAAGACGGCGGCCTAGAATGCGTTCGCCGAGCAGAACTGCGTAGTCTATTCCAGGCTAAACCGTCGTTGCCAACGTCGAACATGTCCACAAAAGTATCATCCAACAGCCAATTGGAGGCATCGAAGGGAGAAAATGGATTGGTGATGACTGCACGACTTGTTTCAGGATCTTGAACGTTCGTAGCTTGAATTTGGAGGGGGATACCATCGGACAAGCCTAGATCAACCGACGTGGTAGCTGATCCGTAGTCGAAGACTTGGCCGTCAGCCCAAGGCCTGGGGCCTGTGGGAGGAGAGTGTGAATCTTCGATGCCATTGTTGCGTTGAACCGCTCCAGAAGATGTTGAAGCGACATCCTCTGGACCATTACTTCCAATTGAGTCGACAGTGACACCGGCGGGTTCGAAGTCGACTTCCTGTGGTGCTCTCTGTGAGAAAAAAGGGCCGCGCGCGGACGTTTCGTGGATCAGTTGCGATGGTGAGGAGACTTGGTTGTTCTCATGTATATCATTTGCGCTGGTCGCCGAAGGTGACCTTTCATCCTGCTGTCTGAGCCTGTGTGTTTTGACGTGGCGCGACAACGTGTCGCTGACTCATTAGATTACGTCTAAGCATCAGTCAGGCACTTACCGACGCGAGTAGAATTTTCCACATATGTTGCACCCGAAGGGTCGTTCGTTTGTGTGTGATCGAACGTGGCGATTGTAATGGTCGGTCTTGTGGAATTCCCTCGAGCAGTATGGACAATATCGTTTCCTTGCGGTCGTCGGTATCCCAAGCGGAGGGTCCGCGGAACAGTCGACTTCCGGGGGATCTGGAAGGAAAGTTGACATTGATCTCTCTGTGTTCGCTGCAGCGCATCGAGTTGCATACATGGAACGGAAGGAATGTTGCCTCTGGACAAAGACTTCCACAATTTCAGGTCTGCTGAGTCAGCCACAATTCATGCCATTCTACGCACGCCTGAGGCCTGACTAGCAACAACCCTACCCGGGATAGTTTTAATGCCACTGCACAGCCCGTCAGGAAATGACTTTGAAGGCCATCTCCATCTAGCGCAGTCCGAGGTCGCGATCAACGGGGCCAGCAGCCCACCACCCTCCTGGTGGAGAACAGAGGGCGTTGGTGGTGGGCTGCTGCGCGGCGGGGCAGCTAAAGTACGCATGCCAACCAATCTGAGGGCATCAATGAAACTATGCTCGTAACAATGACAAGATAGATCGGGTATACGTCGTGCCGGGTAAGGCTCGGTGCTGCATGTCTGCGGGGCTTCTCTGTCGAGGCCAGTGCAAAGGAGGCAGACCTTGAGTTCGAACCTCAACGGAGCACCCGACTGTCACACGCACCATTTTATTCTTATCATCCTCTCGCCCTGCCTAACCCTTGAACGGCGATCTTGATTGGAAATGGCAGCGATATCTCTGAAACTGGCTGACGGGACCTGGTTAGATGGGCGAGAGTATCTGGCATCAAATCCTGTCTTCCAGCTGTCCTCCGAGTCGGTGCCGCTGTTGGTACTGGTGCATGGCGGCTCCTACGACTGTGACTTCTTCGACATCGACGAAAAACTCAGTGTGCGACAATGGGCTGAAAGACTCGGGGTGCCAACAGTAGCGCTCAATCGTCCGGGCTATGGGAAGACCCCTGCGGTGATCAACAGCCGCGACAGCGGCGGCACAGAGACCTATATCCAACGCCACGGTCGCTGGTTGAACGAGCTCGCTCTCCCCGCAATTTGGAATCATTACTCGTCCACTCTGCCTGTGTCGTCAATCGTACTTTACGGCTCGTCCGTGGGTGGCGCTGTATGCACCGTTGCAGCAGGGCTGTGGGGCAGAGACTCATCGCCGCGCTACAAGATGGCCGGCCTTGCCCTGTCAGCCATGGGCGCCACTCCGAATGCTGGACCGCTTAAGGACTTCTACGGGCCTCTCATGGGGAGCACCGAACCTCTTGTTCTGCCCCGAGAGGTCCAAGAAAGTCTGGCGGCCGGGGAGATGGCAAGCCTGTTTGATCAGTCCATTTTCGGGACCAACAAGGGCCAGCATGCCACATCCGGCGAAGAGCTGTACGACATCAACATCGAATGGCCGACATACTGGCGCTCGTATGCCGCCAACATTCGAGTGCAAGTTCTGTACACACTGGGAGAGATTGACAGGCTCTGGCATGTGAGCCCGACCAAAATACACGAGTTTTCGAGCGCATTTCCAAATTCCCCTTGGGTTGAGAGCAGACTGTTAATCAATGCGCCACATGTTCCGGAATTCTCTCGACAATGTTCTGGTTTTCTGCTGCGGGTGTTTGGTTTCGCTTTGGAATGTGCAACCTGCTTGACCATTCAGGAGAGTAAGCAGGGAAATAGAAATTCTGTGTGATGGAATATGACTCTCAAGGGAAGAAAATATTGGGTGCGATCTAAGGAGTCAGCCCGATCAGTAGACTATAGATTCGAGAATCCTCAAATTCCAAGCTCATTTTGTCGGTGTGATCAGCATGACATTCGTTCGCAGTGAATACTGAGAGCATAACGAGCGAGGTGCTAAGAGTTGTTGAAGTTACACGTACGACGTTTTGGTTGTCGACGCGGTGATGCTCGATGATGGAAAGAGAATGTAATCCACATAGTCACTTGGATCATTTGCGTGAACTTCTCAAAGTCCTAGAAAATGAGTCCTAATAGCGTCGAGGCGGAATGGTTCCTATTGTAGGATTGACTACACCCGTGCCAAAATGGACGAATCAGGGCTTTGTCTCTCACTATTCCTATTGGGGTCATATGACCTCCGGCACGCATTCCACCTTGGGATGGGCTGCCCACCTACTTCTACTGCACCTGACGCAACTCTCCCCCCTCTCCTTCTGAGATACCTCAGAGATAGCCCAACACTGCACACACGCCATTAAGGCAATTGAGTCAATACGACTCCTAGACCATGGTGGCCTCTTTCCTTTTGTTCTACTCTTCGCTCCGCTCCGATCCCAACAATTCCGCACCTGAGCAGTTACAACGATCTTGAAAGCCCAGCGGGACTGTACAAACCCTCTATTCGGTCGCACAAGACCCTCGAATGGTTGGCTAGAAACGAACACTAGCCACACCCGAGTCGCCCTGATGCATCTCTAAATCTTGCGACACATTCCCGTACTTGACTCTCAGCGTGTCGATGAAATAGTTGGTCCTCCCCCGCCATGGCCCCTTGCTTCCAGCCGTTGGCATATTGCTGGTTGCTGACAGAACGTAGGTGGACTGCAGCGCTAGCAATGGCCTGGCCACTACAGAGTCGTCGCGGGGTATGCGAGGGACGAGACTGGTGATCCTGTGTCTTCGCATGCCCTTTACAAGGCGGTAAAGCAGAAAGGCCGTAACGTCAGCCCCAAGTGTCCATGAAGCCATGGTATAGCCTATGATTAGTACCGTATTAGGTAAATCTTGCAGCATGGCGTTGTGCCATATGTATTTGCCACCAATACAATACTTTTGTCCATCCACTGTCAAGTCGATTCCACCTGCCCATTGTAGTTTTAGACCGGTTGCAGTAACGATGATATCGGCGCCGATCTTGCCTTTATTTTTGAGAATAATGCCATCTGCAACAACTTCCTCGATAGTATCGGTCACAACTTTTGTCCGGCCATCCCGAATGGCCTTATAAAAATCGCCGTCCGGAGCAAAACAGACACGCTGGTCAAAAGGGTTATACCGAGGGCTGAAATCTGGATCGACAGGGTAGTTCTCTGGTAGCTGTTTTGCGGCGCTTCTTTGAATTGCCTTCCTGGACGTCGTGGGAAAGAGCAGGCTGAAGTAGTAAAACAGTAAGGGTAAGACCATGAACTGCATTCGCTTGAGTAGAAAGAGTGTCCGCGAGGGTAGATAAGTCTGCCGCCAATTGACAGAGCCAGAGTTGGGTAACGATAGGATATAGGACGGACTGCGTTGCAGCATTGTGACGCTAGAAGCTGTCTGCGCCATGGCCGGAACGAGAGTGATAGCTGTCGCACCGCTGCCAATACAGACCACCTTTAACCCTAGAAGGGCATTGTATTGAAAGCAGTTCCACAGGACAAAAAAGGGCGTTTATTTTCCCCTTACCTGTATAGTCAAAGTCTTTTGGCCAGAATTGGGGGTGGACGACACGGCCCTTGAAGTTACCCAGCCCTGGAATCACTGTCGTCAATGCTTGCTGGTAATCATAATACCCCGTGCCGAGAACTAGGAATCTGGCTGAAGCCCGTTTAATTCCTGATTCAGATTTCACCGTCAACTGCCACATCTGAGATTTGCTTGACCAGTTCGCGCTCTTGACGCAGCAGCCGAATTGAATATGAGGCTCGATACCTTCGGCGGTAGCCGACGCCCTCATGTATTGCAAGATCGACTTCACACTGACGATTGGTTTATTCGCAAGCCACGGTCGCCACGAAAACTCAAAGGTGAATAAATCTGAATCCGAACGTAGCCCGGGATACTTGAAAAAGTCCCATGTTCCACCAATTGCGTCTCGCGCCTCGAAGACGGTGTAAGTGGTGCCAGGAAGCTCGGACTGAATGCGATAGGCAGTGTTGATGCCTGATATTCCCGCCCCTACAATGACGACGTCGAAAATGTCGATGTGTTGATCGAGTTGCTTATTGTGCTTTGTATCAGCTGCGTCCTTCATGGTTTCCGCCCCAAGCTTTTGAAGGGATCGTGATCGTCTTCTGCGAGATTGTCGGTGAAGACCGAAGGGCAGTATAGTCCAGCAGAGTTGATCTTACAAGTAAATAAAGGCAGCCTCGCGGACAACCAGGTCCTGTGCACATGACTGCAACTCCGAGACAGCCCCGACCTGGCTTCCATCACAGAGAAAAACCAGCGAAGGTGGTGGGCGGGACGTGGAGCGGTGGGCGGAGCGGCGGTGGGAAATCCTAAATGGAGACATTCCCCTCCTTCCCCGGTTCTGGGCTCCTTCTCCCTGACAGACGAAGTCGCCAGTAGACTTGATCTCTTCTCGAGGCCTTCAAATAGGGGGTTGCCTCTGGATTACTCCGACCCTTTTACCCATCCAGTGTCACAAGCAAGATGGAAAAACCTGAGGTCACGGAGTCCGGCGTCTCCAAGCACGTCGAGCAAGCTTGTTCTGTCCCGGAGCAGGAATCGAAAACGAGCAAAACGACATGGCCCACTCTCACGGATGAGGCTGCTCACGCTCTCAACAATCAGAAAAGCACCAAGGCAATGCTACTATTCTCGATTTGGATCGCCTTCGCAGCCTGGATGGTGAACTTCGACCTGGGCTACCAGGGCGCAGTCTTGATTATGCCATCATACAACAGGGCCTTTGGACGCTGCGCACCAGTCCCTCACCCAGCGACTGGAGCAACCATGGAGCTATGTTCGCTCTCTGCCCTCCAGCAATCACTGATCAGCCTACAAACACTTTTCTATGCGGTTGGAGCCGCAACTGCCGGACCGGTGGGAACATGGCTGGGCCGAAGACATACCATACAGGTAGCATGTGCGTTATGCATCATTTCTGCCGCTGGCATGTCAGGTACTGCCGGGAGTTTTCTGGACTACATGGTGTGTAAATGTATTGGTGGTGTGGGTATCGGTCAGCTCCAAGCGGTGGCCATCGTGTACGGTTCTGAATGTACGGCCGCTAATAAGCGTGGCCTGCTCCTCGGTCTCTACAACGCTGGTTTGTCTTTAGGGAATGTCACGGCGGCCGCTGTCACCGCCGGGACGTCTAAACTCGCACCGAATTCGAACTGGCAGTGGAGAACACCTATTCTTTGCCAAATTCCCCTTGGTCTTATCCTCGCAACCGGCACGCTCTTGTTCCATGAATCACCAAGATGGTTGATGATTAAGGGGAAAGAAGAGCCGGCGAGGGCCTCCTTTGCGGCATACCTACAATCAGCTCCGGATTCTGACATTGTAACGGCACAAATCATCGACGTTCAGCGTCATATCAACATTGAACGATCGAGCCTTACAACATCTTCGTGGACTGAGATATACGGCCCGGAAAATATTCGCAGGACCCTTACGTCTGCCTTGATCCTAATTGGTATAGCTATTACAGGTATTCAGTTTGTTGGATACTATGCAGCATTGTTTTTAAGCGGAGTCGGAATCAGCAATCCCTATGTCATTAACGTGACTCTTGGATTATGTATCTTTGCCGGCACTTTTCCAGGACCCTTCGCGACTGAATATCTTGGCAGACGACTTTCAATGCTCATCGGCTATGGCGCTATGGCCTCCTTCATGGTCATATTTTCATCGGTCAGTACTGGCCTCGGACCAACTAATCCGACTGCAAAAACCGTCGTGGTGGTGTTTTTGTGTCTCTGGGCATTTGTGTTTGGAGCTCTCATTGGACCCTGTGTATGGCTGGCATCGGCAGAAGTGCATAGCGTGCGTCTGCGGACCTACGGACAAGCTAGCACTACGGCACTATACAATATCTTCGCCTTTGGAGCCACCTTCTGGACGCCATACATGCTGAGTCCAGATTACGGAAACATGGGGGCTAATGTTGGGTACTTCTATGCCGCTGTCACGTTTGTCTGGCTTGTGCTCGTGTTCTTCTTGGTACCGGAAACTGCCAAGTTGACTCTGGAACAGATTGACGATCTGTTTGAACCAGGCCAACGCGCGTGGAAAACTTCTCTGTCCAGAAACCAGAATTCTCTCATTTCAAACTAGCGGGCGACGCGCCAGCTGTGGAAGAAGACTCCCGCGATCAGAGATGTGGTAGGCGGAACACAGTGTTGTTGTTATAGCGGTGCACGCTGGCGTTGTGTCGGCGGGTGTGACCTATCGGTCTCTGCGTTGAAGATGGATTTGAGAACCGTGCCTTGGAGCCGGCCAAAGAAGTGCAGACTACACGTGACTCACAAGCCTCAGCATAATTGGATAGTGTTTTGTAGGTTTAGCTAGCTAGCCTGCAAATGCTGTCCACGACTGCGCCCTAAAACTTCTGTTCGCATTCTAGACACCGCTTGGAGTGTGTTAGCTCGAGCCTATCACCATGATTCAATACCATATTGACACTTCCTTCCAGAAGTTCGACGGACGACGCATCAGCGCCGATCTCCTCACTCCTTGTTCCAAGATGCACGCGTCACATGGCTGGGCTCGTGATGAAACACCTCCGACGAATCTTATCGGCCTTCCGCCTTTAGAAACGTGGCCCTGGTCTATTTTTCCGAAGCCGTATTGAATGGCACCTTAATCAATCCACAAGTGAGGAAGTCTAAAGTCTCTCCGAGCGAGCACGATAGGATGACCGGTTCTGTGAAGTAGACCTCATCACGATCTGCGGTCAGCCTTAATATTAGAAACGGACCTCTCATACGACCAGAGGGCGGGATACCCAATGGAAGGTCTACCGGCCAGGCGGCTATAGTATATAGTCACGCTCATTACCCTTTTATAGTTATCTTTCCCTCGTAGCTAATTTATAATAAGTACTGAATCTACTGAACTGGGGTAAGGCTTACAACCATAGGCGCCAACTCGTACGGCGGTAGGTAATGGAAGCGTTCACATCTTGTAGACCTATTGATTAATTGTCAGGAACCTCTGACACACACCGCAAAGCTGCCAAGAGGCTAGCTAGCCCAGATAGAAACTCAGCCTCCTCGCATGAGACTCGCAGGCTTCTCTCATACTTCAAGTCTTGTATAACCTGGGCGGTTCGGTTGCTATCACCCTTAACCTAACCTAACCTAACCTAACCTATGTTAGAGCCTAATCATAGACAATACCTTTTGGGAACGGACGGTCCCGTTTGGGCGTGGACCGATGGACAATGTAGGAACTGCGATCAAGTTTTGTGTATACAGAGGAGGCAGCTACAAAAGAAAATAACGACTGTAGATGAGCTATACCAACTCCATTGATTGCGAATATATCGATGGTGCTATTGCGATGTGCTTTAAACGCCGGTGTGAACCTCCAGAGCCCTGAGAATCGCTTTTCTTTCCAACAGCTTGCTTGCCCAGGCTGATAAATGGGGGAAATCAACTCCCAAGCTCGCAATAAACGCTCCCGCCCAGCGGTACAACACAAATAGATAAGCATCGACGGCGGTAAATGAATTTCCCACTGCATAAGTCGTCCCAGATGCACGCATTTTGCTTTCTATCAATACAAAGCTCTGTTCGAGGTTCTTTATCGCCTTGTCTCGGATGGCAGAGTGTAGCTTCGGGTCATCGACGAGTCTTTCCGGCCGATAGAGTCCGCCATATGCTTGGCCATGTACCACTCCTCCAAGGTAATTGAGCCACTCATATACACGGATAGTGTCCAAAGTCGTTTGTCCAAGGAATTTCCGGTCAGGGGCCAGAGATGAGATGGCAGTTACGATCGCCGGAACCTCCGTGATAATCTCGTCGTTCATTTTCAAAACCGGCACTCGCTTTTTCGGATTGAGAGCCTTGAACTCGTCCGTGAACCGCTCGTCTTTAGCCATGTCAACTTCGGCCAGAACAAGTTGAAAGTCGAGCTCAGCCTCATTGAGCAAAATATGCGGCGCAATAGAACATGCTTGGGGCGAATACCAAAGTGTTAACGAAGGTGCCGAAGCCATTGTACTGATCCAGGAAAAGCTTATGAGTTACGAGACAACGGCGAATAAAAGTTTGTGTAAGGAGTTTGCAATCTTGCATGAACTTCGAGAATTTCGCGTATTTATGATTGAGCCATGAACCGCATGACGAAGGCACTTGTGGCAGTTCATCGTCATGTAAGCATATCGCAAATGCAGGACTCACATGTCATGTGCAGGGCGCAGATGCCAGATCTCTCTTCCTATCGGCTCTTTTGACCCAGACTCCCTGGTGGACTTACTGCGTATTCGATTTCCAGTTTATCAAAGCCAAGGTCCTTTTCAATATGTCTAGAACCGCGTTGCTTCCAAAGTGTCCAATCGCAGTACTGCACGAAATAAACACCCTGCTTACCAAACGACTACCCTATTCGGTAATCTTCCCACTTTAGGGTCGGCTTCATATCCCGCTTTAGATGTTATTATCAACTTCTGAGATATTGTCGGTCAAGGTCTCCGCGGAGGGCAGTCTCACATACGTATCGTTGGCGGTAGTATATGGAGGGTCTTTTTCAATATGTCTACAACCACGTTGCTCCCAAAGTCCCAAAGTGTCCAATCGCAGTACTGCACGAAATAAAACACCCTGCCCACCAAAAGACTGCCCCATTCGATATTTGCCGACTTTCGAGCCGGCTTTAGATATTATTGTCAACTTCTGAGATATTGTCGGTCAAGGTTTCCACGGAGGGCAATCTCACATGCATATCATTGGCGGTAGCATATGGTACGCTTTGGTCCAGCTCCAGGCAGCGTCAGAGGCTCCCTTATCCACATCTACACCGCTACGTGTTCGTCATGGTAATTAAGACTGTGCCGAAGAGAGCATCTCCGAGTTGAAGAAGAAGAAGAGCACGCAAGTACAAATACGCCGCGAGATCCTTGGGAGGAGGATGAAATGTGCCCATCAACACCTCAATCAATCCATTTCTCTCAAATCGCACTGCCAGCGTGAAACACCATGGTTCACTCAACAATCCAACCCGCCATCTTCTACTGGGGCACGCCCGTTGTGCTGATAACCACACGAAATCCTGATGGGACCTCGAACATTGGTCCCATGTCATCAGTATTCTGGCTCGGCAATCGCTGTATGCTCGGACTTGGGGCGTGTTCGCAAACTACAATCAATCTGCTCCGCGAGGAAGAATGTGTGCTTAATCTGCCGTCAGACGACATGATCCCGCAGGTCAATGCATTGGCACGCACAACGGGCTCAAAGGAGATACCTAAGGTCAAAGTCATGCTCGGCTACCGTTACGACAAGGATAAATTCAAGACTAGCGGTCTGACACCAATGAAGTCTGAGCTTGTGCGTCCAGACAGAATCAAGGAGTGTCCCGTGCAGATGGAAGCCGAGCTGGCAGGGTACCACGAAATGATGAGCAGTCTCCCGGGAAAGGTAAAGGGATTCACCTTAGCGATCGAAGTTAAGGTGAAGAGGACGTACGTGGAAGAGAAATTGCGCTTGCCTGGGCATGAGAATCGCATCAATCCAGACGTCTGGCGCCCCATGATCATGAGCTTCCAGCATTTGTATGGGTTGTCGAACGGCGCGCGGGAGAAGTCCTCGTTGGCAGATATTGAGGAGGAATTGTACAGGTTGCCTGTTGATTAGGACCTAGAGTATCTCATTCCACTTGAACAATAGAAGGTAGAAATGGAGCAAAACCCTGATTCACAAACCTTGATGAGAAGGAGTGTCTGACTTTTACGGGCCGCACGTGTTTGACTGGTAAAATGCGAAAGCCGGCACAAGTTGCCATGTTGCTTAAGGAGCGCTCCGTGATGCTCAGCCAAAGGTTCAGTTAAAGCTCAGGTTAAAGCGGCCTTCGCTAACCCTCTAGGATCAACCCGTAAATGGTAATTAGGTTTTTCGTTCTCGAGTAATCTAGGTAGTATATCGACCCTCCTTGCGTTCGTTGCCGTGAGATTGGCGTTTCTTTGTGCTCTTGACATCGAGTGGAAGCGCGTTCGAGCCCGCGAACGAGGGGAGCAGTGGCCTGTCGACTCACGGCAATGACATGCGCGGAGTTGAGGCGTTCGAGGTGCTATTGCCAGCGATATACGGTCGAAGGCACCCATTCTTTCAAAGAGTCACCGGTTCCCTTCCTATTTTCGAACGGGACAATACCTATTCCCTGGGATGCCTTTAGAATGAGGAGACCTCGGGATCATTCATGTGGAATGGAGCGATGATTGGCCGGACTCGAGGCGTGTTGGTTTGCGATTTGCGGCCGTCAAAGGGATGGCGCGAAATCTTCAGCTGCCACTGCTGCTTTAAGGTCTCGGCACATCATCTGTCTCTGAGGTCGCGCCAGACAGAGAACCCTATTCAAAGACATGACTATATCGGTCCTTGACACGGAAGATCGTGACCGCCAGCTTCATCAAGTTGTCATACACCAATATCTTAACCAGGAATCCTACAACAACAACAGCCAAAAGCTTCATCGTCACGGCCAACGCTATGGCGTATGCCTGAAATGCTTGCTCTCGGAGCGGTGTCTCTCGCAGCAGCCAGCGGGGACGATGAACGTAGACGTAGTATGTTGCGCAGGCGGTGAGCCCGTACATGAGACGGGCAGCGGTGGGCAGAGTCAAACTCCAGTAGAAGCACTGGAATAACAGAGACTCTTGCTTGCTGAGCTGCATCTGACAGGTGAAGGAAATCACCTGCCACAGCATGTAAAGGATAACAATCCCAACAACCGCCAGCATTGTAACAAACGCTGTATCCCTCGGCGGTGTGGTATCGACATCAGTGAGGTTGTTTTTGGCATTGCTGTCGTGAGGGACTGAGTCTGGATCGAGGGACTTTCTGGCGCTTTCCTCGTGCTCCAACGTCCTGTGTCCGGACTGGCAATCTTCAGCAGCGAAAAGAGCCGTTTTTTCGTCGACAAATTCGAGAATGTGGAGAGGGAATTCGCTCAAGAGGGGCGTCGCAATAATACAAAGAAAGTATTTGATGACTGGCCGCATGTTTGCGGTCGTGAAGGTTGCTATTTCATCAAAGGGAAGAAGTTATGGCCCTCGACTTCCAAGGTTGCTGTTCTTTATAAGGCGCTTGTTAGTCGCTGGGCAGGGCCCGGCCGGCTTTTCAACGCGACTAAGAGGTGACAGCGCTTAATATGTATGGCTTGGCACAGCATCGCCTCCCAAGCAGAGCCTATTCTAATTTAGATGGCATGAGCTAGGAACTGCCACAGTCTACCCAAAGCTGTCCAAAACACAAGGCACGGCGCCTGATTGACTCGACTTCGGTTTGAAGCGCTGTGCTCCGGCCAGTCTCCTGGCCGGGTACACGAGCAGCTACTAGGCAGGTCCAGGATCACGTCATGCTCCGTATACGACTTCTCAAATACAACTCTCTCCTTCTGGGAGACAACAAACAACAATCATGAATTCAAATGCTCGCAACTCTTCAGCAGTTGTGGATGCTGTTCTTCTTATTGTTTGCTAGATATCATGTCCTCTGTTCATTTAACCAAACTGGGGCTTCTCTATGTTTTGGTTAGACCTAATGTCGCCATGGATTCTTTGCTTCAGCTCGAAACAGCCAGGAGCTGGCCTTCCGCTTGAATAGCGCTCACCACGGCTAGGCCGCGAGGCAGATTCGCCCTTAGCAACAGTCACTCGTATGGGCGACATCCAGGTTATACGCATCTGAATGTGTATCTATCTCTCTCATCGCAAGCGGAATCCTCCAGGTTATTGGGCCGACGCATTTGCCTGGCCTCGTCCTGCGCCGCAAAGTCCATAAAGGCCCCTTCGTCTCTGCCGCATTAGTGTTCTGAGTTGTCGCGCGGCTCTCATTATGTGTGCAGTGCCAGATGGTCTCTCGCAAATGACCTGCACAGCTTTAGTGCAGACCGGACGGTAGGCGGTACTGGAACGTATATAAGGAAGGTTCATTTGATTCCAGCCGTTATATTCACCTGCTGTGAACTCCGAATCAATATCGCATACAATATAAATCTCATTTCTCACCGTCTGACATTACTCATCTTAAATACCATGCTGCGTTCCTCTCTTATTTCTCCAATATTTGTACTTCTATTTTTCGGCAAGAGTCTGGGATACGGAGGCCTTGCTGCGAACGCTGTGGGCGGCGGATCTTCCTTGCGGCGGAGACAATATGGTACCATGGGCCATGGGGCATATGGCATGTTTGAGGGAGTGGAATACAGGTGGCACCAGATCTATGATGGTATGTGGGTCGGAGTAGACCCGAGTGAATGGGACGACACCGTCCACACGCAGAACGACGCACCACCTCCATGGGTTGGACCTACAACGGAGCCTACCACCAGCACTTCTACTCTTAAGGAGCGAGATCTCGTCGCAAACATATGCAAAGCTGGCAACGCTTGTTTAACCGCCACTCAGAATGCGGCTTTTAACATCAGAACAGCTGCGACACAATTCTTTACAAATCTTGCCCAAACGCAGCAAGCACAAGCGGTCCTGAATTTCTTGTCGAAACCAGTTATCCAAAAGGTCACCATCGGTTTGTCTCCCCCTCCGACAACCCAATCCCAATCCAAAAGTCTCTTCTTTTAGTATGTGCTGATATTGGTATTACAGAGGGCGTTCTTAACGGTGCCATTTCCGGCCTAGTCGGGGGATTCGTTCAACAAGCCGCGGCCCCTAACGGCCCACCCACGCTGACGGCGGGAGTAAGCGAAACTTCCGTCTGCTCTACAGAGAAAGACGCGTTAGATGCCGTGATTTCGCTGCTACAACAACAGGCCACTCAATTCGGGCAGATGAACTCGGCTTTGGATTCGATTGCCCAAGAGCTCAGTGCCATCAAGATATCCATCGGCAGCGCGGTCAACGGTCAGGAGTTCATAACTGTGACTGTGGCTACTATCGAATGTGGGGAAACTGTCAGTCCTACCGCTGCTGGTACTTGTGATATTGTGCTGAACACTTGCTGAGCCATTCTTCTGCAACAACGTTATCCGTTTTGCTAGAAATGATCTTTTGTGTTGAACTGAGCACGGTTGTGGATGTATGAGTGTATTTATTGTTCTATCTGCTTGTTTCCCCCCCGGTTCAGAGAGTGCTTCCCATTTGTATGTACTGTTCGGTCCTCACAGGAAGTGGTGCTTGACTGTCTAAAACCAACTCGAAGGAAGTCTGGAACCCTGTCTGTAGCAGCAAGTGCCTCCTTTCGCCAGCATTTTGTCTCCCTGTAGATGTTCCGAAGTTTAGTCTTGTACGAAGTTATTTCTAGCCTAGTTCTCTTTCGCTCTCGAATGAGAGATTAGTTTACACCAGAACTCCCTGTTACCTTCGAATTTGAAGTATTCCATCAGACACCGGGGTAGCATATACCCACCATAAAGTAGTCCGAGCGCGATGGTACATCGAAGGGCTGAGGTATCTAGTAGTGCTCCATACTGTTCGAACGGCAGTGGAACATAGAAGTGCTTCTACGCCTACATGCCTGTATCACAACTAGGGATGATTGCCGTGCAAACCACTCAGCGGCTCTCGCATGATTGTGCGTTGATTATATCCATCAAAACGGGAGAATATGTTCTCTTGGTGAGGTGAATGCTCGCAAAAAGACTCTTGTCTCGACCAGTCCTGCCTTTGTGGGTATTCAATATATGCAATTAGACTAAAGAATGCTTCTCGTGACCAGGTCGAGGAATTCAGGCTCGGGAGACGGCGTTCAAAGAAGAGACGAATGTACGTCGCCACTCGCACCGAATACTTCCATCAAGCTTCACGTCTTTTTTTTTCCATTGCATAGCTTTCACCCTTGGCCGCAAATCTGTCCATCACGTCAGTGAGTCGCTACTCTTCGAGGATAAGGATCCGGGAAACGAGAATGTTCGTCGACTTACGGCTCCAAAGTCGCAGCCCTGGGATGTACAGCCCGTCACGAAGCACTGATCCGGCTCGTTCAGGTCACAGGTCTGCCCGATGATGCAGTCCACAGTGTCGGTGAAGCCGGCCCCGCCGGTCACTGGGTTCTGGAAGGGGAGGTCGACCTCGCAGGCGAATTCGCCGTCGCTCACGGACGGGCCGACGCAGGTGCCGACAAACGTCTCCCCCTGGCGGGCGGCGAGGGCTTGACGGCGTGCCGCTGGGGAGGCGGAGGCTGCTGCTGGGCCAAGGAGAAGGACCACAAGGCACAAGGCGGTTGGGACGTGCATTTTGATATGGCTTAGGTTCGAAGATTCCGAGACCCTTTTGCGCGGATTTTTTCTGGAGCGAAGACTGCAGGCAACGGTTGTACGATCAAATGGCGGTCGTGACTGACGCTAAAGGCATTTATTTCCTGTGCGGCACCACGCTTATGAATAGGTAGGTGGATTGGGTCCGCTCTGAATAGATATCCCTCCCGACTGACGTTTTGCTACAGGGCCATTTTTGGTAATCAAATTTCTGGCCTGGACTGGCTTCGGACCTATCGCACGGGGACTGCGGAGATGGTATGACGATATGACAAATCCCGATAAGCTGAGCTCGAACGACACATTGTGCACATTGAGGTGACGGATTGATCTCTTGAGTGAAACAGGACCCGTTGGAGCCCAAGGATTCCAGCCCCTTCCTTCTCTCTATCTATCTAGGAAGACGGTGACGGGCTTGCCTCGCCGTTCCATGCAAAACCTCACAGCGGTGTTACGACAGCCCTAGCCTCACGTCAGCGAACCGGCATGGATTGCGAAGACCAGGTGGTCATCTCATCAACACCCCCGACTTGTGGGGTCGAACAATGCATGCATATCCCAAACCCTTGGCGACATAGTCATATTACTACTCGAAGGAATACGAGTATCACTTCCACTTGGGCCAACGACACGACGACCTATCAATATGATCCATGACAAGTTTCTCAGAGTCTCCCTTCCATGACCGCTTTGGCCATCTTTGGAGGTGTTTCTTCGAGTGCACACACACAGCCAGCTCAGTCTCCCTCCTATCCCCGTTTTGTTTTCCCTTTTGACCGACAAATACAAAGAATATTCGCCGTCATGTCCATGAATAGACGCCATGCACGCATTCTTCAGACCATCATTGGCGCCATCCTGCTCTCCCTGGGGGTTTGCTACTTGGTGACCGAACATTCAGCTCAAGCGAAAGCCCAATACGTGGGGGAAGAACCAGTTTCAGCTCCCGACGCGGACACTGCGCCCACCGTCGTCTTCGTGTGTACAAGCCGCGACGACACGTCCTGGATCGAAAGGGATTTCTCCTTCTTCCTCCCTCGATCTCGACGGATCGTCTATGTCGCCGACGACACGTCCGCGCCATTCCACCCGCCTCTCAACCACGGAAACGAGGCCATGTCCTACCTCACGTTCCTGATCGACCACTACGAAGCTCTTCCCCCCGTCGCCGTCTTCCTTCACTGCCACCGCACGACTTATCACAACAACGTCCGCTTCGACAACCAGACGGCACCGCAAGTGCAACGCATGAACTACTCACACGTCCACAAGCACGGCTACGTCAATCTTCTCTGCGACGAAAACGGCTGGCCCAGCTCCAGCTGCGACGTCGCCCACGGAGCGAGCTTCCCTCTCTCCAGATTCCGCGAGTCCGAAGCGGATTTCAGGCGGCTGGTGCCCTCTCGGGTCAAGAGATCATTCATTGCACAAATGAACTACATCCTGAACAACGTGCTTCCGGACCAGAAGCTTCCGGCCGTCATTGGCGCTCCGCGAGGGGCACAATTTGCATTGGCGCGGGAAGCAGCGCGGCGTGTGCCGTTGGAAACGCTGCACTGGCTGAGGCAGTGGGTGATCGATTCTGCCGGGCACCTCGACGGCCATTTCGTGGGCCAGGTGCTGGAGAACCTGTGGCACGTTATCTTCCTCGGCGCGGCGAATGGTGTTTTGTGTCCGTCGGAGGATATCTGTTACTGTGACCTGTACGGACTGTGCGATTGAATTGTGCGAATCACAGCGAGAGCAAGACAAGTTTGGTGCGGAATCCGGTATGACGCCCCGATATCCATCACAGATGGCTCCGGGGCCGAGAACAGTCAGTCCCAGTGATGGTCCCGGCGATTTTCTGCAGCTCGGGAAGGTGGTTTTCGTAGACGCCCCGCGGGGTCGTGCGGTGTTTGTGGCACAGGTGAGCCGCCGCCGCCGTGGCGATGGCATGCTGCCCGCCGTTGCCCATGAATTTCGTGTTGGACGAGGCCACGTGGGTCGCGCTCATGTGTTTGCCCGCCATCATCAAGTTCGCGACGTTGACGGAGTACAGGCAGCGGAAGGGGATGTCGTAAGGCTTGCCGTCCCGCTCGTCCCATTCCCACCACCGGAGGCGGAAGTCGTACCTCTCGTTGCCGGGATAGTGCAGACAGAACGCGCCCTCGTTCTGCACCACCGCGTCGCGGAACGGCTTATGGCTCCGGATGTCGTTCTCGGTCAGGACGTAGTCTCCCTTGTATCTCCGAAATTCCCCTTGCGCGGGGACGTAGGCGACCCAGTCGAACTCGAGGTTGGCGTAGGTCTGGGGATCCCTCGTCTTGACGTTGGAGAATGTGCCGTAGATTGCGCGGAGCAGGAAGTCGCGGATGTGCTCGCCGTGGGTATAGGGGTCGAGCCACTGGCCGTACTCCCAGAAGTGCGTGAGAGGTCGCGTCATCCGCCGGGGGACTTTCGCCTGAGATACAGAGCTGCTCGGAGTCGTGACCGCCGGTCCAGGACCGTTTTCGATCCCAGGTCTGGTCAGCTGGCCACCGAGGTCGGAAAAGTCCTTGGCCACCTCCGTCGCCCAGGGGACGGGCGGGAATCCAACGGGCGAGTCGGCCATGCGTGTGCGGAAGAACACGGTGTTGCCGTGGTGCATGGCGTTGCCCTCTGCCGGGGCGAGCTTCTCCCCGTACTCTGCCTGCGACTCCTGCCCGAAGAGCGTCTCGGCGCCTGCGAGCAGCCCTGCGATGGCCTTCCCCGAGCAGTCGATGAACACCGGCGCCGTCAACCGGACCTCTCGTCCACTGCGGGCATGGCGGGCATCGACGGCGACGATGGTCGAATCCCGCTTCACCACGTTGTAGACGGCGTGCTCCAGGAAGACTGTGGCGTTCGCTTCTGCTTCGAGGAGCTCTCTCGCGCAGATGTCGCCGTTGGGCTTGCGCTCCGAGATCTCGTCGATCAGCGGCCCCGTCACTCCGCGCGGGCGAAGCCCGATTTCCACACTGGCGTTGCCCCCAAGGTACGGCCGATCGTGAACCAGCGCGACGCGCTCTCCGAGTCGAGCAGCGGTGAGAGCTGCGGCCACGCCAGGCACCCCGCCCCCGATGACCACGACATCAAACGTCCCCGCGTCGACAGGGTCCTGTGGCAGTCCGCGGAACCTCCGCCGCCACGCGCGAGCTTCGGCGTTGACAGCCCGAGGAGGCGCGATGCCGTCGCGGCTGAAGAAAACCGCATCGCAGCGTCCGCAGAATCCGGTCAGGTCGTGGAGCGCCAGCCGTGTCTCACCGGCCGGAAGCGCCACCTGGCCTCCAAACTCCCAGGACCAGTCGAGGTCGTTCGCTCCAAAGACCGTCTCCAACGCGCTGCCGTTGACCGCGAGCGTGAACCTGCCCGGATGGTGACCCGGAACCCAGTCCTTGGCACGGACCCAGACGTTGTATGTGTGGGCTTCCGGGATCGAGATGGTGGTCGTGGCGTCTGCGACGGGGCGCCCGATCCCATGGGCCAGCAGGTAGGGCGAGCCCATCTCGAGATCGAACTGGGAATCCAGGACCCAGCCCCCGTAGTCGTCGAATTCCTCGGCCTCCACCAAGATGCCTGAATCTGGGAGTTTCTCCATCCTGTGTGTGCGGTAGCTGCTGGCAATGCTTCGTCGAGTGGGAAGAGCAGGCGGCACACGGTGAAGGAAAGGAGGGACTACGGTCCTGTTTGTAGTCGATCGCAGGGCCTCAAAGGAACTGTGTGATGAGAAAAGAGGCGTCCTAGCCCGCCTTGTTTAGTAACCTCGCCCTAATATCCTGTCCAAGCAACCCAACGAGCAGCGAATCGGAAGAATCCCACAGCAACGAGGCCTGATGACTGCTGCGGAGTATTGCTTTCAACGATCATCTCTTGATTACTCGTCACGACCTCGACCTCGGCGACAGCCCCGAGCTAAGTCCGGCCGATGAAGATTGCCAATGCCTGCAGCGTGCGAACCGGGATAAAGGTCGCAGAGAGCGCTGCTGTGGAATTATTATATACTTTCGGCCTCTCTCGTTTCGGGGCTGCATTCATCACGTTCACATTCGGGCAAATAGGCACTGGCCGGGGAAGCTTCCGGGGTAAGGCTGAGTGCCAATAGGGGCTCTCTCTGTCTCGCTTGGGTTTACTGCTCTAGAGGCCTCTCCTTTCCCGTCACAATCCTCCCTCGCCCGTAGAAGAGGGTAGATGGATCTGATATTCATGCCACTGCATCAATGCGGAATCCCTACAATATCACCGAGCACTGCGGGAACGGAGAAGTTGCTTTGACGCTGATTCTCAAGACACCGAAGGGCTGGATGGAATGAGAGCTGTGTCCGCAGTGGTGCTGGGCTTGTGAAACATTATAGTCGAGTATGGATTATGAGAGCGATTCGCACTCAAGTCACACACCATTAGATGCCAATACATATGCGAGGCTACTACTAATTACGTCCGAGTCATGGATACCCAACATAAATGATAATCACTATTATGTTGCTCGTCTCCGGCTTCAGCCGTACTGTGTATGGTAAAGGAACAAAGTTTGATCCAGCTCGAAGTCGTATCCGCGCCAGAAGGGCATCAAAGCTCAGCCGCTAGAAGCGATGAGACCGCGATCTGAGAGAAACCGAAACCTGCCTTCTTGCACAGATAGAACTGCACCTAAACCTCTCCCAGGAGGAGGACCCAAGTACCGCAATTGTGTGGAACGATAGAGAGCGATCTTCCGTCAAAGGTTGAGGAGCCTGGCAGGATACCCCAACCCAAGATTTGACAGCAACTTGGGACAGCGGCCACAGCAATCGGGTCCGTAGCTGCTTCAAAGGGCGCTCGCTCTAGTGCCTGATCTGGACGGCGATTCTGTTCGTCATGTACTTGGAGATATCTCCAATCAGGAGACACCCGACGATGGACAGAGCCCCGAACGGAATGCTGACATACCAGACGTAAGCCAAGGCATCCGAATAGGCCCAGCGAGTGCCGATGGTCGCCGCCTCGATAATGGCCGGCGTGACCCCGGAGACATCGGTGGCGTTGGCAGGAGCGGTAAGAAACGTCTGGACGAATGCGGCCGCCGAGGACTTGGGAAGACCGGCGTCGAGGGCAAAAGCCAGCACCCTCTCTGGAAGCTTGTTGGTGAGCTTCTCGCTGAAGACATTGTAGTAGATGGAGTAGCCGATTGAGCCTCCAACGAAGCGGATGGTGAGTGTCAATGCCGTAGCTGTGGCGATCAGGGAATCGGGGCAGGCGGTCATGGCAATCGTGGCCGATGGGACGATGACTCCACCAATCCCAAACCCAGCAACCGTAGCCAGGCCCACAGCAAGTCCGGGATTGTTCGGGGTCACTGCAGCCATACTGCCAGTGAAAGCAGCTTTGAGATCGTATGTCAGCAGGGTGCAACATCCAGGCCACACCATCCACTTACTCATTAAGACGCAGGAGATCAGAAGGAGCTCACGGTTGTTCCCTTTGAGGATCGTGAGCAGTGCATTCATCACTGTAGCGCCGACCGTAATGGCAATCGAATAACCAAGGCCTTTCACGCCAACTTGAATAGGGCTAAGAGATGTCAGCAAGATACCAAGAGGAAGGCGGTGCAAGAGCGCATACTCAGGGTTATAGACAGTGCTGTATGTCAATGGTGCAAAGTTGATCATGGAGTAGAAGTTCATTCCCGACACAAAGGCAACCGCAAGCGCGATGGCCACGACTCGCTGGCCAACAAAGAGGTCCCTCGGTACCATGGGATATTTGGCGCCTTTCCATTCCCACATGACGAAGGCGATTATGAGGGCTGCACCAATGAACAGCATGCAAAGGACGTACGCACTCGTCCAGGGGTGAGATGAGCCCCCTGACTGCAGAGCAACGAGGCTGCGCACAATCAGCTGGGAACTTCGATCACTTCTGAACGTGCTTACAATAGGATGACTCCGGTGATGGAGAAAAAAGCGCCCACATAGTCGATTCTCTTCGCGATTTCTGCCCGGCTCAGGTCGCCCTTGCGCAGAAGGTGGGAGTCTGGGAAGTAGAAAAGGAGCACCCCAACGAAGAAGATTGCGTTATAGATGCTTGGTCTTGTAAGCGCAAGGGGGGTCGGTAAAGGCTTTCATGTGTTCTTACAAAGTGATCCACAGACCCCATCGCCACGTCGCATGGGCAGAGAGTAACTGAGAGTACAAAACGTACGGAAAGAACGGGCCTTGACGTAGGGTCAGCATGTGTGCGGGAGAGCTGTTAGATGTAGAGGAAATCCACCCACAGATGAAAAAGGTGACGCATGCAAGGTAGATGCCACGTTTCTTCACAGGGACCAGCTCCGCCGTTCTAAAGAATCAAGGTCAGCGAGTGTCCAGGTTCAGGACTTGGTTGTAGGGGCCACACTCACCCAGCCAGCGCTGTCAGTTCTCCAATAGCAGCGCCACCGCCCGCAATGGTCATACCGACCACTCCCTGAGCAAAGGTCTTTGCGGTTGCGGTGATCAAGACGCCAACCAAGATCATGACGGATCCCAGGATGGAAATGTTTCGTTTGCCGAACATATCTTGAAGATAGCCACAGAACGGACAGACGGCGGCAAGAGCCAGGGAGTTGGAGACTGGGAGCCAGCCAGTCGAGGCTGACCCCAAGTCGGCTGCGATGTAGCTGAGCGACCCTTTTGCGTGTTAGTGCCTCTGATCGAAGCTGCAAGGAGTCGGCCGTGGGTTTACCTCCGACGAAATAGAGCGGGATTTGTGATCCTAGTGAAGATAACTTGGTCAGCAAGCTGATCTGAAGGTCCAAGTCCATGGTCGGCGTAGGTGGTAACTCACCCACGTATACACCACACAGCGACACAGTGGCAACGACCTGTTTCCATGTCCAGTTGACGCGTCCGTCGGAGTCGTCACCTTTGGCGACACGGGTCTTTTCATCGTCGGGATCGACGACTTCGTGTCGTGTCACTGTTGGGCTCTCTTTCTCTTCGAGTCTGGACTCGACGTCCTGGTCTAGGTCTTGAGTGCTGCTCATCGTGTCGGACGAAGTGCTCACGGCTTAGCAATCTCGTGGTAGTGGTATTGGCGTGGCTGAGGAAGACTTGTGGGAGTGCTCGGAGGGGGGCATCCTCCCCATATCCCAGGGACATTCCGCTTGTATATGTACTATCCAGTGCACGCCCTCAAGCCCTCCACGCGTAATGCCCTTGCGTTTCCCCATGGGGTCAAGCCCGCTTGATAGTGTCGGGAGGCCTTAGCTTTAGACCACGAGGCTGGAACGTAATGGAGACAGTCGCCGGGTCCCATCCTAGGGCGCATGGCTTTTACATGAGCCAACATCGGATAGACGTGGATCCCCAACGCATGCAAGGGCTTGAATCTCTGGGTGGAATATGCAGATTGTTGGATGTCTCGTCGGCGAAATCTCTTCGAAGTCCCCCGCGACGAATTAGGCGCGAGAAGCAACTTCGTTGTTCCGTTCCGAGATCAATCTGGCCAACGACAGTTCAGGAGAGGCATCGAGTCAGATCTGGCTGACACTGGGGACCCTATCCAGCTTCAGAGGTGAGGCGTGGTAACAACAGTGAAAAGGCTGACTAGACCCCCGGCCCCCTTCTCCACCGCTGACGGTGAAAAGGCTCACTGTCCCTTCCCCACAAACCATGTGGCTTCGAACGCGCCCCAGATCCGATATGCCCGAGGCACGAAGCCTGCTCCCAATTCGGATGTTACTCGAGTCATTGTCCCTCCGGCCCAACTCACGCGCTCAGCATGGGTTGCAAATATATCATCGAGTGGCCGTGTCGCTCGTCTTCCCCAAATCTGGGGGGGAGTAGATGCAGTTAGTGCGGAACAGGTGTACTAAAAGATCCTGATACGCGAAATCGCTCGGAAAATGGCGTCCTTCACAGGCAAAAACATCGTTGTGACCGGGTCCGCTTCGGGCATTGGTCTTGCCATTACGCTGACTCTGGCAGAGCGAGGCGCGACAGTCTGGGCGGTAGACCTGTCCCCGACTCCCCCGGACGAGCTGAAACCGTGGATTGAGAAAGGCAAGGTGCACTTCGAGGGCGGCGTCGACGTTGGTGACCGGGCCAGATGCCGAGCATACATGGCCAAGGTCGTCTCCGCGGCTGGCAGGTTGGACGGCCTGGTGAACAATGCTGGCATCGGCCTGGCTGAAGGCCCCATCGCGTCCGACGAGGCTTACGACCGAATGATCTACGTCAATATCGGAGGCGTCTGGAATTACGGCACCGCCGCGCTCCGGGCGATGCAAGAGCAAGAGCCGCAGGGCGAATGGGGCTCGCGAGGCAGCATCGTCAACATTGCCAGTGGCGCTGGGCTGAGAGGTGTGAGCGGGCTGGCTGTCTACTGTGCCACGAAACACGCGGTGATCGGATTGTCGCGGGCGTGGCAGGAAGACTTTGGAAAGTACGGCATCCGGACGAACTCTGTCGCACCAGGTAGGTTGACACCCCGTTGATCCCGGAAGCCTTGGGAATTGTCTGATGAAGATCCGTCCAGGTGCTACGGCGACTGCTGCCTTTGTGAAGCGGGCTGAGGAGGAGAAAGGTTTCCTCGACACGTTGCCTAGTAATCCACTGGGGAGAGTCGCCAAACCATCCGAGATAGCTTCGTCAGTGGCCTTCCTACTCTCAGATGAAGCCAGCTATGTCGCGGGGGAAGTGCTCTCGGTGACTGGAGGTCATGCATGAAGGAAGGCGTCGAGGCGGGAGGGGACAGGGACCTCTTCTTCAATAACCAGGCCTAGGAGCCTGCTTCTAAAAGCTCATAAAACCCCTACAGTCTCCAATTCCACGATGATTCCCTTGCATTTCAGTTGCGTGTAGTGATAAACAATAGGAGCAAATGCGGTTAAGCGCTAAAATGCATAATGTGCGTATCATACAAACCCGAACTTGTCCGTCAAGGTCTCGATGTATACCAACATCTGACTCAATCCTTGCAAGCCGGCGGGTGCGTAGACCCCAGCTTACTGACGGACAGTGAGTGGTCCTAGCCTTGGGTTCCCCGGCTCCCACTAGTCATAGACAGATCTTGAGCAGGGATAGTAATTCATCTCTGACCATACCCTGCGAGTCAGCAAGTCCTGACATCCTGCCGCGGCCACTATCGTATCACTGGCACGGCTTAGAACGAATCTTGGAGAACGTCAAGCCTGGCCTATGACTGCCCACAGAAGACGTCTGGGATGAGTGTCTAAGCACCTGTTTCACTTCGAACCTCTGGTGTCCAATGGCAAGGCAGCTTCGCACCGTCAGGACACTTCCGAGTGCATACCAAGCTGGTACAAGACCGAGGCAACGTAGCCCGCATGGAGCAATGCCATATCGTCCCGAGGGAAGGAGGGTCTGAAGTACATACAAGTCTCGGGATTTCCACGTTAGGCGGGCTGTGAAATCTGAACAACCCTCTTCAAATGATTTGAAATTATTTCGTGCTTTGTCTTATTCTTTCTCCGCCTGGTACAGCCAAAAGTGTGTGACCGCGACGCCACTCCTGCCTTCCCAAGATGATTGCGAACCTACTCGACGAGTACGAGGTCCTCGATCAATACCACTCGCAGCCCCGGAAGCTCAAGATCATCCACGTCGGGGCCGGTGCGTCGGGGCTCCTGCTGGCGTACAAGGCTGAGAGGCAGCTCCGCAACTACGAGCTGATATGTTATGAAAAGTATGTCGAGACAGCAACAACTCCACAACCTCCGACAACCCCTTAGACATCACCGTTGCCGTACATGTGGGAGGGACTGACTGACGCCTTTTGGGTTCGTTGCAAATAGAAATCCAAGCATCGGCGGAACGTGGTGGGAGAACAGATACCCCGGATGCGCGTGTGACATTCCCGCCCACACCTACACGTACACCTTCCGTCCCAACCCGGAGTGGTCGGGCTTCTACTCGCGCTCGGACGAGATCCAGACGTACTTTGAGAAGTTCTATGACGAGTACAAGCTGGAGCGCTATGTGCGGTTGAACACCGAGGTCGTGAGCGCCACATGGGTCGAGGACAGCGGCGAATGTGAGTCTGCCGTGCCGTGTTTCTGCAACGTTTTCGACGGAATGGAACTTTGGCCCCTTTGTTGGAAAACAGAAATTCTAACACAGAAGCGTAATGCAGGGGAAGTCGAGCTCCGAAGTGGAGAGAGGACGTTTACGGATCGCTGCAACGTCCTGATCAACGGCTCCGGGGTCGTCAACAAGTGGAAATGTGAGTGCGGAAGTCGCTCGACCGAAGTGAAAGACGCGCGGTTTGTGGAGGATCAGAACGGCTGACCTCCCACAGGGCCTGCTATCGAGGGCATTTCTTCGTACAAGGGCATCCTCGCCCACAGTGCCAACTGGGACACGTCGATTGACTGGCAAGGCAAGAAGGTGGCCGTGCTGGGAACAGGATCCAGCTCCATTCAAATGGTGCCCCATCTGGCTAGAGGTAACAAATTTCGGTACGTTCTCGACGCCGGGGGACATCTCCACTGAACCGTCGGTGTGGCAGGATCTGAGAGCTTGACCATCTTTGCTCGAAACATGACCTACATCGCCCCCCAGGTCGCCGCCGACGACCAAAAGATAGACGAGAACAGCCAGCCGGCAGCCGCGGTCGGGAAGCACTACTACATCGAAGCCGAGAAGCAGAAGTTCCGCACGGACCCGGAGTTCCACCTGCAGTACCGCAAGAGGTTGGAGTCGGCCCTGACCGAGATGTTCCCCATGTTCCTGCGCGGGACGAAGCTGAACCTCCAGGCCCGAGAGGCGATGCGAGCGAGCATGCTGGCCAAGATCGGGCCGGGCCACGAAGAGCTGAAGCAGAGGTTCATCCCGCAGTGGTCTCCCGGGTGTCGGAGGCTGACCCCCGGCGAAGGGTACCTGGAGACCCTCATCCTGGACCACGTCAAAGTGATCCACGACGAGATCGTGCGGTTCACCGAGACCGGGCTCGTGACGGCGGCCGGCGAGCAGTTGGACTTTGACATCATCGCGTGCGCGACCGGGTTCGACATCGCGTACACGCCGCACTTCAAGATCACGGGCGTGGACGGCGCCGTGATGCAGGAGGAGTGGAAGGAGACGCCCAACATCTACCTCAGCATCACGGCGCCCAAGTTCCCCAATTACTTTGTCGTCAACGGCCCAACGGGGAACTGGGGCCAGGGGTGTGCGCTGCCTTCGGTAAGCAAGCCATTTTGATTTCCCTCCCTCCCTCGTCTCTCGAGAATCCCACCAGCCAGCCCACTTTTCCGCGGAAAGAGAGAAACCCGGCATGGGGTTATATGTTGTTAACGTCTCACGTGTCCTGCACAGCACGAGGTCCAACTCGAATACGCCCTGCAATGCTGCCGCAAGATGCAGGAGGAGGGCATCCGGGCGATGGAGCCGCGCCAGGGCCCGACGACGCAGATCAACCAGCACCTGGACGCGTGGCACAAGAAGTACAGCGTGTGGGCCGAGGAGTGCCGGTCGTGGTACAAGGACAACAAGCCCGACGGCCGCGTCTACATCTGGCCCGGCAGCCTGCTGCACCACCTGAAGACGCTGCGCACCCCGCGCTACGAGCACTATGACCTGCGCTACGACGGCGACAACGTCTGGGCGTTCCTGGGTAATGGCCGGACGGACCTGGAGTGGGAGCACGACAACGGCCGCCCGGTCGATCTGGCGCCGTATATCCGCAACGACGATGTGCCATGGAGCTTGGACCTGCCCGTGCCCGTGAAAGGCGCGGAGCCGCCGCAATAGGCGTAATGCAAATGAGATGAAGATGATTCTGAAACGTTCGTGGTGACGCTTCTTGTTCACTTTTAGATGCCCTTGTTCCGAATGTGAGAGATTTTGTGCGGGCGATGAGGAGAGATTGGCGATAGACACGCTCGTGCAGATTTTGTCGTTTCACCCCTGGATGATCCCCCATCGTTTTGCATCGTTTTGCCAGAGAGAGACAGAAAATGTTGTTTATCAGAGCAAAGAACCAGATGTCCTTTCAGCCTACTCCAGAACCTGTCGATAAGAAGCTGCTGCTGCTGCTGCTGCTGCTGCCGCCGCCGCCGCCTGACCATCCTGATAAGACGCACATCTGCGGTACCAGCTCATCGCGACGTCGTCCAGGGGCCGCGGGGCAGGCCAATAGACATTGTTGCGTGACCGCAGCGGCACGCCCTGGGCGATCTTGAGACTCGGCTCGTAGAGGTGCGGGTACTTGACGAACAGGCTGGGGTCGAGCAGGTACTCTTCGACGCCCCGGCCGATCTTGAGGCGGCGGTACATCTCATGCGCGTACTCCCTGGTGTGCAGCAGGGTGTAGAGGTCCGGGGCGGGCAGCTTGACTTCGAGCTTGGGGCCGATGAGGGCGGTGCTAGTGGAGGCGGCGGAGGCGGCGGTGTTGTCGCTCAGCCACGTCGGGTTCGTCTCCATGCCGGAGATGATGTCGTGGATGTTGAAGTAGACCACCAGGGGCTCCGCGCCGAGCACGAACTCGGACAGGTCCGCCTGCACGACGTACGCGAGGCCGATGTCGCCGCAGATCTCGTCCAGGGCCGGGTCCGAGCAATGATACTGGATCAGCTTGTCCCTCAGAAAGGAGAAGACACACCAGTCGATGACGGGCGGATGAGGCACCGCCGTCTGCAGCGGGGTCGGCTGCATCGAGGGCGGGATGGCCGCGAATGTTTCAGGGCCCGGCGATATGCGCCACGCCGCGAGTTTGGCGAGCGTCTCCTTGCCGTTGGTCCATTGGATCCAGGACTCCATGCCGCCCCAGGCGATCTTGATGAAGGCGGACACGAGGCTTGACACCATTCGGTTGAGACTGAGGCACTCCTTTAGCAGGTTGATCAAAAGCGTGGTGAAAAAGATAGGGGACGTACCTGCTTATATCAGGGTTGCGTCTGTGGCCCAAGTAGCCAGTCACGGCGCACATCTCATACGCATGAATATGTTCCGAGTAGTTGGAACGCGCCATCACCTGCAGGTTGCGATAGATAGGGAATGTAACCGAGGTTGGAGGATTGTGCCGTATCGACGGTGTCGTCGATAATGCTAAGGTTCCCTGACCGACATCCCAGTCGACGTCCTCTCCCAAGGACTCGTCGTTGGACGAAATCACCGCTTGAGGCTCTGCCGCATACATTTCTGTGGTAGACATTTCGCTGGATGAAGAAGCCACAGAGCCCGAAGCAGGGCGTGCAATTGGGTTTGATATGGTGTCGAGAGGCGCTGACAGTGGTTCGATGTCGGCGTGGACAGAAGGCATGTTCAGTTCGGTTGTCCACGAATCCACCCCTTCGTCATCGTCGTCGAGTCCGCTGGTGTGTGTGTCCTTCGTAAGAATTTTGTTAGGATCAGAAAGAAGGCCCGGAATGGCACGGGCTGGGCCAGAAACGCGATGTGCTTGAGGACCAACTCCAGGACTTACAAAGTTGTTCTCCCTGCTCTCCACCATGGTATCAATGATGCCCTTGAGGGTGGCTTGAAGACTTCGAAGCTTCTTCTCGGACTGCCATAGTAGCTGTCTTAGTCTTCGATTTTCCTCCACTAGTCTGCTGTTGCGGTCGCTCTCTGAACCGGAGAAGAGAGCCAGCCGCTGCTTGAGCTCGTTGATCTCCAGATTCTGCCGGGCGCGAAATGCTTGCTGGGAAAGTCGATTGCGGAGCTTTCTGCCACGGATAGGGCGGTAAGCATTACGAGCAGGAATCAATGGAACGACAACGTCCAGTGGCTTACCGCTTTTCTGTCGCAGCACTGGATTTCTTCTGTGGTCCAGTGCCAATGCCGGCAAACTCCTGAGGTGAGGCCATAATGCTCGGTATACCTTTAGCAGATCGAGCTTTGTCGGTATTGGTCTTATTGTCCTGTAGTCAGGAACGTCAACGCTTACAGATTTTGGACGTTAAAGAGAAAAATCCACCATCTCCCGCATTCCAGAAGACGCTATAGAGATAGCATCCTGGGGGGATTTGCGGAGACGACAAACTTGTTCGAGTAAGCCAACCCACGTTGACCTCGGCTTCGTTCTGAACCTCCTATATTGGTATGGTGCGATATGGACGTCGAGTCATTGTCCTTAAGAGCAGCCAGATTTCGGTCCATATTTGGACTCTCCGCCTGACCTTCCCAATAGGTCTAGTCCTACAGGTCGAGACATCTCTCTGGCCGACTTGACGCATTGTAGAAGGGATGGCCTGGCTCAGAGAAGGTCTATACGTGTACACGCCAATTGATACAGGGGTAGTATCGAGCGACAAGCCTATCGTCGGTGATGCCCTTATAATGAGCCCCTTTACCGCGCCTGCTTTCTGAGCGACCAATCTTGCAGCTACTGGTCAGTACTCCGAGCAGCATGACGCGCAGCCAGATGATCGAATATCATGGTGATTCGTGACGGTGGTTTTCCACAGAGTCGACCGACCCCGTTGACCGCCAGTAATGGCCCGACCCAGAAGAAGGATGAGAGTCTTCGCCTTGCCGTCAAAAAGTTCGCCAGGTCCTCGTTGCCAATTTGAGCCATCAGGTACGAGAGCTATGAGGGCCAAAGGATGACCTGATCACTTGCGCCTTACCTTGTTCACGGACCTGGAAAGGCCTTTAAAGAGAGCTTCCGTAACCCTCCGCAACACTTGGAAAGTAACAGGTATCGTCATATCGTCATAAGTGGTGAGCCGTTGTGCTGGTGGAAAGAGGTGGCTGGGTTGTTTACAGTTCCTCATCGAAGTGCGACAAGCCCTAACTATGTGCATCATCTTCCAGATCTCGAGGTGAGAGGCACTATCGATGCGGAGCACAACTGATCTCCAGGTTGTCAGTGGAAGAGCATGACGTTCTTTCCAGCAGCGTCAACCGACATTGTCAAGCTTGAGATGGTCCTGTATGGTGAACGAAGCGGGAAGTGCCATCGGGGCGATCCAAAGGAGAAACAGTCATGGCAGCAAGAAGCAGTTCGTTCGAAGGGAGACCTACTGATCTTCCGTACTCCAAACTGACGTCGCTGAAAGTGCCTTCCTCGTCCCTTGCCCCCTGCGATTCTGTTTTGGCATTGCGTCCACAAACACTTGGTCAATACGAAAATTAAAGTCTTTTCCCTTGGCGGTTTTCTCTCGGGTGAATGGAAATAGCACGACTGCCTTGCCGTCGCACCAGGGGGCAGCTTGGTAGCCTGGGTGGAAAAAACATCCTGCTTGCAGTGGGCCGCCGCATTTGCACTTGAAGTTTGCCCTCGGGGATCGCGAGGATCTGCCTCAGGCATCGACAGGAAAAAGGAAAAGCAAACTCGCACAATGACTCCTCGCCACTCTAGCAGAAAATTGCCTGGCCGGAAACTTGACCTCTATGGAATGACGAAGGGAGATATATCCGATCGCTTGAGAATACCCAAAACCGAAGCCCGGCAAGGATTCGTTTGTGATGTGATGCCATGATCGTCTCGATACGAAGAAGAAATCTTTCAAATCCTGAAATGGGTGGCGCGTGGGTGCAACACACTGCAAATCGTCTGCGTCATATTAGTCACCCACACACCACACACCCCGAACGCAAGTCATGTGGATGGAGTGGCTGAAGGGTTGTGGCGGTGTTATCTCGCAGCATCTTCGGCAGTTGGAGCGTTGCGTGGCTGGTGTAATAATGAGATGGCTCTGGAGAGACGAAACCCAACCAATTGGACCAGTGCTGGAGTAATTGCTCGAGGCACTTTCGCGGGATTCCGCGGTCCACCATTGACCAGGTGTGGGCGAAAGCCACTGGCTGGTGCTCGCTGGTGGTGGTAGCCTCTGCCACCGTAGCAGTCGAAGAAGATTCTCTCACCTCGGGTGCTCCATCGACCCCCCGTTATCCCACCCACCTACCCAGATCGGTAGTCCACCCACCTGCTGTAGTATGCTTACCACACGCAATTTGCCATGTGGTAGGTAATAGTAGCGCCAACCCCTGCGTCTAGCATTTGTGGCATTCTCTCCCCACTGCCCATCTGTGGCGATCGTCGTGAGGGAGGAGGACTGCAGAAGCAACGCTGACAGCGCAAGGTGGTGGTGGGGGAGGCACCAATCTCGAAACGCGTGGATGCTTTTTCCCATGCTTCAATATTCGCAAGACTGTCCCAACAAGGATATGAGTCGCCGAAAAATCAACCCCAGCAGATCTCGGGGTGGTCACAGACCGAAGCATGACGAATACGCCAGACATCCCGTAGCAGCTGAGTTCTGACTGTGTTCCACCATTCGCCTGCGGTTGCACAGGGACGAGCTACAGGCCAGGTATCCAAGGACGGCAAGTGTTTATCCAGCCCTGAGAGTTCAATACCCGAGGCCGTAGAGGTGATGATTCACCCGCGCTTGGGGGTATCACTTCGAGAGCTGAGTTTCCCCAAGCCGGAAAATGTGCGAACAATAGGTTGCCGAAGTTCGGCAGAACTCCGTACGACAAACAATCATCTTGGGAGGACATGATTGGAGGCTGGCGCAGCGGTCGTGGTGTTCTCGGAAACTCTGTTTGAGGGAATACCCGATGCTCGGAATCAAATGCGCATCCTGGTGAGGAAGAGGAAGAGGGAAAAAATCTGCAAACTTCGGATCGCCCAAAAGTCAAAGCATCTGGAGCGAGAGGATTACTTGTACTCCGTAGGGTTTTCACAAACAAACACCGCTGAAGCAGCCGGAGCGAACCCCCGAGTCATCCATCCAACACTGCATTTGCGTTGCGATGGCGAACTTCGGCCATCGAGCATGGGAGGAGAGAAAAAGGGGAAATGGTACGGGTTGGTGTTGGATAGTTCTTGATGAGTCAAGACCTCCCCTGCTCGCCTGGAGCTCGTGGAAAACCCTGGCAAGTGGTGACGACCGTGTCTCGTATGTAATCAGCCTGAAGGCCGGAGTACGCAGAAAGGTAGGAGCTGCCCTCCGAGCGAAGGCGACGGTCGCCCTGGGTCCTGGGCCCTGGAGCTTCTCATTGCAACATGCTTCAGTCCATCGGAGCCGCTTGGTCGGTTCGACCGTCCGATGATTGACACCCTCCCACTCAGTCCGCGATGGAGGACGTCTCGACATTATCACCATCATCCTCATTAGAAATCGAGAGAGCGTTAGAGTCCCGTGAATGTCTCGAGCAGCATCATGTGAAAGTGGTGCGGGATTTGATCGGTCCATCGGCGGATTTCTTTTCCCCAGGATTGATCGGCGGATTCTTTACCCCCGCGAGTTGTACCGAGTACCTGGGGGATGGAGAAAGTCGCATGGTCGTGGCCCCTCGTTATGTGCTGCCCCTGCATGGACGTTGTCGTTGTAGAGAACAGTGTAGAAGGCCCCCTGATGTTCTTGGTGCAGCCACAGACATCCGATGGCTGCAGGTCGAGGGTAATGGCGGGGCGTCGACCCAAAGGTACATACCTGCCTGTCTTCACTATTGACCCCAAGAGATCAACCGGCCAAATGGGAGATCCGCGGGTACATCGAGATTTGTAGCTTCAAACACAAAGGGGACGGGGAATGTGTCAGAGAGACTTGGGTTGTTGCAACCAGCTGCTTCGCCGCTGGGCCCGACGCTCCTCGACGTACACTGGGGGAAGGTGAGTCATTCAAGGCGAGTTAGCCACCACGGGAAGGTGAATGATAAGAGGAAAAGAATGCAATGTTGATGTGTTCAGCAATAGATATATTAAGCTAATAATACTAATCTAGAGGACTCTTGGAGTTCGGAGGTTCCTCTATTAGGTGAAGAGGGAGTCATACAAGTGACTCAACCATATTCATATCGTATCCAATCAGCCATATAGGCGGGGGTATCGTAGGCCGTGTCCCATGCTCTCAAGATATGCAAAACAAACTGGTCGAACCGAACCAGTATGCAGTCGCTCGCTGAAAAGATGCGCTCGCTAAGACAAAAACACGTAGATTGATGTGACCGGGGGCCAGCCCCAGACTCATCCTCCTCTACTGAGGGCCATTCAGGCAACTCGTGCCACGTCGTTGGCTGGTCTGACGTCTCTTGAGGGCACTGGCGCTGGGTCGGCGTGACTTGCTTGCGCTGTTGGTGTCCTGGTTGGCGAAGCGCACAACTCTGCGTTTCGCCTCGGCGTCTCGTGCGTAGGGAGCTGCTGCCTGGGGTAGATTGGCGGCAGCCTCCTTCTCCTGGAGTTCCCGGAGGAAGGCGATTTGCTCTTCGGTGGTGAGTTCCTTCTTGGGTGCCAGTGCCGGAATGGTCTCCACAGGAAGGCTGAGGTCTTCGGCTGAGCAGAGGAGGTCATCGTCAGAGAGGTATGAGCTGGGCTCGGCGCCGAACGATGACATGCATGACCTGTATGGGCTAGGCATCCAGGTCGAGTTGCTGCTGTCGCGACGCATGGCAATGGATTGTGTTTGCGACGAAGACGTCGAGTTGGATGCATTGCTGTCTGTGCGTGCAAGGGCTTGAGAGGTTGGCCACGCTGAGGTGGGTGACGCGCACACGAGAGCCGTGTAGGCAGACGTGGGCGCGTAGGAGTACGTGTTGGACGAGGTGGAGTCGCGCGAGTCTGAACGCGACATAGCCACCGATGTCATGGCTGGGGTGATGTTGGAGGTGGGTGACGAGAAGAACATTTTGCTGGCTGTGCGAGGTTGGAAGGGAGGAGGATGTTGTTGTTGTTGTTGTAAGACGCGACGGGGGTGTCGGGTTTGATATACACGCACAGAGTTTGGGGGGCCCGTGATGTTATTATGATGGGTGTTGCTAGTCGCCAGATCCGGGATTCGGATTCCCAGTTGCGGGAGGGTGGCGATGGGATGGGCTGGTTGCGGGTGGTGATGCAATGTGCGAGTAATATGTTTGCGTCGAGTCAGGGCCCACGGATGTGAGTCGGCTAAACGACCTGGAGTTCAGGAGAAGGCCGGCGAACGGTGATCCGGCGTGATGGGAGTTGTGATCGGTTGACTTGCCGCTGCTGCTCGCCTCGGTGGTTGGCCCGGTTCGGTCAGCGTGGAAGTCAAGGGAATCCCAGTGGTCAATATATGCCTCGTCAGGGCGGCTGTGCTGGCTGCGCTGGGGGGGTGCCAGTGTTGCGAAGGGGTTTGTAGGTTGTACCTGGAAGTGTTTCGAAGATCCAAAGGGGGAGGGAAGAATCCTCGTTATTAATGTTTGTGCCGGGCGCGAGGGTGGTAGAAGTAAATTAGTCGTATCACTGTTTTGCCCCTTCCCCGTGCTTTTCCTTCTTCTTTTTCCTTTTGGGCTTATGGAGAATGGCGAAAACCCGATGGAGCGGTGCGACCTCGGGCCTAGGGTGGGAAAAGTCACAAACGGGGTTCGGAGGATGGGCCCCTTCTGTACTATGGGTCGTACGTTGTAGCGTTTTTTTGGTCTGCGTTCCGGGTTGTGGGGGGTGGGAGGGCAAGCGGCAAAAGGTTTGTCGGCTTTGGCACCGTGACGATGGGTTCCGCGAGAGGCTAGCGATTTCGCGTCTGAGTGGCTGGTTTCAGACACGTCGGAATTGGCGGACCGTTGAGGTGATGGGACGCAGGGGGTTCGATAGCAATGTCGATTGTCGATAGTGTGATGCGGTACCGGTTCGATGAGGATGGTTCGAGGAGTGCAGGAGGGTTTGGTGATGGGTGTTCTGAGGCAGAGGAGAAAAGTGGTTGAACGCGGACAGGGAGGCAGAGGGAGGGCAGAAAGGCAGGATTATAACAACACAGTCAACAGGACGAAGGCAAACCCCCAAACTGGATGATTTGTTGTCCTTGTCCGCAGCGCTGACTGTCGGTCAGTAGACCGCCTGAAAGAGGGTTGGATTCTGATTGTGCGTGAAGGGGTGAATGTGACACCGAGTCCAGCACCCTTCAGCCAGGCAACCGAGGGCGAGTGACGAGCTAGGCTCGAGGCGCAAGCCACGGGGGTTAGACGAGAAGCAAGCACGGGGGGTCGAATGGGAGAATCCCAGACAAGCCACCAACGTGGGTTGGACGAGAATGTTGTGTCTTGGAAGCTGAAGCCGGCAATGAATCAAATTCGAGCAAAAGGATCTGGCGGTGACCAGGGGGGGGAGTTGCGGCGAGGCGGGCGTTTGGACCAGAGAGAAACGGAGCTGAGGAAAAGATGGAGCCTGGGTCTAAGACGAGGGAGCTCTGGTCGCAGTGGTTGGTGGCCGTGCGGGCTCAGCGGGCTCACGGAATGGGGGGCACTGACTCCTCTGCTCGACGCCTAGAGAAGCCGAGATCGGTCCCGATGAAATCCCTACAGCCCCATAACGAGACCCTAGAGGCCCTGAGAGTCTCCCCCGGGTAGCCAGACTCCCAGGCTTTCAGGCTTTCAGGCTTCCAGGCTGCTGTCCAGGCTACCCCACGCGCCCGGGCCCAGTGTCTGACTCGCCAACAAACAAGTCAAAGGGGTCACAGCTGCCCCCGGCTAAAAAGCACCTCGGGCCAGTACCACTCGACAGATGCAGAGCCAGGTCGAGATTCGTCGGGTAAAACGGTCGGGTCCCTCCTATCATCACACAGAGATGCTAATTCAGGAAGTCAATTTGCGACAACGGGCAATAATTCGAGTGATAGTGATGGCGGCGGACAAGGAATCCCACGACGACTACGAGGACTTGCACAGTACGGACGCATAGTCGTAGGGAGACTCGTCGCTGTCAGACGGACTTTGGTGGTTGATACAACAGTCTCCCTCACTATGTTCCCGATTTAGCCAAAATGAAGCACGCAGCATAATAGTCACAGCCAGCGACGGCCAGCAAAGCTGCGATGACTCAGGCACACATTGATGGTGCTATAGTCGTAGTATAATGCCGCATTCGGACATCCGATGATGATTGCAGAGCAGGGATCGGGTCATCTTTGTGGCTAGGACTCTCTCCCTATACCGCGTACTCAGTCACAGGCAACACCACACCAACCCCCAAATTTAGCTTCGGTCAACTCTTTCCATTATCATTACCATCACCATCATCACTATCACCGTCTGTCATCCCTTCTAGCCCCTGAGTAAGAGGGCATTAGCCATAGCAAACACTTGGTTGTTTGCTGGCAGTCGCCGGAAACGATTACTTCAGCCGGCAGCAACCCTGGCCAGACCCCAAGCGTTGGGATTACCGGATCGGGCAGGCACTGGGCCTCTACAAACAAAACAAAAGGCCCAGAGCGAGGTTGAGCCGTCGCCTAAACTCGCCTTTGTTGTGTGAACCGGTTGATTACCAGCCGGCTGTTACTGTAGGAGCTAGGGACGAGAGCCTGAGTAAGGCTTGATTATTCTCCCACCGTGTGTCTGGTATACGACGACACCAAGCAAACCAAACGTCATACCAAACGCATTTGCTTCATCCCACGCTGCCATGGTCAAATGTTTGTTTGTTTGCTATTACTCTTTGCTTTACGAGAGTCGTTGGGATCCTTGCATTTCTCCCGCCCGACCAATGCCATAGCATCCGTCTCCCTCACCGTGATCTCTCGGCAGATGCCACTCCTCCCCTCCTCACGGCCAACACATCAAAGGAGATATGAGTCAGGCCAGGAAGACTTGTTGCTTCTCCAACTCTGGGGCCGGGCGCACACACCCAAAGTTGCTGCCCAACTCGTCCACCGAACAAAAAACAAAAGCTTAAAGGCAGCCACTCACCGGTGCCTCCAACACTCCCTTGTCGGTCGTTTCCGGGCGCCAGAAAACGAAACTGGATTTAACTAAGGGGACCCCTTCGCGGGGCCCAGCTAGGGCAGTGGGCACTCCTCGTGGTTGTAGGCAAGGCGACGAAACTTGCCGGGCAGTTGTACCCCCGATGCCTCGGGGATGGATGCCTCAGGAAGTGATGCGTCCAGTCCACCTTTGATAGTTTGGGGTTTTTCACACACGCATTCGAAATTGTCAGTGCCTGATATGTCTCTAGATGCCTGGCCTGCAGAGACGAGAAAAGCTCGAGTACGGAACCGAACAGGGTCCGTGATGTCCTTGTCTGCTCCTGCGTTGCCTTGCCGCGCCTCATTCGGCTTCGTCACCGTCGTAAATGCTGTGGAACTAAGATTGGGGGGATGGCATTGCCTACTCTAGCAACTATCAGACAAGCAATCTATTGCAGTCTCAGTCTTCCGCTACCACATGCACAGGTAAGGAGTACGGAGTCTAGGGTCTCTCCCCTCGGCGCCCACCAGATCGGCGAGTTTTGCGTGCTTCAAACCATTGGGGAACATGGGAACATCCAGGTTCCCCGAGACTAGCCCCAAGTACCTTCCCACCAGAATTTGGCTGGGGAGGTACCTTCACCGCATCTGGAGATACCTCGGCGAGTCCCAAGCCACACTTTTGTTCTCCATGTTCGCCCTTTGCCTCTGCCCTCGGTGTCTCTCTTCGACTGTAACTCCAGCGAGTCCACATTAAACAGTACAACTGTAGAGGTCTCCTCTCTCGGCTCCCCCGTGTGATGGGTACTTGCAAGTGCCGTTCTCCAAGAGACACCTTACAGTGGCAAAGACCCAATCTTCCAGAAGGATTTTGGAACATTGTCCCAGGTTCACTGCAACGACGGGGAACGAGATGGTGGATCAACGGCGCAAGCAATAATCCCACCTCTTCAACTGACTAGAGAACGAACTCCATTCAGCCTCCTGGGTAAAGTCCCCATAGTCTAAACCAGCCAAAAGACCCATAAGCCGGTGGTACTAAAGTGCCCCCGAACGCCACCAGTTGCGCCTCCATCAGACCCATCGCAAACCTGGTCAGATAGACTCCACCGCTCGTCGTTGAAGGGGACCCATCATCAAGCCCAGCTCTCCGGGAAGGGATGAATTGCTTGCACAATATCGAATCTCGCTTGTCGTCCAATGAACATCCGCCACTGTCTGCTCGAGCTCCTCCTGAGGCTTCGCTGTGAAAACCTGTTCCGAGTTTTCTTCATTCCGGCAAAGTTTGGCTTTGGTTTTCGAGTTTTCATGGCTGGAAGTTCCCGAGCACCACTTCGTCTCCTTTACTGCTCGTTGCCTCAGACCGAGGTGCCGAACGGCATTCTTCAACGCCAGGCCCAGCCCTTCTAACCTCGACTGTTGGCAGCACGGTCCGTTGTCGGCAGTCAACCAGACGATCAAAAACCCCACTGGCAAGCTCTACCTTCGAAGACACTGATTGGCTTTTTGCGTTACTGTATGCCTTTTGATCGGCCGTAATCAGCAAATCCATGAGCATGGCAGGTGAGATGGAAGGCTTCCGTCCTGGGCGTGCAACATGGCCAGACTAACACGACGTGAGCCCGACAAGTAGGAGGCAAAATACAAAACAAGACCCAATAGGGAAACACCTTTTTGCCAGTTACTCAACATGACTGCGCCGCAATTCATCCGTCGGGTTGTCAAAAGTCCCTTGGTGGAATGGTCAGCCCGTTCGCCAACGCAACACGGCCCGGCTCCGACAAACAGGTGTTTATGGTCATCCCGGCCTCGTATCACCCTTTTGGGCTCAAGATAGCAATGGCGTGGGTGACACATGGTCCGCATGCAGCTATGTTTGTCAGATATGCAGGGTCCCCCAGCCCATCTCACACATGTCCAACATGACTTGCCGCTACAGCCCTGCGAAGTGCTCCAGCTGACACTGGCACGAGCTGAGCCTCGTTTGCAGGCGTGGTCGTGTGCATGTGCTGGGCGCGCCCGCATGTGACGCATAGCATACGACTCTGACCTGCAGCAAGGAATTGAACAACTGTCGGTTCGGGCATCATCCTGTCTCAAACGGCGATTCGAGGCGAGAAACAATCATCAATCGTAATATTGGGCCCCTTTGTTGTCTGTTGCTTTGTCCGAGTCAGAAAACGACCCGGACGGCCAGTGTCCGCAACTCAAAGGGGCCTCCTCCACGCGGCTTACAGTGTGCTTTCGTGCGTAGCGAGGCCAACACCCTCCATTCGCGCGCCTATGCATCTCTCCGGATTATTCTCTTGAGATGCGGAGGCGCTCTGCGAGATCGAGGGGGTAAAAGGAATGGGCGGCTCCCCGCTTCTCCAGGCCGAGCCAGACCTGCAACTTGTCGCCAACACTGATCGACCGTGCGAAAACCCCCCGCAACTCACAACCGCGGCCAGCACGCCTTGGTCGGGGTTGGGGAACCATCCTCCGCAACGGAACAGTTCTCTGCCTCTCCCAATTCATCGTCGATGGAGGTTCGCATCGGGTGTACGTCGCCTTGGAACCTTGGGGCTGCTTCCGATGGATTTTGGCTCGCCCTATTCCGAAGGGAACAAACTCTGGTTTCTCATCGCAAAAGATGGTCCGTGAGAAGGGCGACACGAAGATGACCGCGAACATCGGCCGAACATCGCACGGACCCGTCCATCGCTCGAACGAACCGTCGTGGAAGATCAGCAGCGGTCGACAAACAGGATCACGAGGATCAGCCCTCAGCTGTGCTGGAAGCTGGTCTGGAATGCACTGGGCTGCCCGGCCGTCCAAGGAAGCCTCAGCCATCTGCACCAGTCATACGATCTTGGGCGAACCCCCACTGCACAGTCCACAGCCTAGAATGTCCTTTTTAAAAGGAGGGGGCCTAACGATACCTCTCCTCCCTCCCGCGGACCATCATTTTATTCTCACGTGTTTTCTCGAGCAAAGACGATACCCATGCGGATCTTGATCTTTGGGTCGTCGAACCCGCTCTGATCCAGGGCATTCAAGCCGCACTCTACAAATTCCAGGGTCCAGACTCCAATTTCATTGTTGGACATTGAATGACTGCAACCGTTCACGCAACACACAGCTGGTCTCGTGATTTCCTTGTTTGCAGAACCAACTCACGCGACGAAAGGATCGAGACAGGTCGCCAGCCGTGTCTCGCTTGGGCGAGGTTTGTGGATTGATGTTTGCAGCGGCCATGTCACAAAACCCAACGCAGTCTTCTGTACCGGCCAGATGATCAATCAGGCCGCCTGGAATGTGCGGTCAAGCTCCCTGACGGGCCGAGCACGGGCTTGCACACAAGCATCCTGAGACTTCCTGTGCTCAACTACTCACCGTTCCGGCCGCTTCCAGCCTGATCAATCTCTCGACAGTGCTCTCGCGCATATACACGGTCACGTGCTTCGTTTACAAGGGCGCATTTTCATGGCTGCCTGACAATACTCCCGTGGGCATAGGATGTCGACACGGAACTCTCATGGCATTCGCTGTCGTCGCTTGATACTAACAGACATGATTTTGGAGGATGATATCATCGGTATCTCACAGTCTGAAATCTCTACACCATCTGGCCCCGAGGTGCGCTTGCTAGAAGCAGACCCTCTTCCACCAGGTAAGTGGCATACTCTCGGAACGTGCACTCTTGCTCCCTTGAGATGAGCCACATCGTCCGAGGGTAGGTCGCCCACAGCCTGAAATTCATCCGTGAGGCTGCTGAGTGTGAGTGAGTGGTGAAGCCAAGATGTATGGCCTGGTGCTCAACAAGAGGTATGTTTTGGTATCGGCCGTAACGTGACTCGTCATATCAGTCCGCGTCGGTGGTCTTGACTTGCTTGTGACAACGGCCGTGTGAGTGAGGACGATGTTCTCAGCGCATCTGCTTCCAACCTGTGTGCACCATTTCACGCGCTGAGGATGAGGGTGAGCGTCTGGTTGGACCCTGGATCGAGGTTTCTGGGGCGTTAGAATGTTCATGTACCTTGAGGTATCCCTGTCCAGCGTTCTCGAAGAGGCCTTCTCGACATAACATCGCTATCTGATAGACATTCTGCACATCTACTATCTTAGAGGTTCTATCTCTGACATCCTCATCGACCGTTTTCAAATTGCTCTCCCGTAAAAAGGTCCAGGTATCATAGATCGCGCATCCCCAATTGTTTCCACCCTGTCCAGAGTCGTCCGAATGCATACACCGACTGGGGATTTCCACCGATGAGCGACCCTGTGAGCCCGTTTCTCGACATTCACCCAGTCGCTGCACAGAAAATCGCATTCGACGAGGGCCCTCGCGGAAGCTTGGCTGTCTTGCCGCTTTTGCAGGTGCACGAGTCATTCGTGCTGCATGCTAGAGCGGCGAGAAGCTTTCTATGAGAGCGCTGCTTTAAGGTCGCCGCACCTCTCTTAGTTTCCCTTCCACTCACACTTTCATCGGTTTCCCGATCAAAGCCTCTTTCATGCATCTCGGCCTAGATTGAAGAATATACCTATAGATGGTCGCACCCGCAGCACTGAAAAGATGTTCGCGAATCAAACAATGACGGCAATCGAATTCATCAAGGCGACGCTCGAGCTCGGCTGCCCGCCTACAGTGTTGTGGAACACTGGTCTGAGGAAGAGGCATCTCAGCATCAGTCCTTAGGGTGGCAACTTCTGGAAACTATTAATATGTTGCACACGCAAAGCTTTTGGAACTGCAGTCTGCTGCTCTTCATTGACTCAATCGCATCTCACCGTGCATCATGTCGTCATCCGCCATGAGTTGTGCTTGCGCAGCAGTGGAACAACCGCTGTGATCGTTTGCCAATCTGCCACTTTCTCAGTCTCCCAGTCTTCCAACAATGTAGGCACTCTCCAATTTGTCCCCTCTCGCCTGTCCTTGGGGCAGGGAAGGGGGAACCAGGCTGGAATACCCCAGCATATTGAACGAGTCCTAATGTCCCAAGTCAATGAACGTCAGTGGTGTGAATATCAGCGACAGAGGAAGCGGAAGGTGAGCCGAGGGTAAGTAAAGGAAAGAGCGACAAGCATGAGCAGATGGCCAGATAAAGTAGCAAGCCCGATGATAAGATGGAGTAGTAGTGGGAGAGGATCTGAGGGAGGAAGTCAGATAAGCCGTAGTCTCTTCCATCGGATGATCAGATAACCCAGAACCCGTCACGACCACGGGTGCTTCTTGTGGGTTCAGGCGACGCTGCAGCAGTCGCAAGAAGAGCAGGACGCGTGGGTGCCCAGTCGTGATCCTGGAGCAGGGGGACTGGGGCAGCACACTGACGTGAGGTCGGACAGCCTCGTGTCAATGGTGAGAGGTCGAGAAGGCTGAACGGCAACTGGAACTTCCATCTGACTGTCCGCGGAGCCCGTGGTGCGCGCCCCGGATGCACATCTCGGAAAGGAATTCGAGGAGATACGAGATCACGTGGCTTGCACTTGCCCAAACGGGACTTATGCACGGATAATGAGCGAATAACTTCGGGACCGGAACAAGCGACGGCTGCACAATGGCCCCCTATTCCCTCAGAGCATCTGGGCATCCCGGGTGTGGGGATGGCTCCTTCCGGGCATCTGGCAGCCGGTTGGCGGCACCCAAGAATGAGCGTGCTGGTGCCTGGAATGCCTGGAACGCAGCCCCCAGCCGAGCCGCCAAGCAGCCAACCAAAGCGCCCCGAGTGGCTCTGGGTGGCCACTGGTGGCGCCTGGTGGCGCCCGGTGGCCCCTAATTCACGGAGCAGCCAGTCAGCGCCCGCGGCCACGGACATGCAAGCGGGCTTTAGGCTCGTATTCGACGTATACCATGCCCGCACTGGTGATACGCTTTGCCTTGTCCCGGCAAAAAGCGATAGCCTACGGTGCGAGCTGCTGTGTCGAGATTGCGAACAGCACAAAGCTGCCCATCGGAAACTAAACTAAGTCGGATTGCCTTGTCGTCACTTGTTGTTGCGTTAATGCATGGCATTTTCTTGTCTCACGTCCCCTGTTCCCGCGACTTCGACCGAAATCCGACACAGGGCAGGAAAAAAATAACTGTCTCTACCACAAAACAACAACATCCATCCTCCGTGATACCACTGTGCATTTGTCTGCTGCATCCTTCCACCGTCTTCTCGGTCGTTCCCTTTCCCTTCCCTATTAATCTCACCGGTTTCCTTGTTCTCTTCTGCCTGATTGTTGGGGTTATATGAGCATTGGGATTTCTTGGGCCCTACGCCACCACCACCGACTGCCACCTCCCAACTTCACCCGTCTCTTCCCTCGAACCGCTTCCCCCATTATTGTTATTGTCCATGCCTTGACACAGTCCCGCGAATCATGACGACTCCTCTCGTCGGCAACATCACGACAAACTACGATCGAAGTCGTCGAATGTCCGGTGCCTCTCCCGACAACCAGGCCACGGACTTCCCTTATCTGGACCGATCAATGTCTTCAGGTGGTGGTGCCGTAATCGACGAGAGCCAGGATGCCAACAGGGAAATTCAAAACCTCGCCCGCCAATATTCCCGCGTCTCGACCACTGCGGAGCCTGGATACCAACCGTTCGATGAAGCGAGCGCCGGTACCGAGATTGATCCCAACTCGGACAACTTCAATGGCAGGGCCTGGACAAAGGCCATGCTGAGGCTCCAGAAGCAATCCGGCCAGAATGTCGGTCGCACTGCGGGTTTCGCCTTTCGCAACCTCTCGGCCTTTGGCTACACCAAGGGCAGTGACTTCCAGAAGACGGTCGACAATTATCCTCTGGCCCTGATGGACATGCTGCGAGGCATCTTCGGCCACAAAGGCCAACGCGTCGATATTCTACGCAATTTCGAAGGTGTGGTGCAGCCGGGCGAAATGCTCGTCGTCCTAGGACCTCCTGGCTCGGGTTGTTCTACCTTCCTCAAGACCATTACGGGCGAGACGCACGGCTTCAACCTCAGCGACGATTCCTATATCAACTACCAGGGCATTAGCTACAAGCAGATGCACAATGACTTCAAGGGTGAAGCCATCTACACGGCCGAACAGGACGTCCATTTCCCCATGTTGACGGTCGGCGACACGTTGCTCTTTGCGGCTCGGGCGCGAACACCGCAGAATATGAAACTGCCCCCAGGCGTGACCAAGGCAATGTACGCAGCTCACCTACGGGATGTGGTCATGGCCGTCTTTGGCATCAAGCACACCATCAATACCAAAGTCGGCAATGACTTTGTCAGAGGTGTCAGTGGTGGTGAAAGAAAGAGAGTGTCCATCGCTGAGGCAACATTGAGTAATGCTCCTCTCCAGTGTTGGGATAACAGCACGCGAGGTCTGGATTCAGCCAACGCCATCGAATTCTGCAAGACCCTCCGGACCTCGACCGACTTGAATGATACCACTGCGGCTGTGGCCATCTACCAGTCGCCACAAAGTGCCTACGACTTTTTCGACAAGGTCCTTGTTCTCTATCAGGGTCGTCAGATCTTTTTCGGTCGCACTACCGAAGCCCAGAAGTACTTTGAAGATATGGGCTTCGAATGCGCCAAACGCCAGACCGTCCCGGATTTCCTGACCTCCATGACCAACCCGATTGAACGCCTTGTCAAGAAAGGATTCGAGTCGCAGGTGCCTCGCACACCAGACGAGTTCGCCGAACGATGGCAAAACAGCGAAGCGCGACAGAGAATGTTGCAGGAACTGGATGCTTTCGAAAATGCCAATCCGATTGGTGGTCCCAACCTGGAAGCCTTCAAGCAATCTCGTCGTATCCAACAGTCCAAAGCTCAAAGGAAGTCTTCTCCGTACACCTTGTCCTACGGGGGCCAAATCAGATTGTGTCTGTGGCGAGGCTTCAAGCGACTCATGGACGACCCTGCCATTACCCTCACACAGCTTTTTGCCAACTGTATCAACGCTCTTGTGGTTTCTTCCTTGTTCTACAACCTACCAGCCGATACCGACTCACTCCGATCTAGAAGCTCCCTCATCTTCTTCGCGGTCTTGCTCAACGCGTTTGGTAGCGCTCTTGAAATTCTCACACTCTACGCACAGCGCCCGATTGTGGAAAAGCATCAACGTTATGCACTTTACCACCCGTCGGCCGAGGCCTTTGCATCAATGCTCACAGACGTCCCCTCAAAGACTCTCAACGCCATCGGCTTCAATTTGATCCTCTACTTTATGACCAACCTTCGACGGACACCTGGTGCCTTCTTTTTCTTCTTGTTCACCTCTTACATCCTGACCTTTACCATGAGCATGTTGTTCCGCTTCATCGCGTCTGTATCGAGATCGCTCGTGGAAGCTTTGGTCCCGACAGCTGTCTTGATGATCGCCATTGTTGTGTACACGGGTGAGTAAACATGCTGCCCTTCCGAATTTCCGACTTCGAGATTTAGTGACTGACTCACGGGTTAGGTTTTGTTATTCCTGTGGACTATATGCATGGGTGGGCACGCTGGATGAACTACATCAACCCGACAGCATATGGGTTTGAAAGTCTGATGGTGAATGAGTTCCACAATCGTGACTATCCGTGTTCGACCTTCGTCCCTCCGGCGCCTCAGTTTGGAAATGGCTCGACCACGTCCCAAATCTGCACAGTCGTCGGATCCGTGGCTGGCCGAACCTTCGTCGATGGCGACGCTTACATCAACATCTCCTACAAATACTTTGCGGGCCACAAATGGCGGAACATTGGCATCTTATTCGTGTTCATGATCGGACTCTGTGTGATGTACTTGGCTGCAACCGAGACCGTGACCGCCAAGAAGTCCAAGGGTGAAGTGCTACTCTTCCGACGAGGCCACAAACCGGCATTCTTGAAAGAGCAAATGTCTGATATGGAGTCGGGAGGCTCCGACCCGAACCTCGTTGCTCTCGAAAGGAGGCAGACAAAGGATGAACAATTGACGCGACAAGTCAGTGCGGTGATTCAGAAGCAGACTGCCATCTTTCAATGGAAGGACGTCTGTTACGACATCAAGATCAAAGGCCAACCGCGTCGGATTCTTGATCATGTTGACGGTTGGGTCAAACCAGGAACCATGACAGCTCTGATGGTATGGCTTCGCTGGAAATCTTCAGGTCCCATTTTGGCTAATATTGCAACAGGGTGTTTCGGGTGCCGGCAAGACCACTTTGCTCGACTGTCTCGCAACACGTGTGACAATGGGTGTTATCACTGGCGAAATGCTGGTCGATGGACGACAGCGCGACGAGTCCTTCCAGAGAAAGACAGGTTATGTGCAACAGCAGGATTTGCATCTCGAGACAAGTACCGTACGAGAAGCTTTACGTTTTAGCGCCCTCTTACGACAACCGAGAGACACGCCGCGACAAGAAAAGATCGCCTACGTCGAAGAGGTTATCAAATTGCTGGACATGCAGGAGTACGCCGACGCTGTAGTTGGAGTTCCAGGTGAAGGTATGTGCTCCCTAGCCTCGCTCTATCGTCGTTCTCAAGTTCTGACTCTCAATGCCATAGGTCTCAACGTGGAGCAGCGGAAGCGGTTGACGATCGGAGTAGAGCTCGCTGCTCGGCCTCAACTCCTTCTCTTCCTTGACGAGCCTACGTCCGGTCTTGATTCGCAGACTTCCTGGTCCATTTTGAATCTTCTCGAGAAGCTCACAAAAGCTGGCCAAGCTATCCTCTGCACCATTCATCAACCCTCCGCTATTCTATTTCAGAGATTTGACCGACTCCTGTTCCTTGCGGCCGGTGGCAAGACTGTGTACTTTGGTCCGGTGGGCAAGGACTCCCATATCCTGATTGACTATTTCCATAGAAACGGCGCTCATGACTGCCCTCCTGGCGCCAACCCTGCCGAATATATGCTCGAGGCCATTGGTGCAGCGCCCGGATCTCATTCCGATATCGACTGGTTCCAGGTCTGGCGCAGCTCACCAGAATACCAGGAGGTGCAGCGAGAATTGGAAGAGATGAAAGTTGAACGATCTCAAATGGTGGCTCCAACCTCGGCGAACAAGGCAGATTACTTCGAGTTTGCCGCGCCTTTCACACTCCAATTCTGGGAAACGCAGAAACGGGTTTTCGAACAGTATTGGCGAACCCCGGAGTATGTCTACTCCAAGCTCCTGCTGTGCTGCCTGACGGTGTGTATTGCCCTCGTGCTTTGACTTTCCATGATGCTGACCGTGTCGCTAGGGTCTATTCATCGGTTTCTCGCTCTTCAAGGCCCCGAATACTCAACAAGGGCTTCAAAACCAGCTCTTTGGCATCTTCATGCTGTTGGTCCTGTTCTCGCAGCTTGTGCAGCAAATCATGCCTCTCTTCGTCACACAGCGCAGCCTGTATGAAGTACGTGAGCGACCTTCAAAGACCTACTCATGGAAGGCATTTATGCTATCGAACATCCTGGTCGAGCTCCCTTGGGCAACCCTGGGAGCTGTGATCTTGTTCTTCTGTTGGTATTATCCCATTGGACTATACCGAAATGCAGAATACACCGACTCCGTGGCTTCACGTGGGGCAACGCAGTTCTTGTTTGTGTTGGAGTTTATCCTGTTCAGCAGCACCTTCGCGCACATGTAAGTATCTCGACAGCGAACCCTTGCTAGGGATCCGCCTCCCTCAAATGGTACTCTGATGCTAACGGCCTTGCAGGATGATTGCAGGCATTGCAACAGCAGAGACGGCCTCCAATATCGCAAACGTTCTGTTCTCGCTCTGTCTTCTGTTCAATGGTGTCTTGGTCGGCCCCAAGGCGATGCCTGGGTTCTGGATCTTCATGTACCGAGTGAGGTAAGTGGCAAATCATCCTGTGGAGTTGAAAACGGAAGCTGACCCGTGAACTCCAGCCCCTTTACGTATCTAGTCGAAGGGCTCTTGAGCGTGGGAATCGCACACGCACCGGTTGTCTGTGCAGCCAATGAATACCTCCATCTCACCGCGCCGGCCGGCCAAACCTGCGGCGAGTATCTCGGCCCCTTCATCAAGCAAGCGGGCGGCTACCTCCTGGACTCGAACACCACGCAGTGCCAATTCTGCACCGTCAACAGCACCGACACCTTTTTGTCACTGGTGAGCATCTCGTTCTCGCACAGATGGCGCGACTTCGGCATTTTGTTCGTGTACATTGCGTTCAACGTGTTCGCGGCGGTGACTATCTACTGGTTGGCCCGGGTGCCCAAGGGCAAGAAATACGCCGGCGGCAAGGACGCGGACAAGAGCAAGGCGCTGTTCAAGACCCTGAGCAACGCGAGCCAGGGACAGCACCAGCAGCCGGCAGCCGGCGGGAACTACGAGAAGAGTCCCGCCGTGCTCGGAGCGTCGTCGGAGAAGGACCGTCGCACGACGACTCCATCGACGGACGACGACTCGAGCTCTGAGAGCGATCGGTCGATTCGGGAGAAAGACCCAGAGAAGAGAGAGGCCGTCAACGTGCAAGAAGCGGAGAAACCACACCAGCCTAGCCAGAACGAAGTCGCCGCCGCCGCCACCTCCGCCGCGGCAGAGAGGCCAACCACGGAACGCTTCATCACGGCACCGCAGTTCTAATCTAATGGTGCGTTGTTCGCGGGAGGCCTGATTTTTGCTCGATGTACCATATCACTCTATTCTTATTCCTATTCCTATTCCCATAATAGCCGGAGTTGTGCTGTTGTGCGGTGTGTTGTGTGGTGTTTCACATCTTGCTGGACCAAGCTTTCATCTCTTGAATATCATTTCACACACGCCGAGGGCGAGGGCGAGGGCGAGGGCGAGGTCGAAGGTGAAATGGGAGCTGGTAATCTCTTTTGTATCGAAAACCCCCTCTCTAGGGCAGGAACTTTAAAAAGTACCTCACTCATCTGAGGTGCTCGAATAGAATTTGGTTGGGAACCTGGAGTTTCATTGCTCGATGGATGGATGCATGGATGGTTAGATGAATAGATGGGGACAGACTGACAGACAGACAGACAGACAGATGGATGGATGTAGTTATTTACCCTCCGGTGGTGGTGGTTCGGGATTTGCGATTGTCAATGTGAGTCAGTGTCAATGTCAACGATGGGCGTGTAGGACATACATATAGATGTTACATGGGGGGGCCGGGCGATATGGAGCACGAGCAAATCCCTCAACTCAATCATGATTCATACGCGTATACACACACACCCTGGTGTGGTGTGTGACTTGCTGCTTAGAGGTTTTCCTTTCTTCATGAGAGCCCAAAAGGATAGAGGACAGACGTGTGGACTGGTTACAGACTGCACTAAACAAAGTCGTACCATCATCACATTTATTCACTTCTCACTTTACTCACTCACCCGCCCGCCCACCTGCCTGCTAGCCCGCTAGCCCAGGCGGATCCGCGTCCTGGTCTTCTTCAGATCCAACGGCCTGAGGAAAGGGGGGTGCTCCTTCTCGGGGCTCTGCCGTCGGATCCGCTCGCACTCCTCGTCCCAGACGCGGTGGGCCAGGTTCACGAACCCGACGCGCTCAGCCGTCGCCGCACCAGTCGCGCCGGCGCCGCCTGGCCGTCTCTCGATGACCACGACGCAGAGGTCCGTGAACGGGTTGTCGTAAATGCGCTGTTGGTCGCCGACGCTGCGTTGATACGCCAGCCGGCCCACGACCAGGCCCTCCCACGCGGACGAAGAGAGCTCAGTCCTCCGGGAAGGGTCGACGGGCCCGGAGAGCTGGAACGGCGAGTAGATCCCATAGGTCTCGTGGCAGCGGACGAAGAAGCCGGCACGATACGGGACATCAGGCGCATAGGACCACGAGTTCCGGGGCGGGTGGTCGAGCCACTCGAAGCGAAGGGACACGGTGTATACGTCCAGCTGGAGGAAGTTTGACAGCTTCGTCGGCGGTGGCAGGTGGTCAGTCACGATCAGGCGGCGGAACTCCTTCCACGGGACGAGGGTGCCGTCGGCCACCTCGACTGATGCGTCCATGCTCTCCGCAGTGAAGGCTGGGTGGTACGTGTGCTGCACACCCCGGAGCTCAAGGTACGCGACCTCGCCGACCCAGCCGGCCCAGGACCAGCTGGGAAAGCCGGGCCGTCGGGTGGAGGTTTTGACGTGATACCAGAGAAAGCTGTACTGCAGGGCGCCGTCGTCGGAAGGAGATGCCTCTTGGGCGATGACCGCCGGAAGCAAAGCGCCCATATATTGGTACAGGACCTTTGCGTGCGCCATGGCGTTGAAGAGGCCCTGCATGGCTTGGATCACGTCCGAGGAGAAGGAGAGTTGGCGTCTCGAGTAGTCGCTGAGCTTGTAGATCTCGTTGAACGCGCTGGAGAGCGAGCTGTGCGTGTCGATGCGTCCGAGGTTGCTGAAGGGGTATTCCCCCCAGGCCTCGGCGCGGAAGACATTCCACCGCTGCTCCATGTAGACCTGTAGATCAGTAAAGATCAGGCGCGACCCGGAGAATACCATTTCCTGGTACGTCCATGCTCGGGTATTCCATCTCGATTTCAGCACCAGCGCCGGTCCGTCCGGCATGGTCCACGTGAGCAGGTGCTTGCCGACTTTGGCACAAGGCTGCCGACCGGCTTTCCTCTTTCTCGAAACGCCCGGGAGCCCGTGGTCTGCCCCGTCGCCCGCCGCGGCAAATATGGTGAAGGAGGCGCTGCTGTAGATGGGATCCATTTTCTTGATCTGCGTGGCCTTTTCCACGAGATCGGTTTGCGAAATGCAGTACCGATCGACCCACAGGTAAGGGATGCCGACCTTTTTCGCAACCGTGAGAGCATCCTCGATCACCAGTGGTAACTGCTTCGGCAGCCTATCGCCATCTGGGACAGACTCGTCCGATCGTCCCCAGACGTAGCTCAGGGTGGCGAATGGACATCCCTCTGGGGGCTTGACGATGCGACGCGTCGAACAGTCAATGAGCTTGAAGTTGGGGTTATCCTTGAGAGACAGCCCATCCCAGTCTCTGATATTAGTCATGCCGCCTCTCTCTATCCAGCTCTTGACAAAGGCAAAGTCGACATAGTCTCCTACCACCCCAACAGAATGATGTCCCACCGAACTGTCGGCTTTCGGAACCGCGCGAGATATAAAGCCTGACGAGGAACAATCTTCGTCCAATGTGTCGAGAGAAGGTGTTGGTAAGACTGCCAGCCCGGTCGCTTTATAGGACCTAAATGCGCGGAGGGCGTAATGGGTATTTGCACCGTGCTCTGCAAGCTTGTTGTGGTGTATGGTCATGAACAGATAGCAAAGAGCGCAGCGAGTAGGATTCCAGGTCCCGGGCGTACCCAGGGCAGCAACTTCCCAGTTGGTGTCTCTGGACCTATAGTCGTCCTCGATCTTCTTCAGACGGGCGAGGCTGTCGCTGATGCCTTTGCGCAATCCCAGGCATCGACCACAGAGGTCTTGCGCTTTGGGTGGAGTCCCTGGGATAGTTGGGGTTTCAGGATGGTCCTCGCAATAACGGATCCAGCGTCGATACGTGTGATTCATGGCTTCAACGACCTGGTCTGGGTCGGGAGCGCGGGAAATTCTCTGAGCATTCAGAGGAACAGCAAAGGGTTGCGAGATCAAAGGAGCATTTCAGCTCAGAGACCAGAGACCACCTTGAGTCAAGCTGTAAGAGAAGATGCAGCAATTGGGCCACAGTACGTACAATGCGGAGCCCGGTTATCCTATCACTCCCGTCCACGTCAATGGGGCTGACGCATCGTCGCGACGGCCACAACAGAGTCGAGAGGAAGTCGTAGAGACGGAGGTTGAAGATCGAGGAAGAGATTCGTCGATACAATGCATGATGAACCAACCAGTTTGTCGACCAGCGACGCCATATTAAGGCTTGTCCAGCAGGCCAGAGACGCGGCAGCTTGAGCTGAATCTGCGAAGCGTCATTTGAGCGTCATTTGAGCGTCATTTGACCGAATTATAGAGGACTGAGGACCTCGAGGAGTGGCAGGCAACTACCCACCGAACCACCACCGCAGATAACAACTATTCACCCTACATGCAAGGATATTGGACACTTGCGTATTGGTGCACTCTACTCGGTACTCCCTCCAGAAATCATTCCCTCAGAGCACACCACGATAGCCAATCTCGTCAAAGCGGAGCAGCAGAACAGCAGAACAAAGCTCAAATCACCGTGGACGAACGACAAGCCACACCGTTCTCCAGCGTCGGTGCTCGTTCTCCCGACAACTGGGCTTGATCTTCCAAGACACTTGACGCCGGGAGCTGTTTTCGATCTCTCGGCAACCCACGACCATCTTTGCTACATGGGGATTTTCGAAGCGAGAGCTCGGAACGCGGGGTAGAGGCCGCTGCGACCTCTGTCCTGATTCGGGTGGAGGACATGACGACGTCGCAGTCTCTAGTCGACAGAAATCCGGCTCAGAGCCCGAAGATATATGCGGAGAGGGTTACACTTGTGCGGCAATCTGTTCGAAGTATCCATCATGATCGACAGCGACCGCCATCTCCAGTGCAGCAACACGCCCACCGGGCAGATACAAATGCCGTTACCGTCCACAATGAATCCGAGAATGTGTGAAGCAAGTCCCCAACCTCCTCCACGTCCAATATGGCATCCTGGATAGCTCTCTTGCTGTTTGGGCTGGGTGCAGCCACGGCGCAACAATACTACATCCCGGTGTCAGGCATATCAGCAAGACCTCAATGCACGGCCACGCCATCCTACTCACAGCCCACGTACTCACCATACTCTGCGTTTGCGTATTCCATGACAGAGACAGTACGGACTGCCACATCAGTACAGCCGGGCCCTACCACGACGTATGCGCCACCCGCCGCATCGCTGACAAGCCTCATCTCGTCGCTGTCGTTCACAACGTGGGGCAAATGGGATCCTAACGCTACAGTCTCCGCTACGGATACGGACAATCCCTACGGAGATGCGGCGTGGACCGCACTGTGGAAGATGGCCAATCCTCCCAACTTCACAGAGACGTCAGTCTTCAGCACAACCGTCTCGCCAACTCCCATCCCCACAAGCGAGCTCGTACTGCCACCTTCAGACTACTTCGGACCGACGGACTGCTATTACTTCCCGGCCGATTTTCAGTTTGGCGTTGCAGGGTCCGCTGCTCAAATCGAAGGAGCAACCGCTGACGAAGGCAAAGCCCCTTCGCTCATGGACATTTTGATTCAGGATGATCGACCAAAGGACTATGTCACAAACGAAAACTATTACTATTACAAGCAAGAAATAGAAAGGCTAGCCTCGATGGGCGTCAAGTACTATTCTTTCAGTCTTGCATGGAGTCGAATCCTGCCTTTTGCCCTACCTGGAACCCCCGTCAATCAGCAGGGTCTCGACCACTACTCTGACATGATCGATTTTGTGCTTGAGAAGGGCATGATCCCTGCGGTCACCATTCTACATTTCGACACTCCGGCGCAGTTCTTTGCCGCCAACCTGTCGGCGGCTCAAGCGAAACCGGTGATAGGCTATTCAAACGGTGGGTATCAGAACGAGACGTTTGTCGACGCCTACGTCAACTACGCGAAGATTGTTATGACACAGTACGCCGACCGCGTGCCCATCTGGTTCACCTTCAACGAGCCTTTCATCTACTCCTTCAATGGCCTCTCGGTCGACCATGTGCTCAAAGCCCACGCGCAAGTTTATCACTTCTACAAAGAATCGATCAACGGGACTGGCAAAATATCGCTCAAGTTCAACGACAACTTTGGCGTGCCCCGCGATCCTGCCAATCCGAACGACGTCTACGCTGCGGACCACTTCAACTCGTTCCAACTGGGGATGTTCTGCAACCCGATATTTCTGGGCCAAGACTATCCAGACAGCTACAAAGACACAGTCCCCGATTATGTGCCGCTTACCCCAGAGGATTTGAGCTATATCAACGGCACTGCCGATTTTCTTGGTATTGACCCATACACGGTGAGTCTCGTTCTCAATCCACAACAACCATTCTTTCTGGTGGTCTGCCCATCAAACGTGTCGGTATGACCAGAAGCAGGCTAATTAGACCTGACCGAAAGGCCACCGTCGTCTCCCCACCAGTCGCCAACTCGACCGACTCGATCCACGAATGCTGCGGCAACATGTCCAGCACATACTTCCCGTACTGCGTGAACCAGAGCACCCTGACAACGACGGGCTGGGACATCGGCTACCGCTCGCAGTCGTACGTCTACATCACGCCGCGCTACCTGCGCCTGTACCTGTCGTACCTGTACAACACGTTCCACACGCCCATCGTCATCACCGAGTTCGGCTTCCCCGTCTTTGGCGAGGACGACCAGACCGCCCTGAGCGACCAGCTCTTCGACATGCCCCGCTCCGTCTACTACCTCTCGTACATGACCGAGGTGCTCAAGTCCATCTGGGAGGACGGCGTGCACGTCGCGGGCGCCTTCGCGTGGAGCTTCGCCGACAACTGGGAGTTTGGCGACTACACCGCGCACTTTGGCCTGCAGACCGTCAACAGGACCACGCAGGAGAGGCGGTACAAGAAGAGTTTCTTCGACCTGGTCGACTTCATGAACACCCGCACGATGCCCCAGCAGGAGGGGTGGTCGGGGGGATGGAACTTCTGAACCAGGTGCGATCCGGGCCCTGGACGTGTCGGTTTCGAGGAAGCGTGGATGATCAGAAGCTACCGCTTGCACATGGACGACGCGCGGAAACAATCACGTCCCCACGTGCGGGATCCGCCCAACTATTGTGCATACTATCCCAGCCTCTTGGCAAAAGCCCTGATCATACGTTCTGCGGACGTGGCTTACAATGCACCTGTCCGGGGTCACATTTAAAGGGCCGGCATGGCACATCCCAGGGAAGGAGCATAAGTCTTAGTCACGTATGGATATCATTCCGGGAAAAGAGTTCCATATCTTGGGCGATTATTCGAGGTAATGCAATTCGTATGCTAGCCTAGAGTAAGCTTTGTGAATATACAAGGATGCAGTTTGACGACATTCTGAATGGCTCCTTTTTTCCGCCTTTCTCCCTCTCCCTGTTGGTTCCCGTCTCTGTCTCTGGACCACTTCTTTTCTGGCATATCCAAAAAAAACCCCCCCCGTCCTTATCACGAGCCTTGAACGCTCCATCCGACTCGATTTGAGAGAACTACATTCACAGTGGCAATTTCGGGTGTTTCGGCGGCTGGCAGCTGGTAGAGACTTTGTTTCCTCGGACCCGATCAGAAGACAGAGTGGACCGCAGCCTTTGCCCAGTCCAGGGCTCCCTTCTTCTTCTGCTCCTCTTGGAGTTCCATGATACTCTCCCGGCGCTGTTGGTCCGAGACGCCAGGCCCGGAAATGAGTTCGACCTGTCCCTCGCGCATTCCCGTGTAGATGTCGATGTCCTTGATTTTGACATAGAGCGGGCGATGCTCCTTTTGCATGAACCAAGACCAGAGCTTCCAGCCCAGGTACAGGGCGAGAAGGAAGGGGCCGGCAAGATAGTCCTGGAAGAAGATGGTGGCGTTGAGATTGGGCCCGCCGACCGGGTACAGGGCGACGTAGAACTGGGCGGCCAAGCAGACGAAATTCAGGACGGCGCAGACGTAAGAGCCGTAGATGCCGAAAGCGGCTTTAAAGGGGATTTCATCCAAGCTGTGGCCTTGATGTTTCCTGTGTGAAACGTCAATTTTGGTGGGCGAGGACAAAAGAATGCGAAGAAACGGAAGGACGACTTACCATGCGGCCCGGAAGCGGATGTGCGCAATAGCGATGCTGCCGAAAATGAAGAACGAAGAGAGACCGGACAAGGCCAGGAGCCAGTTGAAGACGTTACCACCTCCATTCTTGTCCAGGTTGAGGAACGCCAAACAACCGAAAAGGAGTTGAAGGATGGTGACGACGACAGGGCGGCCCTTCTTATCGACGTATGCGAAGAGCTTGGGTCCCATACCTGTTGCAAGTGGTCAGTGTTGATCTGATAAGCCCTCGACATCAAATTTCTTACCATGTTGAGCCAACGCCTGGAAAGTTCGAGTAGAGGCAAATGTACAGGAGTTGGCAACACTCATGACAGAAATCAGAATCATGGCGTTGAATATCGAGGGGAGTGCTTTGATGCCTGCTAGTTCGATAGCAATCACAAAGGGGGAATGTCGACTTTCGGCTCCCGGACCGCTGTAGAGCGGACTGTCTGCAGGGACAATAAGGCCGACGAGGAAGAGATTGACGACGTAAAAGATGCAAATACGCCACACGACTTGTCGCGAAGCCCTGGGAATTTCCTTCCTAGGATTTTTGGCCTCGGCAGCCGCAAGTCCAGTAAGTTCGGTGCCGCCAAAAGCAAAGGAGGCCGTGACAAAGACGGTACAGAAACCGTGGAAGCCATTGAGGAAAGCACTCCATGGAGAATGCCTATAACGAGGTGGCCCGGTCAGTGATTGTGTGAGAAGCTCCTTGAACATAGCCATACCAGTATCTGGCTCCGATGTAGCCTCGATGATCGGTCGGGACACCTCCACAGTCGATGATGATTCCCAGGATGATAAATCCAATGCAGGCAGTGACTTTCATTGCGCTGAGGATAAACTCGACCTAATCTGGTCAGCAGCCAGTACTGATGACCGATAGATGGTCACTTACCTCTCCATAGCCCCTGACTCCGAAGTATTGGATGACGGTCAGAGCGAAAAGTAACGGGATGATCCAAGCGCAATCATTCACGTTCTCTACACTTGTCCAATAGTGGATGATCTTGCTATGGCGTCAGCTGTGATGCAGGATGGCCAGGATCATTCTTACATTGCAAGCTGCGGAAATTTCGAATGGAAGCACCGTGAGCCAACCAATGCCGTATTGCCAACCACAGGCAAATCCCCACGAAGGGTCAATGAATCTGCAGATGTACATGGTAAATGCTCCGTTGATGGGGTACATGACAGCCAATTCGCAAAGCGCTTGCATCATGAGATAACTGAACAAGATAGTCAGAATGTTTTCACGTCAGAGTAGGACTTTCATGAAGCGTACACCATGAAACCTGTTTTGAAGCATTAGACTGGTCAGTTTGATTTGGCTTGTTTCGCACTCACCGATGATCATGAAGCCGATGAGAACGGCGGCAGGGCCTCCAGTTTGGAAAGCACCACCGCTTCCAATAAAGAGACCAGCACCGATGGCACCACCACTGAGCGAAAGGTCAGCAAATGAATTAGTACAAGTCTTCAGACGAGAAAAGCATTCATGTGTTGGTAGTAGCCAACACCACGGCGTAGCGATGAAGGGAGAATTCTCCCCAATCAAGCAGACTTACATGGCAATCATCTGCATGTGTCTGCCTTGCAGATTCCGGTGCAGCTTGCCCTGATCGGTCTCAACAATGGCAACATCGGCGGCGTCGACACTGAATTGGCGGCCATGCAGGTGGTCGGCCAAACTGGCCGGCTCGACCGCATCGGACTTGGCCAGCTTCTCTGGGTCCTGCAGGCTGAGACTTTCTCGACGTTCGCTCATCTTGGAAGTTGGGGGGAAGAGCGCGTTGCAAGGTGAAAATCAAAGAGAAAGAATGGAAGTGAGACGAGGTCAGTCGAGAGGGCTGGGCCGCGCAAGATAAAGCACGACAAGCATGGAGGCTTGTATGCTGATAAGCACGTCAAGCTCTACCTCGTTTTGGCGATCTCGAGATAGGCGTTCACGACGGGCGAATGGGCGAGGATTTTAAGGTGCTGGATGTGGTCAAGGCAGGTAACTTAGCCTCATTTTTAGCATTGGACCCCGATCTTTCTTTGGCGAGATTGCTGTCCAAGTGATTGGGCATATGCACTCTCACAAGAAATCGCTCTTCTAGAAGGCATGTCTTACTGGGTGCTATCTCGCGAGGGTGGTATCAGATGCCGGGGTGCTTGCTTGGAGTTGCGAGATATGGTTAACGCCTTCTAGTGTGGCGCTAATGTTGATACGGAAGGTACCGTCCATCCGAGTTAATCGTGCAGTGGCCATGCCGTAGCTTGCTCACGGATGCAACAAAGGTGCGTCTCATGCAGCTGAGCGCGTCGAGTTGCTGTTTCTCGAAGCAGAGGTGCACATGTGTAAGGTGCAGGTAAGCCAGTGGGGAGCGAGGAGGGCAGATGTGGGTAAGGCTGAGGTGACTTCGAGCCTGGTCACCTGACACCCGAATCAAGGGGGGCTAAGGAACATGGCCGTGGCCCCAGAAGTGGCTGATAAGCCGGGCAGCGTACCAAGGAGGGTGATTGGTCTCGAATATCTGAGGTATCGTGCCAAGGTAGTAAACAATCTACAGAGCTTGACGAATAAGGTCCAAAGTCAAGGTGGTAGTTTGTAGCAAGAAGCCCTTGTACGGAGTACTCCTGGCCCATGATAAGGATTGCACTCCGGTTATACGAGGAGAAGAAATGACCCACCGATAGATCGTAACCATGGGCAGTTAGGACCTTGCTGATTCACCTAGGTCTCTATTCGTAGATACCATATAAAGACGTGAGAGCAAAGCGCTAACAAGAGGAGAATCAAAGGATCATAAGAAGACGGAGCAGATGATGATGGTGATGTTAAAGTCCAAGACAAATTAAGCTTAATCGTAATCCTCTGTAATTAAGGCGAGTGCTGAAAGTTACCTGGTACGTACTATGGAGAAAGCAGCGTGAGACGCTCGGCGCCAATCTACCTTGTTCCTGAGACTGCAGGCTACAACCACGACACCTTACGTGTTGCTTGTCAATTCCCAACCACAGCGCAGCGAATCAAACAATAATAGCCTGCGCGACCATCTTCTCACACCGGGTGAGCTTTGAGCGTATTCTGTCCACGGTGACGGGCGTTGGGCCACTCTCCTTCTACCACGCTTCTCCTCCGTACTTCTCTGGTCGAGTCGCTGCCATGGACCCAAGAGGTCTGACCTTGCGGAAGAAACGCAAAGACCGCCCAACCATCAGTGCACCGCAAAATGCCTCTGGGCCCGGCATCGGCAGACCAGGGCTTCCGTCTCAGAACAAGGCCGGGAACACCCTGACTGTACCGCGAGACCGTAATGCCCCGACTGAGACATCTGATCTGGTCAAACGTCGATATTCAACAAGATATAATCAGCTCCCCGACTTCAGTAACCTCAGCACTCCCGCTGTTCCCGCTCTCCCGGGGTCCGGTACCCTCAAGCGTCGCTCTGGAGGCGCTTCTCCGCGTCGGCCAGGGGCAGGATCGACCTCTCGCCCGCTTGTCGTTGACAACGACGTCCTCCGAGACCCAAACCTTCAGCACGAACGATACGTCACTGATCTCCTCGCCAATGCCTCCGAACAAGATATCCAAGAATACCAGAACAATTTGCAGCGGCTCAAGAACCGCAACTCTCAGGAGCTGCAGCGGAGCGTCTATCAGAACAGAACACAGTTCATCAAGATCAGCAAAGAGGCGGAAAAGTTGAAGGCCGAGATGGGCATTCTACAGGGCCTCATGTCCGAGCTGACTGGCACTCTGGGAACTGGGAATGCAGCATCTGCAAGCACTCCTCTGTCGCCCGAGGCCAATGGGACTTCTCTGTCCAGGAGAAATACAAACAGGACGTCGGTCGCGAATTTGGAGCACATGTGGAACATCCAACTACAAACCCTGTGGAAGAATATCGAGAAATCCCAAAAGTTTTTACCGGCTACACCTGGCCGCCATATTGTCGCAGAGACAGGCAACTGGATCGAGCTGGATTCGGCCACTTGGAAACCAAAACGGCCGGTTCACATCGTCCTTCTAAACGACCATCTTCTTGTTGCATCTAAGAAACGCAAGCGGGTAGACCCGAACGCACCTCAACAGGGTCCTGCCCCGACCAAATTGGTCGCCGAGGAGTGCTGGCCACTCCAGGACATTGAAATCATCGACATGTCCGCCAGTGTGGCGAATGGCGGGACCACGACACCAGCTGAGGAAAAGGTCATTGCCTCTGCACTGACAATCCGATCTGGTGGTCGGTCGCTCACCTACCGACACGAGAAACGTGACGAAAAGGCCAAAAACGGTCTTTTGATGGCGCTCAGAAAGGCTACTGAGGACGTCCGGAAGGCCGCCAAAACACAGGAAGAGCAAAGCAATCCACTTCAAACCGAAAGCCTAAACTACTTTGCGGCTCGCGATCCAGCGTCGGCAAAAAACACCGAAATCATCGAAAGCCTCAACTCCTCCAAGGAGAAACCCGACATCCTCATCGAAGTCGATGGCCGGCAACAGAATTTCCGCTGGGTCGAGGGACAGATAGATGACCTGGACATTGAAATCTCCCTACAACGATTCGACGAAGCCGTCGAAAAAGTTGAAAAACTACGCAAGATTGCCAAGAGCTTAAAGGGCAATTCGGTCGCGCAAGAACTAATCAGCGTCAAGGTAGATGAGCGCGCGGGCAAGCTCGCCACGGTGCTCAGTCGAGAGCTGGTCGAGACGCCATCTTTCATGGAAGCTACGAAACGCAAGGTCAGCTACCTCATCCGCCTCGGATTTGAGGATCGCGCAAGAGAAGCCTACCTCAACGCCCGGAGTGAAACGCTCATCAAACGAGCCCGCCAATGCGTTTTTGAAGGTGATTTGCATCGCTATGTCTTCTCCATCTCTTACGTCTACTTCACTATCGTGAAGAACACTGTGCTTATATATCAAGCTGCCTTTTCACCATTGACCATCAGCGCTTGTGTCAAATGGGCCGATATGCATTTGGAGACATTCAATACGCTGCTAGTGAGGCAGTTGAGTGCTATTGAGAAGCAAGGGAAGTTGTGGCGAGAATGTATGGATGTGGTGTGGCAGCATGAGAGGGAGATGTTAGGGGATTCGGGTCTAGATTTTAGAGAGGTCATTGGCCGCGAACTGGAGGTCAGGGATCTTCCGAGCACTGCAAAGCCAGGAGGCAACACTGGGGGGTCCGCAGGGAGTAGGGAGAAGAGCCGGTCCAAGTCACGAACAAGGGGTGCTACATGAGAACGGTGCAGGGTGAGCGGAGAAGGCAAATAGATTGGTACTCCATCAAATCTACACAAGGTATATGCAAAGATGCACAACAGACTCCCGGCGCTTTTTGCTCATGCTGGAATTGGAAATTTTCTTCAGCACTGCCCCATTTCGCACGGTCGCAAGCTTGGTGTTGACACGCAGGAGTACTGCGATGATGATACATGGTGTACAGATGATGAGTCCATGCTTTCGATGCTCGTCGAGCAGCGATTTGTACTTGTCTCAGGAGCAGGACTCGGAAACGGGGAGGTATCGCAGGCGCGTTTATTCGTTGATCTTTGCGAGAAGCCTTCACACCGTTAGCATATGATTTTCCTCTTGGCCAAACCTGTGACATTTGAGACATACTCATGATCCCGGAACAGATGGTACTCCTCCTCTCCCACTTTCACCGGGCTTCCACCATACTGAGGGATCAAAACCTTGTCACCCTCCTGGACGCTCATTGCCATTCTCTTGCCATCTTTGTCGAATCCACCGGGTCCGACGGCTAGCACCTTTGCTTCGTTCAACTCCTTGACGCTGCTTTCCGGGAGGTAGATACCAGCAGCTGTCCGCGACTCAGCCTTGATTCGCTGCACTAGAACGCGGTCGAGAAGAGGGACAAGGGATCGGATGCTCTTGAGTGCGGTAGTCTGCGCGAGGTGTTTGTCAATCGACTGAATTGCGAGCGATTGCGGTGCGACGGCGCCTCCCGAAGCTTCTGTTGAGGGGAAAATGACTTACCATCTTGACTTGATTGGAGAGATTCAGCGGGAAACTGGATGGACTTGGTGTAGGAGGAATAGATGCACGCAAAGGTCAGTAAACAGATGATCACTTTTCAAGAGGTCCCGGGGACTTTTTCTCGAACCATCCGCTCGTTAGACTTTCCTCGGATGAGCTCCGATAATGATTGGACAGGAAACGCCGCAAACTTTCCAAGCTGCATCGCAAACAAAGCAAACATGGCAAACAATCTGCGCTGGTTTACCTCGTCGCCAAATACCAGCCTCCAGCACATCCCTTTCCCCCACTTTCAGTGAGCATTACTCGGGCTGTCAAGATGATGGACTCGGACGAAGACGATATCTATCCGGATCACGATGAGTCGAACGGCCAGAAACACCAAGGTGAGGTGAAGATGGAGGACGCCGACGACGGTGAAGAGGAAGGCGAGGAAGTCGAGGAGGAAGAAGACGATGATGTATGAAATGCGCCTCAAAAGGAGATTGCGAGGAACTGACTGTTTACCAGGATGATGTCGATTTTATCATCGACGTCAAGGATGAGCCCAAGCCAGAGCCAGGCTCTGGACCAGGTTCTCAGACAAAGAGGCTTCCTGGACTCGGACCAGCTGGTGCAGATGTGCGGAAATCATCATCAACACCGACGCCAGCAATGAAAGCAGGCACACCCGCAGATGTACGAGGCGGATCGCAACCTCCGAATGATCGTCCTGGCACCGACTATCCAGCGCGACACACGTCCAAGATCGATCCGAACGGTAACCCCGTACACCCCGCCACTGGCAAGCCCATCATGTCCACCGACTTCGATGTTGATTTCCCCTCGGAATCGTCAAAGCCCTGGCGCAAGCCCGGGGCAGATATAACGGACTACTTCAACTACGGATTTGATGAATTTACGTGGGCATCTTACTGCCTCAAGCAAGAGCAGATGCCAAAAGAAGTGAAAGAGATCACACAACAAGCAGAACAAATGAAAGCGTTTGTAGAAGGTATCCCTGGAGGTGGCATGCCAGGGGTGCCTGCGATGCCAGGTGCACCGGCAGCTGATATGTCACAAATGGCAATGCCCAATGACGCACAAATGCAGCAAATGTTCGCTGCAATGACGTCTCAGGGTCTGGATCCGACAACGATGGACCCTGCTCAGTTTATGCAGTTCATGGCAGGCGGAGGAGCGGCCATGATGGGACAACCCCAGCCGCCCACTGGTCCCTCTGCTTCGTTTGCAGGGGGTGGAGGAGGAGGGTTTGATCAAGGGGGAGGCGGCGGCGGCGGTGGCTTTGGTGGCCGCGGAAGAGGAAAAGGTGGGAGGAGAAATTGGTAGAGACAGTTTCGTCATCCGGACTCGCCCGTCCATTACTGATCACAACTTGCTGTCTCGGCCAACGAGCCTGACCGCTTCCGGCTCTATCATGGCCAAAATTGACGGAAGGCTTTGAACCTGCGGCACCGAAATTCCACATTTCGCTTTGCTCGTGAGTGCCAGTGACTTCAACGACTTGCCTCAACAGCTTGAGGGCATCTCATATAGGGCGCGACGGCTCAACCGAGCAATGAGATGAAATTCTAACAGAGTCTGGTGGACATGTTGAAGCAAGTTCAACCACAGGGCATTACTACCTACCGCCAGAGGACGACGGCGGGAGCAGCTCACCTGAACCATCTTGCTTGGTCTTATTTGGCTCACTGTAACAGAAGCAGGACGCAATCATGCACGTACACACACACAATCGACTTCATGTTAAATTCATTGCATTGGCTTACGTTTTGGTGTTTGTAATATATGCTCGACTCCTGAACAATTTCAGCCTTGCGCCCCTCCAAGGCTGGCCAAGCTACAACCACCCACATCGTGTACGGGTACCTGCCTGTCGGCGTATCGCAGCCGCAGGAGGCGGTATGGCCTCTGAATTGGCTTATCCATCACGCATAGTCGACTGTTCGTTGGTGGGTAAGCTGACTGGGCCGGCCATTATATGATTTGTTGCGCGAGGCAAAGGCACCAAGTCTACGGAAAGCGGGAGTGCGACGAGGCCCCCGATGGAGACAACTCGAGATGCCTTACCGCAAGGAACATCACCCCAAATCTATCCAAGTTGCCCCTTTCAAATACGTAACGCTGCTTGTCTAGGCTGATGATCGCCTCGTATGTTGACGCCCGTCCTCTCGCGGACCTTGGTTGGACGACATATCTGTGATGCCGCAGATCTGCTACTGCGCAACCACATGGATCAAAACGATCACGACCTTACTGGTAAGAGTTAAATTCCCTGTAATCATAAGCTCAAGGTTTCGTCCCGGTATGTCTACGATGTCAGCTCCTTTCAGGCCCTTTTCGCGCTCCCGCAGAAGAATATGGTAAAAGGGTTAAAGAGAGAGCAGCAGAGCTCGTGTCTGGGACCTACCTCACTCAACTCGATACTTCTTCTATCCACACCCTCTGTCTCTGTGTGAGACACCGAAACCACCGACAATGACCGACCCTCTAGACGAGCAGCTGGACCACCTCCGCTCGCTGCTCTCCGAGTCAGAAGTCATACTGCCGTCGTCAGAGCTCTACGCAGCACAAACGTCGACATGGGCGGCGCAGAAGAACCTCCATCCACGCCTCGTCGTCCGCCCGAGCTCAACGCAATCGCTCTCAAGAGTCCTACGATACCTGTCGACCACGGACCTGGACATGGCAGTGCGCAGCTCCGGGTACGGCTCGGCCTCAGCCCGGGACGTGGTCATCAGCATGGAGTCGTTTGACGAATTCGAGTATGATGGTGAGAAGGAGATTGTGACGTTGGGCGCGGGACAGCTGTGGAGGGATTACTACGACAAGATGGAGAAGGTCGCTCCCGACCGTCACGGTACATTTCGAACCTTCCAACCCTTCCATTTTCCACGATGGTGCCAGCAATGCTGACTGTCCTTTCCGCCCATCTCGTGAGAAATAGTGATCGCTGCACGAACCCCAGCCTTGGGGATCGGAGGGAGCATCCTCTCCGGGGGCTTCTCGTGGCTCGCCCGGCAGCACGGCAACACCTCCGACCCGGACAACATGCTCGACGCCGAGGTGGTCAAGATGGACGGCACGATCCTGTGGGCCTCGCAGGAGCCGGACCTGCTGTGGGCGTTGCGCGGCGCCGGGGCGAGTTTCTGCGTGGTCACCACGTTCAAACTGCGCGCCTACCCGTGCCCTCAGGACATTTACGCAGGGCCCATCATCATCCCGCGCGGCCAGCTGCCTCTCGTCGCCAAGGGCGTCGCAGCCATGAACGAGACGCGCCCGTCGCAGACTCTCTCGGCACCACCGCCGCCACCACCACCGCAAGTCTCGATGGATCTGTACGTGGTGAGGAAGGAGCAGGCGGCGCACATGATGGGCAGCGCCGTCCCGGAGGATCTGCTGATCGTGCAGGCCTTCGACGCGCTGGGGCCGCAGCACGCAAGGTCCGCGGGCGGGTTTCAGTGGGCGCTCGAGATCCCCGGCGCGGTGGACATGACCCGGGTCACCAACCTGCGGGGCGTCTCGCAGATGCATGGTACGTTTATGATGCTTTCTCACAAGGTCAAGCCCAATCCCAATCCCAAGCCCAAACCAGGAGCAGGACTCCCCACGGAACTGTCTGTCTTCTCCAGAGCACCCAACCAGACAGACCACAGTCCCCCCCAAACGGAAAGACACACGAGAATGAAGAAATAGCAAGAGCTAACCGATGCCGCGCCCGTGCACCCGTTCCGGTGTGCTGGGTGACCCGGGTCCGCAGAACAAGTCACCGCCCTCAAAGGCCGGTTCAACACGTTCTGGCAGCCCCTGACGGTGACGACCCTGACGGAAGACACCGTCCTCAACGCGGTGAACTGGTTCGACCGCGTCGGCGCGGCCGGCGGCTCGGTCGCCAACAGCGTCCAACTCGTCTTCGAGTGCCTGTGCACGCGGGACCCGGCGAGCGGCGCCGCCTCGGGAGCGTCGGCCTGGCCGCGCCCAAGGGGGATGAAGAACACCATCATCTGCGCGGCCGGGTGCGATGCGACTGAAACCAGTACTGAGATTGAGACTGGAATTAGGCCTAGAGGCCAAGGCACAGAGAAAGCCGGTGGAGGTGCTAGCGGTGACGACGATGTTGAAGACGAACTCGCCACAGCGCGACGACTCTGTCTCGAGGCACCGGGCGTGATCCTCGGACGAGATGGCCAGCAGGGGGTGCGATACGCCCCGAACGCGCTGGAGGAGTACCATGACCTGAAAGACGTGAGTTGTCTAATTCATTTTCCGCCCGCGTTGTTTCACTGGATATCTGAACGCCGAGTAAAAGCCATTTGGTGTCCATCCGTCTGCTAACCTCCATATGACCGTTCTGCGGTCCCTCGTTGTTATACCGACAGGTCTTCGCCGAGCATCTCCCGAAACTCCTCGTGTTGAAGAAGCACTACGATCCGCGGAACAGGTTGAAAGGACCGATCAATCTCGCGCAGCCCCCCTCCGTCTAAGAGGAAGGCATGGCGCTATCATCTTCAACGCCATTCTAACACCAAACATCCCAAAAAGCCAAGCCACAAGAACAGATTTCTTTCTACCAATACATTGATTTGTCTACTTGGCCTACCACGTTGATGGAGCACGCTTGTCATGGACCGCCTCGTGCCTTTGTAGATGGATGAGGTTGTGTTGGATAACAACTCGAAGCCCGCCTTCCAGCGCCTTGTGTCAGTTCTCTCGTCACCAACGGCCTCATAATAATTACATTTAAAACACCTATCGGTATTGTCTAAGCTGGGTATGTTTACCGCTATGGACGGCATGCTCTTAGCTGCCTCGAATTTGTAAAGTTCCGGCAAAGCATTCTCAGAGCAATCTCGACAGAGCGGAACCATTCGTCCATGGTTCCACATGCAAATATTGAGCGAGTCCTAGACGTTGAGAGCACATGTCTAGCAGACCATAAGCCCAGGGCCGTGTAGCCCGTACAAATCCACCAGCATGGATTCAGAACAAAATATGACGTTTTGCAAAAACCGTAGAACAGCTCGTACCGAGTCGCTCGAAAGGGAATCAATCTCCATCGTAAGTTGCAATCGTGTGGGCTATTCTGCGATATTGGCCAGGGAACATCTCCGACCGTCAGCCGGTGGCCAATGCATTCGAAGAATTCCAGAGACCTTCTCTCTGACTCTCCTTGAGGGTTGGGACCGGCTTCTGGTGGTAGGCTCTGAGTTTGCTCTGATAAATCACATCTTTCCCGACTCATTGCATCTTCGAGCTCGTCCCATTCACGTTCTAAAGGCGCCAGTCGTGGCATTTGCGGTCGCAAAATTTGGGACCGGACTCGCAGATCCTTGAAGCCGAACGGTAGATTAGAATGCCTGAGGGCCAGGGTTGAGTCAGCGGATCCCAGTCAAGCCATGGCTCGACGTCAGGGACGGTAGCTGCGAGTTCTGCGAGCCAGAGGTAGCCTTTCCTGTCGAAGTTCCGGACGAACGATGATAACAAAATTGGGTTGGTGAAAATGACTTGAAGCCGTTCCATCTTGGCTTCTGCGCTGTTTCAGACTCAGGGACTCAGGATTCCTTAGCCTTGGCTCCAGATGAGACAAACTGATGAGAAGGTAGGCTCTTCATGTTGATCAGATTCATCTTGAGAACTTCATCCGTCGCCTCATCGAGATGATAGAGGCGCTTCTAGAGGTGATCTGATGGCCCAAAGAGAATAAGGATAGCCGCCGGATGATTCTGAAACTCTCGATCGCTTTGCTCGATCGCAGGGCACGATTTCCTCGTCGAATGAGACTTACCACTTGGCGAGAACAGTCGGGAAAGGTGCGATGGACGAAAGGGCTTCAAATGTATGCTGTCGAACAATCGTGAAACCGATGGATGTCACTGAAGAGATAGACCGAGGAACCGATGGAGTTGAGAGACCTAGGCGGAGGTGAGATGCATGACCAAAAGCCACCTGTTCTATGGAGAGGACTGCTTCGACATCTTCTCAGGAGAAGTTCGCATGACTTGCATGCCTTGGTCATATCTTAAACCTCGTGTAAACTCAGGCATAGCCAGCTGAGTACGGTGCAACCAAACCTGCATGATCTGCACTCCGTCGCGGCGCATGTATGATTTTGTCCACGTTGCGTCAGTTTCTAATGTACAACGAGGAAGATCAGACCTACCAGCATACTTGTTGAACCTCGGGCCCAAGTCTATTGATCCAGATGTCCCTGCTCGGCCCACTTTCATGCCTGAACTAATTGCACTGTAGCTCAGGGTGGCATTGGCAACTTTACTCGAGTGGTTGTGCTGGTGACGAGATGATCCCAGCAGGTGATGGCTATCTGGAAGCGGAGAATGTGAACCTGTTGCTGGAATACCGGATTGGTTGACTCCTGGACGAGGCTGAGCTGGCGAGGCTGTTCGTTGCAAGGGTGTTCCTGAAGTGGCCACCATGTTTGCTACGACAGGTCAGCACAAGCAGATCGTGATTCAGGGCTTCGTACGAATCCTCAACATCCGCAGCCTCTCCGGTGGCAGCATGCCTCTCTGCTCGCTCCTTCCACTAACAATGCTCCCGGACCTCTGATGAGGATGGAGTCGTTCTGGACCCTCTTGAAGCCGGTTATATCTTGGAGTTGGCCGTTCTGCCATCTGGAGATGGTCTGGTGGACGAAATGCTTGTCTTGAGTCCGTTGCTGGCTGCCTCATCTCGGATTGAGGCAAGGCAGAGATGGATTGTAACGTCTGGGTTACGTCGTTATCGGCAAGTGGTTCCATTTCCTCCAGCATGACTTTCTGCTTAAGAGTATCGTAAAGCTTCTGGGTTTGTGCTTGCTTCTTGCTCTTTTCTTGATACTGATCCAAAAGCTGGGCATACTTTTGATCGAGTGACTGTCGATCGCCAGTGAGTTCTTTGCGGTGGTTAGCAGGCTCTTCGCAATCATACCAGTTACAATTCGTACCTTGATTACGTGTCTCCAGAGCTTGGATTCGAGTGTCGGCATCATTCACAATCCTCTCGACTTCTGCATTCAGCTGGTGGTACCTCTGGGTCAGGTTTCTGGCAATGTGTTGCTGATACGCACTGTCACTCTCGTCAGATGGATCACATGGCAGACAATGCGTTCCACGTCACTGTTCCTGAGTATTTTGGTATGTCCAGAAAGAAAGCGCTCGCTGAGCACATTCCATGATAGTCGCGGGGTCAAGGCCACAGAGGACGCTGGCCTTGAAGTCCTCCGCGGGGTTCACCAGATTACGGACAGCGTCGTGGGGATTTGGTAGGTTTGTTTTGCAGACAGGACAACGACGCTGGTTCCGGGGTGCCGTGGATAAGCCAGTCTTTTCGGCGCAGGGTATGCAAAAGATGTGTCTGAGACAGGTTAGAGTAACGATGGGAAGTTAAATGGCTAGGGAGGACATGCGCGCAAGTTGTGACAATTGCCTCCGCCGTGAGAGCAGCTCGACAACTGCCCCCATGTTGGCTGTTGCACCGCAGATGTTGGTCCATTGCCCTTGCTTAAGGAGACAAGGTATGACAATTGGCTGAACCGTGGAGTGGAAATGGGCGGAGGAGAAATCACAGTGTCGATTCGGGAGGTTGGCAGCTTGCACAACCGGGAGACGATGGAGATGACGACGAGGCTCAGCCTGTCCGCACTTGCCCCATGGCCTCGCAAAACACCACCTCATCTTCCGTGTGACATTCATTCAGGCGGATCCATTTCTACCTTGCTTCGCTCTGCCGCAGAGTCGTGTCCATATCAGCCAAAGAAAAAGGCATTGCCTTGGGCATCCCTTCTGCCTCCCTTGGAGATCTCCTCAAACTCCTTGCCAGCCTTGAACTCTTTCCATACACTCGCCGGATAGATGTGTTTGTTCCTCTCATACCACCGTCGATCCACCACTTTCATCCGCGTCGGGTCGTCATTATGCCCTTCTAACGCCTCTTGCTTCTTTCCAGGCACCCGTAACAGTGCGCTGGCGTCGACATCTTGTCCCACCGAGCCAGACTCTCTGATATCCGCTGTTCCAGAGTACTCGAATAGCAACTTGCCTTCCCTGCTCGGATCAGGGATCTTGTTCGCAATGAAATAGTAGAACTCATAGTGATGCGGCACAATGACTTCGCCCCTCACAAGCATCAAGTCATCCACGCCCACCCGTGCCCACTGTTTTCTCGAGTCCTCCCTGCTCTTCTTCTGCGCGGCACCACTCGGGCCACCACCAGACCCTGAGCCAGAGCCGGAGACACCAAGTTCTGCGCCGACCTTTCTGCACCTCTCCAGGAACAACCACACATGGTCGCCCTTTTTCACTTTCACGCTCCCGCCGGGGACATTCGCCCCAGCCTCGTAGAACACAAAGGGGATCTCAATCTCCGTCTCCTTGACCCGTTCTTGAATCTCGAGAAATTCCTTCCGGAGCCTTTCTCGTTCCAAAGCGTCCGCCGCCAGTGCGGCTTTTGTGATTGCACGGGGTGGAGGGAGTGTCGAGTTGGGGTTGGGGGTCAATTTGCGAGTGATCGTGGATGGCTCAGGCGACGGTTCGGCCGATGTTCTCAAGCTTCGCGGCGCTGGCGTTGAGGCCGCACTTCTGCCCTCCGCATCCTCGTCTTCGTCGCCTCCAAACGATAATAAACCCTTCGCCGCAGTCTTCTTCTTCTTCAACTTCTTACTTGGAGGACCACCTTCGTCGTTCTTTCGTGTCGCCGCCGCACTGTGCTTTGCAAATTAGCCCCGCCCGCGCAGACCGTCGTAGAAGAGAACTCGTGAAACTTCAACAAGCAGCGCAAGCGACCACTCTCCCGGGGAAGAAGGGGTGATAAACCTACCCGTCACTCTCGGGCGTCCTCGTTCTCGACCCCGCCGCTTCTCTTGCCTCCTTTTCTTTCAGTTCTAACACATCGGCTCTTCTCTTGCGGAAGTCCGCCAGGTTCACCAGGCCGACGGTTTGCGATTTCAGCAGGTCTTCCGCCGTGGCGGACTGCGCGGTGAAGGCGCGCGGCGTCGACGTTCCGGACGGAGGGTTGGACATGTTTGCGATCTGTAGGTGAGATGATGAGGTAGCAATCAGGCACCTCCTAGGCTGGAAAGTAGATGTGCATGCGGCTCGGTCCCAGAAATCTACGTCGAATTGATGCCAGCCAATCAGAACTCAGACCTCTCAGCCTTCCATATTTTGAGAATGGAGACCGCGAATGCTTCTCTGACATGAATTTACGACTTCAACCCAGTTTCGATGCTGGGAAAGATTGCATTTCGTCTGCAGTGTCAACAATGGTATCAGTTATGGATTTCACAACCACCAATCAAGCCTTCAAAAACTTTTCCTACTGTACAATAACCAAATAGCGCCATCATTCTTTCGTCAAGAGTCTCCGAGATCTTCTCCAGTACATATGTCACAGTCAATCGCATCCCACCCCGTGAGCCTGTTCACCTCTTCCGAAACCTATACGCGCCGATCAGACGACAATATACTCGCCCTGGTTGTTCTCCATTCTCATAATAGTCGTAAATCTGAAGCCGGTTTCGTCATCCGCAACTCCATCGAAATCCACGCTCTTGCTGCTAGCCAGATTCTGTTTCCGCTTGTCGTCATAATTGCGCCACACCTTCTCCAAAAGCTCCAAGCAACTCTTGTTGTTGAGAAATCCACTGTCCTTTTGGATGTCCAGACATCGCTGGCGGATCACCTCACGATCGAGGTCATCGACGCACTCGCTGCCGGTGATGAACAACGGCCAGAGGAGGTACACGTCCGACCTGACGGCTTTGATATACTTCAGGCATTCTTGTACCCACCCGCGGATGGCCGAGTCCGTACTGGGGGCTTGCGGATGGGCTAGACGCTCCGTATATAAGAGCGCGGAATATCTGAAGGACTCGGATATGTTGCCGAGATCAAGACGCTGCTCATCGGTCAAATAGGGCGCTCCGGGGTTCGGGCAGTCGAATATCGAGGGATCCAGCTGCCAGGCCAACAAGGCATGTCGAATCTCCTTCCATTCTCGCCAGAACTGCGTTTTGACATCGGACTCGGTTACTTTGTCGTTGAACAATTCGTCGTCCTCCGCAATCCGCGTCCAGCCATTGCCATCAAATTTGCTGTAATCAAAATGTAATGCAGATGGCATTGTGGGCAGTGGTCGAGACACAATAGCGGGACTTTCTTCAACAGATCTGCCTTGGCTCAACACGTTCAGCCTGCCCAATTTAGCGATGATCTTGAACAGATTCCCATCACACCCAGCAAGATTCTCCAATGCCCACTCCTCATCGGAGAGGGCAGATACATCGAGATGGTAGCCCTGGAGCTGTCCCTCGCGATCATTGACCGTGGCAGTCATGGCATCAAACCACGTAAACATCCGAGTAAACCATTTGGCTTCCCTCGTGTTCAGCCCTGGATCATTCTTGCGTAAGGAAAGGAGTTTTTTGACACCGGCGAACTGTGTGCGGAACTTCGCAACTCCAGAATCGCAAATATGGAATAGACACAAGATAAGTAGTGTAGCCAGAATCGAGTCGTCCATTCGCTGGACTGGGTTAGCAAGCTGCAGGTTGAGGGATTGGATGGCAATCCCTTTATGCAGTGATTCTTCGCGCGCTTGCTCTTGCGGAGTCAACAAGCCCGTCTCTTGCCACTCCTCTTTCGTGAGAGTGAGATGGGCCATGGATGACCGCCTCGCAGGATCTGTCTTGCACGTAGATAGCCCTGTTTCCCGCCGCTGTCTCAGGTTACTCGCCGCCAATGCGGCTATCGCGTGTTGGAGAGTTTCACTCCTTCCCGCTAGCCTCAGAATTTGTGTTCGATATGGATTGGAAGGCCCGTCAAAGGCTACGATCACAGGCGAAATGACCTGGGTGTAGTATTGTATGAGGTACTGCATCCGTGGCGTTGCTCCAATAGCTGTTACACCAGCAAAAGGCGAGAGCGAAAGACTGTAGTCGTGGAGTGACCACTCGGGAAAGCCTACCGCAAAATCATCTTCCACAATGGCACATTCACTCTCAAACGGGACTCGAGGGACTTCCTCAACCTCTCCATCAACCACTTCGTCGATGCTCTGGGCCTGGGATGGTTCCATTTCTTGCGGCAGGAGTGCCTGAGCAGCTGGCTCGTTGCGGAAAGGGGAATCGTCCTGTCTCTGGTAAATGGGAAACTGCCCGGTGTCGGGAAATGACCCACCAAATGGGGAGGTAACTCGAGGCGATTCGGGATACGGGGGCAAGGTGACCGGCACACCTGTCGAGTTGGGGTTCAAGACTCGTCCGAAATATGCTGATTCGGGCGATGGGGGGGAATGAGACATCGGTGATACTCGGTCGCTCCCGCTGTATGCAGCACTAGGTCGTCTAAGCCCAGCACCAATAGAAGCACCGCGGACAACGGATGGTGCCCAGGACGGGGCTGGATATGAAGAGACTCTCGGCGCTATTTTGACGCCGGGAAGTTCTGCCGGTGGGCTCCATGAGCGAGTCGTCGTGGGATAAGAGGGTGGAATATGAGGAGGATGGGATAGCCCAAAGTGGAACGGTGCATTGTTGGCAGCGGCTTCTGGAGATCGCATAGCCGGAGGGGGAACCGGGAGAGCTTCTGGGGCAGCATTCAGAATGTGTTGTAGCTGAGGCAGCCGGGACGGAGATGGCGGCGGCAACGGTCTCTTCTTTGGCCTGGGTGGTGAAGTGGGCGCGGAGAGCTTCTGAGTGCCAGCAATGGGCAGTGAAAGGCCACGCAGCTTGCCTCTACTTGCCACTCCATTTCCCCAGGTCAATTGAGTTTTGTAGCCGGCACAGTCTTTGCCATCGTCCAAGCATCGGGAACAGTACGGTCTCCGGCGGTCGCAATTGACACTGCGACTGGTACAGGTGAAACAGTCCACAGGTGCACCAGCAGCAGGTGCGCGTTTCCTCCTCTTTCGTGGCGGGATTGCAGTATTGCCATCCGCCGGCGCGGGCGCCGCGTCCTGCTGCGCGGTGAATTGGGAGCTTGACATGACTTTATCAGCGATCGCAGATTCGATGGATAAGCTGATGACAGAGAGACAGAGCGGTGAGACGGAGGATGAAAAGACGTCATGCGCAGGCTCGAGGACTTTCAATTGAACCTCATTCGAATAGCGGGCGAATTCCCCAAGGTCCGCATTCCGGGGAATATATCGGCCAGGTCATGAGATGAGGGCGATGCGTGCGATTGTAGCAAAAGTAGCGAGGAAAGGAACAGGAAACCACAGCAAGCGGAAGGTGATCATGAATCCAAGGACAGCCGGACCCCCATGAGGAATAGGTGTGCTGCACCAAGAAAAGATCTACAATGCAGAGAAGGACAACGCCGGCATGGAATCGAAGGCGTCGAAGGCGTAGAAGGTCGAAGGTGGGAAGGACAATGGGCAAACTGGAGAGGAGGTGGTGCGGGAGCGGGTGGTGCGAGGGACCCCAAGGCCAATCAAGCTGCCTGTAGGGCAGAGTGTGCCCTCCCACGGCGTGTGCTAAACCCCTCCTAGATGCCTCCCCGCAGGCCCCTATCGCCCTTGCTGCCACCCTGGAGAAGCCACCGATAGGCGGTGCAAGCCCTCGAGCCCGTGTCTAGCCAGTCGGCAGTTAATTATTTTGCATGTGTGACCAGAAGGGCAAGACTGCCGGCGGGGAGATAAACCCCCAAGAGTCTCTCTCCTCACAAAGTCATGATGCCATAATTACCCCTCGAGCCTTCTGCCAACCCCCGTCTACCCGTCGTACGCACGAGGTGCGTTGTTCCTTGATATTCTCAATCGCTTAAGCCCTGGCACATCGGCTAGGCGGAGGCAACAGAACAAACCCTCACTGGGTGTGACGCTGTTATCTTGCAGAAAACCGTCCGACAGGGCTGGCCAACTCCTCCACCACTAAGATTAGAGCCTCGAGAGCTCACACCACAAGACGAGTATTGGTGGAATCTTCCCTAGGCTCACCAACTGCTCTCTCGCGCAAGGCTATATTCCGTGGTTTGGAAGAGCCTTTCCCACGAGCATTTCCATATCCAAGCGTCCTCAGTGGAAAGGAAAGCAAGAAGCCAGCCGTCGCCGAGGCCAAACCCCGACCTGAATCCCTTCAACCACAATGTCTTCTGAAGGCCATTGTGCCTTTTTGGAAGTGCCGAGCCACCCAGGACGAGTTATGGACGATTGTTTTCGCGATCTTGTTCCTCCTCTAGCCCGCCCCGCCGGCTCGAGAAAGCCGTCAAGCCCGTGTGCATGCATGGTCCACTCCCAAGACGGAGTCTCTCAGACACAGTCCACTTCTTTGTGCGCTATCCGGTGCCAGGATCCCGGCTAATGTCTTGTACTTGTAAAGAGATGGGGACGGAGATCAATTGCGCCGTGTTTCCACTGACATTGGCCTCCGGTACAAAAAAGAATTGTTGCCAATGATCTAGGAAGGCCACACATTAACAGTGGTGGTCACCAACATGCGGGCGCCACTACCTGATTGGTCCATGGCCGTGCTCATGGCTCGATCTCTCATGTCACTGAAGCCACAAATGCTTCCGGTCAATCTTCGAAACGTCTGGCGTCTGGCTTGTAGACGCCCACTGCAAGCCTCAACAAGAGCCCCGCTACAGCCTCGAGCCCTCATCAATCCCATGGTCCATGCGCCATCGGTGCCATCAGGCTGTCAGCGCCGGTGCCAAACGTGGTGCGGCCGGGGCACGAAATTGCCGTCCGGGGTTTGAGTTGGGCCATCCCCATGTGCAATTCTATTCTTGCAGGGGTCTGCCCGCCATCCCAAGCCTCGTGGACCTCGCTTGGCACTTTGGTGAGCACATTCGTTGCGTTTCTGTTACATCTGTTTGTGTACTGTGCTGAAATGTTTACGCCTCATACATGCTCGAATGCTACGAGTGAGAACTTCTTGTGCCCCACTTCTGGGAGAGCAATACTGTAACAGCTTGTTGACAACAGCCAAGACGCTAGTACCCCTATCAGGCTAGGTATTTGAGTGCCAAAGCGGCCTCGAGACAAGATGAATGTGGCTACTCCGATACCGAGTTTGAACTCGCCGAGTGCTCGTGCTCTCATGGTTCTACACCCCCAGCATCGTATGGAACGGCATCGCTAATACAAAATCCTGGCCCTAGCTGCATCTATTCAACGTCAAGGCCTCAAATTGGTTGGCAAAGCCTCCTGTGTATTCACTCCTCTCCTCGGCCATCATTTGCCGCTCCCGCTCCGCAAGCTGCCTGCCGGCCACCCTCGAGAAGAGCGAGCCTTGTTCGTCAGGTAACGTCTTCTGCTCTTTACCAAGGAGGTCCTCGATCTTCCAAGCTATCCTTTCAGCTCCTTGTCGTGCCCCGGCTAGGTTGGCGGCGCCTGGACCAAGCCGCAGCCCTGCAAGACCGCCGGTCAAGAATAACGGGAGGTCGTCGCGCCACATCAGGTCATTGTTAAGTCTAGGTAGCCCGTTGATACACCCGACGGGGTATTTCTCCAGCATTTGCTGCAGAAAGGACACTTTCTCAATGTTCGGAGCCGCTCCGGTAGCATATATAACGTGATCAATATACCTCAGGTCGTTCTCAGGCCCAGGCGTCAACCTGATGGACCATGTCTGGCTTTCGGCGCACCACAGACCGTCTTCGATACGAGTGTGAGTCAAGACGGACAACCGGCCATTCAAGACGTGCCGTTTCAGAATCCTGTCGAACTTGGGTGTTATGCTACCTCCGTTTCGGGCTTCTTTGAGCAACTCGAAGCGCTCTATCCAAACATCAGTGACCGATTCTCTCATTTCAATGTCGACATACCATCATCACTGTCTGCCGACCAAAACACTGACATTTGTTGGTTGCGCACCTTTGACACCCACTCTAGGTCGACGTCAAAATGCTTGAGCTTATAGTCTCCCCTGACCAGCAACCACACCTTGGTGACGCCGCAACAAAGGATCAGGTCAGCAATTTGAGCGCTCGTAAGTCCGCCACCGACCACCACGACCGAGGTTGGTGCTCCTTGATCGATCTTTCGCAGAACGTGCTCTGGAAGGCAGTGTTCGCTCACGGAATCGAAGCAGTGGCAAACGCTTCCGGGCTCCGTTGGCCGCTGAAGTTTGCTGTCGAGGGGAATGCAAGGCTTGCTGCCAGGGCCGATCGCGAGGACAACGATTCGGGAGAAGATTGCTCCTTGGTCGGTGGTCAAGGTAAATCCTTCGGTGCTGGTCAACCCGCCCAAGTCGCCGTACTCGACGTTTGCGACTTTTGCTCGTATGACCAGGCTCCGAAGCCCGTATCGGTCGACAATGTCGCCGCAAAAGTCACGGAAGAGCGCCGCCGACGGCGTGAAATAATCTATGCGGTCTCGGTCGTCAATGCGGAGGTGCTGTGCGATCCTTCTTCAGATATGTCAGTTCCTCACAAGTCACATTGGCACCACATCATAGGGATCCTCGGTACTCACTTCTGACGCTTCTTCTTGATTCGGTGCTTGCTGATCTCCTTGCCAGCCACGTTGGGGATTTCCTGCAGCTCGTCCGTGCGGCCGTGAAGATGCGAGAAGGCCAGAAGGGAGTCTCTGTCCCTGGGGTCGGGGTGGAAGAACAGCGGACTCCGAAGATGGTCGATCTTCAACCTGCGGAATCTCTCTTGCCATGCGGCCATCCACTCGTCGGAGAGCGCATCCAGCACAATGATCGATTTGGCAGAGGTGGACTTGTGGCTTCGCTGGTCCAAGTTGGTTTCCCCCCTTCGCTGGAATCTGCGTTCGTTCTCAATAGTCTCGCGCCGATTGAACCTTCGCCAGTACCTGGCATGCTCGTCGTCGGTGAAGAGCGCAGAGGGAGTGGCTTCTCGCAACCTCGCTGCCACGGCCAGCCCACAGGGTCCCGCGCCGATGATAGCCACATCGTACACCATCTTAAAAAATGCACGATCAAAATTACAATATCAGGAAAACGGGACACAGAGAATATGATCCGAGCCAGCAGAGCCATATGAGGGAGATATGAGGCGGTCACGGGCTTTTGACTGGTCGACTCCTGCGTGACTTGATGCCGTCCATTTACTGTACCTTAAGGTCCTCGAATTAACGATTGATCATCCGAGTCAAAACCGGAGCAAAATGAGGACCGGACAAGCTCTCCCTACGCAACAATCAGCACGCGGCGACTTCTCCCGCTTGCACATGAAATCCATGCGACAGGAGGTGAGCATTCTCTACCGAAGACTTGGTTATCCCCGTGGACACAGAATGGACGGGTTCTCGAAGGGTGCATATATATATCTAAATGCCCTCTTATGTCGGGAGCTGACGACCGTAGTGGCGCAAGTGGAACGCACTCTCTACCACCCTCTTCCAAGTCATGGTCATACGATTGCAACATGACCCACGGTATATACATCTGCAACACAAACTGTTGCTGATTTTGAGGGGGCGCAGTACAGAATTAACCCTTAATGGTTGACCGTTTTGGAACTGTAGAAATATCGGCTGCTTTGACTTTTGTCTGCCCCATCAAAAGTCGATTCTTATTAGGTTTGCTATAATGGAAAATCAAAGGTGTCCTGGTCTCAGCGATATCCTTGGTTTACGTGGACCGACACGCGTGGCATCCCAGGTTCAATCCGCGATCACAGGCTTTCTCGCCGTAATCAAGTGGGCGACCCAGTCCCATCTGATTTCGCCCGAGCCGTACTTCTGCGCCACATACCTGACCAGCGTCTCCTTTGCGCGCTCACCATGGGCCTTGGCTTGGCCCTGAGACCAGCACTTGTCAATAACATTCCCCAAGGTCATGGGGACGGTGATCATGAATTCGTCCATCCCGTCCAAGACACTCGTTCGCGGCACCGTCTTGATCTGGACGTCCTCGAATCCGAATTCCCGTAGCACCGTTTCGATCCACGTCGGCTGGCTCCAGTCACTGTCTGGGCTGAAGGCCTCCAGGAGCTCCTTTGCACTAGGTCCACGAGGCAAGGAGGGGTCGCTGGCCAGCGCAGCGCGGACATCAGGCAGCCAGCCGCCGTCACCCCAGGTAGACATTGCGGCGAGTCCGCCGGGGTGCAACATGCGATGGATTTCGCGCAAAGCCGCTCTCCAGTCGGTGATGGCCATGGGGCCGAAGCCGAAAAAGACGTGTGTGAAGTGTGAAGAAGGCAGCTTTGTGTCTGTTACGTCACCCTGGAGTGTTCGGAGTGCCTTCAAATTGCACCCTTCTCGTTGGAGCCGTCGCTCTGCATATTCAAGCGACGGCTTAGCAATGTCCAACATGGTGAGGTTGGTCACCGCCCTGGTTTTGTCGTCAAGCATATGGAGTAGTCGTGAGGCGATTGCGCCCGTTCCGCAGGCTTCGTCGAGGACGACAAGTTCCGCAATATCTTTGCTACCACTGGCTGTTGTAAGCTGGTCCATTTTCGCGTGCTGCAGCAAAAAAGCCGCATATTCGCCTGTGATTTTCTCTCCAACTCGGGCCATTTGGTCCACGAATTGAGGGTCCATGGCTGCTAGTTCTAGTCTCTCTGCTTATTTCGCGCAGGGATATGTGTAGGCAGCGAATGCTCTGTTGCGAGAGCGGGACGTAAATGGTCACTGAACACACGGCTTGCTGGGTCTTATCTGGGAGGGGACATGCTTAATATTTGCGTCTGTTTACCCGTTAGCACAATTTTTATACGAAGGGGTCTCTATTAGGTGTCGTGGGCGAGCGACTCAAAAGCAGGAGAAATGGAGGACACTGAATGGTCCTAACTCTCGTGTACCGGCACTGGGGTAGATGTCGTCTTCATATTTCCCCCCGGGCTGGAAGCTCATATGGTTGCCGGCAAGGCAAATTGAGGACCTTAAGGACTCGGAGACCAGCTGATGCTTGGAGTCTCAAGTCTGAAGAGGGCCCAGTCTGAACCGAAATCTACCTCTTGAGACTGGTCAGCGGTATGAGAGGAAACACAGTAGTCCTTCATGCCGTATCAATGCCATTCGTAGACCCTATTGTTCGGGAGAGACGAGTGGATGTGGTCTCGGCCTCTCTGAGAGTTGCCACTCTGTGACCCTTTGACGAGGCTCTTACCCATGCACGGTTCAACCATGCCCGCTAGGCATGTCCTTTGTCCATTTCCCGAAGGAAGACAAAAGCGGCGCGGCTTGTGCGAGTCGCGTGTGAGATCCGAGCAATTTTTACTCATCCTTCATGGTGAAGTCATCGAGTTTCGGGGCCGCATCGAGTCTTCGCGAATTGCAACCCGCAAAGTTATTCTGCTACCCAACACAGCCTTGGGCGCGTGAGGCCGGTGCAATCTTGAGGCATTGAAAGACTCAGAACCTTCTAGGTGTCTCATCAAGGCTCCGCCTTGTCGTTTTCAAGTGGTTGTCTGCGATCAACAACAGTCATCGATGCGTCAGTACGCCCGGTTGATACCCAAAATGGGTGCAGCTAGCGGATCGGGGCGATGCTGGCTTTTGGACCCGAACCCACGCGAGGTTGCCTCATTCTCAACGCAAATGGATCAATGGGAAGAGTGCCGACTGTGCAGATGCAGGCGTGAAGCAGATGGGAATGAGGCGGTAAGAAACGAGGCACTGGAGTGGTGGAAGACGATGACAGTGATGCCCGAAGCCAGCGCCAAGGCTAATGTAAAGCTGGAATGCGCTGGCACTCGCTCACTCGCTCGTTCCACTCAACACCACGGCCAAGGCCAGCAGAGGAACCTTGGAACCTGTGCATGCTGAAGGAGTGTCCCAGCGTAAGGTAATATTCAGAACTGCTTCAATACCGACGATACTGAACCTATCGACAGGACCCATCATCAAGCCCAGACCACGGCCGCACAGAGACCTGCTAGGCACTCCCGGTGCCGCCAGTGCGATGTGAAGAGTGCAAACTGGTGGATGGATGGACGATTCCTCCGGATAAGATATCGTGACAAACAGGCTCAGAAGGCCTTGATCCCCTGACCACCGTCCCTAATGGATTCGAGCTCATTTGCTTCATGCACGTTGCCGCACCACGGGACAGACTCGACACAAAGTCACTTTCCTCCCCTTTCGTGGGTCTTTGTTACAAGGTTGACTGCAGGACGGGATTGAAGGGTGATGGGTGTCATCTGCACTCGAGTGGACGGCAGCACAACATAGACACGAGTCACATTTGTTTGTGTCATGTCAGCTTTTGGACGAGAAGCTTTGTGAGCCAATCGAGGTCTCAAAAGGAAGTGTTTCATGGGCATACACTCCCGTACGAGGTCTTAGGGCACCCTACGAAAGACATTTGGGAGGGACATCCGGTGGTGTGTCCTCCCGTAAGGGTCGACTTCAGCCTTTCAGCTTCACAAGCACAACAAGGCCAGGTGGGCTGGCGAGGCCTGACAAGGCTTGGTCGTGCATATTCTCAGAGCGATTGGATCTGATCGCCCGTGAATTTCAGCTGGGTTTGACCGACAGACTGGAAAATAGCCTCTTGTAAGGAGAACCATTGGCTAGGAAGGTCGCCAATCAGAGTCGGTTTGGTCAAGAATTGGTCTAGAAAAGGGAGGCGAAAATCCTCCCCAAGAGATCTTTTGATTTGGATATCTTAGATCCCGTTGGCTCGCAAAACGGCGAGCTGAACATAGCCGAGTGACCCGCATGGATCTGAGACTCTCGAGATTGACATATCCAACGTAAAACTTGACAAACCCTTGACCTTGTCTGCTGGACCCCAATCTTTACTTCGGTGGGTATTGCTTGTGTTGAGGAAGAGATCCCCTCTTAGCACTCACAGCCACGAGCCAACAGAAGACAGGGAGGAGTTGTCGAGTAGACACGCGTTCACAGAAGGCTGCGGAGAGGAGCTACTGGAGGCATCGCAAGGAAGAGGCGTCATGAACGACGGTGATGATGAGGGATTGTCTGCATGATGCTATTTATGAAGGATCGCACAAGGGTATGGTCGCAAAAACAAGTAGATTCGGGTATAGCGACGGTCAATGATCGGAGTTGATGTCTTGCATTGTGTGTTCCATTGGGCTTGAGGGATGAATTGCGCGAGGGCGATGAGGTATGACGGACAGTAAGCTTACAATGCATGGAAGCGGGCGCAGTCCCCGTGACTCCCTCTTGGGGGTCAATGGATGATGTCGGTGGGCGCTCAGACGTTGGTCCGGGCCCCGGGAGAGGGGGTTCCAGGCATGTCTAGCCCCTCCCGCAGGCTTCCAGAAGGGAAAAGGGAGCGCACTCGGGCTTAAGCAGCGGCTCCTAGGGATTCAGTGGCAGTGAAATACGCAACCTCCGGACTGGGCAGGTGTTGATTAAGTGCTGAGAGGTTTTGGGCATGGGCTGCGCTGAGATCATTAACCAACCTGGTTAACGTGGTCAAGCCCAAGCGACCACGATCAGGTAAGCCGGAAGCCTGCCAGCACTCGCAAGCACTCGCAAGTACCTACAAGCACCTATGACGCCCGGAGTGCCGCCTTATACGTCCTTAAAGGCGCCGCATCAACCAAGACTCGGAGCGACCATCTTCCGCACACCCATTGTCTTTCTTTCTTTCTTTCCGTCTTCCAAATCATCTCCAGGTTTCTCGCCACTGCCATCGCTGGCGCTTCCATCATCTCTCTCGTTTATTCATCAACAGACGGAAGAGAAGGGTCAGGAAACCCCGAATTGATTAGGCTTCTGTCAAATCCACGCCATCACAGTGTGATTGTCCACTCATTTCACTCACTCCAAGTACAAGTACAAGAACTTGCACACCCTCTTTTTTCGCCTCCTTCTTCTCACATCCACCATCTTCGTATGGTACCAGTATTTACCGTATATTACCTGTACCGACTCCCCTCGTCCTTTCCAAGACCACCAAGTGGGCATCGCTGGCCTCGCCCTTCTGGGTCCTCTTGCTCTTTTCCGCTTTTCCTCTCGTCCTCTCGTCCCCCTCGCAGCCTCTCCCGCTCGCCAGGGGCTTCCTTCGCATCGCGCTAGACCGGCGCATCAACCCTTGATCCCTGCCACACGAGCCATCAGAAGTTGGGTTCACGGCACGCCCAGGAAAGAGCATGGACCAGCCTTAGTGTGAAAAGCCATCAAGCCATCAAGCCCATCCGCGCTTCCACCGCATCCTTCTTTGTCACTTCGACCCCTTCGATACCATCGAAGCTAAAAGGGCACCCACTCACACTTGGGCCATCGTCTTCCTCTCCCAAAAAATCCATTTTAACGTTAATTGCCCCCCCTGATTTCCCTGCGCTGCTATCAATTTCCCTTTCAACAACGATCTTTTCAATCCCTCTGCTACGCGGCTTATTGGCCACTTTTGAGCTTTTTGGCTCCAGTTGGTCCCATTCCCTTCTACCAGCTTCGACACTAGTCCAGCACCGAACCGGCAAAGGCACAGCCGCGTTCACCATCTTCAGACGCGCGGACACGGATTCCCAGTTTCCAACAAGAACAGCCTTCTCGTTCATCGACCCCCCCAAGACCCATCAACCGACCCTGGTGTCCACCCGTCGACTCATCGTCCAAAGTCGACTCACACCGGCTGCTTTGCTCCGCGACCCCCTAGTCAGAATCCACACAAACTTTGGGGCCTGGTCAACCACCTCGAGGGAAAACCAACATATAGGTACTCGCACCAGATTTTACCAGCCTTCGAGTTTTTTCTCTTCTTCCTCACTTGCACCACCTTTTCGCGTCATCGCAGAGCCTGCACACTGCAGCAAACGAAGCTTATCCACTTTTACTGTCCCAAATTGAGTCGCCAGACTCAATTCAGACTTGCCCCAGCCACCCGTTCGAGGCCAACCACGCTATGATATTCAGCCAGTCCAACATCTTCCGGACACACCTTTTCTCTCGCCAACACATTACACGACCAGAACAGTCAGACATAGACCCAGATCGGGGGGAAGATTGTTGCGGACAGGGGCAGGAGTGAGGAGAGAGAAGAGTTTGAACGCCCCGAGTCGGAAGCAGAGCCTCGACCATCAGGATCAAAATGAGTTACCACTACGGCGTTCCGCCGTCCCACTACACCAAATACTACGGCACCTCGTCGCCGTACAGCAGTGGCGAGTACGTCCACTACGCTCCCCAGTACGAATCAACACCGAAGAAACACGCGCGGAAGACCAGCTACACGCCCTCCCCTCGAGTCGGCGGTTGGTATTCGCCTGCGGGCTCACCACCACCCCACCATGAGCCCAACGTCCAGTATTCTGCACCGCGGGATGATGTCTATGTGAGTGAGGCAAGGGGCAAGACCCGCAACTATGAGAGCTACAGCACCTTTCCTAGCTCGAGATATCATACCCGTTCATCATCGCGCAAGCAGAATCAGCCCATCTACGTCTACGACGATGAAGCTGAAAATGCACGAATGCAGCCAAACTACGTCTACCGAGAACCAAAGTCCAAGCTGAAGCATGCGAGGAAGCCAAGCACTGACACCTACTTTTACTATGGGCAGGAGCAGATCATTGACGAACAGCCAAAGCGGTCGAGGGCGCGACGAGCCTCGACCACCTCGAAACCCACCCCCAAGTCCAAGCCCAAGCCAGCACCGCAGGCAACCGAGGAGGACGCCATCCGCGCCGGCATCCCCGCCGGCTACTCCATCAAACACTGGGATCCTACCGAGCTGCCCATCATCTTGCTGGGCAGTGTCTTCGATGCCAACTCGCTTGGCAAATGGATCTACGATTGGACCGTCTTCCACCACGGTGCCTCCACTCCCATCGCCGATATCGCCGGCGAACTCTGGCTCCTCCTCATCAAGCTGGCGGGAAAGATGAAGCGGGCCGAAGAATGTGTGGACCGCATCCGCAACCCCGAGAAACAGGAGACGGTCGAGGACTTCATCATCAGTGGCAAACGCCTCTGGGAGAAGTTCAAGGCGCTTCTCAAGGATTGCGAACACTTCATGCTCAAGGCCGCCAAACGTGACGGCTCCAAAACGATGGGTAAGAAGGCAGGCACCGAGTTTGTCGACTCCATCTTCGGCCGCGATCGCCACCTCGAGGCAACCGAGAAGATCATGAACCAGATCCGTCTCTGGAACATGCGCTTCGATGTCAACTGTGAGGAGACGTTGCGCCGACCCTCGGTTGCCTAGACTTTGACTCGGGCAATCCGAGGACATTCATCAACGGCAAGCTGGGAATCAAGGAATCTCGACGGTGGCAAAAGTTTGATGCAAACTCCGCCACACTCTACTCACATCGCCACACACACAAACAACCAATCAACCGACCATCAACTCGACTCACCATCTCTACTACTACTTCCATCTCCAAGTCATGGCCTCTGCGAGGTCATTGGCGCTAATGGGTTAGGCAACCTGTAACAACATTCATCCTGGAGCGTTGCATTGGAGGCTTTCACTATGAGTCATTCATTTTCTTACGGCCCAGCTAGGGCACAAATGTACACTCGTTGGAGTTTTCTTTCAAGGGACACCAAAAGTTCTATCATGAAGCCATGATGGACGAACACATGACCACAGAATGACTCTGATCCCTGTATCAACATGTTACGGACGAGGCAGTCAAGGTTCTGTTGGCGTACTTCCTGTTTTATCGGCACAGAGATACCCCCTCATGTACGGCTCATCAGCTTTGGTATTGGTCTACTATTCAACATATTGCGGCTTATCGGGAGTTATGGGAATATCCGGGGACCGATCATTTGGCTTTTCAATATTTTGCAGAGAAGCCACGTGGTCCCCAGGATCAACATTGCTGGAGGGAGTTTACCGGAATTGGAGTTTTGGAATCATGGGCATTTTCATCATCACAATGGAGGATATACTTCAAGGACTCACGGGACCTTGGAAGATTATGGACTCAGCGGATACATGGGAGTTTCTTTTAATCACAGGCTTCTGTACTAATATCATTTGATTTGCGGGCTTTTGATATGCTTTCCTTTCCATCGATCGTCTTTGTTATGCCCGTATTCCATGCGTGATCATCTCAATTCTGGTGCATTTGGTCAATTGTGCTTGGCGGTTGTGTATATACCCTGTTGGGTCCATCACCACTATCACCCTCCTTTCAGCAATATATGTTCTGGGAAGTTCCTGAGACTCTCTATTTTGGTCGAACACAGAGTGAGAGCGAGAGCCCGGGCCAGGCTTGATTGACCGACAGAGGTTGTATCTGCCACCCATGATTCAAACTCGTTACTCAGTCAGTTACAAGTAGTTTACTCAGCAGACTAAGAATCCCGGACCATGTCACCAAAAAAACGTCTTACGACATTTTGCATATCCTCTCGCAACCCGTTCATCATCTGCATGCACGGTTTGTCAGGCACGCGACGCGGGGAGTTGGGGGGGGAGGTGAGTTAGCCGGTTAGTTAGACGGGCCTTGCCTGTCTTTCTTTGCGGTTTTGTCTGTGTGATACCTATGTAGGACTTGCTGTCATGCGATCACTACTCCGCGTCGTCAGCAGCATCAGCATCGGCATCATCATCATCATCATCGTCATCTATGTAGTAAGGAGCTAGGTAATCAGTATCATTGTGGGAATCGCTTGGCTGGCTGGCAGTTGGTTTTCCATTACGCTGCTAATACTACTACTCGTACTGTGCGAAGCCCGAGGCTTTCTTTGGAGAGGGCGTCACAGGCCATTTGATGCCCCGACACTACACATGCCTAGGAGTACCGTGTACATTCATAAGATAGGGATCCTCACACATATCAACATGTACCGTTCATACGAAACCTGTGTATCTAAGTGAGGTTTACGGAGACTGACACTGCATTTTCCTGTATTATTTGATCCATTCCAACACAGAGCGCTGGCCGGCGGGGGGCAATCAATGGCTGGCTGTAGGCATGGTTTTCGGCCTCGAGTATACTTACCCTACCCCTACTGGCAACGAGTATTCTGAACCTAGACAAAGTTTCAAAGAGTTCGAGTTAATGACTTTGAGTTTTTGCGGGCTTGCCGGTTGGGTTGGGCCAACCCCCCTCCCTCCCCCTCCCCCTCTCCTCTTCCGATCAATAATACTCCGTAGGTACCACACCCTAACAGACCATTGCTACTTTGTGATTGAGTTACGGGTTATGCGTGCTCCGTAACAGGGCCCAGAAACCTACCTACCTTCGGTGGTGACACACTGGAAGGGGGAACTGGGTCACCAACCAGGTGTGTCTCTGCGGGCGACTCGACTCGACTCAGCTCCTTCGATGTGACTTGGGGGGCGTTGGATTCAGCCCAACCCAGCCCAGCCCAGCCCAGCCCAGCCCGGCTTGCCCTCAGCTCAGCTCGTCCAGGTTCGGAAAGGGGGGATGGGATGGACACCGCGAGTACGAGGAAGAATACGGACTATGTACCCAATACCGACACACAGACACGCGCAGCGCAGGCGAAGAGACATGCGATGAGCACAAAGGACAAAGGGAGACAGACTTTGGGTGTTGTGCCCGGTTCAGCTGCCCAGCGGGCGTCCACCACCATCACCGCCCATCGTCACTATCACTGTCCATAGCGATCGTCATCACAAGTGCCTGCCCCTCCCTCCCTCCCTCCCGTGCGCGCCCGTGCGCGCCCGTTCGCGCCGCATCCGCCCCCTCGCCGAAAAGTGTAATAATTCAACAACAGACAAACAAAAACAATGTAGAGGAGATGGAGTACTGCTCTAGGTAAAGTAGGCACATCCACATCCACACACACACCCACAGAGAGAGAGAGAGAGAAAGAGAGACTCACCTAGTATTGGGCCTGAGAGAATAATTGCCTCACGGTTCAGGCAGCCAGTTTCTCTCTCCAGCTAGCCCGCTCGGTCGCTGTACAGGTCCGATCAGGTTCTTCGGTCCAAGAAAGAAAACGACGTACTCGGGTTCAAAGGCCCTGCCACTGCACTGCACTGCACTGCACAGCCAGCACCGCCAGCACGAATTGGTAGGTATCGAACCTTTCGACATCCATCCCGCGATCTATCTATCTCCACATATACGTACCTTCTAGGTAGTTGGGTAGGTAAGAGCAAGAGTGGCAGTGAGCTCAACGGTAATGGGCTGTCATTTGTAAAGTCAAACACCAGCATTACCACGAGGTAGGTACGTACCTCATCCCTCCGAGTATCTGGCTAGAGACAACACTGGTGCTGATGCGCTCGTGATTCCCCCCTCCCCTGTACAAAAGATGGTTCGCCGTCTCCACGAGGGCGGCAAAACGTCATGAAATCACAAGATAGTCACCACCAGAAGAGGGGGCCGGAGACCTCCCATTCTTTGTCTACCCGGTTAGTGAGTGGTAGGGAAAGCTAAGTGTGTGTTGAGTAACACGCCGTCCAACTCGGTTCCTCATCAAGGTCGGTCTGTAATGGAGGTGCGGGCGAAGAAAGATATCGGGGCGCTTAGTGAGCCCCCTTCGTCAAAAGCTCTCAATCTTTCAGCCGTACGGGTGGAAAAAAATGCATGGAAGCACTCGTGGAAGTAACCCCATCCCTTACAAGTTTCTCCCTCTAGTCCCCAATTGTTAACCCGAGCAGCCAAACGGGAAAGGACAGAATGAGCTGTTTTTGGACTTTGCCCCCCTCAATCCCTGGCCGAGGACAGCTTGTACATGCAGGCCATCGTCAGCGGCTGCAAGAAAGAGGGGGAGCGAGGGGAGTGATTGGGCGTCCAAGGGGCCCCGTTTCCTCCCCGTTGGCTCGCTTGTGTAAGGGCCTGACCTCGGTGATAGGACGGGCAGGGAGAAAAAAGGGTACATGGAGGAATGGGGGGGAGCACATGGTTCACGGTGTCCCGTTCGGAGTTGCATGTGAGGATTAATCAGATCTTAGCATCGGGTCCATATGGCACTTCATTGGTGGCCATATCAGGGATCCCAAGGGCAATGCCGCGGTTGTAGGTAAACCCGCTGAATCCGCGTGACGTTGTGTACGTGACATCTCTGGCGACGTGCCTGGAGAAAGATGAGAACAGGACGAGTGCTTGGTAGCTAAGTTAGGATCACCGCTGAATCACCTGTGACATCCGACTCCCAGAAGCAAATAACAGGCGGCCCGTGGTGGGGGAAGAAAGCGAATGACTGCCGGCACATGCTGGAGCAGACCAGACCCGGACTCAAGCTTGTGTGACCCACGGCTTGAACTCTTCCAGCGACGTGCATGAACTACTGATCATGGCTGCTCGGTTCCCATCGTAGTGGTGGGTGTGATAGTTGTCCACTTGTAGATTGTGAGGGTGGGAGAGGCCATCACGCCTTGTTCACATGTCCATCGCAAAAGGCAACCTTGAGAGGTAGGTAGATGCTGTACATCGATAACAAGTATACTTCCAGAGACAATAGCCCCCCAGTCCGGTGCGTATATCAGGCCGTCCGGAGGGGGCTGAATAGCGTCGGCGTCCGGGTTGATTGGTGCTTTTCGCGCCACCCACAATCCAGGGCGTTTGTGGCAGAGAGAGAGCAGCCGGCACACGAGATGGTGAAACAGCACCGCGTAGCTATGTAAAGGACGTCCCCTTGCCGCCTGGACTTCCAGCATGGGTCAAGCCTCTGGACTGGATCGCTCGTATCTTGTTGCCTTCCATAAGTCGAGATGTCGACCACTGTCACTGGAGCAGTGTTAGCCAATCGCTTCCCTAAACCAACAAATGGTTGACCTTGCACCTGCGCCAGGCAAAGGCGGGAGAAGCGCCCATGAGAGGAGGCCAGACCTCCGCTTGAGGCACTTGAAACAAACGCCCCCTGAAGCTAATCGTTGCCTTGCATCTAACGGGGGAGGACATCCTCATTGCCCCCTTCCCCCCCCCCCCTTCAACGAGCTGCGATTGACTCGTATCATCGAAGGCGGCTCTTCTGCAATCCATTCAACTTCGTGCGCTTTTTTTTGTTAGGCTGCGATTCAATCGCGTCGGTAGGCTGCAGCACTGCTGCCTGCAACCGGACTGCGACCCGTGCTTGATTTGATGTCTCTTTTCCGTGGGAACTTTCGCCGTGCCCTCGTTTTCGACCAGCCGTAGGCGACCCCATCATGGTTTCACATGAACGGAAGCTGAAAGCCCGAAGAGGAGATCATGCACCCTGCCGCCTCGCACACGGCTTGCGGTTTTGTCAAACCGGTTCTTTTGACGTGTTGCATCAAACTTGCTCTCACCGCCAGTGGCCATCGATGCAAGGCTGGCACCATGCAAGGAAAAGGGGCCCTCGTGGACGTCAAAACAAGCGGTTGGCGCCCCCCCCCCCCCCCGGAGACTTCTGCAGGTACAGGTAGGGAGGCTCCAGGGGCTTCCCGGGCTGCCTATCCCTTCTGTCGCCCCGTTCCCGCTCTAGGCGGACCCTTCACCGCTCTTTGCCCCTCCGGTCCTGTAAGGGTTTGGTAAGGTATTTGGTATTCAAAGGACATACAGAAACGACGGAGGCCCTTGGAATCAGGAGTATCTCGTCGTGGCACGCACATGTCACTTCCCAAGTGGACGGATAACGCTCAACTCGCAGCTGATACCCTCCGAAGGCACGATCAACGGCAGCAAGGGGCAACACAGATCGGGTAAGCCCCTTCCTGCTCGGCTGAGACCCGAACAATGGCTGTCTGGAAGGGCTCTTCGTTGTCCTCCTTGCAGCGCTGGTGCTTTGACGGGATCAGGAAGCACGCAGTGTTGTTGAGCAACAAGGATTTGTTTCGAGGACGGATCCGTCTCATCGGTACCAATAAGCTTCCGAGGCTGTCGATGCCCTGGTCTGGAGCTCACTGGTTCGATATGAGGACAGATGCAGCTGTTGGACGGATCCTCCAAGTGCGAAATATTATCGGTTGCGATCAAATATCCCGGAGCTGTCATTTGAGCTGTGCCCGAGAAGCGATACGGCTCTGGCTATATGTTCATTTGCGACTGGCGCTTGGTTCCTTACACTTGCACTTGGAGCACGAATCAAGCAGGGAGGGGATTGTGAATGGAAATATAGTATTTGTTTATGAATTTAGAGATTTCGTTGTTGTTGATATGATTTCCGTTGGGGGGTGATGGACATCCCTCTGTACCCAACCATTAAAGATCAAGCCTTTTCCAAATCTCCAGGATATCTGCTCCTTGTTTGCACTGTGACGAAGAGCTCTGTGATTGAGACGCAAACATGTGAACATGCGCATTTGATATGGGTCATATTTGTCCGAGCGGCTTCAATCCAAGCCTTTCACAGGCTCCTCGAGAAGCACAAGCACAGAGGTTTCGGGTCGCCGCACAATGTACGCTTGCTCCATTTATGACAGCATGGACTCAGGATCATGCACGTCCTCTCTTGAAGGCGTCCTTTGTTTGAAGAACTCGGCGCTAGGCACAGGTGAACAGCAACAAACCTCGCGTTGATCAGGCTCGACAAGACTGAACAAGGCTGAAGGGTCGACGACTCCGCTAACTTGAAATGGTCACGCTTGCCGAAATATATCACGTGTGTCTACGTAACGTGTACGTTGTTGATTTTGTCGAAACACCACACATGCATTCTGCAACCTTTGAATCGTCTCTTTCGCTTTCCTGCAGTATCGACTGTAATCCGCCTTCTCTATGTGCCTTCAATACCCTACACCGGCTCAGGCACTCCTACGGCTCTCTTTCTAGTCTTCAGCAGTTGGCTGGTTCCACTCATAGACGATCACTTCAAACATGAGATGAATGCTATCCAAGATGGGCGACAGGCCTGATAAACGGTACGGAGTAGTCCTAGATGCTGGTTCATCTGGGACGAGAGTTTACATATACCGATGGCTCCCTAACTCGGTCGCTCGACTTGATCACACCTCCCTGCATGCTTTACCCGACCTGGAGACAAAGGACAAGTGGACGAAAAAAGTGCACCCGGGAGTGTCAACCTTTGGCGAGACACCCGACTTGGTCGGTCCAGATCATTTAAAACCCCTCCTCGAACACGCCCTCAAATATATCCCTGAAGCTGCAGTCCCTAATACGCCCGTTTTCCTGCTTGCGACGGCCGGCATGCGCCTACTCCCTAATCAACAGCAACAGAGCCTATTGCGAAACATCTGTTCCTATCTAAAATCCGAGACGGAATTCTCAATCCCAGACTGCGATGTCCATGTACAAGTAATATCCGGGGAGACAGAAGGGTTGTATGGGTGGATTGCGGCGAATTATTTGCTTGGGGGATTTGACGAGCCTGAAGACCACGATCATGGCAAGGGACATCATACATACGGCTTTTTAGACATGGGCGGCGCGTCTGCTCAGATTGCTTTCGCGCCGAATGCCACGGAAGCCGAGAAACACGCCAACGATCTCACCCTGCTGCGCCTCCGGACAATCAATGGTGTGCCACAAGAGTACAAGGTGTTTGTCACGACGTGGCTGGGTTTCGGCGCTAACGAGGCACGACGGAGATATGTGGAGGATCTCGAAGAATCATACGCCATCGACGGGATCCTAGAGGTCCCCGACCCATGTTTGCCGACAGGATTGCGAGTAAACTTCGACGGTACCATCATATCAGACGACGGTCCCTCTCTTTCGAATCATTATCTACGGGGAGTCGGGAGATTTGACGAATGCCTCAGACGCACGTTCCCCTTGCTCGAGAAGGATATACCCTGCCCAGACGAACCGTGCCTGGTTCATGGAGTCCACGTTCCCGCCATCGACTTTGAGGTCAATCACTTCATTGGCGTAAGCGAGTACTGGCACACCACGCACGAGATCTTCGAGATGGCGCACAAGGATAAAGCATATGATTTCAATACCTATCAGAAGAGGGTCAAGGAATTCTGCGAGCAAGACTGGTCAGACATCCAGAAGGGTATCGAGGATAAAACGTGGGGCGACAAAGTCGACGAAAAGAACGCGCTGGAAGTGTGTTTCAAGGCTAGTTGGCTGATTAATATGCTTCATGACGGTATCGGGATTCCCAGAGTCGGACTCGAAGACACGGAAGTCTCATCCCACAACGGCACGAAAGAAGTCCTGGAGAGCGCCAAGGGAAAAGGGTTTCTCGATCCTTTCCAAGCTGTGAACAAGATTAAATCCACAGAGGTCAGTTGGACTATGGGCAAGATGCTGTTGTATGCATCTGCAGAAATTCCGCCTGGCTCGGATGGGGATTTGCCTGTTGGCTTCGGCAGCAATGTGCCTGGCATCCCCGAAGACTTTCAGTATCCTGGTGGAGGCTTGCTCCAAGCCGCCCCGGACTACCACGCCGGAGCACCTGCCACCGATCTACAAGGGACCACTGGCGGCGACGACGGAAACAGCCAAAGCATAACCGACCACATTCACGACACACTCTTCAACTCTGACGCCCCACACCGCCTTCCGGGATTCATCTTCTTCCTCCTCATCTTGATCATCGCGGCGTTCTATCTCTGTGGCCGCGAACGACGTTCCAGGATCTACCTGTCCCTCCGACCGTCCTCCCCGACCGCGCCCTCTGCCTTCTCATCCTCGTCGACTCCGAAGTTGAGGACCCCGTTCAAATTTCTCCACGCGCTCCTCGGTCGCCGCAAGGGCGCCTTCCATTTCGACAGAGACCGGGACCTCGAGGACGGAACGTCCCAGCAGCTCTACGACCCGAACGACTTCGAGCTGGACAACATGTCCGACGATGACAGCACGGCCCTCGAACCGGACGTGGCTTTTGCCAAGTCGAGCCCTCCCCGACCGACGTCACAGGGCCGAACCTCGCCTTTTCAGAGCAAGCGGCACGGTTCGGAGAGGTTGAGGCCGAATCCAATCGACCGCGCGGGACTGGTGGTCCGGACAGAGAGTCGCGAGAGCCTGGCCGGCGGGGACGCGGGCGTGAACGGGCGGTCCAAGAGCAGGAACGGGAGTCCGACCAGGATGATATGATGTGGTGAAGCCGAGTCCCTATTTTCCTGCTTGCCTAGAAAAGTTTTCTGTCGGGTTATTGCAGAGGAACAATGAAACATGGAATATTGTAATGCTCTCCACCTCGAAAAGAATCGTGAACGTCTACCCATGTAGGAACCCTCACGAAAAGCGAGCTGAGTGGGCGGGGCCGAGTAGCCACGGCTCGGTATTGTACCTGGTATAGATAGACAGACGATGAAAAGCTAAACAAGGAAGCTCACAGTGTTTTGACTTGTTTGCGTCAAAAGTCATCGCGCCGGCGAAGGGTAAATCCTCCAACTTCAAATTGGTAATACATACATACACACATTACAACAGTACAATGGCGCAGTGGTCCGGTGGTCGGCATATACATACATGGGGAGTAAGAGTAGGAGAAGTAGGGGAAGGAGGAGGAATTGCCATCAATCACCACGAGCGCACTCACTCATCCATCCATCCATCCATCCATCCATCCATCCGTCCGTCCTTAACGTGTCCGAGCGTCATACCATCATCGACCTCAACATGGATCACGTTTGAACCCTCCACCTCCATCGTGAAAATGTAAACATAGCCTGGCTTTCCCCTGAGGTAGTCTGGCATAAGTGGCATGGTCCGTCACAACAGCGTGTTCAAACACGGTCATTCGTCCTCGATTCGACGGTTGTGTGGTACAAACACAACAATCGCGACAAGATGTCAGATCAAGGGTTCGTCGTCCCACTGGCGCCACCCGATCCGGAGCCAGAACCGGGGCCGGAGTCAGTCGCTGTTCCAGACCCAGATCCAGATCCAGATCCCGATGCGTCCCTCTTCTTCAAGCCAATGTTCAACGGGTCCGGTAATCTGAATTCCGGAATGCCCGTCTCCGCCTCGGGCTCCCTGATCGGCCTGAGCAAGCTCGAACCCGTCCCTGCGGTTCGGTACCCCCTATCCCGTCCCACTGATGCTCCGCCTCCAACGTATCTCTCATGCTCTCGGTCGCGCTCGCGTTCTCTCAGCGCGGCATGCTGGGCCGGCAGCGTCGCGGTGACTTCTCTGTAAAATAGATCCAAGCACGCCTTGTCGCCGCAAAAGGCCTCGAGGTCGTCCTTGATCTGTTCGGGAGTGACGTAGTGCGTGAACCCCGACGCAATGAGCGCCCGGCGGGTGCCGAGGACATCGGCCGTGACCTTGGGCGTCGTAGGTGGAGGGGGCAACGCGCCGGAAATTGAGGTGGTGGTGTTGGATGTTGTGGTCTCTGTCCCTGCCAGAGAAAGAGGAGGAGGAGGGACGGGAGTCGATGCCAAGGGTCGAACGAGTGGTGATGCGTAGGGTCCGGCGTGGGGAGATTGGACATTCAATCCAATGATTCCTGAGGCTTGCATGCTCGGCGCAGAATGGGTCGAGGATAATGTTTGTGGACGCAGGAGCATGGAGCTCGAGGCATTGGGTGTAAGATCCTTCTTGCTGGCGTCGAATTTGGAAGACGTGTCTTTCGCAGACGCCTGACGGGAGTTATAGAGCCTGTTTGCGAGGAGGAGGATGTTGCCTTCATCGGTGATCTGGGCGAGGACGACTCCTGAGCGGTGGACGAATTGCGTGTAGCGATAGTCGAGATCCCCCCAGGAATACTTGATCTCAACGTTTTCCGGAAACTCTGAGGGTGCTTCGAGATCGAGGACGAAATTGAACCGCTTCAGTAGTGCCTTTTGGTAGAAGTGAATATCAGGATTGAGGGGCGCTTGCGGTCCAAAGGACACCGCCGTAAAGTACATGGTACTGATCGAGTTGCGGCGGGGAGGCTCGAGAGCAAGCTTGATGTGGTAGGCAGCACGAAATGGCTCGTGCTCTGGGACCTTGAAGGCTTCTGCAATGGGAACTTCGACAAGCTTCAATCCGTACTTCTCGGCTTGCGTGGTCCAGCTGACAATAGCGTCGTCGACCAATTTCGAGGTGACGTTGAACCAGGCTAATTCGAGATGATAGCAGTTCTCCGGGTTGTGGAGTCTGTCGTAATGCAGGTTGACGATTTCGGGTCTGTTGGACCGCCGCCTCGTATCGACATCGATTCGGATCATCTTGCTCAACGTCACAGTTCGTCTTTTCTTGTCTCCCAGCGTTTTCGCCAGTTCAGAAGCTACTTGCGCGTGGTTGGCAAGGTTTGAGCCTGAGCGTGACCTACCAGTGATCAACTCTCGAGTGGGATGCTCGGTCGCAGGGGTGGGCGGAATCGATCGATCCGAGCGTCGGCTCGCGGGAAACCATGACTGCCTCACTTCTGCTCGTTGGGTGCGAAACTCGGGCTTGATGGAATAGAAATAGTTCCCGTCCTTGAAATTGTGCTTGCTGTTGACGTGTTCGAAGAGATTCTCCTTCATGAGGTCATTGCCCAACTCAACGGCCTCCTCCCGAGTATCGATGTCCCTGAAATTGTGCACCAGCCAGTTTGTCAGATCCTCGCCCATGAAGCAACTGTAGTAGAGGCGCAAGTGCCAGCGCCGAGTCTTGATCTCGATCCCGTTTTCGCCTTGCAAGGCTTGGGCTAGCTTCGGGAGACTGAAGGAGTCCCTTTCGAACTGCTCGGCTTCGGGCAGGAGCTGTGTGGTTTGTACTTCGCCAGCCTCTTCAGCCGCGATAAGCTTATCAAGCTCCGTCGCTACCAACTCGGATGGATTGAGAGTTTCGAGATTGATTCTCAATGGATTTCTGTCCTTCCCTTTCATGGTGCTGGGCCGGGTGTGAGCTGGTCTTCTCTCGTCTGGCGGCACATATCGTGCTTTTTGCCACATTTGCGTCAATGCCCGAATACCGCGCAAATGGATCTCTTCTTCGCTTTCTTCAGCTTCGGACAACGTTGGCCTCCAGGAATTGACCGGTGGCGCCACTGGGATGAGGACAAACCTTGCCCGCCAGAATCGAAGAGATGTGACATCTATATCATTTTGCTTCCTGAAGTCAGCCAGGTACCTGTCAGCCGCTTCCCATGGGTACTGCTCAGAAAACCCGTTGAACCGCATATCTCGAATCTTGTATGCTTCTGAGAGAATGGTCCTGATGTTGGGATAGTAGTGGATCTCCTGGGGATAAGGAGGCTGGACACTTGGTGATCTCCGGATATACCTGGTCACCTGGATCCGATTTTTCACCTGAAGGGACAGCTTCTGTATCGTGTTTCCCATCGACATGACAATGAAGGATCCATCAGGGCGCACAAGATTCGGCGTGAAGAACGAAGACGTGTCGCAGGTACCGGGCCCAACAGCTTCGAGCAATGATGGACCGACTACGAGTTGGTAGCCATGTGCAAACCTCAGGGCCAACATCTCGCCAAGGAGTATGTCGCGCGACTCGGTTTCTTCGAGCATCTCGTTAGGATTGGCCAATATGACGTGGTAGTCTTCGGAGTCATAGTCCATCTCAAGCTCATCCTTCGTTGGGAAATCCTCCGTCGTTAGAGGAACCGACGCAGGAGTGCACAGAGACTTCCATTTCACGGTAGCGGCACGTGGTTTCCGAGGATATAGATGTTGCCACCTGCCAAAGAACGACTCTCTTTCAGGATGTCGCTTCAAAGGATTTGATGCGTTGACATTGCGCACATATGGGAGAGTACTTCTGGGGACAGAGCTGGCGACCGACATGCCCAACTGGCTCTCACCCGGCTCCACGCTGTCCGAGTCGTCTGCCCCGTCGCTACCTGAAGAGTGTGACGACTCGCTGTCTGCCACTTTGTTGTATTCGAGTTCATCCTTTGAAGCAGACATATGGCCTTGAACCCGCCGGGTTGTGGAGCTCGATCTTTGAGATCCAGCAAGAATATCATCTTGAACCTTCCGCAACGGGGTATTTATTGAGATTGGTTTTGATGGAGTGTCCTCTAGTCGACCGGATAATCGAGAATTTGACCTCTCCACGGAAGCAGAGTTCTCTTTATGCTTCTCACCGAGCACACTGTTCGTGGACACCGAGCGTATGCTCGCGGCTGACGTTGACACCGTGGGTCGCGAGTGGCCAAGGTTACCGAATGGCGAGTGCGCCTCGACATTGGTAATGTTCACTTCGGTGCTAGCAACAGCACGAATGGGTGGAGCCAGCCCTCTCAAAGAATAGTTAAGCGTCCGGTTGACCTTTGATGCTTCCCGTGGTTTCTTGGTTATTAACAGGGAGCTTGAAGCATCGGCCGAAACCAGAGACGGGAGCTGTGGCCGGAAAGGCGAATTCAGAGACTTGTTGGTGAGCACCTTGGTCAATCCGGATCCCGATTTTGGTGCTTCATTTTCTGGTTGAACCTTACTTGGCTGGGTTGAGGAGGCTGTATCAGTCCTTACCAAACTACTACTTGTTGTCTTCGTGGCTTTGGATTTGGTCTCTGCGGTTGAATGTACTTCAAACAAGAGCGAGTCATATGCGTCCATACGGTCGAATATATCTCCCAACGCTTTGGCATTTATCGATAGCAACCCCTGAGCTATTCGTGTTGGTTCTGGGCCGAGACGGCTCTTGCGTGATAGCGTCGGCGAATGTGACAGACTCCTGCTTCCGGTTGCTCGTCTGCGTTTCGAGCCCGTGCGTTTGTGCGAACCTGTGAGTGGTGCTTGAGTTTCGGTCATGAACGGGATGATCATATCTGCCATGCCAAGCTCCATGAGTCCCATCATTTGTATCTCGTACATCCTCACTCGAGGCAAGAAAGGTCCCTTCTTGCGTTTCGAGGTGCCATCCGCATCTTTCGGTCCATCCTCGAGAAGTCTCATCTCCGCTGGCTCGCCCTCGGCAGACCAGTATGACAGGTCAACCCACTGCGGGATGCCGTAACTCCACCCCTGAGAAGTCTCGTGACTCCGCCCTGAGATAAAGCTCGCAAAGTACTGCGTGCTATTCGTCGCTGCAGATGAAAGTGCCGGGGAGAGCTTGCGAGGCTGGCTCGAATCGAAAAAGCTTGGCCCAGATCCGTACCTGTGCTCAGGGGCAGTGAATTCCTCAACCACCGAAGACAGAGACGATTCCTCAACTCCAGAAGTCCGGTATTTGAACAGAGGTACGGAGTGCAATGGCATCCTGGACAGACAAACTATGTCAATTCCCACACCATTGTTCGTCAAATTCTGCGACGTTAGGTTCAACAAATCCCGGTTGACTTCGAAAACGCCAGTCCCAGCTGTGACGACCACGATCGAGACACCAGTTCGAATCAGGTCTCGATCCTCGAAGTCATGAGCGAACTGAGTGCTGGCAATATTAATAGCTTCCAGTATATTTCCCTTGAGTGCAGCGCTCGGCCTGCCAGCAATGCGCGTCGGCGGCTCCTTGGTGTCTTCTGATATTATTTCCTTGGTGCTCGAAGTGTGTAGGGAGATATCCCTCAAAAAGACACGAAAGTCCTTTTTAAGCTCATCCAAAATTGTTGTCCATTGCGCACTGGCCATATCTGTGACGACCACCCTGTAGAAGTCCTGGTATTGGCGAGCCGTCATGTTGGGCGATCCTGACATTGGAGCCGTTTCTAGTCTTCTATCTTTGTTCCGCGCGAGTTCAAAGCGGTCATACTCCAGGCGCCCAAAAAGAACGATGCTGACAAGGTGCCGAACATCCAGATCGGTCCATCTTTTGAAAAGTTCGGGAAGGAAACCATTAATGACTCGATTGAACATGATCTCACCATTGCCCTCGGAATCGAAATCCCACATTTCGCTGGACATCTGTATAAAGAGCACGTACCGCGCCGCTTCGCTGCGGAAGACTGGGATCGTGGTCCCGGCAAAAAAAGCAGTAGGCGCCTTGTGATTTCGAACATGGATGGACTTGACTGTGAGCTTGATGCTCCCCAAGTACGTGATCTTCTGCCCAACGTAAACTGTCGTCTCGGCCAGCTCTTGCCCAACGAGCCGCCACATGTCCGACCTTGCGAGGTATGTATCCCTGAAGCTGAATTCCACATGGGATGCCGTTGATTCCTCGAAGGAAGCAGGAAATATGTAGACATGCGAGCGCGGTCTAAATCCGAACGCTGTCGCGATGTTACTCTTGATCGAGACTTGCAGGTTGGCCTGCTTTGCCTTGAACTCAGAGGACGCGAACTTGGCAATACAGAGGTAGTAATCATCCCTGCCAGATATATCACCAGTCTCAATCAAAGAGCCCGTGTTGCGCCTGGAGTCAGTCTGTTCACTGTTGGGCGACTGAAAGTCTCGGACGTCTGAAGCCTCGGTAGCTGGAAAGATCTTGATCAAGCCGCCTTCCTGTATATCCGAGCCTGCTAGGATGGCTTCATTGATGAGAACGTGTTCGGATGAGAATGCGTCGTCATGTACCCAAAGCGATGCGCGAACTGAGACGGTATCTGAGCTATTCTGGGCACCAGGAGGCAAGCCTGTCTGAGATCCCCCAGTGGCTCGGACCGTGGAACCACTGCTGGTTCTCCGATGCAATGCAGTCTGATTCATATCGGAGGCTAAGGTGATGGCGTGGCTCTAGGAATTGTGGGCTCTCAAGCTGTTGTCTTCATCTCCCAAATCGAGTTGCCAGCTCCGGCGAGATGGCCCACTCATCCTCCACAAACACAGGCGCAAACGCATTGGAACTTGTGGGCATATGGCCTGTTGTCAGCGCAGAAAGGGGTTGCGTGGTCGATTTTCTCTATATGTCCTGATCAAATGCTGTGAGGTATTGGCGAAGAACAAGATGGAACCTTGATCCGACGTCGAGAGACGGGAAACTGTGCCAAGACAAGCAGCCGGTTCAGGGACAATAATGATGCCGCCCTAATTCTACCTGCTTGATCACTAAAGCGGCAAGACGAGCCATTGGGAGAAAAGACCTACCAACAGTAACTATACAGAGTCCTCAAGCAGTGCATCAGGTCACGCAACGAAACGAACCCTATAGCGAAGCGGCTCTCACGATGGAATTACTTCAATACTCCGTCCTCCCAAGATGGCGGACCCTATTTACCAACACCCTACTCTCGTCATGTACGAGAGGGCTAAAGCTCTGATTGCCGCTAAGAAGGTCTAGAAGCGTCGGTCGACAAGTGGACGAAGAAATCATGCTTCATGTCAACTTCCTTCCCATCCTTTCGCAATGGATAGAATCTCTATCTCTACACTACCGAGCCGCAGCAGATCCGAAGTGCTGCGAACGGGACCAGAAGAACAATGCAGGAGTCTTGAACAACCACAGAAGGAATCTGAAGCGCTTTGCAAGGCTTGCGAAGCCCTCGACTTTGATGTTCTCTTTGGACAACGAAGAATTCGAACCTTTGATGAACCCAGTTCCTATAAGGATTTAAGGGTTCATGTCAACAATGTCGGGGCTATTCTGCGGAATAGAGGCTGCAGCTTTTGCAAATTGCTAAGATTTGTGATATTTGAGCCCAACCCATTCCTCCCAAGAGAGAATGGCGATTTGATTTGTCGGAGGGGAAAATGTCCTCCAGAACCCATCGATTGGAACCTCATCGATTGCTACCTTGTCCCTTTCCACACACAACTCATCAATAGGAGTGGAAGCTTCAGCCGCGAGGCTGCTGAGAAGTATGCCACATGCCTATGGCTCAATTTGATTCACCCGACGAAGCCTAAGCTATTCGAGCACTACATTCTGCACAAAGGTCCCAAGAAATCAGGCTGTGTCGGAGAAAGAACATGTTACTTGAAGTTGAATTTCGACGAGACAAACGTCGATATCCTCAAAGAACGACCTCTGCTGAACGGAGCCAAGGCCCACGAGAACGGACCGAATTTTGACGTGATTAGGAAATGGCTTCATATCTGTCAGAAGGGTCACGCCGACACGTGTAACAAACGGGAAGGTACCTATTCTAGGGAGATGCTCCATTCTTTCCGTGTCGTCGACGTCGAAAGCCGGAGGATAGTGCATGCAGATCTCGCGAAAGACAACTACGCGGCATTGAGCTACGTCTGGGGCGCTGACCATCATGAATATACGAATCACCTATTCGACCTTGAAAAAACAGGCGAGCCTCCTGAATCCACGAACCCTGATTGGTTCTGTTTTCCCACCAAACTTCCCAGGACCGTAGAAGACGCGCTGGTTGTCTGCAAGGAGATTGGCGTCGAGTACCTTTGGGTTGACCTGTTCTGTATCGACCAGCAGAATGCACAAGATAAGGCCATCCAGATCGAGAACATGGGATACATTTATTCCAATGCCGTAGTCACCATTGTGGCGGCGAGTGGTGGGAATTGCAACAGCGGACTAAGCGGCTTGCGAGGGCGTTTTCACTCCGAGCAGCCTCCCTTCAGACGTCAAGCTCTGGAGAAGGTCAAAGGCCGCAACATCACAACCACCCTGTCAGCAGATATGTCGAGGATGCTGGGCGAAAAGGTAGCTTGGTCGAAGAGAGGCTGGACGTTCCAAGAAGGGATGCTGTCGAGAAGGTGCCTGGTCTTCGCCGACGAAGACGCCATCATGCTCTGCCGCAACGGTTCCTTTCGAGACTCATGCAATATTGGCACGGCAGCTGGCGGCGACTTGGGCGACAAGATCGCTTTCCCGCAGGACCAGAAAACAACATTGAATCTCTACATCTGTAGCTCCGTCCACTGGGAAGCCGCGTTTTCCATGCTTTACTATGGGCATTGTGTCTTTCAACTGACCATGAGACAATTTACCAGGGAGAACGACATCCTCAATGCCTTCCAAGGGTACCTGAGGATCGTGCAGGAAGCCTCGCAGATGGAGTTCACCTTTGCGTTGCCAAAACAGCAAATCTTGGACGGTCTTTGTTGGGTGTCCCTGATCCCCATGGAGCATTCCCGGCTGGCCGAGTTTCCTTCGTGGAGCTGGATAGCCTGGCGGTCGTCGTCTTTGTCGTCGTCGTCGAACACCTCGAACGAAACGGAGCATGAGGACGAGGCAAATGCCTGCGGGATGCTCCGACTGTTCTACCCGTTCGTCACATTCCCCATGAAAACGTCGCGTGCGCGCGAAGAACTGCAGGCTCTCATACCGGGCTACCGACACCTGGACTGCAAAATCGTGAAAGTGATCCAAGATAAAGGGCCGCACTCGGAAGTCACGCCCAAGGGCCTCGTCCTGCAGTACGGCGCCAACGTCTCCTTCGAGCCCGGGACGGACGACCGCGTGCTCGTGCTGGAGTCGGAGGTGGCCTCGTTCCGCTTCGGCATCGTGGACGCCGGCCCAGCATGTCCGTGGCCCCGGGTCTGCATCGTGACCACGGACGGCCGCCGGTATCCCCAGTGGTGCTCCGATCTCGATGTGGCCACGCTCGCGAAGCCCGCGGATCCCACGTATGCATCGTGGTCGTGGGCCTTCGAGCAGCCGGTCCAATGCGTCTTGCTTAAGTACTGGCAGACCGCCACGGCAACTGAGCAATCGTACATCCGCATCCTGGCCATGCCCTTGGACAATAGGGCCGGGACTCGCGAGGTGCGGCGCACGTGCGCGCTGTTCTTGCTCCCCCTTCCCGTCTGGGAGTCTGGGGAGCCCCGGTTGAAGACCATATACTTGGCTTGATGGCAGCCCGGGCTCGTTGGCCAACGAGGCATTAGGGTTTGCAAGGGGCTAAAGACCAGGCTGGGGCAGCAAAGGTATCGAAAGCGAACCGAACAAGTCTAATTGTAGGTGACTATTGATTGTTACAATCACCTTCGTATAGTTGTTGGTACGTCTAGATTCTAAGACGCTAATAATACATGCGCTCTAAAGGGTATCGTCGCTGTGGGCAGGGGAAGATCGTCACTCATCATATGTCCATCCCTGGCATCCCTCCAGTACTCCTACCACACACTCCTCGTCTCGACATTGAGGAGCCACCTCTTCACTCCCTCACGTAACACATTATCCTGCTTCATTTCCTGATTCAAAGCATCACCGTTGATCTTGACGTGGCCACCAGCGTCTCGTCCTCTGCTATACTTGGACAAATCATCATTGACACTCTTCACCACCTCCTCGAGAGCACCCACCACTACTTGTCGACAATCTGACTGCGACAACGGGGTTGTGCGAGACCAGTCCCTTAGCTTGCCGGGGCCCGAGATCTCCAATGGCAGCGACTTCACGGAAGATGTAGTGGCGGCAGACACAGTTCGAGAGTGTGTCCTGGTTGGAGCTACCGACTTCTGTTTTCCCGGCTCTGTCTCGTTCAGAACACGTTCGACTGCATCAGTCAGTGTTGTATCGAAGTCCATAACTATCTCACTGTCAAACTGTTCCAACTGAGTCACTGACTCTGGCTGGACATTGGATGATGCCCCAGGAATTCCCGAGTTGTTTTCTGTTCTTGACTGGCTCTGCGCGCCTGTGGCAGGATCGCTTCCAGTTCCCCGTTTTGCCAATCGCTTTAAAGTCAGACGTTGAATGGTAAAGTTCCGCAGGTCGGCAAGTAATGTGGTGCAAACGGTAACCCACTGTTCCGTCCCGTCTTGCGCGTCTGATGGCGAAATGGATATGTCATCAGAAGGGGTCGGCTCTCTTGACATGCTTTGCCTGATCTCGTCTTGAAGCTCGGTATACGGCTTGACCCCCTGTAGGATAAAGTCTTCATGAAATCGTTTTAGATAACCTGCAACGTTTGAGGTTTTCGATCCTGTCAAATCGGTGTGACGCGAGTGCGAGCTGTACGTCGAGCCCGCTTCATCCACACTTGCAAAAGACGGCGAACGATGATGCAGCCATGATGGGGGAGAAGAGCCTTTCCCTTCGTTCCAGCCTATAAAACCAGGAATGTTGATATCCACATCAACAACTCCATCCCTCTCGTCCACTGTGAGTCGTGGGGGGTGTACTTCGCTCGGGAATGTTGATGGTCTATACGCGCTTGCGAGATCATCGTCTTGGCCTAGGATTTTACTCTTTCGCAGGCGCCCGGCTTCATCAACCATGGCTTCCAGTGGGCTTGGCCGTCTGCCATGGATTGGGACTGATCTGGGAGCAAGTCTGCGACGATCGCTCAGGCTCCCGGAGCCAGGCGAACTTGTGATTTCATTCGTTGAAGCGGTGGAATCTTGTCTTCTGTTCCACAGACCAGAAACGTTGCTGATCAACGAGCCCCAATTCATACTCGATTGATGGGACTGTGATTGACTCACGCTGTCGCGCCTCAGAATTCGAGCAAGGTCAGCGCTAGCACCAGTCTCTTCACCGTCCATGACTGCACCTTCCGGAAAGTAGCTGTCATCGGCCTTTGTCGCAAAGTGCGGTACAGGTGTGCCCATACCGGGTGTAGCTGTCGAACTAGTGGCATTTGTCTTGTGGAGGGCACCGCCATTATCCGCCGGAGAAAACACGGGCGTATGTCTCATGCCTAGGGTGAGCTCAGCATTGGTGAATCTCGACCGAGAACTCCTGCGGAAGGCTTTAGCAATGCCACTGGCGCTCTCGGTCGATGAGACGCTACTGGACAACCCAGCACCATCGCGGCGACAAAACATGGCGTTTCCGTCTCGGGACTTGTTATGAGCATGACGACGAAGGGATCCTTCGTTGAGGATCCTTTTGACTGGCGAAGAGGAGTTGATATCGGGCGTGAGCAGAGGCGACATGACCTCCGTAGGGAACTTCGTGATTGCGCTGCGCGGCAAGAATGAGGCCAGTAAAAAGATGATGCGGCGAGCCATTGATCGGTTTTCGCAGACTATGACTGTCCGAGACGCAACGTTGTTAGGTTGAGATTTCCCCTTATTCAAAGTCCTGAATTGTCTTCGGTACCACTCTGGCCCTAACCTTTCAAGCCATTCAGTATGGTTTCCGAGAAAAGCAGTCAAGAGGTTGAAAAGAAAGAAGTTTTGCTGTTTATTTCCGCATACTCGGACAAGATACCGTGCTTCGTCGAGCCAATGGCCTCCGTTGTCAAGCCCTAGGCCAGTAAGAACCCGCGGAATACGCAGTGCGTAGGAAACTCTCCATAACGTATGCCTCACTGCGCGTTGCAGCTCGGACACCTGCACCAATCTGTTGGGAGACCGAAGATAGACGTTACGCTGGTTCGTACGTTGCTCCGACGGACCTTTTGGTGCCTTTGCAGCGGAAGTGATCAGCGCCAGATTCACTTCCTGCAAAAGCTCGCCAATCTCGGAACGCGCTAGAATCTCAACAACCGTAAGGCTCCTCAGAATAACTTCCCAGTTTCTGACAATGATATCAATGCCACGATCAGTCAGCTGGCTGGAAGCCTCGTCGGACCACAAGTGCTCGGGAATGGCATTCAGGAATGTCCAGGAAGAAAAGGAGCCTGATCCATAGGAATTTGGGGTCGATGACGGCGTAAACGAGGCTCTTGATGATGGGCGGGCTGATGAAGTGTTTGGACGCACGTCGCCAGGGCGCGGCAAGTAGAATAGCAAGCCGATGGCAAAGACTGGGGTCTTTTTCTCTACGAGTTTCGGCTTCTTGCTTTGCAGCGGCGAGCCCATCTGGTGTTCAGGACCATGAGAAAGCGGATTGATTGAGTTGGCATGTTCAGCAGAAGACCTTCGGCGCTGCCTTAGATCATCCTGGGCCTCAGGAAGCGTAACCGAAAACATGCGAGTGACCAGAACGGCGTCCCGCGGTTCCGGCTCGGATTCCTTTGAAGGGTTGTTTTGACCCTGGTTGTTGACAGTAGTCGTAGCAGTCCTCGCTCGCAAGAGGGGAGCACGAGAAGGCGCCATGCCGGGTAAGTTTGAAGATGGCGCCCGTGAACTTAGGTCGCTTGCAGGACTTCGATCGCCCGGTAGGAAGTGTAATTTTGTACTGGATCCAGACTTCGTAGCACTGCTGACGCCAAACATACAATCTAGAACGTTGCCGAGGTGGTCCGTGGGCTCCGACTCCTTATGAGGGCGTGCCCAAGATGCCGACACTCCTGAAATAGTAGAACTTCGATTCCTCACATGTCCCAGGATGGGAATCCCAGAGCCTGCACGGTGAGATGTTCCGGCGGCGGCAGGAGAGGGGACGTTTGTCCGTTGGCACAAGTTGGGCTCCTTGGACTCGACATATTGGGTGTCAAAGAGTAGCAGAGGGCGGTCGTTCGTTCCGAAGGCATCTTGGGCGACAATCAACCTCAAGTCCTTGGACTCGTTCAACTCCAGTCCAATTCGATCATCGAAGGGCGAGACACGGGCCGTAGGAGAGCCATATGGAGTAGTCGGTGGTGACAGAGATCCACCACGTCCATCCGCATGCAGTTCTGGCCAGAGCAGACTGCGGGTGTGTGTTTCTTCCGTAGCACTCTCAAGCTGGCTACCTCTGGCGTAGCCTTGAATCAATCTCCCCAGCATCTCAATACAATGTTTAGAGACTCAAGTTTGCGGTAAAGGCTCATTCCACGAAGTTCAAGGCGCGGTGGTGGACTGAACCGGATGACGGGATATCGAGTGGGCGCGCAGGACAGGGTTCGGAGAGGGAAGGGCGAGAACGGGACGACCTAGACGCAGACATTGAGACATGTTGTGAGTCGCAGAGGTCGACCGCGCTTGAGGACGGTGTGCAAAGGCGAGGGACAGCAAGGCAGAACAGTGCTTGCTGATGTAGGAGCCTGAAGGTTGTTGAACTGTCTGCGTTTGGGCTTCGGCATTCCGTTCTCGCCGTCTTCAATTTGGAGAAAGGGGACGAAGGGGGACGAAGGGGGACGAAGGGCACCAAAGCAGCGTCATCTCCAACTTACGGTGAGCAACTGCGCACTAGCCATATCCGGCAATCCGCTAAACCGACATCATCAATTCCTAAATCTTCCATCCGGCTTCCTCCTGCCCACACTCTACAACTTCAATGCCCGACACCAGCCTTCTTTGGCACCCAGATGCTCGCATACTGATGACCTGGTCACCTACAAGGGTCGTGTGGATACATACGCTGGCGAATGCGTCTTCCTATCTCGTGCTAATCTAAGCAAAAGGGGCAGTTCGACAGAACACCTCGACTACAGCTTCTCCAGCCCACGAGACTCGGGCTCCTCTGCATCAGCCTCCAGATTGACCACCCTGCTAGAGGGAAGACTACAGGATGGAGGAAATCGCGTACACCAGAAGAGTTGTATCCTGCGATGAAGACACCGGAAGCTCGCCTGGTCCAGTCCAGCCTGAAGTAGCGATGGTCACCACGGGCACCCGCCATCCAACTCATTGGCAAGCTCTCAGTGTTTGAGAACCTTTACCTCTTCATCTGTACCTCAGATCGACGTCTACCTGTGTACTCAAGGCTGTCACCTGCGTGAACACCACGACGCCCACCTCTCTTTTGTTCCAGTCTCATCCTCAGGTTTGTTTTCTATTACTCGACTGCTCTTGGTGTAACTTAACTGCGCCTGCCTTGGAACCCACATGCGTTGTCACCGTTGCTTCACTCTACGATTGGAGGCAGCTGAAGCCTTGCCAGGCCTTTCTCTGGCTATAAGTACTTTTCTTCACATCTGTCGTCAGTCCAACAGGTTTTTTTTTTTTTTTTTTCCCACGTCTCTTTCTTCTTCATGTCTTCCATATCTGCCAATCTTTCATCCTTATCTGTGTTCTGAACCCGCCTATCTCTTTTCTATTTGTTTCTTCCCGCATTTGGCGTTTCTGCAGAAGATCTTATTCTACGCAAAGCTCACCCAACGCGGTACCTCACGACTCGCTCAGAGCAGCATGCCTCACTTGGCTGGCTTCTCTGTCACTCCGGCGAATGACGTTGTTGATCTCACCAACGACTCAGATGACAACTCGTTACCCGAGATTCAAGCGGTCGTACCAGTCGTCCCATTGATCAAACACGAACAAGATGAGCAACACAATGAGGTTGCCCATCACAACAGCGACCTTAATAATACCGCGTTTGTAGAGCCTGTCATCGAGACGACTGATGATGAGCTTGTTGAGCCCAAAGACGACCACAAGGACGTCAGAGGCAGCGAGGCAAATGACGAAACGATCGATGTCAAGCCGGTTGAGCTCAACCGCAAACCAGCATCAATCGCCCAAAAACAGTCTAGCAATGGAACAATCGGTATGCCACTTGCTCAGTCCACTGAGAAAATGAAAACAGCCCATTTCAGCCTCAAGAGCGAGCAGATTGGTGTCAATTTAGTTGATACCTTGGATCTCGGTCCAATTGCACACTTCGACGCCGCCCATCTCCACGCCGCACCTACAGCGCCGACCGATCCTTTTGACGACTACCCTCCCAAGGAACCCCTAGAAACGTTGGATTTCGGGGGACTGCCGGAGCTTTTCCCGCTACCAGACGAGGACTTGGACATGCATGGTCTCGAAGCTCTTCGGCAGTATAACCAGAATAAGAGCGACTTCAATGATGATTGTAGTGTCGTCAAGGAATCTGCTCGGAACTACGCAGAGCAGTCAAACATGGCGGTGGTAGAAAAGACAGACGAGATGGATTGGAATGCTGTCCTCGACGAGGATTCTTCAGCGGCGAATGAATCCGCCGCCGCCGCTTTTGCAGTTCGAAAGAAAGAGCACGAGAGAAAGGCAGAGGAAGGCTTAAACACTACAGAAGACAATATTCGATTCGCTGCGGATGAGGTGGCTGAGCATAGGCGCCTCCGGGACATTGCCAGGAGCAAAATGGTCGTGAAAGAAACTCCAGAGCAGAATGGCATACCGGCTGGTTATGAGGAGGCAGATTCACTCTTTGTTCCGGAGGTCCCTGAATTGCCGGGTTCTAAGCCCAAAAAGAGAGCAGCGCCAAAATCTCGCAACTATCTCTCCAAGAAGGAATTGCAAGATGCTATCTCTGCTGGCATCGATGCCGGATTTGGGGAGGGTCGAAAGCCAAAGCGAAAGGCAGCAACAGACAGCGAAGATCGGCAGCCCAAAAAGAAACGAGAAACAAAAAAGGACGGCGGCCCCCCAAAGTCGGTGCAGAGAAGAGGTCGGAAGCAGCGGCCCAATCTGAGCAATATCCAAAGTCTCGGACGAATCAACATTGTGGACGCTGCCCAAGCCAACGCTTCAAGACCTGACATGCCCACTTTCACGTCCTCGAACAAAGCCAAGGCACTTCAAGAATTAATTGCCAGTATCCCGTCAGCCGAGCGAGGCACTGCCAGTTCCGACCGGGCAGCCGTTTTGGAAGCAACCAAGAAATTCAATGGGCGTAGAGCCATCAGATCAGACAACCACGGAGGATGGAGGCTTCGAGGCATGGAGTCTTCACTCTACAACCATCAGCTTCTCGGTGCTGCCTTCATGCGGGAGCGCGAAACTGGAGACTTGAAACCCAAGGGTGGCCTTGTGTGTGATGAAATGGGCTTTGGTAAAACCATACAGATGATGTGAGTGACGTTCTTGTTTTCCCTCGGGCAGGGGCTGGTGTGGCTTGCCGTTACTGACTTGAGCAGTGCGAATATTCTTGATGGCAAGGCGGACGAAGGAAGTGCTGTCAAGACCACTTTGATCATCGCACCACCCGCACTCCTCAACCAATGGATGCAAGAAATGGACAAGCATGTGAGCGGGAGTGCCCTGGGTCGCATTCTCCGTTACCACTCTGGTTCTCGTCTTCACAGTAACAACATCGTGGCGGATTTGACGGCTTATGATGTGATTCTGACGACTTATAGTGAGGTCCAGAAGAGCTATCCTCTGGCAGAGCCGCCCAAACATCTCGCGTCCGACGACAGAAAGAATGAGTGGTGGAAGAACTACTTCCTCAACAACGTCGGGCCTCTTCATCAAATCAAATTTCACCGCATCGTCCTGGATGAAGCTCATCATATCAAGAGCCACACATCCAAGACCTCGATTGCTGTGCGCGCGCTCACGGGCAACTACAGATGGTGCATTACGGGAACTCCTATCTTGAACTACATTGAGGAGCTCTTTTCTTACTTCTCGTTCCTGAAAGTTCCCCATACTGGCGACTACGGGACATTTTGCCACAATTACTGCAATAATCGTGTCAATAAAGAACCGGTGCATATGGGCAGAATTCACAACATCTTGAGGGCGATCATGCTCCGGAGGACTCACGTGGACACTCTTTTCAATGCTCCCATCGTCAAACTCCCTGGAATTACGCACAATACTGTGACGGTCGAATTCAACCCGGTGGAGAGGAATATCTACAACATGGTCAAGTCAAGATACATCCAGCAGATCAATACGTACTCGAAGTCTGGCACTCTGAATTCGAACTACAGCAACATTCTAGGAATGCTAGTGCGGCTCAGAATGCTCTGTTCACACATCATGCTCTGTCAAGACGTTATGAAACGGATGTTCGTCGCAGCGGATATCGAGGCTTTGTGGAGACTGACGGCCAAAGAAGTGCAGGCTTCTCAAGACACCGCTTCAATGAACATGATGAAAGCTCTGAGGAAGATGCTGGCAGCCAATGAGAACACACTCAAGACATGTCAGACCAAGGAGCTTGAAGCGACCCATTGCAAAACCCCAGATATCGAAGGTGACGCGAACATGGAAACCGGCTCCACGTATGGGCTTTCCTTCAAGTTCAGAAAGTTCCTTCGCTCGCTGACCACATCCGAGACTTGGACCGAAGTGCATCTTCGCTCAGTCTGTGCCAAATGCCGCCTTCCACCTGACGAGCCGGTATGCACCTCATGCTTTCATGTGTATTGCCAAGAGTGCATCATTGCTATGCACGAGGAGCGAAAAGCTAGTGGGGAAGAGAAGACAGCCTGTCTCGAATGCCAGACTTTATTCGAGGAGACATCTCCTTGTGCCGGTCTGAAAGAGCTAGGCTTCAACACTCGGGAGATGGCGGCAAAAGTTGAAAAGAAGAAAAAGAAGATGGCAAGGCTCACACAGAAGGCCAAAGGAATGAGAAGTGCCAGTCTCAATCGCGGCAGCACTGTTTCCGAGGAAAACAGCGAGGACGATGAGGAAGAAGACCAGGACTGGCTGGAACTCGGCGGTGCATTACTACCCTCTGCCAAACTCGCGGCGACGAAAGCTGCTATCCTCAATTGGAAGGAGCAATACCAGGGGCAGAAGATCATCGTCTACACTCAGTTCCTCGGCCTTGGTCAGATTTTCAGCAATGTTTGCTCTGCGGAGGGATGGGGCCATGTACTTTTCAACGGCAAAATGACCATCGAGGCGCGAGAACGGGCAATCGACAAATTCCGGGACGATCCCAATATCTTCATCATGATTTGCTCCCTGAAGGCCGGTGGCGTCGGCTTGAACTTGAGCATGGCGAGCAAGGTTATCATACTGGATCTGTGGTTCAACTCTTCCATCGAAGCTCAAGCATACTGCCGCGCCTTCCGCATCGGGCAAGAAAAGCGTGTCGACGTTCTGCGCTTTGTGGTCAAGGATTCCATCGACGAGGATCTCATCAAGATGCAAGATCGTAAGGATGTCGAGGTCACGAGTGCGATTGGGCCGGACAGTATGGGGAAACGCGCCACCATCCAGCAGTTGCTCGAGTTGTTTGGCGAGGTGAAGGAGCAGGGACAGAATGAGTTCATCTTGGTGGAAGACGAGAACGAGGGCAAGGGTGACGAAGACGACGACGACGATGTCGACCTTACCAATAGGCTTCCCCCTCGCCCATTCTGAGGAATTTGCGGTTCCATGCCCTGGTCTGGCTCATTTTCGCCTCACGTCATCCTCGGTGAACAGCACGGAGTGTCTCACCAGCTATACATTTGCCACGACTGTTCCACGGGGGCACAACAACACGGCGCCATCGGAACCTCACAAAACGAACTGTCAAGATTCCGAGCTGAATGACCACAGGCACCAATTTGTCTCGATCATTAGAACCTGGACAAATTATCACGACTCCCCTCTTTCAACCAGAAAAAAGAAGACCTGAGCAGAAACCATAAAAAAAGATCGAGTATTTTCAAGCCAAGGAGGGAGAGCGGTTCAGAGAAGAAGAGAACAAAACAGAACAGAACATACCTGCAGCACCACGCCAAAATACAATGGGTTTGGTAGAGAGCAGAAGACATTGATATCAGCATATGATGATGGGGCTGCCCATCTACGGATGATCCAGTTGCATAACCATGTGCACGGCGGTAGATAGAACAGCAGCAGCGTCGCTTACTTTGATTACCTCGTCTCAGCCAGTCAATCAATGAAATGGCCTCGAGCTCAAACACCTTTTCCCTGCCTTTATGTTCTCAGTAGACACTAGAGATTCCTACTCTTCAACCCACCCTACGCTACACTCGTCTCCTGAGCTGGTAAAACGACACGTGCACAGAGATATCGCTAGCTAGAAGACGCAAACACTCCCTATTCCTCAGCGATGCCCGTTCTCGTTGTCGGGTGGCTGGATGCTGTGCCGCCACAATCAGACGAAATGGATTACAGACAGACAGACGGAACGAGTCCAAAGAGATCGATCAAGAATGCGCTGCTTGGTATTGATTTGAGGCTTGAACTTTTGCCATTTCCATTTCCACTTGCATTCTCTTATTCAGCGCTCTCTTTCCACCCTCACTTTTTTCTCAAATGGTGGCCTGGGGGTATCATGTAACATGCGTACAGGTAACAATAAACTTGCCGAAAAGGCAAAGCAAAAAGCAAGTGACAACAAAAGAAAAGTCGTTGCGTCTTTTTCAACCCTTTGGTCTCCTTCTGTGCATCTGACCACATGGGTCGGTCTGCTAGATGTGGGAGGAAGAACCGCCACCGGCACCTCAGGGCACACACTCTCGGTCAAGCTTTCCTCGTGTCCTGCGCAGATTCAGATTTCAGGAGAGGCTCTCCGTCACCTGAACCGAATTCTTTATCCTGATTAAACTCCAAGCTCGAGTTCCAGCCCAAGACCCTCCCGTTCTTCGTCCTAACCCATTCTATCTCGATCGAGGATTGCATGTGATGTCCTCCTCGTGATTGTATAGTTTTTTTGTCTCTGTTTTATTCTTCGACCTGTGAGCTGTAATGCTGTCTGCATTGGTCCAGAACTTGCCAGGTATAGGCTGGTGGTCTCGATGTTGCCATGGCCTGCTACATCTTGCGTTCACCTTGCTGAAATATAGTCGAATAGGAACACTACTCATAGTATCCGCTAATCGTCTTTGGCACTCATGGTCCCAACTCTTTGATAGCCTGTTTCCTCCTCTCCAACACTTCCTTTCTTACTATCCTCGTTCTCAGCGCCTCACTTGCCTGCACCAGCGCATCAATACTGATGGCGTGATTCGTCATATTGTGGTTGATATACGTATAAACCTGCGCAGCCGAGTCGAGTGCGAGGATGGCATTTTCATTGAGTTTGAGTAAAGCGAGGGCCAATTGGAAGAGGAAGGGCGACGAGGTACCATCATGCTCGTCTGAGGAGTTGTCGCCTGTGAGGCTGGATTCCGTTTGGGGGTGCAACGGCGTCACGGGTGTGGATGGGCCGCTCGTCAGGCCGAGGGAAGGCATCTCCACCGTGAGGGTGGTCTTGGACTGGTTCAAGGCCTGTGGAGGGGCGTCGGAACTGTTGAGACAGAGACTGTGGTGGTGAGATTGGAGGGTTAGTAGAGCGTTCCAGTAAAGTGTCAAGATTCAAGACAGAAGACAAACTCACATAACGTCCCAAACGCGATATAGAGCCTCTCCACCCGTCAACACGCCCGTATATAACGACAAGAACCAGTGGAACGTACACGCCTCCAGCTCGACACCCAAGTCATCCAGTTTGGCGCTCAGTTTCGGCAGAACTTCTGCAACATACTGGCGAAGAACCACTTGATCAGCCCGAGCCACAAGTAGGGTCGAGCTGAAATATTGGCTTGGAAGAATGACATCAATGATGGCAACGAGAAGCCAAAAACAATCTTCTGCCGTCGCGCAAATGAGCAGCAAAGAAGCTGTGATCAGATTCATACCTTGACAGTATCCAATGCGTGGATTGTGCAAGGAATAAGCCCTCAGCAACTCTTCCAACCGCTGAACGCCAGGTCCGTGCCGGAAGAACACATTGTCCGTGAGCGTCCGGTGAACATCCGCCTTGATTTGGCTTGCAATGTCCGGGTCGATGTCGGTACCTTCTTGCGATCTGGCAACGAGGTCCTCATAGTAGCCAGGGATCCTCAAAGCACTCGCACCAGAACATTCGGCCCAAATCTTTGGCCGAAGGGTGACGGGTATGCCGGCCAGAACCAGTGACTTGAAGTGCATGTACTTCGCTTTCGTCTTGGTCGAGCGCCCAAGGGTTGCTATCCCTATGAGTTCGCCGTTGAGAAGGTCTGCTTCAGGGGTGTTGGTGTTGCTCGCGCGATCGACGTTGTTCGCTCTTTCCGCTCGGACTCTGCGCAGAAAGTCATTCCACCGAACAGCTCTCTCTGCTTGGAGTGCGTCGTGCAACTCTGTCAGCTGGTCCAGAAGCAATTTTGCGGGGCCGGAGTCGGCCGTGGCTTCGGACTCTGAATCCGGCGTAAAGTCTGCGGAGGTTGCCGTTACCGTCGAGGGTTGTGGCTCCATCACCACACTAGTCGTTGGAAGAGCCTTTTGCGAAGCAGCAGAGACCGAAATGGAGGTCTCTCTGCTTCGGCGTGGCGGCGTTGTAGTTCCCGCGACATCGACCGTACTGACAGTAACAACTGCACCAGCAGAGGGTGTATGTGAAAGCAATTCTTTTGGTCTTCCCGAAGACAGAGCCGCGGGCACCTTAAGGTACTCTTGCCACGACTTTTTGGGTGCCTCCTCATCTACAGAAATCGGTGTGGCTGGTCTTTCGACAGAGAGTTCTTCAGCTTGTGGGTTTTCACCAGCTCTGAAACTAGCAATGGTTTCGGCGCCACTCAGCTTGTTTCGTCTGTGTGCTCGAACCGGGAGGCTCTGTCGTTTCCGCCGTTTCTGGTCGTAGATGAAGCCGAATCGGTCTGTCAATAATCCAGTACTATCCACGTTTTGCGTTGTCATGGTGGGCGGCAGTTGGGAACTTTCAATCATAGAATCTAGCTCGACAGTCGGAGGGAGGCTGCTTGCGTTGGATTCTTTCCGCGCGTGATTCGGACTGGCGGAAAGTCGCGTGGCAGTCGGTGTACGCTTTGCTGGTGGGCGGCTTTTGATTGTCCCAGTCGTCGGTAGCGACGCCGACGATTTGGTAGTGGTTAGAGGTGGATTGTTGCGTGGTTTCGGAACACTTGGTTCGGCCTCGCCTGGTGCATTCTGCTGTCCCAGCGATGATGCCCTAGATCGACCGGGTTGGGACTTTCCACCGAAAATTTGGGTCCATGAGGCAAAAGAGCGAGTAGACTGGCTGGACCGTACACTAGCTTCGTCGCTGGCTTTGGGCTTCCTCACAGTCTTGCCGCCAATGAAATAGCTCGAAGATTGTGTTGGAGGTTGGAAGATGCTTTGCAGACCAGATAACTTTGAGGTGTTTGAGCTTGATACCCGCGGACGCAAGGTGGCTTCCATGTCCTGGCTGCTGTCGCTGACACTGCTGTTGGCCCTGCTAGGGGTTCGGCTTGCCTTGGCGAGACTCGATGCCATGGAACCAGCCCTGCTGCGATTCGCGTCCAGGTCGACCTGCAAGGCTGCTGGCGTGCTTCGAGTGTCTGAGGCCTGGCCGACAGGGAAATCGCTGTCCAAGGGGCTGCTGACCACAATGCCATCTGCCATGGCTTCGCTCATCATCCCGTCTAACAACGCAGCACCTCGATCCACAGAGCCAGATCCGACGCTTGAGTCTGTCTCTCCCTGCTCCAGTCTGAGAAGCCTCTTCTCCACCTCCGCCGTCGGGACATTGGCCTCACGCAGGATCTTCTTCAATTCTCTCTCCCTGTGATCTGCTCGGATCCGTAGAGCTGAAATTTCCGCATCCCTTTGAGCAAGGTCGGAGGCATACTGACGGACCAGCTTGACCGCGCCAGTCCTGGCAATAAGTCTTTCTATGTGGTCGTCGCTGGCCAAATGCAAGGAACCGGGGATCTCCAGCGATGATCGCGGAGAGTCGTCGAACAATGCATTTTGTCTATTGAGAGAGGGAGATGCACTTGTCAAGCCCGCAAGAGTGGCCTTCCTATCCCTTGCCTTCTGTGATATTGTACGTATGGGTTTCGGCACCACCTCTTGAGCAATGCTTGCCGACTTCGTTTCGGTCTCTGGAGAGAAAGAGGGAAAGGAGGTCAGGGAAGGGTCGTCCTCTTCAAAGGATTTGGAGGAGTGTTTCGAGCCATGACGCTTGGGGGCTCCACGGATAGTCTTAGGTTTCTTGAAATCGGCGGACTGGGCAGAGGTCTGTGAGGAGGACCGTCTCGACTCGTTGCTGCCATGTTCGGACATTTTGAAGCCGACGCTGGCCCTATCGACTCGTCGATCTCTGCGTTGATCGTCCAAGCACTGCCGCCCGCATCTTCACACTTCACAAACTGGCCGTGAGTAGCGTCGGGTTGCGGAAGAAGAGGACAGAAGTCAAAGTCGCAGGTCAGGGGATCCGGCCATGGTCTGAGATTCGATGATGCTGCTAGTAATGACGTCTGTCGTGAAGTGAAGACTAGATGATGGAGGAGGAGAGGGCAGCTGCTTTGTCGCGGAAGAGGAAGAGGCGGTGGTGGACAACACAGAAGGAAGTCCCTGATCTGACCGGACATCAAACGCACACTGCCTGAAGATTGGTAGTATGGTTGGGCATCTTCTGGCAGCTGGCAGAAACAAAATGCTCGTGTGATATGACGAAACCCACAAGTAGCAGCAAGCCGGCGAGCGGGTTGGTGCCGGGGGTTACAGGGGGTGGAGCTTGTTCATGCCACACACACATGCGGCATTGGTGAGGTTCAATCAAGCAAAAGACGCTGGTGGCCCTGGCTGGCTCTGGTGGCTTCTGGTGGCACCAAACGGAGGGAGGAGGTGCAGGTTGCAGCAAGGGCTGGTGAGGCAGAGGCGGGAGAGTCCGCAGCCTGGAGATCCAATCATGTGATCAGAGTAGTGCCTGCAAGGGCCGATGACCAACAACACCCTCTCTGTATGGAGCACACGTCCCTTTCCACCAAAGGAGCATCAGACATCCAGTCAACTGCCCCAACACCGACCTCGTCCTATGCGTAGTCTTGTCTTTCAACAACAGCCTGCACATCCTCTGGACCCCTCCTGAGCTGTCCAGATCAGCATCGCCTCATAGTCGTCCAGACGAAAGTGGCACATATCAGGCATCTGCCGTCGCGCTCTCCTCGAGTCCTCGACATATCAATCATAACTAGAACAAAGCAACCATCATGGACGCCGAAACATCTTTACTCTCTCCTTAACTGACGCAAAGACCTGCTCTCGGAGCCTCTTTACTCCTAATCCATCCCCCAAGGAGCCACTCCAAGGCATCTCGGTTGCCATTCAGTCAACATGGGTCAAGGCTACTCTATGACCACCCTTTCCGCGGCATCCGCCAGCATAGATGTCCCTGAACTTGCGGACCTGGTGCACGAGAAGACCCTGGCCTCAGCCCGTTTCATGAAAAGCGTCCGCGCCAGGAGTCAGCAAGGCTTTGTGTTTGTCAAGGCGGTCATGAAGCCATATTCGTCTTTCCAGGTCCACGAGTATATCCGCCAGCTTACAGAAGAGAGGAGTATTCTGGCCGACATCCCCAATGCCCTGGGCTATCAGCGAATCATCGAGGTGCCTAGTGGTGGTTTCCTCGTCCGTCAATACATGTTCAGCTCGGTATACGACCGGATGAGCACCCGGCCCTTTTTGGAGGATATCGAGAAGAAGTGGCTCGCGTTTCAGCTACTCTGCGCGGTTCGCGATTGCCACGCGCGCAACGTGTACCATGGTGACATCAAGACAGAAAACATTCTCGTCACCTCGTGGAACTGGCTCTATCTCACCGATTTTTCCTCCTCGTTCAAACCTGTGAATCTGCCAGAAGACAACCCAGCCGACTTCTCGTTCTATTTTGACACTTCGTCGCGACGGACGTGCTACATTGCTCCAGAAAGGTTCACGTCGGTCAATCTGGAAGAGACGCAAGGAGAACTGAACTGGGCAATGGATATCTTCAGTGTCGGGTGTGTTATTGCTGAAATCTTCCTAGAGGGACCTATCTTCTCCCTTAGTCAGCTGTTCAAGTATCGATCCGGAGACTATAGCCCCGAGCATACCCATCTCAACAAGATCGAAGACCCTGAGGTGCGGGCAATGATTCTCAACATGATTGAATTGGATCCGGAGAAGCGCTACAATGCCGAACAACATCTCTCCTTCTACCGGTCCAAGATCTTTCCCGAGTACTTTTACAGTTTTCTTCATCAGTATATGCTCAACCTCACCAGGCCTGCTACTGCTCTGAAGCCAGTGGAACTGAATCTGGGGAGCCTGAGCGAATTCGACGAGAAGATTGAACGAGTCTATTATGACTTTGATAAGATCTCGTTCTTTCTCGGTTATGGCCCGAGTTCCACAAAACTATCTTCGCGGTCGCCATTGACGATGAAGTCCAGCAACAAAGTCAAAACCCCGGATGCGGATCCTAGCCTCTACGATGGCAGCCTCCTTTTCCTCACCCTAGTCGAGTCCAGTTTAAGGAATACGGCAAAGGCATCAGCACGACTCAAGGCGTGCGACCTTTTGGTTGCTTTTGCCGAACGACTTCCAGATGAGGCGAAATTGGATCGAATCTTACCATACATTGTTGGCTTGGTCGCCGATCAATCCGATGTGGTCAGGGCTGCAGCAATCTACGCAATGACCTCAATCTTCGAGATGATTGAAGTTGTCTCGCCCATAAATGCATATGTCTTTCCAGAGTATATCCTGCCGCGTTTGAAGCATTTTGGATTTGGCCCCTCGGGCGAGCCCAGCGTCCTTGTGCGCTCCGCGTATGCGTCCTGTCTGGCTTCGTTGGCATTGTCTGCTGAAAGAGTCCTCGACATGGTCCACGCCATCCGGGCAGACGGGCGTCTGTCCGCATTGCGAGAAGATGAATTGGCTTCCCAGCAGTCCTTCGACGCCCTCTATGATTATGGCCGGCGCGAAATCGTACCTCATTTTGAAGAATCGACTGTTGCTTTGATAACCGATCCGGAAGCATCTGTCAGGAGAGCTTTGCTGGGGTCAATATCCCGACTGTGCGTCTTTTTCGGCAGTCAACAATCCAGCGATGTGATCCTGACACACCTTAACACGTATCTGAACGACAAGGACTGGATATTGAGGTGCTCGTTTTTTGAAGCGCTTGTTGGAATCGCATCCTACATTGGAGCCACGAGCCTCGAAAAGTTCATCTTGCCGGTGATGGTTGGTTCTTTGACTGACCCCGAGAACTTTGTCCTAGAGAAAGTCTTCCGATCCTTGGCCCGGATGGCCGCGTTAGGTCTGTTGCAAAAGAGTACAACTTGGGAGCTTGTGGGTATCGCTGCAAGGTTTTCGATTCATCCCAGCATTTGGGTGCGGGAGAGTGCTATACAATTTATTGTCTTGTCTGCCAAGTACATCCCTGCAGCAGACCAATACTGCATCGTCCTCCCGGTCATTCAGCCATTCTTGAAAGGTCCCATCTCTGCGTTGACGGAAGAGCGAATATTGGACAATCTGAAGCGGCCGTTGCCAAAGATCGTTTTTGACTCGGCCACCAACTGGGCAGCAAGGAAAGGAAACAGCCTGTTCTGGACAGCTGCAAGCCGAGACGGTGGATTGACGTTGTCTGATCCCTCAACACCACAAAATCCATCAGCACTCACCAAGCGACTCTTGACCAGGATACCTCCCTCACAGAAAGACAAAGATGACCAAATATCTCTGGAGAGTCTACGAAATCTCGGAATGACTGCGGATGATGAGATCAAGCTCCTTGCGCTTCGCGAGTATGTACTGAAAATTTCTAGGCACAAACCGTCTGAGGATACAGACGAGAGATACCGCATGTTGAATAATATCATCGCTCTGAATCAGATCGATGTTGCCCCGCAGAATGTTTTCTTTGATTCCCGTCAGCCGATCAGAGAGAACACGAGTGGACCTAGGAGGGCACAGAAAAGATCACGAATGGATGAGAGACATAGTCTGGCAGACGCTCTTTTGGACGCATCAACCAGCATTGACGACCATATGTCGCGACGGATTTCGTCCGCAGAGCAATCCAGCGGAACGGCAACACCAGCTACCAAGCCCATGGATATCCAAAATCGCAGGCCGTCGGAAATGAGGACCAATGGCACACCTACGATTGCTGTAGAAAGAGCGAGTGTGTCCTCCAGGCCAAGCATCACAAATGGAGGGACTTCCATAAATGGAGACAGACTGTCTCTGCGCCGCAATACCTCGCTCGAACTCAGACGTCGAAGCAGCGGTCTGAACCTGATGAATCGAACGGATTCTGCAAAGGCGGACGCCGAAATCTCCACCATCTCGGAGAACGCGTTTGGCAAGGTCGAGGTTGATGGGCAATTTCATCGACGAAGTACCGCGGGCCCCTCAGCGTTATCAGTGACGGCCAGCGTGGCCGCAAAGTCCAGATCTGTTTCACCTCGCGGCAGTGGCGCGAGGACGCCGCTCTACGAGCCTAACCACTCCTACCAGGGGAACGATGCCAACGTTTTGCGACTGTTGGACCATCACTTTTTGGAAAATTTCCCCATTGATCAAATGGACTTTGGCGGAAATCGACCTCCTGCCGACACTAGAACACCCATTCGAAGACCTACCGACGTCTTGCAACAGAGCGGCGGCAAAGCGGCGCAACAGGAAGAGAAATTCCGCAGTGAGCCATGGCGCCCTTTAGGCCAGCTGCTGACTCAATTTTCGGAGCATACGGCTGCCATCAATCGAGTGTGTGCAGCGCCTGATCACGCCTTTTTTGTGACAGCATCAGATGATGGAACCTGCAAGATCTGGGACACGATCAGGTTGGAAAAGAATGTCACGGCGCGTTCGAGATATACGCACCGGCGCACTGAGGGGGTGAGAGTAAAGAGTCTCTGCTTCATTGAGGAGACGCATACCTTTCTCAGCGGCGGCGACGATGGAAGCATTCATGCTTTACGGGTCGACTATAGGAGTGTCGACGGTGGTGAGACTTCGCGGTACGGCAGACCGAGCCTCGTGCGGGACTACCTGATACCGTCGAACCGAGCTGTGGACAACGTCGGCGGTCCCGAGGGTAGTGCTGCTGGATCCGTGTCAGAATACGCCGTGTGGCTTCATCACTATCGCACGCCAAACTCCCAATCTATCTTACTGGCAGCGACCAACAGATGTCGTATTCTTGTGATCGACATGAAGAACATGGAGATCATCCACAGCATGAATAACCCGGTACATCATGGGACACCGACTACGTTCTGTGTCGACAGGAAACGCCATTGGTTGCTCTTGGGGACGAGCCACGGAATCTTGGACCTGTGGGACTTGCGGTTCAGGTTGCATTTGCGTAGTTTTGGCATTCAAACCGACTCACGAATAGATCGGCTCCTGATTCATCCCGCAAAAGGTCACGGGAGATGGGTCATGGTGAGCGCTGGCGGGGAAATCAGTGCCTGGGACATTGAAAAGATGGTCTGCCGAGAAGTTTTACGACCGAGCACATTCAGTCCCAAAGGTGGGCAGACCCGCCCGTATGAAGCGTGGTCTCCAGACGAGGAGAGCAGTGAAAAGATTCTGTCGCGATTTGCCAAAGAGGTCTCGGAGAACGACAGCCTCATCGGACCGCAGTTTCATCGCGCTTCGACCACTAATGAGATGTCGGACGGTTCACCTGTGAAGAGATCGGCTTCGTCATCCAGCGCGGCCTCGCCTTCGACCTTTCCGATCCTTGCAATGTATGTCTTCACCGACTACACCCAGAGCTCGAACCCAGATAGTCCCAACAAACACTCTATCCTCCTGACCGGAGGTGTTGATCGAGCCTTGCGATACTGGGACATTGGTCGACCGGAGAACAGCTTCATTGTCTCCGGCCCGCAATTGCACGATGCAAACGAGGATGGCTATGTGTCGCCTGGGAGCATCAAGTCCAAATACAAATACGAAGTCTCGCATCCGTTGAGCTTGAGCGCGGGAGCGCAGATCGCCCTCATCCAGGAAAAGGTCAACGTTAGTGAGGAAGCCGCCACGCCGGGGCAGTCGCCGAGGAAGACATCATCTTATACCCGTGCTTCGAGAAATGCCACGACTCATGTCGCTTCCACTCCCACGAAAAGATCGAATACACCTACGCCAAATGCGACGACGAGCAGTCAGCCTGGCACACCGAATGTACACCGAAACTCCGGGACAGGCACTGCGTCCACGCCTTCAACCCCCCAAGCAGTCAAACCCCCTCGTAATACAATCATCAGCGCGGCACAGCAGCAATTGCTCCGAACGCACTTGGATTCCATCACCGACGTGGTAATGCTGAGGAAACCGTATGGATGCGTGGTCAGTGTGGACCGAGGTGGGAACATCTTTATATTCCATTGAGTTGGGCATCTATCGCTGGGCATGGGTCTGAAGAATGGGTCCTCGTTCTTCCCGAATGACGAGATCGCGAGTGTCACTCGCGTTGAATAAACCCCCTGGGCCTGTGGTCGAGGGACTTATTTCCCTGGCCATCCCTTTCGAGAGGGGGCTTGCAGTGTAGTTGCATCGAAAAGAAAGAGCAATACCCATAAATGAAATCCGTGAAGCAAGCATAGATCCCAACACTTGGTCAGTCATCGACGGTGCCGAAGCTGACCTTTGGGACCTGCTGCATGTATAGAACCACATCTTCTCTACCTTCGTCATTCGTTCTCCTCCTGTGTTTGCCCTAGTCGAATCGACTCGCCGATGGCCGGAGTCATGCGGAGCAACATGAACAGCCCCGTTTATGTACCGACTTCTTTTCGTCCTTTCAAAACTTTCCGGCTCTCGCTCGAACTAGCTGTCCTGTTTCATTCAACAACCCTTGACGCTGCTCGATCCCAGCTGACTATTGGCTCAGGTACTGTGAAGACACATTGTCAGGGCGGTTTTGTCGAGACATAGAGAATAATACTGTGGTGCGAGAGCATTTGTTTCCGCAGGGACAATTGGCCTCGGCTGTTTCCGAGTGTTCAAGTGCGGGCGACCGATCTTGCGCGAAATCGGTGGTCCTGATCTGCATATTCCTGGCAGAGAGACCGTAGGGCCAGGAAAAGAGGTTTATTGAACAGAGGCGGGAGCAGAGGAAGGAAGGGAAGGGAAAGACAGAGGAGGTGAAAGACGAAGAGGAGAGGATCTATTGATCGGTGCGCAGGAGAAGGTCGAAGCAAGCTCAACCCACATCATCATCATTTCAACCACCAACTTCAACGAGATCGCCTGAGGAGAGACGAGACGACGAGATCACACACAATACTATCACCGTCCTTTTCTTTCTGTCCCATGACATCTCGCCACCATGCCCTCCTCCCAAGAACCACCCCCTGAGCCCGCGTCGGCTACGACGACACCGCTGCCCCATGGGACCGAGCACATCGCACTGATCGGCGTCGGCGCTATAGGCATCTCCTTCCTGGCGCTGCACTTGACCTACACGGCCGCGCGGGTGTCGGTGTTCGACCCGCGCCCGGACCTGCAGGAGCACGTCGCCGCCATCTTGCCTCTATATCTCCCGTCGACGTCGTCGTCCGCAGGTGCCGAGGAGTCCCGTCCTGAGCTCTCGATCGAGCAGCTCGCGGCGTCGGGCCGGCTGAGGTTCTGCACCTCGCTGCGCGACGCCGTGCAGCACGCGACGGTCGTGCAGGAGCAGGGGCCCGAGAACCTGCAGTTCAAGCAGCGGACATGGTCCGAGGTGCTGCGCTACGTGAGCCCCGCGACGCATCTGTGGTCGTCGACGAGCGGGATCCCCGCGAGCCAGCAACTCGCGCACCTCGACGCCGCGAGTCCTGCGCTCTCAGAGGAGGCCATCGCCGCGGCCCGCGCGCGCCTGCTGATCGTGCACCCGTTCAACCCGCCGCACCTGATGCCGCTGCTCGAGCTGGTGCCGTCGGCACACACGTCGGGGCCCGAGACCGCGTTCGCGCGGGCGTACTTTGGCGCGCTGGGCTCGATCCACCGCCCCATCACCGTGCACAAGGAGACGGCGGGCTTCGTGGCCAACCGCCTGTCGTTCATCCTGTTCCGCGAGGCGTGCCACCTGGTGCAGGCGGGCGTGTGCTCCGTGGCGGACCTGGACGAGATCGTGCGCGCCAGCCTGGGCCCGCGCTGGGCCGTCGCGGGGCCCTTCAAGATGTACAACTTCGGCGGCGGCCCGCGCGGCATGCGCGGCTTCCTCGACAACATCGGCGAGAGCATCGACGGCGTCTGGAAGGATGCCGGCGAACTCAGTATGGATGACGACGCCACGGGCGGTTGGAAGGATACCGTCGTCGAGCAGACCGCCGCGGCGTACGGCGTGCCCACCGCGGAGGAGATTAGGAAGAGGGACAGGGGGCTGAAGGCGGTCGTGAGGGTCCAGGAGGAGCTGGAGCAGGGAGAGGGACAGGCCATGCCATGAGAACAGGGCAAGCAAAAATCCGGATCTACCCAGAGAGACGGGCATAGATGGAGCAATTGAAACCGAAAAAAAAAATACGTCCAGAGACAGTCAGCGTCAGATGGACATCGCGACCACGAGGAAACAAAACACCAAAGAGAGCGACGCAGTTGACTCGAATATTCAAAACGTTGATACGGATGGAACTCTGCCTCTCTGTTGTGGTCTGATCTGTCCTAGTTTGCTCGACCTTCCCTGTTTCAACGGGTTTTCAGTACAATATCTAGATCCTCAAACACTTTGTTCTGGTTTCCATTTTTCCAATGTCAATATTTTCTCTCTTGCAAGGCCATCAAAGTCAAGTGTCATGCCTGAACTGGGCAATCCAACTGGGTTGTCATGAATATAACTGGTAAATAACAAAAAAAAGCAATCTCGCACCATAAAAGCCCGTAAGCAGTAGCAGCCGCACCAGAATTACAGATTAACCTTCAAAGAAACAAAAGTCGGAACATGTCGAACGTCGGACAGCGAGGACAAACATATTGCCCCGACACGACGACAACAAAGGGGTACCATGTTGTTCGTGCCGCTTAGTTTCCAAGAGGTATTGCGCCAAAGCTCCTTGCCATCCCAAATTCGATGCAGATCCAAATCCAAATCCATGGTTATGCAAAATGATGATCTTCAGTCTGGTGCCCTATGCCTCCAAGACACGGCTGAGAACGGGACCTCGGCCAGGAGGCGGTTTGACATTTTCCTCGGACACCGAGTCTCCTTTCACGCTGCCAGTACTGCTGGCAACATTCGCGTGGGCTCGCTCGGCATCTTCATCCTCAACAATCTTCGTACGGTCAGGACCTCGAGTGTTGTGGTTGAGCGACTCGCGAGCCGTGTAGTTTGTTGGCGCCGTGCTTGCCATGCTCAATGCAGTGCTGGAACGTTGGTGCACCAAGTCTGGTGTTGGGGGGATCGAGCTTCGTTCGCTCTGAGGGGTCAAGTGACCTGTGCCTGCGCGAGAATCGTTGGCAGTATGATCGACGGGAGACAAATTCTCGCTGTCTTGTCGAACATGGCCTGTTGAGGCCGACATACTGGCTTCGTCCGTCTCGGCCTGCTCGTCCTCTTCGACATCAGCCGCTTCGTTGGCGAGCTGAAGCCCCTCGACAGCAGCGGCACACTGCTCACTGATGTTGCGGATGATATCAGCAATGGCATCAGTCTTGTCACGGAGATGACGATCGGCCACATCAGACATGCTGAGCTCTGAGTAGCGTTTGCTAGCTCTCTTATTGGCAGCCAGGAGCTTGTTTTCCATTTGCGGCGTGACGTCTTGGCCGTCAATGGAGCCAGATCTCGATGGTCGTTTGCTAGGCCTGGCGTTCTTGAGTTCATCACCATCCTCAGCAATCTCATCTTGTTCTTCTTCATCTTGGTCGCCTTCTCCCTCTTCTTCATCCTCCTCTTCGTATCCTTCGTTGATGTACTCTGCCAACTCGGAAGCTGATCCAATGGAGCGGACAATGTGTTCCATATGGTGCGTTTGGCCGGTGATGAGCGATCGGAGGTGGAGAACGACGCGCTGAGCTTCATCACGTTGTCTCTGCAGCGTCTGATTCGTATGTTGCAGAGCCGCGATCTCCTTGCGATTGCGAGCACGTTCTTTCTCAAGGTCTTCGGCAATGCCTTGCTGGAGCACCAACGCCTCTAAGGCGTTGTCACGCTGTCTCTCAGTGCCAGACAGACGGAGAGCAAGACGGGCAGCATCATCCTTCTGTTGGTCGATAAGGCCGGTAAGTCTGCGGTTCTCGCGCTTGTGAGACTCAATCTTGACACGAAGCTCTGCCAGCTCCTTGTTGAGAGACTCGACGAAGGCTTGGAATTTCTGGAACTGCAACTTCCATGTCTCAACTTCTTGCTCAAGGTAGTTATTCCTCTTTGCAACCTTGGCAAGCTCTGTGTCCATGCGGCCCTTCAGGTTGATGAAGTCCTGCCATGCTTCAAGTGCGTCTCTCGAATATTGGTTACGTTCTCGAACAATCTCATTCATGTGTCTCATTGAGATCTTGGTCATCAGGGGTTTCTTCATGGTACCGCCAAAGATGGCCTTGACACCAGTATTGCGGCCAAGCTTCTCGCAGACATGGTCCATGACTGCCATCACAGCGTCCTGGTTCCACCATGAGGGGTCCTGAACACTTTCCACCTCACCGCGCAGAACAATGATTTGTCCGGCGGGGATGAGCTTGCCACCTCCATAGGCAGACTTGAGATGCTGGGGGACACCGCTTATCTCAACGTCGCTGTTCAAGGCTTGTGTCAGACGGTTGATCATCTTGGTGCGTTGGCCAGCGGTCAAAATGTTCGGTGGATGATCCGTGATGACGAGATTCCGGTCCAGGTCCACCAGGAGAGCATCCTTGGGAGGCTGGAAGAGAGATCGACATTCAGTGGTGATGCCCAAGATATATGGTCCAGGCTCTTGCACCATTTCGCTGGCATTGCGAGCATGGACAACGGGCACATACAGGCCGCTCCATTCGTATACGCGAACACAGAATCTGATGGTTTCGGCTGCGATTGTGAGCATGGCTGGGTGGTGGCTGGTGAGAATGATACGGCGAGTAGGCGAGACAGAGGCCTCGATGAGGCCTACAATATTGGGAATGCTCAAACAGCAGAAGAGCGGCCACATGTTGAAGTTCTGGAATCCGGTGGGCGAGGACGGGAATTGGTAGCAGAGGGCATAATCTTTCATATCGATCCGTACAAGGTCATTCAGTCGTGGAGCAGGGAAGCTGAGGATTCTGGAAACCTCCTCGGCGTGAAACAGGTTGGTGGCCTTGTTCCAGTGAATCCACATTCCTCGCAGGTAGTCGCCCAGGAGGTTGTAGAGAGGATATCTGGAAAGAAAGCTCAGGCAGTAGGGAATCCAGTAGGTCTCATCGGCGACATCTCTGTAATCGGATTCGGTCTTGCGGCGAAGGTCGCGAATGGTTTCGGCTCGTTTCTCATCGGCTCGTGACCAAACTCGCAGAGCAATACCGTACAAGGTGTGTTGAGAATCTTGCTGGAGGACGAAAGAGTGATGAACGCAATGTGGCTGACTTCTGCCAGTGCAGATCTCGACATCATGTGGAAAGCACGCCTGTCTCGTGGTCAGTGGTTGTAATCAAAGCGTGGGGAGCAACAGCAACGAACCCTCATGGCACTGTGCAGAGCTCTTGCAATTTCATTGTCACTCTCCAGCCTGGGGCTGCTCCCCAAGATCTCGGGAAGCCAGAACTGGCCCACAGCTCCCTTCATATGTTGAATCTTGCCGTGGGATGGAGGTGGTGCTTTGACCCATTGCGACGGCTCCCTTCCCACGCCACAGACCATGTAGGCATGGGTCAATGTCTTTGGAGTCGGTCGATTGTTCGACTTTGCGAGGGTCGAGGGGAGAGGTTGGGTGATTCGTGAGTGGAGAGATGAGGTTCGGCTGGGAACCATGGCATTGTCAACTTGCTGTTCTCGGGTAGCAGGGCGATTTGTATCGCGGGTCTGAGGTCGAGCAGCCATTGAAGTCATTGAGGTATGACCTCTGAGTGAGGGACCCATGCTGTCGGTTCAAAGGTGGCAGGGAGGTTAAGCCTGAGCAATTCAGTCGTGTGAGCTTGGATATCAATCCTCCAGCAATTCAACCCAGAACCAATGGCGAGCTCCAGACAGCCCTGGAGCCTTTGAATCTAGGGATATCGTCGCGGAGAGTGCAATTGTTTTCTTTTCTCCTCGAGACAAACGGAGGGGAAGAGGACGTGGCTCAGAGACAGCCCCCGCGGTGTGAAGAAAGAAAGAAAAAAACCAACGGGCTCCGACCGTTGGGAGGATAGAAAAGCACCACAGGTACTGGAACGGCGTAGGTGCCAGGAGAGATTGTTGCAGGGCACAATTGAAGCTCCATAGATTTCAGGAGTCCATCTGGCATTGGAAGCGAGAGGAAGCGCAGCATGAGGTGTCAGGCCAAGCCCACCGGAGGCACATCAAGTGCCAGGACTAGCAGTGGTGGACTCCGGATATGCAGCTAAGAAGATGAGGCTTGCAGGGGTTAGAAACCACTCTCGACCGTGGAGCCCATAACCGAGAATGGGTGCCCATCTCCATGTTCCTCGTACCTACTTGTAGGTGCGAGCCTGCGAGGTACCTGGGTTTCCTCAGCTGTCTTCGCTCCTCGTCCTCTTGCCATGGTGCAGCAGCGCAGATCAGCCACAAGATTGAGGGAATCTGGTGAGTTTCTTCCTCTGTCAAATCTGTCTACTCACGACGTACCAAAAGACTCTCAACTCCTCCTCCTCTCGCACGAGCACAGAGTTTGCCCCGTCCAGGTACACAAATCCGAATGGCGAATCTCTGCGCACTAGCCTCTGCCTGCGCCTGCGCCTGTCCCTGTGCCTGAGCCGTGCCCGTGGGCCCCTGTCGCAAATCATCCAACAGCCCAAAGAGCTATCTGTCCCATCGCCCCCCAGGTTGGGTCTAGCCAGGAGCTGAGGGACACACACCATCCAAGTCGAGCTGCCCTCCCACACGGAACCACGCCGGTTTGGGGTTGGACGTGCCCCTGGTGTCCTGCAGGACCCTGGCTCACTGTTTTCCCCGGCAGCCCTCAATTTGGTTGGCAACCAACAATCCTGATCCACCTGTCTGTGATGAGCCAGGAAAACTTGGTTGATGGCCTGGGTGACGGACGTGTGCCTGAAGCCCCGACCTGTGGCAGACCTTTTTTGGCCACTTCCATCACAGGCTGGCTGAGGCTTTCACATTTTCTGGGGGGCAAGATGTGCCTCATACTGCTCCTCCCCATCGGTGACCCATCTGCTTGTGTGGGCTTTCAGGGGGGAGGGGTCAACTTTCTCGTTTGGGCTGCTCTTCTTGCTTGGACGTGGCTTGCCTTCCTGAGCTTCTAGGCTTTCGTATAGCGGGTACCTATGAGGCACAGACTTCTCCATACCCCTCTTCGCCCTTCCCGCGTGTACGGATTCTCTTGCTCGGCTCAAAAGAACTGGCTGCGTTGCAGGCACGGGCTATTCCTTTCAACCCATTTGGTGGGAAGTCGCCGAGCACAGATACGAATAACTTGCAGGCCACCGTCGCGTCTTTCGGGTTCCAGCCATCTGGCCACATGGGTTTTATGTAAAGGACAAGCACGCAATTGGCCCTGTTGCACTCAAGGTTTCTGCTACGGACTGCATCTCGTCGAAATTTTCCTGCCAGGACGACAGTGATGAATCATGGAGTCTGCGCGTCCGCGACACAAGAGTTACGAGTACGCACGGCACGCGGGAAAGGAGATGACTAGGAGAAAGATTCCCGTCTGGTTCGCAATTCCAGACCGCATTCGGATGTGTTTCACGTCAAGGCTGATAATCCAAGCCATCAGATGCATTTACACTTCCGTCTTGCATGGAGAAGCCTGCTCCTGTTGGCCCGTTGCCGCGCATCAAGGTTTTCTTGTCATGCTTCCAGAAGTAACGCTGCACGCCTCAGGGGTTCATCTCATGTACCTACTACTCCATCGAAAGGAATCCGCGGGGTTGCCGGACGGATTGCGCCCAATCGCGATCTTATGACACGATCCGCTGGATCATTATTGCATGCCACTGCACGCAAGAAGTGACAGAACACTATCTAGGTTTGCCAGGATGTGCTCTGTATTGCGAACTTTGACTGCAGGGAGGGAATTGGTAACGGTAATTTAAGTTGGTGCGTTACCCAATGAACTGGCCGTCCTGCTCATCTAATCCCACGTGCGTGTTGGGTTTCCGGCGACCAGCGAAGTGACCACAACATGAGCCAACAATGAGAAGACAGAGAGAGGGTAGGGAAGTGAGAGAAAGAGAGAGGTATAGCCTGAACCTGCTGCTCTTGACTTCTCTCGCCTCTCGTTACCCCCGTTGCAGCAGCCTTGGCCAACTCAAATACCAGATTTCTGACTTGAAGCAGACTGCGGTGGTTCTAACATGCGCAAGACAACGCGGATTTCTAATTCCAATATTGAGTCTGATGTCCTCTGTCGAAGCTAAGGACACCTCCCAGCAGACTAGGAAACCTTCTATCATCCACGGCCAGTTCTTTTAGGGGAAGATCAAAGATATCCCAGTCGAGTCGAGACTGGCATTGATAGCCACGTGCTTTTGCGTAAAAGGTCTGGAATTTGGGAGCGGTTTACAGGCACCTTGCTGCCGATGTCGCTGGTTATGGTATCTAGCGGATATCTGCATTTGCATCGATCCTGCTCTACTTGGTGACTGCACTAATGCTGATGCTGGGACAACTCAAAGCCAGGTACGAACGAGGAGAAGTATGAACTCAATGTTCCCAGGAACTTCTGGGGTCTGGGTAGTAGAAAGCCTTGTCAGTTGCATTATTCTTATTTCAGGAAATGGATCGTAGTATTAGTCCAGCCCTTCACCGAGGCTGCAGCGTGACGTCGAGATTATCCCTCACTCGGTATGAAGTGCCACCTTCGTTATCGATAAGGAAAAACCGCAGACTCTGGAAGTTTTGAAGGAACTCCTGCGCCATACTCGATGGATCCCATCTACGACCTGACTACCCGCATCCGCAGATTCATGTCTCGCTGAGATTGACGATGCTATGCAGGAAACAGTTAGCGACGTGCTGTTGACTGATCTCTGTGCGATTTGGTAAGCTTGAACCCGTCCCTACCCTTTGCAAAGACCAAATCCCTGATCTCGACAGTCACGTCAATCCCATTAAGTACACTTGCCCTCGATGTGGAATCCACACATGCTCCCTGCCATGCGTCAAGCGTCACAAGTCCTGGGCACAGTGCTCAGGCATTCGAGACCCTACCGCCTACCGGAAGCGAGCTGATTTAGCCACACCGGCCTCTGTCGATCAAGATTTCAACTTTATTACTTCCGTCGAAAGATCCCTGGCGCGCGCAGACGAGCTTACTCAAAGTAAGGGGATTGACTTGGTCCCCAGTGGTATCGTACGAAAGGGCCAGGAGGCTAGACGAAAGTTTGATGCCGAGCTCGAAGAGAGAGGAATATGCTTGATCAAGGCGCCCAAAGGATTGTCGAGAAACAATCAGAACAAGTCGCATTGGGCGGGCCATGGAAAGTGTATCATGTGGACGACTGAATGGTTGTGTCACGATGGCGACAAGAGGATCTGCAATGTGCTTGAGTCGAGGACCGTCGAGGAAGCATTTCTGGGTGCATTTGGGAAACACGCCGTCAACCGCAAGAAACGCAAGCGAAGTGATGCTGAAACAGGGTCAGTCTCAGCTCCTCACCCCGACGATCAACCTACTCGGCCTGTCACTGCCGGAGAAATTGATGGAGGAACCTCGCACACTGGGAATGTGGAAGGAAATCCTGCAAATCCAGAATCCGAATCGGCCGCCCTCGAACCTGTCACGGACCAGACCGACACCGACACGACTCATGGCCCGACACGAAGGACTGGCCAGCATCCGCAAACTTCGCGTTCATCACAGAACCTCAAGTTTTATCTATTGAAGCCGAACACGATCTCGAAAGTGAAATGTTTGATTCCTGTTGCTTCGGACTCAAAGCTGGTTGATGCTCTTCGCAATCAGACCATCCTAGAGTTCCCGACTTTCTATGTTCGACAAGAAGCCCCCCAGGATTTGCCTGCTCCTTTCATCACCGAAAAAAATTATGAAGAAAAGTATGGGACAGAATTATCGATCAACCTGCCGACCTACGCCAGCGAGGACAAAGCAGATGAAGAACACATTGTTTCTTTGGACAACATCGACGAGAAGAAGGTACTGGAAGTCCTTCAAAAAGACCTGGATGGCTGAGTCCACTTTATCAGATCTATGAATATCCTCAACCCAGTTTACCTGGGACAAAAGGATGTCCAGCACTCAGTCCACCGCATACGGCCCAGGCTTGGCCATTGACATAGCTAGCCTCGTCACTTCCCAAGAACAAGGCGACTCTAGCAACCTCGTCGGCCACCGCGCCTCTCTGCAGCGGATTCAACTGGCCAATCTTCTTCTCGGTGCCCCGGCCTCGTGCTGCATCATACATGGGTTTGGTCATACCAGTCTCGATCACACCTGGGCAGATGGCATTGACCCTCACGCCTGTCCCACTTAACTGATAGGACATCGTCTGTGCCATCGATACCACGGCAGCTTTGCTGGCCGAGTAGTCCGTGCCCCCAGCATTCGACCGGATCCCAGCCACCGACGCCGTGCCAATGATGCTTCCTCCAGGATATTTCTTCTCGGGAGACGTCTTCTGCATGGCAATGGCGGCATATTTGAAACAGAGAAATACACCCAGTGCGTTAACCCTCATCGTCCTCATATATGCCTCGCTCGAAATATGTTCAAACGTATTGGGGACACCCGAGATGCCAGCATTTGCAAACATGATGTCCAGTCTGCCGTATTTTGCCAGGCATTGATCCACAACGGCTTTCACCTGAGATTCTTCGCCGACGTCCATTTTCACACAGTGGACCTCGCATTCGGGATATAGGGACGCCAGTTCCCGCTTGTGCATTTCCAAATACTTGTCATCGTAGTCGCAAATATAGACCGCCTTTGCGCCGTTCTGGGCGTATTGGTGTGCCGACGCTCGACCAATGCCGATGGGAGAGTTGCATCCTGGAAACCAAGTACAGTGAGAATCCGTTTCTTCGTGGTAGTCAAGTGCTATAATTTTTCGGACGTACCAGTAACGATGACAACCTTGCCCTTGACTCTTGGTCCTGTTGAGCTGTCTGCGACATGTCTAACACGAGGGATCTCCTCAAATGTGCCCTCGGAAGGTATGCCTTCCGCAAGTTGCTTGGACAACGCCGCGAGGCGTCTTTTGGGAGCAGCCGTCATTGCTGTGTATGTTTTTCAATGTCTGGAAGCTTGAGTACTGGAGGGAAAGTATTCGGGGTCACAGGTGCACTCGATCGCGAGGGGAGGGTGTGTAGCACAGCGAGAGTTGGCCTCTTTCAATGCGCTTCAAGTCGCAGTCGGCTAGTAGTAAAGACAGGTATGTAGGTACAGGCGATTGTGTGAATGTTTGATGAGTCTGGGGCGTAAAAGATAGGTATAACAACCCGACTCTCTTTCTCCACCGCCGGAAAATCTCACGAGAGCGCAGTCCTTTATTTTGAGCTGAGTACGCAGTTTTGAACTGAGTGCAGGAGGAGATAATAGCTGTTCATAGGATCCCCATATCTGGGGGCGGGCCCCTACAAGAGCCGAGGCTTACTCTACTAATGTGGGCAGCAGAATCACCACCTGTCGGGCCCGGTAATGAGGCGGCTATGCCTGGATCCTCACCTTGGAGAATGGCCTTCCACCGGAGAACCGTCTTGGTACCACAGACAGGCACTCGTTGCCCCCTATACGGAGTAAGTCATGCACAACCGGAAGCAAAGGTGCAAATGGCTGTCTTAGCATCAAACATCCCACTCCTGCACGTGATGACGCGTTACATAAGCATCTTTTTGGAGAAAAAAATAATATCGAAATTCATGTGCGGAGAGAGAAATGCAGATTTCTTGAGCGGCAATGAGTCGTTGCCTTACTTGTGACATTGTGAATAGAAGCCTCGAGTGCACAAGATGTCGAAAAGAACCGCGGAGAGCCAGGAAAACCTAGAGTCCCTCAAAGCAGGGCAACGGCCGGATTCGAGTGCAAACGGCGACCCCACCCTCGACTTCGAAGACGAATTCGAAGATGAATACGAGTCAGAGGACGAGGTCATGGAGGCGGGTGTCGATGGGAGACCGGACGCTGAAAGAGAAGCAGAGCAGGCACAGGATGCTATGGATGTCGACTCGAAGGAGCAGACATTCATCCCAGGCCGATCGATATTGCAACCTGGAATGTCGCTGACACCAGACCCTTCCACCTACGAGATGCTTCACCTTATGTCGACGACATGGCCCTGTCTCTCCTTTGACGTTGTACGAGACAATTTGGGTGACAATCGCAAGCAATATCCCAGAACGGTCTATGCGGTTGCTGGGACTCAGGCGGAGTCGTCACGCGCCAAAGAGAATGAGTTGTACATTTTGCGGTTGAGCAGCCTGTCGAAGATGGATCGCGGCAATCAGACGGATTCGGAGAGCGATAGCGACGATGGTGAAGATGACGAGGGCTCATCCGACCCTGTGCTCGAGTCGAGGTCGATACCACTTCCAAGCACAACCAACAGAATAAGAGCATTCCAACCAGCGTCGGCCTCTGCCGACATGACTCAAATACCTCAGACATTGACAGCTACATCCCTGGAAAATGGTCAGGTTCTGATTCATGACGTATCCCCGTATCTCCATTCTCTCTCAACTCCCGGCTACACACTGCCTCCAAACGCGGCGAAGCCTCTCAGCACTCTCCGAATGCACAAAACGGAAGGATACGCATTGGACTGGGCGCCAACTTCGTCACATCCAAATGGTCGACTTCTCTCCGGTGACAACGCTGGACAAATATTCAGCACGCAGCGAACCGAGGGTGGCGGCTGGGTCACTGACACCAGAACATTTGTCGGCCACACCGACGCAGTAGAAGAACTTCAATGGTCACCCAACGAGAAATTTGTCTTTGCCTCCGCAAGCTCCGATGGCACTGTGAAGGTGTGGGATGCGCGAAGTAAGAGTCGCAAACCAGCCGTGGATGTGAAGATCAGCAGCACCGATGTCAACGTGATGTCGTGGTCGCGCCAGACGTTCCATTTGCTTGCCACCGGTGCTGATGATGGTGAGTGGGCAGTCTGGGATTTGCGGCAGTGGAAACCTCAGTCAGGGGCGCCACCCGGCGCGCAGATCAAACCCAGCCCTGTTGCCGACTTTCACTTCCACAAGAAGCCCATCACTTCCATAGAGTGGCACCCGACGGATGACAGCGTGGTGGCTGTTGCCTGCGCAGACAACACAGCAACTCTGTGGGATCTTGCAGTCGAGCTTGACGATGAGGAATATGGCAGAGAGGCAGGCTTAGGCTTAGGTGAAGGTGCCGAAAAGGTTCCTCCCCAACTATTGTTCATCCACCACGTTGAGGACGGTAAAGAATTACACTGGCATCCACAAATGCCTGGTACGGTCATAGTCACCGGTGGAAGTGGTCTGGGAGTATTCAAAACAATCAGCGTCTAAGGGATTGACGGGGCGCCGGCGTTGAAGAGTTGTCAGTGATGAATCAACGAACGACCATTATGCGCAACACATTGGTTATTGCCTTCATGTTGCCACTACAAGCGGATCTTCACAGCGTTTCACCTGTTTCTTAGACGAAAGATGTCACTTCAGTTGCCCACATGTCCAGCCTGGAGTCAAAAGTACACTCTCAAATTCTCCAAATGACCTTTCAGTCAGCTTCTTGATTCAACTAGCCGTATATTTGATGCCCCAGACAAGATCCGGCTTACAGGGAGCGTCGACGGCACGCTCGACGACTCGTGGTTTCACTCTCTTGCTGCAGGACATCCCTTTCCAGATCTGCTTTGTTTTCCTCGTCACCGTCATCGGTCCGTTGTACCTCACTGTCTGGACCATAGACATCCTCCTAGTTGCCCTCTTGAATAAGATCTATTGCGGTCTACAAGCGATTGGCCTGGAAACTCCCGGTGGTATGGAAGGAATGGACCGGTTTACTCGCACCAGAGAGCACTACCAGCGAGGCTTACATCGAAGTCGACAACAAGAAACGCCTCCGACTCCTCCAGCGGCCGACCTCGTCTTCGATTTCGATTTCAAGGACTCAAAACTTGACCTCAACTTTGATATCGGACACCCTGTCGTCCAGAATGACTTGATGGTGAGACATCAGATCGATCCTAGCGAGAACATAGGTGTTGCTCTTTCAGATGGGCCCTTCCAGCAGCGAGGACGACTCGGCGGTCCAGTCACCATGGAGGACGAGCACAGTTGTTTACAGCAACAGAACGAGTGCCTCTCATCTGTTCCAAAAGTCCCGAGTGAACCATGTCTTAGATTCTCTACTCAATGCGAAAAACCCTCCAGAAATCTTCCACCTTGTTCCATCTACTCCAGAGAATGGAGAGAGCGTGTGAGACGAACGACAACACCGCCTGAGCCAACAGCGGACCTTGTTACGACAGTGAATGTAATCCCTTTCTCCGAACGAACTTCCACCGACGATATGAATGGATCACACCGCCCGAACCCAGCGAATCGAAACCAAACTGACCGAGAGACGTCACCACCATTACCATCACAGACGTGTCCGAAGAACCCAGATGATGGAAGCGAAGCGCAGGCCCTCCAACCCGATTTTATGCTCGAGGAAAGCACCAGCCAGAGCAGAAAACGTCTTTCTAAGATTGGGAAGTGGCTTCTGCGGCCGAGAAAGCACTGGGACAAGAAAGCAGCTATGTCTAGCACTAACATGAGCGTCGAAAAGATGCTCTCAAATACACCAACTCCTTGTCCCAGCTCTGTTCAAGACACATCAAAGCAGCATCAGCATCGGAGGCTTGGCGACGCTCTTCGAACGCGAGTGGCACAGAAGCAGTCCGAAGCTCAAGATCAAATCTCTCAGCCGCGGCCCCTGACCGCGTCTCTGCGCGGTGGAGGTAACTTCAACTCCGTCAATACAGGTCGTCGATGGGACAATGATCAGGATACCTACAATCGTCGCAGACGTGGCGCGTACCGCCATAGTTCCTCAGGCATTTTCGCTGTTCACAACAGTGTCGTCATCTTTGCTGAGAGTGAGGATCGCCTTGACGATATCCACCGTCCTCATTCGCCCTCACGTCGCCCGATTCACCAACCTCGTCGACCTAGGTCTCCCAGAGATCCACCTCCGTGGCTTTTCCCTCGGTCGCCTCAAAACCGGAATCATGATGGGGCTGATAGCCTACGTCCTGCTGGACAAACACCCCCAGGAAATTCGCAGACCCGCATTCAGGTACATCGAAGGCCAGGTCGGCGGACACTGAGCCACGAAGATGGCAGAAGAGGGCGAAGACCGGAGGAACGAACACGCATACCCGGTGGGCGAAGACCTGAGCATCGCACACAGGGAGAAGGAGAGCATGGATGCTCTGGAATCTCGCGTTCGACTCCTCCAAACCAGACTGATAACACGACCCCTCCGAGGCTGTCTGCCGAGAGCCAGAGCTCCCAGACGTCTCCTCCAAAGCAGCCCAGTTCTACGGGTGAATCGGCTTTCCACCGTCCTAGCTCCCATCGTAGTACCGCTTCAGGACCACCCGCAAAATGCAACAAACGACCAGAGGCAGGAGACGAGCTATTCCAGGCCTCCTCACCAGCAGGACCTTCTCGATCGCAACAACACACCGATTTCGCGCGTGGAACATCCATCCGCATCTCCTTGAATGATGGCCGAGTGCTCAGCACGACAGAGTACAAGGCCCTGCAGGAGAAGAGAGCGGGCAAGGCAGCTGTTAGACTCAAGAGTACGGACGAGAATCGGACGATATCTTCACCCGGGGTGAAAGGCACGGGCGAAGAACAGCCACGTGGACAAGGTCCTGCAAGCAAGGAAGGAAGCAGGAGAGACAAGCCGATATCCGCAGAACCCTCTCCAAAGGAAGTTCAGATCCCGCCTGCGTCTCCGCTGGAAGTGCCATCGGGCCAATCCAGTCCACGGCGAGAGGCCTCGGGATCCCAGCATGGGGGAACGGGAGGCAAGACACAATCCAGGAAGCCAGAATTGGCACAGTCAAGTGCGAAGAGATCGTCACTTGTGGCTGACACCAAAGGACATTCCACCGGGCCACTCCTAGCAACCGATCACGGAAATGAAGCTATAGCAAGTGCCAAAGCTGAGCTGAATGAGCGCCCGACAACTATTATTGCCCGTGCATCAAGTCTGACTCCTGGTTCAGTCTTTTCGACGAGCCAGCAGCACCGGTCAACCGCCGCTGGTGTATCAAGCCAGCAGTCTCCTCCTACGAGCTCCTTGCCCAGAGAAACCTCAGGCCTCACCGGCCCAGCAAGTCAGCCGCCAACAACCCGTATCGGGAAGATCTCATCAGTCGTCGATTCGCCACCTGCGCGGACGTCGGGCAAGCAGGGCACAGCCCTTTCCAATCGACCCGCAGCGCGCTCCAACCACCTCCCAAGCTCTGACGACGGCAACAGCCCGCAGGAAATGAAGGCGAGGAACCACGACGCTGGTGATGCCCCGGCTGAGACCGGGACCGAGGGAGAGCCGACCTGGAGCTTTGCTAACCTCAAACCTTAGAGCCCAGCATTTGCTTTGTTTTTGCTTTTGCTTCTGCTTCTTTGCTTCAATGAGGGCTCTTTACCTCCCTGGAGAACGAGCTACAAGGTCGGATATGCAGGAGACAAAGGAAGGAGACGAGCTTTCTCAGGAGCTTGGACGTCTACATAGCCAAGCACATAATGACCGATGAGCTGCATGAGGTATCTCACCCCCACCATTCCAGGGTTTATGCATACGGCACCTGATTCATGACTGGCGGAATTGAAACGTTGGTTCCCTGGTTGGTTCGGTGAATGGTTCGTCTAGATATCCTCCGCGCATAATACGTGAGCAAAGACTTGCCTCGTCTCAGTGTTACCAGTAACCGAGATGAAGGGACCCACGGGGATCGGCTCGCCATGTCATACCCAGTCCGCGCACGCTGCCTCTCATTCCATTCTATAAAAAGTTCCATGCGCTGTCGATCGAGTTCCTGTGTGTCCCCCAGGTCTCATCGACACATTTTGCAGGCGTCCGATATTCGGGGGGGGGGGGGGGGGGCCTCAAGCTCTGTGTTCGCACGGTGCAATCTTCGGGAAAACCCATTGGGACAAGTCGTCGACCGCTGGCTGGCTGCACACCGGGCGGACCAGGATTGCGTACGCCGCCTGTAGAGCACCTCTTGTTTTTTTATCGGGTGGTGTTTAACAGGGCAAAGCGACCAGGTACGGTATTTCGAGTCGCCAATCGCTTTGCGAGAGCCTCGCATGTTAGATCAAAGGGTTTCGAGGCGTCAGGCACTGGTGGGCGGCTTTGACTGGCTTCTCGACGCAGATCAGGTCTCCCACTCCAACGCCTACGCTCGCATAGATCACGTGTTCCTCGTTTGGGGGTGTCGGGCTCTTGATACCTGGCCATGAGGCAAGCCAAGCGGTTGGATAACCTGGCGTGACTGAAAGCTAGGTTGTCAGGCCTGCAGCAGAGACTGAGAAGAGGTAAGGGACGGTGCGAGCGTTGTTACGGATACACCATTCATTGGAGGCTCAGATCTGGCCCTCAGAGGTGATTTGACACAGAAGGAAGACAGGGATGTGGTACATATAAGACTCCTCCAGCCCCTTGCGATATGTCAAAGTCTCATCACTTGTCCAAGAGTGAGCGAGCTCGAGATGGCGTCTAAACCGGTGATATTCATCCTTCACGGAGCATGGCACGGTCCGGCACACTTCGAGCCGGTTAAATCTAAGCTCGAGACGCGTGGGTATACCACCATCTGTCCCCAACAGCCCTCCACAGGAGCAGATCCCGCGACGACAACCTTATACGACGACGCAGCATATGTCCGGACTGAATTGGAGCAATTCGTCGAGCAAGGGGAAGAGGTTGTATTGGTGATGCATTCGTATGGCGGTATGGTGGGGACGCAAGCTGCCGCCGGGTTAGGGAAAACTGAGAGGCTGAAGCGAGGCCAGACAGGCGGCATAGTCCGTTTGTTTTATGCCTGTGCCTTTCTTCTGCCTCTGGGAAAGTCTCTAGTTGCTGGGCTCGGTGGTCTGCCGCCGTGGGTCAAAGAAGAGGCAAGTATAGGCGTTGTCTGTATTCCTCCAACAATCCTAACTCTTTTGGGGTCTTCAGGAAGACGGTAGCACCAACGCCACCACTCCCGAGCAAGTGTTCTACAATGATCTGCCAGCGGAAGAACAGAAGCGTTGGGTGTCGAAGTTGAGACACCATTGCTGCGTCGCGACGAAGACGCCGTTGACCCAGGTCGCATATGCCGGTATTCCAGTGACGTACCTGTACTGTGAAGATGACCAAGCTCTCCTACTCCACATGCAGGAGATGATGGTGAAGCAATCAGGTTTGGACGTGCAAGAATTTAGGTGTGGAGCGGGACATTCGCCCTTCCTTAGCCAGCCTGATATGTTTGTAGACAGCATCATCAAGTCAATAAATGCTTGATGCAGATATTGTGGTGTCATGAAGATCAGACCATAGTCTCGACTGAACCTTCCTAAGCAGATGCGGAGGTCACGCAATAGAACTCGGGGTCGGTATACCGGTCAGTGGATGGAGGCTAGTCGCATTGTTCTGTTGGGTTTGCAGGACCGGTGTCCCGTCCGACGGAGAAGGGTCGTCATTGTGGTGTGTAAATAAAGAGTCTTGGGGCGGCATGTCCGTGACGGACAAGGTAACCTCTGTCCATAGCTTTGCCACCGGCTCTGCAAATATGTAGTCCCACCACAGATATGTCGCCATAAGACTTGTGTAGGCAGTCCAGTCGGTAGCATATGGCCATCGGACCACGTATTCCTGCATCTTCTGAACAAAGTATCGCTTGTGGGGTGTGTTTAGCGCAGCAAGACCTCCGAGCATCAACGCCCACATCACCAGACAGGTGTAATCCTCTGTTTTGGTGCTCTGGTCAAGATGAGCAGTTTCTTCTGCCTGGAACACCTCGAAATTTTCCATTGCAACGCGAAGCTCTCCAGCCATCCGAGGTCTGGCACCGGTCGTGGGTGGCAGGGGAAACAATACCAAATCGCTGTAGATGAGACCAGCCACGCGGCAAAGATTCCACAAATAATCGGCCTTTTGCGGATCGAGAGTTATCCTAGGCCTAAGACTTGATAGCTTGTGGTGAGCTTCATTCGCCGCATTGACTATATCAGTCAGATTCGGGCCGTTTGGACGGCGCTCTTGGTAATGGTCCAGAGCGACAGTGACATCGCCTACAGCCCTCAAAGCGTTTGCCAGCTCCATACCTATTGGGTCTAATTGTTTGAAGCCGGTGCCCACCACCATTGACATCATGACGGCATCATGGTCAGGCTGATACTTCGGTCCTTTGAGAATGGAGAAGGTTGGAAGCACCCACGGAAAAGAAGGTGGCATACCGAGCCTCGAGCTGACCATCAGGTCGGCGCTAACACCAACATTAGCGAGAGAATAGGACAAAACGGACGGAAATGCCGACTGACAATTGAAGAAGTTGTCGGAGTCCATATTGTTGCATAGCTTCTATCCCGCCACGTTTGACGACAACTTCCATTAGTGCTTGGATCATAGAAGGTATCACTGTAAGTCTAGCATAGAGGTGTAGATTTTGAGCAGTCGCCAAGGGAGAGGGCCGAAACGTTTCTGGAAATTGGGCCGGATTGGGGTCGGTCAGGTTTGCAACCATGATCAATGCCATGATCAATGAATCGGGTGCCGGACCTTTGAGGTTCTGAAGCTCCTTCGTAACCAGAGCTAACCCACGAGCCTGGTGTCTCAGTCGCAGCACCTCGATCTTGTTGGGAAATCGCTCGTTGTCAGCGCCTGCGCGGACGAGGTTCGCCGCAGAAGCAACTTGCAGGTGGAACATCAATGGCCACTCTTGTCCGATGCGTTTCCAGGCTATTTTGACCGTCGACACATCATTCACCGAGGCGACAGTTATTAGCTTCGGGTGTATACTCTCATAGGCTTGCAAAAGCCGGTACATCAGCTGTAGTGAACAATTCGCAGGCTGAGTGTCAACTCACCGTAATCAAGAATTGATTGCAGATATCTCGGCAATGCGGTGTGGGGGTTCGATCCGAAAGGGTCGACCTTGTCTTGCGAAAGGTATGAGAGCGGGCTGATCTTGAATTCAGTTACCTGGACCTTGTCTTTCTCGGGCTTTGGAGTGTTGTCTTCATGAGAGCCGGAGCCCTCGATGATCCATTTGACAACGGTCTGCCCACGCTTTGCTTTTCTCCTCGAATGTGTTACTCGAGCGGCGTGAGCCCGTGCTCGGGACTTTTCTAACGACTTCCGGGCTGCGGCATTCGAAGGATCTTGAAACGCCACGAAATGAAAGGTATCCTTTTCCTTTTTCTGGTCAGTCATCGTGATATCCTGAGCGAACGCGGCAGCCTCGATAATCCTTTTCGAAATTGTCGAAGAAGAGCTTGTCGGGTTGAAGCAACAAAATCAATCCAGACTGCATAAGCGGTGTTGAGGTGGGTGCTATATCTGGAACAAAACGGAGGGGCCTAGGCTAGACGCGTGTTGCTAGCGTGGGCCGTCTGTCAGAGCCTGGAATGAAAAAAACCACTATTCGATTAATGTCTTCCATCGATATGCATTGCTCTGCCGATAGTTCGGGAGCATGCTGAGGTAACAGAGATGGGCCTCGACGTAGAAATAAAGTGTCTAGAAGAAGCAGCAGACAGCTGAGCTCTGGCTACTCCGAAGCTGTCGCGTAGACTGGTGGGCTGCAACCCGCATGCACACTTAGTCATCTTTGCTGCTAATCACAAACAGAAAATGGTGCCCGAAAGAAGCAGATGGTGACAATGACCCGTGCGAATGGCCAAAGATCCGAATAATCCATCATGAGCGCCTATTGGAGAATCGTGAAGGGTGGTGAACATGGAGAGGCAACCCGTAAGCCACCCGAGCGTAACAAATCCATTATATAAACCATGCCGGTGTCAGTCAGCCAAAACATTCCCGACGCGAACGCCGGAGATGTGCATATCTGGAGTGCCGCTGACAAAGTTGATGTATCTTGTATGGCTGAACAATAATACAGCCAATGGATAGGGACCAGTTTCAGAAAGTGAGCATCCATGCTGAGCACACACGATACTCTGCGAGGTCGGGAGGAACGGCCTCAGATTCATCCCCCGTGCTCCCCGTGCTTCTCGTGCTCAATTTGGCATCACAATCAAAGTCACGTCTAGTGATTCTCTTAGAGGAATAAAAAGTATTTGCTTTGCCTCGGAACATGAACATCGAGCGGTGATACATGCCTCTTCTGGGATGAGGGCCCGTTGGCGGCTGATCCGGGGAAATGAGATGGGCAAGGGGCGAACCTACTTGAGCCGCCGCACGCCAATTCGAGGGTGTTGTGCCGAGGCTCGACTGAGGACTTTAACGAGGGCTTCGGATCCAAGAGAGTGAGTACAAAGCACATTGCAAGGCACAGAATCACATAGGGCATAGCATAATTCGACCTGAAGTAAGAGGGAATGAGAATGGTGGGCACATCTAAGTAAGAACCAAAGTGAAGGAAAATGGCATAGACAGCGAGGAAAAGTGAAATCCCGCTTTTTAGTTGAGCCATAGACGCTAACTATCTTGGGAGTAGTGCATTTCCTTGTGCCAACGTCCCTAAACATATGATTGGCCAACAGCGTCTCTCCTCTCATTTCACTTCCGCACTGCCATTCGACCTCTTCCTCCACCTCCTCGAACCTGATCGCGTCCTCCCTCAACTTCATGCAACGCTTCGCCTCTGGCGCGATTTGCCTACAGTTCTTGAACTTGCTTTTCCTGTTGGCCAGAGCACTATCGCCCATCACACGCTCTTCGCACGGCTCATTTACTCCACGTGGAAATGGCTGGCCGATCGAGGGAGCCAACCAACATCAGCTTGGCCGAACGTGGCTGGCCAAATTCCCTATTTCTACCCGATCCTGATTCCTCGAGATTACGTCTCCTTCCTCGGTCTTTCAGCCTCGACTTCTATCGCCTGCCAACCCTGTTCAACTACTGACTACCTGCATTAGCTTCAAGGTCGATGCGCAAGCTTGTGGGGAAGATGCGGGCTCTGGTATCCATTACCTGTATCGCTGCCTCAATGCTGTGTTATCCCTAGGAACTCGATACTTCATATGAAGCATCTGCCGCCGACCTCGTCTCAGTCTATTATTCATTCCTCCCACCAGCACGAGACCTTCCCTTCCCGGTCGTGTTTCGTTTCTTTCATTGCTTTAGTCTCTCATCCGAGTGCTTCCTCTGCCGAAGCCTTCCATTCTCTTATCGCTATCGCTCCTTGTACACCTTTATTCATCCCCTAGCTGCACCTTTGCCTCTCTGGGCTCACGCTCGCTTCTCTGTGTCCTTACTGTCCAAGGACTTTCATTCTTTTCCCCAACATGTCTTTCGCTTCTATTTATGTACCGATCCTTCTGCTGTTAACCCTCGCCAACGCCGCACCGTTTGCGCTTCAAAAGAGAGGTGTTTGCTGATCTCCATGAATGAGAGGTATTCGCGCTGACATCTTCCTTCAGCCATTTCCCAAGATTTGTTCAACCAACTGTCGTTCTTTGAACAATACTCGGCAGCTGCATATTGTCCGAACAATAACGTGGCCTCTTCCACCTCCAATATTACGTGCGCAGCCGGGAACTGCCCCCTTGTTCAAACCGCCGGGGCAGAGTCACTACTTGAATTTCAAAAGTAGGCAATGTCCATACCCTCCATTCTGTTCTGCGGTGGATATGAGCAGGGCTGACGTCTTTCTCCTCACAGTGAAGGGCTTGCGGACTCAACTGGATTCGTTGCCGTCGACCACACAAACCAAATGATAGTAATGTCCTTTCGAGGCACTACATCATTCGGAAACATTCTCGCAGACATCAATTTGGTGATGGTCCCTTGGGACGTGTGCGACTTGTGCACTGCACACTCTGGCTTCCTCGACTCCTGGCAGACTGTCAAGCCACAGATTCAGGGAGTGCTCGCCAGCGCCAAAGCTAGCTATCCCTCGTACAAAATTATTGCTACGGGCCATAGCCTCGGCGGTGCAGTAGCGACGCTGGCTGCTGCTGACCTGAGAGGGTCAGGCTACAGCATTGCTTTGGTATGTCGGCTTCCGCGACCGACCTAAATCCGCGAATCATTAGACTAACTTTGGCTCAAAGTACACATACGGTTCTCCGATGGTTGGGAACTACTTTCTGGCGACATTTATCACGAACCAGTCGGGTGGCAACTACCGCGTGACCCACGCCCAGGACCTCGTCCCCAAGCTGCCAGGCTACCCAATCTTCGCGCACGTTTCGCCCGAATACTGGATCACGTCACCCACCAACGCAGCCGTGACGGTGAATGACATCCAGGAGAGCTCCGGCGTGATTGACTTGCAGGGCAACCAGGGACAACTTGACAGTAGTATTGAGGACCATGGTTGGTATTTCAATAGCATTGCAGCCTGTTCGCCGGGACTGGGGTCGGAGTTGGTCAGGTAAACGATAACGCGCGGTGATATGGGGGTTCTTGGCATGGTAAGAGCATCGCTTTCACAGTGATGCCCATGGTTCACTAGGCGTCAGGCGGATCTCTTTCTTTTTGGCGTGTTGGGCACACAAAGGCTGTTAATAATTCCGAGGCGTGGCCTGAGACTTATACAAAATGAGATATCTGCCCCAACCACTTACCTCTCTCTCATGGAACAAGGAGTGAGGCCGCTGGTTTGCCATTTTCAGGAGGTTGCTCTTCTGTTCTGCATTGCATGTGCACCCAGCGTGCGCCGGCGTCGGGGTCGATCACTAATGTTCTCTCCTAAATCCTCGTCCAAGGTGGTATTCGAGGGTGAGAAGCCCCCTTGTTGCTGCCTGATATACGCCCTTCGTCGACTGCTTGCGGCCCTTACTCGTAGGTCCAGTCAATGAGGATTCGACGGCCGCAGCTGAGTAATTGACCTCTCTGGGATAGAAAGGCAGCAAGATTACGATTCCATTTTTGCGGCCGCCGGCATGCGAAAATTCGTTTGCCATTTGAGCTCACACAATTGGACGATAAGACACCTCACAGTCTCGGCGAGAGAAAGACCAATCGGGCCTCTTGAGGGCAAGCGACTGGAACGCCTTAGCACGGACTCTCTCCTTGGGTTGGGAGGAGAGGAGGAGGAACGAAGCAACAATATTTTACCACGAGGCTGGCTGGGACTGGGGGTGGAAGTAACATGCGCTATTCGTGACTGAGAGCCTCTCAATGACGTCCTTGTCCTCTTCATAATTCTAGTCTCTTCCAACAAATACGTAGGATTAGGGAGGTGGGAGACAAAGCCTGAACGAACCCCGACAGCTCGGTTTCTCCAGAACCAAGGCCAAGGGACCAATGAGGCAACCCCGGTTATATACAGTTGGCTTGGAAGTCGGCAAAGTGTGGGGTTGAACGCCCGGTCTATGAGGGCCGCAACTCTCCACAGCTTGTTGATCTCTTCCCCCTCCTCCTCTTCGGATCCGTGATGACAGGAAGAGGAGGAGGACGGGTGAACGGGACAACAATTGCGCCTGGCTGGAGGCGTAATCTGGGAATTAGTCAACCGGGGGTTGAGACGTGGATTAGCAAACCCAAACAACTACCCCGCCTCGTAACGAACAGACTAACCGGTGCGAAATGGGCTATGTACCCGGCGTGGGAGTCCAAGAGGTGTAGGTATGTGCGTGCATGATATAACCTCGCTCGGTCTGTAGACTGTTCTCCGTAGATAAACCATCAAGTGCCATCAACTCCACTGTCGACGACAACATCATCACCAGCAAAGCACCCAGCACCTACTTCAGACCATGGCGTCGTCTAATATCGCGGCCCTGCTCACGCAGGCTCAAATCCCAGCATTCAAATGCCCACCGGGAACAAAGATGCATTTCTTGGATCTCGGCATCCTCCAGGGTGATGAAGGATGGTAAGGAACCCCATGCAATGTTTGGGAGGGCATTAGAATGGCTTGTTGTCTTTGGATCAACCCAGGTCCTGACTTTTTTGCGACAGGCTGCTTCGTGGCGCAAACACCAGCACCTTGAGCAATAAGAACCCGGAGAACAAGCGTCGTGATTTGATTGTTTTGGCGGCCTTGATCGAATACCCAGGTGTCGGATGCATTCTCTTCGAGACGGGGTGTGCGGAGGATCTTCAAATCGTACGTGTCCCTTTTGGGCGTCTGATGCTTGATACATACGAAGTATGATCGATGCAACTCACCATCAACGCACTCGACCACAGGCATGGCCGGCGCCCCTTACCGATGTCTTTCCCCGGACTGTGTATGACGAGAAGCACAAACTCCCGGCAGCCATCAAGGCCACCGGCAACGACATCAAGGACGTGAAAGCCGTCGTGATCGGCCACTTGCACCTGGATCACGCGGGCGGGCTTGAGCATTTTATGGACACGGATGTGCCCATTTTTGTGCACGAGGAAGAATTCAAGCACGCCTGCTGGGCTGTCGCCACGGGCGCCGACCTGGGCGTCTACCTCCCCGGATACATGAGCCTCGAGCGTCTGAAGTGGAACACCTTCACCGAGGACCATCTGGATTTGTATCAGGGCATCACGCTCCACCATTCTCCAGGCCATACACCGGGTCTTTGTATCATGCAGGTCAACCTCGAGCAGAGCGGGACATGGATCTGGACAACGGACCAGTTCCATATTGCGGACAACTATGAGCTCAGTCATCCACACGGCTGGCTGGCCCGGGATCATAACGCCTGGATCAAGAGCTTGAAGATGATCCAGCGGCTGCAGAGGCTCTTCGATGCAAAGCTGGTGTTCGGGCATGATATGGATGTTGCCAAGAAGTATATGGGGAAGTCATATGAATGACCTCGCTTCATGGAGGCTGGACAAGTAGGCATCGGAACGACCTCAATCGAGTGAGCAGGAGTCATGGTGTGGAGGAAGCATGGGACAAGGAGCAAGTCGCTGGGCGGTAGGAAGTGTATAGCATCGGTTTAAGATGCTTGTCCGCCATAGTCCTGTATGAATGATGGACAGAAGAACACGAAATCATTGCATCAATCCGAGGCATCTTTTGTCTTGTTCGCGAGCAGAAGCTTTGAAGACAGGCTTATTGGGCAATGATTTCTTCTTAACCCAGCACCGGGCTGAGCGGATGCGAGAAGGATTCTTATGGTGGTGACCACGGATGAATACCATGCTCAGCTCCGATAATTGAGGCAAGTACCTCGTCTCGTAGGCTCATGAAAGGTGGAAGGCCCAGGTATTGGCATACTGGGGTAGGAAGATATTGGCAAAGTGATGCAAGATGCTTGATTCCCATCATTCGCGTAGTCAGAGCACTGAAAAAGGGGCCATCACGTGACGTAGATGCGGACTTGGATCGCTACGACACGTTCCGAGGATTCCTCTACATCAAGTCCATTGTAAACTCAACATCTCATCTCAGAGCGGCTGCAGAGGGACAGCCTTCGGGCGTTGAGGGCCATGAACAATGTTGGAACGGTAGCTCTGCGAATAGCCAGAATTGGCGTACAAGCCTCGCCCTCCCACTCCCCTCTCAGGCCCATTTCGCGGGCATGGCTGCTGGCTTCATTTTCCTGTCATGGCCAGGAGTCTCTTGCATACCAGCGATCGCGCAATCCACTGCTTGAACCTCCCTTACTGGGAGTCCAGTTCCGCACCTTCTCGCAGTCTACGCGATGCAGCTTCCGCCAGTCTTCCATGGTACAGAAACTCAAACCGTATGGAGCCGACAACAAGCCCGAAAAAGGCCTGAAATTTCAGGACGCCGACCTCAGCAGAGAGCAGATATTATCCATCTTCGGACGCCATGCCCCTCCTACTCAATTTGCGAACCGATTGCTCCGGGTCCTCCACGGCCGCCGCCACGACGGAACGCTGGACCTGCCACTCCCCAAAGACGTCGAGTCGCAGCTAGGGAAATTTCCTCATGCTGTCGAGGACAGTCTACACTATTTAAGACAGGCATATCCAATCGACGAAGATGAGGCGATTTTGTACCGTATCGAACGGGAAGAGGACGAACTTGAAAAGGACCACCCTTCGGTTCTGATGCAAAGGGGACAAGATATTGGTCTGTACAGAGCACATACAGCACCAGAAGAATCATATTACGGGCCCCAGAGCGGGCACTATCAGGCTGAACTCAGTGAAAGAGAAGGCGACCCATACGGAAAGAGTGAGCTGGACAGGATCCGCGCCGAAAATGAAGCCAGACGTGAAAAGGAAGAGGCGGAGTTACAGGCACAAATCGACAAGGAGATGGAGAAAGCCCAAAAGGCCCAGATTGAGCGATCCAAAGCCCTCGCTCAACGACCGGAACAAGGGTTAGAGACGGCCAAGGAGCTGAGACCGCCCAACAGTTTTGAGAAATGGGTGCTAAGAGCTCGAAACCGAGCGCAGTCAAAGCTGACGCTCGAATCGCCAGAGATCGCTCAGATGTCTATGTTGCGACGTCTATTTCCCTCACTTCTCCTAGTGGCCCTGTTATGCGGTGGCTCCTACATCTTTGCCCAAGCCTGGACTCGACCAAAGCAGTCCGACCGACTCTTTCCGGATGTGTCGCTTTCATTTGCAACCATTGGCACTCTGATTGCCATCAACACCGCCGTCTGGCTTGCTTGGAAGTTCCCGCCTTGCTGGTCCATGCTGAACAAGTACTTCTTGTTTGTTCCCGCTTATCCTTATGCACTCAGCATGATTGGAAACCTGTTTAGCCACCAAACACTATGGCACTTGACGATGAACATGGGGGCTTTGGCGATCTTCGGTCTTCCTCTTCACGAAGAAATTGGCCGCGGCAATTTTCTGTCCATTTACTTTACTTCAGGGTTGATAGGAGGCTTCTTGAGTTTTGCGCGCCACCTTGCTCAACGCAATCTGGCAACGTCTGTTCTTGGGGCGAGTGGGTGCGTGTATGGCATCATATCTGCATATCTTGCCCTTCATTCCCGGTAAGGACCAGTTCCCGCGCTTATCAGAACTCACTGACCCGCCCGTGACAGTGACAACTTCTCTCTTATCTTCATTCCCCACGACTGGACGGATAAGTTGTCTTTCAGCGGCCAGACAGTTCTGGTACTCCTCACTGCGAGTCAGGTTTTTGGAGCACTGGGGCGTTTGGGAAGGTACGACTACATTGACCACCTAGGAGGAATGGCGGTGGGATACGTCTATGCTCGATGGCTGCAGAGTAACGGGCACAGGCGAAGGGAAGACACGACCAGACTGGGTTCATGGTGGACGAACCTGGTCGGGAAAAAGCCGTGAGGATGTATGCTCAACCTGGAACTGAAGCCCCTCGACTTCATTCGCAGAACAGCCAAAACCGCGTTCGTATTCAGTGTTTATTACTCTGACCCGAGCTGGACATGAGAGGGAGAACTCCAAGTACTCCCATTCGGATCCGGAAGTCTTCACATGGACATTCAACGACCATTCTGGACAAGGCCGGTTCCGAGACACTGATTCACAAATTGCGCAGTCGTCCTCACAAAGACTGGCTCACTGGCGTTTGTGAAGGTCATGCTGCTACAGATGAAGATGTATTGCAGCAAGATGTCGATATCCCGGTTGACTCCTGTAGCGCAGCACAGCCCCCGGGCTGTGGAGGTTGAATAGAGAATGATTCCACTCATGTACAAGATGTCACCATTAGCTACCAATCTAAGGGCCTTGAAACGGATGCCATTGTTGTCCACTGCTTTCTTCCTCAGCCCCTGTTTTGACGACTGTCAGTTCAATGTAGTCTCCTCCCATATCTCGAGCATTCTGAGGGACGATGGATGATATCCAAAGGCCCTTCAAGCCGATCGCGGAGTCTGCGTCGGGCGTCCGCCCCGCCGACGTCACAGGCTCCGATTCGTCAGAGCAAGACAATTTGGACAGATTTCCGCCATGAATATCACCATTTCCATTTGCTCCAACATCCCAAGTATCCCACTTCTCACGCCGCAATTTTTTCTCTTCTCGCGTGCTTGCGCCTGGCCCTTGGCGCTCGAAGCCGCTCCACTGCAGATTCAGGCGCCGTCAGGGCTCGGCCTCACACCACCTTCTCGGTCTCACACATACACGCATCCCTTGCCTCCAATGGCGGGCGCGTCTCCCTTCCAACAATCACCGCCTGTCCTGTCCCTCTTGAAAACCCTCCACCCCCCGGGCGCAGGGGCGAGCCGATCATGGCAGTCGAGCCCGCATCCGGATCCATCTACACCGCTCCTTGCAACGGGGTCCGCAGACAAATCTGTCAACGTCTGGTCACTGCGGGATTTCTCCCTGGTCTCGACGATAAGCGGGGGACATAAGAGGAGCGTGAGGACAGTCGCGTGGAAGGATTTCGGCGGCAGCACCAAGGTCAGGACGAAGACGGAGAAGAAGAAGCCCGTGGTGTTGGGAACCGGGAGCTTTGATGCGAACGTCGGGATCTGGGTGTGGAATGATGCTCGGAGGTGGGCGGCCTTTCGAGACGCAGACGATCAACAGAATGGAGGCGAGCGAGCGCCGCAGCATGAAAGGAGCATGTCTTCTGACACGGACGAAGTCGACATGACCAACGACCGATCTGGCGATGACGATGATGAAGAGTGGCACTTTTCCACCCTGCTCACCGGCCCCGACTCTGAGATCAAATCCATTGAGTTCGCCCCTCCTCATTACCCGACTAACCTCTTAGCGACCAGCTCAAGAGACAAGAGTGTTTGGATCTGGGAAGAGGTGGAGCCCGAAGAGTGGGAGACTATTGCCGTCTTGAGCGAGCATACGGGCGATGTCAAGTGCGTGGGTTGGTGCCAAGGGGCAAGAAGGGGAAATGGCCGCAGATCAAAGAGAAGAAAACTAGGAGATGTAGGAGATCAGGACGGAGATGTCGACATGGGCGACACAGGGGCGCGATCCAACGGCATCGGTCCCGGCACGACGAGAACCCAACAAGATATGGACGTCGACGAAGAAGACGAGGTCGATATTCTCGGCTCTCGCCCCATTCTGGCGAGTGGTTCATACGATGACACCATCCGCCTCTGGCGCGACGTGGAGGAGGAGGGCGACTGGATCTGCGTCGGCGTGATTGACGGCCACAAGGGGACGGTCTGGGATCTCAAGTGGGAAAAACACATCAACTATTCCCTCCTGGATCTGTCGCAGTGTCTCAACGACCGAGACCGAGAAGTTGCTATCAGGGAATTTGAAGCAGACTGGATGCCTCGCATCATCTCTTGCTCCGACGATCTAACCGTGCGAGTGTGGAGGAGGGAACTCAGCGAGGCGGAGAAGGAGAAAAGAAGAGCACAATCGCAGCACTCCGCACCCATGGGCTTTGCGTCATCGCGGATACCCAGCGTGATCCGTCCGATGAGCGCGATGGAGAGATGGGTCGAAGACGCCACGCTACCTGCCGTGCATGTCCGGAGTGTGTATGCGGTGGATTGGTCCAAGAGGACGGGGATGGTGGTGAGCTGTGGCGGAGACGGTACGATTGCCGTGTACAGGGAAACGCCTGCGCCCGCATCTCCAGCTGAGAATAATAATAATGCTGCCGCCGGGGGAAACGCGGGAGACGACGTCGTGATGAACGGCACGCCATCGCTGGCCCCCTCCAGGTCTGCAGAGCACAACAGCGCCCCAGCGGACGCGCCGTACCGGCTGCACGCCCCGAAGTGGGGGGTTGTGGCGCTCATGGACACCGCGCACGACGAGTTCGAGATCAACCACGTCTGCTGGGCCGAGCGGCGCGACAAAGATCGACGGGTCGACGGTGAGGAGATGATCGTCTCGACCGGCGATGAGGGCGACGTGAGGATATGGACCTTGCCTGACGACCTCCTGGCTGAGTTTGACTGAGTTTTGTGGCAGGAGGCCCTTATTGGGGGCGGATGGATGCCGTCTACGGCGTATATGGGAGAATACTTGGAACCTTGACACGAGGCCTAGAAAGTATAGACAGACGGCCCATGACGAGAGACGAAGAAGTGGGAGTTGCGATGCCGCTTGTGCTTTCTACGACTATTCTTCTCTTGCTTTCCCTCAATGACTCTGCGTAAGCAACGCCATAGACTGTGCCGCTCCAAAACGTGTTCGCCGGCCGTTTCCCAGGTTCTGCTGTGCCCAGAACCAGTGAGAACATAGTGTCGATATGGACGAGATCGTCTTTCTCCCAATCTCTTGTCTGTTCCCACCGCTCGTGGTTTTCTCCGTCAGACAGATATAGCTCAGTCTCATGACATCAACATCAATCTCTTCATTGATCAGAGACTGGAGGTGGACGGTAGTACACGTACAGGACAGGGTATATACTACAGGAGGCAGATCATGTACAGTACAGATGTATCGGAGCAGAGATTTTGAAAGCTTGCCTCGTCCGCATATACGCAAGGAGACCTGAGATAGCTCCAGCCAGAGAAAGAGAGAGTCGCGCATGTACCAGGAATTGAGACGAATTGCTCCCCGAGAAGACCTTCCTTCTCTGGCCCAAGCCCGTGATCGACTGAGGTGCGTGAATCCCTCTCAGTTCAGCCTTGTCATGTGAAGACTTCCTCCAGGCTCTTCACATCGCAAGGCTGGGCCAACCCACTCGCCCAGGTCTGGTCCAAACAAATCAGACATATCATATTGAAACCCGCATTTTTCTCCCACACCAAGACCCCCTACCACGACTAGGGCGAAGCCGATCTGACGACTTGACCTACCACACAATCCAGGTCCTGCTCGGTGGAACTGGCACCCGTACCAGTAGCCAGCAGGACCTCGATTCGAACCACACTTCGAACACTTAATCTAGGTCCTGTCAGGTCAAACTAACACCGGGTTAGCAGCAGCAGACCTCCCTTCTGCCCTTTCCTGCCCCTTCTGCCCCCTCTCCCCTTCCCCCTTCACCTGCTCCGGGAAAACCAACCCGAAAGGGCGAGTTTCGCTTATCACGCTGCATCTCAACTCAGAGTTGAGCTGCCTTGTGCTTAAGTTTTTGCACTTTTTGACGTCCGCACATATTTCTTTGCGATACCCGTGACCTCATAGAGCTTTGTGGTTGTGGGCGTACACGCCTGGCGGAGGTGTGATATTGACATGGCCGTCGCCAAGGCAGCAGGTGAAGAAGAGGTATCCAACGTGTGAAGTTGTTTCCTTGGCGGTGGGATGAATTCAATCGTAGTTCAGTCTGCTTCCAGGTAGGCTTCCTTCTTCTGCTGTTTCGCGGCTTTGCGAGCTTGGTTCATACTCCCACCCAGGAACTCCAGCTGGCGTGTCCGCTCAGCCAATGCATCTTCGGTCACATCGTCCAGCACAAATTTGCCCATTTGCCCGCTTCTCCATTTCTGCACAAACTGCAAAGCCGAAGATTCAAAGTCCGGCACCCCACCCTTCTTCAGACGGCCCTGTTTCCTTGCAAGTCCCTCCAGCACAACAAAAATGTCGTTCGTTGGCTCGGAAAACATCTCGTACAGGGCTGGGTCTCGAAGGTTGAGGTGGTACAAAAGATAATCAGCGATGGTTGTTGGTGGGATAATCGTGTCTTTGACATTTCCACAAAGGGCGAGCTTCAGCATACTCTCGGCGTCGGGGACGTAGGGAACGAAGACACCTGGAGTGTCCAGAACATATACAGCTTCTCTACCATCTTCTGCCTCGATTATTTTGACATCACTGCCAATCTTCCTGGTTACTCCGGGCTGGTCTCCGGTCCTTGCAGCCTTCCTCTTGCCCAAACTGACGTTTCGCAAAGCGTTGAGAAGAGACGACTTGCCAACATTGGGCATGCCCACAACCATGAGACGGGTGCCGAAGAGGGAGGTCGACGCATTCGCGTGCGCACGGGCAAAGTCGAGGACTCGGTTGATGGCAACCCGGGATTTCACATCTGCGAAGAACGAGGTGGATGGAGCATCCCATTTCTTGATGATCTTTTCCCTCTGGTCCACGTCAGAAGGTCACGCACAGCTCATTCCCGGGCTGCCCATACCTGCTTGTCCTCACTTGTGAAATTACTCCCCAGATCTTGCTTCGTGTACACTATCAGTCGTGGTCGTTCGCCGAGGTTGGCTTCGAACAACGGGTTACGAGATACAAGAGGCGTCCGATAGTCCCGGCACTCGATGACAAGATCGATCTGCGAGATCATGGATTTCATCTTCGACAAACCAGCCGCATGGTGGCCAAGGTAATAGGATCTAGGTATCGACCCGAGGTGAGGGTACATTCGGCGAGGCACGAATGCGCCCATGGTGGATGTATGTATTTCGCAGTCGAGTGCATAGGTTTCCAGCCATTGTTCTCATATTACCTGCTCTATGTGGAGTCGGAGCATGCTGGAGGACTTGGAGATGAGAAAATGTTAGTTTGTGACATTGAAAAGTGCACATGGAGGTGGAAGTGCCCGCTACGGTGAAGCGTTACGGGGCGCAGGGCAATCTTCCTTTCACTCACTATTCCTACGAGCCTTGCAACGACACCAACTTCCGCTCTCTATACCACGCAGCCATTCCATGCGGCCGGGTCATGATAACGGATGGACCCTTGGATTGATTATGTGTGGCTCGGCGATCGCACTATTCCCTCCGCACACCTGTTAATCCTAAGGGAAAGGACGCAGTTGTCTCCTAGGAAAGCCTTCCATCCAGGACAATGACTACGGAGGCAATGGAGCGGGATGCGAATCAAGTCCAGAGGGTCGGGGCGAGTCCTGGGACCTTGTTAGGTGCGTCGGCGCCCGCTTCGCCCTTTTTCATAGCACCGAGATCTAGAGGCTTGGAGCTCTCCCAGCGATTCGATACTCCCATCCAGCATGCCTCGACAAAGGCTTGACTTCAGTCCACCACTTCGCTTAATCACGGTTCTTGCGGTGTACACACGGAAGACGGTGTCGAAATTGCATATTCCTCCAGCACAACATTGCACTGCATCATTTGCTTTGGACTCTCAGACCCCCTCAGTCGCAACGGGAGTGTAGCACACCGTCGTTGGACGCAAAAGCTTGCGCTGTACGACAATTCTCTTTTCAGTCTAACAGGATCTTGGGAGCTCCGGCTTCCGTCCGTGTCAAATGACTGCGCTGCTGTCAACTGGAGAAGGTGTCCAACCTTGGATTGCCGTCGGTCGGCGAACCGACATCTTCTGTGTGCGGATCTCTACCAGGTTCTGCAAGGAGATTGGGCTGCGAAGGTGTCAAGATGGTTATCATCGCACTTGTCCAGTCTTTTGCCTTTTCTTTCATCTCTGTCGCAGTGCAGATGTTCTGTCCAGCTCTTAATGCTCAATGGCTAGCTTGAAGGCACAGCCAGCGTTGCACCGAGTCTCACACTTCAACAAGTGTTGCCCAATGTCCGCACAAAGCAAAAACTTCCTTGCGACTTGCAGAGAGGCTTTCCAAGGCTCCATGTGTTGGACACTCTCCCTTCCTTCGAGAGGCGACCATCACTTTGTTCTTTCGCTTCGAGCAAGGGACTGGGATCCTGTTTGTGGCCGCACTTCATTCAGTGTATTTGCGAGGAGGGCTTTGGAAATTGCTTCGTGCGCCGAAGATCATGCACTGCAGACAATCCGACGCAAGCGAGCCAGGAAGTGCTAGCATGTTTGTGCTCAAGGAAGGAAAGACTGAATTGAGAGAATTCCAACGCACAAAATTCAGGTTGTTGCCCGCATGAGGGCGGACACCAAGCATTATACTGTCCTTCATCAATCCTTAATCGGGTCTGAATTTCCTCAAGGCTGTCCAAGAATAGGATCTGCGCGGGTCTGGACTGATATCGGGGATCCTGTGGCATCGCCATTAACCGAGTCCTGGGGTGCCATATCTCCAAAACGCAACCAGGGCCTCAATCTTGGAGAGCTTGCAACATATTCGTGGGTTACACCATCGTTTACGCAGTGAGGACGGCGGTTCAGGTTACCGTCGCACTAGAAGGTATAGAAGGCGCGTGTCGCTTGATATCAGCGTCCAGATTACCCTGTGTCCCTTCTCCATGTCACCCACGAGTGGTGGCCTGTACAAGCAAGGTTGAGGTTGAATATTTTGAGCGACGAGGGCCGATAACAAGAGGCAGGATCGACCAACACTGCGGCGCAAAACGCACTCACGGATCTGCTTTGGATGGTAAGGAGCCGAGACTATCATTTCGAAGTTCACCCTGCCTTATAAGGCTGGAGGTCAAGCCCCTGCGATGTTGAAACTGAGATCACGCCGGGAGAACGGACGACAGCCCGTCACCAAAAACGGGTGAACCGAATGGCTGGGTACAAACCTGAGAAAGCTGTCCTACACACGGGCTGAAAGCCAGCGACTTGCCATTGCCAGCTCCACCTGCAAGGAATTCCAGTTGTTGCTTTACGCGGCTGCCGAGTCATCAACAACACGCGCCCCGTTGTCCAAGCAACTGGCTCCTTTCACAAACAGCATAACCGAGCCATTGCAGATGACCCTTTCACGATCAGCAGCCCAGAAACAGATCGGTAAGCATCCGAAGGGATGGTGGCCACGTGTGGACAACTTCAGGTGATTGGGCGGCCAACTGGAGGAGGGTTGCACAGGTCATTGTGCTACGCCATGGCCCTCTCCATGATTGCTTCGAGAACTCGACCAGGCTGATGATACAGGCACAGAAGATGAACGTGGCACAAGAGGAGCAAATGATGAGCAAGATTGGCTGTTCTTGTGCCCATAGGACAGAGAGGTTGCACCTTCGACTTCAACTGACTCGCACGGTGAGGGCTGTTCTCGGAACCGTTTGTCTTGTCGTCGTCAGGCGCGGACGCCAGGGCGAAGGAGCTCGAGAGGTCAAGGCCGGGATAGATTTGCCCGAAAGAGGAACAATCGAAGGATGGCGAAAGTGGGGGTCGCGGGGTCAAGCAGCCGCCAATCAGGGCTCGCCAATGGGTCCAATCCGTTATCGCCGTATCAATCTGGGGCTAAACCCCTTGCGGCAAGGCTGTCCGTGCAGCCAACCGCCGGCCTTTGCATTCTGACGACCAGCATCGTCCCTCGCTCCATCTACCTGCTTGTTCGGATCCCTGGATGGCCAGTCAAGTCGGCCCTGGATCTGGCTGCCCTCTGCCGATCCGTCCTCTTCTCCTTTGGGCTCATGCACCAGCCGTTCTGCGAGGGCCACCTTCTGTAGGTAGGTTGCTCGCTGACCTGTCACGAACCACTGCGATCACCCTCGTCGAGGATAGGCTCCGCCCCCCGGTACCTGTCAAGCCATTCTAACGGTCGTTGGATTCAAAGTACCTGGTCTGAGCTATCTGGGCTGATAGCTCTATACACTCGCCAATGAGCGGTGGGGTTCACAATTGGCCACAGCCGCGGTCCCTGCTTGCTCTACGCCCATTTGAGCTCACTTCTCCCTACAGACAACATCATCAAACCCCCCTCTGGTTTCCCCAATTTCACATCGCTTGCTGCAAGCTCAATCTTTCTAACATTTTACCTGCCCTTCCTGCGCCTTGATTCTACAATCAGGTCCTGTCTTACCGCTAGCCTGAACGCTGCTTAGCCTCGGTGGTGTGACTTGACCCATTATCTTTATTTTTGCTTGCATTTTGTCCTGTTCGGGAGATCTTCAAGGTCCGCGGTCGATATTTATACCAGCGCCATTTCGCCGTCCCTGGCATTGATTGTCAACAAGCGGCACTTGGCTTTTGCGCGCTTGTGGTGACATACGCCGCTTGGCTATTGTTGGTGGTCGTGGCTTCCAACTTCCCTGAGACGTCAAGCCCAGCCTGTTCCTGCCCCAGATCGATCTGTCAAGTGGCCGTTGGTTGTACATATACCGCGCGCTTCCCTTCGCCCTTGCACTCGGTATATCTTTCTCAACTCGTCAGAGATGGGGTCGTTCCAGGATGAGCGAACCCTGCTCTACTTGGGTCTCGCTATTTGCGTCGGCATCATCACCTACCTGAGCCTCAGTCAACGTCAGAAAGAAGTCGTCTTCAGAAGGTTGGCGTTACGCGGTCGTCGTACGTCAAGTGCAGACACGCCGCCTCGTTCCCTCTCGCCAGAGAAGAAGGAACCCAACAACTCACCACCCAAGTCTTCCGAGTATGTCAACACCTTTCCACCGTTGACCAGAGAAAACCTTCTGGAAGCCGCTGCCTCGCTACCCGAAGTTCGCCGCCTGATTCTGCAGAATGCGACATTCGACGAGAAGAACTGGACGAAATCCGTTCTCGAGTTTGGCGAGGACTTCCGCAAGGCTGATTCCGACAAATATGTCTTCACTGGCTACAAGATCGAAGAAATTCGAGCGCTAGGAGATTTCCCCGATTATGCTGCCCTCAGTGGTGTCCCACTCCCAAAGCCATACCATGATCACGACGTCAATAAAGCACTTCCACGACCATACCGACCTTTCCGATGGGCTTACCACCAGACCATGTGTCAGTACCCTCGTCCATTTTGATTTGTATTGCCAAGTTGACTGACTGCCCCGGCACAGCACTTACCAAGATGGAGCCAGACTGGTGGCTGGAACTGGAAAACACCTACGCCACCCGAATTGCTCAGCGTAAAAAGCTGTACGCCGAACATGGCGAGGCGGTCCTCCAGTGGCTGCCTGGTTCCGAACTGGCCTGCAAAGAACTCATGGAAATGGCTCTCCAGTTCCTTTGCGCCCGGTACCCACAGTACTTCCGGCTTCACTCTGACAAGAAGACGTTTGAGAACAAGATCCTGGGCACCAAGCAGGACGTCTCGGCCAAGCATCCTCTTCTGGTCCTACTGGACAACGTCCCCGAAGACTTCGCCATCACGCTGCGAAACCCAGAGACTGGGTACTACCACTTCCGGGCAGGAATGATCTGCTCGGCACTGGGGTGGAATGTCGGGACCAAGATCGGATTGCAGTTGCACCAGATCCACGCGCCGATCCCCGACTACAAGGAAAAGATGCAATTTAGCATGGATCGGTAAGCCCGCCCCCAAACTGTCAGCTCTTTTCTTTCAATTGGTGGCTAACACGTTGGCCCAATAGATTCTTCACCAAGATGCCCTCGCCCAAACCCATCCAGCGGGGCTCCTGGGGCCTTGAAGTCGACCAGCCACTGTACATGCCACCGGGCGACCCGCACGAAAAATACCGCGACTTCCAATCGCCCGACCTCGACCTGTCACGCATCCATCTGCGTGTCGACTGGCAGACGCTCCGCCGCCTACCCCTGTCGGGTGGCATCGTCTTCAACTTCAAGGCGCTGTTCACTCCCGTGTCGGAGTTCCGCGACGAGCCGTACATCCCCAGCCTGGTGCTGAAGGTGCTCAAGGACGGCAAGGAGAACCTTATGAAGTACAAGAACACGTGGCACGTCGAGCACGTGGTGATCCCTGCGCTGGAGGAGTACGAGCGCGAGCAGATCCAGAAGGGGCTCGTAGAGAAGGATTGGCAGCATCACACGCTGGACGAGAGCCCTTGGTTCCCGGGCTGGAAGGAGAAGTGGGTGAGGCAGCAGGGGTTTGGAGATGTTGAGTAGCCAACTCGAGGGGGTTACCCGCAAGATGTGTTGTTGCTGTGGACGCGGCTGTCTATTAAGGAGTGAGGCACAACCTCCAAGGACAAACGCGAAGAATATAGAAACGCCTGCAAGCGGTTGAAGAAAGAGGGGGAAAGATGGCAACCATACCGACACCAATGAGTATATCCAGACAGGACCCTACACAACGACACAACTACCACCATCAACCCCTACGCACACGAAACACAGACATAAAAGAGAAGGCAAAATGATTTAGAGCTCATCGACATGCGATACGGATACTTTGGAGGTTGAGATTTCCACTTCTTCCTCCCTTTTCTTCATTCATGGCTAGGAACTGGGGAGCGAACCATTCTTTTTCCTTGGTAGCATACCTATCTACCTACATACATAATCCGCATTGCGAACGAAAGTTGGCGCGCTATGGGCATAGCACAGTACCTATCTATTATCTTTGGTGTCATTTCCCTGCAAGAAGGAGGTAGGTCTGTAGTTAGTTAGGATGGGTGTATGTGGTGAGAAGTTTCACGGCCGTTGGCCTATCTCTATCCTGTACCTACGTATGTAATGTATGTGCCTGCCTGTTTGCCTGCCTGTTTGCCTGCCTTTGTTGCCTATCTGGTCAGCTACCTACGAGTATGTATGTGTAGCATTCAAGGAAGCCTATATACGTCCCCACCGAATTCGCAGAGCCAGGAGCTTCACGGATGCGTACGTATGTGCAATGTGGACGAGGCGGTCAGAAGATATGTAGGCTCCTATATCATTGGGAGCGGCTTTGTGGTCCGAGCCGTAGATATGTATCGCCCGCGATCCCTTGGCTTCGCGATCCCGTTTTCCTCGCACGCTGAGTCTGTCCGCTGAAGCTCGGCTATTTGACACGTACGGGGTCTTTACGAGGGAAACGGGGTCTTTGCTGCCGAGCTGTTGAGCCGTTGAACTGTTTCGCTGTCGGGCTGTCTGGGCGGCGTCGATCTCGAAAAAACGTCAACGTACGTCAGCGATTGTCCACCAAGGGGTGCCAGCCCGGGCGCAAGGAGGGGGGGGGAAGAGCAAAGCGAGGATGGACGGAGGAGCTAGCATGTGATAATTTTGGCGATCCTAATCATCCCTACATACGTAAGGACATATGTATATATGTAAAGTATACTTGAGCAGGGGATTATCTTGTTATCTTGCAAGTCTGATTCTTTTCGCTGGTTGTTTGTGAAGCACTTTTTTGTATGTATGTACACAGGAGAGGTATACATCCGGAGTGTATGCGCACATATACCTAGGTACTTAGGTGGGTACATGCGATTTGACATACAGTACACATACCGTCTGGCATCCAAGATCTAACAAGCGACCTCTGACGCAATATCAGGATTCGCGATATTAGACTCTCCAGCGTCTACATACGACTGGGACAACAGTGCTGTGCAAGAGTGCACGCACGCATCGCGGTTGCTTTACTACGGGACCAAGATCGCCGACAAACTCGCAAGCTTTATCGCGGAGAGTCATCCTCGGTGAGAAGACGATGGATGTACCAGACTCAGGCGCACAAGCTCCAAGGAGCATCCTCGACTTACCGGGATGCCTCGGGGTCACGGTGGGCGATGTCATTTCCGTGGGCGAAGAGGGCAGAGCGACCGAAGACACAAACGCAGCAAATCCCGGTGCCGGGATCCTCCTCGTGGCCAAAATATGTGACGCCCTGTTGAACTGGGGTGGCCATGGAGACGACGACGCCCGGAAGGTCGCCAGCCTCGTCGCGAGAAACTTGGTCACCTGCGAATCGTCGCACGTCAAGATTGAGCCTGGGGTCAATATCGACGAGCACAACGACAGCGGGGGTACAGGAATAGATAACCCAACGAAGTTGGTCACCTCGATGCTCCAAGCGCTCCTTCGTCCTACCATCTCGCGTTCAAGGCAGGTGCGCATCAACTCCAATGAGCCCGTGTTGCTCGTCAATTTCGACCACCCCAGAGACCGGATCAACGACGTGATTGACGCAACGGTCGAGCAGCTGCATCAGCAGTGGAACATCTGGCCTGTCCGCGTGTATGGCCATGCTGGCGCGTGCACCACCCCAAAACAAACTACGACCGGTGTCGCTGCGAGCTATGGAGATCCGCGCGGAAGTGGTTTTTCCATAACATTGCTGAATGTCGTTAACACAGACATTGGTGGCCCGAGCATGCCCCAATTACTCGACGCTGCATGTAATGCTCCTGAATGGAAGATGTATCTGAGACGGGAGGTATGGAGGGGACGGGACCTCGTGATCCGTGAGCAGGGCGAGGGAAACTGGGCTCAGCAGGAGGATGCTGCCGCACATGACGACAATGCGTCCGAGCGATCCTTTAGGAGTGAGAATGGCGACGACGATGATAAGTCTGTCGGCTCAGATGCTGCTAATTTGACGGCTTCGGAAAGTTCAAGACGGCCTGAGTCGCCAGGGTGGGAGGATGATGCAGTTGAAGAGCACGAAGTAGTAGCTCTGGACACGGGTGCTCACGGGCAATCCCAACACTCCGCCCAACTAGACGAGAATGCTGTCAAGACCGACATTGACGATGATGACAATGACAGCGACACGACTCGACCCACGACCCAAAATGATCCGCCGGCGCATAAGTTCAAGGCGCCTGAGAGACACATTCAACATCCGACGTGGGCACGCCACGATGACAGCACATCTCTGATCGACCTCATCAGATCCCAGGCGTCGCTGATTGCACCATTCGGGACAGAGGATGCAGGACATGGCGTCGGTGACGTCGAGGGTGAGGTGGCCAAGTTGAGATCAGAGGAGCTCGAGTCACCATCGCCCGGCGACGACGAGTTTATCGTTGTTTGAGGCCACATATTTCAAGTGACCTCAAGCTCTGGTGTTGTTGCAGACCGTGTAAATGCGCGGTCCCGGTTCAATCGCTGATCGAACGAGTCCTGCTCCTGCTTCCACTCCTACTCCTGCTCAACGACCTGGGACTCCTTCCATTCTCAGAAGCCGTTCCGTTCCTCTCCCCATCGCCCATTTCCTCGTCCTCATCCTGTTTCTCGCTGTTGTCCTCCTCTTCTTCCATGGCATCCAGCTCCGCCTGTAACGGACTGACCCTCTCATCCAGCTGTTCCAGATCCTCCAATAACTGCCTAGCAGGCATTTTCCACAAACTTGTCCCGCAAACTCGGTCCTTCATGAGCAGATTATCCACAAACTCGTCCATGTGTATCAGCACATAAGACTCCTTCCTCCTCTGCCGTAATTTTCTCGAGTCCTCCAGGAACGGCTCCAGAGTTTTGTAGACATCTGCAGGCTCGAACGTCAAGCGGACATAGAATGCCGCCAGCGCTCTCAGATACTTCCACTCTTCCCCTCCGTTTTGTAGATATTCGAGCACAATCTCCCGGTCGGGGACGAGGGTTAGGAGTTTGAATGCTAGGCAGATGAAGGGTGTAGGTTTCATGGCTACGCCGTAAGTGCCGCCGATGTAGGTGAGTTCAACGGCTCGGTCGCACAGAGTGGCCGCGTTCAGTCCGAAGCATTGTTCTTTCCAGTAAAGAGAGTCCGTAATGCGGTCGCGCATGGCCGTTTCCAAGAGGAGGGCAGGATTCTGGCCGCGCACCAAAGGGCCGCTGTAGCCACGGTTATCGAGTGTATTGGAGGCATCCGCGCGGTGCGTCATAGTGGCTGTTTATTCACTGATTGGAGAGAGAGGAAGACTGTATCGCTCTCTAGACAACTTGATCCTGGAAGAGGGTGGCGTGGGTGAACACCAGAAAATGTTTCTTGCTCCGGTTGGCAAAGCCGCAGCGACGTCACAGAGCCATCACGCCGCTTTCGGCTTAGGGTGGTGCTGCCCTATGTGAACTCCAGCCTTGCACAGGTCAGGCTGAGGGTGGCGAGCACGACTTGCTCTGGAGAAGATGGACGACGTCTAGGAAGGAATATGATTAATGAGAGTGAAACCTATCTACCAAGATCTTTAGATGACCACCGAACACGGAGTCGCAATAACCTCCCCAATGAGAACCTTCACCAAGCCACACAATTCAGTCTGGTACCGACCACGCCTCATACTCTTTCAGCACTTGTTCTGACAGGAGACCATCGTCGTATTCTGGATCCGAATCTGTCAGGCTCTCTGTAGTCGGCACGCGAGTAATGTTGTATGACGACCTTGAGGGGCTGGGCTGGATGGTAGGTGACAATGGCAACGAAGCTGCAGCCTCGCTCGCAGCTTCACGACGCCTTGCCAGTTCCTGCACTCGCTTCTGCATTCTCGACGCTGCAGGTTTTGTCAGTCCAATCCGACGTCAAAAGTAAAATGTTGCCGGGAGAATATTTACCATTTCTCTCGTGCTCCACGATAAATTTGCGCGGAAAGCCGCTGATGGGGTAGTCGCATGTATGGACTTTGTTTGGTTTCGAGTTAGGCTGCCTGAGCCGGAGAAGGATGTAGACTGACTCTTCGCGGTCCCGGAGCTCAATCTCTGCATGGTAAGTGCCCTTGAATACTTTGCGAGTATACATGTCGTCGAGGAACTTTTTATCGAGATCGAAGATCTGCACCACAATTTAGCCTCGTGCTTTCGCAAGGTGATGCACCCGAGGTTGGAAGAAAAGTAATGGTGTACCGTGAATTCTTCCGAGGAAGTCAGACGCTTCTTCGCAACAAAGCTGGGAACAAAGTCTCCGATGATATGGTTCTGGAGAAATTCAGCTAGGGTTTTGATGCTCTGGTCCTGGTGAGCGAGCTTGCAGCGGATATGTCCTTTTCAAACTTATCAGCTTCTTCCTTTCCGAGTCATCTGCACTCACCTGTGCACACAAACGCCCGGTTTTTCTTGTCGCCATAGACATGAGACTCGTCCTTTTTGAAGTAGAAGGTGCTGGCGACGAGAGCGTTGGCAATTTCCGTAACCTCGCGGGACAATGGAGGCTGTCTGAGCAGTTTATGTACCCTCCCCCGAAGGTTATCCACCTCGTGTTTCGCATCCAACGGTGGTGGCTTTTGTTTAAGGTCAGGGTTGATGCGGAAATAATGGGACGCAAATTCCGTTGCCCACTGTTCGCCCACCGTATCGCGATAGAACTCGTGCCAGGACCATTCAGTGTCGAGGATGTTGTCGATTTTGTCGACCTGGAGGAGGGCGGTCAGAAGAGTTGGTGATCACTGGGAGGACTAGGTTGGCGCAATGATACTTACCAGGACGCTGAAATAGTTTTTGATGCCTTTCACGGCTCGATAACGCTTTCGAGAGTCTCGTGGTGCTTCTTTCTGCTGCTTTCTTCGTAGGTGATCCTCTCTGGAATGACCAGAGAGTCTCTCCAGTTTTCGGCTCATCTCTGTTGCATGCTGACCCGTACCAAGTGAGAGAAAAATATCTGGGTGGCGCGATTCGACATCTGGCCACAGCAACCTTCGCTCTCTTTTCGCGATAATCACAGGATTGTTGTGATTGATGGCGCCATCAAGGTAAGTTCTTCCACGCCTCACAAAAGGTTTGAAATATGACGGAGCAGCCGACGTCGCCGCGGCAGCTTCCCAGACATGAAATGCTTCGCTCGGGGCCCTGGCGGTCTCCAGTGTGTATCCGGGATCAGATGCTTGCTGTCGGTTGTAGTTGGCCATGATCAAGGCTCGGTTCCCCGTGCCTGACGTAGACACCACAGCTACCTTCGTGGCGTATCTCGCGGCGTTACTCTTTCCTCCAAACAGAAGGTCGTCACCAAAGGACTCTTGCAAAACTCTATGCAATGGTGTCGTCCTATATTTGCTCCCGTGGTTCAACGTCGCCAATTTCTCGAAGACCGTATCTGCAAATTCCCGTTCGGAGAATGCTGTTTTGCAAAGAGACCTGAATCTGCGCGTGCATTCGGATACGGGCCACTGAGCTGCTACAAGACCGAGGGCGACGATACCACCGGTGCTAAGCGTGTCAGGAATTCGCACAAGGACGACCGCCGGCCCACTCACCTAGTTCCAACAATCAGGTCGAACAGCTGCTGGATTTGGATTCCAGGAGTTGAATGATAGTTGTTGATGCAATTCTCAATGGCGGCTAGAATCTCGAGCTCTACGATTCCACGTATCCCTCCCCTTCGCCGCCATGATTAGTTTCTTACAAGAGGCTGCGGAGACGCACTTACCCGTCCAGGCACAGAATCCGCAGGCCTGCAAATTCGGGTTTTTTGGCTATTTCCCAGTTCATGGATCTCTTTCCTCCGTGTAAGGGACAGCTTCCGACCAGAGTTATCAGATCGTCTTGTTCCTCTCCGTGCTCTCGAATGCAGGAATCACAGAGGATGTGGCCACATTCCAAGGCATGTTCCGGCGTGGCCATGAGGCACCGAAAGCAGCTCAGACAGCTAATGAAGTCTCGCGAGGATTTGATCTGAGACGAGAAGAACTCGGCGAGCTTCTCCTCATGTAACCTGGAGACTACTTTCATGTCTGTCGAGATGGAGCCTTCGTCGTCGCCGGAGAGATCTGTTCGAGATTGCTTGTGGAGTGGATACCTTGAGCTGAGCTGTTGTATGAAAGTGCTATTGAGCGACTTCAGCTTGTCTTCAATCTTCTTCAGCCAGACCTTCTCGTATGAAGAAGCCATGAGAGAAGACTTGTACACTCCAATTTCTCTCTTCCCCTTCTCGTTCTGGTGTCCCTTGTCATGGGCCGATTTGACATTGAAACAGTGCGGAATTTTCTTACTTGTGTATTCACAAGGCATGACATCGTTGCAGAACATGTGTAGGGCTGTCCTGCAGAAGGGAGCGTAATCTTTCGGGAAGTAGTCAATCACAGGGCCTGCGAGGATGTTATTGGGAGATCTCAGCATCGTGGAGCATAGCACGGACTCACCCTGTAAGTTATTCCGGACGTAATCCAACAGAATGCACGATGCTATCAGCGAACACAGGCCACCGAGGAGCATTTTCGGTTGGAGAAGCTCGTGACGAGTGCTCTCGTGGATTGTTCTTGCCAACGTCAAAATGTGATCGCCAAAGTCGTGGGCAATGAGTTTATTACGCGTGGATACCATTCTGAAGTCAAAAGGTGTTTCAATGTCGTTGGCAAAATGCTCGAAACCTGCTTGTAGATATTGCTGCAAGTCGTCGGCGTTGGCCAACCGGCGTTTGATGCTTTTCTCGTAGTGAGCGGTCTGACAGACGCTGACGATTTCCTCTCGGAGTTGTAAGATTTGATTGTTGATCAAGTTGTACGTCTCGGAGCTTTTCGCAGGAATGCGAATGACACGAATAGATCGATAGTAACATTCAAGCAACTCTCGGGCAGATAAGCTGGGGCGATCGCCTTCGGGAGCGAAGCTCCTCGCGAGCTCTTTTAGATCATGTTCAGTGGTCGTGATGCTTTCAACGTCTCGGAAAAAGCTCTTCGTCGCGTCCTCGATCGTCCATCTCTCCTCTTTACCAGCCACTTCAACGGCGTTGAGCACCACTATTGCGCTGGGCAGAATAGGCTGATTGAGCGATTTTTCGACGCTGCGCTTTGCCCAATCGACAAGATACTTGTAGGTTATGTGAAGTTGGCTTGTGTGCGTTAGTATGTACTCTTCTCGAGTGAAAAATACTCACTTGGGATTTCTCTGGACGAAAACAATGGCGTCAGAGAAAGTATAGAGAAATCTAGGGTAAAGATTGGTGACAGCGTATTCCCGGGTTCCTTTGACAGGATCGTTTGCCTTAGTCCACTCAATGGGGACCGATCTCCCAGGCATTCTCTTTCTCATTTTCCTCGGCCCACTTGACTCTTTTGTGGTCCTCCTAGAATGGGACGACTCTTCCACAGCGAAAGGGACTTTCTCGCCCGCATTTAGGCCCTCACAATCAGCATAAAGGATAGGCATCGCAACCTCCAGATGCTCCGGATCTGCGTACAAGTGTACGCCTTCGGACGTCGCTGTTCCTTCGTTGGCTCTGGAGCCCGGAACAGGGGTGTGGAAGGAGCTTCGGTCGGCCTCTGTGGATACCAGACCGCCATGAGATACCAGCGCTTTCACGATTGTACTTTTGCCGGCATCTTGCCAATGTCAGAGAGTTCCCAGATAGCACATCTGAGAGGACCTACATGTGTCTCCGATGAACGAGACGAGTTTTGGGTATCTCGCCGCGCCGCCGAGTGGCCGGCTATCCAGCATCAATTGAGCGTAGCGGCCAAAGTCGTGAAACTCTGACTTTCTGCCGTCTGAAGACTTGACAACTCCGAACCACCTTGAATCCTGATCTTTGTCGTGCAAATTCCTGATCTCTTGGGGATCCATGGGCGGTTCCAGGATTGAGCGTATCATCATTATCGTGGCCTTGTCTTCTTTCGCATGAGCGCGATTACCGAGATTTGTGGTTTTTGCCTTGTGGGCAGCCTGTCTTGGCCAGCATTCGTCGCAGAATGAAATACCGGAGCAGGCTGAACAGAGCCAGACACGGACATGAGCCCGCTCACAATCAGCACAGACATCGCCGTTAGCCATGGCCAACACAATCAAGAGGTGAGTTGGGGTTCTTGGATCCGCTGAGGGAGGAGAAGAAAGACCGCTGCGATCGTGCGACACGGGAAGATATGGCTTTTGCTCAAGAAAAGGAGGGGAGGGGCTGAATTCGAACATCAGGCTATAGCCTCACTCTCAACACGGGCTCGATGGAAACTGTCACTTCTCACCAATAGTGCCACACATTGTGCCCGGGTAGCTGCTGCCGCCGCCCAGCCCAGCTGTCGCCTGAATGAGGCTGGCCCATCATTGCTCGTGAAAAGGGCGACCAAAAGGCAGTGGCCCAGACATGCAGATATACTAGCCGTAGAGAGTTAGAAGCGATGCCTCAGGCAGTCTGGTCATATGTACAAAAACTTCGCTAAAACCTGTTCGCTTCGAAGTTCCGTGTAGATGCAAGGCGTGCATTTGCAGGGATGATTCAAGGCAGACAAACTCTTGTCATTGAAATAAGGGCATGCCGCTGGACCCGGAAACGCCTCGTGCAGATGGCGGCTCAATTGTGGCCATCTTCTTCTGATACGGAGGTAACCCCGAGATTGAGACGGTGCTTGTATTTGTGTGAAGTTCGAAAGACAAGCCTAAAGATCCGCATGGAAGTAGTCGTTCAATTACTGATTGAAAGCCTGCCTGAGGAGCAAGTCCAGAACGGGCCAGACCTACTGACCGCCAAGTTTAGGCCTTGGTGGGCCTTGAGGCCTCGGCGGCATATACGAGCAGACAGTGTGCATGTAGGGCGTGAGGAAGACCCAATAGAACGGCCGAAGGCGAACGCAGGGGTCGAAGGAGGAGCAGACATCCGACGAGTGCGAAGTGTGAGAGGCGGGAGGAGGTGGAGGAGAAGAGTTGGGAGCGCAGAGCCGCAGGCAGCTCGCAGGTCAATTCCAAAGGCGGCGTCGTGCCAAGAAACCTTGTTGTCCCTCGCAACGAGGTGGTAAACACAGCTGTGCAACTACCAGGCCGACGGGGTTCCTTACACATGAGCGGCCTCATCCGAAGCCATCTCGCACGAACAGAAGAGAACTCACCAGTATACCGAGATCCAAGAAGATCTAACCTTCGAAGTTAGGGTCGGCCAAGAATCTTCTTCGTACCACCACCACGGTACCTACCAGCTGCATGAACACACCTGTATCTCGGATCACGAATTGGTCCTTGCAGGGCAATGGTCCTCCTAACCTCCTCGACCGTCTCGGTCATCATCTCTAGCGGTGTAATCTGCATGTTTACATTCCTGCTATTCCTCTCGGGATACGTGCTACAACAGCAGTCGGTACGGTCGATACAAGAAGCCATTCGAAGACCACCCGAACGAAAGCCAGTGCCGACATTGCCCCCTCAGTTCCAACATGAAGACAATGATACTTTCCCGACAGTGTTGGAACCTCCCCAAGATGGCTCGCAGTCTGTTATGGTCGTCGAGGGTAATCAGAAGCCAGGAAGCGAAGCAGGAGTGTTGGACTCGGTCCAGGTGCCAGTAATCATCAATGGCCAGAATCAACCTCCCTTGGACTCTTCTCCAGAACTGTCCGAAGCAGCTTCGAGAGACGAAACGCCGCTCCAACGTCTCGCCTACATGTTTGCCCTCCTTGAGCCACACCATCTGTGCTCGGCTCTCCTTTTTGCGAAACAGCAGCGGTCATCATCACGGTTGTCCAAAGAACCGTCGATCGTACTCCTCTACCCATCCACATGGGAGACGGAATTTTCTCCTCTCCACACCTCAACCTTGAATTTCATGCGCGAGATCCAGGAGCTGCACAGCCTCATCTATCACCCAGTAAGGATATACGAAGCATGGGACGTCAGGTCGCAATTACTCGGGGAGCTGCAGTGGGGGCGGTGGGATTATGATCAGGCATTGTTCTTGCGTTCGCCGGGAATGGCTCTCAATACCCAGGTGCTGGACACCGCATTGGCGTCTCCCGACACAAGAAAGACGTGGGCACCATTGAATCCATCCTCGGGAGATGATCCAGAGCTCTTGCTTGTCACTCCAAGCGGTCTTCAGAGCCCGAGAAGGGAAACCAAGAAGCTGGTCTATTCGGCGGCCGCAAATATAGCCGATACTGGTGCCAACGGCGCGGCCATACGGGAACCGGGTCAGGAACCCGCTTATGTGTTGCTTGATGGTCAAGTTTTGAGCAATGAAGAAAACGGTGTATGGTACGGCGAAATAAAGCAGAAGTTCGGCCAGGGGACAAGCAATGTTTGCGGAGGTAGCGGGCTCTTGGAAGAGAGCTTGAAATTGGCGTTGCAAAGGTCTCTGTAGATAGTAAGCACAAGTGGCTATTTAATGACGGGAATAGAAATGCCAGATACCATTGTTCAGCATAATTCTGACACCATCACCGGGTGCCCCTTCGCTGTTGACTCGTGACGTTGCCTTGGTATGGACAATCGCTGCTAATAACTTTCGCTCGCAGTCTTGACGAAGCATACTCTCACGATAATCCAGCCTTGGAAGTGCCACACCACATACTGCCATGCTGTCGCAGCAAGTAAAATCGTCCCATACTCCATCCAATTCAACCCGAGGGCTCTACCGCGGAAACCGAATTGTGTCGCCCCCTCAGCGTCGCATTGAGCAAGCTTGCTCTCGTACTGTGACCAAGCATTCTGCTTGCATGCATCACACACAACCGCCTTCTTGGCGCGAGTGTATTGCAGGTAAGGCAAAAGCAGAGCGCAGAATGCTAAGACAGAGAGGAGCTGGACGGTGATGTGGATTGTATTCGGCGTAAGAAAATGTCTGAATGAGCAGGATTCGGTCGATAGGTTTCCACACCACTGAGCAGTGGAACGATCAGCGACCTGCCGAAGCATCAGCTGCGCGTAAGACAAGTCGAGATCGTTCCCCTCGTACCATAACAGCCTTGGCCGCTGCTTCGGTTGTATCGTCCTCAGGAGGTGTTTGTTCATGTTGTAGCTCATGCAGCGCCTGACCGTCCTCTGGCTCAATATCAGCGTCCATGACAGAGACGGTGGTGCGCAGGAGATCGTCCTGAGCTTTGACGGTGATAAGAATGCGCATCGAGAGTCTTGTCTGTCACTGATGCTAAGAAATAGATGCAGAATACAGTGGAGGTAGAGGCGCAGGGAAGTGAGGTGAGGTCAAGTGAGGCGCCTTCTCCATCAGCACTGATGCAACTGGCACTGCTTGCCTTCAGTCTGCGCATTTTCACTCAGACCTCCAACTCAATCCCATCATCTATCCCAAAACGCGCTTTGCCCTTCAACCCTGGCCTCAAAGCCTTGTTCCTACCTTCAACCACATCGTCGATGAGTCAATTCTGCCAATCCGCGGTTCAGCGCAGCGGGCAGCTCCATCGGGCGCAGACAACGATCGACTCCTATTAGGCAGGCGGAGTCCGCCTTGCAGCTGTCTAGATTCTGCGGTGGCATTTCGCCTCACGGAATTCGAATGGTGAGCATGTCCACGCCCACGAACTCAACGACCGCAGGCCGCTTGTTTGTATCGTCACTTACCAGACGAGGGCTGAGGAAGATACTGAAGAGATAGTTCTATCCGATCGCAATCACCCTCAGCGAAGCGTACTCGTTTGTGCGCGTTTCCAAATACCTTTACGGCCGAGCACCCACAGCGGGCCTGGCGAGCCTGGGCGGAGGCTCGCCCTCAGTCAAATTGCATTCCAAATAGCACCCAGAAGGCGACCCATTGCCCTAATTCGCTTGGCTCCGCGGACTGTAAACCTTTCCAGGCCAAAATCTATACAAGAGAGGGATGGTTGACAAGAAGGGCTGACTAACATTGACAATCACAATCAAAGCACCTCGCCGAGTACGGTGGCTGGACATCGTCTTTGATGAGTAAGTCAACGTGAGTGTCGCTTCTCAAGAGGCGCTTTGAAGTTGAGTTTGACCAGCAGGGGAGGATGACAGTTTCACAAACGACAAGCCGAGGAATCCCTGGAAGCCCTTCCGCAATAGGCTCTATCTGGCTTAAACGCAACGGCCGTGGCGGCGCGGTGTCCACTTCTTGCATGACGTCTGACCTCTAACTGTCGCGCCCGTTAAGCATGCGGACCGGGGTAGAAGTCAACCGAATGACCTGGTAATGCAAGCCACATCCATGAATAAAGATTGATAGGAAAGGTTTGATGTCTGGTATACGAGGGCTCAGAGAAAAGTATATCATGAGAACTCCCCTTCATTTCAATCCGAGTTTCTCCTCATCAGCAGCGCTACTTCAGCAGCAAGATAACTTCACAGACAGGTCGAGTACCTCTACAACACACCACCACTTCTCAGCTGCGCCTTCACGATGTCTACCTCTAAATCCGCTTCCTCCTTGATTCCCGCTGACCCGGCGAAGGTCATGGTCATCCGGGATGTCACTCCCAATATCACAACGCTCAGTGTACCTTTTCTGCGGTTCGGACACATCAAGATTGGCGGTCGGGCCACATTGGTCAAGCTACAGACAGGCAATGTAGCTGTCTTTTCTCCCGTTGCGCTCACACCGGACGTCAAGGCCAAAGTCACGTCCATGGGTCCCATCAAATACATCGTTGCGCCGGACTTCGAGCATCACATATTCATCTCTACCTGGGCCAAGGAATACCCCGAAGCAGAAGTGATTGGCATGGAAGGACTGCCAGAGAAGAGAGAGGGAGATCCGGCCACAAAAGGAACAAAATTCGCACATGTTTTCTCCGCGAAGAACAAGCTCGACATGCATGTCACTCCCGAATTCGACACCGAGTTCTCGTACGAATACTTCGACTCCCACACCAACAAGGAGCTCGTTTTTCTCCATAAACCCAGCAGGACCTTGATCGAGGCCGATCTGCTCTTCAACCTCCCTGCCACCGAGCAATACTCCAAAGCCGGAGCCCACCCGAATTCCGGGCTCTTGACCAAGCTCTTTACAGGTATTATGAACACCAAGGGTGATATGACCTGGCAAAAACGCTTTCTCTGGTACGCAGCTGCCGGGAAAGACAGGAAGGGCTTTGCGGAGTCGGCCAAGAGAATCAAGCAATGGGACTATGACAGAGTCATTCCTTGTCATGGGGATGTTATCGAGACTGGCGGAAAGGCGATTGTCGACAGGGCGACTGCGTGGTTTACGGAGGGCAAGCATTGATCAGCAATGGTGGAAGGTGGTGTCAATATTCAGGTGGGGTTTTTGATTCACTTATTACTTTTGCGGCTCAGAGATACCATTTTAGCTTGTTTGCATCCTCTAGTTCAATAATTATTGGTGTTCAACGAACTGTGTGCTACGTTACACGCCTATGCCAGAACGTATATCCAACCTGTTGATCACTTGGTGAGAAAATGAACAAGATGAGCAACAGTGACGCCTAGAGGTGAAGCTGCGGATTGCGGGAGAGTGTTAACTTTGGACGGACAAACCACTTTAGGGATCAAAAGCCACCAACTCTCATGTATAGCCGTCGGGCGGGAGGAGAGTAGGATGTGGAATTATCCTCATCAAGGTACTCAAACACCACACTGCTCGGTCCCCAACGTACCACCTAACCATAGACCTCTCAGCTCAGTAGTACAGCGATTTCTGCCACCAGCGGCAGCGGTCGTTGTCGTTGGGATCCGCGATCACATCTATCCCCGTCACGTTCAGGTCCATGATTTTACCCTGTGTCGCTACCGACGTATGGTAAACTGGCATTGTGGTCGCCGCTGCGTCGCTCTTACGGTTCGGATTACCGGTGAGTGCGAACCGGGTCAAGACCTGCTGCATGAGGAGTGCGATAGTGGCGTTCACGCTCGGACTGGCCGTCGAGGGGTTGTAGTATGTGTAAGCGACGTCTTGGCCGTGGTAGGCTGGCGGGACACTGAAGCGGTACCCGTAGCCTGCCGGTATCGATTTGGCTTCGCGGTTTGCCGTCTGGAGGAAGAACGTGTTGCATGTGAATGCGCTGTCCTGCAGCGTGAGCTCGGCACGCTCGTAGAACGAGCTGTACGGATAACTCCCGTTGAAGATGGGCGGGTAGAGCGTCTGGGCCACGTAGTCTGCGACCGAGGGCTGGATGCCCGGGAACGTGCCGGTGATGCTGGACAGGAAGACCGAGTTGTTGGTGCTGTCCGGGTCGGTGAAGTACAGCGTCTCGTGCGCGTTGAATCCCGTCATTATCTGGACCGATGTGTCGTAGTTCCCCTGTGCGAGCAAATTGCCTGGCAAGCTAGGCACAAAATCACCGTCGACCGCCGGCGCAAATGTAAACGTTCCGTATGGTGAGGAGGCGACGAGTTCCACGTTGGCGGCAGAGAGAGCGGCAAAGGGGAGCTCGCGAGCTTCTTGGATCGTCGACACATTGAGGAGTCCCAGATACTTTTGCAGAAGATTGTCCTGCTCCCAGTGGCTGGGGAATGGTTCAAAACCAGGGGATTGCAGGATTGCCCTCTGAAATGGTGCCGGTCCCTTCGAGCCCGCGTATGCTGTAATCTGATGCATGATGGATCCTGCTCCAGCGGACTGCCCGAAAACGGTGATTTGCTTCGGATCGCCTCCAAAAAGATGGATGTATTGCTGCACCCACTGGAGCGCCATACGCTGATCAAGCAGGCCAGCGTTAGCCGTGCCATTGGACTGGACGTTGGGACCTGACAGAAAACCAAAGGCACCGCCCTATACGTCTGCGTCAGATGTGTATAACAAATGTTCAAGAGGAAAATGTACCCTATAGTTGAATGTGACATAGATGACGCCCTTGCCGCTAGGGTCTTCTTCCCGACTTCTCTGGATGAGTCCAGCAGGATTTCCATCCTGATATTTCTTGCTAAAAGTGAATCCGCCTCCATACACCCAGACCATCACCGGCGCACCTGTAGCATGTTTCGTGCTGGCGTTTGCGAAGATCTGTTTCGGGACTATGACATCCAGGAATAGGCAATCCTCTTGTTCCGTGGGTTCGGGTTTAGGGATCAGGCTTGCATCGCAAGCATCGGTGGAGTTGATGGAACCGCTGAGCAGAGCAAGGCCACAGAGATACCAAACAGGGTATGATTGAGGACAGGTACCTCCAGAGCTGCCGTTCTGAACAGCTCTGTTCGTCAAAGGAGGCTGGGGAGCGGTGAAGCGAAGACTGCCAGTTGGAGGCCGAGCATATCGGATGTTGGAGAAGTTGTAAAAGTCCAAACTGTCCTATAAACGGGTCAGTCGTCTCACCAACAAACGTGCAAGTGATCTTCGCCCACGTTGTATGTTATTGCTTGGTGGAGGGCATACCCAAGGTCGACAACAGGCAACTTAGCACTCTGTGCAAGCCCACTGAAGGCAAGAATGGGAGCTAAAAGCACTGCGAGCAGCATGTTTTCGGTGAGGAAACCTGAATTGAGTTGCTGGACAGTCTATGGCTCTTGATGCAGCAAGGATAGCCACTGATCTTTTACACGCGAACATTGTTGATTTCAAAGAGCTGCCTTCTATTTGTAACAAGCAGAGGTTCTTCTTTTGAGACGGACAAAGGAGCCGAAATGGACAGGTTAATTTCGAGAAGCACATCGCCGTTAGATCAAGTGGCGTGCTACAGAGCACAGCTATGCCGGTTCGACTCGAGTATAGAACGGTGAGCCTGAGAAGACCAGTCCGGGATTGGTTAGCTTTGCGGAGCAGCCAATCAAGGCCTGTGAGTGGAGTGTCGTAGATGCATTCACAATCGCACTGAACAAGGTGAACTAGGCATATAGGTGATTGGTCTTCCGGAGGGGTTTTCGGCACCAGATATCCGTCATGAGTCCCCATCTGTCAATGCAGGATTGAAGTCGTCCATTTCTTATACCTCATATGTTGGCCTGGTCTCAACGGCAGGCACCTTCGGCCCGGCAATCACCATACGTCCACAGCTCGCTGTGTGAGAATGGAATCGTGTCGCTCTCGTGGCACAAGGTCTGGCACATTGAAAGCGCCAGTCCAATGCCTAGGCTGGTCCCAATCCGCCTTAGGTGATTCGAGATCCAAATTCTTCGCTCGGGGGTCGTAGTAGGCAACATGCCGGCCATGAAGAGGGGCCAAACAAGGAGTTCGCCTCCTGGGATTGAGTCTGTACCTAGTCGAATCTGGTGACCACTGGACTTGTATGATGAGACATTCGGACCTGGTCTCAGATGGTAATTGACGCCCAGGCAAATTTCAGTGCTCATCTGGTGCAGTAGGTTGATGGTCGTGCGCAGTTGCTTGCTGTCGATTACGGTAGTCATAGAAGTGGAAATTGCCGTGGACAATAGCATTTCGTGAATCAAGATGCGAGCACCACGATAATTATTCCAGAGTGAGGCAATGTATAGATCGGGATACACCTCAAAGGGCCGTCCTTCGAAATGGCTGTGTAAGGAACAATCCTCAAAACTGCAAGCAGGATGAGGCACGGGACGCCAGGACATAGGGAGCTGATCCTGCCAGCTCTGAAGCATGTTGTCGATTGGCAAAAGCATGTATAAGATGTCACCAATCTCCCCTGTCTTGGATGCTTTGATCAGGGATCGGACAGATGCAAGCGTTTCGACAATTTCCGAAAGACGGTTAGCGAGATGAACGACCTCACAATTCTCCCCAGCATTGGCACATTCTAGCCACGTCGACCACTTCTTCAGGGAGAAGGGCACGGGTTTCTGTAGCTGGTAGGCCGAGAGGACCTGTCACAGTTAGTTCAGCAAAATCCTTCTGCAAGCATCACACGCAAGGTGAGGTAAGATGGCGCTTACTATGAGGCGTCGAATCTGCAGGAACATTTGAATGCTAGATCTGTCCTGGAACTGGCTAGGACCACGGAAATCGATCAGAGCTGCTGCGCCAAGCATATGCTGACTCCATGCCTTCATTGCTTCGCGGCCTTTTAGGGCGAGAGTCTGTAAATCACAGGTTACTTTTCGCTTGGATTCACCTAAGCTTGCAAAACTTACCTCGTAGAAGCCTAGCAGCATGATGCTGGCAAGAACATCGTCTGACTTTGCTTCTACTGGGTTCCCAAGCGCAAGTCTACATTTCAGAATGCCCAGCCCGCATAAACGGTAGCTTTCCAGTGTCCAGCTGGGGACATTTCCCACATTGGCATAACTGGCGAGCGCAGCAGCGTGCACGATTGTGACCAGGGGACCGTCAGGATCACCCTGTGCATACAAGGACGGCAGATATTCGAAGGATCCAGGTTGGAATTTCTCGGACGATGTCAGAGAGTGGTGAACATACTGGGAGAAAAAGAACGACACTGCTCGCGTCTTAAGATCCATGTTCAGCCCGCGTGGTAAATCGTCTGGGACCAGGGCGTTCGAGATGGGGGAATATCGACTGGAGCTTCCGTCCGGTGCAGATATGAAAGGGTGCCTCGATCGATACGATTGATATTTGCGGGTGACGCCTTTAGTTTCATCGCGAAAGTAGAGGTCGACGGAGGGCCGATAGCCAGGACAAGACCAGTCAGCCTTGACACATTGGGTACATGCCGGTCTGCCTTGATCACACTGACAAAAGGTGTTATGTACGCATTCCGCGAATTTGCCGGAGGTGGGATTAATCCTTCTTACCTTGATCTTTCTTTTCAGGCAGTTGGCGCAACCTTTGCTGGGGAAAACCATTATTCATCCTTGCCGGGGCTTCGAGTGTTTCGGAGATCGGTCAATCGAGCTTTGATATACGCCCAGCAGTGGCTTTTGGGGGGTCTTCGTGTCCCAGCGGACGGGAAGACATCCTCATGCTGTAGGAATGATAGAATAAAGCAAGTGCGGGCTATTGAGCCGACACCCCAAGAGGATAAGGCGAAGGCATCGTAATTAGCCCAGAAGGACTCGGTACTTCATATCCGAAGGCATCGCAAAGCCAATGCCACTCGTTAGTCATCTGGCCATGGCCTGGGGGGCCAACTTCCAGGGGTGTATAAGTAGCGAGTAGGGAGCAGGGGAACCTCATTTACGTGCGTAAGTCTGCCCTAAAGAGCGGGAAATTCCTGCGGTGCAACACAGCATCGTTATGAAGTACCAGAAGGTGTGTATCGTAGATGATATACAGCTCGGCAGCTATGTAGACACACAGAGATGTCAAGAGAAGAACACCACAGTGCGTCAGTGCCAAGTTTTGCCTTCCCTGTCGATCTTTCACAATCCCAACGCGTCCCACGCGTGTCAGGCGCGACCTGGGCGCAGCTCCTCCTCACCGCCATGTGCTCTGCATTGCTGGCGTCAGGTGCATGAGCGACTATCCCTACCCACCGCAGGTATTATTTTTGCCGTCTCTGTATCATCCCTATCTCTAGGACGGATCCTGTGTTTGTGCTCCCGCTCCTCAGCTTGATCATTCTCCGCCCACTTCGGTTCCTCAAAAAGATGAGTGCCCCTCCATCACCCAAAGATCGGTTTGACATTGCATCCCAACATGCAGCTCTAATTCGAGCTCTCCTCTCGCACCCATCTATGTATCTTACCTCTGAGGGTCTTCCCGACCGTGCCAAAACCCACCCGACTCTCTTCAACGTGACAGATTTCGAATTGAGAACCTACAAGGACTACCTCCTCCCTATACTGCCTCCAAGCGCCGAGAAGATATCGCAAGCTCTGGCCATTCGGCAAGTAGAAGTCGAGAAAGAAATCCCAGAGCTGATGAGCGATGATATGTATCCACGCATGACAGTAGGCGGGTTCACGGAAAAATGGGTGGATGCGATAGGGCGTGGAGTGATGATCACGGACATCATTCTCAACACGGGCAGACAGATACTGTTTGGCGGGTCGTTTGATTTTGGGGATGAGGTTAAGGAGAAGGCCAGGGCAATGGAGTGAACAAGCAGGAGAGCGAACACGAGACTAAGGATCAGAAATACGGCATGTATGGATCGAGATAGACGTGTGTGTTTCTCAACAGGACGGCGAGGTTCCAAAGCAAGTAGCCTGAGGCACGGCACATGGCTTGCCACTGGGCACACAGAGGACACCATTGAGGACTTCTACTGTGCACATTCGCTCAGTGACACCAAAGAGGTTGGAGTCAATACAGAGACCAAAGAGAGAGAAACACCGGCGCAGATCAAGGCTGAGATTGACAGCCTCGCCCTACGTCATGGGTGCCTGTGACCCCGTCGATGGGCTTGATTTCCGGGCTGCGGCTTCTCGCTTACCAGTTTCTGCTTCAAACCAACTCAGCCTTCCCAGCAGCGTGTAAATCCTCTCTGATCGTCTCCCCGTGGGGTGCGCAGATTGGTGAGGCTCAAGCATTCTGCCCAGTTTTGGTAGCATATTTTTCTATCCCAATTTTCCTCGATGACGTCGTACCATATCTCCCCTTCGCGTTTTGCTATCACGCGCCATTGCCTATCGAAATCCCTGTCCGGGCCAGGGTTCTGGTAGGACAACACTCAGTCTGGCGTGGCACAAAATCAAGGCAAGACGTGGCCATGGCTCTCCTGCGCAGGGAATGCCACGACACCAAGGTGAGGGCAGGGTGGTGATGCTGGTGGCTGGCAAACCGAGAATTCCTGTGTCGCCTTGTTAAACGCCCTTGTGCACTGGGCACCTTTCATTCTTAAGGTGCTGCTTCACCCTCCTCGCAAATCACTGGCAGCTGAAATTCTCTTCACCCACCTTGTCCCTCTCCCTGGTGACTGTACCTGTTCTTCTTCAAGTGTCTCTTCTCTCTCCCTCTTCCAGCAAAACTCTCTCCCTTATCAACCAGCTATCGAAATGCCTGTCCTCTCCAGAATCGTGTCTATGGGCCTGCGGGTCTGCGAGCTCGCTTTCGCCGGTGTAAGTGCGACTCCAACCGATCCGACCGTCATGCCCTAACTATGTTCAGGTTGTTGCGGGCATCGTCGGCTCCTACCTAAATGACTACCGCCACGGCAACGGTTGGCCTCTCGCGCGCTTCATCTATATCGAGATTGTAGCTGGGATATCTCTTCTTCTCGGTCTTCTCTGGTTGCTACCGTTCGCAGCCGGCTTCTTTCACTGTACGTTCAAGCAACGCAATGTCGTGCACAGGGAAATAAAAGGTCTGACCACTATTACTCTACTTGAACAGGGCCTATGGATACCTTCCTCTCCTTTGCCTGGTTCGCCTCTTTCGGGCTCCTCGTCGAATGGGCGAACGGCACCAGCTGTGATGGAGATACGTTCGACTGGAACCAAATCAGCTTTCATGGGTTCTGCGGTCGCTATCGATCTGCTGAGGCGTTCTCTTTCCTGTCTGCCATCATGTGGATCTTGAGCGCCCTGGTGGGCATCTGGTTTGTCCATCGCGAGAGGCGCAAGGCTGTCGCGGCTGCTCCCGCGGAAGGACCGTAAGGTTGACCACACGACTTGATGGGAATCAGCGTGCTTACCAATGCTGCCAGATATGTACGCCGCCGCTGGTACCGGCGCAGTCGCGTCTAGATGGAGAAAGTGGTGAATTCATCATGGTGAAAGACAGGATCTGCCCCTCAACATTCAGATCTTGGATTAACACGGAACCAGCTGGCGAAATGGCGAACTCTTTTGTCCTCTATGTCTCGAAGATACCCCCTATGTAGATTATGATGCGCTTAGCCCTCGCAGACGGTGGTAATGATGGGCGAAATGGCGAATTGATGGCGAGATGTTCAATCTAATACCAAATCCCGGTCAACTATGTATTATGAGTGCTTCCTATATCTTGTTTGTGCAGCCATTAAGTATGTGGACCTGGTCACCTTTGTCAAGGTGCAAACAACTGAAGTACGGTGGTCAAAGTGGAGGCGTCACCCACTGCGTGAATTCAGACTCATCTTTCTGTCGCTCCTGGACACTTCTCTTCACTTCGAACTCTTGACTGCCTGGCTTCGGCCTACATATTTTCCGCGAGCGTTCTCGTGCCTCATGTCTTCTTTCCTGTCCATCACCGCCTCCTGAACTCGTATCAATTCGTTCGTCCAAACTGCTAGACTCCCGATCCTCCTGCCAGAGCGAAATCTCAAGACTCACTTCCCGCCATCATGGCCCTGATGCCGCCGCAACAGCCGCCAGGGCAATCCGGAGATAAACCATGCGCGTTCCTCACCATTCCGACAGAGTTACGGATCAAGATCTACGACTTGGTCTTCGATAAAGTGGAGATTGAAATGCGACCAGAGCCGATGCCCTTGATATACTCCAGGGGTGAATCTTCCGTAGCCTTCAAATCCCCGTTTCCTTTGGCTCTGCTACGAGTCTGCAAAAAGGTCAGAGAAGAGGCTCAGCCCATTGCCAACAAATGTCCCATCTTCTGCAGTGGCTCACAACCCCCAATTGGAATTCCAGCTTTCAAGGGAAAGCCACAGAAGTGGATGCAACGGATCACCCAGATGACAATCTCAACTTTTGAAGTGAACATTGAACAGTGGTTGGACCCTTTAGGCCGGCCGTTCTACCCAGCATTGAAGCTTGTTCTGCTTGGAACCTATCCAGATGGTAAATGTATTGTGCGACCCTCGTTGATACCAGGCACGACATACATCACGGCAGTGCTCAGCGGCAGATCACAGTCAAATGAGACCAACATTCTTTCTGCGGCACTGACCAGCCGCTGGTTTACGAGACATTTGAACTTGGACAAGACCAAATCCCTCATCGAACGATGCCATGTCACTGTCAAGATCCCCTGTAAATTAACTATACATTCATCTCATCCAAGAACCCATCAGAGGCATTATGCTGATGTCGCAGAAGGAGTGAGTCACCTTTACCTTTCATGTCTGACTCATAGCTCACTCTCTCGCAGGTGATGGTCTGCAACGCGAGCGGCATAACCTTGAAGGAAGTCCGAGATCTCAGACGGGACAGCGAGAAGTGGTGATGGCTTGATGGTGACGGCCGTGACACGGAAGGGTGATCTGAACTGGATTGGATTGGTATTGGCGACGGTTGCAGAAGGCTGGTAACATCCCACTGGAGGCTGGCTGAAGACGTGACACGGGATCCCGTGCTATTGGCAGAAATCACTGGGTTAATGGGCAAACAATCGTATCTTGCAGAAGGAGGGATCAGGCTTTGAAGCTCTCCGAGTCCACCTCGTCAGCCGATTCCAAGGAGTCGACGAGATTAGACCTTCCCAGCTTAGGAACAACGTGGAATCAAGCGACAAAAACTCAGAATAACCCAACAGCTGAATCAACAAGTATCTCTCCTTGCGTCCTTGAGCTTCTGAAACTCCTGCTCTCTTGACCGTCTCCAGGAGGTACAGGTATCTGAATCCCTTGTCAGCCCTTCTCGGCCGTTGTGCCGGATTGTATCTTCGGCGTCGACGTGAACAGTATGTTATGGTGCTGAGAGTGTGGTTGAAGGACTGGTGCGAATCCGATCCTCCATCTTCGTCGTCTATTCTAGCCATCACATTCTGCAGTCGATATTCGGGGCAGATTCCAGCTCTAACCTGCGCCTTTGCCGCAATGACACCGCTCTCAACCGTCTTCTCGTCCCTCTGGCCAAGAGTGACGTAACGTCTCAGGCATCCAAGGCTTAGCAGCCCTCAAAGGCTGACACGGTCGGTTCAATATCCCACAGGAAGAACTTCCAGATCCCGCCGAGCAGGCCAAGGCTGATCTCCGCCCTTGGCATCCACCGGGCACCTTGGCAAGGCATTCCCGCTGTTACATTCTTGGCCGGCATTCATCTCCTTTCCTCCACCTTAGCATTCCCCGCCGCTGCTGTATGTCTGGTTGAATTTCTGATGGCGACTGCCAGGCCATCCACAATATTTGCTAATCTACTGGCAGAAGCGACAGTGACTGCTGGGGAGCCGAGCTATTCCTTGAGGAGGCTTCCGTCCAGGCTCTTTCAAAGCTGCTGACCGAGTCCTCACGTTGAGCTCGGTATTCGACCCTTGATAGCCCACGAGCTCATTCCGACACTTGAATCGGCCTATGGCATCATTCACTGCAAGGTTATTGAGACGCAATTCTGGGCAATGTCGAATGACATCTGCCAAACTCCACCCGCATTTCTTGCTCTTGGTGTGGTGGAGATTTCTCCGCTGCCAAGGGCTTTGCCTGCAGGTGGAGGGTTGCCCACAGTGCTTGCAGCAGAGAATCTGCCCTACAGAAGCACAATACCTGCCACTGAATGGGCGGATCGGCCCCCGACCTCACTGGGGGCCTCGACGCAAAGTTTCTGTGGTTCAAGAGACGATGTCACCGCAGCCTGTATGCATTTCTGTGGACTTGATCGGCGCGCGGGGTTCTCGTGACTGAACGGATGGTCGATGTATTTGAAACAGACAGGCCCCAATGCTCCCTCTGGTGAATTCCTCAATCCTGAAGTATCAGGGAGATACACGTACAGTCTCGGACCGCTAACGCACCAACATGTCGGACCCCAAGAGTGTTGACAGCTTCGACAACAGGCGCAGCGTGGATCACCATGAGAAGTCTCCAGGCCCGGAACGCCGGCGCTCGTCCATAGCGGATCTCAACAGAAACAAGAACTTGGATGCAAAGTACGCCGCGCTCTTGGTGTTCGGATCTTTTGGCTAAGCTTCGACAGGATCTCAAATCCTCTCGCTGATATCCCGCAGGAAGAGTTGTTGGCTGACGTAAGGAACCTCCGTTATTCAGTATCAGCCACAACTGACATACTGTGACCTCCAGGTTGAAGATTTCGCAAACCGTGCTGGCCTGAGTTCCGAAATCGAGCTGATCAAAAAGGGCGCCTTGGTCGCCCAGAACCCCGCCCAGTTTGAGAATCTCGCTTTTCTTACCGAGGACGAGAAAGACGCTCTTCGTACAGAGGTCTCACGCAAATGGAAACATCCCTGGAAGCTCTATATGACCGTCATCGTCTGTTCCATCGGCGCCGCCGTCCAAGGCTGGGATCAGACCGGAACCAACGGTGCCAATCTGTCGTTCCCGGAAGCCTTCAACCTCGATACACCAGAAGGGCAGCCCGGCTACGAGAGAGACTTCTGGATCATCGGGCTCGTCAACTCGGCGCCTTACATCGGCAGCGCCTTTCTGGGCTGCTGGCTGTCTGATCCGTGTAACTACTACCTAGGCCGCCGAGGCACCATCTTCACCTCAGCTATCTTTCTGATTGCAACCCCGATTGGTGGTGCCTGTTGCCAGACCTGGGAACAGTTGCTTGCCACGCGGATCGTCATGGGCATCGGTATGGGTTTGAAGGGTGCCACGACACCGGTGTTCGCTGCTGAGAACTCTCCCGCCGCCATTCGAGGGTAAGTTTCTGTCATTCTGAAAGACTGGATTGGGGAAGCGCTGCTGTCGGGTCAGTCAATGCTGGCATAGCTCCTGTAGCTGACGTTTGGTCACAGCGCCCTTGTCATGACATGGCAATTCTGGACAGCTTTCGGGATATTTCTGGGCACTGCGTTCAACCTGGCCGTCTGGGATGCCGGCGATATCGGCTGGCGTCTTCAGCTCGGTTCCGCCTTTATTCCTGCCATTCCTCTTGCTGCTATGGTCTTTTTCTGCCCGTAAGTCTACTCCCTGCAGCCTTGTTTCTGACGCTACCCGAGCTTTCACGCTCTAGCTCCGCTTGCTTCCCCCCAACGAATCTAACACCTCACTCAAATAGAGAGAGTCCGAGATGGTGCATCAAGCACGGCAAAGTGGGCAAAGCATATCAATCTCTCCTCAAACTCAGGAACCACCCTCTCCTCGCCGCGAGGGACTTGTACTACATCAGTACCCAGATCGAGATCGAGCATGACATCGTCGGCGAATCGACCTACGTCTCGCGATTCATGCAGCTGTTCACCATGCCTCGCGTGCGTCGCGCCACCCTGGCTTCCTTCACGGTCATGATCGCGCAGCAAATGTGCGGCATCAACATCATGGCTTTCTACTCCTCGACCATCTTCCGCGAGGGCGGGGCGTCCGACTTCGAGGCGCTGTTGGGCTCCTTCGGTTTCGGGGCCGTCAACTTCCTCTTCGCCATCCCGGCGTTCCTCACGATCGACACCTTCGGTCGACGCGCCCTGTTGCTGTTCACGTTCCCGAATATGGCCTGGACGCTCCTCGCCGCAGGGTTTGCATTCTACATCCCGCGGTCGAGCAGTGCTCACCTGGGCGTCATCGCACTGTTTGTGTACCTCTTCGCCGCGTTCTATTCGCCTGGCGAAGGTCCCGTGCCATTCACATACTCAGCCGAGGTCTTTCCGCTGTCGCATCGCGAGGTGGGCATGGGCTGGGCGGTCGCGACGTGCCTCTTCTGGGCCGCGGTGCTGGGCCTAACATTCCCCAAGATCCTCGAAGCATTCACTCCAACAGGCGCCTTTGGGTTCTTTGCAGGCCTGAACATCTTGGCCCTGATCATGATTTTCTTCTGGGTCCCCGAGACAAAGGTAAGCTACGCGCCCTGAGATCCCGAGACCCTTAGCCGCCCCCTCCCCTTAAATGCATTCCGTCATGAGCCAATGAACCCTGTATGACGTTTCATGCTTTATCGCAATCCATCCCGGGAGCATTGTGTCGCTAATCACCACGACGTTTTTCTTTGCGCAGCAACGCACGCTCGAAGAACTAGACTACATCTTCGCCGTCCCCACCCGCCGCTTCATGTCCTACCAGACGAGCACCTGGCTGCCGTGGTTCATCAAGCGCTACGTCTTCTGGCAGAAGTCCGCCGAGCTGAAGCCCCTGTACACCTTCGAGGCCGGCATCGTCCGGGACATCCGCCAGCAGCGCCGCGACATGCGCGAGCACGAGGAGGTGGAGAGGGCGGCGAGCATCTCGCGCGAGGCGGCCAAGACGGCCTGAGTCGGCGAGACAAGACGGGGTTTGGTTCAGGATGAGGCCTCATGGGGTGTTGGCGACAGTGGGATGGATTTCGGGGAAAGAAATGGAAGTGGGTTTTCCAGTCTCTGAATGGTTCTGCACAGCACAGGATGTGTATCTTTGTATGTTATGTGCTCGAAGCAAGTGATCTCGGCGCCAAGAGCGGTGGTTTCATGCATCATCGCGGCTAGCTGCTCGTGCAGAGAAGATGTATTGTCGAACGAGACCGAGAACGAGAACGCATCACCATATTTACATACAATGTTGAGTTTTCTTGAACTCTTTCAGATGAAACAAGCAATCAATCAACGCAAAGGCCAAGCATATTGCGCTTCTGGACTCAACGGCTCCAAGCACAATGCTGGAGATGTACTCCATATATATATCTGAAGTCGCCGCAATCTCAGACACACTGCATGGGATCGTCCTGACCTGGTACGGATCGGACTGGAAGACAGGCGATGATTGTATTCCATTGTGAGCTATGTATAGTGGTTGAGCAAGTCAAATGAAAAACCCAAAAAGCAGCACAAGAACGAGTCTCTCCCTCTCACTCTCACACCGATCCTCCGACACCCACCGTGGAAAGCTCTTCGCGACCGATCGGGAGCCGAGCAATGTGTTTATTCTCCACCTTCCTCCTTGACGGCGTAGACGCTCGCCTCGCCTTTGGCCATGTAGTCGAACGACTCCTCACTCGTGGTGGTCGCGGGGGGACTTGGGGTCTCGTCGCCGCCGACCTTCTTGTTGTTGTTGTCTCCCATTTCCACGCCGAGATCTCTGGAGTCGTTGTCATCATCTCCTTCAGCTGCCACCGCCGACGAAGTCTGCCTTCCTTCCCACAAGATACCATCCCCAAATCCCCAGCCGAGCCCCTTCTTGGTCCGGCGGACTTCTTCTTCCATCAGCGGTAGTCCGGATCCGCTCACGGCTTTCCCGCCGGTGGCTGTTGTCGTCGCCGTCTTCAGAGGGAGATTCCGCTGGTGCCACTCCCCCAGGAACATGCCCTCGGGGTCACTTTCGTCCCTGATTTTCATGAACTCGCGCATATCGTCGCCGTACGCCTTGGTGATATACCCGCCTGCCGTGTCCGAGAAATTCTTGGCCCAGTGCGGCTTCCCGCCTAGCTCGCGCATGAGGTATTCAAAAGCTTCGTAGTACGTGGCGTGACAGGGCGGGTCGCGGCCGTAGGGCCGGTATAGTGTGGCGTTCAGGTATAGCGTCGGGCCGTCGGGGACGGTAGGGTCGAGGTACGGTCGCACGCCGGAACGATTGGGTATGTCCTGGCCGGTATGGGCGACGCGGACTTCCACGGGGCAATGCACCCAGATTCCTTTACTGGAGACGGGGATGCGCGCGGCGGCATCGTCATGGTTGATCCACGCAGAGAGCCGGGTGATCGCCTCGGGGCCCTTGTCCAGCGGCAAGGCCCATTCGTTGACAAACTGGGAATAGAGGCAATCCATGAGCAGGCCCTCGCGGGCGGGCTGCACCGCGGACATGACAAAGCTGCCCGGTTTGAAGCCATATTGCATGCCGAAAACGAACCATTCTATCCACGGCAGAATGCGCGGGAAGGTGTTGGACAACCAGAGCAGATTATGATAGACGTAGTAGCCGAACATACCCCCATAGAAAGTGGTGTTCGGTGGGCGACTGGGGGAATCGGTTCGTGAACCGCGCCAGATCACGGCGCGATCGAGGTAAGGAAGCCACCAAACCCGCGTAAATTCGTCCTTCGTCCAGAGATCCGTGTTCCACGAGTCCAGAACGGAGCTCAAGGTGTGAAGGGATTGAGACCAGGAAATCTTGAAGTCTGGGACGGCTTGGACCGTTATCTCGACGATGATACCCAAGGCTCCCAGCGAGAGAAGACCGGCCCGAAAGAGTTCAGGATTTTTGGTCGCCGAGCATGTGACTAGTTGCGAGTTGGAGAGAAGGATCGTCAAGGACGTTATAGATTCCGAGATCAAGCCGTGCTTGAGACTTGAACCGTGCGTCCCTGTTGATATGACTCCCGCGACCGACTGGACGTCGATAGAACCCAAGTTGGGCATCGTATAGCCATCCTTGGCCAGTTCGGTGTTCAAATCATGCAGGGAGATGCCAGCCTGGATGCGATAGAGGCCGCCAGTGCCATCGACTCCCTTCTCCAAGACCTGATTGAGGTTGTCGAGGTTAACTAGCCAAGACGACGTACATGTGAGGTCGGATGGCGAGTGCCCGAAGCCCGTCACACAGATGCGTTTTCGACATCGTCGCGCTAGGGTGACGATTTTCTGTAGCTCGGGGACTGTAGCTGGCTGAAAGTACAGCTCCGGGCGCGAGAAGAATGTCTGCGCCCAGGTGTGATGCAGATAGCGGGCTTTGGGGTTGAACGGGACGGAGTCATTGAGCCGAGACAGCTCGCGCTGAAGTTTGGGGTCCAAATTGAGAGTGGCGGTGGGACCCTTGGAGACGACAGAGGTGTTGGGTTTCGTCTGAGGGAGATTTCCAGCCGCCCAATCCATGGCTATCGGCACAAGGCGGCACGAAGACTTCTGAGAAGTCAGTGGCAAGGAATCGGTGCCTACATTCGAGGTGGTTTGATGCGACGGGCAGAAGGAAAGAAAAGATGCCAAGCAGCCTCGGGAGGAATCTAGACTCCAATGACGAATCTCATTACCTAAGCACGCTGCGATTGGACGACAATTGACGACAACAATCTCCATTGTAGTACGGGGAGTTCACCTTTCCCCAAGTTCATGTATCAAGCACATAATCCTCCGATCGAAAGTTGGCCCGTCCTCTTCACCTTGGGACGCATCAATTGAAGTCTGCCAGAACTCCTCGTCATCCAAATGGCAGAAAGCAAGTGTATGCCATGAGCCCGAAGCAGCGCCCCCAAGATTCGTCCGAATGATCGTCCTCGAAGAAATCCTCCTCAAATCCCAGTCATCAATCCGCCGTCATCCGTTTACACGGTGATCCCCAGTTCTTGTATCACTTCATCAACTCGTACGCACACTTGTTCGTCTCGAGAAGCTGATCTTTCCGGCCGCCATTTCCGGAAGACCGATTTGATGTTTTCCGGAGGATCTCCCATCACCACATAACAACTAGGCAAAAGGGGTCTATCCTGAACAGAGGGAGACAGAACAGCGATTTCCTGCGCGACCTGTACAGCCGTCACGAACTCGGCAGGCTTTTTGGCCGATCCACCAACGAGGCTGTTATAAATGTCAGCACAGCTCTCAATTGGGAAGTAAAATGCGACCGAACTTACACATAGAGCTCCCCATAGGTGTCAAGGATGTGGATGTGGTTGGCGTCAAGGTCCTTCTGATTGAAAGGGGCAATTTCGTCCACCAAGGCCCTGACAGGTTGCTTTGGCGGGGATGCCGCCCTCAAGCCCCAGAAGCCGCCGGACGATTTCGGGCGGTCGTGCTCGACGCGGTATAATCTGGGGGCATGACCGCAAAGTTGGCTTGTCTGGTTGCGTGTTCGAGAGGCCACCCGCTTGCCCGGACGTGGCGGGAAAGCTTCCCAGAAGCTGGCGGGCTCTTCACCTTCCGAGACTTCTTCAATCTCGCCCGTGAGGCCCATGTCCATGCCGATCAACCTCGCGCATCCCACATCTTCTGGGTTACTGCCTTTCCCTTTCCAGAGATAAAGTTTCCCGAACTTGGCGGATATTAGAAACGGTAGCCCGGAAGCCAGGCTGTCAGCAGACAAATCGACCTCGTCGAAAGCAACATGTCCAAGATGTCGTCTGCCACACAGCATATATAAAGCCGCTGACTTGTTCTTCCGGACTATGACGATCCCGCCCAGAGCTTGGAAAAACTCGGAACTCTCTTTGCCTTGCTTTACTACCTCAAGTTTGGCGTTGTTTTCGCGAGCCACTTTTCTGCAAAACAGCTGAGCATCCTCCACAGCAGCCTCGGGGACCTCGTCACCACACCAGAGATATACTTCGGCACATTTTGAGCCGCTGGGTGATTCCATTGAATGTACACAGAGGTACATGCAGTCTTCGAAGAGTATGTGTTCCTGTTGAGGGGGCATGGTTGATCTCTTTCCATCGCCGGATACTTCCCAAATCTGCTTGCCCAGAGTCTTGGACTTTTCTGCGGTATTGTTCTGAGAGGACAAGAAAGCGTGTGTGTCAAATTCTGCTTTGTCCCTTGCTTGGGGCAAAACTCCAAAGAAGCTTTCAAAGTGGGGTTTCACCGAGCGCGCAGACTTTGTGGGGGACGCAGGACTCCTAAAGGATGTAGCTGATTTGGTCGTTGCGGTCTCTGGCTCAGGCGGAGGCGTTAACTCGGGTGTAGCCGCTGGCTTCTTGGAGGCAGACGCAAGCTGCAGGCCAAGGCCATTGGCTCTAGACGAAGTGAATGATGATGGCTTTCTCGAGCTGTCAACTTCAGGCTTTGGTTCTTTGGGCGTATTGATCTTGAATTTGTTGGGCGTCAAGGGTGAATTCACCGCAAGTGGCGGCGAAAGCGGTCCATTCTTTCTTGGGCCATCAAATTGGGACGGAGGCGACACAACTTGTGCACGGTCGGCTAGAACTTCGAACTTCTTCGGCGTCGAGGGTTTGGCTTGCGGCGGCTGGTGAACATGCTTCGGTGGCAATACAGGATTTGAAACTTTTCTTAGCTCTGCAGATTTATCGGGCTTAACTGGAGCCGGCTCATCGGTCACATGAGCTGACAATGCGGAATTCGATGTTTTCCTCAACTCTGCAGACTTGTTGGCAACAGCTGGTTTTGGTTTTGGACTCACGTCTGACTCTACCACAGGCTTCGGCCCAGCGGGAGCAGACTCTCCGACAGCTTTTTCAGCTGGCTTCTGCTTCTCCAATCCAGACCTAGGCTGCGATGGTGAGTCTTCGACGGGCACACTTGGCTTCTTCTCCTCGACTTCTGTCATGGGCTTGCTGGAGATCGACCTCGATTGAAACGGCCGCAGGGGGACAGTGCTGCTTGTAACAGAGAATTTTTGGTCGGACGAGATTGAATGTGGGACGGTGGCAGCACCGGCGCCAGAGCTCAATGCAGGCGTTTGAACACCAGCTGCAGCGGGCCTTTTTGAGGATGAGCCGCTCTTGGGCGCTCTTCTCTTCGGGCCCTTAGCCCGAGCCTTTGTCATATGGGTTAGCTCCGAATCATGGTCATTCGTGCTCTCCCGTGGCGTCGTGGTAGTATCTCGGGCTTGTATTACGCCCGCTCCATTGGATGACGCCTCACCGGGGGGTTTGGGACTACCACTTCGCGATAAAATGCCAGCAAGTGCAGGATTGAGGCGAGCAGCAAGTTTGCTATTTTCTGGTGCTCTTGCTTTAAAAGCTGACTCTATCGCAGGGACGACCTCAGCTGAAGATGTGTCCGCCTTTGGCTGACTGTTGTCGCTGCGGGTTTCTGAGGTTGCCTTGACCGGAAAGACAGTCGTCGAGATAGATTCAACCTTCTCGGGTTTGACCATAGCCGGTTTCTGTACCGAGATCGGGGCAGGAGGCGTGCGTACAGATGCATTCTCCTTCTCTGTCGCTGGCTTGGCAGAAACACTCTGAGGTTTCGACGTGGAAACCACGGGCTTGACAGGTAGATCAATCGGTTTCTTCACCTCGATCTTTTCACTGGACGGACCGGTTTTATGTAATGTCATACGCCTTGCCAGTGCCTCAGGGACGACCTGAGCCGGCTTTTCAAGAGGACTAGGCGCGTCCGGACGTTTTCCAATCGAACCGCCCCCGGTCTTCATAGCCTCCTTCTTCTGCAAAATGCTTTCTTTGAATTCATCAACCCGCTTGGTCTTCTGTGGCCCGCCTGTCAGAGTCAGCCCCGCCTTGCCTTTGGTGATATTGTCTTTCAATAAGTCGGGAGCGACATAATTCTGGGTTTGCGTCCTCTTCAGTTTTCCGAAGACGGCTTTGAATTCGGGTTCTGCGTCACTGTTGCTCGCTGGCGCTGCTTGACGCGACTTCAAAGTGGCTCTAAAATCTGTCTTTGGCGGCGTCTGTGGTTTTGGCTTCAGCATTGGTGGCTTTGCGTCGGGCGCTGCATCTGCCTGCACTGCGTCGACCGAAACTTCCTTGTTTTCGTTTGATGCTGGCGCTGCAGCCTCGGGTTTGCTGTTCGAACTTGTTACATTTGAAATAGGCGTGACATTTCTCTTAGAGGGAACCGCTGGTTTGTCATCCCTTTTCTCTATCTTAGGCCGCTCGATCTCTGAGGTAGGTTTGTCTCGCGGTGCTAGTGATCCAGTTCCTAGGCTCTTCGCCTGGTCTGTCTCGTCTGCCTCTGGTGTGGACTGGCCTTTTTGGGCTACCGGTTCACTCGACGTCATAGACTCCTTCAGTGGAGGTGAAATGAGGGGTTTCGGCACCACAGCTGGCTTTGCTGGCAGGTTATCAACAGCTTCGGACGATCGCTGTTGCTGCTCTTGTTTGGCACGCTGCATGCTGACCATCCAAGCAGGTGTATCAGGTTTAGCTGGAGTAAATCTCGGAGAATCCGGCTTGTTGAGCGCACTTTCGAGCCAACTGGCTTTGGTGGGACTCCAGCGACGAGAATCCATGGTTTTGGAGGGGCTGCGAGACAAGAGCGTTTCGGATGGTGGTGGGGTGGTCGGTCGGCTCTGATGCTGTACTTTGGGGGCTTCGTGGCCGGTTTGGGTATCTCGTGCGCTGGCAGCGTCAGGCTCTGAAGGTGCCGTGGGGTCGCCTCCCGTCCGGCTCAGCGGACGGGCTTTGGTAAGAGGAATTGTTTCAGTGCCGTGACTCGAAACAGGCCTTGAACCTGATAGTGGCGACGAATTGCCTTCTCGTACACCTCTGACATCTCTGGAGGGACCACGGCTGTGTCCAGGACTGAAACCCGGCGCACCAGGAACTTGGACCGGACGAGTTGTGGCAACAGAGTCACCTCGCTTCAAGCCTGCATTCGCCTGTACGCTCCATCTCTTGCTCACACTATCCGATCTTTTCATCATTGCGCTCTCAACAAACCCGCCCAGACCCTTGGTAGGTGAAGGGGGGCGCCCGGCAGACGACAAAATGCTCGGGGTCCTTCCCAGGCCAGGTGTGTCGGCCCCGAACGAAGTATTCAGATCTAAGGGCTTGAAACTTGGCAGGTCCAAAGCAGGAGGCTTTGATGGCGACAAAGACACCATGGATAGTGGTCTCGTTGGTCGTGGGTCTTCTTGCTTTGACAATTGTTCCTGGTCGAGTGGCTGAGCGAATGATGATTTCGGAGGGGACGGTGGAGGTGTTGCTTTCTCGGGATCATCCCTCGAGCGGTCCATAGGAGCCGCGAAATCTTTTGACATTCCTGGGAGTCTCATGCTCCGACTCGAGAATGACGGAGCTGCCTCTGAATCTGGCTCATTCTTGCGGTACGCGGCCGAACCAACACCGCGATCAGGAGTCTGTCGGAACCAGGACGGGTCTCTGGCTCCTAACGAAGCAGCAATATCTTTCCTCGACATATCATCATCATCCTTGGGCTGAGCAGGACTCGGAGCCAGGGCTGAATCGGGTATGGATGCCACGGAGAGCGGCCGTGATCTTGAGCCCCTCCCCCTCGATGAAGGCCGCTGTTGCCACGATAGGGTTCCGCTCCTGGAGAGAGCTGTGACATTGAGAGACGGGCTGGGTGTGGAGGGCTTTTCGCTTGCAGGTGGAGGTGGCAGAGGTCGAGTGAAGTCCAGCCCGGGAGCCGCAGCTCGCTCCGGTCTTGGAGATATTGAGTCGGAGCCACCAACCGTACGCGACTGCAGAGGAGGAGGCGTCAGGGCTATAGGAGGGTCAATTCCTTGTGTGGGTTTTCGAGGACTCTCTCCGGCAAGTCGCAAGGACGGCGTAGGACCGGTTTTTGAAGGAGATAGGGACCGAGCGCGTTCTGCATATAATCAGTATCTCCATTGCCTTTGTGATATGAAGAGCACTCAATATATACCTGCTCTTCTAGCCTGTCTCTCTTTTCTGGCTTGCAACATTTCCTCCTCCATCCTTCTTGATCGCTCGGCCTCTTCCTGCCCTTGCTTTGAGCTCAGACTAGCGATTCGAGCGAGGAATTGGTCGACGGACTCGGAGCCATCATTCGACGCGTCCATGTTGACTCTTCCGCAAGCGTTTGAGTCTCCAATCGGTAACAATCCGTGCTAAAGGTGAGGATTATGCCGCACTCTGCATTGAGATTGACGAAAAAAAGAATGGCCACCCGCTAGAGTGTGCAAATGATAAGCGAACAAGCGAGCGAAGGCGAAAAGAAGGTGTTGTAGGCAAGCGACAGGCAAGAATGGTCCGGTGAGAAAATAGTAGTACAGCCCGCAGGATAATGGGGGATTGTGTCAATTGTTGATGTTTGATGCGTGGTTGCGGGAGGCAAAGAGGAGCGGGACTTCGGGAACACGCGCCCAACACGTCTCCGCAGTCAAATCCAAAACCCAGCCAACGGTTGTTTTGTTTATATCCCCCTCTTCTTCTCCGGCGACCTCGACTCTCGTTCCGTGCCTTCCTCTCGGATGTCGTTGAAGCTCGACGCGGCGATGATGAAGAGGAGGTCTCGAGGTGTTGGAATGGAACAGGGAGGGACTAGGTAATAGGGCTGATGCTGCGACTGTCCTGGTTGGCCTCTTTGGTCTGGCCGCGCAAAAGGCCAATTTACGCCCTGTGCACTCATTATTGGACTTGCAGGGGTCCCATGTGGCTTTTACTTCGCCTGTTTCAGCTGTTCGAAACACACGGGAATTGCTTAAATATCTCCATAGCTCAACGGTGGCCTCGCTTCCTCGTTCCCTCTTGTTCTAACCATTGCCAGTTGTCATTCGGTACTTTTGATGGTGTGTCAGTATAGGAACAACCGATCCCGGGCATCCTGCACCACCCAATCCAGACCTTTCTCCAGATTCTCGCCGGTCATCGCACTGCAGGGAACGACTATCCAACGATGAGTCAAGATTCGCTTGAGGTCAAGCAGCTGCGTGACCTCTTCCTTGGTCATCCCCCCTGCGACATCGGTCTTGTTCAAGAATACCAACAGACTTGCTCCGGCCAGTCGCTTGTCCTTGTCAACAGCTGTAGTGTCATGGTGAACGCTGGCGTACCTCTTCAAGCAGCAGTCCCTTAAGTTCGGTCTTGCAATCATCCATGCGTAGCCGGTCTGTCGCGTCCACCACCCAGATGAGGGCGTCAGTCTTCTCAAAATAGTTTCTCCAGTATGATCTTATCGTCTTCTGGCCTCCGACATCCCAGATATTGAGCTTGTAACTGCAATGTCATCCATCAGTGTTCCCTGCGCAATGGTATCAATGCTGGAAGTACCCCTGGAAATCAATAGTCTTGATGATGAACCCTAACGTTGGACTGACAGTGTTGACGTCTTCATTCATGATCTTTTTGACAATGGTGGTTTTACCGGCGTTGTCAAGTCCTCTGGAACACATATCAGTATCTCGTCATTGCAGAAGGACCGTCCTTTGTACAGCATTAGGATACGCATCTCCTTGTCCTTCAACCGAGCCTTGCGAAGTATGGAAAGCATGGCGTTCAGATCTCCGTGCCTGCTGCTGGCTGTCGGACTGCGACTGTGTTGCTTCCATGCAGTAACGCCGGCGTTTATCGGCCTAGAACAAGCCTGGATCTGACTTGATGTCTCAATGCATACGGATCACCGTGTGCTTGTAGATGTATGTCCATTCGTTGTCGTTCTTTTGTGACGGGCTGGTTGCCGGAGTTTCTCTCGATGTTTGTGTTCGTTCACAATAACCCGCCGCTTTACAATCCGGCGACAACGCATCATGGTGGCGACTGCCGATTGGCTGAAGCGAAGACCATCCTCTGGGGAAGGTGGAACGAAGCGGTCACGCGGCAACCAATTGACATTGTTGCATTCCTTTATGATGATCAACGCTTCACTTTGGTGAGACAATGTTGCTCCTCTATCACCTCAAGCAGTCACCATCTGCTTATTTCCCAGCCATATGGCGGAGGCTCGCTTGTCCGTGGCTCTTATGTTCCGCTATGGGAGGGTTGCGAAGAATAGCCTAGCAGTTCTTCACCTGCAAATTACCTTGATGTCTCTCAGTTTGTAGTATCAGGCAGGGGAAGGAGACGTTATTTCTGCCCCAGCCTTGGGTGCTTCGATTTGTCAATTTGATCTGTCACAAGACTCTCACCTCTACTCCAGTTTAACACTTGATTCAGCTGCAGCCACCGCACGTGCTAGTGACAACGCTCGAGTCACAGCACGTGTTCAACACCCCTCAGAAAAGGTAAGCCTCCTAATCCCTTTAAATATCCGTCTATTTGTTGTCATCTGTTACGTTTTGTCCATTTTAACAGCTACCGCAGTCGCTTACTCCTTGCTTTCCTCTCCAAGCGGCGCCATGGGCTTTCATCCAGATCGATATGGGTGTCCCACAGCCAAGAGGAGGTTCAGTGATGCCGGTCAAGACCAGTCTTCGTCAGATTGCGACCCAGGTTGGTACCCACTGCTGAAGACACCGGATAGCCAACAGTCGTCCTGTGTGTCACCATCTTCGGCCCAAAGCGGAGTGTTGATCCAAAGTGGGAATGATGCAGTATCGAAGGATACAGGCACATCTTCAGCCGTGCAAGCAAGCGGAGTAAAGCCTCGAATGGAAGATCTGGAAGAATGTGGGCATAGTGAGGCAAAGTCTATCTCGAGTGTCAGTATGCCTAGTCCAGCACCGGTGGTCATCAACATCCCTGGGTTCGACAAGAAGGCCTACGGTGATCCAACCAGAAGAAGCCCCGGTCAGGCAGCGACTGCCACAAGAGAAAGTGAACCAGACCTGAGGTCTACTTCTCGGACCAATTCAGAGACTACAGTCGTGTCGAAGACTCCGCCAAATCCAAACTTGGACCACCTCAAACCCGCAGACAAGCCTCAAGGTCCTCAAGCTTCGTCACCTCCCGTCACCTCTCATTTAACCTCTTCTCAGCCCCCTAGCACAGACTCCGTGAGATTTCTCCCAATAACGAACGGTATGATGACTGAAAAAGCTGCCGAGCACCATAGCTACACAGTGACAGCGATCAGTCAAATGAATTCTGCCAAGAAATCCGGCTCATTGCCTCGCGCTGAGACCTTCGAGACTCTGAAGCAAGGGAGTGAGACGCCAGAGCAGGTAATTGCGCGCCTTCAAGCAGAAGGGTCTCGTGAGGCATTTCAGCGTATCAACCGGAAAGATCATGGCGAGAATGTTACTACCACGGCCCTCACTACCCTAGACCTCCTCCGAAAACCGCTCCTGCCCGAGTCAGATAGCATTCAGCAGAGACTGAGCAGTTTCCAAACGAGCTTCTCACCTGATCCCATTCCAAACCACCCACGACATCAATCCATCCGCAATGGAGGCGAATCGTCCGTCGTCAGCGCCACAGTGTCAAAGCAGGACAAGCAGGGTAAGAGAGGGCCAGACATGAATAAAATGAATCCCATACAATGGTCCAACGATGAAGACTGTGAAGAAGCCGGAAGTGATAATGACTCAACTAAACCCATGGCCAGCGGTTTTGGCAGACTCATTCGTCGTCGCCACACTCGAGGGGCCGAGGATGATCTTGCAGGATGGGACGGGAACTTTCAGCCGCCTCCCCTTGATTGGGAACATCGTCCCAGTTTCTACAACAACACTCCGGAATACATCAGCGGCTTCGACAACTGGCTTGGTGCAAACACCACGAGGACCATGTCGAAGGGTCCGGAGGTCGACTTCTCAGCCATTCCCCTAGAAGAAGTCCAGAACATCGACAATCACGCTGATGGGATTGGTTTTGCACCAAAAGAGACGGTCATTGGCACAAACAATGCAGACCGCTATGGCTTCACCATCGCTGATATCAGGACGCCGCATGCAGTGCAACCCCCGGACTTCGACGGCGACGCAAAACTAGATCTCTCCGACCTTGAAAATGCTCGTTACAGGGATGAAACCGCGCAGGAGTTCATTGATAAACGCATGGAGTACCTGCAACGGGAGCGGAGGGAGCCAAAGGCAAATGTGGTGGTGCAAGTTCCAGTCGAGCCTGAGAGCGGTACGGTTGGCGAGGAAGAAACCACGCAACAACAGGATGCTCCAGCCCCGATAACGGACAAGAATATCTATCTTCGTCCGGCTGTCAATGCGGACATCTCGGGTATGAAAGCTATTCTCAACTGGCACATTGCCCAAGGCGTTCGTCCCTCGGAATTGGCAGAGATAAATGACGATGACATGTTCCAGCGGCTAGACCTTTCGACGCAAGCTCGTTTGCCATTCATCGTCGCCGTGGAACGCAACCGCAAAAACACCCGCCCCAAATCTCGCAAGGGCCCGAGAGTCAATCCCAACCATCCCATCCAAAACATTGATCCTGACTACGATGGCGTGGTGAAAGACGAACCCATCGTTGGTTGGGCTTCCGCCACAGACTGGTCGGCCTGTGATTACGTTGAAACCATTACGGTGGAACTGGAACTGTATGTGGCGCCTTCTCACCGCAAATCAGGCGTGGGACGATGCTTGATGGACGCTCTATTAGATGCTACGGATCGCGGATACCTGAAGAAAGGCGGCTATGAATTTCGAGTTGCGCCGGAGATGCGGCATATGTACAGCGCCGGCGGTGGACGCGATCTGCACAAGTTGATCTTTCAGGTGCGCAGCTTCAACCGACCAATGTCCCCGCAGCTGCTTGACCGCATTCGTGGAGCAGGTCAGGGACAGGGTGATCTTCCTGTCACTGAGAGTGGTAGGGATAGTCGCCGGGGAAAAGGCTCCAGCGGGAATTCGTCCTCCGCAAAGGCTCGCAAACGAGGAAAGCAAAAGGACTACTCCAAAGGCGCAAGACTCGATGACCGAGAAGACGACTACGAAATGTGGCTGAAAGACTGGCTCGAGAGACAAGGCTTCGAAGAGGAAGCGCATCTGAAGAAACTCGGGACGAAGAAAGGGAGGTTTGTGGATGTCAGATATTTGACCCGTGAGACTTGCTGGCAGCCTGCGGATCATCGACTCCCGGACTTTTCGCAAGGTCTTTGAGGACCTCAAGACTCAACGTGCAGCATATGAAAATGAAGGAGACGAAGCTCGAAGAATCTGGACCACCATCGTCCACAACGAGACGGTAACCGGGCGCTTGCTTCCTTCCGACAATCCAACGGCCAGGGTTTATTCTTTAGTCCATCTTTCCAGTGGCGGTTGATACTCCCTTTTCAAAGTATTGCAGACGTGGAGGCGTCTCACTTCAGCAACACACTACACCGTCAGCACTTTTAGATCAGAAAGACATCTTTCCGCCTTGTCCGAGCCCAAAAGAAGAATTGACGACTTACGCCTTGACACTAGCGGCTGAAAATACCACGCGAAACATCAGTATTTACAAGATTCTCGGCTCATTCAATCCGCAAATATACACAATTTCATGCGTCTGCGTCCAAAAAGTCTCTTTCAAGCACTTTTGTCGATTTTAGACCTGCTCAAACATCGGTAACCGACCTGGCTCAGATGGACGTTCTGTGCCCTCCCCTTGGCCGAATACAACGGGCCTGGGATATACCACGCGTTCGAGCTGCACAGCAACCCCTTGCTAGTGAACACGACGAGATGCTGGCGATGGCAGAGTCGTGCCATTTTCATCTTCGCCTTTTCTTTATTTTCATTGGCAAATGCATACACTATCCATAAGACGAAGATGACACGCACTCGTCAATTAACGAAATCATGACGGAAATCGAACGAAAGGAATGATGGCACAGATCACGACGTGGGCAAGGGGCTGGTGACTTAAGCAATTGCATCGAAAAGGGTCTTTATCTAGGTTCAGAGCTGACCCCTGACAGAAACATGGAGAGGGACATGCAAGGAGGTTTCACGAATCCATAGCACAATCAAGCGCACATAGCTCGAACATCCATAGAAAATTCAAGGGCTCGTTTGTCACATCAGCCCAGACTAGGCCGTGCAATGCAAACAGATTTACACGAGATCCAGAAAGGTTGCGGTGCAGGCCGTGGAACAAGAAAGGGTGTAGTGTGTAGAGAGTCCCTGTCCCTGACCCCGGCTTCGAGCCTGACCAACAATTTGGCGGATGCATTTGCGATCACAAGGAATCCAGCCCGACGCTTCCATGAGAAGGCAGCAAAGGAGCAAACAGAAAGAGCACAACACGGCTGGAAGACACACCTCACTCGTCTTCCCCCCCTGCCACGACCTACACCACTTCCCCCGTCCTTCTGTTCAATCAGGTCGCTGATCAGGGCTTCCGAACAAAGGGTGCGACAGCATCCGAGCTCGGTCCAAACTGCTTTGGGGAAAGGTCCGCAAGCCACCGACGCACCCCCAAGCGCAATTGGATCTGCCAAGCGCAAGAAAGGCCGATGGGGCCGGGCGATTGCGGCAAAGCGCTCCATGTTCTTTTTCGCGATTTTTTCCCTGCGCAGTCTAGATCGTCAAGAGAATGCAATGTGACCAGGGGAGACGATGCTGGAAGGTGTCGTTCTTTGTTCCACGGACACGGCGTAGGGTGGTGGGTGATGGATGAGGTGGTCTGTCCTGCGCCGATCTCGTATCCGATATCTCAGTGTATCTTTGGCCGGAAGCTTGGGCCACGTCCACGGTCAGTTAGGGTTCCCACCACTTTTGCCTGGTGACTCCACCGAGCCCGATGACAGGCCAAGTTTCTTGCATCAGCGGGCCATTTGCTCGGCTGAGATTTCCGAATGGTTATTGGGCTCTTCTTGGAGAACGTGAGACCGTGATCGAGGCTACGCCCATGACTTGTTGCGCCGGACTCTGCGTCAGCATCGAATTCTTTCGGGCCTCGAGCATTCTTCTCCGGCCCCAAACAGTGTCCCTGACCTGCACTCAAACATCGGTGGGGAGGTGTCTGGTGTAACTAAGGGATCACCAAGAGGAGGACGGAGTTCGAGATAGGCGAGGCCGCGGCTGGACGATCGGTCAACTTGGGATTGTTCGGGTATGCAGGTCATCGCATCAATTAAGGCGCATGATTGGCCTGCACAATCCTGCTGGAGGCGCACGATGGCCTTGGGCATCAACAAACACGTTTTGGGATGTCTTTGATGTTGCACAAAACCTGGCAGTGATAGCTGTCAGCGAACAAATTGTATCCATCCAAACAAAGAGGCCATTAGCAGGGTCTCGAAGCCTGCATTTTGAGGAGAACCGTCCCTCGCTGCAACATCCTCTTTTTTGCAAGTGTAGATGCTATCCCGGGCAAGGATTGAGTTTCGGACAGGGCAAGAAAATGAGGGAATAGGCTTTTGTGGACAAGGAGTTCCAAGCCCACCGGAGTTGCGCATCGGCAAGCAACATGCATGTTGACCCCTCGAAAAGTGATTGTTTGGCCATTTCGTGTGTCGCGGCAGGCTCCTTGATGGCGCGAGATCAGGGCGTGTTGCGGGTAGACGGACAAATGGGTGTTGAGAAGACGGTCCTTTCTGACAGGGTCTCGCGTTGGTGGCGTAATCCATGGCGCGCATGGCTAGAATGGTGTCTACAGTAACTAGCAGTCTGGGGCTGGGGGACTTCGGAGCTGAAGGTGGGCATGGTGAAGGGGGGGGTAAAAGGATGGTTGTGAGCTGGGGAGCTAGGAGAGGGACAGGGGTGGTTGATCCTGCGACGGTTTACGAGGTACGCTGTGGTGTGTGGGATGTGGTCAAGACAAGGCTGGTCGTTGACAAAGGCAAACAGGATAAGAAACGGCGCAGTTTGGATGGTATAGAGTTGGGAGCGGGAAGAAGATGAGCACCTGCGGATGGAGCAGAGACTTCTCTCACTTTGCGGTCATTATTCTCATGTCATCGAGCGAAGAGTTTTCATGGGTTTCCCGTCATCATCTGTTCGCCTAAATATGCCCCCCCAAGCTTTCAGGCTCACTGGGCTTCTGCATCCCCCTTCTGGCACCTCTAGGGCTCTAAGCTCAAACCTTAGCTAGCTGCACCTTAGCCTTCAGTGGTCCTTGGGTGGCCCTGAGTAACCCCTCGCGCCCAACCCACACCCACCCTCGAAGGGCCCTGCACAAGCTCAACCCCCCCCGACCCGGTTCTCTGCCTTCTCTCGCTGAGTTTTAGTCGTGCTTCCCGCACTTTTCCTTGGACTTCCCACTCGTCTTTCTTCTCTGCCTCACCCCTCCATCTTCTCGACCTCTCTTGTTCCTGCGCGCGTCTCTCTTAATATCGCAGTTCTGCTTCTGCTTTCCTGCTTCCATTGGCGCCTGCTCTTCTCGGAGTTCCTCACGTTTGCGTCTGGTCTGATCTGTGGCTTGCACTGACATTTTTGGCCCCATCTAACCACTGCGCATTTGATCCGGTATGTGCAGAAGTCCCTGCTCCTCCCTTCCGCCTTTCCCCTTCAAACCTCCCTCAACCCGTGCGCAAACACAAGAGACGGATTTCGGGAATAGCTGTGTGGGGGAACATGCTTCCTCTCAGGTCGGCGTGGTAGATGGAAGTCGCAAACCCTAGTGAGACAACAGCACGAGAGACAATTGAAGAGCACCACCACTGCTCAAAGATCAACCCAGTCGCACTAGTCGCAAGAGCTACAGTCGCAAACCCATCTAGAATCTCCCCAACCTTGGACTGCACTTCACGTTGTGGCGTTGGCGAAGGCTCCCCTACTTCACTTGTCCGTGACAATCGCCGTTGTTCATCGAGGGAATCGCATGCGCTAACTTATCTCTTTCTGCTAGACTTCAGAACAACCTTCGATTCCCAAAGACTCTTTGCGATCGCTTCGTACCCTGTTGCCTTGGACATTCGCCGTTCGGGATATTCTTGTGCGACAAAAGTTGGTTGAGTTGTCAAAAACAGTCCACATAATTCCTTCGATATCCTTTTCGCGGCAACCTCTCTAGCAAGAGACCTCTGTCCAGTCGATCTTGGTACGTCCAGCTCACGCCCGCAGATGTCCTGACGACCACGCCGGCTGCCTTGGACAGCTGCTGGGTGGAAGATTCGCGGGAGGTCCGTCATCAAAACCGGGCATGGAATCTGACTCATCTCACAGGAAGTGTACTTTAGCCTTCAAGCTCGTCATCTTGAATTTCGTCCTTCAACATGTCTTTTCCTGAATACGGTCAATTCCCAAACACCCCGCAGGAGGGCGCCCCGGGTCAAGTTCCTACTCCTCAGGATGGAGCTGCTCCGGGCCAGCCAACCGACCCTTCCGCTCAGCAACAGATGCCATTCCCGAACCCGGAGGTAAATGCCGCAGCACAGGCTGGTGCAGGCGCCGAGGGAAAGACCACCCTTTGGTGAGTTGAAAGACAAGTCTCATGCTATCTTGTGCCATGTCACTGACCTCTTCGGTAGGATGGGAGAGTTGGAGCCATGGATTGACGAGAACTTTGTCCGTAACCTCTGGTTCCAAATGGGTGAGCAAGTCAGCGTCAAGATGATTCGTGACAAGTTTTCAGGGTGAGTTCCGGCAAAGCCATCCCCCTCCCTCGCACGTCTCTGAACTCATGGTAGCAGCAACGCTGGCTATTGCTTCGTCGACTTCTCGTCCCCTCAGGCTGCAGCCAAGGCTCTTCAGCTCAGTGGCCAACCCATGCCCAACTCCAGCCGCCCCTTCAAACTCAACTGGGCCTCTGGAGGTGGTCTCGCCGATCGACGCGACGACCGTGGACCCGAGTACTCGATCTTCGTCGGCGATCTCGGCCCCGAAGTCAACGAGTACGTCTTGGTCTCGCTCTTCCAGAGTCGTTTCCCATCCTGCAAGTCGGCCAAGATCATGACCGACCCTCTATCCGGCATGTCCCGCGGATACGGTTTCGTTCGCTTCTCGGATGAGGGCGACCAGCAGCGTGCTCTTAGTGAGATGCAAGGCGTCTACTGCGGCAACCGTCCCATGCGCATTTCTACAGCAACCCCCAAGAACAAAGGTGGACCGATGGGAGGAAACATGGGAATGGGTATGCCTGGTGGCGGCCCAATGGGCTACCCTCCTATGGGTCAGCAACCTATGCCGTTCTACGGCGGCGGCCAGCAACAGCCACAACCCATGAACCAGTTCACCGATCCCAATAACACTACAGTGTTTGTTGGAGGTCTGTCTGGATACGTCACCGAGGACGAGTTGCGCTCTTTCTTCCAGGGATTCGGGGAGATCACCTATGTCAAGATTCCACCAGGCAAGGGCTGCGGTTTTGTGCAATTCGTCCAACGCCATGCTGCTGAAATGGCCATCAACCAGATGCAAGGCTATCCCATTGGCAACTCGCGAGTCCGTCTGAGCTGGGGACGTAGCCAGAACAACTCTGGCCCCGCGGGCACGCCCTACCGCCCTGCGCCTCCGCCGCCGATCTACCCTTCGATGGGGATGCCTCCTGCTCACTCATATGGCAACTTCGCGCCTATGAAGGTTGGTCACAGTCCTGTGCCCACTCCACCCATGGGGCGATACTGACCTAGAGGCAGTGAAAACCTTTTGACAAACTCGGCGCTGCAGGCGTTTCGTCCATGGGCATGCTTTTTCCTGTTGGGGAGCGGAAAAAGCAACGTTTTCATTTGTCAAGTCATTGAAAGCAGCGCGCAAAATCGAAATCTTAGCGTCATCATCGTTGGTATGGGAGGGTGTTTGTCCAAGAACGACAGAAAAGTTTCTTTTCATTTCACATTTGCGATGACCCCTGACCACCCGACTGTCTTCGACAACGGCAGCCGGCTGTGTACAACACGATCGAACAAACATGGCATTCGCTTTTTGGTTGAGAGTGACGATACGATACCAACGAAAACGAGACATTAGCATGTGCTTGGGAAGCACTCACGGCAAGGGAGCGGAAGCATGGACGGATCGTCGCAAAAACGGCACCCGGGGTGGTGATGACACTCAGTTGACAGAAATGGTTCTTTCTTTTTTCCCTCTCTCTTTCTTTCACTTCAGTCCCTCATATGGGCCAAGAGGTCCCCATGAACTCCCTCAGCTCACATGGCAAAAGAATGGGGACATACTAAGCAACGATGGGTATTGGATGGCTTGAGCTGCTACGAGGGAGAGATGTGTTGGTTCACAGTGAGCGGACCAACACTAGACGATCCTTGACACTGAATTCTTCTGCAAGATCTTGTTTGTCCGCTGCCCTTCTTTCCTTACTGTTTCATTCTGCGTTTGGCTGGCCTCCCTTCCGTGAAAGGCTGGATTCCGCCTCTGGCCTTGTATGTGACTATCTTGCCTCTCCTTGTAAACCGGCCTGGAGACACCGGATTGGTTCTCCGCAGCCTAGTGAGCCTCGGCGCCAAGCATCCGAGACCTCGGGATTTCGGCGGCTTCTCCAACTCGACGTCGGTCCATCGTCGAGCAGAGCAGCACGTATAATTCCACCAGAGCGGGATGTGACTGCTGTGCTGTCGAAGCTGAATGGGCTTCAGTAAGCAGGCTATACTGTTCGTTTCTCTCATCAGCTATCTGGCTACGGTTTTGAAAGGGGCAAATCTCGCCTTGACCAAGGTACTCAGTCTTTCTTCCCCGCACCGCGAGGGCCATACATAGTGAAAGCCTCCTGCTCTGCCGAAACATCCAAGCTGGACGTCTGATAAATTTCGAGCCAAGGGCCAAACGCTATAGAGCAATCCAACATGGCCTCCAGACCAATCCGTATAGCAGGCAAGCCAATCCCTCTCCGCCTCTCCCCGGCCATGTGCTACCCTTCACGGTTGACCCTCTAACATTCTCTACCCCATGAAGGCGCGTCCGGCTCCGCCTCCGACCGCCGCCATGCCATGGCTGCTTTTGCGAAGGCTCACGCCTCCGATCCCGTGGACGTCATCATATCAGACTACATGTCCGAGGTGAACATGACGATCGGGGCCGCCAGGAAGGTCGACTCGGCGCAATTGACCGAGAACATGGGCAACGCCTTCGTCGGCGCGGGCCCTGCTTTTGAAGCTTCGTTCCTCGAGGCCCTGGAACCCGCGTTGGAAGATCTGGGCAAACACGGGATCAAGGTGGCCGCCAACGCGGGAAACGCGGACGTGCAAGGCCTCTATAAAATCGTGGTCGAGATGGTCCGGAAGAAAGGGCTGGAAGGCAAGATCAAGGTGGCGTGGATCTCGGGCGACGAGGTCTTGCCCGCCATCAACGAAGGGTTGAAGACGGGGACGTCCAAGTTCAAGAACATCTACACGGGCCAGGTCCTGGAGAGCTGGGAGTTCGACCCCATCTATGCGCACGCCTATCTCGGCGGCATGGGCATCGCCGAGGCCTTTCGCCAGGGTGCGCAGATTGTCATCTGTGGCCGAGTCGCTGATGCGTCGCCGGTCATCGGCGCGGCGGCGTGGTTTCACCAGTGGACGAGGGAGAACCTGGACCAGTTGGCCAACGCCTTTGTCGCGGGCCATCTGATCGAGTGCTCGACCTATGTCACGGGCGGCAATTTCACAGGGTTCAAGAGCCTGGAGGCTGGGGATCGATGGATCGACATTGGATACCCAATTGCTGAAATCTCCGCAAACGGGCAAGTGGTCATCACGAAACAGAAGAACTCAGGCGGAACGGTGACGGTCCACACATGCTCGTCGCAGTTGCTGTACGAAATCCAAGGACCCTGGTACTTCAACAGCGACGTCACCGCCGTCCTGGACCAACTCTGGTTCGAACAGCTTGGCCCCGACCGTGTCGCACTGCACGGCGTCAAAGCGCTCCCGCCACCTCCGACCACGAAAGTCGGCATTACCGCTCGCGGCGGGTTCCAGGCTGAGGCATGGTACTTCATGACGGGGTTGAACGCGGCCGAAAAGGCCCGCATGACTGAAGCACAATTGCGCAAGAGTCTCAAGAAGTACTCGGACAAATTCACGACGTTGTCATTTGGTGTCCTGGGGACCCCAGGCGTGGATGCGGACAACCAAAATGCCGCAACCTGCATATTTCGGATATTCGTGCAGGGGAAGGAAGCCAGCGACATCTCCACCACAAAGTTCCTCAGACCGGTCATCGACAACATCATGCAGGCGTACCCCGGCGGAACATTCCACCTGGACTTCCGTCAAGGCATTCCGAAACCATACTTTGAATATTATGTTACCTTGTTGGATCAGTCAAAGGTGTCGCATGTGGTTCATTTCAACGGCCGCGAAACACTTGTCCCGCCACCTACCGTGACCCAAGTCTTCGCGGAGAGGCAGCCCAGCCAGCCAGAGACGCAACTGCAGGTCGACCTCTCCAAATTCGGCCCGACTGAACGGGCTCCTATAGGATCCATTGTGAACGCCCGCTCTGGCGATAAGGGGTCGGACTGCAACTGCGGCTTCTGGGTCGCGCGGGAGGACGAATACGTGTGGTTGAAGAACCTACTCTCCGTCTCGACCATCAAACAGCTCTTGGGCAAAGAGTACGACGAGACGAGAGTGCCCAAACTCGAGATCGAGAGGTTCGAGTTGCCGAATCTGAGAGGCGTGCATTTCTTGTTCCGCAACCTCCTGGATCGAGGCGCCACCAGTACGAGCACCGTGGACTTCCTGGGCAAGAACTGCGCCGAGTTCTTGAGAGCACGGTACGTGGACGTGCCGGTGAAGTTTTTGGCCAGAGGAAGGTTGTGATTTCTGCGGCAGGGTCTTGCAAGAAATCGGGCCGGGTCAGCATTGGGCTGGTGGGATATGGGAAGGCCGTTCTCAAATGGGCTCAAAAAGATAGACTCGATGCTTGAAGATTTGCGTTCCATTTGTTCTTGTCGATGCGGGATTCTGTTCTGACAGCCGTCCGTGCCTATCGTGCCCTTCCCAATACTAGACATTTCCTTTGCCGTCATAGCATTCGGTGCTCTGGTATAAAGCGAGACGGACCAACTTCTCCAACCAACCCAGTACGTCGTGCTGTCGATGTACCAGCGCTCAAGGCTTGAAAAGTCCGTGTTCTGAGGCAGTCGGTTCTTCCTTTGCCGAGCGTTCTCAAAGCGAACAATCCCAATGGTGAGCCCACACATGTTGAGCTATTGAAAGGTACATCATGCGATTCTGATCTTGCTGGCCGCAGGAGACAAGCATCGTCGATTCCACCTCTGATTCCAGGACTTGTCAGCAGCAAAACGTACGCATCCTCAGGCTCCCGTGCGCGAGCTCTCCCACCAGTACAATTCCTCCCTTATCGTCGAGCCCACGCCCGGTGCAGCGCACGGGAAGCCTCTCACGCCTTCCTCCTCCCATCCTTCTTCTTACCGCCTTTCGCGTTCTTCCCTCCAGCTCCCTGCGGCTGCCGCGGCGGCGGCACGACCTGATATACCCTCCCATCCTCCCCGACGATACCCACGCTCTTGCCCTGCCCGCCACTGCCGACTGCGGCGCCGCCTGCTCCCTGCTGCTGCTGCTGCTGCCGGAGAAACTCCAGTCTCGCCCGCGCCTCCTCCTCCCTCCGATCCGGCGTCCCCGTGATCTTGCGAAACAGGCCCTCCAGGTGCGGCCGGAAGAGGACGTACGTCGAGATCGCGACGACGACGCGTAGGAGTGCTTGCAGGTTCTGCCGGGTGAAGTACGCCTGTAGCGCCGGGGGAAGGTACGGTTCGAGCAGGCCCGGGATGTCGGGGAAGGAGAAGTTGGACATTATGATTATATTTCCCCCCTCGTTTTTTGACGATTGCCGGTTTTGGCGTCTCGGGGGTCCTCGCGGGTTTGGCTTGTGTAGTCTTGAGGTCTCTGAGGATGTGAGAAGTATCCGGGGTCACGCTTCAGACCTTGTGGTTTCTGATAGAGAGTGATTTGGAGTGGAGGCAGGAAAATTCGAGCAGTGGGAATAGTGATAGCAGAATACCTCCTGCCAACCACTCCCGGCTCGCCGGGTACCTACGGGTAAACACTTCGCCGTACCGGAATAGACGAATGTACGTCGAATCATTCGCTCATCTCCAATTCCCTTGCAGCCTGCACATGAATCTGTCGATGCAAAGGATTCTGAGAGCAAAATGCCTCTGCCCTGCATCTGTGGACTTTCCCGTTCAATTTTGGCTGCAATGACATGATCTCTACACTTCCCATCTTACACCTCTGCGCCAGGCTGCTGGTCACTTCGGTCTTCACAACAGTGTCGGCTTCCTAATGATCAGGAACCCGTAGAAAAGTTCCCAGACAATTAGGCAGAAAGCTTTAATTAGGTGTCAGCGAGCTGTTGGCGATGCAAGCGGGAGTATAAACGCAATCGCCAACGAGCTTCGGGGTGCAAAAAGACGAAGATCTGACCGAGCTATCGAAAAAAGGCATAAAAGACCAATCGAAAGCATAACAACTGACCAAGACGTGGGGAGGATGGATGTGACCCCGACGAGGGTATTCCTCCTAACGCACCCTCGAACCGCCTCAAATCTAGTCACCCGGATCCTAAACTTAGACAACCAACCAGCCCTTTGTGGTCCAGGTACCGACGCTCAAAAGTCCAACAACAATGGGTACTTTTTCCTGCCGACCGTGTCACGCCGGCTCGAGCTGGCTGATCGGCGGTCCGAGGATTGGGCTGAGGAAGAACGAGCAGACATAAGCCGTTGTCTTGAAGCTTGTACCGCCCGACTCGTCCAGCACGCGGAGTCGGCAGAAGCTGAAGGGAAGGGTGTCTATGTGAAAGAACACCTCATCTGGATGCTCTCACCAGCAGCAGAGGACCTGGCCAAAGGGACAGACCTGACGAGGGACCGCGATTGCAACATTGTACAGCGGAAAGCCGCGAGAGAGGAGGGGGAGGGAGACACGGAAGAGCGGGAGGCACAAAACCAGACCGTCCTACCTGATGCATTCCTGCGGACGTGGACACCCACATTCTTGATTCGACACCCTGCGTTAGTATTCCCGTCCCTTTATCGAACCTGTGTAGACCTGGAAGGGCCAGAACAAGCCAGAAAGAACGCTGATGGGAGCTTTCGAATCGAGATGACCTGGAGATGGAGCCGAAATTTGTGGGAGTGGTTCAGGAGGCAAGGTAATGATGAATCAACGTCTCAGTGGGTCTTTGGGGATGACAAGCTATCTGGCTCGTCATGGCCGATCATCCTAGATGCGGACGATGTTATTCTTCAACCAGATGTCATCAAAAGATACTGTCAGATTGTAAGGTTGGATCCAGACAGATGCCAGTTCGAATGGGAGTCAGCCACCGCCGAAGAGCAGCAAAGCTTGCATGCCGTGGAGAGAAGGATGAAATCCAGCCTGTTGTCGTCGACTGGTTTGATCAAAGGCAAGACCGCGGTGGGATTAGATCTCGAGCGTGAAGCACAGGAATGGAAGGACGAATTTGGGGAAGAGGAAGCCAGAAAGCTTCTGTCGTGGGTCAAGGATGCAATGCCAGATTATGAGTTCTTGAGAGAGAGGCGACTGAGATAGGGAGTAGTAGATAGGCTCCTCCGTGATGTCCATGTCAGACGTGAAGTATCCTGTCACTGCTGTTGTTCTGCTCTGCCGTTGTGCATTTTCTAGGCAAATGGTCGAACGTAATATCTCGCTGACGCGTCACGCGTCGCGTCCACTCCTAAACGACGCCTTTCCATCACGCAAAGTAGTCCTGGCACCGAGCATGCTCGAAGGGTGGACTTGCTCAAACAACTTTGAAGAACACGCCTGCACCTGATTCTTTGTCGTCCGTCCGCTCTTATGGCTTCATCGACCGATGCGGAGGCGGAGTCCCTGCAGAAGGTGAATTGCTCAAGTCTCTTTATCACATCGAGAGCCAGAGAGGATTCGATGGCTAGCTGTGCCAGAGTGCTAATACTGCATAATCCCGTTAGAAACTCCGCTCTGCGCTATGGTTCCAGATCGGAAAGATGGTCGACGAAGAAAGTATCAACCTGGGAGTCAACGCAACGCCGCAGTTCATCGGCAGTCTGATGGAGCTGGTGTGGGCACAGATTGGTACGATAAGATTCACCCATCCGGCTGCCTGATGGAGATGAGGTTGTCCAACTAACAGCAATCCTCTTTCAGGGAATGCCGCCATCGACCTCGAAGCATTCGCCAAACATGCTGGGAGGTCCACGATTAAAACGGACGATGTCATGCTGCTTGCTCGGCGAAATGAAGGGCTAGAGCAGATTCTCCGCGACGAATTGAAGCGTCTCGAGCAGGCAAAGTCCAAGCACGATAAGTCTGGGTGAACGAATCCAGTTTGGACTGTCCAGAAGAACGGAAGATACTGGCACCGGTGAGAGAGCAGCGATTGGTGCCAGCAAACATTGCCCACAGGAGAACGCCGTGCTATCGATCTACTCGAGCTTTGATCAAAATGTCAGACGAGAGTGGCCATCCCCGGTGCCCAACTCAGGTCAACAAAGCCTTCGAACGAGTCACTTGCCCAACAGGAGGTACCCTGGCTAACTACCAGCTTCGGAAGTACTAAAACTGCTTTCCTACGCCCACGGAAGAGCCTCGGGCTAGACAACAAACCTATTCACGTCAGATTCGACCTCCCTGAATAAGCTTAGAGCGACAGAGTTGACTAGAGTTCTTTCGAATGCGACACCAGCCCGCAGCGCCGACGAGTGTCTCGGGGGCTCAAAAGCCAGATGGTCACGGAGGGGCCACCAGAACGAGATATATTGGGAGAGATAGGAGCCTCACGGCAGTAGAGGAGCGGCAAGTGGCACGATTCACGCCGATAAGGATTGCGGGATGGTTCACTGCCCACCAGCATAGACAGCGATTCACATCGTGGCTACTTCGTCAACCATTGGATCAACGGAGCATTTCCAAACCCTGGTCTTTCACCAGACCAGACAGCACTTCAGGGTTCCCTCTCATGCGCCAGCTGATTGCTTCCATGACGCCTCGCCCTCACGGAAGCATGGAAAGATAAGGCTTGCGGGTGTTTTGTGACGTGTTCGTGTCAGCCAGGCTGCGAGATGAAACGTCGAGAAGTCAGATGCAACAAATGTCAGCGAGCACAATGAAACAGCGCCCTTCCACCATGATTTTCGGTGCAGCCACAACCGAGCAAGTCTTGTTTTCTCACGCCTCGCTTGGAAGAAATGGCACAGTCTGACACAGAACAGACGCTTTCCTGAAGAGCAATGTCGTGTGGGCTACCCGATCCAACATACCCTGCTTATCTCGCTCGGCTACGGCTCCACTGCCGCCGGCCCGAAAATGACGCCACGAAGACCATATGGTTGGCCTTAACCAAATCCCGCGAACTCTGAGGCTCAGCCTGCGCAATTTAACCCTATTTTAGAATCCCAATGTTCTCGGACACCGTTTTTGTGTTTGAAATGCCTCAATGCACATGGGGAAAAGTCTATTCTTCCTTATCGACAAGGACGCTCAATGCACCACTGCAAGTAACAGTAACTACGAGGAAACCGACAACACACTCGGATAACGACCCCCATTCCAGAATGGTGCCAATCCTACGCGGCTCGTCTGACGTGACCTTGCGCCACTCTCGAGTGATTTCCCTCGAGATTGGATCTGACTTGTCTTGTTGCTCTCCCTGCGAGATCTTGTTCGACCGCGCACACGACCTGCTGCTAGGGTGCTCCACGATCCCTTCTTCCCAGTCCTACGGCGCCCCACCACGAAGCGGTTCAATGAGCACAGGCTGATGTTCTCTGAGATCTGCAGATCTTGAGATGCTTTCGTCTTCAAGGATGCTACTGATTTAGGCATTCGAGAGATGTCGTATGGCTGTCCATATCTGTTGTTACCGCGGTATTCACCATTGTGTATCAGACACGAGCGCATTCTTCCTTGGCCCTTCGACACGAGGACGAACAGTCAAGACTACCAGGTCAAGTGGTCCACGATCAGACCACAGGGGTGCCAGCTCGGAAAGCCTTGATGCAGCAACCCTGAAGGACCATCTAGATGACCACAAATGCGTAATACATTCAAGACCGTGGTGGATTCAACAATCTATGGTCAATGATGACACGATGGTCACCTGGTTATTGCCTGAAGTCGCCATCCGTCCTTTCTGGCGGATGACCTGATCAAAGCATACCAAGCTACAACATACTCTCCCGATCCCGTGAATCAAAACGGCGGTAACAAGCTGTACACACTCGAATTACCACTCTGACTCTGCCATCTTAGGTCTAGCTGTGGTTGTCGTTGCTGTACCTGGCCATAGGTTCGTGTCCTCCAACCTTCGTTGCAGCCTCTGCAATGCTGCCGTGTTGCAACATGAGACTCCCCGGTGGAACAGAAGAGAATTGAATTTGTGACTCTCTGCCAAGTCCCACAATGCTCACTTCGCCCCAGGCTCGACCTTGATCCAGGTGAGCTTCTGTTTCTCTTTCTGCTGGGACGTCAAGTTGCTTGAGGCATCGACCAGCCCGCCGAACATGCACAAAGGGAGCACATCAGCCCTTTCTGCAAGTACTTTTGCGAGTGACGCGGTGGAGTGCTCGGTGGTCCTCTGATTGCCGGGGGATGGCAGTTGAGGATCATTCTGAGGTGAGAAGGAGTCACTTGAAGGCGATGCTGAGTCGCATGGTGAACTGGAATGCGACGACGATCTGTTGGGAGAATTCATTTGGGTCCGTGGGGTGGGATTCGTCTGCGACACGGATTGGGGCCAGAGCGGCTTGTGGTCCGGCTCGGAGCAATCAGTATTCCACAAGCGAATCGGGCTTATTCGACCAAGGCTTGGGTCAGGGTCAGCGGCGAGGCTGAGGGGGCTCCTTGTGGGGATGACTTGGACAGTGATTTGGAAACACGTCTATGTGTCGATCACGAATTGCTGGGTCCAAAATCCAGTGAACAATACATCAAGAAGGAGGAGGAAGGATATTCCCCATCTTTGGAAATGAGGGCCGGGAACATGGGAGATATACAACAGAAAATTACCACGAATACAGGCGAACGATTAGAGCGTGTATTGAAGAGCAATGCCTAACAAGCGAGCAGCCGTACCACCATTGGGAGGTCGACTGCGTGTAGTCAGGAAGGCTACGGGAGTCTACGATAATCGAGACCATATACAACACCCTAGGAGACGTCTGGGCATTCGGATCACTGTGACGCCTGGTAATCTCGTTTCATGATGAGCATAAGTCAGCTGTCCCAGTATGTGAGAGGGAAACAGGACGTGCAAGTGGAAGAGGGAGGGACGAGGCTGGATATAGAATGATTACACGGCTTCTGTCAAGCCCGAAGTTGCCCGGCGGCGGCGGGTGCTCGATGCTCTGTCATCCTCTCATCTTCCTCTCATCGTCCCCTCTTCCCTCGTCCCTCCCAATTCTCTGGCTGCGGCTGAGTCTCGTTGGCTCACGATCGCTGCGCCATCTAACCTTGCCAGCTCTAGCCGCAGCCCTACGGCTTAGAGGCTTATTGGAGTCCGGTGGTAGGCGTGTCAGCTCGCGTAATGCCTCCAGATGAGGAACAGCGCAGCCATGGCACCGACGGTGGCTCCGGCGATCATGCTCGTCTCAACCCAAACACCCCGATTCAAACACATTCCGGACTGGGAAGTGGGCAGGTCCGCTTTGAGGCGTCTGGTGGTGAATGAGGCAGACGGGGAGACGAGCAGATGAGGCCGGCGATGTCTTGGGCCTCCCTCGTGCCGTGCGCGCGACGGTACGACAATGACAATCCGTGAATATCACTCTCACCCCGATGTCATATGTCATTGCCAATTCACTGATCCTGTGCAGAATCCCCGGGATGCTACCTTTGTCTATAAACACACTCGCCGGCAGTGCAGGTACCTCCACCATGACTTCTTGGTGCTTATGCTGCAGCGACAATTATGGTTTGCTGCCATTATCACCGCGGAGGATCAAAGACCACAACGACACAAACATCTTATATGCCAGGCAGACTCGTGCACCATGTCCGCCACAAGCAGCTCTCCCAAGCCTACTTCCCACAACACCTCGCAACCAGACCCAAAAGATACTCCCTCTCTCACCGATACCACGCAGTCCGACATGTTCAAACAGGAGCGGAGCGGTGCCGACGCTGAACAGAATGCCGCGCTCATCAAGGAGGCTCCTCATCCCAAATGGAGGCCATCGACAACAGAAACCCTGGTCATGGTGACCTTGGCCATCATCTCGCTGATGGTCAGCCTCGACGCCACTGTCATTGTCACCGCCTTGTCGGTCTGTACCTCTTAGCCCTCACCACTATCCTTCTAACCTCTGGCATAGACAATCGTCCAGTCCCTCAACGCGACATCCACTCAAGGCTTTTGGATAGGCACTTCCTACCTTCTGGTCGTCGCGGTGACCATGCCATTCACCGCCTCCATCAGTGACATTGTTGGACGTCCACAGACCCTCTTCACAGTCTTGTTGAGTTTCACTGTTGGAACCATTCTTTGTGCCACCGCCCACAGCATCGGCATCATGCTCGTTGGCCGTTGCCTGCAGGGCGTCGGTGGCGGTGGCGTCATTATTCTTTCCCTCGTCATCTTTTCCGACATTGTCCCTTTGCGGTTCAGACCGCAATACGTTGGCGTTCTGTAAGTTCCCTGCAAACCGTTTTCTCAACGAAGATCCTCTGGCCTTGACCTCGTTTACTGACGTCAATTCAACCCTCTAGTCAAGGAGCATGGGCCTTGGGAAGTGTCATCGGGCCTATCATCGGCGGCGCCTTTGCCAGCCCGACTCGCTGGCGCTGGGTGTTCTATCTGATGTTGCCCTTTTGCGGCGTGGGGTTGATCTTTGTGCCGCTCTTCGTGCGGCTCAGGCGCCCCGAGGCCACCCTGAAGGAGATGCTGGGCCGCGTCGATTGGATTGGTGGGGTCCTCTTCATCTCCTCCGCGACCAGCTTCCTCATCGCCATCTCTTGGGGCGGCACGACGTATGCCTGGAATCACTGGAGAACCCTTGTGCCGTTGTTGGTCGGCCTGGCGGGCCTGGTGGCCACCATGATATGGGAACGATTCGGCGCCAAAGAGACGGCGTTCTTGAGACACTCGCTATTCCACGTGTGGTCGGCTCATGCGATCTACTTTGGCGCGTTCGCCCAAGGCCTCATTGTAAGTTTCATCACTCTCCCTCCAAACTACCACCTGCTGACAACCTTTCCTCGTCGTGTAGCTTTATGCACAACTCTACTACATTCCCTTCTTCTTCGAGTCCGCCAAGCTGTACTCTCCCATCCGCACCGGCGTCTCGCTGCTTCCCGTGCTGCTGACGCTGGTGCCGGCCTCGGTCATCGTCGGCGCGGCCATCACGCGCACCGCCAAGTTCCGGTGGGCGATCACCACGGGCTGGGTGCTGGCGACGCTGGGCACGGGGCTGAGCATCTCGTGGGACCGGGGCACCAGCACGGCCGTGTGGGCGGTGGAGATGATCGTGCTGGGGTTCGGGCACGGGCTGAACCTCAACGCCCTCAACACGGCGTCCCAGGCGGCGTGCAAGCCCGGCGACGAGGGCCGCGCGGTGGGCATGTACGCCTTCCTGCGCAGCTTCGGGATGGCCATCGGCGTCGGCGTCGGCGGCTCCGTGTTCCAGAACGTCATGAAGTCCAAGCTCGCCGCCCTGGGCCTGCCGACCGACATCGCCCTGCGCGCCGAGGCGTACCTGGAGGTGCTCAAGCAGATGCCCGCCGACTCGCCGCAGCGCGCGGCCGCGGTCGACGCCTACGTCGCGGGATTCCACGGCGTCTTCGGCTTCTTGACGGGTCTCGCTGGCTTGGCCCTCCTCGTCGGCCTCTTCGTCAAGCACTTTGAGATCAACAAGGAGCTCATCACCGAGCACAAGCTGGTGGACGAGTCGCGCCTCAGCTGGCGCCGCGCGAGCCAGGGCACGGGCACCCGCTCGGGCCTGTCGACCGCGGACCACTCGCGCATGCCCAGCCCTGAGCGCGGCCAGGAGGTTGTCGCAGAGCAGGTCTAGACACGCTTGTCAAGACACGCTTGCCACTCGCTGCGTGCATTCATCCAGCCAGCCATCCATCGACCCATGCATCCAGTCATCTCCACGCCCTCTTACTCCCAGATTTCGGAAATCCGAGCTTCCAACACCGAAAAGGCTGATGAACGACCCTTTCTATCTCTGCCGTGTACCAACAGCAGCCATACTTCCATGTACTATTACTATCACTATGATTACCACCACCACTATTATTATTATTACTATTACGGCTCCACGACCCTAGAAAAGCGAGCACCACGGCCTTTGGATACCAGGCAGGCCAAGAGGAAAAATGCACGGCGGCGGCCACAGAACCCGCGCGAGATGGGAAAGATGTCAGGGGTAATGATCAATGACAATGCGATAATGACGATGAGGACGAGGATGGAAAGGGGAATGGCAATGATACCGGATTCGAGACTTGGATAGACAAAGATAGACGGATGAACACAAGGCAAAAAATGGACATATTTATCACAAGAAAGCAAAAAAGGGGGGCTTTTGTTCTTTGTCCCACTCGTCGCTCCTCTCCATCTCTCCATCCTGACATTCTCGCGGCGTGCCATTGACATCCATCCTCGTCTTCGTCTGGCTCGGTTGGTTGGTTGGTTCGAAGCCGACACGCGAGAAGAAACGTAACGTAACGGAGCCGACAACTCACTCATCCCTCCCCTCCCTCCACGCAGTTTGAGCGTTCTGGAATCTCAGCAAAGCCCGCCTGTCCTCCTCATGCTGGGCCTTTTGCTGCTTCGAGTTCGAGTTCAGGATTGCGCTCCTCGGATGACAAGGCCCGGTCCAGCAAGCTGCGTCGTCACAATGTATCCCCTCTCCGTAGTCCTTGTCTTCTTCTTCCGCATCTTCCACATCTTCTCCCTTTTTTGACGCCCGCGATGTGATCCACGACACCCGTAGCCAGCAACGAGCAGCCCCACCACTGCTGGGATCCCTTAGATGCCCGCCCCCACATCCACCAGGATCTTGACGTGGTTCTCCTTGTCCTCGATCAGGGTCTTGAAGCCTTCCTCGGCGACCTGGTCCAGCTTGATCTTCTTGGTGATCATCCCGGCGGGTTTCATGGCGCCTGTGTGGGAGGGTCAGCCTAAGAGTCACACTTCACTTCACGAAGAAGAGGTCAAAGGGCTCGTGAAAAGGGAGCCCAAAAAAAAAGAGACTGTCTCGCGGAGTGTGTTCAGAAGGATGGTGCATTTCGCCTAAGGGACTGGGGAATGGTGGACAATGCTGGCGGAAGGTTTTTTTTTTGACTGCGCAAGGGTAGGTTTGAAGACGGGTACGAAACTCACCGGTCGAGATGGCGTTGATGACGGCTTCAAAGTCGCCTAGCGAGTAGGTCGCTCTGCGGGCACGGTCAGTCAGGGGATCTCGTCTCCGAGACGGCGGGCTTGAGAGGAGCAGTCTGCCAGATAGGGGAGAGACGGATCTGAACTTACACTCCCATGTACCCCCTCTCCCGAAATACAATGTCATTCATCTGCAGCGTCGCCCGCTTCTCCCACACGGCGATATTGACCAACGTCCCTCGCGCCTTGATCGCCTTGAACGCAGTGTCCACCGCGACCTGCACGCCGGCGGCATCGAACCCGACGTCCGCGCCCTCGCCGTTGGTCAATTTCTCCACCTCGGCCACGACGTCGGCCTTGACCGGGTCAATCACATGGTGCGCACCGAACTGCGTGGCGAATTCTCTCCGCCGGCCGCTGACCTCGCTCACGATGATGTTTTTGCACCCCTTGCCGACCAGGGCCTGCACGACCGCGAGGCCGATGGGGCCGCCGCCCAGCACGAGGACCGAGTCGCCTTCCTTGTACGGGGAGATGTCGACCGCGTGCCACCCCACCGCCAGGGGCTCGATCAACGCGCCCACCTCCAAGGGGATGTTGTCCGGCAACGGCTTCACGCAGCTCTCCGGCACGACCATGTGCTCGCACAGGCCGCCACCCCATCCGCTCAGGCCGACGAAGCCGTTCTTGTCGCAGCAGTTCACCAGGCCGCGTTTGCACGCCCGACAGCTGCCGTCGTAGATGGTGGGCTGCACGCAGACGCGGTCGCCGGGCTTGACGTTCGTGACGCCCTCGCCCACCTCCTCCACCACGCCGCTGAACTCGTGGCCTAGCGTCAGAGGCAGGGTCTCGCCCGTGATGGGGTGCGGGTGGCCTTCTGTCGGGATCAGGTTCGCGCCGCCGAGATACTCGTGCAGATCTGAGCCGCAGATGCCGCAGAACTTGGGCGCGATCTTGACCTGCCCGGGCTTGACGGAGGGGACGGGGATCTGGTCGAGGCGGATGTCGCGTTGGCCGTAGAACCGGACTGCATTCATTTGCGACATGGTGGCAGGTCTGGGAAAGAAAAAGGAAGCCTGATGATTGGCGTCTCTGCGTTTGAGTGAGAAAGAGGTCAAGGAATGGTGAGATTGGCTCTAATATAGGAGAGGGGAAGGGAGAAGGGAGCGCAACACAAGAGCCACCAGAGCAGCTCTCCAACAATCGTCATGCCATTCATTCCAAGCGGCAACTCCGCTCTGCTTTCGACCGAAGACGATCCACCATGGAAGTCTTCAATCGCATGTGGCATCCCGCGACGGTGGCAGCGAAGAGTCGCACATTGCCAGCCATCATCTGCCCCCGCTCAGTGCCCGCTTGCGTGAGACCACAATGCATTCATCTCATTTGTCTCTGGAGGCACTCGTCCCCCTGTTGTGCTCCCCACTGTCCATCTCTTTTGCCTCCATGGGTTCCTCCTTTAGGAAATCCCGAAATGAGGGGCAAAAGATGGAGGTGTTCGAGCAGGAGTTCGGGATCGTCGAGTCTGGGGAAAGCTACAACTCTCAGGGCGGCTCGCAAGGGCAGGTTGACCGAGGAGGACGTGATGTCAATGTCGTATTCGCGTTGCAAGTGGCGGACCTGTCCTCTGGTTCGTCAAATCGACAAGGGTATAAGTGTTTGCTAGCAGGATTGGAGGACTGGCAAAATGGCGTAGGGATTGCAAGAAGTCCAGGTCCTTGATTGGCTGTGTGCAAAGCAATCCCTGTGTCTATCCCAGGAATCTGTCTGCCTGAGCCTAGTCCCAATCCTGAAGACAGCTGTTGTCCTGGGGTATTGCAGATATATTATATAAGGATCAAGGCATTAACTGACGCGCAAGGAACAAAGCACGCTCGAGGTTGTGCACACAGCGTGAGAAACAGTAGCAGTAAGCATCTCCTCATTCTTGTATGTCCCCTGTGGACAATGACACAATGTCTCCATCATCCCCGGAACTGTTGTCGAATTTCCTCGCCGGCAAAACCATTCTCGTGTCTGGTGGTGGCATCGCTGGACTGACATTCGCCGTTGCGATCGCCCAATTGTTTTCAGAAGAATCTTCGGTGGCGGCGAGGCCTCAAGTCATCATATACGAGCGGGATAGCTATGAGGACCGCATCGGACGTGAAGGGTATACTCTATCCCTGAGAACAGACAACGATCCCGGCGCCGTTCAGGTCTTGGATCTCCTAGGGCTGTACGAGCTTGTCAGGAGCGTCAGTGTCAACTCTGGAGGACTTCCAGAAGAGAGAGGCTCTTTCAACCTCTGGGATCCTCAGTTTCGTCCCTTCTTGCGCTTCGCGGCACACCCAGTCGGACCCAAAAAGCTGCTCGGCATGAGAATCCGCCGCAATGCCCTGCAGAAGGTTCTCGCCGAGGCCGCTGTGGCATCGAAAGCTCAAATCCACTGGGAAACGGCTGTAATAGGAGCAGAGCCAATCGAGGACGGCAAAGTGCGAGTTACCCTCAGCACCGGCGCAACGGCGGTGGGTGACATTCTCCTAGCTGCCGATGGATCCCGAAGCAAGTTGCGCTCGCTGTTGAGGCCAGACCACGGCCTCAATTATGCTGGCGTGTATCTCTGGTCAGGCATCGCCAAGTTTGCGAGACACGACGACATTCCCAAGCCCCTGGATCGTGACTGGGGTGGTGTGCTGGGTGGAAACGGAGTCGGGCTTTTTGTCTCTCCTGTGGACGACAAATCCGCGCTTTGGGCCATGAGTCGTCCCAGTCCCGTTATGAAGGAGGCATTACGATACCCTGTTCCTCAAAAGCGCCTCGACGAGTTGTTGGAAGAATCAATAAAAGTGGCGGCAAACTTTGCTCCTCTGGTGAAGAATCTGGTCTCCGCGACGGATCCAACCACGATCATGCAGTTCAATGCAATGGATCGGCCCCCTTTCCCACATCAGTCACTGGAGCACGGCCCCATAATATGGATCGGAGATGCAAACCATGCAGTTAGCCCCTTCGCAGGCAACGGTGCCAACATGGCAATAATGGATGCCTGGGATCTTGCTAATGCATTCAAGAAAGCTTCAACCGTTGACGAAGCCATCACGGTGTATGACAAGGTGGCCATTCCTCGAGCCAGCAGGGTTCTGAAGTCGTCACATTGGGCGATTGACGCTTTGCATGCCACAGGAATTAAATTGCTCCTTTACAAGGTGGTTCTTCGTGTGTTAGGATTCCTGACCGGGATCGCCCGAAGTCGTGATTGACGACTTCCAGGGGTTGGATCTTTCTGGACACGCCTCTCGGTGAATTGCAGCAGACGGTTGGCAATGAGATTCAGAGAGGCGCTTTTCTCTTCTCAATGTGATTAGGCAAAGGGCTGAAACAGACGTGGTCAAGCTGTAGCATTATGCGTCAAAGGTGACCTTGGAATCCACACTCCGCCATTTCCAATCAATTTGTCCTTCATGGTCGCTCCCTCTGTCCGCACTCCCAGACGATGGACAGGGACTCTGTCAATCTGTTTCTGTGTGCTCTGCCTGAAATCAACATATCGCTCAGTCAAAGATCGGTTGGACGAAGCCGACTTGACGTGCTCTAATGTGGCGTCTGCTGCCCAGGCGGGTCGAGCCAAACTTGCGTTCGTAACGGCGACATCTTTGTAGAAGTCAAACAGTTGTGCTTCGACATCCGGCTCTTGGTTCGGTTCGAGCTCTAGAGCTCGCAAATAACCCATCATCAGCACAGACACTTTGGCGTCGATGAAATCGACTGACTGGAAATCATGGATCAGGTACACTCGGGCAGTGTTCTTTTCCACCACAGTTCTCCTTCCATATGGGTCCGGCGAAATGAAGATAATTGCCTGATGCCATTCATCCGAGATGTTTTTCTCTGCAGCGAGCTTGCTGGGCAGGTTCACCGCAGCCCACCCGAAGAATACCCCTTTGTACCGCAAAAGAATGTCTGCAGGAATGCCCGTCAGGTTGGCCGTCGGCATGTTCAATGCTGCTCTACTTCTGCCAGTGCCGGCGACCACCTTTCCATGAAACCGAACGGGAAATGGCGGCACTGGGCCGGACGGTGGCCCGATGACATCTGGACGAGCCAAGGCATCGTAGCCATCCAGGTCGGTTCGAGTGTAAGACTCATCTCGGGCAGTGTCATACTGCTCATTCATATTGTCAAAGCGATCCTGAATCCCACTCTCGTCATAAGCGGTAGTAACAGCCTGCTGAGCTAACGCACTTGGTTGATAAACCGAAGTCAGCTGATTCGTGACCGTCTGCCTTGCAGTGTCGACATAAGGGCCAGCAGTGGCCGTGACGAATTGTCTTCCGACAACTGCCGCTAGCTTGATGCCCGCCTCGAGTGGCATGGTCTTGAGAGACGAGCCTCTGATGACACTAGAGTCTGTTGACGAGGACGCTAGTCGGAACACTGGGCTACCGCAAAGCGTCTTTTTTCCGTCGGCAGAGCAGAGAACCACCCTCAGATAGCCATCGTCGGCATCGCAAGGAATGCGGAGGATGTCGGTTTCCCGTGGCCGATGAGCGCGAAGTTCTTTCGGAGCTTTCTTCAAAAACTTCTTGATGTCTCTCTGCCAAGCGCGTTCGTCGGTGGAGTTGACTTGCTCCGGCGTGGCCCTTGTGGATGGGGTCACATCAATCCAGGTACTCCTGGCTCCCAGTAACCCCCCGATCTTCAAACCGGTCTTGCCGGAGAAGCCTCTTCGCTGTAGCCACAAAGTCCGATCGGGAGGTAGCTCTCGGTCGGAGAAGACGGTGATGGCTAGATTTGTCGACGAACCGCTGTAGTAGACTACGCCAAACGAATGCCGCAGGATCGTGTAGTGCTTGGTGGACTCGTAGGGATGGCTGATCAACCCCCCTGCAAAGTGTCGGACATCCTGCAAAGCTGATACGAATTTCGACTGAGATGGGGAGTTCGTGGCTGGCGGGGAAAGAGGTGTGAGGGGGGTTGTGGGAGTAGATGTTGAACCTTGGCTTTGAAAGCTGAATTCGGTCGAAAGACTGGTAGGCGACTGAACAATGCCAGGAGAAGGATGGAGCGGGAGAGGATGAGGCGACTGGATCCCGGGAGGGGACTCGAGGGTCATTGCCTGGAGGATGGCAGTCTGCTCCTCCAGGCTCAGATCCTCGCCTCTGTGAGCGCCTGTGAAATGGCCGAGGTCATCCGTCTGGACTCCTCGAAGCGGAGGCCTATTGCTGCTCTCTGCCCCCGTCTCCCCAGGACGATGCTTTGTCAATGGCATATTGGAACTTCATCAAAACACATAGAAATCGGACAGCTTCACCCACATGGCATAGCGCCCGGTGGGGAACGGCTAATTTGCGCCCATCTTGGATAGACAGCGCTGCTCAAAAGGGATATGGCCTTTGCAACAGACCAAGGACAGATGTGCATGAAGAAATTTGGACGAAATCAGGATTGGCGTCAGGATATATTTCGGATGCTATCACGTGTTCCGCGCATTCCGTGCAGGGGTCGAGCATTCGTTCTCCGGATTCGCTTCTCTTCCGCCTTCACGATATCAAACTCGAAGCACCCAGAGTACTGAGGCCAGGCTGGGCTGCTACTTGTAAAGGTCAAGGACTCGCAGCCTTGGTATCCGGATCCCTTATAAGTTGTCCGACCTTCAAGGGACCATAGGAAAGGCAAAGTGCTTGCCCAGTTCTTGAGTACTTGGTTTCTTCGACAATCTCTTCCGGTCTATGGCCCGAGGTTGAATGTATTCCAGATTCTCTCGACCTATCGAAATTCTAGAATCCTCATCGAGGGACAGGTTGAGCTAAACAGTCTCTCAACTCCTGCTGCTGTTGTGTTCATCTCTCGTATTCGTCCATCTTGATCCGCAGCCTGGGCTCTCGCCCCTGAGTCTTATCGAGACCGAGTTGTACCTGTGAGACGGACAGCGGAGGGTGGGAGGAGAGGCGAGGACCGGTGCGCGCTGACGCGAGATCTGTCGAACGTATGAGGGAACTCTCTGCTGTACGAGGACTCGCAAGACTCAGTGGCATGGAGGTGTGGCGCAGGCGATGGTACGCCTGGTCCCTGGATCTTGGTGTCTCCACATCGAAAACCCCAATGGAACTGGCGGGGCGACAAGGAAATTTGTTGACTGGCCCCTTGCATGACGTATCACGGTGTCACCGAACTGGATAAGTGTGATGCAAACTACCCAGAGGTTGACTACGAGTGCACATGTCTGCTTGTCGGGAAGAGGGAAATTTCTCATGCGAGTGCAAGATGAGCAAAACAAGGTAGACGGCTTGAATAAGAGAATCTCCCGCGAGTATGATTATTACCTAGCTTGTAAGCTATGAAGTACAGACGATTCTATCATGATATCGTTGTGATTCCCCGAACCTCTCTCACTCCTTCAAAATCGTGGCCAGTGCTGTTGATACAGATTGGTATAGATGCCGTGACCATCTAATCTATCCTCCACTAATTGGCTCTTGGGTGGTTGTCATGAGATCAGTGGCATAAGGGAGGGTATGCTTCGCTCAGTTCACACTGACTAGTAGTTGGTCGCGGGAGCCGAGTAGCCCTGCATACCGTATCCTGGCTGACCATACTTCGGCTCAGAGGTAACAGGAACATGGCCACCTTGCATCGTCGATCCGGTCATACCAGTCTCGTGGCTGGGGCGGTAAGCTCCTGTGGGCGTGGTCCCTGTCGCCATCTCCGCGTCGCGGGTAGTCCCATTTGCACGGTTGCGCTTCCAGAATGGTCGACGGCCGAAGCCCTTGGTGTAGTTGTTTGCGGGGCTAGGTCCATAGCGCTTCTCTTTCTTGTGGTGACGGGCCAACATCATTTGCATGCCCGCAGTGATCAAGAAAAGGAAGATGTTCAAGACGGCCATGGCGAAGCAAGCGGTGTTCAGACTGCAGACGTAGCCCCAATCACCGGCACCGGGTGCGGCCTCGCTGGAAAGGCCGACACCCAAAGGAGTATTGACGAAGCCCTTGCATGAGTTGGCGCCGTGGCGTGTGTAGTAGGCGATGGCGGCAAAGCAGCCCACAAAGCAGATGTCGAGGATGACAGCAAGCAGGGCGAAGAAAGAGATGCCTCCCAGGCAGAGGGTAAAGAGGACGCCGAATATGGTGTACAGGACTGCTGCGCCAGACATGCCTTCAACGGCTTTCTCCCATCTTGGAATGAAGATGTTCTTGTCGGCCATTACGGCCAGGAAGTAGCTGTAGATACCGAGGATGATGGCCGAGGATGCAAACTCGAGGAGGCGCAGGCCTGTTTGGCCGAAACGAAGGAGGGCGCCGCCGAGAGCCATGGTGTTTGGGCGTCGATCGAGGGTTGAGTATCAAACGGAGGGCTTGTCGCGTGCGCTGGAGGATGATATGTGGAAGACGGAGAATACGAAAGAGAGTTGGGGGCTATCAGGGCCTCTTGTAGTTTCACGCAAGGGGTCAAAGGGTCTTGGGAGCATCCTGGTCTGTGATCGTCGTGAGCAACAAAACATGGGCAGAGAAAGTTGGCGGGTGACGTGGTGGCGTCGATCATCAGCTGGCACTGGCATCACCTTCAGGTGCTTTTCTTTCTTCCAGACGCAGAGCAGGGAACAGTGGCGCTCGCAGCGGGGATCTGGTTGGCTGCAGACTCTGCTGCGCCACAGGAATGACCGAACAGCAGGTCCACCGCATTCTTGGCGCTCCCACCGCGAATCATTTTCCCGCGACGCCATTGGTCCGATCACCACCACCTCAATTTTCGATTGCTGGATTCAAGGATTTTCACCCGACCAACAGTCCCAAAGGAGAAATGTGTGCGCCACAACACACGAGGCGTGAGGCTTGACGAGAAAACTCCCCTTCCGTCAATGCCCGCCACCTGGGATGCGTGCCACATTGGCCCAACCCCCTGCGAAACACCTCGATTTCAATGGAAAAGCGCTGGATTGGAACAAAAAGGTTCTTCTGGATTCATCTAATCATCATTATTAGCACGTCTTATGGTCTTTTAGACTTCGGCCTGCAAAGTCAATGGCAAATATGTCCATGAAGAGAACGTGAACTATGCCTTCGGTTCCTTTTGCAGATGCAGTGGATGAAGCCTGGATTCGAAACACAATCGACGTATGATACGCATTCCATCCCCTGTCCCATTCACTCTTCAATCACAATTGCATCACTAGTCCAGCAGTCAAGGCGCCCAGGATAAGAGATCCGAATCTCATATCGTTCACCTTTGCGGCTGCATTGGTGTTTGTGGGCTGGCTACCGGCCGTGGTGGCACTGGGCGACGAAGATGGAGTGCTGTTGGGTGTGCTTCCGCTGGTGTTGTTGCCTGGCAAGTTGCTCTCATCATTGGGCAGAATGGTAAGTTGGAGCCCGGTGATTTCTTGGCCATCGACGTCGTACACGGTTTGTGAAGGCTTGGTGTTCGTGACTGATGAGGTGCCTGTCGGGAACTTGCCAGAGACGCCATTCTGAATCAACGTGTCGACGCCGTCTGGGCGAGTGGGCAGGTCGAAGCTGGTGCTAAAGTTGGATCCAGCCAGCAAATCAGCGGCACACACTGGAGGCGTGAGCGACGTTGCCGTGGCATTGGCTCTCTCGAGCGCGTTGACATCCAGCGAATCGTACTGCTGTCGAAGATTGTCGTAGTCGGGTAGAATGGACACGGTTCCGTTGTCATTGAGATTCACCAAGCCATAGTTGTTGGGTTCCTCGCTGTACTCGTAGATGAGACCGCCAGAAAAGACGGGTGTCATGTTCTCCGAGTAGAGGACGGGGACTTCGGTAAACAGTCGTGGAGTAACCAGGTTGCAGCCGTACTCGGAGAAGAAGACTGGGATTGTGGTATTACCAAAGTCGCCAACCAGGACGTCGTATCCAGAAGACTGGAAAGTGGCATTGCCACACCAGGAGTAAGAGTTGAGGCCGAAGAAATCAATCTTGGAGCTGGTGTCATTGTCCAACCCGCAAGACAAGTAGTTGAATGTGCCCATAAGCAGGGGACGGACATCGGCAGCAGAATAGCCAACAGGGATTGATCTTGGTGCTTGTTTGGAGATGTAATCCTTGAGGTCTCTGGTGACTGCCCGAATGTAGGACGGCACCTCCGGGACCGAGTCCTCATTGATGACCTCGTTTCCACTGAAGAATCCCAAGGTGTTGTTGAAGTGCATGAAGGCTTCCACGACATCAAAAACACGCTCCAGATACGCAGAAGTGTACGATTCCCAGGGTGCGCCGCGGTTGAGAGACTGGTTCGGCAAGGGACTGTTGACGTCAAGGATCATGTAGATACCGGCGGCGTTGAAGATAGAGGCGCAAGCAGAGTGGTCCAAGTCAGGGTCGAGGTTGTAGACGCGGATAGTGTTGACACCCAGGCGTTGCATGAGCACGGCATCTCGGAGGCAGATATCAGCATCGCTCAACGGGTCGAGGCCAGAGCCGGGATTGAAACCCGAAGAACCACCAGGTTGATAGCTGCACAACTTGTCAGTATGTTGTTGACAGAGAGATCCCTTCTCTTACGCAACACCAATGATCTGGAAACGCGTGCCATCAACACTGTTGACGAAATCGGAGCCCTGAACAACGAGCGGCGAGACAGCCAAGGCGTAGGATGCGAAGAGGGCGAAGAGGGCCAAAAAGGCAGTTTTGAGCTGGCGAGAGGTCAGTATTCGTCCACGAGTAGATGGCAACACTTTACCTGAGCCATTGTGACCGGTCAGTTGAGCTTTGGATTATGCAAAAGTGGTCAAGAAGAAAGTGAACGGTAGAACACGATGAACGGAGCGAGGGGACGGCTGGAGATTACTATGCCAGGCGCAGGTGAAGTTTCCGGAATGAAGGACGCCGCTTTGGGGGAAGAAGGCGCGAAGGACGAAGTGAATGCACGCCGTCGATTAAACAACCGCAGGCGCGACTCTCATAGAGAGAAAAACGAAGGTGGTGATGAAGGGACTGATAGAGCAGTTGGAAGGAGACGGGAGGGAGACGACATACTCCATCGAGCTCATGTTCGTTTCTCGACGGACAATCTGCACCCTCTATCAGTGTCTGCATCCGGAGTCCATGCACCTACTCCAGTTTGGGTATGGTATGACAGATTTCGTGGGTATCATTCGCGATATGCGCCTCCACTTCAGGCCTGCTTGCATGCGGCGTCCAGGGACACCACGGCCCACGGCTCTAGCTGCTGCCAATCATTTTCTCCTCTTGAAAGTGGCGGACCTCCCCAGTGCTAACGGGTCTGGAGATTACCCGACGAGCAAGCCGGCGCGGGCGACGTTTGATTGCATTCCTGGGATGGGCTTCACGCCAGGCGGAAACGTGGGATGTGCTGGGAGAGACATGAGACGCAAGCGCACTGTGACGCGCAATCTTGATGATACATCACGAACGGAGCACAACGTCTACAGACAGGATAGATTTGCGGAGAGATGTGGACACGATGAGCAGCAAACAAGTCTTGTGGAACTGAGATCTGGCAAGGGAGGAAGGTCAGCCGATGTCATACTGTGAGTGAGTTCCTGCGGGCGCATGTGGTTTGTGTACAAACAAACAAACTCAGCAGCAAACGATGCCATTCTCTCCCTTCCCTTCTGGATATTTCTAATATGGCTTCCTCACAGAAAGCGACTGTCTCTGGACCGCGCGAGAGGCGAATTGTCTTCTTCCACCCAGATCTGGGGATTGGTGGTGCCGAGAGGCTGATCGTTGATGCCGCAGTCGGTCTACAAGAGCAGGGAAACAAAGTCACGATCTTTACCTCGCACTGCGACCCCAATCATTGTTTTGAAGAGGCGCGAGATGGTCAGTCCCCCGCCCTTCGCTTGCGATCCCGCCGTAGCTAAATCATTGACAGACCGGTGAGTATAGGCACCCTCGATGTCAGAGTCCGCGGAAACACTCTCTTTCCTCCCTCTTTCCTGAACCGCTTCCACATCCTCCTTGCGATCCTGCGTCAAATCCATCTTGTGTTCCAGATCGCACTTTGGACCAATGAATTGAGCACACTGCGACCGGACGTCTTTGTGGTCGACCAGCTCTCGGCCTGCATTCCGTTGCTCAGATGGCTCTACCCCCATCGCCAACGGACCCTGTTCTACTGTCATTTTCCAGATCAACTACTTGCCGATCGCCGAGCCTCTGGCCTGCTTGGACTTGCAAAAACAATCTACAGGTTTCCCTTCGATTGGTTTGAAGGTTGGAGTATGAGTGCGAGTGACAGGATAGTCGTCAACTCCAAGTTCACAAAATCCGTTGCTTCGAGAGTCTGGCCTTCCCTGGCGGAGTCGTTAGGCGTCATATACCCCTGCGTCAATGATGGATCGAAAGAGGCCGAGGCCGATGTAGACGGGACTACACTCTGGGACGGTCAGTTCAAGATTCTCCTCAGCATAAATCGATTTGAGCGAAAAAAAGATATCGGCTTGGCTGTCCGAGCATATCATGAACTGTCTCCTGCGGCCCGTCAAGGTACCCGGCTGATCATAGCGGGGGGCTACGACCAAAGGGTCCATGAGAATGTGGAATATCATAAAGAGCTGGTAGACTTGGCCGAAGGGTTGGGTCTATCTACTGCCACTGCCAAAACAGTACCAACGGCTTTAGGCATTCCGAGCGGCATACAAGTCTTGTTTTTGCTGTCCGTGCCAGGATTCTTCAAAGAGACTCTCTTGAAAAACGCTCGATTGTTACTGTACACTCCTTCGAATGAGCACTTTGGGATTGTGCCGGTAGAAGCCATGCAGCACGGGCTCCCTGTTCTCGCTTCAAACACTGGTGGGCCGTTGGAGACCATCGTCGAGGGCGAGACAGGTTGGTTGCGTGACTCATCCAAGGTGGAAGAATGGACAGCAGTTATCAACCAAGCGCTGCATGAACTTAGTACGAGTGATCTCGAGCGGATGGGTCGGAATGGGCGAGAAAGAGTCCGCGGGCACTTTAGTAGGAGTACAATGGCAGGGAAATTCAACCACGAGATGACCCAGATGCTGAACAGCAAGAGGAGCACCTTTCTGGAGAGGAAAGACATCGTCCTGGCCGTCTGGCTCACGGCAGCGTTTGCAGCAGCATTGCTGGCCACAATCATCAAGGCCAAGTACGGGCGGGGGGATAGTAGGGCCAGTGAATTCGCCCGCGCCAGGAGAATGAACCCCGAAGCAGATCCCCAGCTGAAACTCTTTGATGGCAGAGTACAATAGGTAGATGACGAGTAGACAAAGATGAATTGAACAGTCCTGAAATGCACTTTACGCGAGAACGACGCGCGACGTTTGGATGCCAAGCTTGTTTGGGCTTTTCCTGATCGGGGTTTCCTCAGTCATGACAACACCTGCACCTTGTCTTGAGCTTCGTCGTTGTTAACCACACACAATTGCTGCTGGCAGATGATGCGCTCCCTTGGTGTCAATGCCTTCTTACTCTGTGCTTGACATATTTGGCCTGCAACAATGACTGAGGTGATTGTGCTTCTGTCATCATCACCCCCCAAAAGCCCCCGAGCCACGAGGGCTGCTCCTGTAGCGTTTGGCGCGAAGACATGGCTCGACGACGAGATTGATTTCGAGATCGACAAATTTGATGTGACTGGTTCGATTGATTTCGAGATCGATAGGCCTTATAAGAGACGCCGAAGCCCCGTTGTGGGTTTGCCTTCAAAATCTACACGAGCCAATATTGCCCCCGAACGACGCTCACCGGTGCCCTTTGAGATTCTCTCCAGTGACGGGCTGCAGGAAGAGCCCAGACTCAATGTTGGTGCGCCTGCTTTCTCACGCTCCTCGGAACGGAGGAAGGCCGAATTTTTCGATGAAATTACCTTTTCATCGTCCGCCCCAGAGCCATTGACCACGGAGAAAAGGAAGAATGTGGGCTTGTCCTGGACCTTGCCATCTGACGGGTCAGAAGACCATCTTATCGACGACCCATTGAGTCTCTCGCAGCGAATGAAAATGGGCTACGACCACAGGACGACGAATCTTCTGGCCACCCTCAACCCAGAATCCGCCGAAGAAAAGTGTATTGGATCTAAACCCTCCAAAGCTAAATCAACGCAGAACTTGGCAAGCGTGAGGGTAGCACCTAAAATCTTCGATGACATTGAATTCTCGTCCAGTCCTATGAACGTCAAAAGCACAAAACCTCCCAGATCACCTCAAGCCGAGAAGGCAGGCAGGACCAACGAGAGGGCACCAGAGAAGACCGCCGGGATAGCAGAGCGACAGGCTCTAAAAGAGGCCGAGAAAGAGAAGAAGAAGTTGGAGAGGGAACAGAAGGCGAAGGAGAAGCAGAAGGCGGCGGACCTTGCGGAGGTCAACAAATCACGGACTAACAAGAAAGACGCAACCCCAGAAATGATCTTGGATATGTCGAGCTTTCTCAAGCATACAAGCGTCGGCAATCAAGTCGAAGAGCGTATGAAGAATGTCCAGGTCGACGTAAACTATGTCGACGAGCAGGTCAACTTGGTTGACGACGACGGTGAACAAGTGCAACACGGAAGCATTATCACCTGGCGCCGTAAGGTGAAGTCAACGTACAACGACGAGGACGATCTGTGGGAGCCCACGTCCAGATGTCGTATCGTGAATGAAAACCACGTTTTGATCCATTTACCCGCCGCAGACTTTGTTGCCATTGCGGCCGTGTCGAGGTCAGGATTGGTGTCCAGCGTGGTGCGGGAGGAGCAAGAGCTCAAAGCGAACTTGGACGCACATGTTTCGTCGATCCGCCGGCGTTTTGGCAATTGCGTTCCAATCTATCTTATCGAAGGACTCCGGGGTTGGCTCCGGAAGAGCGAGAATGCGAAGAACCGAGCATACACGGCTGCTGTCCGAGCTCAGATGTTGGAGGCCGATGGTGCAAACTCAGCGAACACCGATCCTCCATCCCAGGCTAGAGGCCGAAAGAGGAAAAAGCCTGCAACCGAGTCACTAGACTTGTCTGGCGTGACGTCTGACATCGTCGACGACCTGCTTCTCCATCTTCAACTGGCTCATCAACCAATACTGATCCATCACACATCGACGCCAGGGGACTCGGTGTCTCAGATATGTGCACTGACGCAGCATCTTTCCACCCGGCCATATCGCTTGGCGCAGCTTGAGTACAACCTCAAATCTGCGTCGTTCTGCATGGACAGTGGGCAAGTCCGGACAGGTGACGACCCCAAAGACACATTTGTCAAAATGCTGCAAGAGGTGCAGAGAGTGACTCCCAGCATGGCCTACGGCATCGTCGAAGAATACAAGAGCATTCGAAAGCTGGTGAAAGGGTTCGATAAGCATGGCAACCTGTTGCTGGAACATGTTCGCAAGACGGTGAACAAAGACGGTGGATGGAGTGACAAGAGATTAGGTCCGCAGATCAGCAAGCGATTGTACAAAGTGTTTATGGGCAGGGACCCTACGTCGACGGATGGGATGTCATGAAATTATTGCCGAAAGCCGTATTTGGGTATAACAGATACGGACGGCAAGACCATTATGGATAGACGCATACTTCAGCATTGGCTATTCATACAAGGGACGAGCGGGAGTGATGAGGAAACAGAAATGCTGGACCGATGAATCAGGCAGAGACAGCCCAAAAATCAAACATCATGCTCAGTCGAGTACGGAATACATACCCTTTGTGCCTCGAACTGCGACTTCCTGCATGATGCCTTTCCTCGTCCGTCGCCGGGTCGAACAATGAAGGCAATACAGAATTACAGCCGTCGAATGCTCGCCACACCGCGTCATCAGGATTGTCTCCTGTTCGATGAGGCTCGGCAGGCCCTTCTTTCCACTCAGATTTATTCCAGGAGGACTGCAGCAATGCATTGCATCAAGTCAACTGCGGGGACCGAACGACAATCCTTTATCTCCCGATGAGGATCAAACCGACAACACCCTCGGACAGCTGCCTCGCAGACCGAGCGAAGACTTGAAAATGAGTTCTTGCTTTCAAAGTAATTTCTGCAAGAGATATCTCCAACAGTTGTCGAGCTCGCACCGAGGGTACAGGGCAGTCGTCGGCTTCCCCATGCTGACAGAGAGAGCCCATCGCAAGTCGTGGTAGGATCGAATCAATCGGCTCAATGTGACAATGCGGAGTTGCCCATGAATCGTGAGAACATCACACTCCCGACAAAAACGCCTGCCAACACGCTCAGGAAATACCCAACATTCATCGTCATGACGGCAATCATGCTCGTTAACGTTAGTATCCATCTATCAGGGACCCTTTCTGGCGCTGATACTCACAGTAAATATCCCACTGTCGCAAGTACCAGATCCATGAATCCTGTGACAACTGCATCTCTTGCTCGCCAGGCACGCCGAGGCGACTTTTCGTTGTCATATGGCTCATATCCCAAGCCACCGTTGCGGCGAGTATCGAAAGAAGCCAACAAAGGGTAGAAGTTGAATCGAATTGCCAGCAGTGCCCGGAAAATTGCGGCAAATGCGATCAAGAAAACGCATGTGCCGGCGTACTGGCCTTTAGTGTTCGGCGTCCAAGTCGTTGAGAAGAGCGGCGTAGTTGAGGAGAAGAAGAAGGTCATTGCCATAGAGTCCATGCCCGCCATGGTGGAGGACATTGGCATTGGAGAACTGGTTGAGCTGCCCATGGCCATGCCTGATGTCGTGGTGGACGCGGGCATCGACATCGACATCGACATTGACATGGCGCTGGATGCAGGCATTGACATTGACCCCATTGAGCTCATTGTCGACAAAGTTGACGCTGTTAACACTGACTGGTCGAAAGTCTGGGTTGAAGAGTCCGTTTGGCGGATATGTCTCGATGTGCTCATCGAAGACATGTATACTCTCTCGGTGTCCTCTCAATCATCGACTTCGACGGCAACCGACGTGGATTCATTTCTTGCCGCACCATCTCAGAGAAAACTTGCTCAAAGAAGTTCATTCCCGGTCCTCATTGGCTGTGGTTGTCGAACGGCCTCCTTCTCGTGGGAACGGTCTCCGCATGAGCACGTTTCCTGCAACATCCTCAACCAGCACCACAGAGCACCACAGAGCACCGCGACGCAGAGTCGTCTGTTACCGCGGTCATCTCCTTGAACTTGCGATGGCATTACACGACATGGGACGCCGTTGGGCCCTTAGCGAGCCGGTTGAGCACAAAATGGCGGCCAAGCGAGCCATGAAAATTCTTCCCAACGCTTCCTTAAAACGCGCCTCGAGGATGATCATCATATTCGCGACTGGTCTGTGTCAGAACTCTCCCAGAATCTTTGAAGCATCCTCCTTCGGCATCAGGACAAGATGGCGGCGTGGCTATACCAACCTGTTGTGTTCATGTCCAGCCGCGAATTCGACTGTGAAGGATTCACACCCGAGCAATGTGCATTCTACAAACATTGGCATAATTGGTGAGCCTCGTACCCCACGAATGATGCTGTGAGAACTTGCACTGACCAGGATTTAGGTATATCGCCGACTGGGCGTTTGCGCTGCCAACTGTGGCATTTTTCATGACTGGGATTGGCATCTTCATCATCGGCTACGTCCTCACCCAATTGCTCGCTCTATCGCGCCGACCTGGGCTTCCTATGTGGCGAAGAGTGATTGCCGCAACTCGATACTTGTCGTATCGAGGGTTTCATGTCAAGTCCATGGGGTGGAACTCTGCTCCTATCGGAGTGCTTTTTCTAGGAGTTGTAGCCACCATATATTTCTTCTGTGCGTCAGAGAGCGCATCTGATCTCCCCAAAGGAATGGATAACTGACTTTGGCAAGGCATGGAATTGGTCCCGTCTCCCTACTATTGGCCCGGTCCCGATACGGTCTGGGGCAACTCACCTCCTCTGGGTACCAGGTCTGGCTGGCTGGCTTTGGCATGTATGCCATTCCTCTTGTGCGTCCAGCCGGTCGACAATGCCTCAGCTTAGTTATGTGCTAACACAAGGCAGTGCGACCGCGAGCAAGTCGAACTGGATCACACTGGTGACAGGGGTTGCACATGAGAAACTCCAGATCTTTCACAGGTGGATCGCATATGCCTTTATGGTCACTGCGCTGATGCATACATTTCCCTTCATTGTTTGGCACATCCACAACCACGATATGGTCAATCAGTTCTGGGTGAGCAACATCTTCGAATACTGGACCGGCATTGTCGCTCTCCTGTTTCAGGCGTGGCTCACTTTCGCATCCTGGGGCCCGATCCGGTGAGTGATCTGTGTATACACCGTTGCATCCGAAGGGTGAATTAATTTCTGCCCAGAAACTTGGGCTACGAATTCTTCAAAGCTGCCCACCTCTTCTCCGCCGTCGTGTTCATGGTCGTTTTTTTCTGGCACTGTGGCGGTACGCTCACATCATGGTATGTTCTCGGTGCCCAAAATCGAAGCCACCTTTAACACCTGTCCAGGAACTACTTTGTGGCAACGGCAGCAATCTACGTACCTTGTTGGACGTACCCGTGGCTCCGAACACTGTTCGAATACGGCACTGGTCAAAAGGCACAAATTGTCGTCGAGGACAACGACTTCATCCGCGTCACTATACCTGCCCGCTTCCACTGGCAGCCCGGCCAACACTGTTTCTTGAGATTCCGCAGCTTCGGTCTTAGCGCTCTCACGTCTCACCCTTTCACCATCTGTTCGCTACCGTCGACATCGCCGGATAGGGCATCCGAGATTGTTTTCTATATTCGCCCGCGCAGCGGCTTTACAGGAAGGCTCTATAAATTTGCGATGGCGAATCCAGGTGTACAGGTACCAGTGTTTGTGGACGGTCCGTATGGAGGTATTGACAATCAGAAATACTTCAGCAGCGATCGTCTTATTGTGGCTGCTGGTGGCTCTGGTGCCGGGTGGATGCTCCCGTTCGTTGAGCAGTTTCTACACTACATTTCACTTGCAGAGCCTCAGAATCCCCAAGCTTCTGAAAAGGAAATGCGCGAGAGCACACAAGCTTCCGACGAGCCGACTCGACAAGGGGTCTTGCGTGGACCTCAATCTTTGCGTGTTATACTGGCAACACGAGACATGGCAACCCGTACATGGTTCCACTCTGCCTTGAACAATTTACTCTCAACCTACAAGTCACCGGGGTTCACTTATGATTTGAGCGTCGAAGTCCATTTGACTGGAGAGGCCGACCGGATCCTGCTACCTCCAATCAAGGCTGGCTCCGATCCAGAGAGACCCGACTCTTCATTGGAAAAGGAAACCCCTAGTACGCAAGGTCAGGATGGGCAAGAAGCACCTGATACAGTTGAAGTGCCAGAAGAAACGCGCGGTCGTCCCGATCTACCGGCGATCATTCGGGAGGAGGCGTCGGCAGCGGCAAGCACAGGGCGAACAGTCGGCGTCTTCGTCTGCGGACCGCTTGAGATGCAGGACGATGTGCGCAATGCCGCAGCGGCTGAAAACTTGAGGCTCTTGAAGAACCCGAGACCGGGTGGGATGTACTTGCATCTCGAGCATTTCTCGTGGGCATAGTCAGGTGCAATTCGAACCACTTCTGCTCTATGAGCTACTTTTCGGCATCTCGTGCCATCGAGTGCTTCTTGTAATCGAGTTGATAGTCCTAGCATGCTGGCGGCAGTGGCTGCCCGGGACATGTACAAGGCTGGCGGATTCTGTTCGAGGGTCGCGCGGGCCGAAATGCCTGGGGGAGACGGGGTGTGGACTTAGCAAGAACCTCTCTCGTTTGCATAGCCTTCTTGTTGGGTTTGTGGGAGGGGAGGGGGACGTGGCAAACCATCAAGGACGCCCAAGGACACGGTCAAGAAATCGGGATCGGCCAGCTGGGAGCGCAGACGCTCGGCGGGACTGATGCTCGAGGAACCCATGGTGAAGAAGTCGAAGATCGGTGCAAGCAACGCCTCTCCAAGGGATCGGTGTCTCACGAGCAGCTTTATAGATCCATTAACCGCAGGGTTGTCGTCTCGTTCATATACTCGGTACTCCTTACAAGGTACTTAGGTGGCTACCCGAACGAGAGGAGCAACTTCCCCCAACTCCAACTGAGGGACGGTGTCGATGCATCCTTCAACGTCCCATCACCAATTGAACTTCTGATAGAACTCGATTCGCGCTCCAATTCCACCTCGTCGGTCCGCATCAAAGTGCCAAAAAAAAGGGCTAAGAAACAAAAACAATCAACAGTCAGGATTCCCACCTGGTCACCCACGGTAGTACTAACTGACCGGCATGTGGCTTAAGTACGGCTGAGCGAACGGGAAGCCCTGTTTTCCACATCCTATGGTCGATTGCGAGAATGAAAGCGTTACGATAATCTATATACCTTTCTTTATTGGCGAGCCTCACTCCTTTTCCACCACCAGGATCCCAAAGTCCGGATACTCCAGCCAGCGGTCAAAATACCCCGGCGCCACCGGCTGCTTCATGTAGCGGTTGATCTCGTCGTAGTCGGGCGGCAAGGCGACGGCCTCCCAGGTCAACGCGCCCGTCATGCCGCCCTGGCGCGCCGCGGCCTCGTGCACACGCTTGGGCAGGTAGTAGTTGCCAAAGTCGACGGGCGGGGCGGTGTCGAAGAACAGGTGCACGTAGTACCCGTGCGGGACGTCCACGAGGGCCTTGCGCACCTCGATCCCGTACCCGTACCCGAGCGCGCGCTGCGCGTTGACCTGCGCGATGCACACCATCGGGTCGTCCTCCGGGTGCGGGAGCACGCTGACCAGCCGGCCGCCGGGCTTGAGGTGCGTCGCGATGTTGCCGAACATGGCGGCCATGGACGCCTGGTCCGGCGCGTAGTTGAGCAGCCACGCCGCGAAGACGAGGTCGAAGCCGCCGCCGTCGGCGGAAAACGGCGCGCTGCAGTCCGCCACCATGAACCGGTACTTGCCCGCGTGCTCGGGCTGCTTCGCCGTCTCGGCCTCGGCCACCGCCACCATCGCCGGCGACACGTCCACGCCCACCACGCTCGCCGCGCCCCAGTCCAGCATGTGCCGCGTGAAGAAGCCCGTCCCGCACGCGAGCTCCAGCACCCGCGCGCCCCGGATGTGCGGCCGGATCAGGCGTTCCACGTTGACGACGATGGCCCGCGAGATGGGCAGGTCGTTGACCGAGTCGTACGCCGTCGAGATGGCGTTGTACTGCGTCTTGGAGAAGTGGGCCATTGCGTTCAAACAAAAAAAAAAAGGGAGGCTTGTCCTTCAAGATTTACCTACGCCGTAAATGTAGAGCGAGGGGGGGATAGATGTGGGAGTGGGAATGGGAGCATTGGTGAGAAGGGGGGGATAAGACGATGATGATGATAAGGGCTGGCAGCCTTGCCAAGAAAGGGGACGAGATTCATCGCGCTACTGGAACAATCACGACAACGGTAAGAGAAGAGCATTTATGAAACGAAAAAAGAGTATTTGGAACTCGTGCATTGTGCTGTTATCTTCAAACCATCAACATGTCCTGTTGTGAAGCTTAGAGGTGGCTGTAATACCAACTGTCGCCGTTGAATATGGTTGAGACAGCCTAGCCACTCATCTCACCTTGTTTACGCTTCTTGTTGGGATGCTTTGACGTGACGAACACTTGTTCGAGCCGGACGTCTGGAACTCCCATGCGGAAACCGTGTATCCAAGCTTTCTGGAAAGCGGCCGGCCAGAGCCACAGTGGAAGAATCGACTCCTCAGAACTTCGTTGGGGGAGCAGGCCACCTGTTGCTTTCCTGAACGTTGAGTTGAAGTCATCTTCATCCAGCCATGCTTTGTGTGATTCACACGCACGCACTACCATCTGACCGGGACCACTGAACGCCGTGTCAAGGTCGGTGGTGATGCCTCTGTTGAAATCCTTCCAAAGGAGAGTAAGATCCTTCTCGAGTCGAGGGAATTCTTGGCCCGTAAGGCTGCTACCTTTCAGGGACTCAAACTGTTTCTCGAGGGCTTGGGCATGGCTCTTAGTTCGTCGCAGAAGGCTTCCCCCGAGATCATTGAGTACCTCGCATTGTAGCTTGAATCTTGTGTCAGATTCAAACTTACTGAGGCGGCCCTCCAACATATCGCTTCTGTTTGTCTGTCTGAGCACAAATTGAATGTCTCTCTCAACATTCAGCCATTCCTCCAAGAACCATTGGGTGTAGCGGCTCGCTTTCTTCCAGTCCGACATGTTGATGTTGTGGAATTCAATGCATTTACTGATATGCGCCTGCGCTTCTTCCAGATACTTAGGACGCAATCCCGGGTGCTTTCGTTCTTCGGCAGTAATCTTGGTGCAGTCGAGCGTGCTCACATCGACCCTTTCGCCATTTACCACAAGTACCGGTAGCTTCGGATCTTGTAATTCGCCTACTGACCGTTCACATCCGAAAGCATCTTTTGTTGGCTGTGCTATTGATTTTGTAGGCGGCTGCTCGTGCGTGGGCGGCTGTGGTTTGGCATCATACCCTGAGTTTGGTATATGTGGGTGGTGATCGACACCACGGAAGCCATCGTCAACGGTTTTGGGCGATAGCGGCTTGAATTCGTCCCCACTTGAAACTGGAGGCGGTCGACCAGTCTTTTCAGCGTCTTTTGGGTTAATACGGGCCTCCACTTTCGGACGACGTCTCTTCTCTCCGGGGAAATCTCCTGGATTAGGGGACCACATGTATGGCCTATGGTAGGCTGGATCGTAGTTGGGCTTTGGCCCCTTGTTATGCTTCGAGAGGAGGAGTTTGAGTGAGTAGTGGATTCCCTTGTCAGCTTCAACCAGGCCAGCGTGAATGCCCGTCTTGCTGTACGCAGGTGGCAGGTCCGGCCAATCGGTGCTACCCTTTGAATATGTAGGCTCGTAGAAGCATATCGGGAATGGAACCTTGTTCGCACCAGGAGGCCATGGTCGTAGGTACTGGCTGTAAGGTTCATAATATCGATTTTCGATGGCAGGGTTGTCGGGCAGATCTCGCCATTCACCCAACCCACATTCTGCCACGTTATGGCCCTTGTTTCGGCATTTTGTGCACGGACCCATACCTAAGCCTTTTTCTCTCCAGGCTTCAAACATGTGGATGGCCGTGTAGTGCAGCTTGCTTGGGTGTCGGTAGCTGCAAATATTGCATGTGCAGTTCGGAGACACTTTCATGCGGATTGTGCCGACCTTGTTCCTGGTTCTGGGCCAATGATCTTCTGGCCAGACGCTCTCCCGCAAGCGATGGATGGCATTTCTGGCTCGCCCGGGTTTTGGGTTTGGAAGCTCAGAGCCTCTCGGTAACTTCGACCTGAGGAATTTACACTCAAGCTGAGTGATGCCTGGCCAGACACCCTCTGGGTTTTATGTTCCACCTCTTCATTGTGTTCATGCCTTTGGGGACCTTTCTGGGGCAGTGGCTGCTTATGTTGTATTGTTTGGGATCTTAACCGGGTTAGGATATCGCACTCCTTTCCACTCGGCACGGAGCCAGTTTCTTCTTTCGTGTCTTTGCTTGGGATTTTGTTATAAACTTCCATCGTTTTTTCTTCAAGGTCCTTTTCCATAGTCTGGTACATTCTTTCATCCATCTCCAGGAGCTCCTGTCGCGTTGGAGCTGTAGATGCAGATGGTATGGTAACAACAGACGCGAGGCCCGTGTCCACGTTCTCATACCTGGCACCAGGCCGCACAGGTTGAGTCATGTTCTGATTTCCAGGCTGGAAAGGCACAGATGAAGGCAGAGGTTGGCTTTGGGGGGGTTGATATCGTAGACATGGCCGAGCTTGGTTTCCAGATTGATTTTGAAACGCTCCCTGTAAGGGGGCGTTTAGCGTTGGAAACCCTGCACCGCATTGGTTGCAGAAGCGACTGTTTGGGTCCTCATTGAAGAAATAGCAGCATTGGCACTGCATGGTGGATGGTGGAAGTGTCGTGTGTAGATGAAAGCAAGAAGGAAGAAGGGCGAGGCAATGTGAGAATTGAAAGAGGATACACGCGTGCGCCGCAGGCAGGCGGCGCTTGGCGGCAACAACATATACACCAACATGACGGCGGATGGGATGAGAAAGTGAATATCCCATTCGTTCGTACACCGGGAAACCCCATGCTCATCACTTCGTCTGGTCAATCTGGCTCCCTTCATCGTCTTTTCATGAACGGCATGCGCTCACTCTTTCAACCTCTCCCTAACCATCGATCCCACTTACCATTCCGATCGTCCTAGCTGATACGAAACATGTAGATCAGTCTCAAGTAGGATCTGGACACGCACGGTGTCTTTGTGACACCATGCATACTTGTGTTCTCATGCGGACGTGTGAGCAAGGGACCAAGATTTCTCGCCAGTGAAGCGGACGTTAAAAGGAGGCGGACCGGCGAGGCTGGGCTGACGTCAATGCAGCCTCGTCAAGTCAAGCGGTCCGCCCTACGTATGTACCTAGCCGATATATACTTCCCATACTCTCTTATGCACTCATACTAGCTACGGCTCGGCTACGCGCATCTGCTTGCCCCGGTGCGCATTACCTCTGGCATTTCAGGCTGTATTTCTTTCGATGCTGAGCCGGTGCTGGCTGCTACTCTTCGCGTGCCATGTGCCATGCAAAACGATTGACAGGGTTTGAAATGATCATGAAAGACTTTGCATTCACACCGCTGGCGAGTTCCACACAGTATTTATGACTATTTCCTAGCCTTGGACCATCGGCCTTTCAAGATCTTCTCCAGATGGAGTCGACATCTTCCAGAAACAGAACAGTCTGGGACAATCCCTCACGATCTGAGCCAATCGCCGCCAGTGCTCTCATACCATTGCACCTAAGCACTAAGCACTTCTTGCAGCCACGTATTCCTTGACATTCGGACGCTCCGAGATGGCAGCCTTCAGCGCCTTGAGGCTGTCCGGAAGCGATTTCTGGGAGAGAGCTAAGTGTTAGCACAGGGAGCAGGTGAAGCCATGAACCTGGTCGATGGCAAGGAATCTATGACATACAGGACCCCAACCGAGCACCTCGTCATTATCCAACGCCTGGAAGACGGCAAAGTCGGCATATGTGGGGGTATTTCCCAGGAGGTACGGGCCGGGTTTTCGAGAATAGAACTTGTCCCAGATGCCGTGGTAGAGAGGCACCGTCTCGGTCTTGTATGCAGGGTTGTTCTCGGTCAAATTGGCCACCCACCGAAACTGCGTCAAATCTCAGTGCCTCTTCGAAGCCACCACGCAGGTGTAGCAGATGCACGGGCGGTACGTACCCTCCAGTCAATGTAAGTGTCGGCAACAGCATCCACCAGCCACTTCTCATAGTTTGTGGTTCCGTCATAGGCACCCACGGAGCGTGAGAGATATCTCAGGATCGGGATGTGCTGTGCTAATGTTTAGACAGACATACACGGCAGGCCGGTCATGCGACCTAGCACCGGGACCCATCACAAAGGGAGTGCCTGAGGGTTTCTCTTCTCACCTGAGACAGAATCTGGCCGTCAATATCCAATGACGGCAGCTTCCGGGTGACGGTCAATCCCTTCTCCTCGAACTCCTTGCCGATCTTGGCCCAGGTTTCGTCGTACGCATAACGCTTGTCCTCGTAGTCGATGCCGAGTTCCCTCAGGAACAGCCTGCTCTCGGGAGTCAGCTACCAGGCGCGACGAACATCCACCCAACGAGAAGGTTTCCCAGCAACATGCTACTGCTTCTACCTACCTGACAACCTCCCCACGACCTTTGCTTCCGAGGTCAAAATAGTAGAGGATGGGCTTCTTCGCTGCGGCCATTGTATCAAACACTTTGCAGGACGATGGATAGTGTCGGAGACTGTGAAAATCGCTGCAATATACCAGCGAGGGAGAAAGAAACCGGGTGAAGGGTAGACGGTCTATATGAAGGGGACAAGCATACTTTATGAACCCCGAGCGAGCATTCAGGATTACGGCATCTTCCCCTCGGCGACACCCACGTCCTCCAAACTCAAAGGCCTTCCGTGGCCGTGAGATCCAAGATCCTCATGCACCTGTCATAGCCCGTGCCCAATCAGGACGCAGCTGCTCTTGTCTATACGGGAAACGATCAGGCTGCGTGGCTGCTTTTTCGATTTGGAAAAGCGGCGTCGGCGGGCCCACATTGCCCAGTGTAGAAATTCCTGCCTAGACGGGATATTACTAAACAACATCTCAGACAAAACACACTTCTCACTCCCATCCCAGGGTTAACGAATGTCGGGGAATCGGTGGAGCCGCAGGACGAGTATTCGTTCATCAACTGTTCCTTTCGACCGCTGGCCCGGGGCCGCATGGCGCAACGGCCTTCAAGGCCAGTCAGTTGCTCCCTCCGCATTTCCCACTCAGATAGACAGGGATATGGAATGGAACTGAATGAATTGAACCAGCGAGTGAGTGAGTGACACGGGCCAAGGCGCATCCAGTGTCGAGTCCACATCCTTCGACTTCACGAAGCCACTCGCATTCCCGGCTCTCTGACTGTGCATGCATGGATAAGTACGAGTAGGTACCGAATTGAAACACTGAACTCGCCGTGCTGCTTTAGGGGGACTCTGAAAGCGCTGCTTTACCTGTGCATGTGTATGTACATGTACGCGTGCATATAGGATCGATCAGGCAACTGATACTTGTTCTATCAAAGAGACTCCCACCGCCTAGAACCTGTCGACACCAGTGCGTGCTGGTATCCTTACATGTGGCCTAGAAAGATGGTGGAACGGGCTTCCGCCTCGCTCCTGGTGTCTAAATCACTCAGCCAGGGCGGTTAGCTACGTTAACCAACCGTCCTGCTGGTGGCCGAGGCGTTCTACGAGTATGACGACGAAAATGAGTGCATTTAACCATGTCTCGATTCATGGCCCGCCCGTTGCCCGCGTCTATGTACCTGCCGAGAGCCTCTCTCCTATCCCAACAAGACCACCAATTCCCGGAGCTCCCTATTCACGCCGGGTCCCCCCCTCCCGCTGCAACGTCGACGGCAACGCCCTTGATGACGTCGCTGGCCCTCTCGGCCACGGCGTACGCGACGGCCTGCAAATGCGCGCCGGGGATGACCGGGAAGACGGAGGTGTCGACGACCCGCAGATTGCGCGTGCCGTAGACGGTGAGGTTGGCGTCGACCACGCCGCCCAGGTCGAGCGGGAGCATGGCGGCCGTGCCGGCGTAGTGGAACTCGGTGCCGACCCCGCGGCGGAGGAGGGCTGAGATCTGCTCGCGCGTCATGTCGCGCGGGATGCTGCCGTTGGGGAACGCCGGCTCCAGCCCGCCCTGCAGGACGGCGCCCGTGGAGAGGATTCGCTGGTTGAAGCGCACGGCGAGGAGCAGGGTCTCAAAGTCGACGGCGTGGCTGAGCCAGTTCGGGTTCACGGCCGGGTCGTCTCGCGCGGCGGCGGACGTGATGTGCACCGTCCCCCGCGACAGCGGGCGCATCAGCGCCAGGTCCAGTCCGCCCGAGTTGTCGTTGAGGATCTCGTACGCGGGCGTGGTGTTGAGCAGGAGGGACTCTGCCACCATGTTGTGCTGCATGCCGTACCCGATCACGACGCTGAGGCCGCTTCGGTCCGGATTGCTGTATTCCGGCGGTAACGCGGACGGCTGAAGTCCGAAGCACTCCATTGCTTCCTGGATCAGAGAGATGTAGCGGGTGGAGTTGGTCACTTGGGCGAGAGAGGGGAACGCGACAGCGGTGGAAGGCTTTGCTGTCCAGGGGCCGGTTCGCGAGGAGAAATAGGTGAGTTCCGCGGCGGTGTCGAAGCTCGAATTCGTGAGGAGCCAGGCTGGGGTCGGGATAGATGTGTTTTGAACTGTTGTGGGTTAGGCAGAGCTGCACGTAGGTATCAAAGCCTTCAAGGAACCAGTGGAACAACAGTAGAGATCATGAGAAGACTTACAGGGATAGGACAGATGTATCATCGCGTGATCCTGCAGATTGTTGCCCACCCCGGGTAGATCTTGGACAACAGGGATTCCGAGAGACGACAGCAGGCTTGCATTCCCTATGCCAGATAACTCTAGAATCTGTGGGGTATGAATGCCGCCAGCCGCAAGGATCACTTCACGGGTCGCTCCGACCGACCACGTCGTGTTGCTGAGAAGATCCCATACCTGTACAGTTGTCAGCCCGACCTGGAGTTTTGACACATCAGATCGGACATACTTGGACGCCCACTGCTCGAATTACATTAGGTCCTGTCGAGTTGCTATCGAAGAGGATCCGTTCGACCCGAGCGTTCGTGATGAGATGATAATTCGGACGGCCAGCAGCCATGTCGTGGTATACACGTCGTGCGTCAGAGCGAGTCTGATTGACTGGGTCTATCGACGATGGCAAGAAGTAATTCCCGGCGCACAGTCCTTCGTTGGGGTCGAAGCAGGTCGGGATATGGAGAGCATCAAGTGCCTCGAACCAGGTGCCTGTATACTGTCAGCCGGAAGCTCTCATTGGGCCAGCAGTAAGCCTAGGATGTCAATGTTTACTTGTCTGTGGCCAGAAGTATTGGGGATAAGAAACATTGACCGGGCCGGAGGAGCCGTGCATTGCTTCGACAAATGTGACGGGCTGATTCTGGACGCCGTCGTAATATCGTGGTGTGTACGTCTCGGACTTTTTGAAATAGGGCAGCAGGTTCTCCCAGTCCCAGCCTGGATTCCCTAATGCCGCCCAAATGTTGAAATCGTTTTGAATGCCGCGATTCCATATCATGCCGTTGATGAGGCTGCCTCCACCAACGCCCTTGCCCATGACGACCACACGCGACTTGCCATCGAGTTGGTTTTGTGGTGTCGTGTTGATGTCCCATTCGTATTTGGCAGGCCGCTCGCCGATGTAGACGGGGATTTCGACCGAGTCCTCATAGTTGTCACTGTCGTTGTCAGCTCAGCACGTGAGGCGCGAGTGGATAGACCTACAGAGCGCCAGCCTCGATGCAGACAACAGAGACGGTTGGGTCTTCGCTCAGCCTCGCAGCCGCCACTAGGCCAGCAATTCCACAACCGACCACCACATAGTCATATGCGTCTGCTGTCGTGTTGTCTGGAGTATCGTGTGAAGTGGATGGGAAGCAGGTGATGAACCGTGCAACAAGAAGAGACAGGAAAAGTACGAGTTTCATTGTGGATGTTGCTCGCGGCTTTATGCTCAAGAGTCGACAAGAGGAGATGAGAAGAGCGTGCAGACAGGGCTTTTGATTTGGATAAAGGATGATACCGAAGTCCTGCGTGCTTATGGATTGAATTGGGAAGACAATGAAAAACTCAGTGACAAACAAAAGATGCAGAAAGGCGCACGGCAGAAAAGACAAACAATGTACCAAGGTGTCAGTCGTGTCGATGGCAGTCGCCGCAGCGACAGTCATTTGGTCGCGCGACTGAAAACGCAAGATGTAGAGACAGTCAGGATCGGATCCACAACTGGATGTATTTATGAATAACAAGATCTGACTCCTACCCGTGCGGACAGAAGTCATTACCCAAGGCCGACGACTGTACCACCTCGCTAGCAGGACCGCTGGCCTTTGCGCTTTCTGGCTGCTCTCTCGAGTCGAAACGCCGCACTCTGGTGATCAAGCATGCTGGGACGCTGCAACAAATCAATATTCTGCCCGATCGCTGTGGTCGGTATGCTCGAAGTCTGTACGTAGGATTCATGTGGCTGAGAGATGTGCATCTGATTCATCGCGTCAAGCACGTGGACTTGGTGGGCAGCAGGAATGTAAGTGACGGGAAGGCCTTTCGGGGAACTCAATTCGTAAGGAGAAACTGTATCAGTAGGGCTGATTCCGGGTCCACTGCCAGCTTCAGCAACCCCGTAGTATTCCTGGGGTGTATGCCCGAATCCTGACTGTGTTGGGCGTATGACTGGTGTCTGGGGAACATGAATCGAAACAGAGTGATTCAGGGGTTGTGGCAATTGAATGTATTGCGTTTGAAGCGTTGGAGCGTTGAGAGTCTGCGCAGAAGGGCCGGACAAGTGTGCGGTCCAGCTGGGCAATTTGTCCCCAGTGAACGACATTCCAAAATTGTGGAGGTTAGGAGAGCTGTGGCGCCATTGACGTTGTTCCATTCTTTCCATGTCTGCAAAGATAGTGGCCAGTCTGGCCTCGAAAGCCTGTCGATTCTTCACGCATCTGTTCAGGCGTGATCTCTTCTTTCTGATGATCCTTTTCAAAGACTTGGCCAACTCCCGGGAACCCTCAGTTTTCCGCACTTCCCCTAGTTTCGCTTGTGCCTTTGCTATCTCTGCAGTCAACTTTCTGTCAAGGCACTCTGCGGCACTTATACGATCCTGAATATACTCTGCCTCTTGACGGACTTGGGAGTGCAGAGCCGTGACCAGCGTTGGTCTCGAGGAGCCGAAAGGTGCTAGATTCTGGAAAGGGGGCATGTCGGATCTGTTCGAACTTGAGTGTCGCAGGAAGATGGAAGAACCAGATTGACTTCCGCGCACGGATTTGTGTGAACACCGTCTTTGACTTGTTGGCTTCACAAAGAAGCAAGGCTGACGAATAGCACCGCGCTCAGCAAAAATAGGCCAGGAATGTGGGTTTTCATCGCACAATGAAGCTTTGGCCACACAAAGCCCGCTCGTCTTGACACAATGGCTGATTTCGCGACTTCTCTGGTTGTCACTAGACTCTGTGAAGGTCGTTCAGATGGCTCACCGTGGTTCCGATCCCACCGTGGAGGACAACAATGGACTCACCAGAATGGTGAAGCTTCCAGAGTTCAAATATTCCAGCCACCATGTCTCGCTGGCTCAGCAAATCTCCAAAGCCCAGCATCTCTTGCTGCCTTCTGCACAACGCCGACCTCTTCATTGTTGACTGCGCGGTTGATTTCCGGATATCTCTTGCTCGAGCTCCCTGACTTGGTGCCCCTTTTCTCCTTGCCGACATGAGCAGTAGGAAAATACTGCTCCATGATATTCACAAAGACATCTTTTCCCAGTGCCTCAGCCAACCAGTTCATGATCTGCACTCCTTCCTGTTCCTTTCCCGGCATGACAAGATGACGGACCAGCACTCCTTTCTTCGCGATCCCGTCGGCGGTGAAGCACAGATCGCCGACTTGCCGGTACATCTCCTGAATGCTTTCTCTTGCTGTGTCCGCGTATGCGTCGGCCTTCAAAAGCCGCTTGCTCGTTTCGTTGTTCCAGACCTTGAAATCGGGTAAATAGATATCCACCAGTCCGTCCATCAGCTTGAGACTTTCCAGGCTGTCAAATGCGCTAGTGTTGTACACGATTGGCACGTTGAGCCCCATCTCCCTGGCAGTCAAAATAGCCAGTGCGACTTGGGGCACGACGTGCTCGGGCGTCACCACGTTGATATTATGTACATGACCCACCTCCTGCAACTTGACCATCCACTCCGCCAGCTCCTCCGGAGTAAGATCAAAGCCGACCTTCTGGTGCGCGATGTCGTGATTTTGACAGAACACACACCTCAAATTACAGCCACTGAGGAATATAGACCCAGACCCGTTATGCCCTTGCAGGCACGGCTCTTCTCCAAAGTGAGGCGCGATGGTTGACACCTTGACCGTTTCCGCGCCGATCAAGCAGTGACCGGTGGTCTCGTAGCGGTTGACATTGCAGAGACGTGGACAGAGGTTGCATTGACGGAGGTGAGCGTATGCGGCGGAACGCTTCTTAGCTGCCTCGGCAGAGGAGAGCAGATGATAGCGAGGAATGTAGTCATCGAGGAGGAAAGGGGGAGCGAGATGGAGCTTTCGCTTGGTGACCTGGTGAAAAGCAACGACTTTGGAGGCGGGTCGCGAAAGGACCTCAGGCCGCACTACGGCAGACCTAGCCAGGAGTGATTTGAACATCGTGCTGCTGAGAGCGTGGAATGTCTCCCATCATCAAGGTTCTGCCAGAACAGGACGTGGTCGCCTTGGAATTGACGGAGATGGATTGAAACCGTGAACTGAAGTCAGAAAGGGGGACTCGAGGACAAGCTGCAGCCAGACGTCATCTCTCGCCGAACAACTCGAGCAGCACCTTTCTTAGTAACTCAACAACAAACGCACACATAATCTCTGTGCAGCTGTGCGACCCTGTGCGCACGCAGAGCTTTGATGAGCATATATATCCCTGCATACCTAATCTCTCTTGCTTCGGTCACCTCCCAACCCTCGAGATGCGTCCCATAATCGCACTTCCCGTAACCCTCCTCCTCGTCGTCCGCGCCTACACCCGGCGCTCCCTCACACCGCTGGGCATTCTGAGCGCAGCACTCACCGCAACAATCCACGCCCTTCATCCGTCCGCCCTCCCGTTCACCTTGCTTTGCGTATTCTTCCTGCTCGGCACAACGGCCACGAAAGTGAAACATGACGTGAAAGCCACTTTGACCTTGTCAAGTAGTGGAGCTTCTGGTGGAGAGGGACCGCGGACGAGTGTCCAGGTGGTCGCAAATAGTGGGTGTGCGAGTTTGTTGTGTTTGGTGCATGTCTGGTTGTACGGTATAGGCACCAGCGGGACCGGGGAATGTTTTGGTGGACGCCGAGAGAGCGATACCAAGGTGGCCGACTTGTTGCTGTTGGGGATCATGGCCAACTATGCTGCGGTGGCAGCGGACACCCTGTCCAGCGAATTGGGCATTCTCTCCAACAGTCAGCCAGTGCTCATCACAAACCCACTGCGAGTCGTGCCGCGAGGGACCAACGGCGGAGTGACACTTGGCGGGCTGCTCGCTGGCGTTGGAGGCAGCGCTGCCATTGCGGGCACGAGCCTGTTATTCCTACACTTCTGTGTTGGATCGACCGCCGATGCTCTTGGTATGTTTCTGTTGGTGTCAGTGCTCGGAACGATTGGCACGCTTCTCGATTCACTTTTGGGAGCGATGCTGCAGGCATCGGTCATTGATCGACGGTCAGGAAAGATCGTCGAAGGGCCCGGTGGCGTCAAGGTGCTCACGAGGCCCAAAACTACAACTCCAGCACACGTCCAAGGGCGTGGCCGAAGGTTCAGTGGTGAGGAGAGCAGCCGGTTGATCAACTCCGGCAACGACATACTGGATAACAACCAAATCAACCTCCTCATGGCTTCTATCATGAGTATATCCGGGATGATAGCAGGAGATCTTTTGTGGGGATAAAGCATAGAAAGTGAGAAGATGGAAATGACATTGAATCTTTCACGTTGATTATACGTATCTGGTTCGGTTTTGATCCTTCATTCGGTCCATGTCATGGACACTATTACCATTTTCTGTTTCCCAAAATACATCCTCCTTGTTTCCCATCCTTCCAGAGAGAGCTCTGCCCATGGAGCAACTCCAATCAATCAAATCGTTAATTTATTGCGGGTATCATGATCGTACCAAAGTCCGAGGTCAACATTTCCAGCAAATCAGTCATCATTAGACTAGACATTTCCCTTCCCAATATGTCAAACATTTAAAACTCCATCGTATCGGTTCATTTCGAGTGTTCAAAGAACAAGCCATCCCAAAGACAGAACGAACAGACAGCATCGCAGAACGACCGGCAGACACGTCCGAGATGATGCCGCGCTGGCGACTGCCACGGACTGTGTCGGAGATGCAGTTGCAGATGCAGATTTTGAACTAGTCTTCGAAGCCTGAGTTTTGGGTGACGACGCTGTTGTGGGAACAATCGTGGTCGAGTCAAGGCCGATTCCACCCGGACCAAAGGACACCGACACATGTCCGGAGCCAATGGTTGTCGTCACCTGGGGTGCGTTGGATCCAATGCGGTATGTCGTGCCACCGACAATGGCCTCAGTGCCATCGACCGAGAAGGTCAAGCCATCGGCGGTGTATACGACAAAGGGAGAGCTGGGCGGTCCACCAGGCGCCAACGTCGTGCTGGCCAGGCCAACGCCACCCGGCCCGAGCGAAACCGATACATGTTGAGGCCCAATGGTGGTGGTGAGCTGGGGAGCATTCGATCCGATGCGATACGTGGTGCCGCCAACAATAGCCTCAGTGCCATCGACTGAGAAGGTCAAGCCCTCCACAGTATAGACAACGAAGGGCGTCGCGCCTCCAGGCGCCACAGTAGTGCTGGGTAATCCAACGCCAGCAGAGCCGATAGAGATTCTTGTTCCATCAACGATGACCGTCGTGGCTGGTGCACCCTGTCCGATTCTGTAGGTTGTTCCAGAGATGATCGCGACCGTGGGTCCGACGGTGAGGGTGAGGTCGCCAATCGCGGTCGTAATCGTAGCCGTAGGAACTGGCGTAATGGTCTGCTCATGCTGAAGCTGCGATATCGTTATGGTCGTTGAAGGAGCTATGATCTCGGACGGCTTCACGGTGAACACAGCACCAGAGGCTTGCACGGTGGTAGGGACCAGGTTGGGAATCGCCACGGTCTGGCCCCCAATCACGACACTGGAGGGCTGTACTATGATCGGGACACCGTTAACTGTGGTGGTCAGAGGGGCAGCTCCAGAAGCATGACCGGTCGGCGAGGCGGTCGCAAAGGGCGAGTTGATGATGGAAGCAATGATATTGCCCAGTCCTGTGGTCTTTGGGGCCCCAACCGTCAAACTACCGCCAGTTGGACCCTGGATGGTGATTGAAGGGAAACTGCCTCCTCCATTGCTAGTTGCTGGAGTTGCTGGAGTTGCTGGAGCGTTGTTGTTTCCACCGCCGCCACTATTGTTGCCAGTGTTACCCCCACCACTACTGCCATTTCCACCATTATTGCTATTGCCGTTACCGCTGCCTCCTCCGCTACTGGGAGGAGGGGTCGGACTCTGGGAGGGGAAATTGAAGTTGATGTCGATAGAAGTAGTGGGTGGGACCACCACGGGCACTGGTGTCTTTTTCGTGACGACCACAGTACTGGTATAGTCAACGCTGGAGTAGACAGCAGAGGCAGATGACGCCGCCGGTGGGGCAGCGGTCGCGATAGCAGGCGATTCACCAGGCTGAGAGGAAGGTGCGGGAGCAATGAGTGGATTGTTGGTACCAAACTGAGGAACATCCGAATCGGTCTGAGTCACGCCTTGACCGCTGGCACTTGCGTATGTGGCATATGACGCCGCGAAGGGCATGATCGTCGCTTCACAGGCGGGCAAGGGAGTGATCAAGGTTGGTGGCTCTGTCACGGACTCATTGCTGGCTGTCACCGTCACGTCGAATCCCTCAGTCACCGTGACGTAGACGGTGGGTGGAACGGATCCGAAGTAGGTGATTGAGCCGGTGCAAGTCGGGGACGTCGTTGAGGCGTTCGTGGGGGCGGAGAGATTGAAACTCAGGGTGACGTTCGTGAAAGGACGTGTGATTGATGGCAGTGGTGGAGGAGTCTTGAGAATGGGAGGCGTAGGTCCATTGGTAGGGGTGACAATGTTGCTGGAGGAAGAAATAGATGATGTGTTGGTAGACGTGGTGACCGATGTAGGGTTCGAAGCGACTGGACCGAAAATCGGCGGAGGGTTGAGTGTAGCGATTGTCGTTAAGCTGGGGCTTGAGTTCGGGGATTCTAGAATCGGCGGAGGATTGATCGTAACGATTGTGGAGGTGCTGATACTGTTACCAGTGGGAGGAAGGATTGGTGGAAGGCTGAACGGCGCGATTGTCGCGAGGCTCGGACTCGTGTCGGCGTCGGTGGAAGCCGATGTAGAACTAGATGAAGCGATTGTCGATATAGTGGACGAGGCCGTCTCACCAAGAACCGGAATAGATGTTGTACTGGACGAAGTGATCGTGGTGACCTCGGAGGCGAGGTCTAACTGGGACGACGAGGTGTTGGAATAAACGAGGTCTCTGCGCATGAACCTGAGGGGCGTCTTCTTGTCCAAGCTCAGGGCCAAATTCAGATTCAGATTGAGCGCATCTGACAGCGCAACGGATAGACAAACGAGCGTCCACAGGGTATACATCTCGTCTTCGGAGAATTGTCTGCCCTGCTCTTGCGTCGCCCCCCCAGGTTTCAAGCGAGCGTTGGGTCCGAGGCTGTATGAGAACGAACGACTGTGCGATAAAACATTCGACGATGGACCCTTCAATCCCTCATGATAGCGAAAGGCGAGCGATTAAAGCTGGCGAGTTGCCCCCTGCTGTCCACGTTTCCCAGGTCGATCGTCGACGTGGAGTGATAGCGAATGTCGGAAATCCGAGAGGCATCAAGAGATATAGATGGTTCGGAGAGACTCAGGACGCAGGAACAAGGGCCGATTTCGCGACTCCTGTCCCCTGGCAGCGCGAGGAAACAGTGACTTGTTGAACGAAGGACAGGGCCAGCCGAAGTGGAAGTTGACAGTTGGATTGATGCGCAACTGAATTCTGCGGTTCTGTGTAAGGAGTGGTTCGGAAGAAAGGCGGAGATGGACAGAGGGGACAGGGGGGTATCAAAAGCGACAGGGCCTTTCAGCCAGTCCCTCACAGCCTCACCAGCCTCGAGCAGTCCGAGTGGCCCTGTTTCCCAGCATGTTCCAGGCTTTGAGAACTGGCAGTCCGGGTTTTGCATCTGGCGTCTTGCAGGTTTGGCTGGCTGGGGACCCCATCAAGGGTGCCCTCATGCGGACAGTGCTGCAAGGGCCTGATAAGATTGGCTGGAGCGTCGGATTGAACTGCAGCCACTGTCGCAAGGTCTCGGTGGTCGCGATGTCCACCGGGTGCCCATTGGACGCCTATCAATGGAGACGCGAAAGCACCAAAGGGGTCACCCGCTGCCTGGTGAAGCCTGACGGGGAGAATTTCTTAGCTAAAAGCCCTCCTTCCACAAGGGCCAAGGGTCCGCGGCCCCGCCGGAAGACACGCCGTCGAAGCCATCACTATCTTGTCGAATGCCTCTGCACGAAAGAATTGCGTCCGGGCTGCTCACTGGTTGTCCTGTTGATCTTCAAATCATCTTCATCTCCCCGCTTACTTGACAAGTGTTCCCCTCCAGCTCTAGTGTTTCTTGGGAGGTGGTTCTTCTCCCGTTTGCCCAATCTACCGTGCATAATGATGGGCAAACTCAAAATCATCCAGTGCCTGGGCAGCATCTCCTGCACGCAACCCTAACCTGAGACACGCCGCTGTCCCATCGCACACTGATATACGAGGAGCGTTTTCCCTCTTGCTGTCCCTTGTCTCGTCATGGCACTCCCAAAGAAGGGGAGCACATGTTACACGGCTTCCAATAAGCCCCCCAGGAGCCAAGGTTCTGGACTTCAGAGCATGAACACCAGAAGCAGAGTGCCACATGTTCCGAGAGACTTGATGTCGGGCTCCACCTGTCTGCCTTGTGGTATCAGAATCAATCATCCTCCTCGTGTTCGGGGATGCAGGTCCAGGCCAGAGCGTCACACCAGGCCGTTCGTGTGGGACAGATGACATGACCATGATGAGGCTCTCTTTCACTTGAACAACAATACCAGGTCGCCGATGCAGGCCGCCGTTCAGACATCCCCGAGAGACAGGTCATGTGTGACTCTGTCAATTCGACAGCTTTTTGGGGCCGACACGGTCCAAATCTCAGAGGGAAAGTTGCGTGTCTTGGATACCATTTTGTATGTTGCCGTGCCAAGCAGTTTCAAATGGGGACTTGGGGGCCATGACTCGGCGAGATTCGGTCTGGCGAACACTGTGTTGACTGAAGGGAATCCTCACGCTGGCAGAAGGCCTTGCTGAGAGGGCTGCTTGGAGGACAGACAATCGTCCATGAAAAGATTCAACTTAATCACAAGCCCTACCGCAGGCAGGCTGTCTGTCCATTGTCCAAGGTGGTGCCAAGTCCCTCAGATTAGGGCGAATCCATCGTCTCATTTGTTCTGCGTAAAGTAGCACTCGCATCGGAGGGGAGACGCAGGAACCTGAGCATCTGAAGATCGGAGCCCATCCATTGGAGCAGGGCCAAAATCTCCTTCTCATCAACTCCTCACACACGAGGAGGCAAGTTGCGTCCATTTTATTCCGCTCCAGGAAAGTGGATAGAATGCTCTTTGGCGAAGATTCTGACAGGCAAAGAGAGCGAAGACAAGCAGCGTTCGTGTCGTGATTCGTTCCAAGCTGTAACACCACCCTAGTTTCTAGGTACAATACCCGGTTGGTTGGTGCCGGGACTCACTTCTCCTGCTTTCGGGTTGGTCTCCCAAAAGTCGGCTCCCCAGGCTGCTACCGAGGGTGGGCGCAGACAGTTGGTTATTGCTTCTCTCTTTTCGCTCCCTTGTGGATGAGACATTGTCCCCTCGCCGTTCTCACCATCCTCCTGTGTGTCGCAGACGTCCTCTCGTTCTCAACTGCAATTGCCATCCACTCTCGTTCAGCAGTTCTGCTCGTCGCAAACCTGTACCACCTCCTTGCAGGCCCTCAATCAAATCTTCGAGCGCGATTGACGTTCAGACAGCTACCACGCTATGAGGAACGTTGACTTCGCAGCACGATGCGCTCTTCAAACCACATTCGCTTGATGCCTTTTTCGCGGTCGTGCGGTAGCGATATCTTGATTGCCGTCAGTCTTGTACTATCACTTTGCCCCGTCGATGCCTCGGAGCCTGCCCCGATTGTTGCGACAACAAGTACCGACTTTTTCGGCTACGATGGCCTGTGGTCCGCCATCAGTATACGGGTCGGGTCGCCCGAGCAATATCTTTCTGTTTTTCCTAGCACACTGAGTCAGGAGACGTGGGTGGTAGGCCCCGCCGGCTGCGATGGAACCTCGATCTGTGAGAATAAAAGAGGGGGTTTGTTTTCCGCAAACGAGTCGTCTACCTTTAAGGCTCGAGGCTTTTACGAGCTCAATTTTGATCCTCAGCTGGGCGGCAGCGGGTACGGATATTATGGCTTGGACACTCTTTCCCTCGACGATGCAACCTCTGTGCCTGATCAAATCGTCTCCGTGGTCAATTCAACCGACTACTGGGTCGGAACCCTGGGACTGGGAGTTCAGCAGACTCGCTTCAGTGGCTCCGAGGCCATTTCGCCGCTCTTGTCGAGCCTGGTACAGAAGCGCAACGACATCCCGAGCCGCAGTTACGGCTATACTGCAGGAGCAGTCTACCGTGTGTGCCCCCTTCAAGCCCTCATCCAAGCGCAGTCTGCTAATGCGACTTCCAGGCCTGAAAAGCGTGCCAGCCTCATTGACCTTGGGAGGGGTTGATGCCAACCGATTCGTACCGAACGAAATGAGCTTCACATTAAGCCAGGACTATTCTCCGATCGTCGCGATCAACTCGATATCAGTCTCATCGGGGGCCGAATCTTTGCCTTCTAATTGGGACTCCAATCCTCAGACGCTTCTGGACATGTCTCAAGCCGACTTATTTACCATTGACTCATCCACTCCATTTCTATGGCTTCCGGAACCAGCTTGCGACGCTTTTGCAAATGCTCTTAACCTGACCTACGACGACACTTTACAGCTCTACCTCTTCCCATCGGATAATTCATCATCCCCCAGTGCTCTCAGCGCATGGAATTTGACTTTCACATTCACGTTGAGCAATTTGCCAGGCTCGCCCGACCAGCTTGAACTGAAATTGCCATACGATGCGTTCAACCTGCAATTGACATACCCATTCCCGAACCTGGCAGCAAACTTTACCTCTCCTCCCACAAACTATTTTCCTCTGCGCAAAGCAGCCAATTCCACACAGTATACCATTGGTCGAGCCTTCTTACAAGAGACGTATCTTACCGTCGATTACGAACGCAATAGATTCTCCATCTCACAAGCAGTGTTCACGTTGGATGCCGTTAGCAATGTCAACCTCCTGGCGATCTCCCGACCCGAAGGTAGCACATGGCCAGGACCTCCAGGAACTGGTTTGTCAACAGGCGCTAAAATAGGGATTGGAGTAGGAGCTGGAATCGGGGCGTTGCTTGCATTGACACTGGCCTGGTGGTTCTGCTTCCGCAAGAGGAGGGTGACAGGCAGTGCTGGGACGGAGAAGGAGAAGAGACGGTCATTGCTTAGTCGGCTACAGAAGAACCCCGACTCGAAAACCTCTGTTTCTGAGTTGCTGGGCGACAAACGTCAACCGACTGAGGTCCCTGCAGATCCGTCAGTTAGTCGGTTCGAACTTTCAGGCAGCACGCCAATTGAAATGCCGGCTGGCCCCGTTTCGCCTAGTTTCTTCGAGAGCAACGACGGCCCTCGGCGGGGATCGGCGCTCATGAGGAACGATCCAAGAAGACCAGCAGAGCTCGAGCAGCAGCAGTCGGCCAACAAGGCAGCGGAAGCGGCAGCCAGCGAAAGATCAGGCTCGCCGGTCCCCCCATATTCACCCGCGGAGATCAATCATCGCTTCAGCAATAGTGTCAGCCCCTACAGTGTCAGGCACAGTCGTGCATTTGGGACTGTGTCCTCTGATGACCAGGGCATCAGTCCTGTGGGTGCCAGCCACGGCGGTCATTCCGGGCGATCCAGCAATACCAACAGCAGAAGCATGTCCAGCCCAATATCACCAGAGGTCACATCAAGATCACAAGCGCAATTTTCGCCTGGAGGAAGTACCAGCCCTACTACGAGCACCAGCCGTGGCAGCCTTTTGGTACCACAGCTGAATGGACGACCTCCATCGCGCTCGCCCAGTTCTGGAAGCAGGTTTGTCGAGGAAGGACTGGGCACCGTGACGGAAGAACGTCCTGCTGGCCCGCCTGTTCGAACGAATCCTCCAGAAGACAGATTCAGCTGGGAGCAGTGAACGTGCGGGAGGCAGATGGCGGATTGATGACCTGTAATGACCCGAGATGCTTGTCACGTTATTGCTCCTGTTCGAGCATGGATGTATCCCAGTTGGAAAAGAAAAAGCGAAGGACTGTATAGCACTGGACAGGATACCAGTCTCATATACCTGGGTAATATGTAAATAAATTGTTCAAAACCTCGATAGATGTGGCCAGCCTAGCATGTGGATCCACGAAGCCAACCCACTTAAGGCTTGTGAGGCTGCACTCGTTGCTCCAACTTCTCGACGTCACCAAGCGCGCGTTCTGCGACAGCACCTTCTCATCTCACGACCATTATTACGGGCGGAACCAGCAAAATGATCAACCTACATTGACTGCCCTATTTACCCTTGACTAGCATGGATTTGCGCGCAATCCTGGATAGGTCTTTGAGGTGAGGAGTCATGGCGCTTACCAGCTGGAAATCCTTCCCGTTCTTCGACGTCTCCCAGATTCCTGTGCCCGCAGACGAAGACGGCTCATATGTCTTCGACGTACGTCTGCCTTCTCGATAGGACTACACTGAACTTTTCGCTGACTGCAGTTGCAGAACGACGTCGTGTCACTCACCACCGGCGCGGATTCTCTGTTCCTCGGTACTTCGGTCGGTTCAGTGCGCATTCTTTCCCGCGCCTTGAAGGTTGTGCGCTCCTTTCAAGCTTCAGACGCCTCCGATGCTTCGATCACCCACCTCCGACAAGTTCCCGACACTCCTTTCCTCGTAACCGTCTCAGAGAATCTCTCATCGGAGCCCTCCTTGAAGGTGTGGGCGTTGGACAAGATCGAGAAAAAGACGGGAGCACCGAGATGTCTTTGTACGATTGGAGTGCAGAATGGCAGGAGACAGTTTCCAGTATCTGCACTCGTGGTGCTGGATGACATGACGCAGGTGGCCGTGGGGTTTGCCAATGGATCCGTCACCGTCATTCGAGGCGACTTTATACACGACCGGGGGACCAAACAAAGGACAGTCTTTGAGTCTGAAGACCCGATCACCGGCCTAGAAGTCCGTCAAGGGGCGACGAAAGTCCTTTACATTGCGAACACGGCCAAAATCTGTAGCCTGATCATATCTGGGAAAGGCCAGGGTCAACCGGTCCGCACCGTCGACAACCGCGGTTGCAACGTGGGATGCATGACTCAAGACCACGAGACCGGGGACATGGTGATTGCCCGAGAAGATGCCCTCTACTACTATGGCGCCAACGGCCGTGGCCCTAGCTATGCCTTTGAGGGTCCGAAGAAACTTGTCAAGATCTACAAGGAGTACGTTGGCGTTGTGTGTCCACCGCGGGTGGCACAGGTGTCCAAGTCCAAAACATTCCGAAGGCTGGGTGGTGAAGAGATTGACGAGCTGTTCAGCAACTCATCCTTTACATTGTTGGATACTGATCTCAAATACCTGGCTCACTCGGAGTCGTTGCCTGCTCCAGTCAAAGAGGTCTTCGTGGAATGGAATGAACTCTTCTTGCTGACCGTGGACGGAAAGGTACGTTGCCGAGCTTGGTGGCTTTGTCATTTCACTGATCCAAAGTAGCTTTATAGGTACCAGGAGAAGACACTGCAGCAGAAGCTCGAGATCCTGTATGAGCGGAACCTGTATATCTATGCCATTAACTTGGCGCAAAAATTGGGCGCCGACAAAATGCAACAGAACATCATCTTTCGGAAATACGGCGATTATCTGTACCAGAAGGGTGACTACGACACGGCCATGCAGCAGTATCTGAGGGCCATTGACAACACGGAGCCTTCGCAAGTGATCCGACGTTTTCTGGACACGCAGAGAATTCACAACTTGATCGACTATCTCGAGGAGCTACATGACCACGACCGAGCCACTGCAGACCACACGACCCTGCTGCTGAACTGCTATGCGAAACTCAAGGACACAGACAAACTGGACGCTTTCATCCGCACACCGGGGACGGCAAAGTTTGACGTTGAGACGGCCATTGCCATGTGTCGACAAGGCGGATATTTCGACCAGGCGGCTTACCTTGCGACCAAGCATGGCGAGAATGAACTGGTGATCGACATATTGGTGGAAGACTCCAAGAAATACGCAGAAGCCTTGCAGTATATTTGGCGTTTGGAACCTGATGCGGCATATCCTGTGTTGATGAAATATGCCCGCAGCCTCCTGGAGCATTGCCCCGAAGAAACGACCAAGCTGTTTGTCGAATACTATACCGGGAAATATACTCCCAAGAAGGATGTCCCGGCGGTGTCCGATGTCCAGGCCCAGACAGGGGGTGGTGCATTTCAAAGCCTCTCGGCTCTTTGGAGCCTGCCGTTCATGAATCGATCCAGCGCTGTTGATTCAGCACCGGCTGCGAATGAAAAGCCTGAGCACGACGAACCCGACCCTGACGGCGAGGTCGAACCGGCTCCAACGTACACTAAACCGCGTCCGCGCAGCGCCTTCTCTTCATTCCTCGCCCATCCCTCAGAGTTCATCACCTTTTTGGAGGCGCTGATCTTGCAAGAAAATCTCTCCAAAGAAGACAGATCGGACTTGTCGACCACGCTGTTTGAGATGTACCTCGAGGCAGCAAACACTGCAACAGGCCCGGCAGAGAAGGAGAAATGGCAAGTCAAAGCAACCAGCTTGATTGCCGACAACAAGACTGCTTCATTGGATTCGTCGACGATTGACACCTCGAATGTCTTGCTCCTGTCATCGCTCTCCAAATTCCCGGCAGGAACGACATTGGTACGGGAACGAGAAAATCTATATGCCGACATATTCCGGTCGTTCACATCTGCCAAAGACACATCGGGCGCCATATCTGCACTCAGAAAGTACGGTTCCAAGGACGAATCGCTCTACCCGCTTGCACTTGGCTACTTTTCTTCGTCGGAAGAGGTCCTCAAAGCACCTGGGGTCAGGGAAGAACTCCAGTCCGTTCTGCGGAAGATTGATCGGGAAAACCTCATGGCCCCGCTTCAAGTGGTCAAAGTGCTGTCGCAAGGTGGCTCGGTGACGATGGGAATGGTCAAGGCGTATCTTTCGGACAACATCTCTCGCGAGCGCAAGGAGATTCAGGCTAACCGACGATTGATTGACTCCTACCGGACCGAAACGGCGTCGAAAAAGGCCGAATTGGCGGACCTGGGCACGAAACCGGTCGTGTTTCAGGCGCGACGCTGTTCGTCGTGTAATCGGAACCTCACCTTGCCCACGGTGCATTTCATGTGCAAGCACTCGTTCCATCAAGAGTGCTTGAATAAGCCCGGAATTGGCATGGACGAAAACGACAGCAAGGTGGAGTGCCCGCTTTGCAAACTCGGAAACGATACCATTCGAGCAATTCGGCGACAGCAGATTGAAAGCACGGAGCAGCACGAATTATTCAAGGCTGCGTTGGCACGAAGCAACAATCGGTTTGGGACCGTCAGCGAGTTCTTCGGGCGCGGAGTCATGGGGACGGCCCCCACTGCGGACTGATAGCGTGATCAACAGCGATGCGTCTACAGGCGTCGACACAGCCTTGATCTTGGTCGCCGTCCGTCGTTCAAGACGAGGATATATAACAAATACCTGAGAGTGCTCAGGAAGTCTGACATCCGGGAAGTGGAGCAAGACCCGGAAAGACCAGCCAAGGCTAGCAAGGCATTGGTGGAGGAGGAGAGTTGGACATGGTTGCACTTTTGTGCGATCGGGAAGCTCAAATCCGAACCCTTGTCTGACACTCTGCGACCTGCTTTCAGCCGCATGAAGCATGCGTTGTGGGATGAGTCCACAGCCCGCTCCGATATGTGTGTGAGATGGGTGGGCGCAAGGCCTCTTGTATTGGGTATCCCTCGGCCGTTGCCAATGGACAGTCTGCAAAATGAAGCACCCATTAGCAGAGATTGAGGTTTCTATTTGTAGGCCTTAGGGCTGGATGTAGGTTGGCATGCGAGACTAACTAAGTGGCTGGACAAGGACAGGGCAAGCTGGCGCGGCGGGGGAGGCAGTTGGCGGGGAGAAGACGGCGGCGGATGAGGGGTTGCGCGAGGGATAAGTACCGGAGAGCCATGTCCCTGCCGGAGTCCTTGGTATGGGCTGAACAACCGACATCAATGATGCGGGCACTATGTCCCAATGGGGCGTCTCAGCTTACCAGGACAAGAATCCAAATGTCAGAAGGGGAGGAGAACCGGAGCCTGGAGGCTGGACATGGACATGGACAACAGCGTGTTGTGTGATTGATTGCAAATACGCTGTTGTGTGGTCGATGACGCGGGTGTCGGGGAGGATGAATCAACGAGGAGATGCCCCAATGCGCCTCCCAGGCTCCCATCGCGTGCTCTGGTTTGTTGCCCTCCGAACGACTCACTGTTTAGGCGCTGCTGTAGCCAGGCTGGCCCCTCTGATGGCCCCCGGTTGCCTCTGACCACAGCTGCATGTGGAGGGGGAATGGGTACCTACAGAGATACCTAGTAGGCAGGTAGAGGACCAAGAGAAAACCCCAGGGGATCGTCACACTCGAGTTTCACCATCATTGCTTGTTTATTGTTTCTTCTCTAGCACTACTACGTCACGGCCAATCTGCTTGTCCTCGGTGCAGTATACTTTCTGTCCTGTCTATCCTTAGTACTCGGTACTTGGTACCCGTCGAGCGTCTCATCTCCTCAGCACCGTGGCAAAGAAAAGAAAACACCCGAGACCGGGAGGGAACCACGGCCAGAGCGTGGCGGGGTCCTCGTCTTCAGCCCTCGCAGCACGCAGAGCGAAGTGGGCGCAGTCGCAACTGCAGCTGCAGGCGACTTTTTGCAGTCACCACCCAACGGCCTCCCGCACAGCCTGAAAGCCTGAAAGCCTGCACTTGAACCACCCACACAATCCACGCAATAAAGTATCCACCGCTCATCACTGCACTGCATGTTTGTCCTCGCTAACACTACTACAACAACCTTAGCCATCATCACCAAGTCCTGACGCTACCTACGACATTTTCCAAGGCCCCGTGAGAAATCCCTCCGCTGCGAAAGGGACTCCCTCTTGTCTCCCTCTATCCTTCGACCGCATTCTTCCCTATCAATTCTCCCCCTCGGGCCTGGTCAGACAAATGCCCCTCCAGCCTCGACACGGGCTCGTGACATCGCACTTCTGTTCACTCTGAAGGCCGCAGTTGGCCATAACTCCACCACTACACCCTCTCCTTCCGTCTCCCTCCTCGCTCCTTCGTCATTTCCTCCGCAGCCATGGCGGACCCCGACCAGGCCATCGCCGAGGTCTATCGCAAGATCGAGCGAGAAAAGGCTCTTATCAATGCCGCCACTCACATGCGACAGTCCACCAACAACGCCGCGGTCCAAGCACGTGTCGACAGCAACATCCGGGACGGCAGGCGAAACATTTCATACCTGGAAGAAAAATTGGCAGAGTTACAGCTGAGACAGCGGGGTCACAATGAGGGAGTTGCTCCCCCTCCACCTGCCCATGGGGGCTCCGGGTATCAGACTCCCTTAGATCCCCGTATGCAGCAGTCGCGATTCCAGCACGGCGGGGGACCGACTCCTCCTCCCAAAGATGAGCGAGGCTATTTTCCCGGCGAGAGAGGCGACTATGGTGATCCTGGTCCAGGCGGATATAGCCAGGGCGGCACCGGCATGATGCCTCCACGAGCTCCCTACGGAGACCCTCGTCCTTACAGTGCTCCGGTCCCCAAGGCACGCCCGAATTTCTCGAAACTAGGTATGATCGCTTCCAGCCACTTGTGAATGAATCCCAGGATCTACTGACACGATATCTGCCTCGCAGACCTGATCAAATACGACACCCCATATCTCGGTCCCAAAATCCAACTCATGCTCTCCCAACTCGAGTTCAAACTGTCAGTCGAAAAGCAATACAAAGCGGGCATCGAAAAAATGGTCCGCCTGTACCAAGACGAAGGCGACAGAAAGAGCAGACTAGATGCCGAGGGCCGGCGCATCGAGAGTAATCAGAAAGTGCAGTTGTTGAAGCAGGCCTTGAAAAGATACATGGACTTGCACGTCGACATCGAAACGTCGGATGGTGCTGACGGTGAGTGGGACAAGTCCCGGTGCGTATTTTTCCCCCCTGCAAGGCTGACTTGCGTCGTATAGATGACAGTCTCAACGCCCCCAACATGCGAAAACCCCTGACCGGTCACCTGGAAATGCGTATTCATGCCATTAAGGATGTCGACCATGCAGCCTCGTCACGCTTTTCAAGAGGCCCCGAAACGTTCGTCATCATGAAGGTGGAGGACAACATCCGGGCCAAGACTCGGGCGACTCGCACAGATAAATGGACAGAGGAAACGCATCACGTCGACATCGACAAAGCCAACGAGATCGAGCTGACGGTCTATGACAAAGCGGGCGACCGACCAACCCCAATCGGGTTTCTCTGGATCCGTATCTCGGATATCGCGGAAGAAATGCGCCGGAAGAAGATTGAATCGGAATTTCAGCAGAATGGCTGGGTATCAGCAGACAAGATGGCGAATGGTGGCAGTCCGGGTAAACCAGGCCCTGATTTTCAACCAGCAGCTTTCATGCCTCCAGGAGACGCTGCGGGCGCCGGCTCTGCCGCGGGTTTCACTCAAAATCCTCAGCAGCAGTTCCAACCTGTGATGATCGATTCTTGGTTTTCTCTGGAACCAGCAGGCAGGATCCATCTCTCAATGAGCTTCCAGAAGCAGACGGGCGGCAAACGGCCGTTTGACATCGGCCTGAATCGCCAAGGCGCCGTGCGCCAGAAGAAGGAAGAAGTGCACGAAAAGCAGGGCCACAAGTTCGTCAAGCAACAGTTTTACAACGTCATGCGCTGTGCTCTCTGTGGAGATTTTCTAAAGTACTCGGCGGGCATGCAGTGTGCAGATTGCAAATACACCTGCCACACCAAATGTTATCCGAAGGTGGTCACCAAGTGCATTAGCAAAGCAAACTACGAAACGGATCCCGACGAAGAGAAAATCAACCACCGCATTCCACATCGTTTCGACAATTTCTCGAACATCGGTGCGAATTGGTGCTGCCACTGCGGTTATCTGCTGCCATTGGGAAGACGCAATGCGAAAAAATGTTCGGAGTGTGGCCTGACTTGTCATGCCCAGTGTCAGCACCTGGTTCCGGACTTTTGTGGCATGTCCATGATCGTCGCCAATGAAATCCTGGAGACCATTCAGAGAACGAAACACCACAACAAATCCTCCTCCGTGAGCTCGGGCATGAGCAATCGAACCCTGAGACCGAATTCCGCAGCCAGGCCGGGTCCCACGTCTCCCACGCAGAGCTTCGTTTCGGACAACACTACCCTAACGCCACAGATATCAAACCAGTCTTATGACCAACACCAGGAACAACCGAAGCCCTCTGCTGCCGCCATGAGCGCTGCGCAAAACATGATGTATAACCAACCCCAAGCGAGCCTGTCACAACCACAGCAGCAACAGCAACGACCATTGCAGCAAAAGGCCGTGTCTACCGCGGCGGTGCAGGCAGCCGCTGCTGCCACGACTCGACCGCCGTCTCAGCAGTACAGCCAATCGTTCAATGACTACAGTCCTCAGAAAATGCCCGCAGACCGTTACGCGAACGCTCGACCCCCCGCGCCCGAACAACCACATGCTTCATACGACCCTCGCGCCTACCAAGGATACGACCGCCAACCGGTGCAGCAACAAATGCCGCAACATCAACCGCCACAACAAGCCATAATTCAATCCCCACGACCTCAACCTCCGGCGGCGGCAGGAACAGCAAGCTATTCGCCCGCCCCCATCAAACCAGCGCCGTCGTCGCAACAACAGGTCGCCACGCCTCCATCTGGACGCGGATCCGGGCCTAGAATTGGCCTTGACCACTTCAATTTTCTCGCGGTACTGGGGAAGGGCAACTTTGGCAAGGTCATGCTTGCAGAGGCTAAGAGCTCAAAGAAGTTGTACGCCATTAAGGTCTTGAAGAAAGAGTTCATTATCGAGAACGACGAAGTCGAGTCGACCAAATCCGAGAAGCGCGTCTTCTTGGTCGCCAACAAAGAGAGGCACCCTTTCCTGCTCAACTTGCACGCTTGTTTCCAGACAGAGACTCGAGTGTATTTTGTGATGGAGTATATCTCGGGTGGCGATCTGATGTTGCACATTCAACGTGGACAGTTTGGCCTTAAGCGTGCTCAGTTCTACGCTGCCGAAGTTTGTTTGGCTCTCAAATACTTCCACGAAAATGGCGTCATATATCGAGATTTGAAGTTGGACAACATCCTGCTCACCCTGGACGGACACATCAAGATAGCGGATTATGGGCTGTGCAAGGAGGACATGTGGTTCGGATCGACGACCTCCACATTTTGCGGTACACCTGAATTCATGGCGCCCGAGATCCTTTTGGACAAGAAATACGGCCGTGCCGTTGATTGGTGGGCTTTTGGTGTCCTCATCTACCAGATGCTACTGCAACAGTCTCCGTTCCGTGGCGAAGACGAGGACGAAATCTACGACGCGATCCTTGCAGACGAGCCCCTATACCCCATCCACATGCCACGTGACAGTGTTTCGATCCTACAGAAGCTGTTGACGAGGGAACCAGAGTTGCGGCTAGGGAGCGGACCGGGAGACGCGCAGGAAATCATGAACCACGCGTTCTTCAAGGGCATCAACTGGGACGACATCTATCATAAGCGGGTTCCCACACCGTTTAAGCCCACCATCAAGAACGAAAAGGATACGAGCAATTTCGACCAGGAGTTTACGAGTGTGACACCGGTGCTCACACCGGTGCAGAGTGGTGAGTTTGAGTTCGGAATCCATTTTGGGTCTTTTGAAGCTGACACGTCGCTTTTCCAGTGCTTTCACCTGCCCACCAGGAGGAATTCCGTGGGTTCTCGTATACAGCCGATTTCATCTAGGAGAAGAAAACACAAGGAGGGCCAAAAAGCCACAGCGGCAGTGAGGTCGAGTCCAGCACAGAAATTCAATGCTTCGAGGAGACAATTCCTGCCGAGAACGCCGATCTTCAACTCACGGGCAAAGGACCGGTTATGCGCCTTCGATTAGTCACTTCCGAAAAGCCAGCGTTTTGAGCAGACCACGGAGTGGGAAGCAATGCGGTCGGCGCAGTGGACCCAAGTACAGCCAAGTGTGGTCCATCAGGGCGACGAGAAATTAAGCATTGCTAACGCAGCGGCGCTTGTGCCACTGAGCAGGGGTGGTCAAGAGCAAGCATCAGAACTTTGCTCCAGGACCGAGAAACGTGTGGAATAGAATTGCATCTATGTCAGGGTCAAGGTCACCCCTAAGATAGCCCTCTGGAAGGTTTTGAAGGACACGATGTGTGATGAGGTGACATGAAGTTGGTTCGGGTTGGACTGAAAACCCAAGCGAGTGTTTGGAATGAAGCCGCCCAGGCACGAGAAACGAAACATGACGGAATGGAATAAGAGACCAAATTGGAATCGAAACTTGGATGAGAGGCAGACGAAATTCCAGACCGGCCATGACTGGACAGATTTAGAGAGAATGACAGGGAGGCCAGACCATGCAGAAAGACAATCGAGATGTATCATTCAGCGCATTATTGGGTAAAATTCGCTCCATGGGTTTCTGCTACCGCCACAACATGGCATTTTCATGATCATGGTGAGCCCCATATACGACCTATGATAACTCTGCCGTGCGCATAGCTTGACCCCCTGCCCGAGGTCCAATAAACCTAGACAAACACAGCCATACATCCACTCACACAGAGAGAGATAGGGGGAGACGCGGGATCATGCCTCCCCTCCCACCTTCAAGGTCGCGTGGAGGACACCCGTGGCATCCTTTCTCTCCAAAGACTTCTTGACCGGGTGGGGGTCCTCGAAGATTTCGTTGATTTCTTCCAGCGTGCGGCCCTGCAGGCGTGGTTAGCATCCGCCTTTCTCTTTTCTCGGACGGTGGCAGGGCTAGGGACGGGGAGGAAGAGGAAAGGGTAAGGAGACAAACGGGGAGACGAAGTGTGGAATAGGGACTAGGACTGGGACTGGGACTGGGACTAGACGTGACCATGAATATGAACAAGATTCTACGTACCTTTGTCTCGGGGAAGAACAGATACGTGATCAGCACTTCGAAGCAGTCCCAGAAGACAAAGACCAGGTAGTAGTAGTACCCGATGTGGCTGATGGCGACGCCCGTCGTGTACTGGCCGACGACGCCGGCGATCGAGGCGACGATCTGGCCGAGCGCGTTGCCCTTTGCGCGGGTCTCGGTGGCCAGACACTCGGAGATGTAGAAGGGCTGCAGAGGGGTGAGGCAGAATGAGAAGACCACGCTGAACAGGTAGATGAAGAAGATGCCCGCGTGGCCCGCGGCGGCCCCGCCCGACGTGACGGAGACCTTGGTCAGGCCCGTCACGACGGCCAGGCACAGCGCGCAGCCCGTGAAGCCTCCCAGCAGCAGCGGTCTACGGCCGACGCGGTCGCTCAGCAACGACCCCAGGATCGCGGCGATCCACGACACCACGGGGTTCAGCGCGTTGAGGAGCAGCTGCGTGTGTGGGTTGGTGATGCCCGTCTGCTCCACGATGACGGGGAAGTAGTACGACACCAGCGCGTTGCCGGAGTACTGGCCGAACCAAGCAAAGCCAACCACGCAGATCAGCCGTCGTCGAGCCGCCGGCGTCATAAACAGGTCGCGGTAGTCCCACCAGCGCTTGTCGGAGCCGTCTGAGGAGATCTGGGCGCGCATCTCAGCGAGTTGGAGGCGGACGAACGGGCTGGAGCTCGACCCTTCGCCGTGGTATGTGGCCAGGACAGCCTCTGCTTCTGCGTATCGATCTTGCGCCATGAGCCAACGCGGTGACTCGGGGCAGAAAAATACCCCCAAGACGATATATCCGGAGCTGACCATCTGCAGCCAAACCGGAAGGCGGAATGAAATAGTGCCGGCCATGTAGGCGGTTCCATAGGTCACCCAGGAGGCAAGGATACTCCCGACAAAGTAGTTTGTCTCGAGGAAGGCCGAAAGAGGACCACGCCAGTAAGGATGTGCCATCTCACTGACATAGGTGATCCCGGCCACGTTGAGGAACCCCTGCCCGAATCCGACGAAGAAGCGGCCGGCCAAGAACATCGCCCGAGAGGTCGAAGGAGCCTGGATGCAAGTGCTGAAGATGACCAACGCGGCACCGGTAAACATGCCCCATCGTCGCCCGAAAGTGTCGTTGATAGGCCCACTAATTGGCAGAGCCGCAATGGCTCCGATGTTGTAGATCGCAAAGACCAGGCCGGTGGAAGAACTCGCAGATTTTCTGGAAGACAAATCAGCATAAAATTTAAGCAAGACATACCCAGGTGTCCGTGCCAGACGGCGCGACAGAGCAGAAATCAACAGTGAAAACAAACCACACTCACAATCCGTAATAATTCAGATACTGAGGCATCGCATTGATGGCACCCATCAGCGAGCCATCGTAGCCCTGGAGGATGATGCAGAAGTAGCCGATGGACAGGATGAGGTAGAGCCTGAACATGGTAGGAGTAGTCGCACTGGGCTTGACGCCCTGGATGTCGTTGGCCAGGTCGAGGACGTCATGCTTGTGTACAATTTCCGAGCCGCCTTTGACGACTTCCACCATGTGCTCCTCAGGAGCGTCCATCTTAGTCGACATCTTCTTGATACCAAGCAGGAGTTTGAGCTCAGTGCTCGGCCGGTGATAGTATTGGGTTTGTGAGAAGGAGGAAACCCGGTATGGTAGTTGAGAATGAAGATCGAGGGGTGAAGCCACGCTCTTTTGTACCTGTGCCTGCAACGTTCCAGGCTATATGCATTCTCCAGCTTCTCTCCAGATTCCCAATGCCCCATGTGGAGATACCCTGTTCGTAGCCTTGCATCGTTTCTGGCAAATTGAGGCAGGTTCGAGGGCAATTCGCTGGTCTTTCTGCCGATATTCTCTTAGGGCGCTCGCCCGTTTGCTTTCGCTCAAGATCCTCCAATGAGGGCAATGCCGCCCGAAAACCGCCAAAGGCGCCTCATAAACCGCCTCTAGATTTCCCGACTAGAAGCCGAGAGGACCTCAAAAGACTTTGCCCCTGGTGTAGTGCCCCACCGTGAGACAGAACGGACGAATGATTCTTGCAACGGCATTGGTGGCGAAGGTTGCTGCTCCGTGCTTGGACAGGTTTACGGTAGTTGCGCATTGAAGACGCTCAATTCAAGCCTGTGGTGGCGGAGAGCAGCCAAGACACGCTAGTCTACTTTGGTGCACTGTAAAGCGGCTTCCTCCATATTCCAACTCGGCTAGTTCGAATCATGCCATTTTAAGCTTCTCGTTCTGTGCTCTCTTTCGACGTCCATGAATCCTCCAGCGCTGCTAGTTGTGCATTCTTGCATGAAACGTGGCGAATTTCGCTAAGACTCTATTATGCCTACCTTTAGTTCGATCAAAGCGGGTGGGCGTGCTTCCGCAGTGGACATCTGACTATCCTCCGTTGCAGTCAATCCCAATACCATGTTCAGAGAACGTGGTGTGTCAACATTGAAATACGGCTGCTTATAGTTGTCTAGCGTATAGGTGTAAAAGCCAGGAGCCGATAATGGAAACCCCAAAGAGAACAAGCAACCGAACTACATGCCGATGGTTTTCTGGCTAAGCAAGAGATTCGGTCTCGCCTACTTCAGCTCCATCATGAACCCAAAACTGGCTTCGACGGGCTTCACAATGTGTTCTTCCCGTGTAGCAGGGCCACAGGCGCCCGTTCCTACACCGCTGACTGCTACATCCAGACGGAGCAAGGTGGCATCGTCCTCGACGAGGTCACAAGGATGCGCAGCTCTCTCGAGCATGTCGGCAGAGTACCGCGTCACTGTAAAGTTGAATTCTGGCTGCGGCGCCAACGGTGGTTGAATTGGCAGATGCTGTGTAGCATTGGCAGATCCAAAAGGAGATGGCGTATCAATCCCGCTCACCCTCACAACCGGCCCTCTTCCTTCGGCGGCCAGCTCTAGCCAGCGAGTATCCATGCGGTTTCCACTCTCCTGTGGAACGTCGTAGAGGGTCTGCAATCGAGCAACATCATCGACTTCCCAGATACCCAAGCGCTGACTGCTTTTCTTGTCCGGATACGACTCGCCAGGACCACGACCAAACCACTTGACGTGGCTGAGAGCCTTTGCCAGGACAACATCAACTCCCATTCGAGGGAGATGCTGAGGGACATTTCCTACCGGCTTCTCCAAGTGGATGAAGACTGACACCGCGGAGCCGTCCGGCTGAATCTGGTAAGTGGTGGTTGCATGCCAACCCCAACCCAAGGAGGGCGGAGCGATGTATGTCTTCGTCATCAAAGTGAGACTGTGAGATCGGGACTTTTGGTCCAGCACCATAGAACGAAGTTGGGAAGTTATCTTGTCAACACCGAAAGAGCGCCAGTGGGGAAGAGCTCTGGGCATGTCGTTGTCCGTAGGAGGGCGCCAGAAGCCAGGTATCAGAGAGTCCTTGCGGTCTAGGGACTCTGGGATAACTGGACCGCAAGGAGTGGTCCAAGATTTAAGAAGACCGCGGACTCGGCTGAAAGTGAATGTGGACTTCGGGGTGGAGATTGTCAGGGTAGAATTGTTATGGTGGATCACTGGCAAGGACGTCCCTGAGTGCAAGGAGATTGGAAGACGGCATCCCGGGGAGAGTTGGTGCTGGAACCAGGCAACTTCATACCCCTTCTGTGCCCAACTTGCGCCGTCACCCAGTCGAAAGCTCATGGTGAGTAGTAGCTCGAACTGGGACTTTTGCTCGAAGACAGCGTCAGGAAGGCTCACAGCTTTTTTTGTACCTGGCGCAACAGGAGGGAGTTTCAGCGGGCCGGCCACGAGTATATTGGCGCTGAGAAACTTATATCAGCAATGTTGAACTACAAGGAGTCTCGGACACCGAGAAATCACTTACCTTGGGCCAAATTCCTCAACTTTGAATGTCGCCTCCAAATATCCGAGGTCGACAAAGTCGTATGTGTTCTCAATGATCAAATTTCGATCCACCAGATCAATAGAGACGGGCTGGTATACTTTCTTCAGTTCTGTGAGTCCCGGCGTGGGCTCATGCTCGCTATCGCAGAGCCCGTCCATGACAAAGGTCCCATCATGGACCTTCTGACCGAAGTCCCCACCGTGTGCATAGAACTCTTTGCCGTCCGGGCGAACCTGGTGAAGGCCGTGATTGGCCCACTCCCAGACGAAGCCACCCTGAATGCGTGGGTGCGCGCGAAACACTGCCTCATAGTCCTCAAGCAGACCAGGACCATTGCCCATGGCGTGGGCATACTCGCACATTATCACCGGCTTTGTGAATGTGCCGTCCGCGGCGATATCTCTGGTCGAGACCCTCTCGACAAGGGCATCCACAGCCGCGTACATGTACGAGTAGATGTCCGTCGTCCCCATGTTTGTGTCTCCCTCGTAATGCACCAAGCGACTCGGATCAAGGCGCTTGCAGGCCTCGTACATGGCGACGTGATTCTGCCCGCAGAATGCCTCGTTGCCGAGCGACCAGATAATCACGCTGGCGTGGTTCTTGTCTCGCTGCACCATCTGGACGGCGCGATCGACGTAGGCCTCCTTCCACGATGGATTGTCCGATAAGTATTTTCTCGCTTGCTGAGATACCGCGCCAATCCACCGTTCGTACGAAGCTTCTCCGCCGTCCCAGTCTGCTGTATTGGTGGCTACGACTTCGGAGAAACCATGACATTCCAGATCCGCCTCGTCCATCACCCAGAGGCCAATCTCGTCGGCCAGCGCATAGAGACCAGGGTGGGACGGGTAGTGAGAGCAGCGTACGGCGTTGATATTATGTCTCTTCATCAACTCCAGGTCGTGGCGGACGAATTCGAGTGGTATTGCGCGACCGAGCCGAGGATGGTGGTCGTGGCGGTTGACGCCACGGAATCGAAGGACTTTTCCGTTGACCGTGAGTAAGCCATTCTTCAGCTCGACCTTTCGAAAGCCGGTAGCATGTTCGACGCGGTCCGCGTTGCTGCCATCCGTCAAGGTAATCTCGACGTCGTACAAATAGGGAGTCTCCGCCGTCCACTTGTTTGGATTGTCCACACGTAGCTCAAGGTCGACTTTAGGAGCCTTGGCCCCAAAGCCAGTCTCGGCCCTGCCTACGGTCTTACCTCCACGATCGGTCCTTTCGCGCAGGACAACAGCCACAGTCCCGCCTTTGGGGCAGTGGACATCGACTGTAACGCGGAGAAAGCCATGCTCGTAGACGGAATCAAGATCGCCTCGAATGAAAAAGTCATCGATCCGGCATGTTGCTGGAAAGGCTATCAGATGGACATCCCGGAAAATTCCTGCGTCACGTTAGCAAAGCTTTTGTTTTGGACAACAAGGACATTGTCATACCGGAAAGCCACCACTGGTCCTGATCCTCTATATACGAGCCGTCTGACCACTGGTAAACGCGTACCAAAAGCTTGTTGGGTTTGTCACGTTTTACGGCGGCCGTAATGTCAAATTCAGCGGAGTTTCGGCTTCCTTGGGCGTATCCAATGAAGTCATCATTAAGCCAGACGTGATAGGCACTGTCGACACCGTCGAAGCGCAGCCGCAATTGAGTACTGCGGTCCCAATCAGGAGGCACAGAAAAGGTCCGCCGATACGTGCCCGTGGGGTTCTCGTCCGGAAGATGTGGTGGACAGGCTGGGAAAGGGTAGACAATATTGGTGTACTGAGGCTGGCCATGGCCTTGAAGCTGCCAATGACCCGGCACTTGGATGGTGGTCCAGGAATCTTCTTGTCCGCGATCGAAATCAGCGGCTTCAAGGGGACTGCCGGCGTAATGAAAGTCCCAGGTCCCGTCGAGTGACAGAGAGGTCTTTGGGATCCAGTAGGACCGTGGCGGCAAAGTATTTCGGCGGAAAATCGCCTCGTTGGCATAGTCTGGCCTGCATTGATCTGTCTGCTGTTGTACAGAGGGCCCTCCCAGACCTAGACCGTCTATTGATTCAAGCATAGTTGTGGCAGAAAGCAGCTGCAAATACAACAAGAATAACCTCGCCAGCAGAGACACGAGTTTTGAATATGGGAACAACGAGGGTGAAATGATCTTTTGCGCGCGCTGAAGGCGAGGCGTGACATGTAGATCCCATTGCTGGACGCCGGATAGCTCATGTCGGCGCAAGTGATTGCGATGTGCCCGACCCAATCCATCGTGACCAGCATTGGGTAGGCCGGAAGGTGCTGGAGACTGGACGACGTACCCCTTGGCGATCAATCAAAGATGGGGTTGTATTCTCTCACAGGAGACTGGCTGCATATTGGTGAGCAAATGAAAATCGCATGTAATCCGCGTCCAAATCCTACAGAGGATCAACTGCCTCCCCGCAAATCGATCAAAGACGAATCGGAGCGCCTTTTTCTCCGCCAGCTTTTCCGCCCTCAATCCAGCTATTTCATAGTGGCTGGCGGCTAGTGCACACAGAGCACTACAGCAGCCAGATATGTAGACGTTTTAAGTTAGTATAAATATCCATCTTGCCGCTACAACAAGCAGATCGAAGAGGTCGTCAATCCGCCAATCACAGCGGAGACCTCGCTGGTCACATGAATCTGCTTCATCTTGTCATGCACCTCCTCTCTACCACATGCTGCTCCATATCAGCGACACCAATGGCGAGAACAATTTGCTAGAGTGGATGCTATCGGGCCTCCAAAACACCGACATATGTCCTGGGACCGCGTCCCTCCACCCGGCTGCTGATGAGGCCCAAATCAGCCTGTGTCGTCTGTCGGTAAGTTGCGACGCCCGTGATCCAGGAAGTCCAATCGCTCAGCTTGACTCGTAGGAGGCGTCGCAGGAAATGCATACGGTCGTACCAGGGAACAACATGCGATTTCTGTACCGAGAGGAATCTGCAGTGCATTGTGAGTCAGGAAGCCGACTTTCCAGAAGATGGCTACGAGCCGATCGTGCCTCGACGGATCCATGCTCTAACGCACAAGTCCAGGCTCCTGCCGCCCCTGGACTTGTGCGAGGAGCTGATCAATCTCTATTTCCGCTACATCCATGTGTCGTTTCACGTCTTGTTTCACAAGCCGTCCTTTTTGGCCGCTTTCAAGAACGGCTCGCTGTCGAGGATCCTCCTTTTCGCCGTCATCGGCATGTCAGCCCGCTTTTCGCAGCACGAAAGCCTAATCAAGGCATCACCTCGGGAGCGAGGCAGACCCTTCACCAAAGAAGCAGAGCGTTTATTGAATCTACACGACATCTCCCTCACCACCATCCAAGCTTGCCTGTTGCTGGGAGCGTCCGCCGTGGTCGAGGGGGAAGGGGCGACAGAATCTGTTTACTTCAGTATTGCTTGCCGCATGGGAATGCTTCTAGACCTTCCTAACGCACCGGTCACAACGCGAATCCAGCAAGAGCTCAACTTTAGAGGTTAGGGAGCCGATGGCATACCGTACAGGTCTGGCAGTGACTGACTGGGCTACAGTATGGTGGGCGTTGTACGAAACGGACACATGGTCATCGACGGGAGTGCGATTGCCGAAGATGATGCCGTTGCGCAATGTGCCGCTCCCGATGGCCGAGAAGAGATTCCTCGAGCTTTCGTCCACCGCACCCCCGAACCGAACTTACATCGCCAACCGCGGATCCCCAACGGCGAAATCACCCATTCCACAGGACTCGCTGATAGCACATTCGGTGATGGTAAACCAAATCTTCTCTCAGATCGACGAGGTCAACTCACGAGCCGTCTCCGGTGAGCTGCACGGCGCCGAGCTCACACAGGCTGTCGAGCGTGTGTCGGTGGAGCTGAATTCCTGGGCCTGTAGCCTTCCGGACAGGATGGTCAACACGCCGGAGAACCTCGTGTACTGGACAAGGCAAGGTTTCGGTAACATATTTGTCGTCCTGCACATGGACTATTGCCACCTGTGCCAGATCCTCTTTTACCAGTTCCTCCACGGCAGCGCGAATCAAGCATATCACCACGAGGACCAGGACCAGCATCAGCTGAGGAGTCAGTACGCCCAGAAATGCCGCAAATACTCCACGGACGTTTGCAATCTCATCCACCTAGCGAGCGAGACCGAGGGGGCCGAACTCCTCAACTCGATCGTCGGCCACGTCCTGACCATCGCCTCCACCGTTCAGCTGCACATCCTGCTCTTCAGCGACGATGCAGCGGACGTGCACAGTGCGCGCAGACTGCTCGAGCGCAACTTCGAGCTGCTCACCCGCTTGAAGACGTTCTGGCCCTGCATCGACATCTCGTTTGCCCGGTTCGAGGCCTTCCACAAGGCCTGCCTGCGCTGCCAGGACGACTCGCACTTCCAGATGGATCAGTGGATGCTCAAGTTCATGCTCGAGTTCGCGGCGCCTCTCACTGAGAGATATGAAGAGGAAGGAGGTGGCGAGGAGAATTTCCAGCGCCCGTGGTCTTTGATCAGCACTGCAATTTAGCGGGATACACAGAAGTACAATGTGCTGAGCGCTGTGGGACAAACTACGAGATTGTATGCGACAGGTTCATTTGTTCAGATCAAGCCATGCCGGATGGAAACAGCAGCCACGAATGTCCCAGCACCAGATGTCCAGGGAGGTGTGGGAGAACGACGTTTGATCGAGTTCAGTCCTTCCAGCGCCCGATCCCTGAGCGCTTTGTGGCCAGGGTCTTGTGAGTTCTCTCCAGGTACCCGAGACGTCTGTATTTCTCGGTCTCGCCGCTAGCTGCTGACCGCCCAAAACTCTAGATACCCTTGGCCTCCCCGGAACTTTGCTCCAACACCCCGCGTGCCCGCCGATCTTAGTTCTAGGAGGGGATCCAACTTTATCCCGACTGAACTGCAAAGTCCTGGAGACCATGAGGAGTTTCGTAAGCGGGCGTTGGGGGGTTGGGTGCTTAGAGGGGCTGAGGACCACGTCTAGCAATCAGTGAGAGGGAACGGAGGCAGGGTCTCATCTGAAAGAAGCGGCACAAGTGGTATTAACACGGGTAGATGCTGCCCTTCTGTCGCCTAGCATAAGAACCACGATAGGGCTTGCCACCTAGTTCGAAGGCAACACACCATTCAGCGGTTTGAAACTAAAGGAGCGTGTTCCACCATCCACACGAGCTGCCGACCATATTTCCCCACTGGATGATCATCCCACAACTGTCCCAGGCGACAGCTCCGCACCTACACGTCGAATTGTCCATAGAGCACACGCTCCGAAACAGGCCTATCCCCCAGATTCAAGTTACTGAAACCTGCGCGAAGCCTCGCCTGTGCTATGGCCGCGTCATTTTGGGCGGAGAATCGCTTGTACTCCGGGTCAACGTCCTTGACGACTTTCTCCGGCTGCTCGAGGTTCTCGAGAGCTAGGTCCTGGCGCTGTATCGAGGGCGTTGTGTATTGGTCGAGAACTGTAGCGGTGAAGACGGACTTATTATCTCTCTCTCTCTCTCTCGCGAGGTGCATTGCAATGTGGTTGAGGAGGAGGGGATGCAAGGCCTCGGGGGACGGACATGCACTATCAACCATGGTCGGGTCAGGGGGGAAGAAAGCGTCGTGAAGACGATCTGGACGCTGGGTCCCCGCCTGTCGGGCATGTCGGGCACTCACTGGAGGGATCTGAATGCTAGCGAGGGTGCCCGTGGTTTCGGTCGCGCAACCACAGATGAACGCCATGACGAGCTCGACACAGTGCAGTATGACTTCCCGGTTGTCGAGCTGGTCCCACGGGTATCTGGTGCCGGTGAAGTAGGCCGTGCCGCCGCTGCTGACCATGAACTTCCAGGCCAACTGCCTGGTCTCCCTGTTGGTGTCGTCCCTCTCCAAGACGGCGGGATCAACCTCCTCGCGGCACATGAATAGGTAGCAGCCCTGCGCGAGTTGATTGCGGTTGTCGTTGCCGGTCACGCCGGCCCAGACAGGGTGGTCCTCGAGTATTCTGGACCACAACTCCTCCCTTGATTTTGGGGGAGGATATGAATATCGAAAGAGAGACATGGCTCAGGTCTGCAAAGCGAAGAAGCGTACGGAAGAAGGGTGAAGGAGAAATGTATGCAGAAGGAGGAAATGAACCTAGGGGATGCCCTATATATATACCTCGACCCTCCTGCCCAGAGTCGAGCGGGGGAAGCGAACTTTGCGAATGTGACGTATACCCCGCCAATGGCAGCACAGTCCCAGACTCAGCCAGCGATGGTCCATGAGCCCACATCTCACTCCCGCTGGACTTGAACACTTGGATCGCCAATCACGTCCTGCAGCACTCGGGCCAGTCGATGGTCATGGCGGCTGGGTGACAGCAGGGTGACAGCATTGACAGCCCAACAAAAAGAGCAGACCAAACAGAGCGCTGATCGAAAGGAAAGCGGTGGGAGGAGTGGAGAGTTGTCTCAAGGGAAACCGGAGGCGAGGGAAAAGGAGGATGTTGAAGCGGGTGGGATCGACACAGCAAACATGTCTGGCCATTGCAGGACGCACTTGGAAAAGGCAAAACGAGTTGCTGGGTGCCTGGTGGGTTGCTGATGTCTATGGACAGAACTTTTCTGATTGCGTTGCCAAATGAACCGTCTACTGAACCCAATCTTTGCGCTGGTTCGACCAGTCCTCTCACAGCCTTGCCAATCTCTGGCGCCATTCGTGTCTAGGAAGGTTTGAATCAGCCGTGGGCCCCAAGCCTAATCCATGTTGCGTGTATGGTACGGGCGAGAACTTGCTCACTGACAGAGGCAGTGGCTGACAGAGGCCCTGTGTCAACAGAAAGACCCGCCTACCTCGATCTTCCAAAGGAGGCCGGCGCGGCGGGCTTGTTGTCCAGGATCTCCTCGATCTCCTCCATGGTCTTGTCGTCCAGCTTCTCCAACAGCTTGAGCGCCTTGCAGTTGTCCACAATCTGCTCGACCTTGGTGGCGCCGAGGATGACCGTGCTGACGTTGGGGTTCTTGGCGCACCAGGCCAGCGCCAATTGTGACATGTTGCCGCCCAGTCGTTCGGCGATCTGGGTCAACTTCTTGACCTTTTCAATCTTGGCCTTGCCTTCGGGTTTCTGAAGCGAGTCGATGGTGCTGCCGAAGAAGTCTTTGTGGTTGGCGAACCGTGAGCCCTCGGGAATGCCGTTGTTGTACTTGCCAGTCAAGAGACCAGATGCGAGTGGCGACCAGATGGTGGTGCCGTACTTGTACTCCTGGTACAGCGGCGCATACTCGACCTCGAATCTTTGGCGGTGGAAGGCGTTGTACTGAGGTTGCTCGGCGATCGGGGCAATCAGGTTATACTTCTCAGCAATCAACGTGGCTTCCGTGATCTGGGTGGCCGACCACTCGGACGTCCCCCAGTAGTAGGCGAGGTTGAGATTTCGGATGACCTGAGTGAAGCCCTCGACAATCTCCTTCATCGGAGTGGCATAGTCAGGTCGGTGGGCCAGCACAATATCCACATATGGTTGTTGGAGACGCTCCAGGGAGCTCTTGAGACCTTCGACCACATGCTTTCGTGAGAGGCCACGGGTGTTTGGCTCTTTTCGCCCTGTGCCGAAGAAGATCTTGGTGGACAAGACATACTCGTCTCGGGGCCAGTTGAGCTCCTTGAGAGCGTTCCCCATCTCAATTTCGGATTGTCCATTGGCGTATGTCTGCATTGGCGTAAGTATTGTACCCGCGAGAGGGTGGTAGTGCTCACCTCTGCAGTGTCGAAGAAGTTGATGCCATGGTCCCACGCAGCTTGCAAGCATCTGGTCCGGCTTGTCAGCATGAGCTTGACGACGCGCGCACACGACCTACTCCTTGACAATGTTGCCCTTCTGGGTTCCTCCGTATGTGAGCCAGCCACCTGTTCACGATGTTAGCCATCAGAGCACCTCCGGCCAATGCGCCTTTCCACTTACCCAGCGACAAAACTGAGACCTTTAGACCGGTAGGGCCGAGGTGGCGGAAGACCTGATTGTGCGGTGGACGTCAGTAACCATATTGTGGCGGCGCAAGTGCACCTCAATGCCGCTGGATGGAGGAAGACGCACCATGTCTTTGGGGTCGAAAGCGGATCGGACAGCCATGTCTGCGAGTGATCTGGAACGAAACTGCGACGGAGGGTTGAATACACTTCTGGCTAAGCTGTAGATGAGTCTTGGGGAGCTTGATCGCAGCAGCAATTGCATGAACCAGAGGGTGGAAGGAAAGTGTCGTGAAATGCGGAATTGGAGAAGGGAGGGAGAGAAAAAAAGTCGCAGAGGAGGGGCCACCACGGCCACGTTATCATGACGTTTGAGATTGGTTCCTCTCAACGCTGGCTATTTACCACCACTGTCGCTTCCTACAAAATTACCCCTCGATCCACGTCGACCACACGGACATTAGCTATCTACACTCCATGGTGGAGTTGCGGGCTTGCGACATGGAGAGCATTTCCTGAACCTGGTAAGCCGAAACACAGATCGGACAATTGCCGGTGGCCAATCCCGTCTCGACGGATCACTAATTGGCTGGGTTCCAAGGTGCTTGCGCTTCAGATTCGCCATGATTAAATCATCCTCGAGATCACGTTATTGCCAGAGGCGAGCGAGTGGGAATGCGACACACGGCTCGACGGCCTTCGACGGGCGGTACTGCCGATGCCAGGCACACGAGGAGGTCTCGGTAGGTTATTATCAATATGTCAACACCGACAAACACAGGATCTTCCCGGTGGCCGCTTTGTCACCAGTCTAGGAGTTAGGTGTTAATGAGGCCCTTAAGACCCTATCGTTGCGCTCGTCAGATCCCTAGCCACTGTTCACACACAGGAGAACGGTGCGCAGAAGAATGGCTTTCCATGTTACGAGAGGAACAGTTCTGGCAAGGCTCCCTTCCCTTCTACCTCAACTTCCTTGCTGTCCAGCTGGATCGCCAGCAGCCTCACCGGCTTGGAGTCACTGGGGTTCCTCCACATGTGCATGGTCCCTCGCTGGACAAAGATGTCTCCTCTCGCCAGGCGCCTCTTCTCACCAGAGTCCAGTTCCAATTCCACCTCGCCCTCCAGCACCACGCCATAGTCAATCGAAACAGTGCGATGCATGGGCGACTTCGCACCAGGACCCATATCGACCACCCGACACACTGATCCGCCCTTGATTGTGATGCCGGGGTGTTTCTGCTGGTACCCGTTATAGACGTCCAGGTCAGCATTGCCGTTGAAGTCGGCCGGGATTGTGTCTGTTGCGTATGCGAGGCCGAACCCCGAAGTAGGGAAATTCGACCACGTAGGTTCTGGAGAGATTGAGCCTGCGGCAGAAGAGCTCGGGTCGGCAGGGTCAGCAGTTGCGAATATTGCTACGCCGTCTGCATTATGAGTGGTGATGTGTCGGGAAAACTTGGGCAATCCCTCGACCTTGGTCGCTGGTTCTGTCATGGTTTTTCTGTTCACGGCTGGATGTCGAAGCTCTCCGGCTTCTCACTGTTACAGACAAGCGATGGACGACACGGCAAAACCAAGCCTAGGTAAGTTTTGTCGAGAACATCTGTCAGGAGATACCCTAGACATGTGGACGTTATATCGTTCCTCATCATGATCCGCAATGGCCTCTGTGAAGCTGACTGCCGAACAAAGTGTGCGGGAGACGCAATTTCAAGGAAGCGTGGGGCTCAGGATCGTGGGGAAGTCCTTCTTGCGAGCTATACTACGTACAAGAGGTGGCAGCCGATGTCGAAAATAAGTGACACAGTCTGACGAGAAATTATGTAGAGAAGTGATTTACCACTGACTCCTAGGAATTGTCTTTTTTAAGTGTATTTATCCTGTTCTTACCTAGGTATTCCTGTTAAGAATACTGGCTATACCTGATCTGGCGGCTGCCTCGTCGCTGTCGAGTGACCGTCTATTCTCTGCCAGACTCTTTGTCAGATGGTGCTATTTTCTTCCAGATAGCCACCAGGAGCCAGATTCGGCTCAGCGCCTGCCACCCTCGGAGTGCTGGCCGCCAGTGACCATACTCGTTGTAGGTGGCAAACCTTTCGCTTAACTCGGGCGATGGAGTAGTCACTATTCGTCGGTCAACGCTACGAGAGGTTGCCGAGCACTTGATGTTTTGATATATACTTCGTACTACGTGAAGACATAATCGTCATTAGCTATGTACCAGGTACCGTTCGTCGCGGGCTGAGCATGAAGAAGCCACAGTGGCTGGCCCTGCCGTGTTGTTGGGCAGACTGTCCTCACTACCACGACTCACCTATTAGTCTCACCATGCCTGAGGACCAGCCACCAGCTCACGAAACTTTCTTGGTACAAACTTCTCCTTCTTTGTACACATTTGGCCTACTTTTTATTTCATCCCTACGGCATCTTCATGAGCCGATTTGCGGCCGTGGACCACCTGCTGCTAACATTCTTATTCTTGTCAGACTTTGGCCGAGAACATGAATGCCCTTCTCTCGCTTTTCAAGTGGATCTCATCACGACGACGAGGCTCGGTGACAGTCGCCCGTGAGACATCACGTCCAGGACAGTTCCAGGTCAGGCGAACCTCGACCTTGGAGACATTACCAGCAGAAATCCTGCTGCATATCGTCTCCTTTTTGCCAGCCAGTTCCGTGGCCTGTCTGAGTCTGGTTTCCAAATCGCACCACGAAGCCCTTGGCGGCCAGTTTGATCTCAAATTGCGACATGACCCGACAGAAAAAGCACGTTTCCTTCGGGTACTGGAAGAGGACTTACCCGAGATGATGGCATGCTGTGTCTGCAACATCCTGTACCGTTGGGACCAGTTTCCGCGGTGGCGCTGTCCTAATTCTCATACCCATCGGTCCTTAGCGCGTGGTGTATTCTGGTGCTTCTCCCACGACCCCGCCCTGATCTATCGCAACACGGTAGATGTGTTCCTGAGAGGATTTGCGAAAGGCGCGCGATACGGTCCACAGCTCCATGAACTAATCACCACTGCACACCCAACCACGCCGCGTCTTCTCACAGTGGCGGATATATCGACAGCAAGAGTCTGACCGCTCGGGTTGTCAGGGACAAGCTGTTGATGCACAGTGTCCACAAGATGTCGGTACTTTTATCAGCTCAAACACTGGGTACTCCGACTTCGCAAGTGAACATCAATCAAATTGTTCTGGACCAATTTGTGCCTGCAATCAACAAGTTCAAGTACATCGGCTGTGCCCACTCTGACGAAACACTCCCTGCCGTGATTTTAGATGCATTTCAACGACGGTCGGGCCACTCCAGCGATCGATCGAGATGCTTGGATCTCTTGAACTGCGGCCACTGCGCCACCGACCTGCGAGTCCGGGTGGAGTTAGCAAATTGCGCCGGAATCTGCGTCCACATTGAAATAGAGACATGGCAGTCCTTAGGAGGTCGAGAGTCTGACAACAGAGACGAGACGGAGGACGCGCATTTCCATTTCGGATACCAGCGGCAGGAGCCCTTCGATATCAATCCTCCTGACCGCAACCTGGAGGAGATGTTCAAAGAGGGAGAGGGAGTCGAAAGAGAGCGTGAGGATTCCTCCGACGAATCTCGACGGGGTCAGAGCTGGATCCAGCTGTGGGGCTGGTACTATGACACTTTCACGGCTCAATTGTGCAGATACAGCGGTCCTTGCGATGGTGGAGGGGTGTCAAGTCGAATTCCGGAGCAGCCACTGTCCTTGCTGTATGCGACCCATTGAGCTTGCGTCAAGGGCGTGGATTCAATCGATGGAGCCTGGGTACAATTGAAGAGTGGGATCGAATCCTGTTCAGTGAATATCTATCATTCACGACCAATACAGGCAGAGACCGGTGAGCTTATCTATCCCTGACCCTCATTCTGTCACATCCAAGCCCTGGATCTTTGCACTTCGGGATTCCGCCATGCCAAAGTTGTCACTATTCAAAACACTACCGGCCCGCCGATGCAGCACTCTCTAAGCCAGAATTGCGCCGGGTGGCCCTTAGAAGTCTATCTCAGGGGTTCTTGGTCCTTCGCCGCCGCAGCCGCCTAAGGAGCACCTCCGCCTTCATCGACCTTGAGCACTCCATATTGCGGCGCCGCGCCAGCAACGCCGACCTCCTTGCAATACTCGTCCCAATGCCTGAGCAGCTCCTGCAGCTTGTCGGGGTGCCTTGCGCCCAGATCGTCCGTCTCGCCGGGGTCCTTCTCCAGGTTGTACAGCTGCCATCTCCCCGGTCCAAAGGGCTTCGGAATCATGACGGCTTTCCATTTCCCCTTCCGGAGAGCCTGGCGGTCGAATAGCTCCCATCCCATGACCGAGTCGTCGCCATGGATATGGTGTTGTTTCGCGGGGTCGGACAGGTACGGAACCCAGGATGTGCCGCGCATACGGACGACGGCGCGGCCTTTATACGTGGTTCCCGGATGTTGAGTGCCAGCTAATTGCAACAGAGTCGGGGCAATGTCCATCACGGTCGCAAAGGATCGATCAAGCTGCCCGGCCCGTGACGACGTCAATGGAGGATATCTGAGAATGAACGGCACCCGAATCCCGCCCTCTGACGAGAAGGACTTGTAAAGTCTCAGCGGGGCCATCGCCGCAGACGCCCACCGCGGACCGTACCAGATGTAGCTGTTATACCGGCCCATGTTCTCATAGCTATTGTCGTAATATCGATCGATGTGGTCGAAGATGTTCTCCTTCACCACCGGATACGCCTCCAGCAGCAGGCCCTCGGCGCCGTTGTCGGACATGAACAGGACCAACGTGTTATCGTACTCGCCGCTTGACTTGAGATAGGAAATGACACGCCCAATGTTCCGGTCCATGTTCTGCACCATGGCTGCGAACACCTCCATGGTCCGCGAAGAGAATTTCTTCTCATCCTCAGTCAAGTCCTTCCATTCTTTGCTCAGGGGCTTATCGAGAGGAAGGGCGAATACCTCGTGAGGTTTGGTCTCTGGTGAAATGATCCCGAGTTCCTCGAGACGTCGTAGCCGCTTCTCTCTCAACACGTCAGGGCCTTCATCGTAGACCCCTCGATAATCTCGGCGGTCCTCTTCCGGTGCTTGCAAGGGCCAGTGAGGCGCGGAGTAGGGCAGATAGGCGAAGAAAGGCTTCTGCTTTTGCTCCTCGCTCCGCTCGTCGAAGTACTGCAGAAGCTTCGACGTGAAGGACTCTGACGAGTAAAACTCCGGACCCAAGCCGGCAACTGGGACCGGCTTGTCGTCCTCAGCGTAGAAGGGGCCGTTGCGCTCCAGCAGATCGGGCACCTTCTCCTGCACCTGCGGCTCCCACCCGTAATGATTGGCACCACCCTGGGAGATTGTCAGCTGGCAGCTTGATGACCGACTACCGACGTGCCGCGTACGGGAAGTAGGCTGAACGACCGGTCGAACCCTCTCCTGGACGGATAGCGGTCCGGCGTCATGCCGAGATGCCACTTGCCCGACATCAGAGTGAAGTAGCCGGCGTCGCGAAGAAGCTCGGGCAAGGCCGCGACCCGGTCATTCAGGTATCCTTCGTAGCCAGGCTGTCCCACCTGGAACTCTTTGATTGCCTCGATCATCGTCCCCAGCCCGGCAATGTCTGTGTATACCAGGGGGGTTAGAACCTGTGTCGCCCACGGGCATCTTGGGTTGGGTACTTGCGATTGTCTGTGCCGCTCAGCAGCATGGACCGCGTCGGCGAACACGCCGCGGCGGCATGGAAGTCGGTGAGTCTGAGCCCGCCCCGAGCCAGGCCGTCGATGTTGGGCGTCTTGATCTCCCCGCCGAAGGCGCCCACGTCCGAGAAGCCCAGGTCGTCGGCCACGATGATCAGGAAATTGGGCCGCGGGCCTGTGGCTGGCTTCGCAGATTCCCCGGCCATGATGCAGATGCTCGATGCGCGACAGGCGGTGGTCCCATCAGCGAATCGAGGCAGGCAGGACGTTCTAGAGCCACCAAGTCTAAGAGACGAGAAGGGGTTCAGGCGCTCTTCCGTAGATTGCGTACGACTGCGGTCAGTATGTCACTCGGGGAAACGCGGCGTGTCGTTTTTCCGGCTGGCTTGGACCCCCCTGAAGATTCTGCCGCGTCCATTCATCAGGCACTGTGGAAGCCCCAGAACAGTCACATGACGCCACGACAAAAATTGTTTAGTTTATGATTTTGTCTTCTCAATTTATCACTAGATTTGCCAAATTCTCTTGGTCCAATTTATTACGTTGACAATCTGGCCGAGTGGTTAAGGCGGCAGACTCGAATGGCCTATTCTCTTAGGTCTACTGTTATCTGCTGGGTTCGCCCGCACAGGTTCAAATCCTGTGGTTGTCGATTTTGTTTTTTTTTTTGTATTTTTCGCGAGAGGTGTCCTTTTTGCCACCCTTCCTTTGTGCCCCATACTGGGAATAGGGAGCTTGGGGAAGGAAATTGGTTTGGTAGTGGTACTGAAGCTCAGAGTGGAGTGTAGTGAATGGGTGCAGAAAGCCGGAAAGCCATCAAGTGGCCGCTCAATTATATAGAAGACCTCAGAGAGAAGTGAATGGTATTCGCTATATACGCAAGTCCCCAGTGCGTCCACTGGAGACGACTGCTATTTTTGATACCTCATCTGGCTAGCCGACCAGCCAGGAAGGGGAATGAATGGCAGAAAGCACCCTTCAGCCTGAAGAGCTGGATGGAGATTGCCCCCCGCACACCAATGCTTTCTGCTCGCTATATTCGAAATCATGGCAAGGCTGCCATTTCTAGGAAAGAGTACTTGTGCCACGCAGTGACACGCATGTCTTGGGACAATCGTGTGGATGAAAATGTGCATCTTAGAATCGAAATCAACAGATGGGGCAAAGGAGACATCTCGTTGCGTTATGCCACTGCGCCGTTGAAAAACCGGGGAAGCTCAGCATCATATCAAGCAAGTTCAAACGTCCACCGCAGGAATCACAGTCAGACATTGGGCAAGAAGGCCGTCTTGGACGGGCGTTCAATGGCCCTGACGCGAGGGCATGTCGAAGATGATATCGTCCGAAGGCGCCTGCGGCTTGCGTGCCGCCATTGCGAGTGAACCCGCGATTGAACGACGCATGGGTACAATTCGAGGAGACATCTTGACGGGTTTCAATAGAATGTGACCCAAGGTTTTGTCGATATCGAGCTTGGGGTTATGTCCGCAAGGCATAGAGAAATGGCACTCGTCTACTGGACGACGCAGTTGTACATTTGGGCAGACATATTGTCGGTGGTTGACGGTAAGCGCTGGGCTTGTCTGTGTATTGGGGAAGCTGAAGGAGTGACTTGTAGTTGGATATGAATGAAAGTGTATGCGGGAGAGGCAAATCAGTCAGATAGGAGTACGGTATAAATACCTTGCCTAGAATTGCATAAAGACCAACATGCTGAAAGCAAATAGAAAGAGATCATGTTCTCGTACCCCATTCGGTCGCCGATGGGTGAGAGTCGGCGGCAAACAAAGAGCTCGCGGCAAGGCTGAGCAGAAGGGGACGAGGCTTGATATTGTTCTCCTTTAGTATTGTTCTCCCACACAAAGCATCGGAATGCTGAAATGTTCCCACCACCAACGTATTTCCGGCATAGGAGGAGAACAAACGAGTCCTGACAGTGGATTGCCGGGCGCGGCATGACCTTGTCCACACCCACAACGGTATTTGAGCTGTACCAGGTCGATGATGCTTGCCGATGTATGTTTGGTATCTAAAATCGGGTAAATGGCAGCCATTTTCCTCGGAGGGTGATTTTCGCCTGCATCAAATCAGCTCAGAGCTCTAGTACACTGTGATTTGTGTCTTACCCATGTATTGCCGTCCTTGTCGACCTCTTTTTCGACGTGGGTGGAGAAAGAAATTGCGCTCATGATACCGTCGCCAAACTTCTCGTTCAGGACGGCCTTATATGCATATCCGTAATTTTGCACAATCTCGTACAAGCGGTAGATCAGCGGTTCCTTGGGAGGCATCTCCACGCTCTTTCCACGGTCTGGGAACCCGCTCATTTGTGCCTCGAGGGTGGCATGGTCAATGCCAAAGTAGGCCGACAGCTTCTGGATATCTTCTGGGGACGGCTTTGCTTGTCCGTAGAACAGAGCTGCCACCGCGACCTCGTCCCGGCCAATCTCCTTGCCAATCGCCTCAAAGGTCACCTTCTTTTGCGCCTTCGCCTCGAACAAGGTTACAGAGGATTTGGGGAGGTTGGGATGTTGAGATACCTGGTCCTGTTAGCTGCCACGTCGAGCTTGTCCTTGAGGTGGAGCAACTCACATCCAGAGTTGCGAGAGACATGTTGGATGCTGGTCGGGTAAATTGCAACGAGGTCGGTCTGACGTAGCACAACGCAGGACGAGGCTTTGACCTGAATGCTGTGGAGGTTAGACGTTGCAGAGGACGTAGAGGTAGAGACATGATGGATGCAAATGACACCGAATATAAATAGCCAATCCAAAGAGATCCGTGGAGATGTGCACTCGTCAATATTTGTATCTCCTGCTTGGTAGAGGGGCCCTGAAGCTCTCCTCCCCGCATCAACCATCATCCGGGCGAATTGCCGTCATCCCAGATCGCGCAGGTCGGCATCAGCCCTGGCCCGAGAGAGATGGCTCCCGCCTAGCTCTTCGAGAAGCTGCAAGACATGCTGAGGGAGAGCAAAGAGCATGCGACGAGTATCCATATCCGGGATGTGTCTGTGCCAATACGAATGATGGGATTCTGCGTGTCGATAAGGAAAAGGCCTGGTGCTCCCAGAAGCAGCATCTTTCAACTGCCTTCCGCGGCGAGGGGCATCTTGCCAGGGGTATTTTGTTTTTTCGCGGGGCGATGAGGCGCAGCAGCTGTGAGGCCAGCTCCTTATTGGGGCCACGGTGATGTGGAGGGTGTCGCGAGGACGTTTACCGCAGTGTGGTTGGTTCGACCTTGTTCCCAGGCGCCCTCGTCTCCAGCTTGGCATGTGCTTCACCTGGTTGACATGGCATGAATCAGCTGAAACGTCTGTCACTCGCCATGGCTGAAACGAATTCCTCCATGACCGTCGACCCCGTTTGAGTTCACCGCCGGGTAACCCTTATCGTTGCTCGAGACTGAGTGCGGTTCTCCAGTCGCCATCTGTTCTCTCTTCCCTCTCCTCTTTCGAGTCCAGCTCCGGTTCGAACTAGGGTTCCCGCCATGTCCTACCCACAGCGCCCGGAAGACGACGGGCTCGCGTACGGAGACGACTATTCCCAATCTCGTGGAAGCGGTGGACAGGATGGAACTGATCGATCGCTGCTTGGAGACACTTTCAAAAAGTTCAAATCCGAGCTGGACAAGTACAAGTCGAGTTCTTCCTCGTCCCAAAATTATGGCTACTCCGCCTCCGGCGCTGGCTCCAATCAGCAGTATTACGGGCAGCAAGGTCCCAATACTGGATATCCTCAGATAGGCCAATCTGCTTACCCGGGAGGCCCGCCTACGCAACAATCCCAAGGTCGACCTGATCTCGCGTCCAAACTGTTTGGTGGATTACAAAACACTCTCCAGAACATCGGCTCAGACGTCACAAATCTGCTGGGCCCAGGAAATCGGCCTCCTTCGCAATATGGGCCGCCACCGCCAGGACAGACTGGTTATGCCGGGTATGCTAATGTGCCCGGTCCGCCAGGCATCCCCTCGGCCCCAAATCGCTACGACAGCTTTGCTTCAGAGAAACCAGGCAACGACGTCAAGTGGTACGTTGACGGGTGTGGCTACTTCTGGGCGGTGAGTCAAGCGCTCGAAGGAGCAAAACACTCGATCTGGATATTGGATTGGTGGCTGTCACCCGAGCTGTATCTCCGCCGGCCACCCTCTCAGAACGAACAATGGAGACTGGATCGAACGCTGCAACGGGCAGCACAACGCGGCGTCAAAGTCAAAGTGATCGTATACAAAGAGGTGACCCAAGCTTTGACTCTTTCCTCGGCACATACGAAACACGAACTCGAGAAACTGCATCCTAATATTGCGGTCTTTCGTCACCCGGACCATCTACCAGATGCTCAAACTGCTCAGTCGTCCTTGGTATCTTCTCTTCAAGCTCTGAAGCTCGATGCTGCGGGAATTTCTAAGCTTGGTGCGGATACGCTCAAGGGAATATATGGCGTGACGGACGACGTCATCCTGTACTGGGCACATCATGAGAAGCTGTGCTTGATTGACGACAGGATTGCGTTTATGGGCGGCTTGGATCTCTGTTTTGGGAGATGGGATACAAATCAGCATTCAATCGCTGATGCACATCCTTCCAACATCAACGATATCGTCTTTCCCGGTCAAGACTACAACAACGCCAGGGTCATGGACTTCAGCGACGTTGCACAACCGTTCCAGAACAAACTTGACAGGACCAAGAACTCGAGGATGGGATGGTCCGACATTGGCATTTGCCTGCAAGGATCTTGCGTCCAGGACCTTCGTCACCACTTCGTCGATAGATGGAACTTCATCTTCGACGAGAAATACAACGTCCGCAAGGATCAACGGTACTACAGGCTCCTGGACGATTTCCCTCACCCACCGACTGGCCCAGGCCAGCGACCCCAATCGCGCCCACAGTCACAAGGCCACCTTCAGCCTCCTGCGCCGGTTGGTGGATATGCACCACCCCCAGGCAGTCAACCCTACACGGAACCGGCGTGGCATACAACCAGCCGGCCGCACACGCCGGTCGCCGGCCAATACCAGGGTCAAGCAGGAACAGATACTGGCGCATATGGCGCTCCAGCAACCCCTTCTGTCCCGGGCGCTCAGATTCACTCGCAACATCCTGAAGCCCAGTATGGTCAAACTGCGGCCTCCTTGGATCAAGCAACCCCGGCCCAAGCACCAATGCCGGCTCCGCCTCAGACCTCTGCAACTGCCTATGGCCAAGTCCCTCCACCTCCACCACAAGCTCCCATCCAGACTTCTGCCGGAGTCTACGGCCAAGCTTCTGCGCCTCCACCACAAGCTCCCATCCACACTTCTGCCGGAGTCTACGGCCAAGCTTCTGCGCCTCCACCACAGGCTCCTCATCCACCTTCTTCTGATTCTTACGGTCAAGTGTACAGCCCTCCGCCACATGCAACTCCCCAACCTGCCACAAGCGCTTACAGTCAAGCCTCCAGCCCTCCGCCGCAGGTAGCCCCAGTCCAGCAACCAGTGAGCACCGGGAGTAGCTATCAACAACCCCCAGCCCAGACATTCCAGCAGAGCTTTCCTCCTCCGCCTCCTGGGCCACCTCCCCAAACATCAGCGGCCCCGGCACAGAGTTATCCGGGATATCCCCCGCCCCCGAGCGCAAACCCTCCGTACGCGCCCTACCATCAAGGACCGACGGAACTTTCGACGCAGCAATCACCTCCTCAATCGTACCAGCATCAAAATTATCAAGCTTATCAACCGGCCGATGCAGGGCAAGCTCGTGGTTTCGACGAATATGGTCAAGAGTCTAGCAGGGGCTTTGATGATTATGGACCCGGAGGCGAATCCGAAAGAGGCCTCCGGGGAAGATATGACCAGTACAAAACGGAGGGGAAACTGTTGGGCCAGCAACTTTCATCTATTGGCAATGCTGTCTCAGGTGGCCTTGGGGACAAAGCGCACCAACTTCAAGGCAAATACTTTGGGGGTACGGACTCCTATGGGCGCCCGTATGCTCAGCCACGACCGGTTATGACCTGTCAGGTTCTTCGGAGCTGCACAACGTGGAGCAACGGAACTCCCCTCGAGCATTCTATCCAGAACGCGTACATCGATGTGATTCGGAACAGTCAGCACTTCGTCTACATCGAGAATCAATTCTTCATCACAGCCACCGGCGATCAACAGAAACCTGTCACAAACTTGATCGGTCAGGCTATTGTTGAACGGATCCTTCGGGCGGCTCGAAACAACGAAAAGTATAAAATCATTGTGGTCATCCCGGCAGTGCCAGCATTTGCGGGGGACCTCCGGGACGATTCTTCACTGGCCACCCGAGCGATCATGGAGTTCCAGTACAACAGCATTAACCGCGGTGGACACAGCATCATGGAGAAGATAGCGCAGGCAGGCTTCAATCCCATGGATTATATTCGATTCTACAACCTCCGGAATTACGATCGAATCAACTGCAGCAATTTCATGCAGCAAGTCGAACAGCACAGTGGAGTGAGATACGAAGATGCCCGGAAACAACACGATGACGCTGTCGGAGCCGGCTATGGGCAGTACGGCGAGAAGACAGGGACCACTCAACTGTCTCAAGCCTCTCAGTACCAGCAATACCAGACCGCCGCGCAGCAGATGGCCACTCCTGGGAGCGGCCGGTGGGACAGTGTGGCGGAATGCTACATGCTCGGCGGCCAGGACATACGCACTGTACCCTGGGACGGCCCTCCTGAAGCCGAGTTCGATGCGTTCGTTAGCGAAGAGCTGTACATTCATTCAAAGGTAAATGTCGCTACTCATATGAGTTACTGAGTATCTAATCAGTCGCAGTGCCTCATCGCCGACGATCGAATTGTCATTATAGGATCTGCCAACCTGAATGACCGCAGCCAACTAGGATCACACGACAGTGAGATCGCCCTGCTGATCAACGACTCTACGCCCGTCCAGTCGTACATGAGTGGCCAGCCCTACCAAGCAAGTGGTTTCGCAGCGTCTCTACGCAGACAGCTGGTCCGAAAACACGTCGGACTGATTCGGCCTCAACACTTCTTCAGACCGGACCCGAATTTTGACCCAGTCGGGGTGCCCAATGTGTATGACTGGGGCTCCCCAGAAGATAATGTCGTGGCAGATCCTCTCAGCGACACTTTCCAGGCACTGTGGAACAGCCGAGCACGGACGAACACCGAAGTCTTCCGACGAGCGTTCCGCGCTGTCCCCGACGACTTTGTGAATACCTGGGCCGATTACAAGGAGTTTTATGAGTACTTCTATCGGCACTCCGACGCAGAGGCTCAAGGGAAACCAAGCAAATTGCCGCCACGGGTCGAGTATGGACATGTTGTTAGGGCAGATTTCCCGGGAGGGGTCGGCGAGCTCAAGGAACTCCTGAGTCAAGTCAAGGGCACCCTGGTGGAGATGCCGTTGTGTTTCCTTCAAAGTAAGGCAATCCTGTCCCTTTTAAGCCACGACTAACATGCAGCGCAGACGAAGACATTGCTAAGGAAGGGCTGTCTCTAAATCCGCTGACTGAAGAAGTCTATACATGAGCTAGCATTGACAGCTGAGCTATGACTGAATGATTGAATGAGCCAATTCATTTCACCTGACCGCCCTTCATTTCCGTGTAACCGCGTAAGGTGTAAGGTCCGAGATCAACTCTCTCGTCGGCCGAAGTGGTAGCAGTTCCTTCACATAAAGGGGCTGCGCAAAGCGCGTTTTATGCCTGACCGTACAGACCCGCTGGACAAATTCGGCGAAGCAGATGGATCCTCGCGCTGCTCAAGGAAAGCTTCCTTCATGCGCTGTGTCACTTCAGACTCTCCTTCTTTTGAGAGTTCAGCCCTTTTCTATGGCTGATTTCGATGTTGGTGAAGCTCACTACCGCTGGCCGAGCTGCCATACCAAGCTCAGCAACCTAGGAAGAAGGAAGAGAGTTTGAGAACCAGCGGGATCGCCTCACCTCACTGGCGTCCTCGCCAAACCGTCTGCGGGAACCTGCTTGATGTCTTCCCCGCTTGCTACTTCACTTTCTGGTACTTAGCGACCTTCATCCATCATCCTCTTCACCTCTGCTTTGTTCCCTCCTTTCTTCCTTCACACAACAGTCTCTCTTAGTTTCCTTCTCTGGACTGTAATAGCTTTGCTCTTTTGAAGGTTGGAATCTGACGTTGCCCCTCCACCCTCTTGCCCTTGGTCGTCTGCTAACTCCCACCCCTGACCCTGGTACACCAACCTCAACATGAAGATCAAATGCACCTACGAAGATTGCTTCAAGCAATTCGACTCTCGGCAGGCCATGGTTCGCCACAAGGAAAAAGATCCTGGACACTCGTACTGCAAGCTCTGTGACGTCGACTGTGCTAATGACATGTTCCTCTTCATCCACCAGCTTGGAAGCCCTGCGCACAGTGAGTTGGCTTGCCCGCCCGCCTCGTGACGGCTGTTGGCCACTGACAGTGTCGTAGTCTGCTGCCCGATTTGCGCATGCGAGGTACTGAGTGAACTCCCGAAGAAACGTATAGCCGAAGCTGACCCACGCAGTTCAAAAGTACAATTGCCAGGGATACTCACATGGAAACTGTAGGCACAAGTGTCAGATCTGAATCGAACACTAGCTGACTTGGGATGGCAGCAACATCGTTCCAACCAGAACATAGAGTGTGCTGGTTGCGGACAGAAGTGCGGATCAGCGTCGCAACTGATGCAACACATCGAGCAAGATGAATGTGAAGTCATCAAGCTCCAAGATTTCCAGATGCAGCGAGCCGAACGCCAGGTTCAGAAAGATGCGTGGGAGGCAGAGACGGATCCATTCGCTATCAATCCACCCATCTGGGATCAGACGAGTGCTGCCAGCAACAACGCTGGCCTTGATCTCTTGAGCAGGGCGACTCATGGCTCGGGACGATCTCTCAATGACGCCCTGGGTGAGCCAATCTCCACCGCATCCCACGAACAATTCCCACCACTCTCGCAGTCTCGGGACTCGAATGCGGCCAGTGCCAGTGCGGCTCCGCAGCAGTCTAGCTTTGCGGTCAAACCCACGAGTAACGTCCTCGACCTCGACGACGCCTCTGCAAAAGACATGTCCAACTTGCACATCTCCCAGCCGGCATGGGGGATGCAACAAGACGTCGACACACCACAGGGGAATGCCAATTCTGGAATGGTCGCAGGGTGGCTTAACACGGTCGCTGCCACGGCGGAACCACCATCCAACGGCTCGAGCGAAGTTGCCTCAATGTATGACAGAAAGGCGTCGTCGTCTGACTACCCTGGCAAAATCCCACCGACTTCACAGGCAAAGCCGAACCAAGATTCTTCTTACCAACACATTGTCCAGATGCCCGCCCACTCTATCGTGTCGACGAGGAGGCGACTCGAAATCGAAAAGTATTGGGACTCCATCCGCCAAGTGTATTCTTGCCCGACCATCAAATGCAAACGTCAGTTCAGGACACCAGCTGACTTCAGAGCACACCTCCTGTCCTCAGCACACATTGGTGGTCAGGTCACTTGCCCCTCGTGCTTGAAGAGGTTTGCGACCACCGCAGCATGGGTCGCCCACACCGCTTCGGCCAGCAAGCGTTGCGACATCCGCAACAGCGCCAATTTCAATCAGGTTATGCGAGAAGTCACCGGTGGGCTCCTGGGCACACAAGGGTACAACGATAATGGCTCGGTCAAGTTTGTTGCGCCGAGGATTGAAGATTGGTAAAGCGATTGGGAGGGAGTCGTGGCTTTCTTGAAGCCAAACCGCACCCCATCCTAGGTATGACTTTGATCTTGATATTGGGTGCGGCACCAACCTAACCCCTGAACAGATTTTCCAAAAGTCTACGTGACGAAGATTGATGACATCTGCAGTACGACCCGGGCTTGATATTGCCTCCACATTCTTTTTTAGACAGTATTGGCTCATTTCCTTTCGAGTCCTCGCGCCCGAGGCGCGTAAAAATTGTCATGAGCACGAAGTCGCACTGAGCTGGGCGCTCCTTTGAAGAACTTGGCGCAGGGAGATATGAGATATGGATCCAGTGATACCCTTGACGAAGAACAGCAAAACAAAACAAAACAAAACATGGCGCCTGGCATTGAAGACGGGACAGTGCACAGGTTAAGCCGCACTATGGGACGAAAAAGGATTGTGGATACGTGCTCTGGAAATTACAACAATACACACAGCTCTACTGGTCCAGCGGCAGCAAAAATCATGCACTGCAGATAGGTGTAATATGCTCACACAAATAGATTTGGCTTCATAGCATGCGACAGAAATATTACAGGGCGCTCAATCCTTTTTTTCAATCCCTCTCGTCCTTTCACAGTCTGCTGGCAAACCCGTCCCGATCGACCTTGCAGAGGTAATCTCTCGTGATGTCCTTGACGGTGGTCACGCCTGCTAGGCCCATGCACAGCCTGAACTCGTCGCTCAGCAGCCTCAGACACAGCTCGACGCCATCCTGCCCCTTGTACGCTAGCCCCCAGAGGATGGGCCGGCCGACCCAGCAAAAGTCTGCGCCCAGGGCGAGGGCCTTGAAGATGTCGGTGCCGTGCCTGATGCCGCCGTCGACGTGGACAGGGACGCGCCTCTTGACCGCGGCCACGACCTCCGGGAGCGCGTCAAGGGTCGCCAGCGCGCCGTTCAGTTGGCGGCCGCCGTGGTTCGAGACGATGATCCCATCGCAGCCGTGGCGGACCGCGAGCTCGGCGTCCTCAGCCGTGGCGATGCCCTTGACCCAGACTTCCATCTCAGGCCCGCACACGTCTTTCAGCCACGGGATGGATTCGTCCCACGACAGGGTCGGGTTGGCCGCGTGCGTGTGGAACGTGATGGGCCCGCTCGGTGGGATGCGGCGTTGGCCGTCGTGATATCCTGCCGTGCTGGGACGGCGTTGGCGGGGCATCTTCGGCCGGCGAGAGGACGGGGTTTTCTTCTCGTCAGTGGCCGTCGTGATTCTACTGTGCTCCCTCCCCACCGCTGTGTCGGTGTCCTCGTTCTGTTCCGCGAAGTTGGCTATAGAGAGGTGGGCGGGCAGTTTGAATTGGTTCCTGATCTCGAGATTGCGGCGGCCGAGCATCGGCGTGTCGACGGTCAGGAGCACGGCTTTGTAACCGGCCTTTTTGGCGCGGTCTATCAGTTTCAGCGAGTGCTCGCGCTCTTCAAACAGGTACAGTTGAAGGACGTGCGGGTTGTCCCCGCTGGCTTCGGCGACGTCTTCGAGAGTGCTGGTGGAAAAGGAAGAGAGGCCCATGACAACTCTGCGTGAACGACACGCTCGTGCCGTTGCGATTTCTCCATCCGAGTGTGCCAGCCGTTGCATTGCCGTCGGCGCTACGCCGAAGGCAGAGCTGTTCTTGTGTCCGAACACCTGCACTGTAGTATCTATCTGTGAGATGTCTCGCAATACCCTCGGACGGATACGATATTTCCCGTAGGCTGAGATGTTCTCGGAGAGGGTGCTTCCGCAGTCGGCTCCTTCATTGTAGTAGTCTCGCGTCTGCTTGTCCATACGTTCATAGGCGAGGGATTCGAGTTCCGAGATCGTGAGGCAGTTTAGGTCGTGCGGCTCGGCCTGGGGCGCTCGAGGAGCGGAAGGGTCAGGTTTAGAATCGGCCTCGGGGGCCATCTCGTATGAGAGGGGAACAACAGGCGAGATGCGGACTGTAGCGATGTCTTGGATGCTGGCCGGGGATGCGAGAGAATCCAGAATCGATGCAAGCTGGTTCCTTTATGGCGAGAGAATCGAGAACACTGGTATGGAGGGATAATGGGTACTTACTATATCAATCGCACTCACCTGCGCAACTCGGTCGGCCTAGCATGAAATCGACGCAGATGACGCTGTATGAGCTGTCGGATCTGGGGTCTGGGGAGCTCCTTATCGCGTATGAAATCAGAGATCGACGAGCTGGATTGAGGCTTGCTGGAGCATGACGTCGTAGAGATGAAAGAGGGAAGATGGGAGGAGGAGAGGAGAAGCCACGAGTGCGGGGAGAAGAAGTGGAAGACGACGAGTTCCGAATCGGGAACGGGGAAGGGGACCTGGTGTTTTGTCGCGTCTCGCATAGAAAAAAAATAGGATAATAGCCTGATTTGTCTCGGACTGGAGAAAAGCCACTTCTACGCGTCGCCCTCGAAGGTGATGGAGATGATGATGATGCCAGATATATTATAGCGGAGAAGAAATCCCCTTTCGACCCTCGCACTGACGGACAGTTTCCCTGTCCACTTGCTTACTCGTTCTGAGCTGCAACCATGGACCTCTCCATAAAGACCCTCCGCGGCCTCGTCACCGAACCCACACATACGAGATGGATAGCACCGTTGATGCTCCTCGGCGAGGCCGCGCTCTGTGGCCTCATTATCTGGCGGGTGCCGTATACCGAGATCGATTTCACGACGTACATGGCCCAGGTGCGCATGTTCCTTTCCGGCGAGCGAAACTATGCAAAAATCACAGGCCCTTCGGGCCCTCTTGTCTATCCGGCCCTTCATCTCTACATTTACTCGATCCTCTACACCCTCACCGAGCAGGGAACCGACATCCTACGCGCCCAGATCGTCTTTGCCGGGTTATACCTCGTGACGCTGGCCGTCGTGTTTGCGTGTTACAGGCGGGTGGGCGCACCACCGTGGCTTCTGATTCCGTTGGTGCTGAGCAAGAGAATGCATTCTATATTCCTACTGAGGCTTTTTAATGACTGCTGGGCGACGCTGGGACTTTGGCTTGCAATATATTGGATGCAACGGCGGCAGTTCGGAAGGGGAGCGGTCATATGGGGACTGGGACTGGGAGTGAAGATGACTTTGTTACTAGCTGCACCCGCGGTGGGAGTCATCATTTTGCAGGCCCTCGGAACAGGCGATGGGCTTTTCACAGGTCTATACGTCTTTGTCCTCCACGTTATCATGTCTATGCCCTTCTTCGGCGAAGGGACAAACTTCTCCTACGTCCAACGCTCATTCGATTTTGGGAGGCAATTCCTGTACAAGTGGACGGTCAACTGGAGGTTTGTTGATGAAGAGACGTTCCTGTCTCGCAATTTTGCCATCAGTCTCCTGGTCATCCACGCCTCCTTGCTGCTCCTGTTCTTCCAGACAAAGTGGATCAAGCCCAGTGCTTCGAACTTGGCCGAGTTTGCGAAGAAGTACCTAGGGGGCATGAAAGAGGCGGAGGAGCTGAGGATCTCCAAAAAGGTCACCCCGAGCTTTGTGATGGACACAGTCCTGGGGAGCATGGTGATTGGGATGCTGTGCGCCAGGAGCCTGCACTACCAATTCTTTGCATATCTCGGCTGGGCGACTCCATATCTGCTGTGGAGGGCTGGTGGTGGCCCTGTTTGGGTCCTGTTGAATTGGGCAGTGCAGGAATATTGCTGGCTGGTATATCCAAGCACCAACGTCAGCTCAGCGGTGGTGGTGGCAGAACTGGCGCTGCAGGTTATGTGCGCCCTTGTTGCGCCACCCGTGGATCACATCAGTCTTCCACCAGCAACTTCGGAGGATTTGAGGAGCTGAGAGGCACACGCATCATCCACTTTCGTCCTCACTGTCCGAGGGCGGCAGCTTCCCCACCCGCGAGTCCTCGTCATCACTGTCGGCCGATACGGTCTTCTTGACGAACTGTTGTGGCCAGAACGGTTTTTTCCTCCAGGCCTTCTCATCGCCCACGATATTGACTATTTCCCCTTGGATCTTGTTGTCGCGATCGGCCGTGGTGGTGGTGTCGACTAGGACGTAGCCGCCGCGCTTGACGAAGATGGTGGACCTGAAACGGGCTTCGAGTTCGACGAGAAACGTGGACGAGTCGGGCGCCTGGACAGTGTAGAGATCTTTGCCGTTGGTCTTGACCACGCGGGCAATCAACTGACCGGGAGCCAGAGAGTCCGGGGGCGTAAGGGTCTCTTCGGCGGTATTGCGGATCTTACGGCGCGACATGGCACGAGACTGAGCAGGCAGTATGGGTGTCAGGAGTGGTTCGACTTGGTGACAAAGAAGTGACCAGGTGCATGGCAAGTTGCGGTGACTTTTTTTCCTCTGGACATTTATGCAGGGCGAGCGGGGGGTGAGGGCGCAGGTCCTCGATGGGCTGCGGGCCGCGCTGGCGTCGTTGTTGAATCTGGAAATCTTGCCGCAGGCGAGTGACTTTTGTTTGATTCCCACTCCTTCGCTGTCTCCGCCCATCAACCATCATCGACCATGTGTATCCAACCACTGCGGCATTCAACCCTCGAATCAACAGTGGCTGTTGCGTATCTTGCGCAGAAACCTACTTAGCAATCGATCAACAAATGTCCAGGCCCACAATGAGTCAAAGCCTCAAATTCAGCCATCTCACACTACTTCTGCACGAAGCTACAGTTGTCTCACATCTAAACATCCTGCCTACCTCTTATCAATGCAATCTCGCGCCAAATATGGCATGATCTAAATCAAGAGAGAGGTATATGTATATTTTGTCCCACTTCTGTGTTCGCTGCGATTCTATGCCCACCTCTGCATCTGTCTCGTCTCACTTCGTTTCGCTACCATGACGACAGCACAAGTATTCGGTGCCTTCATCACCCATGAAAGTGAGCCTTCTGCCGTTGTCTCTGGGCCCGCGCCCGTCATCCATCGAGACAACATCACCGCTGTACCGCCCACAGAGTACGAGCTCGACGGACTCCAATGGGGCAGACGCCTGAATGGCCCGCGCAAAGTGCCCTCTCGCGATTCATCACCTGTCGGTCGTTCTCTTCCTCAAACCCCCGGCGAATTGGAGCAAAGCCAACCTCCCACCCCAAAGCGAGAACAAGCGGTCGATGCCCTCGTTCAGTCTATCTCGAATCCACCCCAAAATCGTTGGCGGGTGGCGGCGGCGGGTGTTATGTTCTTTCTGATGGGCATGAATGACGCCGCTACTGGTGCCCTGATCCCATATTTGGAAAAAGACTACCACATCGGATATGGCATTGTCTCGTTGATTTTCGTTACCAATGCCCTTGGTTTCATTACAATGGCGCCAGTCATCCAACTTATTGAGTCCCGGCTCGGCCGGACTCGCTCCTACATCATCGCAACCTTGTTGATGACCATTGGCTACATTGCGATTGTCTGCTCTCCACCATTTCCTGTCATTGTGCTCAGTTTCTATTTCCTCGGTTGCGGGATGGCATTGTTTCTAGCCATGACCAATGCGTTCATCGTGAACTTGCTCAACGGGACTGTCGTCCTAGGCTTTTGTCACGGCTTATATGGGGTAAGTCAGGACTGGCTGGCACGGACACTGACCGAAGCTAATTTCTACCAGCTGGGCGGTATTGTTTCTCCTCTCATTGCGACTGCCATGGTGTCGAGTGGCATCCACTGGGCCCATTTCTACTTCATCACGCTATCAATATCTGTGCTTTCGGTCTTCTGCTTGGGCTGGTCATTTAAAGGCTTCGAGAGGGATGCTGCGGTCCAGCTCCTTTCGTCTCTCGAACGGACCGCTTCACGGCAGGGTGAAGCCACCAGGGCTCAGGTGCTCAAAAGGGCTGTCAGAAACAAGACCACGCTCCTTGGGGCGACGTTCATCTTGTAAGTTACCTGGTTCAAATGACGATGCACTGATTTGACACGTTCTCCTAGTTTCTATCAAGGTGCAGAGGTGGCTATTTCAGGCTGGGTCATTTCTTACCTGATTCACTTCCGAAGGGGTGATCCATCCCATGTCGGTAATGTCACCTCCGGATTCTGGGGAGGCATTACTGTTGGACGCTTCGTCTTGACCCATTTCGCTCACAAGATTGGGGAAAAGGTTGCTGTCTTCCTCTTGATCGTTGGAGCTGCGGTCTTTCAACTTCTGGTTTGGCTTGTACCAAACATTATCGAAAACGCCGTGGCAGAATCCATTGTCGGCTTATTCCTTGGACCCATCTACCCATGCGCCACCGCCGTCTTTGCCAAACTCTTACCCAAGAGCATCCAAATCAGCAGTCTGTCAGTGGTGACGTCGATGGGAAGCTCTGGTGGCGCACTAGTGCCTTTCATCACTGGCATATTGGCCCAGAAATTGAGCACGGTGGTCCTGCACCCGGTGGTTTTGATTTCTTTTGCGTCGATGACAGTTAGCTGGGCTCTGTTGCCACGCATTGGGAAGAGGACAGAGTGAAATATCATCACGTCCGAAGCAGAAATATATTGTCATGGATCATCCAAATCAGCTTCACACCTTTTTCATCTTCGCTAAATCGTCATTGGACCACGACTAGCACGGCTGGTGCTCATATTCAACCATCAACTAACCCTCACTTGCCATTGGAGGACTCCAGTGCAATCGCCTAGGTATGGGCACGGTGCAAAACACTTCTGAAACAGATTTCAAAAGTTGTGACCTGCGACATCTCACTTGGCCCTCAGATGTGGAGTTTGTCACGCATGCTATCATTTGAAGCCACGGTGACACAGTCTTCGATCTCGTATCACACACGACTACACGTTCGCAGCCAAACAACAGATCCAGCACCATGGACCAGGCAACAGAGGAACCACAACAACCTCGGGGGTTCCGCAGACGTCTCTACCAATGGGCTGGTCAGGCGGTCAACCAATTGCTTGACGTTAACATGGGGCCTGCTGCTGCTCTCTCAGCTCCAAGTTATCAGACAGGCATGATCTCTACACCGAAGCCTTCACATGACGATGATGGCAGTGACGTCTCAAATCCTTCTGCATCATCTGATCCTTGCCTCTTGTGGTTCAAGGTGCGTGGTACTCTCGCAGCACTTCTTCTGCCGTACCCTGTTTCGTCTCTTGAATACACTGCGAACAATGCCCGGTTGATGGTCAGCCGCTATTGAGGTCCATTTGCGTCACTTGCTATTGTACTCAATTCGCTGTCTGCTTTTCACAACCGATCTAACGGTCACTTACGCAACACCCTTGCGCGGTTGACTGTTCGTCTGGGGATATATTGAAAATGCAGAATCCCCCAGTCGAGCATTTTTCTCTCGCGTTCCGTTTTCACAACAGGAGATTGGTCTTTCGTGGCTCAAGATATCTAGCGATGCCAAAATCGGCCTCCATTTACCCATGGATCTTCGTTTCTTGTTTGCAATGTACATATTTTCCAACCTAACATCTCTCCTCCAGGCCTCACCGCTGCCGACAACCACTGCACCGATCTCCGTCAACACACCGACCCCAACACCACCTTGCAAGCCGTATCCTCCCAGTATAGACATTGTCTGCGTCGACCCTATCGGGAACGTTCATAGTGCCACAACGTACGTCAAGCGTGACCTGGGGTTTCAAGGTCAACTCGGCCAGTACGTCCTCCTCAGCTACGGCGACACCCTATACAGTGATGCCAACTACAGCGATACGTGGCGCGGCATGACGAGCGACTCAGTCGCGATAGCCACGCAGAATCCGCTCGTGGTTGTGGATCCTGTTCTCGACTCGAACGGCTACCCGCCACAATTCTGCCCACTAATATCTTCCTTTGGAGAAGATGCGGCCACATGCGCCTTAGGCATCACCAATGTGGTCGAGACCACTTCGCCGAACGAAGGCGTCATGTTCTTCCTCCTCAACCACCGTCCCAACGGAGCAAACAACCTGATCGGCGCTGGCGTCGCTTCGATCACCCTCGACACGTCGGCATATCCTCCTGTTCCGCAGATAAGCCGTCTGCCTCCGCAATATTGGTGGGATGCTACGTCTGAACCTTGGTACGGGGATGTTTGCGCGCTGGGGTGGAATGGATATGTCTATGCATACGGTCACGGCCCCCAAGGCAATCCTTGGGTATACTTGACTCGAGTTCGTGCAGAGGAAGCCACCAACGTCAGCTGTTACGAGTACTGGAACGGCGAGACATGGCAGAGCGACAAACTCGATGGGAAAGCCATTGCAGCGAAGGAGAGCGTGTTCTGGCAGATCAACCAGGGACAGGTGGTCTGGTCCAACTATTTTGAATGCTTTCTCTTCGTGTACTGCGGTAAGTCGCACTCATTCTGTATGGAAGAGAGGCAGAATCTAATACTGTGGTTGTGTTCCCCTGGCTAGACAACTGGATGAACTCAAAGGTGCTACTGAAAACTGCTCAACAGCCCGAAGGACCCTGGTCGGATCCGATAACACTGTATCAAGCGACGCCCATCACTCTGGGCAGTTCAATCTACGCTGCGGTGCCGCATCCCTACTTCGATGAGACAGGAAAGACGCTGGTTGTCACTTTCACGAACCATCCCAATACCGTGCAAGCTGTGCGAGTCGTCTTTGCCTGAGGCAAAAGCAAAAGCGAAGCGTAGTTCGAACGATATCGAACGATACCGAGGGGAGAAAGGCGAATATATCCGAGGGCCTGCATACAACATTTCGGCTGATAGGATCAATTCGATCTTGGGCAATCCCGACATGCCCAAAACACAATGTGAGCCGCCTTTTATACAGAGTGCGCACGTTTAGGTGCTGCATCGACGCCAGACTCGGAGATGTGCTCCTCGCTTGTCCAACACATACAGCCCGACCTCTCATTGTCCGAGTGTCCCAACCCTTGAAGGTCATCCGTCCAGCTAGGATACCGGAACATGGGGACCTTGCAACAACGACCCGAGCTATCTCTCTACCTCCCTCATTCGTCAGCTTGCTACAACTAAAGCGTTGATTGAAATGGCTGCTGGCGCGAGTCCGGGTGTATTGCGTGCTGACCTCGCTGCACGACGACCTAGCTGAGAGGCGATCTGATAGCAGGCGGGAGATAGGGCCACACCAGATAACACCTGCAGCTTTTTCAAACTGGACACGAAGAGCATACGGACTCAAGTGCAAGACAGTGCAAGATAACTATTACCATGGCTATTTTATTTCCTGAGCAGCCAATGCCCAGCTCTTTTTCTCGCCTTCCGTATCATGTGTACAACTCTCCCTAGCCACTGAGATGCGTACCTAGATTTTGATCGTCCCTCGTCGCTGCTCGTGCTCCAAACTGTCATCTAACGTCTACCTCTCGATCGGTCCGTCCTCCGTGCTAGTCCCTGTCTCCCGTCCACACAAACTCCTGCTTGACGCTCGGCTCGCACAGGGGCCTCAACGCGTACCCGTAGTCCCCCCCGTTCGGGGTCCTCAGCAAGGTGTGGATGTGGAACTTGGCAGGGTCCTTGTTGTTCAAGAAGACGCCGCTGTGGTGGTCGAACTCGACCAGCACCACGGGGCTCTGGATGCGGAAGTAGAACGGGTCCGCGTCGGCGAAGCCGCCGATCCAGCAGAAGTGCGTCTCGGGGTAGAAGGCCCGGCACTGGTCCAGGCGGATGGAGCGCGCGGGCTGCGGGAGGTACAGGAGGTACTGCTCGAGGATCTGGTCGACGAGGCCCTGCTGGTCCGGCGTGAGCGCGGACACCAGGACGCCCTCGTAGGGGACGACGCGGTTGTCCCGGTACGCGCCGCACAGGTGGCGCTGGTCGTCGTGGTTCCACCGGCCCTCGGGCATGGCCGGGTCCTTCATCTGGGTGTAGATCTGGGCCGCGCGCTGCTGGGCGGGCGGCAGGGACTGCATCAGGCGCAGGCCGAGCCGCTCTTCCTCGTGCAGGATCCGCGTGCCCTTGTACGGCCCGTCGTCGATGAGGTTGGGCTCGGCGCCCGTGAACCACGGCGAGGCGACCATCTGCGTGCGGTACAGGAAGACGTTCAGGCACAGGTGGTGGCCGTAGAAGCTGAACCCCCAGGGCGCGGTGGTGGACGGCTGCCCAAACAGCACAAAGTTGTACGAGTACTCGTTCATCACGGCGGTGCCCTGCACCAGCTCGCCCAGGAAGCCGTTGATGCGCATCGCCGCCACGGCCTTGTCGTAGCCCTCGGGCGACAGCGCGGCGCGCAGCACGCCCATCACGCCGTCCCGCACGGCCGGCGCGAGCTCGTCCAGCCGGACGCCCTTGTCGCTGAGCAGGAACTCCGGGTTCGACCAGGTGCGCCACTCGGGCGAGTCGATGTGGTGGGACAGCTTGCCGAGCTGGGCGGGCGTCAGCTGGCCGAGCAGCGCCTGCGCCGCCGCCACGATGCGCGCGATGGGCACGCCTTCGTCCTGGACCTTGAACAGGCCCGGCCGCACGGCCCCGTCGTGGGTCACGCCCTTGAACGGCTCCTGGAGCAGCTCCCGCCAGTGCAGGTACAGCGCGTGCAGCCAGGGCGGGATCCCAGACTCCTTGAACGCCGCGGCGTAGACGTGCGCGTCCTGTTTCGCCATGGTCGTGAAGCGCGGGATGCTCAGGTCCGGCAGGTACTGGCGGTACTCGCTGTCGCCCTGTGAGGTTGCCATGGTCGTCGGTGTTCAGCCTCTGGTTGAGCCGTATCTTTCCCGTTCGCGTGGAGAGTCGGTCCGTGAGACGAGGGCGCCAATGTCGACAATCTGCTGCCTTGGTTCAGTGGGTTTTATATTCTCCGGTTGTCTCGTCGTCCGCAAAGGGATGGTAGTCACCGACGTGTTATACCTGAGTGAGATATCCCCTACTTATCTGAAAAGGGACGCATTCCGCTCTACCGTTACGGTCATTGCAGCAGCAAATCTCGATACTGCCCATCCCTCAGACGTCCCCACGAAATGAATTTGTGGCGGGGCAGCAGATGTTGAGCAGCTGAGCCCGTCAGTCCATCGGAAGACGCACCCAACGGCACCCACACCACTCAGCCTTCGGCGTATCGATAGTCCGACCCGATATGCTTCCCGACTTTCGCTCGTCTCCGCAAAATACATGATCCTCCCCCCCCTTTTTGCTTCTTGTACGTGTGTATATCAGGCCAGGATCAGGCCACGGGTCCATGGAAAGGAGGGGACAGAATGCTCAGGAATATGGCTGTTAACGTGCCTTGGAAACGTGAGCTAGATCCCCCGTCACGGTTGAAGTTCCACTGGCCACTCACTCTGCGACAGGGCTGGTCCGTTTCGTCCCTCGATCAGATCCGTCTCAGGTCCTCATTGGACAGCCCCAGGACGACGACGTCGATGTCGGTATCGCTGTGCGGCGAGGGTTGGACGTCGCTGTCGATGTCTTCTCCGGCTCATCCGTCCTGTCGCCTGGCAGGCAGACCGGGACCAGCGCCATTATCGACCGAGTCCTGTCGCCTCTGGCGATGTCCGAGGTCGGCACAATTCGATGCATTGGGCTGAACGTGAGCGCACCCCTGGTCTTCCCATGCCGCGGCTGAATAATACATGCTTAACCGCCCTTTTGAAAAAGTACAAGCAGCACGCCGCCGAAGTCAACATGGCCTTGCCCACCGTCCCGACCGTGTTCATGTGAGCCCACACTTTGTTCCCCTATTAACCCATTCCCACGGTGCTGATGGCGGAATAAGGAAACCAAGCACCTCGCTCGGCGACCCGTGGCCGGCGCCGACCGTCCTCCCCAAGCTCACCCAGCACGACGACAGCGGCGACTACGAGGCCGAGCTGGGCGTGGTCATCGGCGCGGCGGCCAAGAACGTCGCGGAGGCCGACGCCCTGGCCCACGTGCTGGGGTACACGGCGTGCAACGATGTGTCGAGCCGCGCCGCCCAGTTCGCACAGAGCCAGTGGTGTTTCTCCAAAGGCTTCGACGGCGCCTGTCCCATTGGGCCGACGCTCGTGTCGCCGGCCCTGATCCCGGACCCGGCCAGGCTGCATCTGAGGGGCCGCCTGAAGAAGAAGGACCAGCACGGCGACGGCAACGACGTCCCGCCGCTGCGGCTGCTTCAGGACTGCGGCACCGACGACCTCATCTTCTCCATCCCCCAGCTGATCAGCTTCTTGTCCCAGGGCACGACGCTGCTGCCGGGCACGTTGATCATCACGGGGACGCCCGCGGGGGTCGGCATCGTGAGGAAACCAAAGGTCACGGTCAAGCACGGCGACGAGTTCCACGTCGAGATTCGGCCGTATATCGGCACGTTGGTGAATGTGTTTGAGAATGAGACGTGATCATCTGTCTGTCAGGCCGATACATTCGAAGGCGGAGGACGGATCCAGAATTTTATCTCTGTGAGCGAAAAAAGGTTGAGGCTAGAGGACCATTTTCTTGGATTCTGGCTATCGAGAACTGCATGACGAGCTTGGATAGACCAAGGCAACAGCTAGTTGAGGGTGAAATGTGGGCCCAACTGTTCACAATTATCCATCAACCTGCCATTTGGAAATCGATGTGAAGATATAAAGATGCCGGCCACTCTTGTAGCCAAACATGCTTGCTTGTACATCAGTCAGTCCCTCGACGCCACTGCCCGGATTTTCTCGGGACTCAACTCCCCTTTCCTCCCCCACCCCCCCTGTCCGCGCTGTACACTCGGCCGGAATTCCTCGTACATGTGGAAGGCCTTTACATTAAGCTCTTTCTCTTGGCCCTTCTTCTTCCATGACTTGATCGCCTCCTCCATGGCACGCTTGATCCTTTCGTATCCACCCCCCTGCCCAAATTTGGCCCTCAACAACTCCTCGTTGGCCTTGTGTGGCTTCCCCGAAACAATCGCGCCGTCGCCCTTCAACAACAGCCTGAATCGCATGACGTTGACTTCATCGTCCGCGCCTTCCTCGGCGGCTCGCTTCTTCCTCTCCTTCTCAGCTCTCTCGGCCGGGTCGTCGGATGGCTTGTCGATCAGTCCGATCGCCCGGCCCTTGGAGATGGCACATAATGTGGAGATGGCAGAGCCGATGCTCAGATGGGTACTCCATGGCAGAGCAGGGTAAAGCGCCTGCGAGACACATGCAGCCCAGAGCTGCAGGACTGGCGCCCGATTGATCACCACGGGTTTGCTGGTTTGCGCCGGTGGCAGCTTCTCATCAGGCTTGATCGAGGTCTGCTTCTGCTTTTGTTTCTTGGTTGGACGCGCAACTTCTACTGCAGCAGTCTGATCATCGGATTGCTTGCGTTTGCGCTTGGAGCGAGCTTCGCTCTCTTTCTTTGTTGTGGTTGTCGATGAGCGCTTGGACTCGGGCTTTCGCGAATCGGCTTTGTTCTCCTCTTCGGTGTCGAAGTCTTCTAAGCGCTTTTGCTTCTGTTTGCCCTTGCTTCTGGTGGTCACAGGCATGGTCGTAATGCTCGCGGCATAAATGTAACAAGATGAATGATGGTTCGAGGGCAAGGCTGAGAAACACTCAAGTCGGTGATGGTGGTATGATGGTTGGATGCTTAGGATGCGTGACGTCAGGTGAGGATGTGAGGCCCGCAAGGGGCAATGTGTGGGGCAGGGAACATGTGCATTCAGCCTCGCCAGCCTCGCCAGCCTCTCGATGAGTTGATCAGCCTGCTCGAGCTTCCAACATTTCGACTCAACTTTTCCTAGACTTTCTTCTATCCATAAAGATCCCTCACTTCTTGGATCGCCTTGGTCAACAACCCAATAGGCCATCAGCGGAAGTTCGCAGTCCGCGTTGGCCGCAATTGCGAACATTCGCGCTGTCTGGGTTCGATATCGATTTTCCGTAGAAAACAATATTTTCCCAAAATAATCGTTCAGATCCTTAGGAGTCTCGTGTAACCGATCCTGCAGCTCCTTGATGCGGTCGGAATTCGTCAGTCCATCGAGGAAGGATCGAACAACGAGAAACAACCAGAGAAAAACACCAGCGCCATCTTTCACAATGTTTTGAACATAGTCAGGGCATGATGGTCCTCTCTCTGAAGCTGACGGATCCTCGGATCCTCGCCAAGCGTGTCTTGGACGTATAAACGGATATCATCCCAAGTAAGGTCATGCATTTAGAGTTTCCAAGGAGAGTTGTTGCCAAAACCATCCTCAAATTCGTTCCAGGGCCTACTCGAGACGCACGTCTTGACATTTTGGAACGACTTCAAGATATCGATCAGTTCCATGATGTCGGCGGGTCTTCCGTCGTACTCGTCAAGCCCGTCTATAAAGAAGCAGAATTTCGTGTAAGAGGCCGTCGAAGTAGATATCTTAATGTGTTGAGAAGGGCTGGTACAGCCAAGAGCTCATCACGCGACTCTTTTACGACTTTGCCATTGGATTTCATTGCAATCCACTGGTCGGAATAAGCCATCTGTATCAGTTCTGGGCACTGACGTAGGATTTGATAAAGGATCGTTCTCAGCAAGCCCTGCTCTGATTTCTGCGAACGGTGAGATGAGGCGCTCCAAAAGAAGAAGTTTGCGGTAACGAGCTTCTTGTCGCGAGCCCATGCTTCCAAATAGTGTTTCGTTTGCTCGTTGTCAGCCACAAACTTCATCAGGGTTGATTTGCCACTGCCGGGTTTTCCTGAGACCCAATACACGCCGTCTTCTTCTCTCAGCCATTGGGCAAACTTAGTTGATGAATTCTCCTCAAATATCCACTGGAATGTTCGTGAATGCTGCTCCGGGACTGATTGGTGACGAGAATCAATGGCTGAAAATCTGAGGCTTTGGAGGACTACCTGCTCTGCAAAGTATGCCTGTCCACGACGCGCAGTATCCGACAGGACTAGCCAAGCTAGGTACTTGGTCTTCGTTGGCCTTCGTCGCGATCTCTTCGACTGCAGAATTGAAGTCTCGACGAAGTTTGTCAATTTCCTGAGTGCGGTTGACCTCGAGGCGGCTATTTTCGACCGCCATCTCACGAACCCTTTGATTGATTTCCTCGAGCTGTTCTAAATTCGTGCTATCCACTAGCTGCTTGCTGATTCGATCAAGTCTTCGTTGGAGGCAATCGATGTGGTCCTGTTTCCAGACAGTTTTCACTGCTTGAGCAGCGCTCTTCAAAGGCTGCCCTCCGCCTTTGACTTTGACCGAGTCCAAGCATTCTAGCAACTCGTCTGCCACTTCGCTGCATTGTCGAGCAAAGGTTTCTAGGCCTAAACCTTTGGCATAGCTCAGCCTAAATCGATCTCCCTGCGGGATTCCGGGGGGTCGGTTTCTAGTTTGATTGACCAGGGCCTTCAAATCCTTGGTCAGGCTTTCCAGTTCATCGTTTTCTGCCGTCGCACCGGTAGCCGACTGGTACAGTTGCCTTGCTCTAGAGGCGACCTTGGTTGAATAATCGACAATGTTTATGATATTTCCTGCCAGTCCAATTGCAGATTATTTCTGATAGGCAAGGATTCGACGGGAGTTGCAGGTAGGTCAGTCAGTGAGGTTCGAGCAGCTGCGCCGTGAGGCACGTTCAATGCAGGCGGTTCCAGCACGTGAGCGTCACAGAGACGAAAACCATCAACCAGGCTGGACCGTCCACTTCACTTGCTTCTTCAAACCTCCCGCCAAGTTCACCCACCACAATACTACATCCCACAACGCACGAATTGAGCAGCTAGGAGCAGCCTAGGCCAAAGCCAAAAAAAAAGAAAGAAAGAGCAGCGAAAACACACAAACTTCTCCGGAGCAAAAACTCTCGCCGAGAGAAACCCTCCTCGGTCCATTCGAACCTCAGGTTTTTTATTTCATGACGGATTTGAATGACTTGTCACATCCTTTCTCTCTACCTTCATCCCTCTACAAGAGAAGAGAAGAGTGGGCAGATGCTGGAAGATCAGATGATATTGAGACAAGCTTCAGGTCAATGGCAATCCAGACGCCAGTTAGTCAGACGAGCTGCTCCCTAACTGTGGGACCCAGAGGGCTGTCCTCAGATTGTTGGGAAAGAATAGGTGACTTCAAATTGATAAAGGCTCGATTTTAATACTGGAAGTGCTCCACTACTGCTCGTGGCAGGAAAGGTCCGGTAGTGAAGAGAACGAGAAATCGGGGGCGGGCTCCGGCCAGCTGAGATTGAAGAATCCAAGGCTGCTACAGGCGTGCCACGCACGGAAAGAAAAGCATCGAGAACGCACTTGATTGGAATTCGAGACATCGCAAGGGTTGCTCCAAGTGGCATTGCTCAGGCACATACATAGACTGCATCTATCGTTCTCGTCCAAAGCAGGCTTGCTTTTACAAGGAGCGTCACAACGGAGGAAGTATGCAAACCAAAATCCCAGCTCTTGCGCCATATGCCTCCAGATACCAAACCCCTTAGGAGATTTTGGGTGCTGGAAGACAAGACGAATGCACCACCTTTCCGGATACCCAAGATGAGCACTGCCCGTTGGAGCCTCCATATCCGGCTTTTGCCATTGCCTCATTCCAGTCTGGAGCTTTGTTGTTGAGACTAAAATGCAGGGTTCATGGTTAGCGAATCCATTCTTGCAACGAGCAACGGACCACGCAACCGACAAAGGGAAGCATCCTAACTTACCAAGGCGAGTTCGTTCCTTGAGGGCATTGCCTGCATTTGATCGACGCTGGCTTGTCATAGTTGTTGTAGAGGCTTCCAAGATTCGATGTGCCAGGGTACGTCAATTTCCCATCCGTCATGCCGTTTGTCGCTGCGCAGTTTTTGGCATAGTATATCTTGCACTGCCAACCAACAGGGGGCTGAAACAGAGGATCAGGGTCAGCAGAGGGAACACAGAATGCCAGAAGGGTAAATATTGGCGGGAGACAGGAACATTCCACCTACCCCAACAGAGGAGCCGGCGTCTGAAGGAAAGTCCATGCAGCTCGAGTCGGTGAGCTTGTTCCAGCTGCACGGCGCCATCCAGTTCTTGTTGTTGCAGATGTACACGCCGGCAGGCGGAGTTCTCTTGGCCAATCTCGCCCCTTCCGAGTCATCGACGAAGTACTCATCCTCCGGTGTCAGCTCAGGAGTCGACGTCTGCGTCTCATCTTCGCTTGGGGGAAGGACAGCAGGCTCGGTGATTTCTGGTCCGTCTTGAGCTGCAACGAGGCTTGAGAAGGCCACAAGGGCTGCGACGGTGGTTAGAACAAAGGTTAAAGCGCGCATTTTGGGATACCCGCAGGCGAGGGAAGAGCCGAACTGTGGTAGGCGGTATGAGATTGTGGGTGAAGCAAAAGGCGAGGGAGGGAAAATTTGCGGTCTCTGGCCTTTTCTTCTTAGGGCGTCGCCATATAAAAGAGAACCATTGCCGCTGGCTATCCGTTTGCGGATTTCATAGGTGTGGCTCTGCTGGTATTGCCTTTCTTTGTGTTCATAATAACAAAGAGGTTCATTCCGATAGCGGGCCAAGGTCAACGAAAAGTTCCGTGTCTCCAAAGAACTGATTGTCCCGTCTATTAAGACACAGCAGAACAAGCCAGAGCAAGTGCATTATGATGTTTCGAGAAGATGAAGTGGTGGTGCTACACTACTGTTAGTCAGGGATTCTTGCACCCTGGAACATCCACATGAACGGGAAAACCCAACAGGCCACTTGTATTTGGATGGAATTGTCCGTGCACACCCAGCCACCATGAAAGGAATGCAACACCATCGAAAACTGCAGTGAGGAGCACCGACCCAGATCTCCGGGAAAGAAGCGTGCAGCTTGGTTTCATCTTGCTCTGGGTGAGGAGTTAAGTCGGTCTCACGGTCTACGGAGAAACAATGATGAAGAACGACAAAAGAAGCAGAAACCCTGACGTGGTCTCCATGCCTGCACCAACATGATGCCTCACCTTTTATTGTAGCCCTTACATTCGCGGCTTGCTAGCCCGGCCGGCTAGTCGGAAAATTTGGAACACCCTTCTTTCGTCGATGGTTGGACTAAAAGCCCATAATCTCGACTTCCTAGCGGTGCTGTGGTGATGTCAGATCAGGCAACCAGCAAAACCCTTGTCTTGGGTCGTAGAAAAGGCATTTCTGGGTTGCCACCGTGGGCTCACAGTATTGTATAGTCCACTCCAGTCCAAGGACAAGCATAATGGTCCATAGGCGCCGATATCAGTTCAGCGTATGGAGAGACGCGCGGGAACACGCCAAGGCAAGGCTGGTGACCCCTTTTCCTCGAGTGAGATGTTCCGCCTCCGCCTCCCTCGTATCTTGTCCCTCTTGAAAAGCCGCTCGATGGTGCGTACCGTTGCCGGAGCTCCAAGTCCCATGGAACTAAATGCCCATTGATGGCCCTCTCACCAGCGTGTCAACAGTGCCAACAGTGCTGTTATTGTGCATCTGGAAAATTCGTAAACTAGTAGGACGGAGCTGGTCTCTCGGATCTTCGTCGGGAGGTAGCCACGGCGGGAGACACGGCGGGAGAAATAGAGCGTTGCTCCCTGTGATACCACATTGCGCTCTCGGATAGGGATGTAGTCGACATCTAGCCTTTCAATATGTGACAACTCCGTCTTCAATTCTGAGAGATCATGTTTCTGGTCTTGAAGTCGCGTTATGTAGCCATGGAGAATGGCACGCCCAATTCGCTACGACCCGGCGCGGATGAGGAACGTGCGGCCAATGAATTCTATAACTTTATGATCGTCTCGATCTAACTGATCGGCAGTAAAGAAATGCAAAACAGTGATGGTTTGCACTACCGTCGTGTAGAGAAAAGACAAGTGGCGCGAGTGGTTCAAATGCTGCGTCAAAGCACTCTCCGTCGGAGCATTCGACCGACCGCGAAGAATACTCCGAAATGTCGAGGATCTTTTGACTTGAAAATACTACTACGTACATTCAAAATGACGGCGCTGTGGACAATGCGCGACAGCAGCAGCTGATATATACTCCTCGCAGTTCTCTTCGCTCTTTTTTCATCGCCGTCATGGCGCCCTCCGAATCCGACCCGGCGCAGGACCTCGCCCAGCGTCACAGACTCTTCGACGACTACCGCAGCTTCCTGAACGCTTCGACGCTCGCGGCATGTTTCCTCGCGCCCGCCCTGATCGCCCTCCCTCCTCGCAAATTGGACCTCTTTACCTTCTCGTTGACTGGCGCGTTTGTCGCGGCCGCAAACTACCAACTCCGAGAGCGCACGGGGCTGGGGTTCATGGGCCACGCTTCAAGGCGTTTTCACATTAGACAGATGCCTCGGCATGGTCTGGAGGTCACTGCTTCGACTAATGGAGATCAACGTCTACCCTTTGAACATATGGTGCCGGACACGGCGCGGGAGAGTGGGGGATCCGCTCTACAGGATAAAGCTCGTGGAGCCTGGACGAGAGGGCAGAACGAGGACTGGAAACAACGCCGGTTAGAAGAAGAGCAGGAGAAACTTGAGCAGGGTGAAGGTTATGGGAGCATGATTGTCGACCAGATTTGGGAAGTCTGGAACCAAGGCGAGAAGAAAGTCGACGAGCTGAAAGAGAGGGACGAGGAAGCTGTGCAGAAGCGAAAGGACCGGGGCTGAAGAAAGGGTTTCGACTTTGCATCCCAGCCCCATCACGGCCGTGAGCTATGAACCCGAAGTGCGATTTGAGTGACAAACCGAGATCTGAATCCGGATATGGGACATCTCTTGCGACACAAGGCGCATCTCCCTAGGTGCCATGCACGGGTCTCGGCAGACCGCGTTGGTCTTTCAACACAACCGCACAGCTCGTTGAAACTCGACATGAGGACCGTCCACTAACACCTCTCACACCATCTACTCGTGCTCATAATCCGATCTCGGCATGCTCTGACCAGCGCAGTAAATGGCACAGCCTCTCTCGTATCTCCTCGCATCCACCTCAGCCTGGAAGTCCCGCACTTTAACGCCGTGTCGGAGCACTTCATCACGCGCCCTCTCGCTGTGTTGGGTCTGTTCGTAACGCTGGTTCGCCTCGCCGTCGGTAACAATGATGGGAACGCGAACAGCACAGGTTCGTCTGTGAAGTGGTGTCATTCGAGGCCTATTCGCTGAACTGGTGGTCACACTGGCCATATCCACCTTTGGGCTGGTGGCTTTTATTGGAGGTGGAAAATTCCGGGCTGCGAGGCGAGATTTGTGCGGTTCGCTCATGTCTGTTGGTGCGAGGCCTTTCAGTTGAAATGGTGTAATGTCTGCTCTGCCCGTGACAGATAGCTTGGAGACTGACCAGAAAGTTCCAATTTGTTGTCCGAACGATGGGTGTGGACTAATCAAGTCGTCCGAGGGAGCGTTGGGTTCGTGTAAGCATGGCCCAGTCAGTCGCATGAAAATCGCCGTTCAAATCTAACGCCTCCGTGTTCTGACTGCTGTTGATCCTTGATAATGGTTAATGTTCAGGCAGTGAAAGAAGGGGAGAATTTCGAGCCAGGATGTACCTGGTCCAGAAACCAGCTGGGCTGTAGCTGACATTCCAATCCCGACCAAGCAGCCATTTTATGCCGATTGCTCAGGTAGTACAACACAACGGGAGCACGGAGATTGGACCGGTTGGTGGTAGGGAGGGTATGGTGTCAAGTTCGGATTGGGTGACACAGCATGAACTTATGCTGCGAACCGCAAATTGAGGCATGTGCAGAGGTGCATGTTGCGATTGTTCATTCGTGGGAATGGCCACCGAAAATGCGTTGGCATTTACTTGCTCCTCAAGTCAAAACAAGCGAGTAATATAGCACTCTCTTAGACAAGTCCGTTGCACCTAATTCTTTGACCCTCGGCGTTTCTTCTTGCTCGCTCGTCCATTTGTGCCATCGTTATTTGGTTCGGTGTGTGGTCTCTTGCCATTCTGCACCTGCGTGCCCGCTGGAGGTGCCGCAGATGGTGCCGCTGTAGCAAGTTTTGGTTCCTGCTTTTGTTTCTGCTTCTTGTTTTTCGGACCTTTGGCACTTCCTGTAGAGTCACCGCTCTGTCTTTTACGCTTCTTGTCTGACCTGGCCTTTTTGCGTTCTTCTTTCGCCCGCGACCTTGCCTCGACTTTCTTCAGGAATGAATCGTCCTCCTCCTGTGGGACCGTCTCTTCTCGCTCATGACCCTGTTTCGGTTTCTTTCGCATGCGCTCGCTGTCAGACACAAGGTTTGGAGGAGGCTGCTCTCCAGAAGCTTTTCGCTTTGGACCATCCTTGGCTTTTACTGCGATTATAGGCTTCTTGTAAAGTTGCTCGATCGGAGTTGGATTTGTGTCGACCGCGAAAAACCCGCTGGGATCCAGCAAAGGCTCGGCAGCCAGGTTGGACTTCGGTTTCGATGCAGTAACGGGGATTGGGACGTTGAAAGTTTCCGGTTCAGGTCCTTTTGCATTCTCCTTAGTGACTTGCTCTTCCCGTTTAGTGATGTCCGTCAAAGACTCGGTAGACAGTTTGAAGGTTGCGATCAGACTCTCCGTGGTATTTAGACGTTCTTGCACTAGGCTCATGGTAGCACTATTGTCGAGGCAAAATTTCCGCATTTCTGCCAACAGTGAAGCGTGGGAGTCGAGTAAGGTCAGGAGCGAGTTGTGTTGGTCCAAGAACTGCGGCGTCTGTCAGTATCTCGCCTGCGAACAAGTTTGCCTGGACTATACACATACTGCTTCCCATGTTTTATCACCAATTTCGGTCGCCATTTTGACGATATACTTCCTCCTTCAATCGAAGAGGAAGTGCGAGGCTGTGTTGTGTTTTTTGGGTACACGAAATCGGCTGAACAGTCTGCGACTTTCTCCAAATTTTGAAAATGTGGAGAGGCAATTGAAGATTCACCGTAAGAATTCACCTCGATGAACTCGTTCGCGTCGCGTACGGCAGAGCATTCATCTGCCAGCCGCTCGACTGGCTTATATTTGACTACAAGTCATCCCTTCGTCACGCCTTCTTTGTCCAACTGCCCTCGATCTCAAGTTCTTCAGAAGTCGAGCTCCACGCCGCCAGCTAATTGAGGATATGGAAAGGCCATTCCGCTCGACGGGCCGTGCTAGATGCTTCCTGGGCCATGTATCTACAAGCTGCGGAGGACATTGCGGAGGAGCGTCACTGTTCCTGATGCCGAGTTGATGAGGTGAAGGCCGAGAGGACAGAGGCTAACTGTGGTTTTCATAGAGAGCACTGGCTCATGCCGCTGTCAGTATGGCAGAGATCTAAGTCTCTCTCTCGAGGCCGTCAGGATGCCCTCCCTAGGAACTTGATGTCGTTGTCTCCAGGAGGCGACTCTGAGTTGAGTTGATTCAAGAGGTGTGGCAGCATTGAATGGCTCCCTATTGATGCGCTCTGAGAACACGACTTGAATGTGCATTGAGGCCTATACGAGCAAGACTATTGCCATTGATTGTGCTGAGCCATTCAGAGGTCGAAGTTGCCCAGCTGCCAGCCTATTGTCGTTGCTCCTGCCGCCGAGGCCACGGACGCACCCGCCTCAATGGCCTCCCTCCTACTTCTCTCTTTTCTATCCACCCACCTCATTTCCTTCTTCCTCCTCCCCTACTTCCTCTACTTTCTTCTTCTCACTTCTCTTAATACAAAGGCTACAGCTTTGCTTGCACAAGTCCCCGGCTGTTAGCTCCTCCTCCCTCTTATCATCCATCCAGCACTGCATCTTGGTTGCTCATTCTCATTTCCCCCGTTTGCTGCTCTATTCATTGGGCTCCATCCCATTTCTACACCCCAAAATCTCAGAAAAGTCACTGAGAGGCGTGGTCTGCAGCTGCTCTTGTGGCAAGATTGCGAGTGAGTTCACCGAGACCGTGAGCTGCTCGAGCACGGTGCACCTCCTCGCTATCAGAAGCATACTGACTCTCGAGTACCAGAGACCAGCAGGCATGTCTGACAAACCTGCAACCCAATCTGCCTCAAGCACTGCCTATGCTGGCTATCCTCAGTCAAGAATGCCGTACACTGCATCGGGCTATCCACAGTACAATGGAGGTAAGAGCTGGAATCACATTCAGAGGCACCGCTGCTCACCATGCAGCAGCCATGAACATGGCCAATTCCAACCCCCTTGCCAGCATGCAGAACCTCAAAGCCACCTTGCCCTCCTCTGCTTCTGTCGAGACTGAGATGAACGCAGTCAATCGTCCAGGATACAGCAGCCCCTTGATGATGTTGCCATCCGGCCAAGCCGTCCCAATGTCCAACTTCTACGGCCAGAACCAAACCTCAGCTGGAGATAGTGCTTCCCAACTGCCTTATGTCCCCACCGGAATGTTTCCCAGCTTCATTGGCAACACCAGCTTGGCCACAAGTACTCTCCCGGGATATGGCTGGCCCTACAATCTCACTTCCAACGTTGCTGGGTTTGATCCAGGTCGTCGAGGGTCTTGGTCTTCAAACGAAGAGAATGCTTCCAACAACCAAAATGTCACACTTCAAGGTCAATCAGACTACTACAACTCCATGGCATACCTGTCGACTGCACCCGCCAGCCAACACTACATTGCCGGACCCATTCAACCCATGAAGTGTCAAGACAACAAGTCATACGAGATGGTTAATCTCGATGAGCTCGTCAACCGTGACCCTCCGATCCCTCGTGCAGTGCCTGCTATGTGGACCAACCAGGAAGAACTCAGCCTGGCCAAATGTCTTCAGAATCCTGAGGGCATCACCAATGTCTACATTCGTGGCTTCATGCCGGATACCACTGATGAGGATCTAGAACGCTGGGCTTCTCGCTTTGGGGAGATTGAGTCATGCAAGGCCATTATCGAACAGGACACTGGCAAATGTAAAGGGTACGCTGCCTCACCCAGTTGATCCGTTCTCGCCGTTAACAATATCCAGATTTGGGTTCGTCATGTACTATTCTCCCGCCGCAGCAGAGAACTGCATCCGTGGTTTCTTCCATCTTGGCTTTCAAGCCAGCTATGCCCAGGTTGGCGGCACTACTCTTCTGCCTCAATGTCGTCTAACGCTCCCAGAAATCTCGCAACTCTCGACTCAAGGACCTTGAAGATAAGAACTCCACCAACATCTACTGCACCGGGGTCCCCATTGACTGGAATGAATCGGTTCGAGATCTCCTGCCATGTTTGCAGCTTTGACTTACCAACGCATCCAGGATCTGGCCAAACACTTTTTGCCTTATCACGCCGTATCCACCAAGATCTGCCGCGATGCTCCGTCCGGCGTCAGCAAAGAAGTCGGCTTTGCCAGGTATTCAAAGATGTGTGATCTCCCTGGCTTGCAACGTTGCTGACCGTCCCAGATTCGAAACACGTGAAATTGCAGAGCGTGTCATCAAAGAATTCCATTCCGTCCTCAACGAACGTGATTGTATCAAATTGTTCCTCCGCTTCGCCGACACCAAAGCTCAGAAGCAACTCAAACAACAGAGCCAAGAGCGCCGCAACTGGCGCAGCCGAGAGTACAGCTATTCGGTTGAGCACACTCCATCTCCCACTCTGTCTCGACTGCAGAACATGAACAATCACATCAGTCCGAATGGCAGTTACCAGTCTCCTGCTGGAACTGCCAATGGCTTCACTCCAGCGACGTCAGTCTCTCCGCCGTAAGTTTGGCCTTACTGCCCAAGGTCCTTCCTCTTCCAAGCCTACTGACATCGTGTTCTGCAGTGAGCTGCCCAGTGTCAACAACAAGGCTCCGAGCATGATCCGCAACTCCACTTCGGCATGGCCCATGCAGGGGGGCCTGCAGTCGATCACCAACACTACCACTGTTCGAACCAACCTTCCAGTCAGTGCAGCAACCCACCCTTACATCGAAGTCCCACCAAAGAATGCTGCTTCGATTGCCATCATCCCGGACGGCGGTGACCCCAGCAAGAAGACCAAGACTCCAAGTCCCAAGAAGGTCACCATTAGGATTGAGCCAGCCAGCGGCAAGGAGAACTACACCACCACTACTCCGCAATCCAGCAAGTGAGCCAGCTACACCACAATTGCCAAGGACACCCATTCCCGCATGCTTCCAACTATTTTTGGCGTGCATTTGTTCTTGGTCCGCTGGTACTACCCATCTTGATTTCCTTTTGCTCATTCTTGCCTTGAGCATGCACAATCATCCCCTGGAGCATGCAATTTTGTCACCACCAGCGCATATTTAGAGCATGAAAAGAGATGGCATGCATTATCCATGTACAGCAAGACATTGATCCTTGTGTATTGATGGAAGAAAACATGATTGTGGCAATATGTTGATATGGCAGGTGTAGGAGGAGAGCTGGACGGGTTATGTCTTGACAGTTTGCATTTACTAGCTCAGCATGTAGTTACTTGAGAGATTGATCTCACAATGCATCAAGATTAATATGCCGGTCTGCGTCTTGTTTCGATCCGGCTCACATCGTTCTGTGACAGGGAGCGCCCGGTGACTGCGGCTTCGACTCACCTGGGTCATCTTTTCAAGTACCAAGCGAGGCCCTAATTTCACGCCTTGAACTGTGTAGCTTGTGCAAGTGCGCAACAATGGACGCTCAGTAGTGGTTAGGGTCAAGGGCAAACTGCTTGCCACCTGTCTGTATTCTGGCAGATCGACAACCTCTGTCTTGTGGTTGTAGAAGCCTCGTTGTCTGGGCTGGAGGTGCTTTGAAGTGTGTTGTCAGAGGCGGAGCGATGGAGCGGACGAGGCTGGGGTATAAAAGGGGCCAACCGGTCCACCCCCACTTGAGTAGCCGATAATTGTGCAAGAGGTGAAAAATGCAAACACCATCAACGCCACTGCCGACAATTTTTTTTATTTCTTCCAAAGTCATGACAAAACTTCATCATTTTGCGTAGCTTATTTGTCGTTTAATGTATTGCAATGCTGATGCGAATGCTGCATATCTGGCCAGCCTCATAATATCACATGTTTCCCCTTTGGGAGTCTCCTCAGAACCCAGCTCGCTTGAGATCAAAGGTATTTTATGCTTCTCGCGTTCAAGAGACCAGAAATGTTGACTCCTCTGTCCTGAAGTCGATGTGCGCGGACCGTCAGTTCCCAGATGCGTGAGTTTCAGTACTTCCGCAATGGAGGCTCGTCAGCTTCCACTTCCATTCCTATCGACGAGGAAGGCGTTTGAGTCTCAGAGCTGTCCCATATCTCCACGTCCTTAGTTTGAGGCCACTCGTTCCCCGTCCTCATCACTGCACCCCAATCCAACTCTTCTGGAAACCACTTGTCTCTTCTTACTGTATCCTTGGTCCCACCCTCTAAAGCTGCCCTCGCTGCCCTAGTACGTCGCTGTCTCTTTATCCCGTGCTGACTTGCACCGTGCAACTCGTTTCGCATTTGTTGAAGTCGCTGATCATGTGACACGATGTAGCGGATGTAGGGGGCAACTTCTGTCACGAGTGAGCTGGCGGATGGATTATCCAGCGAGGGCGCTTTACGCCCTGGAGAGCTGGGTAGGCCGATACGGGATTCTTCTAGAAGGGGCTCGAATGCTTTGCATATCGATGATTGAAGGAGCTGGGACTCGTTGAGCTCACCGAGGTATAGACGGACGACCTCGTTTCTTTGGGATGTGTAGGCGCTTGGGGCAGCAGCAGGGTTGGATAGTTTCCATAATGCGCTTGCCACCATCGGTGTTGCTGTGTCATCGATCAAATCCATCGCGCTTCTCGCCTCAGAAAGGATCAGCATGTCGTTCAGCGTTGAGAGACGGTCCGACTCGGGGCTGCCTGGGCACACATCGTTCCGGACCCAATCCACTGCCCGAATGCTCAAACTGTCCTGAGAGAATTGGATCAGGCCTTCTGGTTCGATAAAGTCCGCAGGCAGTAAATCAAGACCACTGATAAACGTATCTTGGCTGACAATTCGCGTCACCGAGCCATCTGGCTTGGGCTTGATCCTGTCATGGTACGGGAGCATCCAATCCAGACCTCCCTGCTGCGATCCAACCGTCATCTGGCACCACAGATTCAGCTCCATGATTGACGCACGGAGATCCCGGCCTTTGGTGAGGTAGAGGTTCTGCAAGCTTTCCTTGCTTAGAAGATGTCCTTCAGCCGCACATATGGATCCCAGAAGCTGTACAGCTGGTCCCTGTTCAGGACAGCCATAGTGCAAGACGGCAAAGAGATCTAGTTCGGCCAGCGGAACGGAGTCGACACTGTTGCAAGTGAGGATGACCGGCCGCTTTGAGGTCCTGATAAGTGACTGGACACCACTCCAGAAGCCTTTGTCCTCCTCAAACAGAATGTCGACCTCTTCAAACAAGACGAGAGATTGCTTCTGTGATTTGGTCTTGGGTTCTTTGCCCTCCCTCCTTTCTGAAATTTTAGACTGTTTGCCACCTTTGCCGGGACCCATGAGATTTGCGATAGTGTTGGGGTTTTCTAAAAGCCCAGGAGTAGTAGAGACTGTGTCTCTGTCATCGACTGAGATGCTTGATCTTCGACTAGGGGTGTCCGAGTGTTGAACCAGGTGGTTCTGTGTCATGTCGCCTACCTTGTCCTGGATATCTTTTGCACTTCGTCGCATACCTGGATGGATCTCAAACACCTCGAACCCTAATTGTTGCGCAACCGCAAAGACGGAAGCGGTTTTGCCCGAGCCTGAAGGGCCCACCAGTAGGATTGCATTCTTTCCGTTCGCGGTCGAACGAGCATCATCGTCGTCCGAATATGCAATGAAGTCGTCCATCTCATCTGATTTCCTCTTGCGTCGCTTTTTAGGAGTCGGAGGCTTTGCCTTCGATTGTAACTTGCCAGTCTGGACCTGATGCACCTTCAGATTGCTTAGCCAGTCATGCAAAGCTTTCCCCTGTGGTTCCAAGACCTCTTGCCAACAAGTGGGTGCGTACTCGTGACACCATAACTGGGGTCCGGCGGCCATGCCCTTGTCGAATGAACTGCGAGACGATTCGATGATTGCTTCTAGACGTGTAATCGAAGCTGGTTGACAAAGCGATTGATCATCTATCCCGTATAGTGTTTCTGTCAGTCTTGCGAGTTCTTTGCCGCTCATGATCCGTCGCTCTGGTGTGCGAACGAGAGAATTATCGACTTCCTGCTTCAAGTGCTGAGAATAGTTCCAAAGTACATCTTCATCTGCATTGACACGCAAAGCATGTTGTTTGAACTTAGGTCGTGATAAGGGGAGTGTCCCAACTCCTGAATTACTTGGGATCTGAGTCGGCCGTACATGTTGGATGTTGGTCGGAGGCCAGACGGGAGGCAGCGCAGGCGCATTTTTGTTCTGGAACGTCCTCTTAGATTCAAAGATAATATCTTTCCAGGGTTTTGGTGCCTTAGATCTTGAGGTGATCTCATCCTCGGAGGCTGCTGCAATGGAGGAGGTTTCACTTGTTAGGTCAGACTGCTTTTGAGTATTTCCTGGTATTCTTCCCAGGAAGAATGGGTGGGTTGTCTTGCCCACCAGAGGCTTTCCCCGTGCAGCCTTTGCCTGAGGTGCCGGGGTTTGAATGGCGCCCTCTTCGGACTTGCTGGACAAGATGTCGTTGATCTTCGCTCCGGAGTCTGCTGCCGAGTAGGACAGCGTAACCCGCAACGAAGAAACCAGCCTCCCGTTCTTCATCTCCAGTTTCTTAGACCTATTGGTGGTCTTATCTGCGTCACTGGTCTCAGCAGCAACAGTCCGTGGCGCTCGTTTTGGCGATTTCTTCGGTGAAAAGATGAGCTTCCCGTGACCGGTTCGCAACATTTTGTCCTTGGGAGTAAGGTTAGGCTTGCTTTCCTTGGATAACTGATCATTCACGGTGTCGTCGGTTGGTCGAGGGTGAGGATCAGGGGATATTGTAAGGTCGATGTCAACTGAATGTGACGAAGCATCAAGAGACTGAACAGGGGAAATTAGCCTTCTCGATCTAGAAGAACCATCTTCAGGCAAAATCGGTAGAGACGGTTGACTGGCACTGTCTTTGTCACTCGAGGAAGGTTGACCTGCGAGTGTCTGATCCTCAGCGCAATCCCGGTATGTCTCAACCCCCTTAAATATCTGTACTGCAGACTGAGGCTGGGCAGCCCATGTCATGTGGTTTGTGTTTGAAGTCTTCGTTGTCTCAGTGGGTAAATGCTTTGGACTGGCAGAGACTCTTCGTCTCTTTCTTCTGGTTGTTTTGTATTCAACACCATCATCTTCATTCACTCTCCACGACCCTATGGGGGTGGCCTCGGCTGTCTCTGTGTGTGTGACATGGCCAGAGTCTTCCTCGTGGTTCGTAGAGCCGTCTTCAACCGTGCCGTCCAATCCCAGTGTTCTAGAGGGCGGACGGTTGGACGGGGGATCGTTGATTACGGACGCTATAAGAAGTGTCAGTGAGTTGAAGCAGCTCTAGTTGGACATGCTTGTGCACCTTTCCTGAAGAACGGATGCATATGGGATTTGTGTTCTGGACCAGCGCCATAGTCGAGCAGCGTTGCCATTGACCTGCCAGTCAATCTTTGGTGTGTTGTGGTGTCATGAAGTCTGCATTCCGTGCATGATCTTTATATCGAGTGAATCGATGGACAAGTATGCCGCCGAGAGATCCACTGAGTCTTGTCGAGGCGCTCTCGTGAGATAATTCAGAATTGATGTTGGAGTGTCATGCGCGTGATCATGAAGTGTAGCTGAATTGGAAGAAGCGCGTCGGTGACGCGATTGCCATGCCCAGAAATGGGAGGCTCGGTCGGCTGCATCTGCCACCGCCTGCCCGCCGCTGATAGGCTTGCTTGGGCGGGAGATCAGCCGCTAAGTAGGCCCTGTTAAAGGAAGTGCTTAGCGAGCCTAGACGGAGGAACTTCGCAGCCTCCGCAAAATTTTGTGGAGCCCGGGTATTTTCAAAACTTTTTGTCTGCACACCGAGTTCTAGCAACGCTCTGCAAAGTCTCATGTCTCAATGATGGAGATTTCAACTCCCCATATGCTGGCAAGACTGCCTCGTCCTGCCAGGCAAGATGCTGCTACTCGTTTCGGCACGGTGTATGCTGTACGCGACGGCCTGAAGAAGCGGAGAAAAGAAATTTGCGTGGGTGTGGACGGCGACTCCCTTGGGCTGTATGAGGTACCGATACATTGTATCCGTGCACAGGACAGTATGCTCACAAGATTTCAGATCCAAAACGGGAGCATTCTCGCCTCTTATCCCGTACCTCCTAACTCCCGTTGCCTTGGGCCTCCCTGTTCGATTCGCGAAGAATCACAAGGGCAGATCCGTCGAACGACTTACTGCGCCATAAAGCGAGACACATTACGGATCGAATCCTTCCAGACCTCAGGAGATGACGCATACCGCGCGGCGTCCTGTGCAAGTGGAGCATTGGATGAACAAGAGAGCCCCATTCTACTACTTGAAGTGGTGCTGAAAGGCACGGAAAAAGAGCTGGTAGCAGTTCAGCAAAATGGCGACATCGCAATTTTCTCTGAAGAGTTGAACACCACGTTGTCCAAAGGAACACTTTGTTCCAGGCGCTATCCGAACATTAGGATCTTGGCCGTTCAACATCTCACAAGTTCGGAAGCACAGAAAACAGTATTAAAGCAGAGACCAGATCTGCTTAGCGAGGCTACTCCCGAGAGCTCCTACTTGGTGGTTGCATACTGCAAAACCGAATATCACACAAACCCGAACAGTGTGTTCTACGGTGTCTGGCCAGTTGGCGCAATCGACCGGAACGTTGCTGCCCATGGAGCACCGATTTACCCATTGTTTGACCATGAACTATCGGCAGGAGAGAACAAGGCAAAGTCAAGTTCGTCCAAGGACCGATCTTATACGTTCAACTCCAAAGCTTCAAACCTATTCCTTCGCGCCGGAGAAACCTTTTACTCGTATGATTTGACTGGTCTGGTACCTTTCTTGTCTTCGGCACTATCTACTGGTTTGAACTGCTCGTACGAAATCATGGCCATCTCATCTGCGTTTGCCATATGTTCATTCGAAGAGTCAATCCGGCTTTATGACCTCAAATTTCAGTCTGTGCAGGCTCAGATCGATGCGAAGAAGGGCAATCTCAAGCGGAAACGCATGACAATGGCCGCCCAAGACCGGAGTGGCCCCGTTGAGTTTCTCGCTTATTACCCCCAGTCTGCGCGTGTCATCGGACGGAGGCGTCATCAGCTGCTCGCGATAGATATTTCTGCTATATCATCACGGCAGCTACTGGAAACTGGGAGCAGTCTTCTCCAAAATATCGGACGTGGTATCAGTAGTCAAGTTACGACGATTGGTTCTTTCGATAAACGGTTATCGTCCATCGGTACTGCGACTATAATTCCAGGATCCAGCGTGGATTGGCAGTCTGTGAGGCAACGACTCGATCACCTTGCTGAGACAGGTGATGTTGCCGGCTTTGAACACACTTTTGTCAACGACATTCGACAGACTACGATGCAGTCACCGGCTTTTGAAGGGACGAGCGAAGATTTGCCTCTTGATCGTATAGCAATCCCGGACTTCAAAATCAACTACCTTCTGACAAAGATCTTTCAGTTAGGTGCGACGCCGAGTACCCTAGACAATACACCTAGCATCGCAGAAAAGGCGTTTAATATCCGAGTTCCGTCATTCAAACTCATACTCTGGCTGTGCCGTTTGGGATTGCTGTCCGCCCGAAACTTGCAAAATGCAATCTCGAACTCTCCTTCTGGGACAGGATTGACCGTTGTTGGTATACACGGTGTGGCGCAAGCTCTGCTTGAAGCCGATTCATCATATAGCTTGCTGGTAGAGTGTCTCGAAAATGGGTTCAGTCCATACGTGGAGGAACAAGCAGCCGTGGTGCAGCTACTCATTCGACAAGCTCTAGCTACATCTTCCGAAGCAGCCGTTGCTGGAACAGACCGCCAGACAGATTCAATGGAAGTCGACACTCCCGCGCAAGTCCAGCCACTCTCGGTATCAACAACAGACACACCGTGGTTGGCCCCTACGCTACAAAGAGCGCTAATTGAGGCGCTCGACAGACTCGGCACTGCTGCAACTTCACTCATCTCCATTAATTTGAAAACTCTGCTGTCACAGACAGAAGCGCTGGCTCTTATTCAGTTCTTACGACAACAACTCTTCCAGGGGGGTCATACTCGGTCATTTCAAAACCTCCCCGTGCAAACTGAGCCATTGCCGACTGTCAAGCTTGCTGCGAGCATCAAGATACTTTCAGGCTGCGTCGATGCCATTGGACCTCTTGGCTTCTTTGGGGCTTTGGATCACGAAGATTTTATGGGCAACATCGTACCTGATCTGGTGACGGAGATCACACATACCAAGCAGAGTCTGGAGGATGTAGCAGAGTTGCAAGGGATTCTCCGCGAGACGTTGAGATACCAGGAATCTATGCGAAAACATCAGGCTGCGGGGGCCCGTGTTCCTGTCTATGGAAATGGATTAGGGATCCCTGACCAGCGTCCAGGAGCCATAGTGACGCTGTACTCGGAGACTGTCGAGGGAGAAGACGATCCGCAGCCTGGCCCAGGTCTTCCTCTCAGCCTGAAGGTCGAGAATGTGGTCAGCGCCGTAAAGATCAGAAAAGGTGGGGGCCAGTTAAAGCATCGGTCTATCCGACAGAAAAGGATGCTGGAAAGGATGAACAAAGGCCAGTACTCATTTGAGCGACTGGCTTTATGAGGTTGGTAGCTGCGCAAAATGAAGAGCGGATCCGAGTCTCTGAATAATCATGTCTTGTAAACCTTCTCACCGATTCAGGCTGGACTGGAGCAGAAGCGAGATATCAGATGGCCGGAATGGGACGAAAGCGTATGCAACGGACTCGGCGTACTATTGGCTATGGACTATTGGTGGGCCTAGCCTCGTTCAGGCCCCGTCACAGCCCCGTACATACGCATGCTCCGATCCCATGCCGCCCTCGAACCTCCCTTTCACGCAGTCTTCTCCAATTTGAACGCTTGTACGAGGCAGTCTTAATACCGAGACTCCTCTTTCTCGTCTAGAGCGCGACCGAACGTCCCTGACCTATTGAACAGACGTTCGAAGATTAGAGAGAAATCCTCCTGAGAGAGCCCTTCGCCGCGAGCCCACTCCGTACTGCCCCCTTCTAGCCGAGACGACGGAAGATTCTTCAACAACCCCAGAAGGGCAAACCTTGAATCTGCAATCAGAAAACGCTGCCGAGCACGTACTCCTCACTATATCGACTGCCGAGTCCCTATCCTGCCCCCGAGCCTTCATGTGGCTGGGGTGTGAGGACTGAAACCTAATCCTGACCCAAGCGCCGAAGGTCAATTGGATCTTGACGCAAACACCATGGCCTTCCCCAGCGGAACTACATACCACGCCGACTCTGATGCCGACGATGAATATGAGAGAAGCGTCATGACTTCGCCCACACAGCTACACACCGATTCAGAGACCTCTTCTGAGCCGCCCTCTAACGAGCACACACCGACGACGTTTGACAACTCGGGGGAAGATCCAAGTCTACCCAGGACCATAATAACAGAATGGACACCAGAAGAATGTGCTCAATTTGTGTCTAGTTTGAACTTGAGACAATATTGTCATGCTTTTGTCGGTAAGCAGCCTCGCAGACAGACATGGCCATTGAATGCAGCGGCACTGACTCTGCGCAGAACATGGCATCGAAGGGGAAGCGCTCGTCGCACTTAAACATGACGAGTTGAAAGAGATGGGAATTGCCAGTGTGGGACACAGGTTGACAATTCTCAAGAATGTTTATGATTTGAAAGTCAACCAGGACATCCCCGTTGAACCAGATGATTATGTCCCTCCAAGTAGGCAATTGGTTTCCCTCCGTCCAGTGGTATCTCTCTAATTTCCCTCTCAGCGGCCGAGCAGAATCCTCAGCATGAAATGGCCACCAAGGAAGACATCGATCGACTCGCGAGATCAATCCTCCGGTTACGGGATGAGCGAATTGCTCAGGCGGAAGCGCAGTTGACCAGACTGGCAGATGACTACCGCAAGTTACGCCAGGAGTTACTGCCGGTTTTCAAGATGGCCAAAGAACGATCAGAACCTCTCCCTTACGCCCCCTATCAAGGCGCCACCATTACTCCAGAGGTGTACCAGCAAGATGTCGTCTCACCTCCTCCCGCGACCCAGCCGGTGCCCGAAAAGACTAGTCTCACACGCACATTCTCAAAGAAGCTGGGGCTCAGCTCAACACCCAAGAACAATTCTCCGACACATATACCCAGTACGATCCATGAGGGTAGGACTTTCGCCGAAAGCAACTCGCTGGACCCTTCCGCTGCAGCGAGTCTAGCCTCCAACTCGCTAACCGCACAAATGTCAGGTGGCGCAATATCGCAACATCCCCATCCTTCTCCAGGTGTCCCCTCTCCGACTTCGCCACTCCCCTACCAACATCAACCACTCGCTCCGCGCTCCTATCAACGTGAAGCAGGAACTGTTACCAGTGCTATCCCTCGCTACGACGGTAGCGACGACCGGCAAGTCACCATTGAACGTGACCGTGACCCTCCCACTTCCGCAAAATCGGCCTCCGGCAAACTCAACCCTACGAACAGTACAATCTCTAACGCCTCCACTCTTATACCCTCTAGAGAACTATCCGCTTCGGTGCCGCCCCAGCTCCCCTCGAGCGCCAGCGTGGGCCACACTCCGCATGGCAACAAAGATGGTGGTGGCGGAGGCGATGCCCCCTCGGTGGAGATCTTCAAATCGTTCCGCGTCGGGCTAGAAGATCCATGCTATAAAGTTCTCCCAGCCGCCCTCAGAAAATACAATATTCAGGCCGACTGGCGACAGTATGCTCTGTATATTGTGTATGGCGACCAGGAGAGGTGTGTGGGATTGGAAGAAAAACCCCTCGCTTTATTCAAGGATTTGGATAGAGAAGGGAAGAAGCCGATGTTTATGCTGAGAAAGCTGGGGAACGTAATGGTTGGTGACATGCCACCGACCGCAGGGGTTGGGATGAAACCGCCCCTGGGCGGGCTGGGTGGGAGTGGAGGGACTGCTGGAGCAGGAGTCGCCCCTAGCAGCGCTGCGAGCGTGAGGACAATACCAACAGCGCAGACGTTGCCCGGCGGTGTTCTATGAAGTTGCTGCCTGTTTTGTTTAGATACGTGGGGATTAGCGAAGGCTTCAAAAGCGATTTTCATTCGAGTTCGAAGAGGCAGGTTGTTTCCCTTTATGCAACGATCCTTGACGAGCACACATGCACCAGCCAACAGCTCGAAGTAGAGCGAGGTATTCCACTATAGCTGTGGTCCTTCCACCATCTAATATACCGTACCGAGGCCCTTCCACTATCTCAGCAACACTGAACGCCGCTCGCTATGCCAAATTATACACAAATATCCAACCCGTAGCTTGTTTGCGAAGTGAGATCGTGCTAGTCGCTATCGTCGTCGATCGGCTCGACGACATCCTTGATCTTCTCTTTCAAAAAGTCCACTCCTAGCTCAACAGTAATTTCTGGAATCCTTACGTCTGGCAGCCCATCCGGCCCGCCGGACCATTCTTTTGAAAGCGCAATGGCATTGTTGCTGTTCACCCCTCCGCCATTCAATGCTGCCGCTGTAGCTGCACCTCCAGCCCCGGCGCCTGTCGTTGTAGGCGTGCTCGTACCATTCGTCTTCGCATCCTTGCTTTCCTTCTCCACGGTTTGGTTCTTGCCATCCTTGGGCATCTTCGCCCGCCGCATGACTTCGCTCATCAACTCCGGAAAAGTGTCGCATGTGCCATTCCTGAGTAACTCGAGCGCGAGGGCGCGGACGCGGTCTGTCCAGCCCGTGCGGGCGAGGCTGTCTGCTAGGAGGGAGCTGAGGTCGGGTATAGCGCCAGTCTGTCGGAGGTGTTGGATGAGGGCTTGGGAGGTCGCCGGCGGTAAGGAGGGAGTGGAGCTGGTGAGGGAAGAAGGGATGGGGATTGCCGTCGCTGGCTCAGTGGAGGGCCCTGAGGTCGCCATATTGTTTTCCACTATATTCAAGGCGAGGAAGTGGAGGTAGATGTGCGCCGAGGTGAATTGAGCTCTGAATAAGTCTTTGGTGGTGGGGACGTCGCTGTTTGCAACAATTCGAGATCCGGAGACTTGGGACCCCGGTTATGCGGAAGTAGCCAGTTGCTGTTGTTTTTGGACGACGTCTCCAGCGGGCTGTCCAGCAGCGCTACTCGAAAGGAGGGTGTTGGTGGCCTATAGCAGACTGAATGCGGGTGTTAACCGTGGACGAGAGGTAGGCTAGGTACTGAGAATCTTTCCGCTCCGCATTCTGAAAATTGGAGGTGCGAAAGGGCATGGGCTGGCGGGGCGGGAATATGCTACGAAATCAGAGCGGAAGTTTGCACCGGACCTGTTGTCGGCAATACTTGTACGTGATTGTGCAAGCTAATCGATTGATCATCATGAATGAGCTTTTTTCCCATTATTCGTCATGGGCGGCGAAATTGAGCACAGGATCGTACCCCTCTGGCAAGGCTACAATTCAGCCTCGCCACCTGGAAGGCCGACGGGGATGAGCAATGCATGAAATGCGAAAAGAGGTATGCTGTAAAACAGGCCAAAATAAAACTTGGCTTATCTTACTTACCACAGGCAGGCATCAGGGAGTACTTTGTAGCTATTAATTAAGCGCTTGCAGTGAAGCCGTGGCAAGGTAAACGTTGGGCTGTATGAGAAGATTCGACAGCCTTCTCTTTCGTAGGCTGCCAGAGGCAACGTATGTTGCTCGGGCTTGAATGACCGTCATTTCAATTCGCCAAGACGGGGCTTTCTCCTGCGCTTCAAGTCCTCTAGAAGTTCACTCATCACTTCCAACAATCGCTTTGCCTGCTCTCACCCTTGTGTTGCCATCTCTTCTGTCCGCTTCTCAAGGTTCTTCTTATAAGGAGCTCCTTGACATCAACTCTTCTTTTCCTCTATCGTCCTTAAACTACTGTTGCGAGGATCAGCGCTTTCGTCCCTGGTCTCTTGAACCCACGTCAACAAACGTCCGCATTCCACTCTCAGACCCTGTTTGATCTCCTGAAGGACCTCAAGATGTCTGCAGAACCTGATCACACCCACGATAAGAAGAAGGTTAACCTACAGTATGTGTCACGTTTATGGATTTCGCAAGATACGCCGCTAACTCAAGCTACAGTGATGCCTCTGGCGCAGAGAAGAAAGAGGTATGGATTACACCCAGGGACCTACAGGGTGACGAATTTCAGACTGACAGCGCCGTCCAGGAGCTTGATACCGCCACAGCCATCCTGAAAAAGAAGAAGAAGCCAAATTCATTGATGTAAGTTGGACAGCAGGGACGACTTCAAAGAGGCTGACAAATGACGCAGCGTGACCGACGCAACGAACGATGACAACTCCATCATTGCTCTCTCAAACAACACTATGGAGACGTTACAATTGTTCCGAGGTGACACTGTCCTGGTTAGAGGAAAGAAACGAAAAGACACCGTCTTGATCGTCCTGGCCGATGACGACCTTGATGATGGCAGTGCTCGCATCAACAGAGTGGTTCGCCACAATCTCAGAGTCAAGCACGGCGATATCATCACTGTCCACCCTTGTCCTGACATCAAATATGTACGTCCCGTCTCATTTACTTGTTTTAGGGGCAGCACTAACTCTCCGCAGGCGAAACGCATCGCTGTCCTTCCTATCGCAGATACCGTTGAGGGTCTGACCGGGTCTCTCTTCGATGTCTTCCTCGCTCCCTACTTCCGCGAAGCCTACCGGCCCGTCCGACAAGGAGATCTCTTTACGGTCCGAGCCAGTATGAGACAAGTCGAGTTCAAAGTGGTCGAAGTTGACCCCCCGGAATATGGCATTGTGGCACAAGACACCGTCATTCATTGTGAAGGAGACCCGATCCAGCGTGAAGACGAGGAAGGAAACCTGAATGAGGTTGGGTACGACGATATTGGTGGTTGCAGAAAGCAGATGGCTCAGATCCGCGAGTTGGTTGAGTTGCCATTGCGACATCCGCAGCTCTTCAAGTCGATTGGTATCAAACCTCCCCGAGGTATCCTCATGTTTGGCCCTCCGGGTACTGGTAAGACTCTGATGGCTCGGGCGGTCGCCAACGAAACTGGTGCTTTCTTCTTCCTCATCAACGGCCCCGAAATCATGTCAAAGATGGCCGGTGAATCAGAATCCAACCTCCGAAAAGCTTTCGAGGAAGCCGAGAAGAACTCTCCCGCCATCATTTTCATCGACGAAATCGACTCTATTGCACCGAAGCGAGAGAAGACCAACGGCGAGGTTGAGCGACGTGTGGTTTCGCAGCTACTCACCCTCATGGATGGTATGAAGGCTCGGTCCAACGTCGTCGTCATGGCCGCCACCAACCGACCCAACTCGATTGATCCTGCCCTCCGACGATTCGGTCGATTCGATCGCGAGGTTGACATCGGTATTCCGGACCCGACCGGCCGCTTGGAGATTCTTCAAATTCACACCAAGAACATGAAGCTGGCTGAGGATGTCGATCTTGAGTCGATCGCCGCCGAGACCCACGGTTACGTGGGTTCCGATATTGCATCACTCTGCTCTGAGGCCGCCATGCAGCAGATTCGAGAGAAGATGGATCTCATCGACCTGGACGAGGACACAATTGATGCCGAGGTGTTGGATTCGCTCGGAGTGACCATGGATAACTTCCGGTATGCTTTGGGTGTCTCCAACCCCTCTGCTCTCCGCGAGGTCGCGGTGGTCGAAGTTCCCAATGTTCGCTGGGACGACATTGGTGGTCTTGAGGGCGTCAAGCGCGAGCTCATCGAATCCGTGCAATATCCCGTCGACCATCCCGAGAAATTCCTCAAGTTTGGTCTTTCACCCTCTCGTGGAGTCCTGTTCTATGGTCCTCCCGGTACTGGTAAAACTATGCTTGCTAAAGCCGTGGCCAACGAATGTGCTGCAAACTTCATCTCTGTCAAGGGTCCTGAGCTTCTGAGTATGTGGTTCGGCGAGTCTGAAAGCAATATTCGAGACATTTTCGACAAGGCACGCGCCGCAGCTCCCTGCGTTGTCTTCCTGGACGAACTTGATTCCATCGCCAAGTCTCGTGGTGGCTCTGTGGGCGATGCTGGCGGCGCGTCTGACCGAGTCGTCAACCAGCTCCTCACCGAGATGGACGGCATGACCTCCAAGAAGAACGTGTTCGTTATTGGTGCGACCAACCGACCTGAGCAGCTCGACAATGCTCTTTGCCGACCTGGACGTCTGGACACTTTGGTTTACGTTCCTCTTCCCGACGAGACGTCCCGTGAATCCATTCTCAGAGCGCAGTTGCGCAAGACCCCGGTCGCAGGAGATGTGGACCTCAAGTATATTGCCAGCAAGACTCATGGGTTCTCCGGTGCCGACTTGGGATTCGTCACGCAACGTGCTGTCAAACTCGCCATCAAAGAATCCATCGCCGCAGATATCGAGAGACAGAAGGAACGCGAGGCCGCTGGCGAGGATGCTATGGATGCCGACGAAGGGGAAGATCCTGTCCCAGAGTTGACTCGACGCCACTTTGAAGAGGCCATGCAAGCCGCGCGGCGGTCGGTCAGCGACGTCGAAATCCGCCGCTACGAGGCCTTTGCTCAAGCCATGAAACAGAGCGGCGGCAGTGCTTTCTTCAAATTCCCCTCTGCTGGTCAAGAGGCCGATGCCGCAAACGGTACTGGTTTCGGTGATGCTGGCAATGACGACAGCTTGTACGACTAAAGTGGTGGTGGAGATTGCAACAAAACTCATTGACACTGAGTCGGCGGGCTGGGTGGAAAGCGCTATTCTACACAGACATGAGGCGCAAAGAAAGTGAACGGCGTCAAGAACCATGCCCACATGTGGCTCACCGAACGCACGGACAATGGTGCTGGAACGGGTGCTCTACCTGATGGGTCGTGCTTAAAGTATGTCCATCAGACTCATCAAATGGCCTGGCAAATTTGTATTCTACCTTCTACTTAGACAGATGAGATTGCATGCAAAATAATAGAATGGTTGACTAAGGCGTCGTGGAATCATGAGTGATTGTGGTATCTGGTCCATCCACCGTGACTTGGCTTGAAGCCTTTTTAATGCAGCCTGATGCAGCCTTGTGCATGATGATGTAAACGCAACGGCTGGCGAGGCGTTCCGGGGATGCCGCTTTTGGGTGGCTGTGAGTGGGCTCCCTTATTTCTCGTTCTCCAGCTTGTTTAATTTCCCGCTCGTTGCCGCCCTCCATTCCTTTCTTCTCGCGTGACTTTTGTCGACGGTAACGACTGTATCTTTCTGGTTCCTTTCTAGCAGTTGCATTGACTATGGCGAACTATGGCATTTCCGCGCGCCTGTTGCGCCTGGCCCGTCCAAAGGTATGACAATGGCACCGAGCCTCGAGTTTCTTTCCTCAATGCTGACTTCTGGGACAGCGCTTCTTCTACACGATGACGCTCTCGACGGGCGCCAGTCTCATTACCCTCTCGATGCTGGTCAACAAACTTGCCGGCCTCTACGGCATTCTTGCGCTGTTCACAGGCTACCACCTCTCGCCCTTCCAGCTGTCCATGTACATCTACTCCACCATCGCACTCGTGCTTACCGCATACCTGGCGCGACATATCCGAAAACAGTCTCCTCTACAATGTCTTGCGCTGGCGTGGTTCTATGTTCTCGACAGTATCGTTAACGCCGCATATACCGCTGTCTTCGCTGCGACATGGTTCTTGGTGCTGGCACAGCATGATGCGGGGAAGAGCGACAAGAAAGGACCAGGCGCATCGACCATGGATGAAGTATCAGGATTCACAGATCCCCAACTCAACGTTTCAAGAGTCGAAGTCGTTGCTACACCTCAACCTCCCTTGGCAGGTTCTGGTCAGGACGCTGTGGCCGGCGGAGTTCCTGCCGCCAATGCCGCGAGCAGCGGTAGCAACGGCGCATTGCAGTCCGCCGTGCTAGACAGCCAGAACATGAACTCTGTGGGTGTCATCATCGCCATGTGGACCATTCGCGCGTATTTCTGCCTGATCATGCTCGCCTTCGCTCGCATGGTGATCCGACAACATATCGCCTCTACCGGGTCCAAGACGAGCATTGATTACACCGCGGCATCAACAACCGCGCAGTTAGCGGAGAACCCGTTCTCAGAGAGCAGACCAGAGGGAAAGGGCTGGCGAGGCAAACTTGGTCGATTTATGATTGGCATTGGCCGAAGTTACTGGTTGGGCAGTGACGAGGATGATAGCTGGATGTATGGCATGGGTGGGAAGTTCCGAAAGAGTGGTGTCGCTGGCGAGGACAGTGGGTTCATGCTCAGTAAAATCGAGAGTGGGCCTACTGAGAGGGAGAGGAGAAGACGATCGGGAACGGGACCGCCAGCACCGGCCTCGGGTGTTGTCCCTGGTGTTGCTACGGTGGAGGGAGACAAGATGACATTGCAGGTTCCTCCGCAGAACGTGTAGGGCTACAGAGTGCTAGCCGAGGAGCGGGTGTGCAAGAGAATGACGCTACAGGTTGGAGAAAGAGATGGTTGTGAGGTCGCCCCGCGCATAAGGGGACCCATCAAACACGTTGTATACAATCGGTATCAGGGCGTTACTAAGGGCACTGTTTCAACTGGCAGGGAACATGTTGGAATGGCTCGCAACGACGAAGAGCAGTTGGGGACGCATATCTATAGATCTAATGGATGTCGGGTGCGCAGACACAATGAACAGCCGAAATTCTTGCTGACCAATATGGACGGGATCGCCTCGGACAGTTTTACGTCTTCCTTTGCATGTTATGCTGCGGTGAAGCAGAGACCGTGCTGCAGGTCTATAATCAGACGTAAAGAAGTAGAGGTCGATATCAGGATGAATGGGCGTCATTTGAATGTCAACTTCTACAGATTTGCGTAGACGAACGTGTCATTTGAATCGACAAGCACAACGCTGATCAAACCACCAGGGCGCAAAGGTCTACACAGTGATACCACGACCTTTAGGGTCAACTTGACCTTCCACCACAGCTTCTCGCTCTCTGGCATCGACCATGTATTCTCCGTCAGCCCTTCGTCCATGACTGGGCGGACGAAACCCAGCCGCTTTCATCAACATCGCGTCTCTAGATGAGGTGTATTTGCTGTCTCAATCCCAGCGTCTCAGAGTATCAGACAGCCTGAAAGACTCGTACAGCTGGACTCCTTGCGATGTTGGACACCTCAGACGTTGCAGTCGCCAGTCCTCCTCCTCGTCACTATCAGTTTCCACCTCGCCCTCTACGGGACATGCCTTCGGTTATTCATCCGACAACATGATGGTATGATCAACATTCCCTGACGGCGAAATCTCCTATAACTGCCTCCCAGCCGTGACAAGAGTGGGACTCAGCGCCTGAGACATCCTTGCAAGGCACGCTCAGCAAGTTTGGCAATGCACCAGTGTTATGTCTACTACAAAATCTACAGTTTCTCGTCGGAGATGACCACTTTAAAAACATGCCTGCCGTCCTTCGCCTTGACCTCATGGACGGTCTCAAACGCTTCTCGACTCTGCTCGAACGGGAAAACGTGGCTGATGAGGGATTTCATATCGACGAGGCCTCTGTCGAGCAGCGATATGGCGTCTTCGAAGCAATTGGTGGTGTATCTCCAGGTCCCTGTAATCGTCATTGTTAGAGCCACGAAACACTTTATATCAATTCCGGGAAGCATCACCTCGGACGTTGAGTTGCTTGGAGCAAATATCCATTATTGGGAGTCGAGGCATCTGGCCATTAAGCAATCCGACTTGCACGTCTATTAGGAGACACCTCAGGTTAGCAGGAGAACACCTTGGGCTTGACCTCTTCTGCAAAGGTTGGAGACGCTTACAAGTTCCTCCAGGCCTACAGACTTGCATTCCGATCTGCATGCACTCTTCCGCGCCCGCCGCTTCCACCACGACGTCGAAGCCACGGTGGAGCCCATCTACAGAGCTTAGGATGTGTTTAGAAACTCTGCTGGAATATTCTTCCGTCGTCTCATTCGCGTGGCGTGGCGGATTGACGAAGGCCTGATCCGCGCAATACGTCTTTGCGAATTCTGCCCGGTGAGGTTGCACCTCAAAGACAACTACTTTCCTTGCAGCATATCTATGAGGCTGTGGTCAGCATGCACGCCTATCGCCTATTGTGTTGTCAGAACTCACGCTTTCGCGATTGCCCCCAGCAGCAACCCGATACACCCGCCCCCCAGTATCAGCACAGTTTGATGCGCTTTCAGCCCAGCTTGCCGAGTCATCTGGATAGCGATGGCAAAAGGCTGTATCGCGCCAGCCTCGACCCATGAGATCTTGGGCGTCAGGCGAGCCAATGCGGTGACCGGTACGATCTTGTACGTGGTGAGCAATCCATCCTGTCGGCCGGGCGCTGGAACACCATAATACTCTATCGAACTACAGATGTTGGAGTAGCCGGTTGTACAATCGTCGCAACTGATGACACATCAGCATCGTGGTCAACTTTGGATCCAAGATACCCTTACGCCAGACAAGGGAGACAAGGTTTGATCGCGGCGCGGTCACCTGGGGCCCACGATTTGACATCATCAGCGACCTGAATCACTTCCCCAGCAGCTTCATGCCCGATGATGAACGGCTCCTTGATGATATCAGGGCCTGCACGGCCCTCTTTCCAGAAGTGGATCTAGGAAGCTTCGTCAACATTTCATCTAACATTGCCAACTATCAAGGACGAGATTGCTCACGTCTGAACCACAGATCCCGCCGGCGCGGATGCGGACAAGGGCAGTACCACTCGGCAAGGGCGAACCGGGCACGTATAGCGGGCTATCTCGATACGAATCCAGCTTCAGAGGCCAGTCCTGTACGGTGATATCATCGATCTTTGAGAGGATCACCGCACGGTTCTTGATTGTATCCGCCTTGACCGGCACGGTGTTCCCATTACTCGTCGTCGCCGAGGGAGTCATGGTCGAGAGGGATGAAATTGCCCTGAGAAGTTGAGAATACTGGATTGGATGGTTGCTTGCTGCGAGACCTGTGCGGGCGTAAGCTCCTCGTTGAACAATCATGTGCACTTCTTGTGCCGGACTCTTACTCTATGGGTTTGTGAGGGCCTGTCGCTCGTCAAAGAAGGGGAATTTTGACTGTGGCCAGGCCGAGGGGTGGGCGAGGCTGAAGTATTCGAGGGTTGCCAGACGCCGTTAGCGTACAACCTGGAGCGGGGAAATAAAGGGCGCAAAAGGGGAAAACGGGTTGGAGACTCCCAGCTTGACCTCGGGAGACGGCGCCGCAACGACCGTGGCCCAAGCATGGATTGCCTTTTTCTCTCAGCAGGGCCCGTTAGGTACCTCGTATAGGATGGTTTCTACCTGAGAAGTTGGGCTCGCGGTGCCCGAGCAAGGTCGGAGACCTTCCCGCCCTCGGAGATGATTTACCGCAATTCTCCCACTAGCTATTCCACAATACCTGGGAGAAGGTCCATGCTCGTTACAGTCAACTACTCCTTCGACCTGCTCTGAACGTTGTTACTCCCCTCAAAGGACGGGGAGGAGTCGAAGAGTTTCTCGACGTGTATCACGATTATCAAGCGCTGGAGAGAGAATGAGGTGCGATTGTCGAGCTCTCGGATTCTGTTGCCCGTTTCTTCAGATTGGAGATGCGTCTCTAGAAATAGAACTATGACTCCCTGCTTGCTATACGCACTATATAGTATTTACTCTTCACGCTCAATCTACAATTGACCCCGACAGACTCAGCTGTGGCTCCATTGTCCACCTCGTTTGTTTCCCAATTCCAGTTCCCATACATTATTAAAGCCAGCTGACCACGTGAGGCTTCGTTTGTTGCTGCGGACGAAGTTCGATGCCTCACTGGCCTAGCTGGAACACTCACCGTCTTGTATCTCCCATACGTTTGATTCGCTTGCACCGCTCTGTTGCTCGTCGTCCCTGTGTCTCTGCAGGGTCATTATCTTCGCTCGAGGCTGGGTGTCCGGTGCTGCTACATACCAATCATACCTTTGCAGAAGGCTTTACCAAGCGTTTTTGATCCGTGAGACCGGTAAGATCGATGCCCAAGCTCGCTGTCCCCAATAACTATGACTTGTCATCCGGACGCGCGCTTTGCTCCGCCGGCTCTTGAACCGGCTTGTGCGTTCGAAGGCACCAGAAGACGTAGTCCTCGAGGGGCAGGAAGTTCTTCATGAAATGGTTGCATCGCAGCGCAAAGAAGCAGATCATGCCTCCCGCCACGGCGTCCAAGATGAAGTGATTCGCCGTCGCGATGATCGCGATCAAGATCGAGAACGGGTACAAGAAGCCGACGAACTCGCAGAGCAATTTGGGAAGCGAGGGGATCCGGACGACGAGACCAGTGTGGTTGGATTTGAGGAATGGAACGGCCGGGATGGACATCCTGTAACGTCTCGTCGGCGGGGCGAGAGGAAGTCGCATAATGGAAACTCCGATGAGCAGCGAATATCCGAAATGCAGTGAGGGCATCGCAGCTAGATAGGAATCAGCATCCTTTCTCGACCACAGTATAGGTGCCCTTCCTACCTAGCTGGTTGGTCCATTTCCTGGTGTTGAAAACGCTGGCAGCTCCGTCGCGCGAGTGGATCGTGTCGATGAAGCCAAAGCTTCGCGCGAGCTCACCCGGCTCGCCTGGCAATTTCGAGTCCCCCAACAGACGAGGAGGCATGCATGGCCAACTGCTGAAGACGCAAAATGCAAAGAGGTTGCAAAGTGCCAGCGCCCGACGCCTGGATTCGTAGAGTTCAGTGTCGATCGAGCTTCGTGCCTGATCAGCCGAGTGCCCACTGACGTTGGACCGGTTGCGCGTGATGGCGAAATAGTACAAGCCGACCAAGAAGGTTATCGTTGCGGGGAGGTGGACAAAGCTGTAGATTCGGTTGATCCACCACATCAACCTGGGGAACTGGAGGAAAAATTGCTGGATGGTCAGCTCCCAGAAGATATGCAGCCGCTTCTCTAGTTTGATAACAGCCAGGGCATGATGGCAAGCTGTGTTGACAGTCTGGTCGACCAGTCTAATAGCCAACTGGCCTCGAGCAAACTGATAGACCTGCCCAAGGAGTTAGTCGCCTACCTCATGACACAAGAATGACCTCGACTGACGCCGTATATGAGAGCCCAGTAAACGATCTCTACCAAAAAGGGGAAGCGCAAAAGCACCTTGCTGAACATCCTGTCTCGAAAGACGGCAGTATTCGGTGTCTGGATTGTCGTTTTCAGCCCGAAGAGAGACAGCTCTCTTTCACGCCAATGTCTCTGTCGATCGACGTTAGGGAAAGATGCAATGGATATGTCTCCTGAGCCCATCGGGCCCTGGGCCTCAAGTCCCATCTCATGACCGACATCTTCCACGAGAGCGACGTAAGGCTGCTGAATCGGTCGTATTATCGGGGTAGTAAAATCTCGGTTGATCCATGCTCCCAGGAAGATGATGAGGGTTCCCCAGGATGGCTCGCCCAAACCCAGAAACCCCATTATGTATCCTCCGTAGCGGCGAGCTGCCAGATAGAGTTGCGCACATCAACTGACTCGTCAAAGAGTCGAGAAGGGATGAATCTGGCCTCTCAACCGTCGCGTCTGTCACCCCCAGATCTATTCCAGTGACAGCCCTCAACGTGGTCTTTGGCAGTCGTCCACAGCTGAGTCCACGCAATGACCACCTCCAAGTGTATCTTTAGGGCTCCAGCTCTTAACCTGATTGGAGGGGCTACACGAGCCTCTCGCTCAGCCAGATACCGTCCGTCACACAGCCAAAGGATCGCAAAGGGAAACAGTGGTGCAAGAGACACGCAGGGCATACGCAGCAAGGACAAGACCAAGACCTGCGCAGAAACAACAACGAGCAAAATCAGGTTGAACAGCCCGACGCAGGTGCCCAAGGGACACCCCTCGCTGACGGAGTTGCCGGAACACAGACATTTTGAGTTGGTGAGAGTGGCCTCATGTGCCAGATTGATGATTCCCATTTCGACAAGCGAGGCTCCACGAGAATTGGAGATGGGCATCCACGGGCACGCGACACAGGCACAAAAGAGATAAGATCCTGGCCGTGTCGACGGAATTGCAAGGCTCCGTATGGACATGGAGCATAAGGCTCGACGGCCCATACCACGTCATCCGCATCCCAGGGCGTCCGACTGGATGAGAAAGGCGTGGAGCGATGGACAACGGGACGCCCCATAGCCAGAGAAGCGGGCTGGATGTGTTTGGTTTCCGAGATGCGAAGGGATTGGTTGAGGATGAGAGCAAAGGGTGGACAATGGTCATGGCCTGAGGGGATCAAGGCGATTTATGCACTGCATGATGGCGGTTGGCCTGTTACCGGATGGGGTTTAGCGCGGCCAGCAACCAAGCACCTCATAAGCAATCAACCGCCTCGTCCTCCTCACCCTCTCTCACCCTCTCTTTCCGTCAATCTACCGCTTGGGACAGCTGCCAATGACCTTGAGCTCGTTCCTCGACTTCTGCAGACTTCGGCTTGCTGCGACTTCTTCCCACCAAGAATGCCTCTGTTGTCGCTTGCCAAAAGATGTGTTCAGCCGCACCTGGGACTTGTCTTGCGCGATCAGTGATTTCCGTCTCGCTGCAGAGGTTGGCTGCTATCGATGCTCTCTGCTGGCTAAGTGCATTGCGTGCTATGACCCTGATGTTCTCGCTCGTGACGGTTCGTTGGACGGATCCTGGGATTTCTGGTTTGACTTGACCCTGGATGGAGATGGAGCCAGTCCGGACGAAAATCTCCAGCTTGACATCTTCTCTCCTGGCTGTGAGTGCGCTTACTGCTCTGAGGGCGGGATATGTTCTCAAGAGCCCCAAGCTGGATTGATGCCAGGATGCTCGGTTTGAAATACTGACACATCCGGAATATCTAGCGGAACCTCGAAGGCGCCCGGGCTCAAACAAAGTGAGGCATCTGCTTCCTGGAGATACGTCCTCAGAGGCAACATTTGACACGATCCGGGCCTGGATGAAAGACTGTGTGAACAATCATACAAACTGCCCCAACCCCCACGCTGGCAATAGTAACCCTACACCGCCACTCCCTCGCCGGCTTCTGGAGGTCGCGAATGGCAAAGTAGTGCTCCGTGAAGATACTGCGCAAAAGAAACATCCTTATGCATGCCTGAGCCACTGTTGGGGTCCTTCCCCACGACGTCCGGAGAGCACTATTCTCAAATCAAAATGGGCCACGATAGAACAGTTCAAGGTTGAAGTGCCGTGGGCAGAGCTTACTAAAACGTTTCAAGACGCCATAGACATCTGTCGCCGGCTCGGCATCGATTTTCTGTGGATCGATTCTCTCTGCATTCTTCAAGACAGCAACGACGATTGGTCTTTGAACGCCGCTGAGGTTGGTTCCATTTACGAAAACGCTCTGATCACCATTGCTGCCTCAAAATCCAAGGAAGGCTGCCAAGGTTGCTATACCACAACTGATGCTCGCCACCTTGCTCGCCTGGTTGACGGGAGCAAGGATGTCTATGTACGGCTAAAACCCCCAAGCTACCCAGTGCACGAGGTCCACCTGGATCTAGAGAACTTCCCCCTGTTGGACCGCGCCTGGGTGTATCAAGAGATGCACCTGTCGGTTCGCGTGCTCCACTTTTGCTCCCAAGAGGTAATGTGGTCCTGCCGGCAGATGAGGAGAAGTGAAAGCGGCGTCAGCGATGAGGACGCGACGGACGAATTCGTTCATTTGTCGGATCTGCACGGTTGGGATCCTTCGTGGAAGGTCCTGGGCAAAATCGGGCATGAAGACCCAAGGGCACTGTGGTATCGAACCGTGGAAGAGTATACACGTCTGCATATCTCGTATCCAAGTGATATTTTCCCAGCATTGGCCGCTTTGACTCAAAGGATGCAAAAGCTAAGACCTGAAGACAGATTTCTGGGAGGTCTCTGGAAAGAAACTCTCCTCCTGGATCTAATGTGGCGGACTTCGGCCGGGCCACAGTTTGCCAGACCAGCCAAATGGAGGGCTCCGAGTTGGTCCTGGGCCTCTGTCCAAGTTCAAGTCGCGTGGGACCTGAGGCTGGATTCCGTTTATGGAGGGGTCGAATTACTGGACGTCTATTGCGATACCAAGGGACCGCCGGAGATGGGCAACTTCTCCACTAGCCAGGACGAGGTTCGAATTGCCCTTCGCGCACCTCTTCTCAAAGCAACTTGGAAAAAGCCATGGATCCGGAGTCGATGGCCTGAACTCACGAGGATCGCGGGGGCGGAAGATGGCAAAATGGATGTGAACCGGTACTATCCGGACTACGACTACGATTTGCCAGGCGAGCATCGTATACCATGGAATTCGGAGGTCTTTATCGTGCCGATCGCGATACTGACCTTAGTTCCTGATGAAGATGGCGGCGAGGGGCCAAACAACAATCTGCATCTGGCGTTGGTACTGCGACCAAATGGAGGAAGTGGCATCTATGAGCGTATCGGCTATGTTGAACTTGTCGAAGATCATATCGTGGTGGATTGGAGCCGTGAAGGATTCCAAGCACGCTTTGACAGAGTGGATGCTATACTGAGGGCTATTCCGCGGCAGGACATTACTATCGTCTGAGGGGACCATTGTCCCTTGCCCAGAGACTGCTTAGAGGTGCCATTGTAGACGTGGTTGGAGGCTCTACTCGGTATTGCCCCCGTCGAGTACTCGGTACTCTGGATAGATGCTAGAGCCACCATGATTGGTAGCATATTCTGCGCGCTGTGATTGGCTCCCTGTCCTGTTGTGTTGTTCTCGTCGGGCATCGGCCATGGAATGTCGTCCCCCTTTTTAACCCAAAAGTTCCATCTCATCCCACAAACTCCCTTCTCCTTCTTTCTTCGATGTCGCTCCCAGCAGTGGCCGTCTCGGCACCAGGCAAGGTCCTCTTCGCGGGCGGATTCCTGGTCCTTGACCGCCGACATACGGGGCTTGTGTTTGGTCTCAATGCCCGGATCCACGTAGTCGTCCAGCCGTGGCGAGACGACGCGCCCGACGCGCTGAGCGGGCCGCATGTCCTGGTGCAGTCGCCGCAGTTTGTCGGCGCGAAATGGCTGTACCGAGTCGACGGCTTCGCCGAGGGAGGAGCGGACGGAGCGGTCACGGTCGAGCAGGTCCGGGAACCAGAAGGGTCCGGCTTCACCGCGACTCCGAACCGATTCGTCGAGACCACGTTGCGATATGCGCTGACGTATCTCTCGCACGCGGCCGGCGCGCACGATGTCTCGAGGAGCGTCAAGGTGACGATATTGGCGGACAATGATTATTACTCGCAATCGCAGTCTCAGGCTCAGGCTCCCCAGTCCGCACCGGCCAAGTCGGCGAGGTTTACGAGCTTTGGAGTCAAGTTGAGCGATGCGCACAAGACCGGGCTGGGGTCTTCGGCGGCGTTGGTCACGGCGTTCGTCTCTGCACTTCTCGCATTCTACTCAAAGAAGGATACTGTTGGCGAGGGATCGCAGCTGAACCATCAAACGATCCACAACCTGGCCCAGGCGGCACACTGCGCGGCTCAGGGGAAAGTCGGCTCAGGCTTCGATGTTGCCGCGGCGGTTTACGGGTCTTGCCTCTATCGACGGTTTACACCTGCGATTCTAGAGAATGTGGGCGAACCTACGAGTGCTGGGTTCGGCGAACGATTACACCGCTGTGTGGACGATTTGGACTTGGACGCCAAATGGGATGTCGAGATTGCGAGTCAGGCCGTGCAAATTCCGGAGAGCCTCTCACTGGTCATGTGCGATGTGGACTGCGGATCAGAGACGCCGGGGATGGTGAAGAAGGTCTTGCAATGGCGCAAGGAGAACGTTGAGGAGGCGACGTTACTGTGGACTGCGATACAGCAAGGTCAAGAGGAACTGTGCCGGGAACTGAGGCGGCTGGTCGAGGTCCAAGGAATCGAGGATGATTTTACAGCATTGGGGGACATCATTCTCACCATCCGAAGTCTTGTGAGGGAAATGTCGGTCAAATCCAAGGTGCCAATAGAACCCCCGGTGATTACCGAGTTGTTGGATTTCTGCACGAGCTTGCCTGGGGTGGTGGGAGGAGTTGCGCCGGGCGCAGGAGGCTACGATGCCGTCTCTCTGCTCGTGAAAAACGACGTCGAAACCCTCAAGACCCTACAAGCCAGACTGGAGGGGTGGAAGAGCCAAGACGCGAGCGGAGCGACCATCGGGCACGTCAGATTGTTGGGCGTAAAGCAGGACAACGAGGGCGTCCGAGAGGAGGACCGGGGGCAGTATGCGGCGTGGCTGTAGAAAGTGTGCTGTAATCAGACCTCAGAACAATGTCATCATCCCGCACCTCACCACCGGTACTTTTGGGAAATAGGAACAGGAACAAGGGACAAGCACCAAAGGCAAAAGAGAACGGAGCGGGTGGTCTGATACACATGCGAGAGGAAAGTGTCCGGTACCGGGTTGTGAGGTTGCAACAACTGCGGATGATGATTATTACGAGTTGGTTGAGTGGCGGATCACAAGTGTGGGAGAGGGACGAGGCGGATAGAGCAGGAGGGCTGGAGGGAGCCGGGAGGGTCACCCGCTTGGAGAGTTCAGGCCTAAAGTTTCTCAGGTACGGACGGAGTGCCTCGTGTTCAGGTATAGGGAGACCTAGCCTGGTTCTAGGGCCTAACTACTTGTAGATGCTGCTACTGTCACTGCAGGAGCCAGCCCCCGACCGACCCGCACTGCACCTAGCGATATAGCCGACGGGCCCCCATTGCAATAGGCACCCCCATCCCTCTAGGTAGGCACCGCTAAGTGTCTAAGGTGCTGCCCACCCCCGGGAAATCCCACCTGCTCCCATGTTCCTCCCTGATTCATTTGGAATCCGTCCTTCCGCCCTCTATCCTTCCTTCACCATTCGCTGCGCCTCTGTTCTTCTTCACCACCCGTGACCAAACAAGCAAACGGTGCTGCACCGAACATAATATCCCTCTCGCTTCCCAGATCTGTTGTCGGAGTGCTTCAACCGTGCATTGACCCGGGCTCAATTGTGTCTCAGTTTCAGAAAATCTCCGGAGCCGTCCGTTCCAGGTCCCAGTCCGAGAAGGGGTGCGTGGTGCGTGCTGTGCTGCGTGCTCCGTGGCGGTTGTTGGTCTGGCCCTCCTCTCTTCCTTTTTCCGCCCGTTCGAGTGACTCTTGCGACACCCTCTGCTGCACAGGCGCGCACGGGCTCAACTCGGAGTCTCTCTCAGCTCGCATCATCACTCATCAATTCGATCTCCCGCCAGTGCCATCCTTGACCCTGTTTCGCTCCAGAAACTTGGCATGGGTTTCCCATTCTAGTCACTTGCTTGACTTGAATGCATTGACTGCTTTCCTCCCACCACCCAATTCCATCTGCTCACGCCTCTGTTGGCACATCTGTTGGGTCTTGCGATTCTGTTTGCGCCTCAGATGAGGTGACGACCGCACCCTCCAACGACAGCGCTGCCAACGACTCAAGCGACTCAAGCGCACCCGTCCAGGCCTCTAGTCCGCTAGCCCCAGATAGTCCTCGGCTGCAACAGCAATCTCGTGCGCAACAACAAGACCTCTCCTCAACCACACCCGTCGAGATGTCGAACCCGTCTTCGAACCCTGCTGCCTCCTCCGACGCTCAACCGACCTCCTCATCTCCTCCAGAAACCACGTCCTCGCCTACGCCCGAGCCTCCACTGCAGTCCTCGCTGGGTCCCCAAAGAACCGACACAAACACCGCCATGGTTCAGGCGATGGACCCTCCTTTGCCTTCTGCTGCAGTCGCTGAACCCCAGCAGAAAATATCGAGACAGTTTTCAACCGCGATTGGCCCTTCCTCAGACGAGCCGACGCCCACGGTCCCAGCCAAGGACGAAGCACCAGCAGCCACCGCTGCAGGGCCCACGTTAACGGTGACCCTGCTCCTCACTTCGGGGGCACGACATCCTTTCAAGCTGGACAATAAATATTTTGCCAAGCGCAACGTCGAAGTTCCGGAGAATGATCCGTTCAACCTAAGTGTCTACAAGCTGAAGGAATTGATTTTGCGCGAATGGCGAGAAGAATGGGAGACCAAGCCGTCCAGCCCGACTTCTATTCGGCTGATAAGTATGGGCAAACTGTTGGATGATAAGGCATCCCTGAAAGGTGAGCAAACAGCCCCCGTGAACGGACGAAATGTAGAAGCCTGCGATTGAGGCCGTTGCTTGTTCACTTCAGAACTAATTTTTCGCTCCCCTTGCGGCGTACACAACAGATTACAAGTTCTCAGTCGACGCACCGAATGTGCTGCACATGACAATCAAGCCGCAAGACTACGTCGAGGAAGATGACGCCAAGGGCGGCAAATCCACCTATTCAGCACACCGTGAGAGTGAGGGCAGAAGCCCTGGCTGTCGGTGCATCATCATGTGATGTCTCTGCCTCACTTCATCACATATGTTGTGGCCTAAATCCCATCTGAAGAGGCTATGTTATAAAATATGAATTGGCTAAGTACTAGTCAATGGAGAGAGCGCGCCTGAACTATGGTCAATTTGCGGCGAAAAGACATCTTGGTCCCTTCTAGTCGAGTGGTCAGAAGGATCTATGCGCTCGTCCAAAAAGCAAGGGTGGCCCTTTAGCTTCATCCAGACTTCTTGTGGAAGACATCTTTTTCTTGTCCCAAATTCATGGCATGGCGTTGGTGGAACAGACCGGTTTTTGTGTTTAGTTTGGGCAGGGACTGCGCATGGACCGCGACGGAGGTCCTTATTTCATCCACCACTTTGGTCTGCAGCCGCTTGCAGACGAGTATTTCAGGGGCCCTTCACGAGGAAATACGCCGCGTGGATCCAGGAAGCAGGAAGGAAGATGGAGAAGCTGCCGAGACAATGGGGCCGAACGATGAAATTGCTTCTTGCACACACAGCAACTGAAAGCATCAGAGACGAGTTACATCGCAGTACGCAAGTCGAGACTTTGCCGTGTATAGACGGACAAGAACAGGCTGTCCGGGCGATGGGTGCTATGCGTCCAATGTGTAGCAGCCGGGATTCGATGGATGAGGCTCTGGCCAGGACACGGGCAGGCTGGTTCTTGCAGCATTTGCAACGGAGTACATATTGCACCGGGCACGAGGAATACACATTTTTTGCGTCCCTTCATCTGAGACGAAGTCGAATTCAAACTTGAAGTCGCTAATACTGCTACAGTATGTGCCATTCGATAGGGTTCTCAACCGTCTGAGCGCCTACCTCACTTTGACGACGGCACTGGGATAACCTGGCACGCAATCGCCCTCGCGTAGAGTGGTAGCCTACTTATGTGCCCGTCTTGTATGTCCTTGAGCCTGGCTTTCCGTTCCTCTGGCACAAGTGGAGGATATCGAGCGAGTGATATACACATCCATAGCTGGCTAGTGACCGCAGACTCGATCTGGAGGGGTTGAGGATGTGCACTCCGAGATGTGCACGCTGTAGAAACTCCCGAGAGCATATGCCTGGAATGATGGATACGTGCATCGATGGACAGTTGCCTGGATTGCTAGAGGGACGAAGGTATAGAAGGGTAGCTGGACGGGATGCTAAGTTGGGCTCAATTGAGATAGACACTTTCTCCTTGAACCCCAGGCTTGATGAGGTATATTGCTTTGCACACATGCGTGCAAAAGGAATCCTTCTTTGGTTTTCTTGTCTTTTCTCTCTTTCGGGGTATTCCCGTCCCAGTGCGCCGGTACTCCGTACACCTACCGATTGGTTTCCACACGAGAATGGAAAGGTATACACTGCCCGCCGAGTATGGAGCGCATTGTTCCCGTTCGCAAGCTTGGGCAGTGTCGAAAAGCCAGACGGAGGCCGACTCTGTTTCTTCGAGTTCCATTCTTCCTGTTGGTCTTTTTCTTCTCGGCTCACAAGACTGGCCTCAACGGCATCCGGCCACGATCACCACTTGCCCATCCCGACCTTCCGCTCCATCTCCTCCATCCACCCAGTGCCTTGTCCGTCCCCGCCCTGGACAGCTAATCTCATCCCGTCCTGCCCGGCATACACATCCTCCCAGGTGATCTCCGCGTCCCGCCCCGTCAAGATCTCCTCGTGCACGCCCGCCGGCCTGCCCAGCACGGAGGGCCGGAACGAGTCCGCCTCCCGCACCATCTTGAGTTCCATGCCCCGGCGCAGCGGCTCCGCGATGCCAAAGTTCCGGCGCAGGAGCTGCAGCCGCGTCGCTTCCTGTGTGGCTTGCCAGTTCGCCAGGCGGGATTCCAGTGGGTGCGACGACGTCACCGTCTGCGTGCTCGGCGTCGATTGAGGGTACAGCGAGGCGCGGAGGGTGTCGTGCAGGCCCGGGGCCGAGGGGGCGCCGCGGTCGAGGGCGTCTTTGGGCTTGGTGCTCGTCGCGGAGAGCTTGGAGGCGCTTGTGTTCGAGGTGCTGGTTGGGTGCGTTGCCGGAGGTGCGACACGGAGAGACTACAGAAAGATCGCTGTGCGTCAGTAGATGTATTCATGAAATGAAAGACGTTCCCTCTCATATCAAGTCCTTGGATCTGCGAGGTGTTTCTCTTCCAGGGGGAGAACTCACCATGATGGGCAAAGCGGAATGTGAAGAGGTGTGGTTGAGGTGCGAATGAGGTCCGATCGTATGTTGGGTCACCGATTCCAAAGCAGAGGAGCTCTAAGATCGTGGGTCCAAAGACAGATTAGATCGTATAGGGGAATCAATATCGTTTGATCGTTCCTCGAAGTTGAGAGATGGGAATGCTCGTGGATTGTGTTCGAGAAGTAAATCTTATTGAAAGGTCGGGCTGCAGGCACGCAGTGGATGTCGCGTTCTTGATACTGCACTTAGTAGCTTAATGCTCCGCAGTATTGATTGTCTGGTGGAGTTTAACACCTCTTTGTGCCGCTCACATTCAGTGCATGGACACGAGTCCATATACATACAACGCAGGCCAGTTTGACTCTTCATCTTCGATTCATCTTACACGTCCTAGCTGGGTATCTGAAAGCGGGACATATATGAAGTCTCCATCCTCCCATCATTCTAGTGGTCGATCCAAACCACCCCGAGCAAACCTGCTTTCTGAGACTCTCTCCTCCTCGATATTGTATGACAACTCTCCCGACTCGCGCCTTTGTCGAAAACAAGGAACCATCCTTTGGCATCTATACAGCTGTATATTTTCTTCCAAGACCAGATCTAGTCAAATCTCTAAGCCCTTCCGAGCCAAATCTTTGAGTATGTTGAGCCTCGTGAACATACATCGCATGCGAGCTAATTCTTCCCGTGGTCACCGCCCCACTCCTGCACAGCATGTTGGAGACCACTAACCAATTTATTCTCTGCCTTGAGGAGTGGATTGCGCGCAGTTGTGCCAGGTTGGGCTGATTCGGGCATGTCGTAGGTGCGTGTGGGGTGAAGAGGCGAGTCGGAGGCGAGGGTGGAGGCCTCGTGCGCCTCTTCCACAACATGCGGCTCCAGCTGCTTCTGTAGGTCCCTCTTGCCATGATCTGGGTCCTTTGTCTCTTCGTCCACGGGCACCTCCAGCGGTCTCTTGACAATGCTATTCTTCACTAGCATCTTCGACTCTTTCGGGATGACAACTTCGGAATCCCCTCTCTCTGCGAAGTCCTCCACTTTCTCACTACCAAGAGGAAACACATCACTTCCAACCATGTGCGTGATGCTGCCTACATATGGGTGTGGTTGATCCGGGTGTGTGCAGCCAAGAGCCAGGCACTTGATCCGTGGACCGAGGAAGTCTATCGTTTTCACTGGGGCAGCTGCGGTGAGGTAGATGGCCAGTACCGAGGTCGCAGCTAATTTGTAGAATGTCACCATCGTGAAGCCAGCTATTCTCCCTTCCGCGATTGAAGACGTCTCAAGTATCGGCGAGCCTTTGATTTGAAGAGTATGAACTTCGAAACGTGGGGATGTCGATGGAGCACAATGTCGACTGCTGGAACCGGCATCTGAGCGTGTCTTGGGTGGTAGTCGTCAAGTTCTGCCGGATCGAGATGGTTGATAGGATAAGTCGGTGCTGAAGAAAATATCAGAAGAGAGAAACCCGGGAGGCATTATATATGCTTTTGAAGGTCTTCTTCATCCAGGGTGTGAGGATATTTGGATGTCGCGATTCGTGCTCCACCCGAACCACAGGTCTCCGACCTTGTAAGCTCATAAAATCCAGAGGTTTCGACGGTGCCACGGGGTACGTGTCCATGTACCGTCGGATGTGTCGTCCTTGCGTCTTCACAGTCTCCAAATCCATGGGTCTTGTTCGAGTCGCCAAATCAGCAGAGATTCCAGCTGCGACTCATTAAAATGACAAGCCCAGCTAACAGCCGAAATACCTCTCTTCCATCCACCTCTTCTCATTATCCTCGACAATCCTGGCCACTACCACCTTGATCTTCGGGAAAACTGTCATCAGCCTCTTCAGACCCCGTCGACCGGCCATGCAGGTGACAAACACAATTCTTTCCTCATCAGCCCCGTGATCAACCAAAACCTTGACGGCCATCAGGGCTGCTCCGCCGCTCGACATCTGCGGGTCTAGAAGCATGATTGTTTCGTGCTCAGTAAGATCAGGGAACAGCTTGAGATAGTGCAGTTCTGGTTCACCGGTACGCATGTTGGATTGTATTAGCAGTCGACCGGTCAGACAATCTGGAATTGTTCGCTTCAGCCCTGTCTCCATACAGCTTCCGCCTCGCAGAATGACTACGGCAGAAACTTTGCCGGCTGATTTGACACCAGAATATTTATCGCCTGATGGAGTTGTAATGTCCGTCGCGACATAGTTGTGGCAATCGAGAGCTTTTTCGATCAGAAGTGCGGTCAGTCTGTCGAAGTAGAAGACGAAATCGACCTGGTCAGTTATTGGGTTTCGTAGAATCGTTGACACGCCGACAACTTGTGGTGTTTCGCCGAGGACCATGACATTGTCGGAGAGGGTATAATCTTCGACCTGCTGGCCTAGCTTCTCTAACTCTGCGTTATGCCTGATGGACTTCTCCTTCAAGATCTGTCTGGTCTGGTTGACGATCATCTGAATAGCCATCTTGTTCTGCATCCCACGAGGCACTATAAGGTCGGCAATCTCTCTTTGTGGGTCGACGTATTTCTGGAAGACGGGCTTGACGTATTTGAACCACTGTTTGATGACACCTTCAATGGTTCGACCCCGCTCTCTCACATCACGCACGATCCTCCTCGACAGGCAGACGTCCGGATCTGCTTCAACGAAGATCTTCATATCCAGTAGGTCCAGAACGCGTGGATCGTTTAAGGCGAGAATCCCTTCGAGAATCACAACATGCGGCGAGTATATCGAAACGGTCTTGTCCAACCTCTGGTGTTGCTGAAAAGAGTATACCGGTATGTCGGTTCGCTTCCCTTGCTTGAGATCTATCAGTTTCTCCACAAGGAGATCAAAGTCGATCGACTCCGGCGAGTCGAGGTCGTACTCATTTTGGTGTGCCAACGCGTTTTGCTCGGGCGTTAACGACTTGTAGAATGAATCGATAGACAAGATGATGACCCAGGGAAGATTCAAGGACTGCACGATCTCCACCGCTAGACTTGTCTTGCCAGAACCCGAAGATCCAGCTATTCCGATTATGCTCATGTCCGCCCATGGTGGGGAATAATGTGCTTTCTGAGGTATCTCTCCAGCAACTGCCGCTTTCCGGGCTTCTGCAAGGATGGAGAGCTTTCTGATATCTGTTGAACCCGACATCTCGTTGCGCAACGCTTGTCTAGGGATTTTAAACGTCTCAATGCAAGCTGCAGGCGAATCCAAAATCTCTCAGCAGGATATTGCCCTCCCGATCGGAGGAAGATGACGACCTCTGTGGAATACCAGAGGACAATGACGAGCTAATGAAAGCTCATTCACCACGTCAACGCCAGTCGCCAGTCAAATGCAAGTTGCAAAGAAGCTATGAAATCACAGATATCGTGCGCAATGGAATAGGCGTGAACAGATACCTAAGTATTGGCTGGTGAAAGCTGTTCGAAGTGTGATATTGGGTGGTGGGTGACTGGAGTGTGAGTGATGGTGGAGCCCGCGAGGCCGCAACGGAATAATATTGTTCCCCCCGACTCACAATATCTCGGATCGTCTTCCACACATGTTCTCCGCAAGCTACTCTTTCTTTCCCTTCGGATGCTCTACCTGCCAACAATGGTTCCCTCTAAGTTGCTCTGATGTTCTGCGATGGACCTCAACAACTTGTCAGCAAACTGGAAGAAGTTGCAGGCGACCCTAGGTACCAAGGCTAACAGCACCCTCACAAAATCGTCAAAGCATGGCGTGAAACGCAAAAGGGAAGTCGTCCAGCACATCGCGACTCACTCTCGCGCAGAGAACCCGAAACCCAGGAAGAGATCACGCCCCTACACGGTTATGGCTCTCGATGGCGACGGTTCCACCGAGCCACTCTCAATCCAAGAATTAGAAAGCCGCGAGAACCTTCCCCGTCCACGTCTTCCCGCTCGTTCATCGTCGCAAAAGGTCAACACTGGGCTGTCTCCCGAGTATGTTCAGCATTCCCCTTGGATGCGCTCTCCTAACCAGCTATTAGAGTAGAAATCGGCAGGTACGTCGCTCTCGATTGCGAGATGGTCGGCGTTGGACCGAACCCGGACAGAGAATCCGCACTCGCTCGTGTCAGCATCGTCAATTACAATGGCGACCAAGTTTACGATTCCTACGTGCTTCCACTTGAGACCGTCACAGACTACCGAACACATATTAGTGGAATATCACAAAGTCACATGAAATCTGCAAGACAGTTCAAGGAGGTTCAAATGGAGGTGGTGAAGATTCTCAAGGACAGAGTCCTAATCGGACACGCCATACGGCATGATCTAGAAGTATTGATGATCAGCCACCCTCATCGAGACATCCGAGATACTGCTCGCCATCCGCCGTATCGAAAACTAGCAGGAGGCGGGTCGCCGCGATTGAAAATTCTTGCGTCAGAATTGTTAGGTTTTGAAATACAACAGGGGGAACATTCAAGTGTAGAAGATGCTCGGGCTTGCATGCTATTGTTCCGAAAGGACAAATCTGTTTTCGAACGAGAACATTCAAAGCGATGGCCAGCGCAGCCTCCTCCTGAAAGACAGGAGGACGCGGAGGAGCAGAAGAAACCTCGCAAACATAAGAAAAAGAAGAAGAGAAAGCATTAACCAGAGCTGCCACTGATTGAAACGGGCTATTACGGTTTCTGCTCGGTGCATGGAACAATGCGTTGGTATGTCCTAATCCGACTTACGGTGCTTCCGTGCTGCTGTCATGATCATGTCGCCCCGACCTTGATATCAAATGTCGCCTCACAATAAACGAAAGATAAACGGCAATTTCACAAGTGAATAAAACCTGGCTTATCGTGGAATTGCTTGCTTCTTCCTGGGACTGCTAACGATTCAATTTCAGGAAAGGTGATAACTCACGCGGTCTTCTCAACAGTCGTATGGTACAGCCGCCCTTGCTGATACCACTCTTCAAGGCATAATCCGTGGCTTTGGATTTCATCACCCTGTCTGACATCCACATTCTGTGCGTCCTTCACGGCCCTTTCGCTCGGGATTTGAGAGATGTGCTTTCTTCAAGACTGTCTTTGGACGACCGAATGTGACACCAGTTTTCTCCTAGCTGGGTCATGTCAATCACGGTGCATGAAACCGCTTCATTGCAAGACAACACCACGGTCGTGGTGCGCTTGTCCAGTAACGGGCTCAAGATATGTATATAATATAATTGATGAGCTACACGCATATGGTGCTACGCCACACATTCATGGGTGAATTCTCGAACTATCAATAAGATTGTGCTGCCTTATGCCTTTCTATTCGATATGACCGGCGACAAGAGTTTATCCGATGTTTATCCGGCCTAATTGAAAGGGTTTCTTGGACGCGTCCTTGCATCTATCAAGACGCGTCTCAGCTTCGAACCCAAGCCTTTCAAATCGATCCCACGCCACGACAACCTGTAAGACTTCGTATATTGAATCATTGAGAGCATAAGCGGAAATGCTTGCACTGCAACGACCCGGAAACTCTGGAGATAAATGTGTCGCCAACATCCTCCCTTGCCGCATCCATCATAAGGGCCCAACCAAGGTGACGAAGAGATATTGGTCGCCTCAAGTTGAGAGAGGTGCTTCCTGGTCTCTGTTTCTACAAATCGAGAGAGTATGCTAACATTGGTCTGCAAGATGGCACGGCGACGTCCTACTTTCGGGGTCGCCGTTTACGAGGCAAACCCTTGAAAGTACCTCTTGGGTATCAAGGTAAGCATGTCCCAAGCATGTTCATCAAGTTCGAGATTGATACGTTGCAGGTGTCGTCGCAAAAACAACGGACCGATTCCTCCCACAGCCTTGCAGAACGCAACTTGGCCCCACCTATACCGTGGTGGATGAAGACATTGAGATCGTTGATGATGCAGACGAAGACGAGCCTCCGGAACCGGTCAAGGTACTCGAGGAATTGTCAACCTTCGAAGACGTTATAGTCTGGGGTCATGACGCGGTGCCGACAAACGAAGACATCTTTGTGAAGGGCATTGAAGAGTGGATTGCCTTTGCCGAGGCGATCCATGGTACTCCCACGAAGCTTACCCGGCAGCGTAACACCGAGAATGAAAAAGAAGATGGTCGAGACGGATGTACGACAACGCGTGTCTCGACTCCCTAGTCATGATGGACCTTTGAATACTGTTGTTTGGCACTCGACCACTCGTTCTTCAATCGAATGTACTCCTCCGAACCGATACACCGTCTCCAATAACCCTTGAAGATCTCGCTAGCCTCTTCTTTCTCTCTCCTCTTCCCATCCACATCTTCTTCAGTCCATTTTGCCAACTGCTTCCCACCGGCACCATATTTGCGGCCTCCTTTATGGTTGGCATATCGACGGGCGCGCGTCATCCCCATCTGGATGAATTTGCGAGTCATGTCGGCGCCAACCAGATCTCCGCGTTCCACGTACGATTCGAAGATGGACCACAAGATCTCTGCTGATTTCTGTGCAAGCGGGACGGTGCGAAAAACCCAGTAGGGCAAGATGAGGCTTTTGTATGGTTCGAAGGACAAGACGCCCATTTCTCCTCGTGCAATTTCGTACGAGTATCGCAGCTGTAAATCATCCAAAGCCGGCGCTTCTAAAGGGCGGCTTGGCGGTGCCAGGCTTTCGAGCGTCGACTTGGGCATAGCGGTTGTGAAGAGCCGGAATGCTCACTTCTGCAGGGGTTGAAAGTAGTTGGACGTTGAACAAGAAAGGGCACAAAGATGCAAACCACTCATGACGACATGCGGCCTGGATGACACGGGCGGCCTCCGATCTGCTCGAAGTCTGTTTTCCCCTTTGCTTTTGGGCCAACATTCCTACAGAAACTCGTCTCCGCGCGCAAGAATCAGAAATACTGCACACCAGGAACAGACACCGACAAGTTCCTCAGCCACGATTGAGAAGTTACAAGTCAATCTGTTAAGAGGCTTACATCATGATGCCGGCGCCACGTGGCTCGACTCCCGCTTGGCCGGGCCTTTACTCGCCCTTCGCTAGGTGGCTAGGTACTTTCATCCACAAACCTAAAGGGTCCGAATCCCTCGTTTGAGGAGAAATCTGCCCCCACAAGTACCTGCCTAATCAAGGTTCAGATCTGGTCGATCGTGCTCGATGGCGACGCGTCAGCCACCTCTGCGAAATAGAACAAAGGGCCCTTGTCGCGACCGTGGTCCGAAAGAACCGAGACCCCTGTACACGAGATATCCAGGAGTGTGTCGAGGATTGTCATCGCAAGGGCCAGAACCGTCACGTTGTCTGTGCATAGGGCTGCTGAACAACTACCTTGGAAAATACGTATACGAGCGAACAAACCAACAAGGCATATCCTTCAAAGGGTCTGCCGCGGCTAGCGAACCCGCCAGCGCCGACACGAATCATGTCTTCTCCCTGTTGGCTCTACATCGGGTGGTGAGAGACAGCGCAGGTCGGAAGAGTGGTCTGAAATGCGGCCCAGGCTGGCCAAAACGCCGCAGGCTTACAAACAAGGTGACTACTCGTACGAATACAAGCGTTCAAAGCGACGATCGTCAAACTGGTACTCCCTACAGCCTTAGGTAATTTATGCAAGCCACAAATAGCCGTTTTGAGACAGCGACAAGGGCTTGCAGGTAATATCGAAGATCTTACAGGTTGCCCAAGCCGCTTTCCACACACGATTGCCCCTGTTCAGTCCACACCCTATGGAAACCGAAACAGTCATAACCGACCAATACCTAAGCATGCATCCACGGTTCTCCGTAACCAACCAACTCGGTGATTCACATCACACTATTCGCCGTTACCATGCAAGATACCAGTTGTCTGCTGCTTGCTCCAGAACGAGTGTTAGTAAGCGCTCACACTCGGCAAAGTCAGCCAGCCTTCACCATTACCTCTTATTACTGTCCTTTGCATTCCACCTGGCGAGAGGCGCACTTGGCGACCCGCTTCCACGCCGTGCCAATCAGGTCTCCCTTGGACTTCCGAATGAGGAACCGGCACTATCCTTAAGCGTGGCAGTCTCGGGACTTTTGCGGAGCATAAACCCCACAACCATTCTTGGTGCTGAGGCTGGCTCCTGCAGATTTTCCTCGCCACTGAACGGGTAGAGCAACCGTTAACTACCTGAAAACCGCTTTTGTAAGCACAGACCTTTTACTGGATTTGCCTAGGACCGACGTGTCCGATTCTATTTGCACTGCGACTGGAAGATGAGTACGCTAAAGCAGCGAGACTGCTCGCGAAGTTTGCCACAGAAGCGGTTCGCAAATTTTACATGCGCTGTTATGACCACGACAGACAGGTCTCTCTTGAGGCAAGCGAAGGCAACGTCGCCATACAGGCTACATTGATATCACCTGAGGCGCAATCTAGCTTCTGAATGGCCTGGTGCTCGCCCGGTGGACAGTGGACTGCCCTATGAATGAACAACGGGCTTATCCGAACTCCCTGGCGCTGGATTCAGCGGTTTACAAGGACACACAATTTACATCATGTGAGCAGCCTCCAGTACTGTCCAAGGCTGCGGCATCATGTGAAGAGAGCTTCGCAAGACGACCATTCAACAGCCCATTTCGAGAACGAAAAAGTATGAGTCCACACCTCAGTGGCCTCTGGTTGGTATGGCATACGAGTAACCGCCATGGAACTCCGTGCATCCCTGATTGAATTAAGTCACTAGTTGGGCTCATTATTGTAGTTGGAACTCAATTGTACAGACACTACAGGAACTCTTCTGGCCAGGTTCGGTGTCAGCACCCTCGCTCTCGTTCCGAGGTGGCATATCTTTACCACGCATTCTATTTCCGGCCCTCGCTGAAGCCAACGCAATCAGCCCCTTGCGCGCTTCTAATAACTGCGCATGTTATCAACATCCTACAAAGTCTCCAATGGTTATGGGGTACCCGAGCTCTCTTGTTGTTGCCAATACAGTTCTGCGGGAAGGGGCGACATGAAACTCGGACTCTCGAGCATCCACCCATTCCGCTCATTCAATTCATTTATGTTTGGACTTTGCGCCTGTTTCAGGAGCTGATTCTCTGCCTCTAGCTGAAGAATTATGGCTTTGAGTCGCTGGATCGTGTCGAGAAGCTCGTGGTTATGATGAGTCAATGTCCGTAGCTGTGAGTTATTCGCAGCCAAGGTCGACGATGCAGCCTTCAGCTGAGCTTCCTTGCGCGCGCGGTATGCTCGCTGGGCTTTTCTATTTTGTGCGCGTCGCCGCTAAGTGACTTTGTCAGCCGGTACACCTCGGCATCGTCACTTTGATCACACGTACCTCGCCCCGAGTCTGAACCACTTCGCATTCCCTGCCATACTGGTCCACTACAACAAGATGCATATCACTAGTTGTCCGACTTTGCGGTGCTATTGATATTGGGAGACTTTTATTCTGAGGAATGGAATTTGTTGGTGACAAGGCGATCAAGGAAGGCGTGTCGGAGGAAAGGGGAGACCCTGTGGCCGTCTTCTGAGAAGACAGAAGAGTCAGTCTACATCATACGCCAGAGCTCAAAAGAGTCAACCTACTTCGTTCCAATCAGAAACCTCGGCAGCGCATGTTTGGTCAAAACCTAGCAACTCGCTCTCATTGAGGAGATTGATGTTATCCATAAAATGAGTGGTCGCCTTGTGTCGCCTCACTCGGGCGCATATCGGCGGCGAGCAACGAAGGTCCATGCTTCGAAGCTGTCGTTCTCGCAATCTTTTATGGTGCTTGTTTCCGTACTCCTACACTTGGGATCGTGATGACCGTGATGAGCGACATATAGAGCATCCCACTCCCGGCTGCGGCGAGTCATTCGGCTGAAACGGGTTCTTGGACCCAGGGTCGTCTCGACTCACAATCCACGAACCAGCAAGACTTGTCCTGTTCTTTTGGCTTTGATAACCACCTCCGTGTCTCTTGGCGAGACCAAGGTGGCAAGCGTATGCTAGCTCACGCCATGCGAGCGCGGGATCAATAGAGTCTGCCCGAATTGGGGGTTACCAACAACAACGGCCATGCATTCGGGTGGCGTTCAATCGCAGATTCCACCGATCATTTACTCAACAGGGACATGGTGTCCGAGCCAGGAGATGTCTGCGCTGACCATCGCCTGGGCTAGGTCTGTCCCTAGTGGGAGCGTTAAAGTGGCATGTGGCTGTGACATTACCTGACGAGGCTGCTAGCTAAGCGAGGCCTCTCGATTGCTGAAAAATTTACTGCCTGATGAGGACTAGCACAAGAGGTTGCTCCGCAGCGGGCAGAGCTTCAAGATCCCTGAAGCTGCCCGCCATGACCTTTCGTGGAACTCCATACCTTGTTCGAATGTGGTTGCTCAAGACCGTCTCGTGAGTGGCTACGGTATCGTCACTTGGACTGTCTTCGCCAGATTCACCAGAGATGTCTCCCGCAAACAAATCACATGCACGCAAGCGAAAGTTACATACATTACCACCTGGGAGCACGGAACAAGTGCCGTGGACCAGGATACTCTACATCTTCGCTTGATCCGGATGGCACAATTGCGAATTGTATTGGTCCTAACAAGACATGCATCTTTCAAAAGATCCCGTCCTGCACCTAGAGATGAGACCGTTGCTCTCTGCAGCCACCACCGAACGCAGGAAACCCCAGCTCCACGCGTGTCTCGATTCCTGACTAATAATTGAGGTCATCATGATGTCTGCTCATCCCCGTCACTCACTTGTACAAATGGGCTCCGGAGCCTCTTCGCTTATGGCATCAAATCAGTCACCAAAGGACGTTTGAAGAAAGTGGTCGGTAGACTTACAAGATGCCCTACCGACGAGTGTTTGTCTGCTATACCCATCCTTCACAGTTCCAAGACAGACATCACCGCAGACAGGTCAAGTCATATGTGTCCACAAGAGCATACTGGATAGAGCAGCGCATCGGAGTCGGCTTCAAACATGGTTCTACCCGAGAGATCCAAAGGGAGAGAACAGAGAAGGCTCAACTGGAATCGGACGGAGTGACCTCCTCGCTCAATTCCATCAATCGTAAGTCTATGTTTTGACTTATCTGGTCTGATGTTGTTCTGTAGCCTCATGACTGATTGTGATGCTATAGGTATGACCGAGTGTCAAGCACCTGCTGAGAAGCGGCCGAGTAATGTCGCCGGAACACAGCTCAATCGCACAGTGATGGCGAGAAGGGATTCCTCTCTGAAAACCAACCAAGACGAAAAGTTCCGTGTCTCCTGGGCCACATCACCACTCAAACCGATAGACTCTCTGCCGGGGATCCTGCACCGGCAATCTCAAGGATTTGCTACGGCGAATGAGTTCTGTAGGTTCATCCACTCACGATGCGTCCTTGCCGTACTCATTGGTGCTTGCTTTCGCGCAGATCTCGAGGCGGTGGATGCCAACTACACACCTATCTTTCATGTCTTCGACGTCGTAAACATACTCGGAAATGTGAGCCATCTTCTGCTTTGCTCT